TTCGGCAACAGGCTTGTCTTCCTTGACTGATGGGGTTGACTCTTCAACTGCTGGCTCGGGCTCTTCAGTTGAAGCTGCAGGCGCATCGGTAGACTGAGCAGGCTCGCTGGTTGTGGAAGTCGGTTCTTCAGTTGTTGGTGCAGGCTCCTCCAACGTAGTAGTCACAATCGGCTCATCAGCTTCTGGTTCCGTAGCCGGAACTGTAGTCTCTTCAATTTCTGCAGCAGCCGCTGGAGCAGCCTCCTCCTTCACAACACCATCAACAGCAGGCGCATCAGCTTCGACAGATAGAACCGTCTCAGACACAGGCGCTGACGCAGCGGCGTCCTCCGACTTAACATCCTCGGCAGCAGGGGTAGATTCAGAGGCATGAGGCGCGGGAGCCTCAGCCTCGTCGGTCTTTGCCGTCGAAGAGGTAAGTTGAGACTTGTCAGACGATGGGTCAGCCTTGGATGGTGATTTAGGTGTCTTCTCCTTCTTTGCTTTGGCGGCCTTCTTCTCCTTCTCTTTCTCCTTCTTGGTCTTGGCCTTCTTCTCCTTCTTCTTAGGAGACGCAGGCTCTTCGGCCTCGGGCTCTTCCTTGGCTTCCGGCTCCGCTTCCGGCTCCGGGGCGGTGGCCTTATCTGACTTCGCAGCCTTTCCAGCTTTCTTTGCGGCCTTCTTTGACTTTTTGGCCTTGGTTGGTGGAGATTGGGGTGATGCTGGTCCTGCCGCCTCTGCTGCCACCGGTGCTTCCAGTACTTTCGGCGCGGGCCTTACATCCACCTCTGGCTTCTTACCCGCCTGCTCGCTGGCGGACTCGGCAGATTCGGCAGCCTTACTGGCCTCTCCGGCCACCGGCTCACCTTCTTGAGGCCCATCTTCCGGGATGTCGGCCTCCTCATCTAGGTCATATATTAACACAATTACTATTCAGCGTAGGCCTTACGCGGCGCCCAATCGCACAAGCACTTACCGTCATCGTCTAGATCGACATCCTCGTCGTCGGCTTCCGAGTCCGAGGGCTGTAAATACTGGACATTGGAGTAATTGGCTACCTGGAGAGAACTATAGTCGGCAAACTGAATCGGGACCTGGGACCAATGAAGGCCTGCCCGGGTGGGACAGAGATCGACCTCTGGAGGATTGTTCATACTTGTGGGACCTCAACATGTGCCTTGTCTGAGGAGATCTCGACGGAGAGGACCTGAGGGGCGCTCTTATTATCCTCCATGCAGAGCGGTAGTTGACCTAGGACTTGCTCGGCCGACTGCTGCAAGTTGACGTCTTAGATACCCAAGAGGAAGGGGTGGGGACTTGGGCTGCTCGGCTCGAAGGCGAGATCGGGCACGTATAGAGAAGTATAGTGCTAGCGGTATTAATGTGCGCAGGTGGTGTGCGTGTGCGTGCGCGGGAGACGGGAGAGTGTGTGGCGGGCTTGTTTGCGTGTATGCAGGCGTCGGGTGACACGTCCGGCCTGTGGTTGGCCGCGATGTTGCTTAGATATCCTGGGTATATCCGACTCGCACTCTTCGTTTCTTCGTCCACGACACATGCAAGAAAACTTGGTACAAGCAAAAGAGCAAGAGAGCAAGAGAGCAAATAAACAGGGCAGTAAAACGAGATTCGGCTCGGTCTCTCGCTCCAGGGGGGTGCGAGAGGGGGAGAGCTGAGTAAAGATTCTGATTCCACGTCCCGACGTGCTGGTAGTGGGCAAATGCAAACTGCTGTTTCCTAGCTCTGGGCTGGGAATCACTCAATCACTGATGGGATGGGCATGGAAGAAGTTTTGATTGCTGGAAGAGGGGTGTCCCTGGAGAAAAGGGCAAGTGCAAGCCCGGGCTTGCAAGCTTGCAAGAGCTCTAGGTCTTGGCGAGGAAGGAACCCCTTCGACGCAAGCTATCACACCCCCAGCCATAAAAAAATTTACAACTACCCCCATCGACCCTAGACTAGATCCAGACCCGTTACCCCACGGAAGGAAAATCGGACTCAATGCAGCCGGCCTTTTTTCGCTCAAGTGACCGCGTCCACGACGACGGCATTGGCCCAGGGCGCTGGAGTGGCGCCACGTCGCAATGGGGTTGGACAGCTAGGCCATCAATCAGACGGCGGGGGGGATGCCTGGAATGGGCCCTGGAGGGCATTGGTGCTTTCCAGATCGGGAACAAGGCAGAGCTATCAGAATCGAGACACCAAAAAGGCAACGATGCCGCCGAGACGGGAATGGCATGGCATGGGCGAATAGCGGCCCAACCAGGCCGGCGACTCGCGAGTCGTCAATCGTCACTCGTCAGAGACAACTCAATCACGCTAGCAGGCCGGGGTCTCATTGCTGTGCTGGAGCCCGAGGCAGATTACATTGGACAATGGACATTGGACACTGGACATTGGACCGACGAGCATTGAGCAACACTGCAGAGTGCAGACAGAGCACAGCACTGCGCACTTTTCGAAGAGTTTCTTGCCAAGGCCAGTCAGCCATCCGCAGATCAGACACACCACGTTACCAGCACCCGACGTCTGCTGATTCGAGATATATGAGCAGCTTGCTCCTCCCACATGCTACCCGCCACCCACAAACACGGATCCGTCCTCTTGCTGGCTGTTTGGGCCGGTGTTGCAAGGGAGCTTTTCCTGCATAGCTCTTTGGCCCTTTGAGTCGACGATCTGGGCGAGCGATATCAAAATGCATCTGGGCCGCTTTGTTGCTGACCGTGCTTCCCCAGCAAGAAGCTTCCCGTGCCGCCCATGGGCTCCCGTGAGCCTCGCAAAAGCCATTGGCTAGGAAGAATCGGAATTGGGACGACATTGGGCCCCCATCGAACCCCTGGCCTTCTTCATACACCACAACGGTAAGGTCGCTCGGGTAGGTGTGGGACGAATGGAGCCCCATTTTGGACCCTGCCCGTCGACAGTCCACCTCATTTTCCCCCTTCATTGAGCTTCTGCCTCTTCTCAGAGAGGCATCCCGACTGGTTCCTGGATCGGGAGGGGCCTCGCTGTACAGTAACAAGCCTGACGAGCCTGACGGCCGCGCGCCTGAGTGCCAGCTCAGGTACTGTGACAAGGATTGGCAATCTGGAGAAGATGGGAATACCCGCCCTGACCTCAGCCAGCGTGCAGATTGGTGCAGAAATGGTGCAAAGCTGGCGCGTGCTACGTGGTCGACTTACGGCTTGTCGCTTGCGGAGATCCCTGCAGTGTGGCCCCCGTCAAGCCATACTCTAGTGGCTCAATGGACCCCAGCCAGCAAAATCGGGTCCCGCACATTACGTGGGGCAGCAATAATGTACAGTGCACCGCAGCGTGGAAGTGTGTGTGAGTGAGGTGGTCGGCCACGAAAACGACCAGACGAAATTTTTCAATGCTCATCACTACCGCTCCGCGATGCGCCCGTTGTTTGCCAAAAGACCAATGGCTCTCGGCAATGAGCCTGTAACATTGCATCATGAGCGAATTATCGGACTGCCAAATCATGTCGAGCAGTTGTCGACGAAGTAGTTCTGTTAGTGATGGAACCCGAAAATTTCCTGACCGCCTATGATCTTCGCTAGCAAAATGGCCTAGGCCCGAAGTCCCCTGTTAACAGTCCATCGAGGAACGTTGGAGTTAGTCCATTCGCCGAAAGCAAGGATTCTTGAAGAAGTGCCGCCGACCGCTAGACCCTTGTCACCAACCTCGCCAGTGAAGATGGAAGGTGAAGACGGAGGGAGAGCCATGATTGTTTTCTTTCAAGAGAAAATCACGAAAAAGAAAAAAAAGGAAGGTTTGCAGCAAGAGGCCTTTGACGCCCATCCGGCTTCTTTGCATATAGAGCAGTTCTTAGAATAGACATCGGTATCCCAGAAAGATAAGCCATTAAGCCAATGCATTAATTAGAGAAGTGAATGGCGCATCCAGACCCAGGAATAAATGGAAAGGTCTTGTTGAGAGAATTGACGATACGCTTCAAGTACCTAGTACAACGGCTTGCTAGCCTCACGCCACCCAAAACCACAACCGACGCCAAGTCTCAATACCCGCCTCCCATCTTTGCTTGGGTCAAACCCGGCAACCTTTTCCCATGCCACCATCCATCCATGAATTACCCTACTTTGACAGTTTGGTTTTGTTTCATCGTTGTTCCTTGGTTCAGCTACCGACCGCTTGAAGAGCCTCCCATAGTTCCTCGGTATAACTGAAGCAGGACGCAGTCCCTGATCATCACAAGTTAATCCTTATTGTACTCCGTAGTCTAGGATTTCTGCCTTCTTCGTGTCTCATTACCTATCTACCTTAAATTATCCTCCCTTCCGACTTCCGAGGCTTTTCAACAAAAAGTCAACATTCGCAACTCCACAGGCCGATGGACCCCTGATTTCGCTTCCGGGGCCGTCGCCGAAATTTGATCAGAAAAGGAAATCAGAACCAGCGGTGTACAAACAACAATGTGTGCATCCTGTAGGTGCTAGGTAGCTACTTTTACGTTTCCCGGGTGCTGGATACCGATGTGCACTTTGTCCATCTCTGCATCTCTGCATCTCTACGTCTCTTTCTTCATTCCACTTTGCTACTCCTTAACTAGCTTGCGCACACGTGCGTCTGTCTACGAACTGCCCGCGGACTGCCCAACTACTTGCTGCAAACGCTTTTCTACGCTATTCCCCTATTGTCATAATGCCAAGGATCCGGGAGGTCGGGACGGAGCATCACGGAAGAGCAGCAGCAGCAGCTGACAGCGAGGGGCCGGATTGAGGGCTAGGCTAGCACTGACCATATGTGCGGCGTTCGTGTTCAAAGCTTTCAGCCTCCGTCTCGTATCATAAATTGACATATCAAAGCCGTTCGTGATGATGACCCTCGAAACGCCCGCGCCGCCGCCCCCAAGAGTCCGAACCACGATGGAAAACAAAATGAGCTCTGTCAAGGTCATTGTTGACGCGAGTTTGGGAGCAATCCCTCAACGTGTGATCTCTGCCTTGTATCCTAGACGCAATTTACCATAGCCGGAAAAAAGCAAGAAAAAAGCAGACACACTCCTGTGCAAGGACGTACTAGGTAGTAAAACATCATATTTCTGGCACTCTCCCCCGACTCCACTCCCCATGTACGAAAGATGGTGCGGACCCCCCTAGCCTCTTAAGCTTACATGGCCATCTCAGCCTGGAGTTTTCTGAGCTCCTCTTCCTCGTCGTCCTCGGCGACAGCGGGGGCCTTTCCTTTGACTATTAAGGACGGACATTAGCACGGTGGACGGCGGGCGATTAGAGGGGGGTGGGTTCAAAGATAACTTACTTTCCCCGGTTGCCACAGTGGGTAAGCGCTGTACGGCATCCTGGGGGACGGTGCCTGTCTTGAGCATCTTCTCGTCCAACTGCTCCTGCAGGAGAACCTCGAAATCGGCCTCCAGATCCTCCTCGTCGACTGCGTTTCCGAGATTGATGCTAACCATGGCCTCGGCAATCTCCTCGCTAAGCCCATTCTGCTCGGATAGTTTGGCCCTGTAGACGCTGTCAGCCCACTGCAGCTTGCTTCGACCTGCTCGGAGGACGGAATGTCATTTATGGGTGCATACATTGCTTCGTCAACCTTCTCCGGCGTCAGTTTCCCGTGTATCTGTTTCATGGCCTCCCCGGCCCTCTCCATCGCCGCAAGTGTCTCTCGGTTGATGTTGGCCGATTCGATCGCGTTTATCTGCTGCTCGAGGGTTCCGATTTGACCAAGTGTCTGGTCAAGGGAGTGCTCGTGGAGCTTCTTGCGTCGTAGGGCGGCCTTAGCAGCTATCGTGGCAACAGCAAATCAGCACGTGTGCGCCAGCGAGCTCCGGGAACGGAGATAAGCCTACCATTCTTGTTTGTGGTCACATTCTTCCGTGCTATGCCGTCCTGTTCCTCTATCTGGCGCTGGAGATGGTTCTCGCGCTTCTGGAGCATCTCCAGCTGGGTCCGCAGGTCGAGGATGGCATTCTTGGGGCTGTCTTTCCGCTTCTGCCCAGCCCCACCGCCAAACCAGCCCCAGATGCCTGCTGACATGGCGATTTTCCCACTGCGCTTTAAACGGGTTAAGAGATAGTAACGGGTGAGGGAAATTAGAGATGTCGTCGAGATAGATCGCGGTCGGGGTCAAGTTGTGTCGACGAACGGTTCGGTTGGCGTTGAGGTGAGCCAGAGGGCCCAGGTGACCAGGGTTAGCGATGACGCCTCCCCTCGCTCGGTTTGGCGGGGCTTCGACCTAACGACTTGACCAGGCAGTCTTTCGCAAGCAACAATAGGCAGTCTCTTAAGCGACCAGCAACGCGTAAGTGGTCCCAAATGATCTATAGGGTATGGTAGGAGATATCGATAAGGAATGCGCCTCGCAGTTTGGGTGACGAAGCTTTCCAGCTCAAGGCTTAGGTTTCCAGCCGTGATTGAAGTCGGATCCCTATCGGTCGGGTCAAGCGTTATGATGCAAGGCTTCCAACCAAGTCTGGTCAGCTGCCAAATCAGTCGGTTGACAGCCTTTGCCGGGCCCGCCCGAAGTTTACCCGCTAGACCTAGGTGAGAGTCCAGCTTGGTGCTGCTTACTTAATCGCTGGTCTGGAGTCTTCAGTGTAATTGGAAGACCAAGATGCACAGCACAGCTGTAAACTTTTGGGGGGACAGGTGCGACGTAGAACGCCTACGTTCCTGAACGGCTCTTGCCAACCTAACATAAGCTATCCTAGCTAGTAGCTGGTCACGCGCAGAAATTCATGCAAGCCATTTAAGCCTTGAGCGCCTCTCCCTCGCTGCTCCCCCAATGCTGCTAGGTGGTGATGCATCACAGCACCGACCAGCACAGCACGCACTGCCTACCCTGCCCTGCCCTGCCCATCATGTCCAATACCCCCCCGCCGTCTCAGCTCTGTCTGCTATCGGATCTGCCGTTGAGGGAGGTGGGCGACAAGGTGCGATTCTTGGGATGGTGAGCCTCCCTGCGGTGCTGGCGCAAGTCCCCTGTTTTGCTGTTTTTCCCTATTACGTGCGTCCAAAATTGTCAAAGTCCGGTGTCGGAATAATTTGGCGCAATACTTGAGATTTCCGAGTGCGCGAGATCGATTGCCCAGCTACAATTTGTTTGACCTGTCATGGACTCATGGTTCCCTTCCCGTCTTCCCCGGGCCATTACTGCGTATGTCGGGACAACAGGCTGACAGCTCGCTTCAGTGTGGCTTCGTACTCGACAGACTCTGCAACACTGGCTCTGGAGCACCAGCACCAGCAGCCGCAGGACAGCCTCGCCGTTCGCGCCTTGGTCGATGTACGGCTCGTCTTGGGGCGTCTTGGATCAGACCAAACACGCATCGGCGAGTGGGTGAATGTGATCGGATACATCACCGCCGTCGCCCCCCTTCCCCTTCCCACAGCTGCCAGCAAAGGCTCAGATCGAGGCCATGTGAATATCTCCATGATCCGAATCCAGGCTCTTCTTGTCTGGTCCGCCGGCCCCCTTGATGTGCAGAGATACAATTCATCCGTGGCTGCCTTAGGGAGCGAGCAAAGCAGCCCCAGTGGTGGCGACGTGGCCTCTGATGCTCTCCTACATGCTGCTGGGCGATAGCCCTGCTTTTAACACAGCCAGCCACAGCTGAGTCAACACCATGCAAAAAGAAAAGCTTGTCAGGAAATCTCCTAACGGGTAAGAGGACTGCTTCCACCCATCTATCGAAACCACGACGCACAGCCGGGGATCGTCCCCTTCCGTTCCGCTACCCGATAGCCGTCTGCAAGCGCATGCTTTCTTACAGGCCAGCAACATCAGGCGAGGGCTCCGTCCAAGTGCTACGGCATATGTCGTGAGACGGCGGTAACGGGGACTGAGCTTGCCACACGGTTCGGCCTCGTCGCGACGGAGAGAACGGCCCCATCTGGCCGCTGACGGCTTCTGCATAATCTCTCGACTATCCGCCAAGCCCACATCCGTCGTGCTATCCAGATAGTCGCGCTGCCTCTGTCTCTGCCTGCTGAGTGGCCTTTGTCCCTTGTTGGCTGGAGCCTCCTTGATTGGGTGTGGCAGAGGTCCCGAGAAAATGGGCTTGACCACTCCGGTGTTATCAGATCTACCAGCCCCTGCACGATTGCCTTTTCCGTACTGGTGTGCGGCGACAATACGGTGCTCGCTCACGACATCTTTCGTCCCTCCCTCTCACCGGGCATGGCATGCACGGGGAGCAAATGTGCAATCCAATTGGGACAAGAGGCCGCCCAAAATCTGGCTAGCTCTCTTCTCTGTTGCAGAATCCGACGTACGTATGCGCTTATCCGCCGAAGATAGGAAAAACTGCGGTGTCCATTGGGGCCAGATGGCACCACGTCGCTGGTCCAAACCTCACAACCGCTATGCCCACCACAGGTCCGATATAGCTCATGCGCCTTCCCCCAACTAATGTTAAACATTCTGCTTCCCTATTTGTCCTCCGCCATGTCTTGCCTGGTTTCCCTGTCGGTCGCGACGCCGGAGTGGCTAGACACAGCATGATGCGCTTCCTGTGTGCATGCGAGTCCAACTCGCCAATTCTTTATCCGTGCCAAACACCTGGTTCAATCTTGTCCAACAATCTCTCCCGACTGCCCATTGTCTGCCTACCTGGATATCGTATTCAAGCTCGACGTCTCTCGCCTTGTCGACTTCTCGAGTCGGTGCGCCATCGGTCCTCCCCCCTCCTTCTTGGCGAATCGCTTGCGCCTGCCGTGGATACCACGACCGGTTTGTGAAGCGGCCGCTTCAAGGGCTTTTCGGGGCTACCAGATGCTCGTGCTGCTGCCTGTCTTTCCCACATCTCCTTCGACTTGACGCATATGTCGTCGATTTGCTCCTGGGAGACGCCATGTCATGTCAGTCTTGCGCTCTGCCGCAAGCTCTGGAATGCAACTGGGGTTCTCACATCTGACAGGCAAGGCCCCGGGGTCGTGATCAAGAAGCCATCTTCTCCCTACAGTCGTCCATGTCAGCCACGCCTAGGCCGTGACTTGGAAGGAACGGGGATAGCGCTTTCGCACCTCACGAGTGTAAGCTCTCACTGTCGCTTGCGGCCCAAGATAGTATTGGAGCTCTTGGGTGATGACCTTTTTGTGAATGTCGAGATGAGGGATCCAGTATTTATTCATGGACGACGACGACGAGGAAGACATGTTGAAAAATGTACGGTCGAGACGAGTCCCAAGAGGTGGATCAAAGTCGTGGCCCCTCCGTAAGCTTGTGTCCTTGGGGATCGCGGGAATGCTGCTCTTATTTATGTCTCGCTGGGCTCGGCCCTCGGGTTAGGGTCGGCCAGTTGAAGTGTGTTTACCTTCAAGTGAGGAGGCTTTGGTATCAAGTCACGGAGTACCTATCTCTCATTTTGGCCCACACCGCCATATCCGTTCTAGCCACTTAGGCACATGGCTGCTGCATATCCCAAGGACGGCCACAATCGCGGTGCTCGACACCGTGGTTAGGCCCGGCGTCGCTCACTGGTCGGTTCATCGAAGGGACGCCGTTCGCCTCACTTTTTCGCCTTGTCCCTCAACATCGGGCCACCAAATGCCCCCCCCCCGACCCGTCACCCTCTTGGTCCACGGGACACAAACCGGTTTCCTACCGAGTTTCCTTCCAGCCGAGCTCTGCCTGGGGAAATAGCTCAATGCGAGAATGCACCGCGAAACGTTGCCGGCTATTGGCTATCGCGTCTCACCGCACTCATTTTTCAAGAGTCCAGTGACGCGGAACCTATGCAGCCCTATCAGCTAGCCCGGCGAACTGCGTTGCGGGAGCTGGGCCGTGGCTTAATTCTGCCCCTGGCTTGATCTCGGCACGGTCGCGCAGGCAGCGATCTATGGCGAGATTTGTTCGGTAAGAGGCCAGATGCCGCGGTCTGCGGTGGGGATGGCAATCGTGTCTTCCGTGATCCTGCACGACATTGTGACCCAACTAGTCGTCAAGTGGATTGCCGCACTAGATCCCATGCCCAGAACCCTGCAACTCTGCCAACGCCCTTGTGGTATATGAGGGGCAACGACCGCTTCCATCTCCAGTTAAGATCTCCCCTTAACTCGTGCCAGCGCTCCCCGACGGCTTGAGGCTTGCCGTCGATCCTCCATGTTTGTGGACAAATCTATGCCACCCTGTTTTGTTAGTGGCTATGAAGGTTCGATTTCCGTTTACCAGCTCATTTTCAAAATTCCCATCAGTCTACATGGCAATTCGCCCCCTACCCTGCTTTGAGTTTGTCCCTTGCTGCGTGACAGGGCGTTAATCAAGAAGTCGAGTTTCATTCGTGTGGTTCAAGTAGGGCGTTTCCTGTGTGTATTGGAGATGCTGGATATTTGAGCACGATGCCGCATCGGTGAGTCCCAGTCCGTGCATGTGCGGCCTTTTGAGCCTCACGCCGCATTTTGTCTCGCGGCTATGCGGCTCGGGTGCCATTTTTATCTGGACTTTGGGGTACTTCTACTTTACACTTCAGGACACCGACATTTCTCTCCGCCCCATAGCAAAGAAGGCTCGATATCAAGCACGGCGCCATTATAGCCCGCACCTCACGCCCGCCTAGAGAGAACTGATGTTGTGCTAGCATTCTCACTGCTGCAACCAGAAACGGCTCATCCGGGAAGGCTTTGGTCCAAGTTCACCGCGCTGGCGGTGAACTGCGCCATTTTTTCAGCCACCTCGGCGTCCGAGCTCAATACGATATGTAACACCCGGCTAAGGTCGCACCCAGCTCTAGAGCGGCCATTAGATAACTGGTATCATATCCTGCTCAGATATTTTATGATCAAAATCTATGTCTTGGACTCGACGGAAGCCTTCTAACTCTCTGCACTTCCGGCAACACATTTTGCAGCGCTGATTCAGGGCGGCCTGACATTGGGGGGGGGGGGGGGCTGTCTTGGTCGGCTGTCAGAGAAAGTTGAGTTCTACTCCTTCTAAATGATAAGGTTGCTTTCACCGCTGTTTTCCATTTTTGTCTTATCTCGAGCACTTCCTTTTGGCGTACAAGTCGGGCAAACAGCACGACGTGGCTTGAGCCTTGGTCGACGAGAAAAGGATCGCAGACTTTCTTGCAGCTGGCCTTTATTCATTCTCGCTGCCAGCCCTGCCATGTCTGAAGGATACAAGAGTGCAATTAGCCTTGCCACTGTCCTACGGGATGGCTCTCAGCCATAGGTTAACAAGACCCGACAGACGCCCGACGGATGTGGATCAGCAATCGTCGCGCAAAGCGGGCGGTGGTGATCGGCCACTGTCATACAATGAATACCGGGATAGGTAGAGCCGGCAGGCTAGGTAATTGGGTTAGAATTAGACATCAACACGGGGCTGCGGACGCCTAATACCAATACCAAGTGGGCATGTGACATTTGAGGGTCTTCTTGTGGCCGCAGTTTGCTCTCTGGTTGTCATCACCTGTGATGTGCCTATGTGTCTCTGTACTCTTCTCCTGCTCGTTTGTCTAAAATTTAAAACAGGCCTCAGTCTGGCTATCTGGCTAGGTAGTTTCTATTCGGATTATCGCGGGTAGATGGAGAGTAGGCTCGGGTATTATGAAGTACGTCCTTACCTGTCGATTTACACTATGTTGGTGTACAGGTACGGATACGTTAATCATTCTTTAACAGCCAGCCCGTCACATACCGAAGAAGGAGTTGCGAGATAGTAGCTCACCGTCTTTGGGTACAAGACAAATATATTCCCACGCCATATCCCGGGCACACACCAGTCACCAAGCAGTCTCGCCGCGCCTCATCTCACAGCCAGACAGAGACATTCAGCCGATGCAGACACGCACACACGAACATATATGAGGTGTAATAATCGCATGGCTTCCCCTCGCTATCCGTCTTGTGGGACTGTTCCCGACCTTACTAATGTCACCAAGACGCCGGAGCACCAGACATGGGGCAACGGGGCAAAGATCCGCCCGGGACCCAACAGATACATGCATGCACAGTACAAAACTTGCAGCCCATCCCACATGGAGACACAGAATTTCTCCTCGCCCAGTGCTGCATATTGTGGTTCTGTTTGTGTTTCTGTATCTGTTTAGGTTTGGGTTTCACGTTGCCAAGTGCCAACACACCCCGAGGTACATAGACCCCCATTTCCAAAGGAGAGGAACGAAGAGTGAAACGTCGAGCTTTTTTCTTTCTCGGAGATAGGACTGCAGTTTATACGCAGAGTCTCGGTACGAGATTTTGCTAGGAGACAAATTTATGTTGTCAGTAAGCTGAGGATGGTGTCTGGATCTTGTTGGAGGCGTGTGTGTACGAGAAGCAGCCAGAACGAACAGAAACCACCCGACTAGATCCCCTTCCTTTTGGTCTTTTTTATTGTGCAGCCCGTATGACATGTTCCGGCTTATTCTGCCCTTCTTCTAGCTAACGTATAAGTAGAGGAAATTTGAAGTCTAAGTCGTCTCAACAGCTCACCCCCTGAGCCCTAGGGGGAAATAGTCCAACAATAAAGACCAGCAGGCAACAGCTGGTCCTTGTCAGGACGCCAGCTGGGCGTACTCCGCTCTGCGAATTTTGGAGTGGGTCCTGAGTCTGACAGCGGCAGGTCTTGTCAGCGGGGCAGCCAGGAGTCGTGCACGGACCAGCTACAACCTATATATACGCATCCTTCCGCTCCCAAATTTTAGAATTCTTCTTTTTCCTTTTTTTTTCTTTAGCTCTCTTTGCCTTTTGGCTTAGATCAAGTGTAGTATCTGTTCTTTTCAGTTTAATCTCTGAAACTACTCTACGGAGTAGAATCTTGATTATTCCAATTTTTGTCTCTCGGTCGACCTCCCGCTGGGCTTGCCTATGGAGGTCTTCCACTGTGTCCCTGGTATTACACTGCCTCCAGGCGATGCGAACACACCTCTTTTTCATTGCTTTCGCGGGCGAACGCTCGTGATGCGAAGAAGAAAGTTGTATAAATTTTGGTGCGTTTAGGGGGCTTAAGGACGTGGTTGATGGTTTCCAGTCGTGGTCGCGACGCATTGGGAAGCTCGAGAATGGCGGTCGCTGTTGGCTTTTTCCGCGGGCGCGCACAATACTTTTCCGACTGTGAAGTCTGTGCGTAAGACGCCGTTATATTTGCGGTCTTTGATCTGCCATTTGAACGGCTCGGCACTTGCTTGGAAATATTGTCCAGTTCATTGGGTGTTTCCATTCAGTCGAAGTAGGATTAAATGCCCAGCGCCATGCGACTTGTAAAGCGGTGATGTTGATGCAAATAACGGGAGCCTGACGCAGGTGTGCGCCTTCCAATTTCTGGAACGCTGGCTTGACTTGGTTTTTTGGGGCTGAATGGCCCCAGACACGTGATTCACCTGTTCTTGACGCTGAGATCCAAGGGCATCAGTTTTCTTTTGACCTTGAATGCGATCCTGAAGGCCGACTGAGTGAAGTTTCTGCCAAACCTTTGACCTTTGAAAAAACTTGACGCGTTTAACTACGGCACGATCATTGGCCACGAGCAACAGAAAAAATGGCGACTCCCATGATTGACCCCGCGCTCTTCGAGCAGCTCAAGTCCAAGATCGAGACGGACACCAAGACCGGAAAGGAACTTGACCAGATTCTCGATGACCTAAACCAGCACATTGCCTTCACCCAGGGCCTATTCTCGCGGATACACTCGACGCCGCGCTCGAAGTGTGGGTGGCCACGGCCGGGTCTCGGCTTTTTTGGCGTAGCTAATCGTCTTTCCTCGCGGCACAGATCCTTCCCTCCTAGGCCAGGTGGAAGAGGGCATCCGGAAGGAGATTGAGTCGGTCGGCAAGCTGTCCCAGTTCGCCTCGCAGTATCCGTACTACAAGTGAGTGCGCACGAATATTTGCGCCGGAGGGGCAGGCGAACCCCAACCAACGGACGAGCTAACATAATCTGTAGGTACAATTACAAGTGGACTCGCATGAACCAAGATGCCATCTCCACGGTTCTGTTATGTACCTGGCTGGGTGGAATGGGATCTGAGGCCCGACCCGGCGAGCTCGGCCGCCTGTTGACTCTTGAAGAGGTTGGAGAAGTCTTTCAGGGTTCGCCGACTCTCTGCCGCAACTCCTAACGTACCGTTCTCGGGGTGGGAGAGAAGCACGGGTTTACTAACGTCTAACCGCAGTTCCTGTCAACCTGAAGGACCAAGATGCCTTCCACGTTACGATCGAGGAGTACCTCCTGGCGCTTATCAACATCGTCGACGAGCTGAGCCGCCTTGCTATGAACTCGGTGACTCTGGGCGACACGGCGATGGCGGTGCAGATCAGCAGCTTCATCAAGGACCTCCACGCGGGATTCCAGGTCCTCAACCTGAAGAACGACATCCTGCGAAAGAGAGTTGACTCGATCAAGTATGCGGTCAAGAAGGTCGAGGATGTCGTCTACGACCTGTCGCTACGGAACCTCATTCCGGCTAAGGCATCAGAATAAGAGCGGGCTGGGGAAAACTTGAAGGAGGGTTGTTATCTTGCAGGATACGTCTTTGAGACGCCCATTTTGATCGATCTCAAAGGGACGACAGCGAATATTCAGGCGCAAACCTAGCTAGCTTTTTGCTTTTCATAGCCTGGCAGTATTTGGCCTTGACATCGCAGCATAGTATCTGAGCCGTTGATGTTGCAATGACATATTGCGGCTAGGGGTTAGGGTTAGCTGCCGAGCTTCCCGAGTTCCGAAGTTGCGTCTTGACCTTCAAAAAAGCTTAGCTAGAGCTTCCTCCCCCTCTGCTCCATCTGTGGCCTTGTCTGCATCTCGAAGCCCCCCTTTCATTTCGGGGTCACCAGCCTCAAGCCAGCAGCAGCGTGCCCCCAAAAGAGAAGAAAACCATGCCGCTCGTGGATCCGGTGACAATGTCGTCGTCAATTGCCAAGGGGGGCGTGGCGGCAGCTCGGTCGTCGCCAGCAGCAGTAAAGGGAAAAACGACCACCACCTTCACCAGCCCGACCACGGCGGTCGCAAAGCTGCTGCCCGTCCAGCTCCAGCAGACGCCCGCCTCCCAGTACACGCGCCACGCCGTGCCCGCCCTCCTAGCCGCCCTCTTCGTCGCCCGCTTCCAGTCCCTCGTCGCCGACCCCGTCGCCACCATGTACAGCTCCCTGCCCGTCGTGGCCGCCCTTCAGATGGCCTACGCTTTGGCCTGCCTCCCGATTGCCGGCGCTGCGGGCAGTGTTGGCGCTGGTGCTGGTGCGCGGAAGCCGCGGCCTGGTGACAAGAAGAAGATTGCTGGGAGCGGGAGCAGCGCTGGTAGTGGAAGTGGTGGTGACGCTGCGGGGCGGCGGCCTTATCCCCCCGTGGTACGTTTCTCCCCCGTTTTATTTTTGCTGCTCCTTCTGAAATGAATGACATTCCCAAGTGCTACTTGCTAAAATTTTTCTTCATCATACATAGACAGCCTTTTTGTCCCTGATCCTGACGGCGCTGGCGACGCCGTTCCTGTTCGCGGCCATGGTGCTCTTCGGGGCGCCGCTGCTGACGCACCCGGCGCACACGCTGCTGTGCGCGGCGCACCTAGCCGTGCTGGCCCTGTTCCCGCTCTTCTACGTGCACGGCGTCGACGCCGCCGCCTGGGCCGCCGTCGCCGCCTGCCAGGCGCCCCTCGACGACACCTTCGGCGGCCTCGTCGGCGGCCTCGCCGGCGCCTGGCTCGGCGCCGTCCCCATCCCCCTCGACTGGGACCGCGCCTGGCAGCGCTGGCCCGTCACTATTCTCGCTGGTCTCTATGCTGGATACCTTCTGGGGAGGGCCCTCGGCGGCTCGTGGCTTCTCTGGGGGAAGAAGTTTTGAGGGGTTGGTTCCTTTGTACAAAACACTACTCTGTTACCGTGGCATTGGGTTTCTGCGGGCTCGGGAAAAGAAAAAGTGATGTGGGAGAGAGAGAAAAGGCACCGAAATTATATACTTAGGTTGTGATACCCTGTTAGAACTTTGGGGAAGGGCAAGCCAAAATCACTGGCAATCCAGTTGCATGCATTAAACCATTGTTGGAAGCTCGCGTATACTTACGGTATGGTCCCTGGATGATTGCTGGTGTGGTATTCGTACTTGAATAGCACGGTAGGGTTTCTTGCAGAATGAAATCGGCTTGGAAAAGCCTCTGCCAGCCAGTGTAATTCTGGTTATAGGAGTAGGATACGAAGTAAGGAGGGCTCTGTGGTTCTATCTCTGGGACTCAAATAGGTACTCTCGCCCTCGGAGGAAAGCTTTGAGGGCAAGCCACAAGTATTGAGGCCTTTCACATATCTTGGAAATTCCTTACTCAAAACATTGGGTATGGGATTGTATTTTATTGGCGTGTGCTCCGTACTATGAGCATGACCACCTTGAGAAAGAGGCACCAGGATGGACTTCCAAACACGATGAGTTTATCCAGGCCATCTGCAAGAGCATCCAGAACAATATAGTTGTCGGGTGCGATCACGGAAAGGGTTACCACATCGCGACTCCCGGGGGAGGGGGGTAAATAAGCCACAGGTCGTTCGTTCGTCACAAAGTTCGAAATACTGGGCCATCTATTCTCTAATATCGTCTGGCGGCGGCGTGCCTCCTATGTGCCGCCGCTCTTAAACCTACCCGTCGAAATAGTGCTGTGCACCGCAGACCATCTCGCGTCTTCAGCCGCCCCCGAAGGCATCCTGGCGCTCTCACTCACATGCCGGTGTCTCTTCTGTATCCTGCGGGCCGACACGGCGGAGCTGCTGCTCGGTAGCAACGACCACGGCCAGCATTGCCGGAGTAGCCTCCTGCTCCTGCTGGAGCGGGATCTCGGCGAGCGCTTCTTCTACTGCGCCAGGTGCTGCATGCTCCACAGCTTCTCGCCGCGGTGGGCTCCGTGGGTTCCTGGAGAAGGCAGCCTCGAGTGTGAGCAGCAGTGGCGGCTCCTCCACGACGCCCGACATTAGCCGCCGCTCCTCAAGGACGCCAAACATGCTCCTTGGCTGCTCTTCTTTAGCCCCGGGACGTCTGAATACAAAATGTACTTGTGCCGAGTGAGAGTCGGCTTTTTATTACCTACCTTGGTTTTGTTACTTGTCAACAGTACCTACGAGCATGTCTAGCTGACCCCTAATGCATGGCATATGCGCAGAGCCTTTGCATACGTACGCCTGGTCATGAATCGCCACCTCTACGGTGCTCTCAAGGGACTGCCTCTGGGAAACCTTGATCTGGAGAGCAAGGGAGTAGTGGGTGGGCGTCCAGCTTAGGCGGCATACATTACTGGCAGCAGCGTCTGTCGGCGCGGATCGTGGGCGACGAGCTCTTCCTGTGGATAACGTACACGATAGGAGGGACAGGGAGGTGCCTGCGAAAGGCGCTCGACGAGGGACGGCGGAACTGCGTCTGCACGCATGTGATGCCTGGCAGGGTCGAATTCTACGAGCCCAGGTATGGGCTGCGGAGGGTACTGGCGCTGGCCGCGGGGCCTGGAGATGGGTGGCGCTGGTACGAGACAATACGGGGCCGGGACGGGATTTCAGTGCGGCTCTGAACCACCGGAATCCCGTGGCTTTCCCCCCTAGCTAGGTGAGGGAGAAGTGGCAGGCTGCAAATCACCTTGGTCTACAGCCAGGGCCGTCAGTGGGGCTGTGAGCCTTGTGGTGAGAGTACGTGGTGTACTTTCGATATTTTGGTGGTTATAAAAACAGGCATTGGTTGTCTAGAAGTCTTAGGTTAGTGCAATACGGAATATGAACGCCCGGGAATGGTCTGAGCTTGAGCTCGAGTCTTGACTGCTGATCGGAGCTCGGCCCCGCGAAGCCAAGCGCGAACAAGAGCTGAGGGCTCCCTTCCCTGTCCGTCAGTCTGTGTGCTTGCTCTCTCTCTCGCGGGGCAGCTCTCAGCAGCTGTGCCCCTTTTTATTTTATTTTGTATATGGAAGTTAAGTGTGTGGGGGGCTGCTCCCTGACTGTTTTTATCGTGTTTTCAGCTCCGTCACTCATTTCCTTCCTATGCTCCCAAAAACAAATAATCTATATAAAATCAATTTGTATTAAAATACCATTGAATCGATATTTTACGCGCGCAGTGAAACCAGAACCAACCCTGAAAGAAACCCCCCCCCCCCCCCCCCCCCCCCCAGCACACCCTGGCCCTCACGTTTCCCTTCCCTTCCCCTCGTCGAGCGAGCGCGACGCGCGCCGCACAATGGCCGCCCCCGACCTGAAGGATCGCCAGCAACAAGCTCCGGTGCCGGCGCCAGTTCCAGCGGCCTCACAGAGCCACAAGGCGTACAAGGGCTTTGTGGCCGGCATCTTCTCTGGGATTGCGAAACTTGCCGGTACGCGGGGCATTTCTCTTTCCTTTCATCCGCCCGTCTACAATTATTTGAGTCTGTTGTGGTGGCGTTGATAATGGATGGGGGTGCATTGATGGCTCGAGGGAGTGAGGAAAGCTCTGAGGATACACCACGCACCTTACCTTGCGCCCCTAGCTGACGAGCAACTCTGATGACAAAACAGTCGGCCACCCGTTCGACACGATCAAAGTACGCCTGCAGACGACGGACGCGTCGCGCTTCACGGGGCCGCTGCAGTGCGTCGCACAAACACTGCGCAACGAGGGCGTGGTGGGCCTGTACAAGGGGGCGACGCCGCCGCTGGTGGGCTGGATGTTCATGGACAGCGTGATGCTGGGGTCACTCTCAGTCTACCGGCGGCTCGTGCGCGAGCACCTGTTCAACCCGCCGGGGCACCCACTGCACGACCCGGCGCGACCTTTACCAGCCCATGGCCACGGGATCGCGGGGGTCATGGCGGGCGCGACGGTGAGCTTCGTGGCGGCGCCGGTCGAGCACATCAAGGCGCGGCTGCAGATCCAGTACTCGGCCAAGAAGGCCGACCGGCTGTACAGCGGGCCGGTCGACGCCGTGCGGAAGATCTACCGGCACCACGGCGTGAGGGGCGTGTACCACGGGCTGGGCGCGACGCTGCTGTTCCGCAGCTTCTTCTTCTTCTGGTGGGGCAGTTATGATGTTTTCTCGCGCGTGCTGGCCACCAAGACGAGCCTCAGCGCCCCGGCCATCAACTTCTGGGCCGGCGGGCTGAGCGCCCAGGTCTTCTGGACTATGAGTTATCCCTGCGACGTGGTCAAGCAGCGCATCATGACTGATCCCCTGGGCGGCGGCCTGAAAGATGGCGTCCAGCGGTTCTCAAGATGGAAGGACGCTGCCAAGGCCGTGTACAAGGAGGGAGGTGCCAAAGGTTACTGGCGCGGCTTCTTGCCCTGCTTCCTACGGGCTTTCCCAGCCAATGCCATGGCGCTGGTCGCGTTTGAAGCGGCAATGCGCGCTCTGCCAGAATAGAGAGACACGACATATAGACTAGACGACTTCCTTAGACCGTTCATGGTTTTGTTTATAGCATATATTATACCCGGGTCGACATCGACAAGTTCAGAGACAAGCATAGCAGCAGGTTTGTTTTGGCTAGAACGCCCCGTCGCCACTTAAGGGCGACTTGTTAGATTCGTAGACCTAGTTTTCCCACTATGGTCAGACAGCAGGACAACCAGCCAGCCCGTCTATCCTTTTTGGTATAATTCCCCCAACCAGATATCTCAAGACCGTTTCCTTTGCTTCGTTTACTCGTCATCCTCCTCAGCCTCGTCGTTGACGACGTTGAAGAACTTGAGCTCGTAAACGCCCTTGGAGGTGGACACGACGCGGAGCCAGTCACGGAGCTGCATCTTTTTGAGGAACTTCTTGGTCCTGCGTCGGGGTAGTTATTGTCAGCATTCGCATCCAACGAAGAATATCCTCTGCTGCAGTATAACTTGAGGGCAGCTTGAAAGCACATTGGGCGGGGGGCATCAGTACAGGTACTTGAGGTAGCGGCCGGAGAGCTCGTTGTGCGCAATGATCTCGATCTTGCCCTCGCCCTGCTGGGAGATCTTGATGATCTCGCCGAGGTTGCCGACGCGGCCATCGACCTTGATCTTATCGTTCAGGAACTTCTCGAAGGCCGAAACATCGAAGATCTTGTCGCTCGCGGGCTGCGAGGCGTTGATGATGAACTGGGTGGTGGGAAAAGACGTCAGTGAACCGCCCCCCTTATCCCGCTGGACATGCTCCCTCTAGCATCGCGCACCCCCCAACTCCTCGATTGGAATCGCAGCTAGGCGATCAGGAATGGAATGGCTTTTTTTGTCACTCACCTTCTTGGTCGTCTTGGAGGCCTTGCCCTTCTTCTGTTTTCACACACAAACTTTAGCCTACTGCTTCACGCCATGGTCCATATTCATCTCAGTGACCTGAGGGACTGGGCCAGCAGCAAAGCCGGGGTCTGAGGAAAACATACAGCAGCAGTGACGGGAGCCATTGCGTTGGTCCGGGGGGGTGTCTAACGAAAAAGTTGGACGGTAGAAGGTGAAAATGGATCGAAGGTCGCAAAGAAGTCGATATCCTGCGCCTCTTTAAAATCTTTGGGGTGTCGTGGGGAAAATGGCGGTGGTTTGGGCCGGCCAGAGAGGTCAGGAGCGCTAGATTTTTCCTTGGGAAAAAGTGTGCCCTGTAATAATTCCGTTAGGGCTCAAAGGTGGGGGGTTGCCGCCGCTAAGCGGGGGTCTTATATGGGTCTCTGTACCGCGACCCCTCCGGCTTGGCATTCAGTTTGCCAGACGGCATTAAGCTGGTTGCAGAAACGGCCCCGTGCGACGCTTGCACTTCCATCTTCGGCGGTCCACGTCCGGTCCGGCACTATGGCCGTAAGCTGATCGGGTTATTTCAACGCCCATTATTATTATTTTTTCTTTTTCGCGTCAGCAGTCACGATGCTTTACGAGCCTGGGAATGAGAGTGAACTGGAAAGGCAAAAACGTTCCTTAGCGCGTTTGATCTGACCTTCCACACCGCCCCTAGTTCCATTCCTTACCCACTGAGCGATCGTGTCTGAAGCACAATCGGACTTCCGCCGCATCGAAATTCCACTTGAATGGGGTGGCGCGGCTCAGATTGTGAGGTGGTTCAACTTTGTGTGCATCGAAATCTGAATGTTACCTACCTACGTCGAATGTGGCGGGATGACGGCCGCGAACCAACCGCACGTCCAGCATGGAGACACAGCTTCAAAAGATATGCCACACACGCCCATACACACATATACGCTGACAGATCTTGGCGTCAGGCGGAAGCTGCGGCTTCTCCCCTCCTCTTCTTTTTCTACTTCTCTCTTTTCAGGGCTCAATGTCCGCCGGAACTGGCAAAGCCGTCAGGAGGGTTGTAATGTGATCTTATGGCACTAAATCCCGAAAGTCCATGTTCCGCCTGAAGCGTCCGCGTGCCTTGTTTTGTTGGCGGCGGCGGTGGCGGCGGCGGCGGCGGTGGTGGCCGCCTTCGTTCCACGCCGCCTGGGCGGTTGTGCCGAAGTGGAACCTTGGGTCGTTTGTCAAACGCGAACCCAACACCCGACATGTGCTCTCATTGTGCGGTAATTCCAACGTCCAACAGTCCAAACCGGAGCGCGGAAATAGAGAGGGGAGAAAGCGTGAAACGTTGCCGTCATGGGGCGGCTTTCCCAAGAACTTTGCTGCCTGTGATAAATGGAATGGTTCCAAATTGGTGGTTTCACGACTGCGCCCCATCTGATCTCATCCAGCACGGCCATGGACTCTTATTGGCACACCCAAACTCCACACGTCGGAGCCTGGAAGGGCTGGAATTGCTCAGCGGGGATAACGTCTGACAAACCGCACTCCATCAGCACTACCAATACGCGGTTCCGCTTTGGGCTGAGAGGCGTGAAAGGTTTCGAATGAGCCTGACGCATCTCCGCGACGTGTGCCGCCAAAGCTGGGTTGGTTCGGTTCAACAGTTGTTAACCTCCACCTATTTATTTGCTTGATTACTGATGAGGTTGTGGTTGAGATGTTCGAGGAGCAGACTCTGTTAGGCTTTACTGGCTGTGATTTTGTGGCTGCTTTACTTTGGAATTTCTTCTCGACGGGGCTAATTGGCATCCAGGGGCGTGGTCTGCTGACGAGGGTATGCATCGCTCTTCTCAGCTCCCACATTGTGCCAGTTTCGAGTGTTGGCTCGACGTCTGGCCGGGCAGTTGGCCGCGGTGGCCGGCTCTGGTTGACCCTCTAGAGCAATTGTTGGTCTTTCTATCAAGCTACTAATTGTGGGCTCGCAATGATATGGGTATATATCTTGAATTCCACTCCAGTTCACCATTACGCTGGCCCTCTTCTACAAGTGATCGTATCTCGAAAGCAAACACAGGCTCATCTGATCTCTTCATACCTCCCGGAAGCCCGACCCTGACGTCCTTTCTCGGCAAATCCCATAACAAGTCCTACTCCCAAGCCGAAGAACCTCGATAATACCGTCATCATGAATCAGAAAAGGAGTCAGGGATATGATTGTCTGGATATCATCTTTCTCATCTTACTTCCGCCCGTGGTTGTTTATCAGAAACGAGGCTGCGGCGGCGGCCTTATAATCAACATTCTTCTTTTATTCTTGGGGGTAAGTTGTCCAGATACGCCTGCTCCTGCTCCTGCTCCTTCATCCTCACGATGAAAGACAAAAGGAAATAATTGTCACCATGTATCATTACAAACCCACCTCGTATTCACAGATGAAGCCCAGAATGCTAATCAGAACCCCTTCTCTTCTTCACTCCCATTAGTGGATCCCTGCAATCCTCCATGCCGCCTGTATAACTTTATAGAAAGGCGAACCTTTCACCTGAACACTCCCCTACGTTTGTCCTTTGGGCTACGGGTTCACATGGTATGGTTACGACACCCAGCGTGGTGTTCTCGTCGAGCAAGGGGTCACATTTTCTTGCACTGATTGTTCCCATCTCCTCTTTTCTTTCCTGTTTTTTTCCATCAGCGTTTCCTAGGTTTGATTTAATAGCAAGCTGGTTAGAAAAAGCGTTGAAGATTCTTTTGGGGGTCCCTTCCCCATTCCTGTTGCGCCTTTTGCTTTCCCCCCTATCCCTCGCTTTCGATCTAATAACACTATACCTCAGTTTGTCATTGCGCCGGGTATGTAGCCAATATAGCCACAATTTCTCAGGTATCTGAGCAATAGGTATCTGTTTTGTCTACTAGTGCGGCGGGAGCCCACAGTCAACAGTTTCGGGCTACGAGCTAGGACAATTCACACTTGATATATTCTCTCCGAAATTGCCTGATATTAATTCCTATGCTCAAATTTGGAAGGTGCTGAAATCTTACACTGCCGACCACCTAGTCGTTCTCACCGAACCCCCGATATGTCACTCACCCAATAGAGCTGTAGGCCTGAGAGAAAGTCTACTCCCACTGTAGTAAACGTCTACCTGGACTGTAGGCAAAGGTCCAAAAGAATGTAGATTTCATCGTACCCTTTGGCAACTAGGTATAGTCCGAGTAGACTTTCCCATTTTAAAATGGGATCCGGAAAGGGTTCCAATAGCGACCCTCAGGGGGTCCAAACCCTGGAATGTAGTATATGATTCACGGACAGAGAACATAATCGTAGCGGCGTGGGAATTATTCACTCTCAGATGCTGTTATCTAAGAACGCAAAATAAGGCATCGGGCCCGGCTTTAGATCGGGAATTTCCATGGCAATAGATTTCTATAACACGGCGAGACATAGTACCGCCACAGACTGGTGCAGCCCTAGACCGGCGCGGCGTCGGACCGTCGCCACCTCACCCTCGTCCTATTTTGAATGATAATACCTAGTGCAACATCAGTAACAAGTAGACTAAAAAAGAAATAAAAACATACGTCGTTTTTCCCAGGCTCGACCAATTGGTCCTCAGCAACTCTCGTCCCGCCAGCGCCCTCAATGTACGCAATGGGCGCGTCGCCTATGAGCTTCCTGCCGACGTCGGCAACGGTAGAGCCCTTCTTGACGAGGACGCAGTCGCGGAAGACTGGCTTGGCGGCATCGCCGCCGGCTCCTCCGCCGGACGACGCGGCACCGAAGGCGGCGGTGCTGCGGACGGGGAAGACGGGGACGAGGCCGAGGATCTCGGCGGCCTTTGACAGGACCTGGACGACGCCGGTGGAGCCGAAGCGGTAGAGGACCATGTCCTTGAGGTTCTCGACGCGGGTGCGGTTCTTGTCGTCGAGCTCCTTGAGCCCGCCGCCGTCGGGGTCGCCGGCGGCGACCAAGTCCTCGCGCGTGTCGACGAACTCGCTGCCCTCGGTGTAGCGCACGTAGCACTGCTTGGCCATCTTGCGCAGGAAGATCTCAGAGATGGCCGAGCACAGCACGATGGTGTTGGGGTCCTGCATCTTGGCGATCTTGGCGATGTTCTTGTCCGAGTCCGGGTGGTCGATCTTGTTGAGCGCGATCACCGTCGGGAACTTCTCGTCCGTGAAGGCGTTCACCACGCGGTCGATTGTCTCGTCTGTGGTAATTGCGTTAGGTAGGCGGAAGCGGAGAGGGGATATTGATCATAATCTTGCTTGGGTCGGGGTTGATAAGGGAGGGGGAAGAGGGTAAAAATGATATAAAATGAAAAAAAGGGTGCAGTACCACTCCAGTCCTCTAGGGGCTCCTTGAGGCCGAGGCGGTCGAGGGTGCGGGCGACGACGGCAGCCGTACTCCCGTAGCCGCTGAACTGCCCCTGGAGGGTCTCGACGGCGGTGGCCTTGACGGCGATGTGGCGGCGGCGGATGGATCCCCACTTCTGCATGAGATTGCCGCGGATCCAGGCGACGATCTCGGAGCGCAGCCAGGCGATGTCGACCGAGGGGTCGTAGCCGCGCGTGTTCTTGCCCTCGGCGTCGGTGGTGCCCGACACGTCGACGACGTGGATTAGGGCGTCGGCGTGCCGCAGGTCGTCGAGGAACTTGTTGCCCAGGCCCTTGCCCTCGTGCGCGCCCGGTACCAGCCCGGCCACGTCGAGCAGCTCGATGGGCACGCTGCGCCGCCCGTCAACACATGACCCGTAGTTGGGCCGGCACCGGTCCGACACCCCGAACCGCGCGCAAGCGCAGTCTATCTGCAGGTAGCCAATGGCCCGCTGGGGATCTATCGTGGTGAAGCTAGAGAAGGGGATTGGACGCTTGGTTAGCGGGTTGTGCGCGAAAACAGAGATATATTAGATGTCCAAAGTGCGCATCTCCCTCTAGCCTCTTTATCACATTTATTCTCCTGTCTCCTCCACCAAGAAACAACAGCAAAGGGGGCCATACGGGAAGTTTCCTGCGCAGGAGCCATATCAGCGACCTGGTGTCTTTCCCCCCCTTTTCTTCTCTCTCCCTTTCTTTGGGCCAATCCGGATTGGATTCAATGGTGTGTGAGTGTGTGTGAAACTACCCACCGACTTTAGAGGTCGCATCGGTTAGCGAGTTGAGCGTGCTCGACTTGCCCGCGCTCGGCTTGCCGACCAGGCCGATGAGTGGGTCTCGAGGCATTCTAGTTGCGTTAGAGGGCCCGGTGTCTGGTTGGTGTTTTGCCAGTCCAGGTATTGGAAAGTTATTCGGGCTCTGGGATCGTATGTATTGTGCGTCTGGGTAGGGCGTCGTCACGATGCGCTTCAAGTTGCGATGTGGTGGGGGTTGTCTAACAGTGGGAAAATATCTGCCCCGCCTGATAACGATAAGGCGGCAGGGGTTTGTAGCGGGCACCCTTGTCGGGTGTCGGCTTTGGCACTGTTTAGGGGTTCGGGTTGCAACAATGCAACTTCCATGAACTTGAACAAAAGTCGAGTCCCTTGTTGGCCTCGAATTCCATTGGATCTTGAAAAAAGTCCTCATCAAGACAACAAGACAAGCACAAATGCCGTCACCTAAACTCCCAATCGAGGGGCTTCCGGTATGGGCACATCTCAACAACGTCACGCTAGCCAATGTCAAAATTGCCAATATCGGGGGCAAAGGCTTTGGCGTCGTTTGTGACAGCCATCTAACGATAGAAGCGAGTGACGAGACTTTGGATACGCCCGCCTTGCTCACAGTGCCCCATGGCCTCGTCCTCAATGCCGAGGCTATCCAGGAATACGCCAAGGAGGACAGAACATTTAGAGAGCTACTAGATGCCGTCGGACATCAGGTACCTGCCCTGCCTAACTTTGTCTCCCTTTCGGCTTCTCTATATAAACGTAAAGAAGGAGTCACTGACCATGAAGACAATAAATAAAGTCGGCACGAGGAGACATTCTGTTGTTTCTTCTTGTCCAGACCGCTCTGGCTTCCAGGACCGGCCACTCTTCTGCGGGCGTCTTGAACCCCTGGACTGAATACATCCAGTTTCTGCCCGAGACGGTGCTGCTGCCAACTCTGTGGACCGAAGAGGAGCGGCTTTTGCTTCGAGGCACTTCCCTCGAGGCAGCCGTGTCGGCCAAGATCTCGTCACTTGATTCCGAGTTTGGATCCATCTACGAAGCCTCGTCAAACATCCCTCGCTGGAACGAGGCTCTATGGGAATCCGGAGCAGTATCTTTTCGAGACTGGATCCTCTTGGACGCCCTCTATCGGTCTCGCTGTCTGGAGTTGCCCAGATCCGGAGAGTCCCTGGTGCCTTGTATTGACATGGTAAACCACTCAGCCGCTCCAACGGCTTATTACGACGAAAACGCTAAAGACGATGTCGCCTTACTTCTTAGACCCGGTACTAGCATCTCGAAAGGCGACGAGATATCCATCAGCTATGGTGATGCCAAGTCTGCTGCAGAGATGCTTTTCAGCTACGGCTTCATTGACCCCGACTCGACTGTCGAAAGTCTGGTCCTCCCTCTAGAGCCGCTCCAGGACGATCCGTTGGCCAAGGCAAAGCTTTTCGCCTTCGGAGAAGCGCCCAAAGTCCATGTGTCCCGGAGCAATGGGTCGATTGTCTGGAGAAGCCCGTTTGCATATTTCATGTGCGTAAACGAAGAGGATGGGTTGGAATTCAGGGTTCTCCGCGAGACGCGAGAAATGAACGTGTTGTGGCAAGGCGATGATGTCACGGATCGGACGGCCGAGTTTCAAACTCTCATCCAAAGCCATCCACTCAGCGCCCTGTTCAGGTTGCGCGTTGTCGCAGTTGTTCAAGAGCGCCTGCAATCTCAACTAGATCGGGCCCAGCCCGATGCAGAGCCCGGTACTCCGCCCACCTCGGAGCCCTCCTCAACGACAAGAGAGGCTTGTGTAAAGGCTGCACTACTCCTTCGAAATATCGAAATAATGATACTGGAAGACACCATAGAAGCCTTGGAAGAAGAGGTAAGTCAAAACGCACTACTGACGCCACAGCACCGGAGACTCCGAAGCCTGTCGTTGGTTGGGTTGTCCTACACACCAAACATGCTGCCCACTGTTTGGGGCCTAGCGCTAACAGAACAAAAAAAACTTGATGCAGAAAACCACACTACTCGCCGATGAACACGTGGTGGCTTATCTCGGATCGATGGAGACTGCCGGATCAGATCTAGTTGAGGAAGAGGCGTCCAATGAGGAAGACGATTTCAGCTGATTTGCAGCATTCCCTGCCTCCGGATATCCTCGGTTTCCCACAGTATTGGCTGCTTGGCAAAGAGATCAGAGAAGAGGCGCGTAAGACCTTGCCAAAACAACACCGGGGATTCAAAGATATGGTATCCAAGAAGTAAGTTTCGTTATTTGCGCTGGTTTTACTACCAATTGGACAATACCAAGTGTGATCGGCATACACAAGTCGAGAGTCTGCCAAGCGACAACATGGGTGCCTTCATTGAAGCGACCAGCACGGTGTCGGATACTCGAATACCAGTTTCCAAAGGCTGGGCTTCCATGGATGTCACCAGCTGGGATTGGCCCAAGAAGACAATGAGCTTGGAGACAAGTCAAAGCACTTACCGTGGTGCCAACCCGACAGACAAAGTGGGCAGCTCGCACAGCAGGTTACAGACAGCGGCAAGCAAGCTCATGCACAGCTGGCGGCCGAAGCATTATGACTTTACGGGGGACGCTATCGCTTGCCCAATATCGGGCTCGTCTTCTGGAACATTAGATGGAGGCTTTTGAACGAATAACTTTGGCACCAAGCGTCTGCAACCGAAATGAAGCCACGAGGCATTTGCAGCCGCCGCCTGCTGGATCAATCTCAAAATGACAGGGGGGGCAGTTTTGCCAGAAAGGCGATCTCGAAACAGAGCTGACTGACCATCTAGTGAAGGCTCCCCAAGTGCGGGGAAGTTTGGGGTGTTCGCGAAGAACCGGAGGCTAGGCTGTGAATTATCGCGACCCGTACATACATACAATAATGGTACTCTACCTTTATTTAATGGGCATGCCATGTTCCATTGCCTGGCGCTTGTCTTTGCTTCGCGAAATGGCGTTGGCGCTCGGCAGAAGAGTGCCGGTTTAGTCCTCGACGTAGAAGAGAAAGGGAAAAAAGGCGCTGCTTTGCTGCCCTTACTTACTCTACGGCCACCAACAAAGCGAGGAGGGACGGCAGGCGGGTTCGTCGGAAACTTTTTTCCCAATGGTTCGCCAAGCAAAGTGGGCATGGATTACGGGCTTGATCGTCGCCGATGCAACAGCGTGGCATGGGAGCCTCGTGTCTCCGGGCCGGGTAAGAAAGGAGCTATCTGTCAGCGTTCATTGAGAGAGAGTGAGAGGTGTGTGTGTGTGTATGTGGTCGTTCGAGACATCCCGGGAACTTTGCAGACAAGAGAGCCAGAAAGTCCGTGTTTCGTGATCTTCGTTTGGCAGCAATCGTCAGTTTAGAAGCGGGCCTTTCGGATGCGAGGGCTGTTGGATCCGGAGCATGGACGGCCATATTCGACGCCATATAGCACTCTCTTATATCTTGGTCAAGCCATGCCCCCCCTCCACCAATGATTAATAATGCGCGAAACCGACCAGAGCAGCGCTCTGGTTGACTTTCAGCCTGTCATACAAGCGCCAACCTCTGGTAAGAATTCGTACCCAAGCCCAGAGTTCGTTTCTCTACTTGCCATGCGCGGGTGTTTTCACGGCAGTACGTCCCGCTGTCTACAAGACGGCTGTCGTCGTGGGCGTCTCAAGTGTGACGGGGAATGTTCGCTAGAGGACTACCGAGGCGAGAGCTGGGGTTGTCCTTGCATATACTGTACACTCTCACCCTCTCCGGCAGCAAGGTCACACAGCCCTTGGAGTTTACCTTGGGTCTCCCACTCATGTGAGGTGAGGCACTCGCTCGCTCGGCCTATCTTATTAAGCCGGGTCAATATGAGCTCGCCCATTCCAGGTGCTTCAGACTGGCGGTGGCCCCCAAGAGGATGAGAAAATGGGAACGTTTTTTGACTGGTCTGCCTACCCTGCTCGGCAGATTCGTCCAATCCAATCCACTGGGCAGGAAATCGCTTGTCTGCCTTCTGGATTCATAGTGGACGGACGGCCAGGCGCTCGTATGCTTTTTATTGCTTTTGGTTTGGTTTCTTTTGGTACGCCCAAAGTTCAACCGAAAAAGGTTTCTTCGACACCCAAAGACGAGTGACGACGCCAGAGAGGCAAATCAACGCCACCTCATTCCCGCTTACCAAAGCCCCGTTTGACTTGACTCTACTACCGAATGAACAGCCGCTGTCAGAACGAGTTAGTGTCGGGGTTCGGTCTCTTCATGACGCGTTCCCAGCAGTGCCAACACCAATCTGGGGCTTAGCGCGGACCCCAGGTTTTTCTTCATCCAAAACCTGGGGAACGGGGTTCCTAGTGTAGAGTCTAGACTGGAAACATGACCTGATGGGTCTCAACCCAAGACACGTCCGTGGTGCCATCAGCCCTCTTCTTGTCTCGCACCTCCCCGGCGAACCCCAAGATGACGCCTTGGGGTGGTGCCATTCAGGAAGGTGGGCGTTGAGCCTTTTGACCCTTTGCAATGCCAGGGGGGGAGGGGGATCCGGTCGTTCACGAGTGTGGATGCGATTCGCTAGTTGAAGCCGGGAGATGGCAAAGGGTGGCAGCGCGAAGGAGGGGAGGGGCTTTCCTATCCAGAGCGACGCAGGCTGACACGGCCATTGGCTGCCGCACCTGCTAACTCCACCGTCGGGGAGCGACGGGATCCCTGCTCTCCCCAGATTCCCCTCTGGGGCGGCCCCATCGAGCGCTAGTCCTAGCTTGGTAAGATGGATATTTCATGAGTGGGTGAGGGCGACTAGTGCCTTCCCCAGCGAGTGAGCCCCCAGCGATTCCAGGGACCCTGTCCTTGCCTTTGGGTGCACTGTTGTAAGTGCTGACCGGCCGCCTTCCATCCCTCTTTTTCTCCGCAAAACTAAGGCCCGTAGTCTCCGCGAAGGCCGAGTTCAGGGCTTTTTCCCTCTTTTCCCCCTCACTCACCCGCCTTCTTCAGCGTGAGCTTATCTTCACACACACACACACACTTGCACATATTGGGCTGCTCCATCCTCCTCCCTTTAAAGACGGCTTGCCCCGCCTCCTACGCCGTCCCGTTCTCCCTCCCCCCCTCTTTTGAAGGGATCGGATCTTTGTGTACATGTACCGCGATTACCACAACTTAGCAGGCCTATTACACACGCGCATCCATGGTTGGTGAAGTCTATCTTCAACGACGACGTAACGGGAATGAGCACCAATGAGGCTCTTGCTGCGACCTGCTACGACCCGATAAGTTCCAGACGCGCCGCCATTGCGACGAGACACACGCGACGAGACAGGAGAGACATCTCGAGTTTGGAAGCTGGGGATCGTGTATAGAGTCGCCTGCCAGACGCCCGTCACCCGCACAAATCGGGACGAAACCAGCTGTTAGTCGGATGGGACGGACGTGAAAACAAAATCCGCCAAACCACTAAACCGCCAAAATGCCCGGAATCCTGCCGATGAAGGTCATCAAGGTGGGCACGAGCTCGCAGAGTCGCATTGCTCAGGCCTGTGACCGCTGCCGCAGCAAGAAGATCCGCTGCGACGGCATCCGGCCGTGCTGCTCGCAATGTGCCAATGTCGGGTTCGAATGCCGCACCAGCGACAAGCTCAGCCGCCGCGCCTTCCCGCGCGGCTACACCGAGTCGCTCGAGGAGCGCGTGCGCGTGCTCGAGGGCGAGGTCCGCGAGCTCAAGGACCTGCTCGACGAGAAGGACGAGAAGATCGAGATGCTGTCCAAGATGCACAGCAACCGCCGCTCGCCGTCCCAGCCCGCCCACAGCTCGCCGACGGCCGCTGACAAGGCTAAGGACGCCGCCTCGTCGCCCAAGGAGGACACGTTCCGCATCCAGGCCTCGCCGTTATTACTCGGCGTCGAGAACTCGGACTCGTACTTTATGGGCGCTTCCAGCGGCCGGTCTTTTATTGGTTTGTGCTCTCCTCTCGTCTCGTGTCATCTCATCTCATATTTCCTCGCGTCTCATTTCATCACGGCGAAGTGAATAGAAGGATGACTAAGACGACAGTGTGTTTCTGCAGAGGCCTTCAAGCGCAAGATCCAGGAGAACGGCAAGTCGTGCCCCGAGTTCAACCCCGAAGCTTTCTTGCACATCCAGGGGTGCTATCCTCTCACGCCAAAGCCGCCGTCTCAGACCCTAAGGTTACCGCCGCGGTTGTTCTCGGACAGATGTGTCAATGTCTATTTCCAAGAATGGGCGCCTCTCTTCCCCGTGCTCCACAAGCCTACTTTCCTCCGCACTTATGAGGAGTTTGTCGCCGACCCCGAGAAGATCAAGAACAACCACAAGCTAGCGCAGCTGCATCTGGTCTTCAGCATCGCCGCCCTGTCGAGTGAGCACCCCGATCTCCAGCAAATTGCGGCTTGCGAGCTGCAATGGCAACGGGCTTTGGAAGCGGTCCTCATGGACAACACCATGATTACTCTGCAGTGCTTGCTGCTTGCCTTGATGTACTGCACCATCAGGGCCGACTATAAGCGTCTACAGCACTACAAGGGAATCGCTGTTGGCCTCTCCCACCGGCTAGGGCTCCACCAGAGCCAGAAGCGCTTCTCATTCGGAGTTCTCACCATTGAAACGCGGAAGAAAGTGTTCTGGACTCTCTACATGTTGGACTGGTACGTTTGCCTTGCTGCATTCATGTTTTCTGGCCGAGTTGCTGATCTTTACCAGCTTTTCTGCCGCAATGCTGGGCCTTCCCAAGCTGCTCAAAGATGAAGATGTCCACACAGAATTCCCGTCGGATACTGATGACGAGTATGTGACGGAGAAGGGCTTCCAGCCATGCCTCCCAGGCGAACATACGCGGCTTTCAAGCGCGCTGGCGCTGTTCCGGGGATCCCGGATTCTGGGCAAAGTCCTCGAGAAGATCTACCCCTCTGCGACGTCCCATGAACTCTCCCTGCAGACAATGTCGAGCCTTCAGTCTGAACTCGACGAGTGGTCTGAAAAGCTGCCGCAACACCTGAAACTTACTTTCAAGCAGGACAAGCCGTCCACCGATGTGACTGGCAGCAGGTCTCCTCTTTTGGTGAGTACCTTAGTTATGCTCATTAAACATGAGAGTTTGTGACTAACAGCGTCTCTTTAGGCTCTGGCGTACTACTATATTCGCATTCTCATCGACCGGCCTGCTGTGACATCCAGTCTGGGACAGAAGGCGGCTCCAGCTTTGATCTCGGTTAGCGAATCAAGCAAGCACTTGATACAGATTATCCAGCTGCTCGAGGAGAGGAGCATGTCTTTCTCTTTCTGCCTGAACAAGACCGACACTCTAACGCTCTGTGGCATGGCCCTGCTCTACCAGACCCTGGACCTGAAGAAGGACAGCAAGATGTTAAAGGACAACGAGAAGCTAACAAATGCCGTTATCAAGATCCTGGACAAGGCAAAGGCGCCGGGGTCTTACGACATGAAGCGAGTCGCAGGGATGCTCGTTGCTGTCGACGAGCCACCCCCGCAGTCGCTGCCAACTCCACCAAGACAGAGCCCAGATACCTGCATGGCCGCCCCACCAACCCACCAACCCTCGCCCCCCGCCCCAGCAAACGGTCACAAGATGATGCAGTCCGCTCTTGGCCGCCACGCCAGCGCTAGCATGAGCGAAACGGACCTCCTTTTGCAACAAGAAAAGCTCCGCAGGATGGCCATGCCTCATGGGCATCCTCAGCAGAACGGGCCCGAGCACTACCGGGCCCGCGCCCGGCTGTCTTTTGACGGTCAACGTCCGGACGGGTCCGTCGGGCGGCGTGACCACCGGATATCCCTCAGTCAGGCGCAGGCTGCGCAGGCCGCCATGATTGCGCGGGTATCGCCGTCTACACCAAACGCGGTAGCAGCGGTGAAGCAGAATCTAGACTATCTGCAGCTAGGCTCGGCTCACTCTTCCGCCCAATCTCAACCGTCTTCGCCAATCCACGCACGGGGGCAACAACAACATCAGCAAAACCACGGCACGTCATCTCAGGCCCAGACGCAGCTCTACTCGCACCTGCAAAAGGGGTCCGGCGCCTCTACGGCCGACTGGGAGGCTCTGCTGGGATCACTGGAGGGCGGCCCCCTCAACGTGTACGACGCTATCTACGGCGGGCCGGGAATGAGCCTTCTTAACACGTCGCCAACTAACACAAGCGCATCATCGAATGCAGCGACCGGGGCCGGCTGGTCCCCGGACTCTTGGGATCTATCCGGGTTCAACCTCGGAGATTTTGGCGGCCCGGGCTCCGCGGCCACCGGCACCACCCACAGCGTGCTCAGCTGCCTGAGCGAGGTCGACAGCCTCAGCTCCGGCGACGACCTCGCGTCCAGCGAGATGGGTCTGAGCGTGGGGAGTCTAGAGTTTCACAACCACCACTCCCACAATCACCAGCAGAGACAGCAGCAGCAGCACCATCGGAACTCTGTTCTACAAGGCGTCTCAGCTGACGGGGCGGGATATATACTAGACGGGTTGGACGGTCTGGACGGGTTGGACGGGCTGGACGGGCTGGTTGGCGGCTATGGGTTAACATGATCACGACAGCTATGAGATTTCGATATGAGGCGATTCTTCTGGTGTTGATCACGAGGTGATACGAGATAATGGATTTCTTTTTCATATATAATTCTTTTTCTGTATGGAGATATGGAGATATGGATTTTGCTTTTCGTTCTGACTAGTGGAGTAGTTGGTGCCTGGCTCTGGAGTGATGTTGCGATGGGAAGGAATTGGAATTGGAATTGGGAATTTGGAATGGAAAAAAATTGCCGTGTCTCTTTTTTGTTATTTTTGTGTCTTTACTATCAAGGGCTTGTTCCTTTTATTTCGTCGGAGATATATATATCCCTGTGTTTTCAGGAGGCTTGTCCCTGTTGTTTTCTCTGTGCTTGTTACTCGTTTCCTTTTGGTCTGTGGGGGTTGAGGTTGGGTTATATATATAGGTATCTTTCTATCTACCTTGCGTGTGAGATGTATTTTGAGTATTGTTGCTTTCTATTTACTATTCAGTCTGTCTTGTCAGGCGTTCCCTTAAATCGTTTTATTCTTAGACATTATTCTAGGATGTCGGGCTCGTGTCCCTTTTCTTCCCGCGTCCCGACAAGTGCTGATGGCCTGGGGGTGGTTGTGTCTGAGGGTGTCCAAGGTGTTTGGGAGCCGCGTGGCATTTAGCCTCAATCGAGACGAGCCCAAAGGCTGGGGTACAGAATATATATGTATATATGTGTGTGCACCTGGTCAGTCGGGCGTGCGAATAGCCGGATGGAGAAGGTGTGAATGAACGAGGATAGGCAAGTGCATGTATGTATGTCTAGTTCCATGTACCGTGTCTATCGGTACTGATCTAGGTGTTGCAGGGGGAGCTGGAGATGAGAAGGTATTTATGATATTTTTTCTTCCTTTTTTCTTCTCAGAAGAAAAAGAAAAAGAAAGCCTTTGGACTCGGAATTTAGGGGGAAGGCTTGGCTAGGTGGTGCCAAGTTTAATTCTAAGGCAAGTACTTGGCAGGCGAGTACTCCATGGTTTGAAGTGTCCAAGTGAAGCGGCAGTCTTCGGCACGCAGGCTGGGTTGGGAATTTACTAGCGCCTTTACCTAAGGTAGGCTCACGTCTATGCCAAAACGTCTTTCTCGAGCGACCACTACCAGGGAGCGCGAGCGGGAGCGGGAGCTATTTTGGGGGTAACCCACTCGGGATGAACTATCGTCTCAAGACCACTCAGGCGAGTCAGTGTCAAGGTTTGTTTAGTGTTTCATCAGGCAAGAGCGAGTTGACGTTTTTCTCATATTTTCCCCGAGAGATAAAAGTGATACGCTCCAGCGAAGGAGCTGTCGGGGCTCGGGGGCCGATGGAGAGACGGACGGATTAGTGACCCGAACTCGACGCGGCGAAGCGGCCACCTCAGTTACCTCACCTGGCGGGAAGGAAGCTCTTGATCGAAATAGAGCGCTTCAAGTTCGGTTCTACTAGCGGAAACCGCCACCTTGGCGGGCTGCCGCGACACCTGCCCAGCGCCTGGGCCCGGCTGACTTCGAATTGTGAAACTTATAACTTGGTGTCCCGTCGTTTCGCAGCTTCGGCCCACGTGCGCGACCTCGAGCATTTTCCCAGGGCCACCTTTGGACAACATCTGCAATACGCTGTGCATATGCAGAAATACCACCCCGACGACCAAGTCAAGTGGTGAGCGACGGAGAAACACACCACACCCACAGCAAGACTTGCGCCTTCGGCCTGGTCGCCCGCCCCGACTGCCCGCTTTCGTCGGCTTTGAGCTCCAACCCCGCGGGACTTCTCCACGGGGATAAGAACCTCAGACAGAAGCTACCTACATACGTTCCATCCCCCCTTCCAATCGTCGCTGCTCTTGTTAGTCTCCTTGTTTTATCATCTGTTCGGTAGTCACATCAAACAGAGAAAAAAGCACATCTACGAGCTTCTGGGTTTGTGACATTTTGAGACGGAAAGGCCATGGCGAACGAGATCAGCCCGTTGCTCGAGGCGAAGCGTCCCGCTTTCCTTGCTCACGGTACGTTCCCTCCCCAGGATGTTTAAATCCTCACGGTTGAACGAGCCTGTCTTGTCTGTAAGCCTTGTCAGCAGCCAACCAACCAACCTAACCCAGTGAGCTCGCTCGCTCACTGGGCCGAGATCTGGTGCATATGTTCCATGCTGGCGGGGGTTTATCAGATATCAAACCAACATACGTCCCTTACCTATACCGGAAACCAAAACCTTACAGCGATTAGAGTGCCGATGGGCTGATGATCCCGCACCTATAGCAGCAGCAGCATCCTTCCCGCACGATAGATCGCAGCACTCGCAGCGGCGGCTGCCCCAGACTATCGCCCACAGGGGCGATGCGTCGGCGTTTCCAGAAAACTCGATGGGCGCCTTTCGGGGCGCCGTCGCCGTCGGCGCGCATGCCCTCGAGACGGACATCCACCTGTCCCGGGACGGCGTCGTCGTGCTCTCACATGTAAGCCTGCACACAATTCCCCCCCCCCCCCCCCCCCCCAAAAAAAAAGGGGGGGGAAGAATGAGAAATATTAATGTGATGTTTTTTTCCCCTTCAGGACGCCTCGCTCAAGCGGTGTTTTGGAATCAACCAAAAGATCGCCGACTGCGACTGGAGCTACCTGAGCACCCTCCAGACGCTCCGGGAGCCGCGCCAGAGCCTACCGCGGCTGTCGGACCTGCTCGAGTATCTGGCCCAGCCGGGGCTCGAGTCTGTGTGGGTGCTGCTGGACATCAAGGTACGTTTATTTTATTTTATTTCTTCTTCACGTTTTGATTCGATCGACTTGTTGCGTTTTTTTTTTCTCTTTTATTTCAGGGGGTTTTGGGGGTTTGGGTGGACTGTTTGTGAGTGCTCGCTAATTCTCCCGCCCGCAGATGGACGACGACCCCGACGACCTCCTGAGCAGGACGGCAGAGACTATCGCATCGGCCCCAACGACGCGGCCCTGGAATGAGAGGATCCTTCTCGGTGGCTGGAACGTATGCTGCCCTCTTTTTCTCTTTTTAGTGCCCCCGACTTAACACTGTTGTGCGCTTCTAGGAAAACTACTTGGAACTCTGCAAGGAATACTTCCCGGGGTTTCCAGTCGCCTACATTGGCTTTACGCTGCTGTACGCGAAACGCTTCCTCGAGCAGCCGCAGGTCAACTTCAACCTGGCGCAGAGGTCGCTGGTCGGGCCCGCCGGCAGGTACTTTGTCAAGGCGATCCGCGAGGCGCGGCGCGCGCTGTTCGTTTGGACCGTCAACGACGAGGAGTGGATGGAGTGGTCGATCCGGAAGAAGGTCGACGGCGTCATCACCGACAACCCCAGGCTGTTCCTTGACGTGTGCAGTCGCTGGGAGGCCGAGGGCCGTGGGTCCCGCAGATGGAGGGTGCCCAGCGCCCGCGGCGTCCGGCTGTACCTCACGGCGTTCTGCATCCAGGCCCTCCAGCTCGTCTTCACGGCCCTGTTGTGGCGGAAGCTGAATAGCATGGGCAAGAGGAGGCAGCTGCCCCTCAAGCCGCTAGAGAGCATATGAAGGAGGTTTGGATCCGGGTTTCTTGCTTCTTCCTCCCTACTTTTTGTCTTTCATCTCTCTTGCATCTATGGCTTGGCGCTGGTGGAGTTGAAGTTTTATAATCGGGGATACCCAATTGTGCAGCTATTCAGAGTTGCGACATGATGGCGGTGAAAGCAGTGAGGCTTTTCATTCATTAAACCGGCGAATCATTACAACACATTTTTTGGTCTTTGCCATAATTTCTGACTGTTTTGCTATCCGGCTTACATGAGTACTCCTTCTGTCAGGTTAACTTCGTTTGAAGAGATCGATTGACACATTTTTGGTTGACACTTGGCATCGATCGGGGCCTCCGTTTCGACAGAGACCTGGAGCTTGGTCAGCTCATGGAGACCGAGTCGGACTGATAGCCCGCCGCGCTCGCATTCGGCAGGGCTGAGTTGCGGTGCGGTGGTGTTGGCAATTTTATTTCGGGGTGTGCGGCCGCAATCAGTCCGCAATGCGCAATGCCTGGCAATCAGACAGCTGCGGGCGGTCTCAAGGGCTTAAGTCCGCGGCGTATCCTTAGGCTCTTGTGAGATGACGTGCGTGCGTGTGCACTTTAGGCGGCGTAGGAAGCGGCCTGTCGGGGTTCGGGCGGTTCAGACTACCGCGGGAGCCCGTAGAGCCCTCGGAAAGGGCCCCCTTTTTTTTTTTCCCGCCCGACCTCGAAATGGTTTCATGGGCAGCCCAGACGTGCCACCACCTTGTCCCGCATATTCATTATGAATTGATGAATATCGCCTCTTCGCCTCCTTTTTCTATCTCTAACTCTCTCTTTCTCTTTTGACCATACCGTGTGACCGATTGCCATTGGCGCGCCTCTCGACCTGTTCCTCGTTGTAAATCGAGTAATACAGTGACCCCAACAGTCTCCAAATTACCTACACCAGGACACTGCTGATCGCCACCGGCCCGCCCTTGCTGCCCCCACTCGCAAGGCCTACCCAACCGACGACCAACACCCATCCAGGTCAAGGAATTGAAATACCCACGTTTAAATCACGGGAGCAGCCATGACAACGGCAGCGGATTACAGCGGCGGCACGGCGGAAGCTGACCACCTCTGCGTGCTGGTGCACGGGCTCTGGGGAAACCCAAACCACCTGACGTACGTGGCCAAGACGCTGCGCGAGAAGCACCCGCGCGACAAGGTGCACATTCTCGTCGCCAAGCGCAACAGCGGCTCCTTCACCTACGACGGCATCGAGCTCGGCGGCGAGCGCGTGTGCCGCGAGATCGAGGAGGAGCTGCAGCTCATTGAGCGCGCCGGCGGCAAGATAAAGAAGCTCAGCTTCGTCGGCTACTCGCTCGGCGGCCTCGTCGCCCGCTATGCCATTGGCCTGCTGTTTGCCCGCGGCCTGCTCGACAAGTTCGAATGTATGGTGCGTTTTTCCCCTCTTCCTCCAATGATTCAAGCGCTGACAGCCAGTTGCCAGAACTTCACTGCCTTTGCGAGCCCGTTCCTGGGCGTGCACACGCCGCGCCGCGGGTTCGGGAACCGCCTGTTCAACGTGCTGGGCGCGCGCACGCTCGCCATGTCGGGCCGCCAGCTGTTCGGCATCGACACGTTCCGCGACACGGGCAAGCCGCTGCTGGCGGTTCTGGCCGACCCGACGTCCATCTTCATGAGCGGGCTGGCGCTGTTCCGGCGTCACACGCTGTACGCCAACGCCACCAACGACCGCAGCGCCCCCTACTTCACCACCATGATCGCCAAGACGGACCCCTACACGGACATGTCCAAGATCCGCGTCAACTTCGTCAGCGGCTACGAGAACGTAGTCCTCGACCCGCTGGACCCGGTCGCCTCGCCGTCTTCGGAGGACGGAGAGAGCGGCGGCCAGTCCAAGAAAAAGGCCTCCCTCGCAGCGCGCCTGCGCGAGCGCCTCGAGCAGCTCGGGATCGTGCTCGCCCTCGGCGTCTTCGTGCCCATCTTCCTCGTCGCCTTCTTCACCAACTCGGGCTACCAGACCCTGTCGAGCGCGCGCCGCATCCGCCTGCACGAGCAGGGCCGCGCCGGCATCAACACGGAGACGTACCGCGTCGACCTGTGGATGAAGGAGATCCGCAGCGCTGTCGAGGGCGCCTACGAGAACCTTAACAGCGCCCAGGGCCAGGAATACCTGCGCGCCTCTTCCTCGTCGTCGTCGTCATCATCATCATCAGAGAACGGCGACGCGATATTATCGTCTGACGAGCTACTACCACCACCGCCGCCGTCGTCGTCTCAATCCGCCACCAAAGCGGAAAGCGAAGATGGCAAGCAGCGGGGCACCGCCGGCCGCGACATCCTCGCCCTCGAGCGCAGACAGTCGCTCCCTACCCAGCCCACGCTCGCCCTGGCCCTTTATCAGTTTGAGGCCATCAAGGCCCTCGACGCTCTCGGCTGGCGCAAGTACCCCGTCTGGATCCACAAGCACCGCCAGAGCCACGCCGCCATTATTGTCAGGAAGGACAAGGACTCGTGGAGCGAGGGCAAGATTGTGCTGAGGCACTGGGTCGACGAGGAGTTTTTGCTCTGATTGGTCTTCTCTTTTTTTTTTGGGTGGGGGGCGTTAAAAGTCTTTTTCGCTTGGTTTGGTGTTGGTATTGGGGGAACTGGATACAGGAGCAATATATACCCCATGGCAGGTGTTTGGTTTTGCGCGTGGGAAATTTGCCTACCTAGATTTTGGGGTTTACACATACACCGGAGGGCGCTGCATAACATAGCATAGAGGTTTGGGCTGGGTGTTGGTTACTCTAGGTGGGTGGATTAGACGACTTGTTGTCGGGTACTGGATAGGGATGTTTATTAGTAGATATCATGGAATTTATTTGAAGCACGCTATCTCAAGTGGACTTGTCGGAAGATTTTGTTCTGGTGGTACATGGTGACGGGAATTAGGACATGGTTCTGGGTCTTTGTTATGTCTTGTGATTCGTTTTGCAAGCGTCAAATGCTTTTGTTTCTATTACTAACTCCAGCATTAGGTACTCGATCCCTCTGGATACCGTCTGTCTATAGATCAACTACCTCGGGTACCTCACCTCACTTAGGCAGTCAGGTGCTTGCGCCGTTTAGACGGGAAAGCTTATCTTGCAGTGCTCCAGAACCTGTGCCCGAGACGGTCAGGACCAAATCACAGTATGGTGCTGTTGGCATTCAGACTGTGTGAGACGGACGGGCCAGCCAATGTCCCGGAATACAGCAGCAGAACAAACACAGCGAGAAGGGGGGGTGTCAGTAGAGAAAGTAGAGAACGTACGCGACTTTGAAGTTGCCCCAGTCCCTCAGCTGATCGCCCTGCAGAACCCCCCAAACATGAGCTCCGTTACGCGTACCACGTTCTCGTCGTTAAGTGAGGTAGTACATGTACGTAGGTAGGCTTAGGTCGGCATCCACAAGAGGAAACGGTGATGCCGGATATGGAGGAGTCTTACTGCTGTGCCTCGTCTCTGTCATAACGGTAATCTAGCTAGAGCTGGGAAGCGCAGTCCCAGCGATGGGGGTTGTCGGGATAGAAGAGGTCGCCGAGGCCTAATCCGACGCTCTAGTCGTTGCCGACTAATTCTGAAAAAAATATAACACTTTTGTGAAAGCTACACATGACCTGAGGCTGGCCTGAATCAAGAGTTTGATAATAGCTGACTGATTTACTGAGTGATTCGAGGACCCAGACCACGCCACCGGCACAACACAAATACTACACTTACTACCCAGATGCCCATAGACACAGAATAGCTAGCACATACACTACCTAGTACCACCTGCTAGCTAGACTAGAGCAAAGTGTTTGTGTGTGACAATAGCAGACTGATGTGAGGACTTGGACTACCTGGACACAATATGGGTAGGACATATACTACCCAGTATCGCCCGCCAGTCAAACTCGGTGCAATGGAGGCGTTGACATCGCGGCTCCGGAAGTCTGGAAGACCCCCAGAACCATCGGGTATAAATAGGAGCAAGGAAACAAACTCCCATCTCTTCTCCCGCCAACTCTTGACACCTTCGCAGACTCGTCACACATAATGGGTTCCTACCCAGGTAAAGTGCCTTTCACCGTCCAAGAAACGGGGCTGCTATTGTTCTGACCGACGGGCACCCAAGGCAACCCCAAGCGCGTGCAGCGCGTCAAGGACCTGGCCGGCCACATTGCGGACTACCAGTTCGATATCTTGTCGCAGAACGACGCGCAAAAGGAGAAGGACGAGCGGGCACACGAAACGCTCGAGTCCGTGGCCAAGTACCATGGCTTCTCGTCGATCTGGGAGTACACGGAACTGGCCATTGCCGCGCTCCCCGCCGAGGAGAATGAAAGGTACAATAACCTCAGGCACACGATCAGGCGCACGGGCAGGGTCGGCAAGAATATCATAGTCTCAATGGGCGCCATCGCCACCCTCGGCCTGATTCCTGGTGAAATTTGTGAGTTCTGTCTAGGCCGGCCCTTCCGCTCCCTCCCCATATTGAGGGCCCGAACCTGGCCAACGTGGGTTGACGTGCGTGAGAGAGAGAAAAGTAACCGAGACAGACCTCAAAATAATATGGGCCATCATCAACTGGTGCACCGGCCTACGGGCTGCGGCTGAGGCTGTAGGGGGGGAGTTTACTGGTGAATGCCTTTCTGTCAACTACCCTTACCGAAATCCGTCGCAGAGAAGCGACAGCCAACTAACCCCAGCACACTTTTTTTTCCCAGGCGAGGCGTCAGCTGATCTCATCGACAGTCTGGGTAAGGTATTGAAGGAGGCGTTTGAGAACTTCCAGAAAGTGTTGTCCGAGATCTCTCTGAGCGACGCCCTGGCCGAAGCCGGCAGCATTGCGGCGGAGGGCGCGGCGGAGGCCAGCGTTCTAACCAAGTTTGGCCAGATCGCGGCCAAGCCTGTGTTTGCGCTCGCCACGATTGACCGGCTCGTACACGACGATGGCATCGAGAGCGAGCAGCTGATAGAGAAGTGCCGCGAGTACACGCTCGACCTGGCGTCCAAGCACTACATGGTCCGCAAGCTCAAGGAAGACGTCGAGACGGCCTTCAGCTTCACCGAGGGCGTCATCCACTCGTTGTTCCAGGACACTCTCGACGCCGATGAAGGCACCCCCTCGGGCGAGAAACACGAGATTATTGCCCGAAAGGTCAAGGAGGCCCTCGATAGGTTTGCGGTAAGTAAGAGCGGCAAAGCACCACCACACGCACCCTGACACGGAATGGCCACTAACATTTGAGTATTGCAGATTCTTAAGGTGCCGGGCGCCGTCATTGTCTCGGAAGATCTGAGGAGAAAGGACATGAATGCCAGCTCGTGGACGAATGAGGACCCAGATGTGGTACAGATGATGGGCTACTTGGAGATGCGCAAGAAGACTAATTCTTGATTTGAAGGTTGAATGTTTGTTTGTATCGTTTGGTGTAGTAACAGAGAAGTAAAATGACTGTACCTTATTGAACCTGCCGAATTTGCCTCGATACAGTGGATGAAAGTTGTGCAGTTTCATTTTCTCCAAGAACTTAACGATGGAAGTGGTCCGTAACATTTCCAACGTCATTTCCGGGGCTTACATAAAAAGGCAGCCCTCGGATATAGGTGGGGCTCCATGACTGACGCCGTTCCCACTGGATCTTGGCACTGAGGAGGTGCTGATCCTGCGACCCGAGGGTTTGGTTCGGGGGTGAAATTAGTGGACCTAGTGCTGCACGCTCTTTCCCCAGGCAGGAACAGGGGGTCTGGAGCTGAAAAGCTCGCCGCGCAACCAACAACACAATCCCAAAAAATAAAATAAAGGGGCGGCTGGCTTATCACAAGGAGACGGTCCATGATATAAGTGACACAAGCTGAGATTCGGCCAATTCGCCAACCTAGCCATGCGAACCTCAAGCGTCGCAAAAGAGACGTCAAGGTTCTTCGACAACGCGCCCTCAGCAGCCGCACCGCTGCTGCTGCGCCGCTCGACGCGTTCAACCACGGACCTTGCTGCCCGCTTCTCGTCCACGGCCGACACCAAGCCCGCCACAGCCGACGACGACATCACTTTTGGGTCCGACATTGAAGATGCCATCAAGTCATCTAGCCCGTCGCCACCTGCGGCGCGCAAGCGCACGGCCACGGTAGTGAAGCGCGTGCGCGCATCGCTGCCGGCCGCCAAAGCCATCAAGAAACAGAAGCTCGACGCAGAAGCGGTCAAGATCAAGACGGAAGAAACCCTCTACCGCGAGTCCGACGAGTCCGGGTCCGGGTCCGAGTCCGAGTCGGCGTTCGAGGAGGAGTCGCCCGCCGCCAAACCCAAACCCAAGCCCAAGTCGCGCCAGCGCAAGCCCGCGCGCAAGACGATCGACGCGGCGACGGGGGCGGCGACGGTGCAGCCACCGACGGACTGGGAGGACATGTACGCGCTGGTCAAGGCGATGCGGGTGTCGGGGCCGGCGGCGCACGCGGCCGTGGACACGATGGGGTGCGAGCGGCTGGCGAACCCGGCGGCGAGCGCGCGCGACCGCCGCTTCCACACCCTCGTGGCCCTCATGCTGAGCTCGCAGACCAAGGACACGGTCAACGCCGAGGCCATGGCCCGCCTGCAGGCCGAGCTGCCCGCCGCTCCCGGCGTGCCCAGCGCCGCTCCCGGCCTGACCCTCGACAACATGCTTGCCGTCGACCCCGTCGTGCTCAATGAGTTGATTGGCAAGGTGGGGTTTCATAATAACAAGACGAAGTGAGCAGCCAGCACCCCCCTTCTTGTCCATATTTATTGTTTTTGTTTTATTTTTGCCTACCCTTCTAAACCCTGTGACATACATGGCAAACACACATAAACTAACCAACCCCCCCAAAAGATACCTCAAGCAAGCCGCCGTGATCCTGCGCGACCAGCACGGCTCCGACATCCCGCCGACGGTCGAAGGGCTGATGTCTCTCCCGGGCGTCGGCCCCAAGATGGCGCACCTGTGCATGGGTGCCGAGAACGGCTGGGACACGGTGACGGGCATCGGCGTCGACGTGCACGTGCACCGCATCACGAACCTCTGGGGGTGGCAGGATCCGGCGACCAAGACGCCCGAGGCGACGCGGCTGGCCCTCGAGGCATGGCTGCCGCGCGACCGCTGGAAGGAGCTCAATTGGCTGCTCGTCGGCCTCGGCCAGAAGGTGTGTCTGCCTGTCGGCCGGCGCTGTGGCGACTGCGAGCTTGGCCTGCGCGGGCTGTGCCGCGCCGCGGACCGCAAGAAGGTCCTCGAGGGCCGGCGGCGGCGCGAGACGGAAAATGTCAAGGTTGAGGTTAAAGTTGAGGTCAAGACGATGGTCGACGACGAGGGCGACAGCAAGACTACTACTACTACTACCGTGGTGACCAAGACGGAGGATCGCATCGTCAAGAAGGAAGAGGAATGGGAGGAGTTGGGCGTGAGAGACGTGGCGGTCAACGAGTCCGTCCCGGCCCCGCCGACAAAGATCAAAACTAAAGAGCGACAGGCTCGCAGAGCGCCGGCCAGGGCCATGAAGAGGTGATGCAGGCTGCTAGCAGGCAGGCACGCACGGGTGAGAAAACCCGACTGAGTCACCCACTGCGTACGTGTGGGACGTCTCGTTCTGATGCATTCATGCAGCGTTTACTCATTCCAAGGTACGGTGCCACTGACCTGGTGGAACGACCATCGTGTCAGGTATTATGAGTTTATACGTATGGTGCGGCGTGGCGGGCATACTGGGTAAGACGGGCAGAAGCAAGATGTAATAACCTTCTAATAGACCACAATAAGACACAGCCATGTAGTGCAATGTAATATACTTCAACATCCGCTTTATTCTTCAACCTCTTCCGCCTCTCTCAGGACAACGGCGTATCAGTTCTCACTGCACCCACGCCGACTTGCGTTCTTTTCAATGAATAAGGGTAAGAGGACTGGTATTAGATCACTCTCACGTAAGGTCAAGCTTGCAAGGCAAGGCAAGGTAAAATTAAAAAATTCTAAAAATCTTATTCTTTAAAGAACAGCAATTTACGGCGCGGGAGGCAAAGACAGACATTTCAAGCCTAATGTGACCGCGTAGCAATGTCCAAGTTATGCTAAGAGATGATTTGCCAAGTCCCCCAAGTGTGTGTGTGTACAGCACATACATTGAACATTAAATATATTGCTACCCAACCAGCCCCGTGATATCTTTTCTCTCCATCTCTCCCTCTCTCCCTCCGGATGCAGTACATACTGTGAACATTGTACAGTAGTCGACGGTGGATGTGGATGCTCCCCCCCCCCCCCCCCCGGATTTTTGCCTGTCACCGGGTACATACGGGGCCCCCTTATTAGTGTCTCCGGTATGTACATGTACGTCTAGCGGACTCTATAGCATTTCCGTTGGTAGTTTGTCAGGTAATTTGAGTCGTGCATGATACGATATCGGAGCAGGGCGCTAGCAGCAGAGCGTGTCATAGTGTGACCGCTTAGTGTCAGCGAACGGCGTTACATTTTCCAACTCTTCCACAGACAGGCCGGTACAGCAGATTTGGGCATTCGCTGATGGCCCGGTAAAATAGGAAAGAATGGCAACTGGAATTGTGGTGAATTTGGTATTTGGGCGGAGCAAAACTCCGGATAGCTAAATTAAAAACAGCCTCCGCAAGAAAGCAAGCAAATCAGAGCCATTTGATATGTCGAGAATGATAACGGGGCGAGAGAGAGAGGCCTCTCCACTCGCCAGTTGTTGGGGCCCTGATTGTGCCACCTCATTGAGAGTTGGAGAGACGGAAAAGAAGCCATTCCTTCCACGCCGTATTGCCGTTTCCATTCCATTGACGCCTTGCCCAAGATATTCAAATAACAGTAAAAAAGAAAGGGGAAAAAGGGGTTGAGGTGAATTACGTGACGGGGGTCACGGTTGGGCCAAAATGATAATCGCTCGCCATGCTATGCGTCGAAGTGAAACCGTCCATTCGAAGTGAAACCCCCATATCTACGCCGGTGTGTGGGGAATAGGCAGGTAAAGTAGTGTATAATGCGAAAATCCCTAGTGGGGGGATTGGAGACGATTCTCATCTAGTCGTGGTGAGTCGCATTCGCCGTTTCGATGGGCGGCCGGCTTGTGTGGGGGAAACACGGTCGTCTTTTCCCCGCGCCGCCGGTGCCGCAGCCGCCATCGGAGGGGTCATCCTCGGGGGCAGACTCGAAGTTTTTTTTTTAGTTTTTTTTTGGTGTTGTCTAAACCCCGTTCTCTTTTACGCGCCACGGAGTTTGTCGACGAAGCCGGTTGGGTGAAACAACGTTACACCACGGGGTGGCGGGGTCATTTTAGACGCCCCTGATGACTTGGGTCCGTTCCTTGTTTAGCTGCATAGCGTTCTGCTCAAACGCCTCCTTCTTGCACTGCACAAGGGCTCGCAGGTCAGCGATCGAGTCTTCTGACAAGACGTCCTCCAAGCCGACGAGCCACCACAGCTGATCGTCGGCAAGAGCGGCTTCCTCATCACCACTACTTACGTCGTCCAGGTTCCTGCACTTGTGGTCTTCTAACAGCCGGTGGTTGTTGCAGTAGTGTCCGTCGCAGAAGGTGCAGTCTCCCGAGAAGCGCTGCGCGGCCGCCTTGCACTCGTCAAAGGAGCACTTGATTCTCCTTGGAGGCATGTTGTCGGTTTGCGTCTTGCGTCACCGAGGTTTGGTGATAGGGGGTCGAGGGTTGAGGATCGAGGTGCAACAGGTGCGGCAGGGGGTGCACTGTAGGTCGAGAGTCGGATAGAAGTCTACGATCGGTGTCCTCACGCTTATCGTGGGCCGGAGAAGGTTGGGGGCAACGGTGCGGGTGGGTGACGGAAAGAGAGGAAACGATCCGGAAGTGGGAGAAGGGCAGGGTGCCGGCGGGAGTCGGACCTTATAAGTGAAGGGTCGGTGGAGGTAGCAGGCTTCCTCGGAGGACAACAACGCATTCGCCCTCACGTGGCGTGCTCACTAGGATGCTTCACCAGGGAGGCGCTGGCCGGTTTAGAGATAGGCTAGTGTGACTGCAAGTAGTGTAGGTCTCGGCACGGAAGTAGCTGGAAACGGTTCGATGGGCAGCTAGCGATCGGGCGGCGAAAAAATGGAGCCTGCGCTGCGACTGTTGAGAGACAGAGTCCTGGCCTGGCGGGAGTCCCACTTGCAGGCAGTGAGTGTGTGCATATGGTTACAGCCACCTGGAAGAGGCGCCCGGAAAGTGACTTGCAAGCAACATCCCTTCCGTGTAATCATGCAGCTAGAGTCAATGACGGCAGGGGAGGCGAACCGGGGGGCGGCCCAATGGCGCTTGGCTACTTGGACGTGCTCGCGTGCCGTTGCCGGACCCGTCAGTCGTCGGATGGAGCAAGGGGAGCCTTGTTCAAAGCCGCTGGGGCGCAGATCTGGCGGATGCGCAATATCGCTGAAGCCTGGACTCCTGGATTCTGGTTTTGGAGAAACAAACCGACGAAAACCTACGGGCAGAGTGCGGACTGCAAAGGGCAAAAAGGCTTTCAAAGGGCTTGCATTGTGCTCCGTGGCAAGTATGCTCTGTAACCCCCATGCCGTACTCCATAAGTATGTGCATGCAAAAGAGGAATAAAATTGCATCGAACCATCCAAGGGAAGAAAGTAATGTGATCTTGAATGCTAATAGGCTTTGCACCACTGTACGAAATAGTTACCTTACCTTGGCGAGTGGGTGCACCAACCGTTGAGAGAAAAAAGAAACGAGAACTCTAGCCCTTGTCTCAGAAGTCAGAGCAGAGATGCAAGTGTCTGCGCTATCGAGGAGAGCCATTGGCTTGGTGGCGCCAGCAGGTCTTAAAAACTCTCTCAGCTCAGAGAGACATGGCCACGGGCAGCCCAGCGCCGAGCTTCTAGGCCTCTCAAGTTGGCTTCACAATGGCTCGGGCACGACGACTGGCTCACGGCTTGTCCAAGTCTGGCCCGTCGAGCAAGACCAAGCCCAACAACACACGGGGCTGCATTTGCGGCCGGCCGCTAGCCAGAGCTTTTAGCGATAGCTAAGATGGAATACGGGTACATATCCATGGAAGTAGCGCAGACTGCAGCGGGCTCCAGATCGCCACGCTAAACTCCCAGCAGCTTCGTGGATGCGCCAGGGAACCCCCCCCCCCAAAAGGCAGAGGTGGCGCCTTCCTTAGACTTGGAGCTTGGTCCGGCGTTGGCGACATCCCATGGATGCTCCAGCTCCAGTGTCTTAACGTCATGCTTGTGTAATCTAGCACCTGTTCCGGTCTTGCCGCGCGGCGCATCATTCTTAACTCGTAAGGGATGTATCCGCATCGCGTAGATAAGTCTCACGGCCGTCGACTTTTTAGCTTCGGACGCCGACGGGCAAGCGACCCAGAGGCGGCTCGCAGGCCAGGCCCGTCAATTTGCGGCCTGGACACCTCACTCGTGGATGGGCTGGATGTCTCTCGACGGCGGGGCAGGTCCAGGTGAGGCTCTCGCTTGCGGCCTAGACCCGACTCCAGGCCTTCCCCAACGGCCTAGCCGCAGCTGCTGTGCTCTGCTGTGTGCTCCGCTGGACAAAGAAGCCAACAAGCTACCCAGCAGCTTTCCGAGGTTCTCACAACCCACCTAACTCAGGACCAGCGCGGCGGCCTTATTCCGTAGTTCACCGCCAATCGATCCTAGCTTCAGATAACACGGCTCGAGTAGGCTTCATTCCAGGCCAAGGCCCACAACTTGGCGAATCGTCTGGCACCACGACAGCTGCACTCTTTGGAGTTGGTGGCAAGGCGGGGAGGGGGTTAAGGGGGTCACCGAGTAACCCTCGCGGTAGCTTAATCCGATCTCTGCCACCGACACCACCATCGCGGCATCGACAATAAAATCGCAAGCATCTTCCGCCAAACTCGTGCCAGCTCTCCCATCCATACGTGGCAGTGGTTTTCTTTCCCCCGCGCCAGTGACAACGAGGTCTGTCTGTCTGTCTGTCTGTCAGGTAATTACCTACGCAAATAGCTTCCATGAATGCAATACACCCAGTACGCCATGGTTACGGGTTTGTTGTCACCGCTTCCCTCTTACCGATATGCCAGCGTGTGCAAAAGGAGACGAGACGGCAGACTAACACATCAACCGGCGCATGCGACAAGAAAGCTCACCGCCACCGAGGTTTGGTATTGCCGGCCGGCCGCCCAAACTCGCCATGTCTCTAGCTGCGTAATGATTAGCTGACTCGGCTAGAAACACTTGGGCCATTTTGCCAACAAAAAAGGCATATGCGGCAGGCAACCTTGACGTCTCGTGAGTTGCAGGTTTCCAGGCCCATCCCAACCCGAATGCCAATATTCCATTGCGGCTTTCTTGCCTGCACTCACCGTAATATACCCGTGTAACCCAAGCATGGGAGTTTGTTGGGCTCGTCTTAATGGACATCGGTCACCGAGCAGAGCAGAGCCGGGGTAAGTTCATGATCAAGAAACCTCGATTGGGATAATAGAAGATGGAAATGACCATGTACTGGCTATGTATATCTTATGCCAAGAGCGGAACAAAAAAGAAGCGTGACTCAGCGCCTTTGATACTTGGAGAGGAGGATACGCAGGCAAGTAGGCACATACGGATATGCACTCCGTAAAGTAGGTAAGCTGACTAGAGGCTTGGGTCTGGCCGTGTTCCGTATTCCGCATCCGTATCATACTAATCTATCACTTGATCTGAATCCATCCCACGGCCGTGTAACGTGGGACCAACGTCGGACCAACGCGTGGGACCACACCGAAGTTCCGAACAAACGTCCCGTTTACGCCCCGTCCTTATCCACCTCAGCACAAGCTTCATCTGACCTCCGGGAATGAAAGGAAAACACACGATCACGGTCGGATTAAAAAAAAGTAATCTGTCTGAGACACGAGCTGTGAGCCTGGCTATCTTATTTATTTGCTCTAATTCCCCGCCTGTGGTTCGTGAAACAGCCTCAGGCAAGCAAGATACAACCCGATTCTCCACCCATTCATTCATTCTTCGGACATGCCGAAAGAAGAGGGGATACCGAGGTGTGCCTGGACTCTCTAGAAGCCATCTCAAGAAATTGACCCCTCTTCCTGTTGGCGGAGTGTGTTGGTGGGTTTCCGTCAAAACCTTCTGCTTTAATTAGGTATTCCTAGTTTTGAGTCTATCTGTCTGTCTGTCTGTCTTAACACCAGGACCCACGCCACCGCTAAGGCATCGTAATCACAGCTCATGGCACGGGTCACACCCCTCCGACATCCCCCCCTCAATCCACGAACAGGATAAAGGCGAATCTCATGAATGTGATTAAGCATTTAATTATTACTCGATAATAAAGAAGAAGAATAGCAACGCTTGCTTCCGAATGTAAGAACCCCCTATTTCCCCTTTCTTTTAGTTTAACCCCCCATCCCCGCCCCAGTCCTGGACCCAGACCCAGACCCCCCTCTGTTGCCACCAGAGGCAAGCTCGCGCATACGCCGCTGCAGGCCCTGCTCCTCGTCGTCGAGCTGCTGCAGCTGCAGTAGGCGCTGGCGCTTGGCGTCGATCTCGGCCTTGCGCGCGCGCAGCTCGGCGAGCTCGTCGTCGTGCGCCGCCTCGAACCCGGACCCGCCGTCCGATACCAGCGCCGGCGGCGGGCCCGGCAGCGGCTCCGTCTCGGGCGCCCACGGCGGCGGTGTTGGTATGTACGCTGTTGTTGTTGTCGCCGTGGCTGTCGTTGCGGTGTTGGGCGACGAGGTCGACGCGACAGGGCTCGGCGTCCACGGGTCGTTTCCTTGGCCGCTGCCGTGGCCCGGGCTGTCTGACGGCGTGGACAGGTGGTACGCCGCCCTTGTTGCGGGTGATGTTGTCGCCGCCGAGAGCTCGGCGGGGGTGCTCTGGTCGTGCCGCTCGGTAGGGAGTTCTGCCGCTGCCGCCGTCAGGGCCAGCTCCTGCGGGTCCAGCGGGTCCTTGACGGCGGCGAGCTCCTTCAGGCCGCCCCCCTGCGGCGGCGCGTCGAGCTCGGGCACGGCTTTCGGGTCGTGCAGCTCGGGCACGGCGGGATGTGTCCCTTGTGCTGCCGCCCTGCGCTTGCGCAGCCACACGAACACGGCTGCCGCTGCGATCAGCGCCACGCCGCCGATCGCGCCCACCGCGATGCCCGCGATCGCCCCGGTGGATAGGGATGATGATGACGATGGCGACGAGGGAGGGGGCAAGGTGTCGGTCTGGATCGCGGTGCTGGAGGAGGAGGAGGATGACGACGACTTGGACGGCGACGTTATTGGGCCTGTCGTTGCGGAAGATGACGAGGTCGGCGTCGACACCGACGTCGACTCGGGGATCCCGTTGACCAGGTACACGCCGGGCGACAGCGGGTGGGTCTCGAAGACGGACAAGTCCTGGGCGCGCCAGCGGATGAAGAAGTAGGGGGCCTCGGTGAGCGTAGACGCGCCCTCCTGTCTCTTCTTGTCGCCGAGGGCGGCGGCGGTGAGCGTGCCGTGGCGCAGCACGGCCGTGTTGCACGCGTACCCGCTGGGCAGGCAGTTCATGGCCGTCTCGGTGCCGGCTGCGGGCGCCGGCCCTTGCGCCACGTCGTACCATGTGCACGCCGCCGTGTAGCCGGCCGGGCAGATGGCGGGCGAGAAGTAGCCAACCGAGAACTCGCCGGCGTTGCGGTCGAGCCAGCCCGGCGGCCCGCACGACGACGCGTAGTTGGCGTGCCCGTGCTCGCCGATGAACGACGACGGCCCGTAGCCCGCGTTGGTGATGGGCCCGCACGGCGGCGTGAAGACGCGGGTCATGGACCCGGCCGGTGGGTAGTTGGAGACGAAACTCATTTTTGCTTTATTTTGTTGTCCTCGTCGTCGTCGTCGTCCTCCGACCGCTGGCTGTTTTTTCGTTCAGCCGCCTGTCGGCTGCAAATTGTAACACGACAGAGGGGAGAAAAGAGAAGAGAGGGGGGGAGGGGAACCCATCAGGCTGTGAGGCTGAGGGCGGCTCTCGCCAGTGGTCAATGGGCGAGTGTGTCACATCTCTGTGGCGCATATGCATCTGCTGTCTCCCTGTAACTGTTAACTAATTTGGTTTGGCCTCTCATGATCGTCTACCAGGCAAGTGCGTTTGTGGCGTCTGCAGTCCTGTCGATTCTGGTTCTGCGTATTGGCTGCTCGCTGGGTGTGGCATCACTGAATTCGATCAATGCTGGGATTAAATCGACACCCCTGCCACTGACTGCCACCCCTCAACTCTGCCTGCCGCCCTCCCCAAAGCGGGTGTCGACTACCCAAGGCGCAAAGGCGACAGCCTGGGATTACTGTTGCTCGGCCTTTGGTGGAATTCCTTGAAACAAGTATTAGAGTTAGTTGCTGTATCTTGTTTCGTTCAAGTTAGGACATTTAACTCGTATATTTAGAGTTGCCCGATGTTGCAGCTCGACTCAGATCAGTCTCAATCTTGCACCTGTAAATCCAAGGGTTAGGGTCTGGCAGCAGGGGTGAAGACATTTATTTAGACAGTGCAACGAGAACGGGCTTTCCAGATTCATTTATCCCGTAGCTTCGAAAAAAAAACCCTCTCTTGCCAGATCCCTTTCCAGAAATTATCTCTTTTGTGTTACAGTGCCTTCAGCCCTCACTTCTCGCAGTCGACGACGGCGCGGATGCAGTCGCCCTGCTTCATGATCTCAAAAGCCTCGTTGATCTCGGTCAGGTTCTTGCGATGCGTGATGAACTCGTCCACCTTGAGCTTGCCGTCGAGGTAGTCGGCCACGAGGCCCGGCAGCTGGGACCGACCCTTGACGCCGCCAAAGGCGCAGCCCTTCCACACGCGGCCCGTGACGAGCTGGAATGCTGTGTTTTGGGACAATGGTTAAGCTTGAAACTGATAAAAGAGGTCGGGGACTACTCACGTCTCGTCGAAATCTCCTGGCCGGCGGCGGCGACGCCGATGATGATGCTCTGGCCCCAGCCCTTGTGGCAAGCCTCGAGGGCGGCGCGCATGACGCCAACGTTGCCAGTGCAGTCAAAGGTGTAGTCGCAGCCGCCGTCGGTCAGCTCGAGCAGCTTGTCGACGACGGTCTGGCCCTCGGGCAGCTTGGTGGGGTTGACGAAGTCGGTGGCGCCGAACTTGTAGGCCCACTCCTCCTTGGCGGGGTTGACGTCGACGACAATGATCTTGCCGGCGCCCTGGGAGACGGCGCCCTGGACGACGCTGAGACCGACGCAGCCGGCGCCGAAGACGGCCAGGTTGCTGCCCTTCTCGACGTTGGCGGTGATGCGGGCGGCGCCATAGCCGGTAGTGATGCCGCAGCCCAGCAGGCAAGTGCGGTCCATGGGGGCCTCGGGCTGGACGGCGACGACCGAGATGTCGGCGACGACGGTGTACTGGCTGAAGGTGGAGGTACCCATGAAGTGCAGGATGTCCTGGCCCTTGCAGCGGAAGCGCGAGGTGCCGTCGGGCATGACGCCCTTGCCCTGAGTGGCGCGGATCTTGCCGCACAGGTTGGTCTTGCCCGACTTGCAGAACTTGCACTCCTTGCACTCGGGCGTGTACAGGGCCACGACGTGGTCGCCGACCTTGACGCTGGTGACACCCTCGCCGACCGACTCGACGATGCCCGCGCCCTCGTGTCCCAGGATCACGGGGAACGCACCCTCGGGGTCCTTACCCGAGAGCGTGTACGCGTCCGTGTGGCACACGCCCGTGTAGGCCAGCTTGATGCGCACCTCATGGGCCCGCGGCGGGAGTACCTCGACGTCCTCGATGCTGAGCTCCTTGCCCGCCTCCCACGCGACCGCCGCCTTGCAGGTGATTGTCTGCAACCACCGTCGTTAGTACCTTATCAATTTCGTTGCATTGGCCGGCCAGGGAAAAAAAAGAAACCCACCTTTCCGACAGTCGAAGCCATTTTCCGTTTCTGGTTTTTTGGTCCGTTGTTGCTCTTCTCTCAAGTTTCTCCAGAAACTGCCCCGCGAACTGTATTCGTACTTTACGTCAACCGGCCCGCCCAGCGCAGCGCATCCAACCCCGCCCCCTCAATAGCCCCTCCGCTCCCCCTCAAGAGGCGGGGTTCCGAGAGATTGCCGGCAATAATTACAACACGACAGCAGCAGTTTATCCTATTCCATGCCCTGGCCTGGCGGCTCGGCGATTTCGCGGCATCTTTCGTCCTCACTCATTCCTCGCTCGCTCCATCTTTTGAATACATCTCCTGCCCTCTTTCCCTCCTGGGGTTTCCCCAAATAAAACCCCGACCCACTGGGCCTCTCCATTCTGCGCTACCTATCATCCCGTGCTGCGCGGGTCGGCAGTTTAAGGCTCTGGCTGGCTGTCGAGTGCAGACTGCAGAGCCTCTCCCAACCGCCGATTCTGGGTACTACGGAGTAGGCCTAGACCTGGCGTATGGATGGATACCTCCCTCCCTATACGTATGATATATAGAGAAGTGACGCTCCCGATCTCGGTCTATCTTGTCGCATGGCCCAGTCGCCCGGCCACTAGTTTAAGCTGCCGAGTCTCCATTTCTGCCCCTTGGACGGCGGCTCGTTGGCAAAGGCATCATCGCACGCAACCAGCCTGCGGTTCGGCCCGGCGACGGATAATATGTGTCGTCTGCATCCGGTCCGACAATTTATCGTGTCTTGGCCACCGCTGAATTCTGAGACATTCTATTGTCTATCCTGTTACACAAGTTCTCGCGCAGCCGCAGTCAACGGTCCGAGTATGGGCCGTGTGCAACTGTGACTCTTCTGACTGACTCTAACTCTCAACATTGTTTCTCCTTACACACCTCTGAGTGACTGGTGCAGTTCAAGTTTAAACAAGACACATGGCCCGGCTTGGTTATGTTTCACACCAGGAAAGCACATGGCCAGATCATGGCAGGCAGGCTGTCTGTTGTTGTCCTGTTGTTGTCAAGTCGTTAGCCCGAAAAGGGGAAGTCCGAAGTGGGGACCTCACCGACCTCCGTCCCCTCTGGCCATTCATCGGGCCCGTGACAGCCCCTTGACAAGACAATAAACTACCACACTCGGTCCTAACACAGCAACTCGTGCATCCATCCGGCTTGCTTGCCCAACCCAATCTAACTCACCGAGAAAAGTCCAAGCGGGCTAAGCAGATCTAAGACCAGCCCAGCCCAGACTAGGCCTCTGAACCAGAACTATGACAACAATTGCCCCTCCTTCCCCGCTCCCCGAGTTCGTCTACAAGATCACTCCGACGGCGCCGCCCGATCCGATACCCGAGGCATACCCGCTTTCGGACCTCGACCGGCAAGATGGCTTTGTGCACCTGAGCACCGCGTGGCAGGTGAGCATATGCCTTCCTTACCTACCCTACCGGGCTAGTGCCCCGCCGTACTTCCTAGCTTGACCGTCCATCCATCCCCCCTGCCCTGGCCGGCAAGAGCCAAGTCAAGCTCACCCCCCTTCCAAAACAAAAAAAAGATCCCCATCACGGCCGACCTCTTCTTCACCAGCACGCCCGAGTTCTGGATCCTCAAGCTGCGCCTCGCCAACTTCGCCCCCGCCAGCGTCAAGTGGGACGAGACCCCCGGCACCAACGGCTGCCCGCACCTGTACGGCAACTTTGGCGCCGCCGACATCGTGGGCGCCAGGCGCTTTGCCCGCGGGCCCGACGGTCAGTCGTGGCGCGACACGCTGCAGGCCGAGGCCGCGTGGCTGGAGTAGGCAGTCGCCGGCGGCTGGGACTCCCGGGGTATTCTGCTAACCCCGTTTCTCCGTTTCTCAGTGGGATGGATGTGCGCAGCCAGTCAACCTGGATTGGGTATATTTCCCTGACCCTCTCGAGACCAACCTAGACTGGGTTTGAGGAGTGATGCAGGGGACCATGTATGTTTGGCGTTCGGGGCCGGGGATGTTTAACCTGCGCCGGTCAGGGGTTGTTTATTTCCTTCGGGCAATTTCATTTCATGATGAAAGAAAAGAGCAACCACAAGAACCATCTAGTTTATAAGAGAACCAGGAAGACCAATTTGATAGTCGTATTCTCCGCCCCAAACCTGTTTCTAGTAAATAAAGCACACCACCACCACCACTAGCACCATGTCTACTAGGGGCTGGAGTTCAACAGTAGAAAGACAATACCACCACACGCCGCCGCCGCCGCAATTATGCCCTTTTATAAGCATTGGGGCCTTGTCAATAATAGTACACCTCTTAGGTAACGCGTTAAACAAAATAGTAAAAGAAATGAAATAAAACTTTTGAAGTGTGCAATTCATCATTATCCCATAATCCATCATATCATGCCGGTGTAGTACAGTATGGTGTAAAGAAAACGGGACGCTAGACTTTAGCCCCAAATACTGTAAAGAATATGCATCAAACGAGTTACTCCGAAAACAGCATCAGTGGTTTAGTGGTAAAATCCATCGTTGCCATCGATGGGCCCCGTGTTCGATTCACGGCTGATGCAAACCTTTTATTTTTTTGTTCCTTTCTTATTCTTATCACTGTTAATAGCTTCTTTCTCCCTTTTCTCCTTCATTTTCATTCCCCCTTTCTTTCCTCTTTCTTCTTCCGTTTCTTTTTTTCACTTCTTTTTTCTTTCATTTGACGAGGTACTATCCTCAGCTCTAATTGTTTTTCGTACTTATTTACTTAGCTCGCGAGGAGGTAATAACGTGCGCTTTCCTTCCCTCTCTAAAGGTAAAAAGTAAATATAGATGGTAACATCTCGTAGAACCTGGCATCCATTTTCTGCTTTCCTCACAGTGGAATTGGAGTTACAGCCCTTATTTATATGGTGACCCAACCACGGAAACGGTACTCAAAACCACACACACACACACGCACATCCATTCTTGGCAATTTTTATTCCTCATGCATTCTTCTCTTCTCCCTTAATCTCCACCCCCTATAGCAGATTCAGGCCCTGTCCTATGCATAAGACAATCCATCATGGGGAGACCAAGCCTACATACAATACATAGATACACAGCCGAGTGGTTGCAGCAAAGCCAATGCAAGGTTTGTGGCGATCAACTGCGTCTCTCTCCGCCCCTTATTACCATCCATCCACAACTTTTTCGCTTCTCCCGCCCATCACCATTCATTCCCCAGATAGACGCAGAATCACCACACGCCGCCGTCCGCCTCGGCTAGCCACAACCCTGCCAGGTCCTTGGCGAGCCCCGTCCGCAGCCGGCGCATGACATCCTTCCCGGACGTCCTGGCTGGCAGCCCGGCGCGCCAGTCCCAGCCGCGCTTGACGTTGGCAGCGGCGGCTTTGAGGCCAGCGCCGCCGGCGAGGGAGCGGTGCAGCTGGCTGGCGACGAGGGAGCTGCCGGTAAGCACGAAGCTGCCGCCGGCCCCCGAGGTGCTCTTCTTGAGGAGGTCGGCAGGGGTGGAGCCCTTGAGCAGGCCTCCCGGGGCCGAGGTGAGGACGAGCTGGAGGAACTCGTCGCAGGCGTCGTAGACGCGGGACCCGACGGCCTCGAGGTCCTCGATGGCCTTGAGGATTGTGTCGATCTGGTCGAGCGTGATAACGGTAGGCAGGCCCGCGGCGTGCGCGTGCGCCTGGTCGTGAACGTTTGTGCTCTCCGCGTCCGTGACAAAGACGAGCGTCTCGCCCAGAAGCGCGAGCAAGAAGTCCTCGCTGACGATGCCGTCGCGCGACTGGTCGAAGAGGCCGCCCCGGATGTTATCGTCGGAGCTGGCGACGACGCTCAGCAGCGCGGTCGCCGCCTGCTGGCGCCGCGCGGTAGGCGATGCTATGATGCTCTCGCTGTCGTCGCGAATGTTGTAGAACTGCCGCAGCGACGCGTATCCGCTGAGCATCTTTCCCAAGAGCTCGGCCGCCTCGAGGTCCTGCTTGGCGCACTGCTCCAGCGTTTGGTTGCGGTCTGTGAGCAGCTTGCGCAGGTGGTCGTCGAGGTCGTTGGAGGCTGGGTATGCCGTCGACTGGATGAGCGAGTACGAGATGAGCAGGTTCATGACCTGGCGGACCTTGTTTGGCCGGTGCGCCAGTGCATAGTACCACATTGCCTCGCCGTAGCGGTGCGAGTCGCGCGCGAGAATGTCTCCATACGTCTGCGGTGCACAAGTTAGCAACGATCCTAGCTTCTCTCAAGGGGGAAATAAACACACTTCTACAGTCTCCTCGGCGTACGGAATCATGCCCAGCTCGTTCAAGAGCGTCCATATCTTATCTACCGTAGCGCTCGAATCCACATGCAGGCCTTCGATGAGGTGCTTGATGAGCATGCCCACCATTTCCTCGGAGCGCCGCGGCGAGTCCATGCGGCCCAGGACGTGAATGGCTAGTTCCCAGCCGTCCCGCGCGGTGCCAGTCCTATCTCGCACCGACGACAGGCCCTCATAGTCGGCGACGGCGAGAGCGTACTGGACCAGGGTGTTATCCTTGATCCCGTCGACCTCGTCCGAGTCGCCTGGATCCACGCCCAGGACCTCCAGGTCGTCAATGGTCAGGTCTTCCATGCCAAACATGCCCGACGGCTGGTGGGGGGTCAGCCACCTCCCCAGAGACGCAATCTCAGCCACGGCCGAGGCGACAGGGAGCGACCAGCCGCGGAGGAGACCAATGACAGCCTTGATGTTGTCTTCAAACACGCAGGCCATGCCGATTTCGATCGTGTTGAGCGAGTTGAAGTGGAAGTTGGACTCGACGGCTGCGTGAAAGGCACGGGCCAGTCTGTCGAGATAGCTGTCAAAGTCTCCCGTGTTGGAAGCCAGCACCAGCATCTTGGACCGCGACAGCGATGCCGTTCCGAAGTTGGGGCCCTGCTCCGTCCTCCGCTCATCCCACCAGCCAAAGAGACCGACCGTAGCCTCGCACCAGTCCTGCGCCGTTTCCAAGATGGCGGCTTGAGATCCGAGAACAATGTCGAAGATGATTATCAGGTTCTCGTAAATCTCCCACGGCACCTGGCTCTCGGCTCGTCGGGCTAATCCCGCCATTGACTGGCGGCTCCGTGTCGACAACCCCATGGTAGACTCGCCCATGTCGCCCTCTTTTCCCTCGGCAAAGCGACGTAGGTGGTCGAGAGCTCCCTGTGCCCTAACACGGAACAGAGTCCAGTCGCTGCTCCAAATGTCCCACTTCTCCTCGAAGCCGGGACAGGTTTCGAGCATTCTGACCGTCTCTTCCGTAGCCCGCTGGACATTCTCGAGCGCCCGGTCAACATAGGCGTACTCGCCACGTTGAGTCCTCCTGACGTGGCCCCAGCCCGCCTGTCGGAGCAGCTTTGCTGCATCCGAGACTCTTCCACGCAGCAGGGCGATGAAGATAGCCTGCCAGAACAAGCTGTGGCAGGCCGGGCTGGGCCTGTGGCGAAGTATTTCGTCGACCTGGTCGTCGTACAGGTTGTGGTAGTCGTTGAGCCAGCGAAACAGCGTCTCGGGCAGCGGCTCTGCCTTGGCGCCGCCCGCCCGGCCGTCGTCGTAGCGCGTGTGGTGGATCTGAAGCGCCAGGTTTGCTAGGTAGTTCGCCTTCTCGAAGGCCGTCGCGTTAGGGCCGGGGCCGATCTCGGCGGCGTGCTCTTCGTCGGACCGCGGAATATTATCTGCGTAGCCCTTCCAGAGCGAAGCCACCTTGCCCGCCGCCGCGGCGAGCGTGTCCTCGAGTTTCTCCTCGTCGTCCGCCTCGCCCACGCCGTCGTCGTACAGGCGGTTAATGGCTGCCTCGGTGCTCAGGATCAGCTGTGGCGGCTCGACGACGCTGGCAACGCCTAGTTGGCTGTAGGCGTCCTTGGCCAGTGCGGCAAATCTGAACTCGCGCCGCCGCGCCCCGCCCGACTGTATCGCCGACGCACGGAAGATGTCCTCGGCCTCTTTGCGCACGCGTTCCGTCGCGGCCGGCGTGGCGAGCATCATGAGATCCGACTCGTCGCCTATGGAGCCGCCATTGCCAGCGGGCGTGTCCTCGGGCATGTCTAGCCACATATCTCCTTCATCCCCGGAGCTAGGGACGTCCCTTGGGCTAAGAGTGTGGCCGGTCTCTCGTTGTTCTTGCAGGTCGTCGTCGTCGTCGTCGTCGTCGTCGTCGTCATCGTCGTCCTCATCCTCATCCTCTTCGCCGTCGCTATCGTCAAAGGGTATCGCAAAGGTGCCGGGCCTGCCACTAGGCTTGTCGTCTTGGTCGTCGTCATCCACGGCAATGGCTCGGCTGAGGCGCGAGGGCTGGTGCGCTTTCTGTCCGCGAATCGAGCGGCCGAGAGGTGTGTTCCGCTGCTGCGCGAAGAGCGTTTTGCTGGACGAGGACGATGGTCCAGGGAGGGGCTGCAGAGGCTTGGTGCTCGTCATGCCGCGCATGATGGAGCTACCCAAGAAGGAGGCCGAGGGGGCGCCGGCGGGAGTGAAGCTGCCGGCCGACGAGGGAGGGGGCCCCGCGGGCGTCGTTGACGGGTTCTCGCCATAGGGAAGGCGCTCTCGGCTGCTACGCGAGTTCCTATCTGGCGTCGAAGGCGGAGAGGAGCTCCCTCCAGGGACCTGGTATCGGCTGGCCATGGCGAGAAGAAGGAAAGAAAGATGTCACCGTCGAGTGAGAGAGAGGAAGCTGAGCCCCAGTTCTGTGTTTCCTTGGTAATGTAAGGCTTTGGTCAATCCGCTGACATTCTCGAGCTAAAATCGCAATCAGATCAATTGCTGCTAAATTCGCGCCGGTGCTATCGGTCGGTGGTGCGCGAGGGGTCAAATGGCCGGTCGCCGATTTGGGTTTTGCGATTTGGTCAGGCACTGGCAGTTGAAGCTCCTGTGAAATTGAGCTGCGCTTCCAGCTTTGGTAGGGGCATAGACAGGGCAGACGCGACTTTTTTGGCGGGCACGCGCGACTCGGTAAGTTCCGTCACTCTGTTGCACAACGGCACATTTGACCGGCCTGAAATTCAATGAAATGGAATGAAAGAAGGAAATCATAAGCAAACCCCACTGGGAAAAGGGAAAATGCATTTGATACCTGCTTATTTTGTGCTCGAAAGGATAATATCATTGAGCAAAATCGGTCATTTGGATTTCGAAAATAATACATACGGATATATTTATATAGAAAAAACTGAGCCCAGACCACAGGCGGCTGGCCTCTTCCCACCAGGGCTTGTTGATTATAAACAAGGGAAGTAGAATCTCTCCTGGGGAGCATCACTCCCATTCCCTCTCGCTAACCCTTCCCCGTCGCTATGAACTATTGAACTGCAAGCCTCGTTGAATTTTCCTCCGCCCCCAACAAAATACAGCAAGAATACGCCGGCCCGATGCCAAACCTGCTCTCTTAGCGTTACGTGACACATCATGTATGGTTTTCCTCTTTTCTCTTGTGTAGGGGGAATTGTGGACAAAGACAGAAAAAACAGGTCAAAAAAGCGCCAATCAGTCCAATTCGTTGTCAGTTGTCAGGGCAAAGTACCTCCACGGAAAGCCACTTGCAAGTGACTTCCGTCATGGACACTCCCAAAGTCTCGCCACTCAGGCACTCTGAGGCATCAGCGCCTCCTTCCCACTCCCGAGCCCACCTCCGAGCCCAAACCCTCGGGTTCGGGCGCTCTCGACTTGCTGCAGTCCCAGCTTCTCAAGCCCTGCGCTATCAGCCTCGCTGTAGACGATACCAAGCCCGTTAGTCTCCTTCTTCTTGTCTGACAGTCTGTTATCGCCGGCGGCGTCGCCGGTCGCCTCGTCAAAGTTCATCAGGGCAGGCGGCCTGTGCCGCATCTGCCGTGCTTTCGCTAGTGATATCGTCTTTTGCTGGTATGTCATCGTGATGGGCTGCGAGTCATCGCGATCGATTGTCGCTTTCATCAGGGCCGCCATCCACAGTCTACCCTGTTTGATGTTCGGCACCGCGAAATAGTGAACAGTAGGTTTGGTAAAGTTGACCGCCCGCGACAGGCCAGCCCGCGGCGGGACCAGCTTGAAGATGAACATGGCGTCCGATTCTTTGACCGGATCGCGCTCCGCTTCCGTAGCGGCAAGTGTTGGCACGTGGCTGCCGGCCGGTATGGCCGGAGTATTGGAAGCTCCCGTCAGCGTGGCGTGAAGTCCCGTGATCCGCTCGTTGTCTGCCGGGAGCACACGGTGGAACGAGATGTCGATGAGGCCCTTTTCCTCTTCGTCGTCTTCAGAGTAGTAGTACGCCAGGCGTCTGCCTTTGAGGACGAAGAGTCGAGGCTTCCACGTCGTCATGAGATGCCCGTTCCTCTTCTTCATCCATCCGCTGTAGTCGGCATCGGCAATGGCCTCCCTGGGAGTAACTGTCTGGAGGCCGCGCGTATACGCGCTGGTTTCCTTCTTGGTCTTCTTGCGGGTGCTGTTTTTGCTAGCCGCAGTGGTTGCCGTGCTCGGGCTCTTGGCAGCATCTGGTGAGTCAAGCTCAAAGCTCGGCCCCGCCGAGGGCGTACTAGATCCCGTGCGTGAGGGAGAATACATGGTGGTAGAATCCTTCAGGGTCAATTCGGCGGGCAATGCAGCCTTGGCTCGTTCGGTACCCGTAACCGCATCCGACGTTGCTCTGAAGCCGAACCCGCTCCGTAACATGGTGCCAACGTTGAAATCGGGATGATTGACCTGGCTCAAGCGCTTCATGGCAGACCTTGGAGACGACCGCGCCTGATCTGCCGGGTTCCCTTCGAGCTTGGTAACAGTTGGTGGTGTGCTATCCTTGGATATGGGCGCCGGCCGTATTGATTCCGTGGTTGCGGTTGATGCCGTGCGCCTGGTCAACCCAAAATATTTTTGAGCCGCTGGCGAAATCCCCAGCCCCGATTCCCGCCCCGAGTCCATGCTGCCAAACCTCGAATGCCTCGACAGAGCGGTTGCACTTCGCACCCTTTGCTCGTCTGCGTAGCTCGACTTTGGTGAGCTAGGCCCCTGTGAGCCGTCGCGCTTCCGCAGGACGTTTCGGCGAGCTCGAGGATCCGAATCGGGTCCCGAGAAATAGCCACGATCGAGATCGACAGCAGAATCTTGGAGTTCCGGCTCTTGGGCTGTCATTATGTCCTGGATCCCGGCAGAAGAAAGGGGCCTCTGCGCGTACGCATTGGTCGCACTGCCCAGAGTCCAGTTGCGGTCAAACGAGGGCTGCTTCTTGTGGGTCGTTGCTGGCTGCTGCTGTGGAAACGTTCCGCTTGCAACTAGCTTGGGGGTGACAGAAGCTGTTGCGTTTGCTGGTGTGCCCGAGAGGCGGAAGTCGGTCGACGAGTGGCGACGGGAGTGGTGCAAATCTCGGATCGATGCAGCAGAAGGCCGCTTTTCGTGAAACGTACGGCTTGGGCTGTCGACTAGCGGCGACACGGGCGACACGGGCTGGGCTGGCTCTAGTTTGGGCGTTTGCGACAGGCGTTTGGTGTGTATCGAGAGGGAGCGGTTATCAAGGGGCGTATATCGCGGGTTCGAGCTCGTCATTGTGCTAGTCCTACTCCGGACCCTGCCTGCCGCGTCTGATCCAGCGTCGCTTCCATAAGTCTGTGTAGTTCTCCGGGCCCCTGCCGTTTCTAGCCCGTTGACCTCGTCCTGGAGATTCTTAATTTTCTGCCACGTCTTCAATCTCCGCCCGACGGGACCCAGATCGAAGGCCTTGATAAACAGCGACGTCTGATCCATACCCAGAATAACTTCGCCGGTGATTTCTTGGTCCCGAAAAACCTCGCAGTGGTGCTTCTCGACACCCACTGTGAACAGGTACTCGGCAACCTGATCAGCCGACCACGATTCCACCTCGAATCGAGAATGCGTCCCCTCTTCCTCCTCGTCCGTCTCTTCGCCGTTGATGTACGAGATTCGGTGGCCGACGTGCGAGCTGTACTCGCTGCCGGAATCGCCCGTGTTCCGGAGAGTCCCGTTGCTGTGGGGTGAGCTTAAATTGGTAATGTGCTCGTCGATAACATTCAGCGTCTCGTGAAGGACGTGGCTGTCGGCGCTGTCATTTGGCCGTCCTATATTTCCGATGCTCGAAAGAAGGCTGCTTGGGGAATAGGACGGGGACACGCTGCTCACGGACGCCGATTTGATGGAGCTGAGAGGAAGAGTGACGGGTGCCGGCTGCGCTTCGGGAGTCGGCTCCTCGTTGCTTTCCTCCGGAGGTGGGGGGCTTACGGGAGGCGTTGCCTGTTCGTTAACAATCTCGACGAGGGGCGCGAGGGGCTGTTTTGGCGACGAGAGCACTGTTGTGGTCGGCACGACTGCCGCTTTTCGCGTGTATACTGCGACGACGTCAATCGGATGATGCGCAAATTCGGCGGTCGGACAACATACCTTCAGGGAAAAGGCCGCTGTTTCCATTCACCAAGTGTTTTCCCAGGTACCAGCCGTCTCCGAACTCGTCATCTCGCTCCAGGAGCTCTACGCGGTCGCCTTTTGCCAAGCTTAATTCATCGGAACTACGTGCTTGGAAGTCATCTGGCGAAATGGCACACGTTAGTCACGTTTCCATCTCCCATTTTCTGCGATAGCAATTGTTGCCTCGAGTACAGCACAGCGTGGCATTTTAACTGGCGGGCGAGCAAAAAAGCGCGACCGCGATAAAAAGCTGCAGACCGAGAATCAAAACAACGAATTGGTGGCGGACTAAACTCACGAATAACCATAAGTATGTCGCCCACGTCGGGCTTAATCATGCCTAGGGCGGCCATGTCGGTGCCTAGGTTGGCAGCTCAATCGCTGCGCTGCGCTGCGTGTGCGTTTGGCCAGGAAGGAAAGACGAAGGCTGGGGTTTCAATGGCGACCCATCTAGGCCGGTGCTGGTGATTTTTCGGGGCGAGGGCGAGCTGCGCTGGGTTGGTGACGAGGATGGATCGTCGAGAAAGAAGGAGAACTCGGACGTCGGAGGGAGGCGCTGGCGCTGGCCGTGGTGGGGGGGGGGGGTCCGAAATGTTTAAAAAAGAAAATAACGAGAAAAAAAAAAGGGAATTCGCGCCAAAATCAGGTCGAGGGGCGCGCCAGGGAAGGGGCCTTGGCCACAGCAAGGAGGGCACGACCTTAAGTTCCTACGGGCTGCACTTTACACATTACCAACGGTCTGGGCGGGAAGGCTTTCTTGAAAAGAAGCTGGAGGCTGAGCAGACGGGATATTATTGTATTATGGTCATGGCGGTGCCGCAGCCGTACATCCCCTCCCCAATCATTTTTGGGTACCTACTTCACCTAGGCTGCAGACACGTTTATATCTATTTCCAGGGCCGTCGTTGGGCGTGGGTGCGCTTACGCTACCTAGGTACCACCTGAGGAGTACCTAGCGGGTGGCAAGCTTACCTGATGTACCGGGGTACAGGTCGTGGCAGGTATCCTGAGGTAGATCGGGTTGGGGTCCAAGGGTCCTCGGGGCGGCGTGGGTGCCTTTTGGGAGCAGCTTTCAGTCGCTGATTGGGGCAGCAATTAACATGCGCGCCGAGCGTGCGTGGTATGCCGTTATTGGGCCTGCAAACATGAAGCGGACAAAACACAGAGGACGCGAGGATACCTTGGCCTCTGTAGTCTGGAAGGTAGCACGCGCCAAAGAGAGGTTTGCCAGGCAAGCGCTGTCGGCCTTTCCCAAAAGCGACCAAGGTCAACTGTCAAAAATACTAACAAGCCTACAAATGGGGTATCGCTGGGATCACAAGCAACTCTTGCTCAAAAGAGTTGTGACGGCTCCCGAATCTTGACAGCCTGGCGAGGAAGTCGGGCCAAATCTTGAACTGGCACTATTGAATTCAACGGCCGCATGCAACTTGGCGGCATCCCTGCTTTCCCACGCGGTGACGAGGGGCCCAGCTTCAGAGCGGCAGCGCACCACCCTTCGCCAACCTACCAAACTCTTGAACTTGTATCCGTACGTAGGAAAGAAGTGAGCCGTGTAGTGTGGTAAAGTATACAGGTGACAACAATTTCATCTGGCCGGCGGATGAAACACCACAGCTCAACGAGCTGGCTTTCTTACCTGCATTGTAAAATGCGTGTATAGCAGACGGACAAAGTATTGTCCATTGCTGATGAAATGGGGCGCAAGCCGGGCCGACCATGTCAATAACATTACGGGATACGCCTCGATGCTTTGCGAATTTTGGCCGCAAAGGAAAATGCGGCGGCGGCGCATCCCCATCCCATGGGAGGTTTCTCACCCGGCGGATTCTTTCTTCCTGGGCAGCAAGGCGGCCGGCATACTCTTGCACGGCACAAGTACCTCCCCGCCACGACTCTGCATGAAATACACTTCGTAAGCCTGGCCGGTTTGGTTGGGCGCCTGCCACCTGCCGCCTGCCCACCACCGGAGATGAGAGACAGTGCAGACGGGAAGAAGCTCTTTCTGATGGAAGTTCTGTCCAGCCTTCCACGATTCGATTCCCACATGCACCGGCCCCCCCTTCTCCCCTCCCCCCACCCCTTTTGTTTACGACAGCTGGAATCGTGCAGGCAGCTCAAGATACAGATGCCGGCCATCACCGCCCGCCGCCGCAGGGGCATCTTTGATGGCGACATTGGCGACCTGTTTGTGGCGGAATGGGATCCCGCTTTTGGTGGGGGGCCTGATTTGGGAGCCAGCCAGGCGGTTGGCTGGCGGCGGGCCCTTCCTTCAGCTCCTCACTCCGAAGGCTAGGGTCAGGGTCTCTTGTGCCCACTGTCTCAAGGTACCTCGTCCTTCGGTTACTGATATGTGTGAGGGCCCAGGGAATTCGAGATTGGCGAAAAGTTAGGGTCTCGGCAAATGCAGCTTCGGCTCGGGTAGCTCTAGAGGAGAACAGATCAGATTTCCAGTATCAATACCTCCCTTTTTCGTGCGATCAATTTCCCCACAATGGAACGAATCGTCGCTCTTCAAGCTCTGCCTTCTGCCTGGTCTTCTTACTATTATCAACGAGGTACTAGTACCACGTACTCGTAAGTCGTAGGCTGATTGCCGGCGCCTCTCAGCTGACAGGGCCGTCGCTCGCTCTGGGGTGATGGGGTCCGACTTTAATAGCTCGACTTGTTCGGCTCGCTTAGCCCCCAGCTTTGTTGTTAGAGACGGAGTGGACTTCAATTGTTGGAGAAGACGGGATTGTTACATAACGAATTTCGTAGCGTACTACTACGGCCCCGGGAAGCCCGCAGTCACGGACGACGCTCCATGCCTCGGCAACTTTTTGGGTTGTCATGTATCATGGTGGTTCCTGTTGGAACCGGTCTCGAGGAAACTAAAGGAACCCCTCCACCAACACAAATGCCAGTACTCTGACAGCCCACAACAAGACCACGAAGAGTTTTTTTTTTTTTTTTTTTTTTTTTTACATGGCCTGTGCGATTCTACTGTTATAGTACCGGTCTTCTTCTCTGCGGCACACTGTCAGCAGCGCGCCATCCATTTCGAGCCGTCGGTCGACCTGCCAGTGCCACCCCCAGCCCAGCCGCCAGCTGAAGGATCTCGTTGTTGCTGTTCGCCGTCGTTGGGGCTGGATTGCGGCACCAACACAACTGCACTGCGCTGCAGTTCTGTACAATACGCAATAGAGCATACAACTGCAGATAGCTGTGCCGCTCTGATCGTCGAGCCGCTGAATAAGGGGGGCAAAAATAGGCACGCCAAAAAAACCCCCCAAGGGACTGCATAAGAATGGCGCAACAACTCGAGGGCTACGCGGCCTACAAGCACTACCTGGTCACGTCGGCCGGCCCGTTTGTCGCGCACGTCGAGATCAACCGGCCGGCCAAGCTGAACGCCTTCCTCGAGGCCATGTGGCTGGAGCTTCGGCTGCTGTTCCAGCAGCTCTCAGCCGACCCCGAGGTGCGGGCCGTTGTGCTGTCCGGGGCCGGCGACCGCGCCTTCACGGCCGGGCTCGACGTGCAGGCCGCGAGCCAGGGGTCAACTCTGAAGACGGACGATAGCCTCGACGGCGCCCGCACGGCCGCCCACCTGCGGCGCCACATTGTCGACTTCCAAGACTGTCTCACGGCCGTCGAGAAGTGCGCAAAGCGTACGAGAAAACCCCCCTCCCCCCTGTCACATATATATATCTACATGTGGTGCTAGTTTCCGCCCCTTCTCCCCCCTTGGCCCCCCCTGAACACCAACTTACAAAACCACACGATAGCCGTCATCTGCGTGCTCCACGGCATCTCGATCGGGCTGGCGATCGACCTGTCGTGCTGCGCCGACGTCAGGATATGTGCGCGGGACACGCGGTTCGCCGTCAAGGAGGTCGACATTGGGCTCGCGGCCGACATTGGCACGCTGGCGCGGCTGCCCAAGGCCGTGTCGAGCTTCTCGTGGGTCAAGGACGTGTGCCTGTCGGCTCGCGACTTTGGCGCGGCCGAGGCGCTGGCCGTGGGCTTCGTCAGCCAGGTGCACGAGTCCAAGACGGCCGCGCTGGACGCGGCGACCAAGCTGGCCCGGCTGCTCGCCTCCAAGAGCCCCGTGGCCGTCCAGGGCACCAAGGAGCTGCTCAACCACGGCCGGGATCACTCGGTGGAAGATAGTACGTTTTTTTTGTTCCTTTTTTGTCTCGTTGAATTCCTTAGCTACTGTGGTCCTGCGCACTAACAACAAATGCTAGATCTGAGGTACACGTCTATCTGGAATTCGGTCGCCCTTCAATCGAGTGATTTGAAGGTGGCCTTGCTTTCTGGAATACAAAAAACGAAGCCGAGGTTCGAGAAGCTCTGAGAGACTACGGCGACGGATGCGCGATGGGATTGGCACCGTCACTCGATGGTGCAGTCCTCTTACTCTGAGGTGGGAGCCGTGGAATCCTCAACTTCGTTCTCGGGGGCTTTAGATCCATCAATCTCACTCTCGGGAGCTTTAGACTTCTCATCAGAGGCGATTTCACTCGCGGTTGGGACACCGTCATGGGTCTCATCGGCAGTGAAATCAGTAATCTCTAACTCGCCAATCCCATCGATAATGAGGTCGAGGCTAGCCTCTTGAGATCCGTCAATGTGGCCCTCGCCATCCTCTTCCGAAAATTCAGAGCGCCATCCTCGCTCGACGTCAAACAACCCAAACCAAAGAAGCGCAGCCAGGCTCTATCGGTACCCTATTCGCTGTCTGCCAGCGGCTCCTCTGGTCGGTATGTTTCCTTGAGTCGCTGAGAACAAAGGCAAGAAAGTAAGGTTAGACAAAGCTTGTATCCATAAAAAAAATTCAATATCCAAAAAAGACCGCGAGAAACCGGTAAGACTTGCTTCATCGAGTTGTGCTTTCAGGATGTGAATCATGTTGGGTCTCACGAGTAGGTGCTGCTCGTCGAGATCCTCAATGATGAAGTCGTTGCCGCTCAGGCTGTCCAAGTGCACGATGATGGACTTTATGGCCGGCTCGCACTCAATGAGAATGCCTTGAGAGAGCAAAGGAAGAAAAGAGTTAGCTCAGAGGCTCGGGCTCAAGCTCGATACTAGTCATTCCTCCCGACTGCAGGTGTCGGTTTTACCTCCGGTGGCGCGCGGCATCTTGGCGGCGAGCTCTTTCCTTTTGCTGCTGAGGTAGTCGAGAAGGTTCGCGTGAAAGTGTGGGGGAATGCGTAGCGCGAGACTGTGCTTTCTTTTTCGTAGGGGCGGGTGGTTTTTTGCGCTACCTGCCGAAACGCTCTGGTGTTCAGAGAGAGTCGGCTGGCGCTAGAATGCCCGGGCGCGTGAGAGGCTTTTGCTTGACCTTGCAGGAATGTATTTTTCGCGATCGTAGTCTCTTTGGCGGTTTTTTGTTGGTGTTAGGTAGAAGGAAGAAGCGAAGGTACAGGCGCAGGCTACTACTGGGGGTGAGCTTGAATGCACGGATTGCGCTAAGTGAAATACGGTACGCTGAACTGCGTTTTAACCGTACCGTACTGTTCAAGGGATAATACTGGTTGCCTAAGAACGTATGCGCTCTCTCCAAATAATTCTCTAGGGTTGTATGAGTGACGAGACACTGGATATACTCGGTACAAGATGAAAGAAGGGCCAGAATGACTGAAATAGAAGTGTTGACGACTTTGTTCACTCACTCCTACCTCTCAGGCTCCGACGACAAGCACGAAATTACATGCTACGGCTCCGGATTATTAGGCCGCACATTCTACTTGGAAAAATAGACTCTTGATTTGCTTTGAAGAAGCAGCAACCAAGACAGCATCTGAGACAGCCTCAATCTCTAACAGGCGGTGGCAACTTTACAGTACTACACTGCACATAAAGTGTTAACTCGGTGCTCGGGCTTCCCATATCACTGAACTAAGCAAACTTCCAGGTTGCATTCCCGTGACCGCGGCGGACACTGGGTGACATCACGAGCAAATGCAGCTGCCCGCGGACTATTGTCAGCCCTGGCCTCTGATCGGAGCGCCCCCTTCGATAATTCATGCCTTTACCATACATAGTAGACAGGGCATGCCGTTAAATCAACCTTGGACGGCATTACCCAGTCGATTGCGGATCACCCATGATATACCCAAGCCGCTGCCGTCTCCGCAAACCCCAGGGAGGTAGGTCCTCGGCACGATGAAAGGCGATCTGCGGATCTCCAAGCACACCCGGATCCGTTTCCATTCAGAAGCGGGAGACCGAGAACAGCATGGGGAACCCAACAAGTCCGCACCTCGGCCCTGCACTAGGGAGCCTTAAAAACGGGCCCAGCAACCTTGAAAGAAGAGCGAAGCGGGGCGCGGAAGCGCCGCTACAACTTGCAAGCCAGCCTATAGTGCGGAGTTTAGTTGCAGCGTAATATTAACGCTAGGGCAGTCCGTCCCTAGTCAAATCCACAGAGCTCACTGCAACACACAACGAGGCATGAGAATGGGAACGAAAACATAATTAAGATAAGACGTACCACTATCTCGGGCATCGTCTTTTGTTGTTGTCGTTCTAAGAAGCTCCCAAGGAAAATGAATGGTTGTCGGGGTGGTCCTCGCAAACCGCCCCGATTCGCTGAGGAGGTGCTCTGGGACGGGGACCGCATCCACAGCTGCGTTGCAACCACACCTTAACCGCCCTACAGCATGGAAGACACCAAAGACAAAAACAACCTAAAATTCATTCTTAACGGAAACACCGTTTGCGGGAACGGTTTCCCGCTCCGATGCCTACCTTATTACACACAACCTGGAACCTAATTTCAGGAATCAGGGTGCCCAGGCGGCACGTTTCGGCGGTAGCGAGAGCCGAGTGCCCGGGCTACCAAAGGTTTCCTAGGTACATATGTACTATGTAGGTGAGGTAGACTTCCAGGGCGGTGGGATTCTGTACGTCTCCGTCTCCGTCTCCGTTTCCGTTTCCCGGGGATTGGTTGACCATACACAGTACACGTGCTGGCAGGGAAGCAGGGAAGGCGGGAGATGGGGAAATTGAAAAAAGAAGGGTGCCCTCCCTCCATGCTCCTTCAAAAAGCTTGAGAGGGAAACCTTGAACCCGGGCGGGAATGAAGGCGAAACTTCACCGTGCTAAGGCACTCTAGGCTCATGACAAGACTCTCCTTCGTCACCGTCACCTCATTCTCATTTCCGTACACCACCCGCCCTTCCAAGGTTAGGTTAATCGGCCGCCTTCCCACACATGCTCGCTCTCTCCTAGGCCCCCGGGATGCCACGCCCTTAATGAATGCCTTATCCCAGCACAGCCGCAGTCGTGACAGACCTGGAAGCCGACGATAGCACCTCGAGCCACCCTTTCCTCCCGCTGTTCTGCGGTCTGTCTGCCTAGGTACCTACCTAGCCTGCTCCTCTGTTGATCCTGGCTGGCGCAACCACACTCGTGACACCCCTGACAGGCCTCGCAAAGAGCCAACAGTGGAAAGCGAGAGAGAAGAATGGGCGGCGGGGCAGTGTGAAGAAACAAAGACGAGAAAGTTGAGCCGGGAACAAACTTGACCGGCCACCACTGTCACCGAGCACACTTACACGCCATCATCTCCTGCCCCGACACGGCACGACAAAAACACACACGCGTGCCAGCCACGAGGAGGGGACCATGTCTTCGGAATTCGGCCCCATCGGGCCCCCTATCTTCTCGTCCGACCGCCCATGGCTCTGGGTACTCATCCCCGTCGGCGTCGTGGTCACGCTTGCCGGGCTGGCCGTGTGGCTGCACACGCGCCGGCGCCGGCGGCTGCACCGCCTCCAGCAGCAGCGGCACGAAGACGGACTGCCCTACAACCTCCGCGACACGCGGCACCCGACGACGACACGGTCCCATGGGGGCACGGGCATGGCGACCACGCGCGAGTTCCCCATCCCATCACCACCATCGCCGCCGCTCATGGCAGCGTGGGCGCCGCCGTCGCAGCCGGCCACCGCGGCCACAGGGGGGTCATCACGGACCCGCGCCGCGCGCTTCGGCGGCGGCTTTAGCGCCCGCCAGCAGGAGGGGCTCAACGAGTTTGGCGAGGCGCCGCCGCCCTACGAGAAGCGTCTCTCGGCCGGCAAGGGCGACAAGGCGGCAGCGGCAGCAGCGGCAATACCGCCGAGAAGCGATTCGGGCGCCGACGCCGACGTCGACACCGACGCCGTCGAGATGCAGAGCAGCACAGCTTCGCCGTCCCTGGATGCCACGACAACCGCCATGACGACGCCTGATTCGGCGTCATCTGTTGTCTTCCACGAACTCCCGGGCAGTAGTCCAAGCCCGCCGCCCCCGCCCCCGCCGCCGGCTTATCCCGAACCACCTACGGCCGCGGGTTCAAGCGGCTCAGGCGGTGGTGGTGCTGATGCTACTGTCGTGCGGCCGCCTTCCCCCGCGCTGTTGCCCGAGCGGTAGTCCGGATATCAATTTTTGTTCTTTTTAGGGCCTTGGAGGTCACATCCCGTGGCAGGAACTGGAAAATTGAGAAGACAACATGAAATGTCCGAGGAGTTGGCTATCAGAAGAACTAGAACTAGTATATGTATATGACGAATGGATGAATAGACGGACGGCTGTGGTAGTTATTACCGAACTAGATGAACCCAAAAGAACTCTCTGAGTGCAAATATCAACTCGTCTATTTGTTGCTACCTACGTTATCAGGAACGAAAACAGGGCTAACTGCCTAACCGCTCAAGTCATAAATGCCATGATACTTGAGCTTGCCATCAATCTAACTATCTTATTACGCATAGCGCTGTATATGTAGTACTGGTCCTGTCCTTCCGCCTTCGAATACCTTCATCGTTCTCCTTCCTAACAACTTCCTTGATGTCACTAGCCCACCCAACAACAAATGTCAACCACACCCACATCACACACAACACTTGTAAACATGCAAGTCCCAAGGGGAAATACAAGGCAGGTCGGAAGTAATGCGATATGCTTTCTAAATTGTTGACCAAACCCTCGATTTTCCCTCACCGGGCAGTAAGTTGTAGTGATGGGCTACGCCAAACCAAAACATCTACAGCTTGTCCAGCCACGTGCTTCTAGTTCAAGTGCTCAAAAGAGATACCAGCCCCCTTCCAGATCCGACGTTTCAACATGACATTCTGCCCAACCTCTATCGTCAGCAGCGGAAACTTCATCTCTATATCTACTGCCCGTACATGCCCGTAATCTAGTGCACAAACCATGCCGATAGGTGACGGGCATTGTAGCAACAGCATCGACAGCATCGACAGCATCGACAGCAACAGCAGGATCACACCGGCGGAAATAACGAGGCAGAAATAACGACGCAGCAATAGCAAATTCCCATCAACATCCCCGGACCCTCGTCTCTCCCAACCATGCACACACACCCACTCTCACGATACAAATCACAATATATATAGATACCTAGACAGCACACTCTGACGTCCTACCCGCCTCGATTCATCACGCACGAAACAACCATTCCCCTCTGTATCCTGCACCTGTTTCTCTCTCTCCCTAGCCCGGCATCTTAACTCATGTCCATTCTCTTCTTTTTTGCCCCCCCACCTACAAAAAAAACATTAGAATATACTTCACAAAACAGCGAGAGCGAGCGAGAGACAGACAGAGACAGAGACAGAGATAGACAGCGGGATCAGGGCTCTTTGCTGCAGGGGATAACGCGACTAACACTATGCCTAAATGGAGATGACGAAGATAAGGGGTGATAAAACAATGCTATGCTGTACAAGACAATGGGAAGAAGAATTAGAAAACCGAATTAGAATAAAGAAGAAAAGACCCCCAATGATACCATCTAATGCAATAAGGCGAGGGAAGGGATGTGTGTTGTTAACCTTCGCCGTGTTTTTTTCGCGCCCCGCCCTACACGATGGGAGAATAAAAAATTATAAACCAATGGCTCCTAATCCCAGCCCCATAGACATGTATGTAGAGTGTTATATGCGTGGTCACGGGAAAGGTATATTCGGTAATAAATGTGACGCCCCCAGGGCCAAAAATCCCCGAAACGTCTCGCTACGCATGTTCGTTCGCCTTCTTGTTGCTTTCCAGTGCGTCCGCTAGAGCCTGAGCTGCTGCCGATGTCTTGACCTGGAGCATCCAAGTCTCCAAGCCATTCCCGTTCTCCTTCGTTGTCGTCACCTTGACGTATTTGCTCCCGGCCGGGTCCACCTTGTAGGTGAAACTAGGGAGCACAGCCCTGTTTAGCGCGATGTGGCCGCGGGGTTCGGCCCGCAGCAGCATGCGCACAGTGCCAGAAGCTTTATGTTTGAGAATGCGCAACGGTCCCACGCCCTGGACTTTCCATGGGCTCTTTTTCGCGTCCTTGCCGGTGTCGTCGTCGTCCGAATCAGCACCGGTGACGAGCTTGACCGCCTTGGCGCGTACCTCATGGACGACGGCCTCGTCCTCCTCGCCCGGTCCGCCTTCGGTTAGCGAGATTTGCTCCTGTGGTGCCTCATCCCCGTCAGCGTTTGTTACTCGAGCTTCTTCCTGCTCGGCGGCCGGCTCTGGTGTTCCCGTCGCTGGCGTTGTTGCCAAGCTCGACGCGCCGCCGAAAGTGAAGGGGGTATCTGAATGGCCATTAGTGTTGTGTTTGCGGGTCTGAGATGTAGAGGCTGGTAGCTCGTACTTGTACCTGTTGATGTTCCCCCACCAGGAGCTAGACCACCACTAAATACCGGGGTTGACGAGAGGGGCTTCTGGGAGAATATCGAGGGAGCGCCCGGCACGGACGGGCCTAAACCAAAGCTGAATACGGATCCGGTCTGGGTGTTGAACATGTTGCTCTGTTGAGTGTTTTGTTGAGTTGCCTGAGAGCTAGTATCCGATGCGCCGCCAAAGCTAACATTGGGGGCCGGGGCGTTGGCTCCAAACTGAAACGAAGAAGACTGGCTGCCGCCGTCGTTGCTACCGCTGCCAAAATTGAAGGAGGTTGGCGCCGAGGCATTGCCGTTGGATGCAAATGGGTTATTAATTATGTTGTTGTCCGTACCGCCAGCCGAAAAGGTGAAAGACGCGCCTCCGCCAGTTCCGAATAGGGAGCCGATGGGCTGCGATGCAGCCGGCTGCGAGGGTGCTGGCGTCTGAGAGCTATTGAACCCAAAGATGGACCCGGAAGGGGCCGGCGTAGCAGCAGGAGTAGAAGCGCCAAACATCAACGATGGCTGCGTTGTTTGCGCAGGGGTCGAGCCAAAGAGGGGCTTTAACTTGTCGGATACGTTTGATGCCTGCCCACTAGTCGCGCCAAACATGTTTTTGGTCTCAGGCACTGGGGCTGCTGGTGTAGTAGAGGCACCAAAGAAGCTATTGGTGGCTGAGGGAGTCGCCGGCTTTCCAGCTCCGAGGGCAGCCGGGGTGGACGCAGGGAACCCGAAGAGTGAAGCACCTGCTAGTTTGGCTTCACTAGTTCCAAACGCCGGTTTCTTTGCGGCTGGTTCGTTGGCTGCGGAAGCAGGAGGATTCGACAGCGCGCTAAAGATGCTGGCCGTAGAAGAGGGGGCGGCAAATATAGATGCCTGCTTAGGGGTTGACTCTGCAGGAGCCTTTCCAAAGAAGTTCTCTGGTTGTGCTTGAGGCGGCTTTGCGTCCTCGAGCTTGCTCTGAGCACCAAACAACGTCGAAGACTGGAACACCGACGCGGGCTTCGAGGCTTCTAGCGCCGCTGCGGCAGGCTTTACTCCGAACAGAACCGAAGTCGCGGGGGCTGGAGTAGCGTCGGGCTCTTTGGAATCGCTCTTTTCTTTCGGCTGGCCAAATGCTGGCGTGCTTGAGCCGAAGAGCTGGCTGCCGGTGCTGGCCGACGGGGTCTGTTTGCCAAAAACAGGGGGCGCACTAGGAGTATCTGTTGACTTGGACGGGAAAGAAAAGGCAGACGGGGCCGGAGCCACCTTGGGGGTCGCCTGGGCGGCGGCACTAGGCTCCGTCGAGGCTTTTGGTTGAGCACCAAAGAGATTTGTCTTGGGAGCTTCTTGAGGAGCGCTCGGCTCATCCTTCTTCAGTGTCGCAGGGGCTCCAAAGCTAATAGCCGACGAAGTGGCTGGTTTTGCTACAGCTGATGCAGAAAAGAGCGTGGGAGCCGGGGCCGAAAACTTGATGGGAGTACTTGTGTTCCACGTGTTGTTCGCTGGGGGAGCGGCAGGGGAGGCAGGCTGTTCTTTGACTGGGCTCACGGATCTCTCCCTGTCGGAAGCTGGGGCAAACAGCTGAGCATTCCCTTCCTCGGGGGCAAGTTTGCGAACAGGCTGCCCGTCACTTCCTCTAGTAATGCGATCAAAAATGCTCCGTCCCTGGGCCTGGGACGCCTCTCCTGCATCCGAAGACGAGCTCGAAGTACCATCCGTCACTGTGGGTTTCATAGACGTGCCGAACTGTGGCGTTGACACCTCGACACTAGCCGCGGCGCTCTGGTCGTCACTCGGACTGGCTCTTTGGAGCTCCGACTCTTCTTCCTCTTCCTCGTCGGCATTGGTCGAGGTCTCGCCCTCAGAATCGGCGTCCTTGCCGCTGCTCCCCTTGCTAGCGTCCGAGAGATGGCTAAATATATTGGATGTGGCGGAGGGGGCATGAGAACTAGTCTCCAGGATAGATCGACCAAGATTCCCATTAGACAACTTAGGCCCAGCAATGGAGCCGAAGACGCTATTCTTGGCAGTCGATTTTGCGGGAGTAGTTGAGGCGGTTGTGCTCGAGATAGCGTTATTCGCGATACTTTCAAATACTGACTTGGTGGCAGACGGCGTCTTCTGAGGCGTTGAGGTGGTGCTGGGTCTGAATAATTTGGCAGGCTGGTTCTCGTCAGGCTCGCCATCGGCCTTCCGCTTGTTCTTGGAGAAGACGGGAGGCACCTCGGGAGCACGAGTTCGCTTATTACCGTTCGAGGACGACGCCGTCAAAGCCGTATCGTTTGGCGTCAAATCAACGTCCGCCTTCCTCTTAGAACCACCATTCGCTTTGAAGCTCGGAACTCGCTCCGCCTCATCGTCAGAGCTTGGGATTCCGTGCTTCTGCTTCCACTCCTTCTTCACAGATTCCGACGCCCTCACTGTCTTGAACTCATACAGACCGTAGCGCAGCATTATGAGGCTGCGGCTCTTTTCGTACTCCTTGGCGAAGTTCATTACGTTTATCTTCCAGTCCTTCTTTGCGAAAACCTCGTTCGCGGCATATTTCAGCCGCCGAAGGTCAAGGATGCAAAAGAACTGGCGCCTCTGCTGGTCGTCGAGGTCGGGCGGGCAGTAGTGTGCAAGAAACTCGTCGGCATAGACCGACCCAGTCCGACCGGAATCTTCAGGAACCTCCTTGGCTAGCATCTCGCCAGTGAGGTGGCGCGGTGGCGAAGGAATTCTCATCTTGAACAGCTCGGTCGAGGCAGTGTGGTTCAGTCCACGGCCATTAACATCAGCGGTCGAGCCTCGCGGCACTCTTCCGGGCGTGTTCGGGGGAAGCTCTGCTTGATCGTGTTCGCCGGGACACGAGGCGAGAAAGTCGGGATGCCCGGCCTATGAAGACCCGAAGACCGAAAAATGTTGCGAGGCGTGGTAGCAGCACCTGAGAAATTTGTGGTCTTGTAGGGCTGTGTTGGGGCATGGGACATGGTCGACGAGGCGAATGGCGAGGGCTTGTTCGGGTTGTCACCCGGCATCCTCCTCGGCATCGCAGCGACCGAGCTCGAAAAGCTGCTCATCTTGTTCCCATTCGCCGAAGGACGCGAAAAGTCGGACGCATTCATGGTCTGAGAGAGCTTGCTGGCAGGGCCCTGGGGTCGGCCGTGTATCTTGCGAGAGGCCAGTTGAGAGTCGGAGGCGCGCTTCGCAGGGCTCTCGGGCGCCGACGCGCTGCTCGGCTCGACACGTGGTAACGCGACCAGCTCGCCCCCTCCAGCATTCCCGGCCGAGTCGATATTCGTAACTGGTGCGGGCGAGGCCGGGGCCGCGCTACGAAATATGTTGGAGAAGCCAAAAATGCTTCGCTTCTTGGCTGGGGGATCCATCACGAGGCGGGACCGGACCGACGACGGGTACGGGATCGCGACGGCGGTCAAGGGTAGGGAAAAGCGGGCACCCGAGATGGCGACCGAACTAGCGTGGCAGAGATGCAATCAGATTCGATGTCGCGTGCATGAATCTCGATGGGGCACGCGTTCGGGTCGCGTCTCGAGGTTGGGCGACGCCCGAGGAACGAGGCTTTTGGGCTGGAATGGGGTGTGATTTTGGGGGGCTACGCGCGATCGGCTGGCTGCCCAGAAAACCCCAGAAAAGTCGACACAGACACACTAAACAGGTCCGCCAACAATGGGAAAGGAAAGCGACAGGGCGGTTTCAATGGCTTTGCCGATGGAAATGCGCATCGAACAAGCCGTGTGCCCTGTCGAGGCAGACAGGCACGATGAATGATGGCGCACCAGGTGATGGTTGGGTGTTTTGGGGGAATGCCTCTTGTGACCCTTTTTGCTTGACGGCGCAAGAAAAAAAAATTGAGGTGCCCTTGTTAAGCGTGGGAGCTGGGGCCTTGATGGCACACTGAAAGGATGTGCACGGACCAGCCGCACCTTGAGAGATCGTCGACTTTCGTCAGAGGCAGGGGCGAAGGGGCCTTAGGCACCTTCTTAGAATTTGGCGGGCGGAAGCAGCGCAACGCCGAGAAAATGCACCCCTATCATTTTAGGCCGGACGCAACCGTAAATGAGGCAGCTTGGAAGTGCAAAGCTTCTTGTTTTTTTTTCCCTCTTCTTATTTTTTATTTTCTTCGACCAGAGTTCCATTCTATTCTACCGCAGAATCGAGCCCTGAAATTCTGGCCAACTGACAATTGTTTTAGGGCTAGAACTGTGGTCGGTCGCGCACCCCCCCATACCACACCTGATTCATCAGCGAACCACATCCATCTCTGCTTCTGGATGACGCGCATTGATTGGCCCAGACACCTCCAGGAAGGAGACTGACTGGGTCAATCGTCGAGCAGCCTGGCCGCCTCCCTTTGGGAAGTACCCGGGAATTTTGCCCTCGGTGTCGCACCACCCTGGCTCGGAGAGCCAATCGCTTCGATGCTGTTTGCTGAAAAAAAGCTGATCGAACACACTTTTCTCTCCTGCATCTACGCAAAATAGTATTTGTATCGCGGTTTCCCAAATCGTGTGGATACGGCGAAAAGCGGATTGAAACGGCCAAAGCTCGGGTGGGATTTATAGGCCGGTTACGACCAATAAAAACCCAGGGCACACCTTCCAGCATTGCTTTTGGAGCTAGAGTTGTTGCTCGCTGGTCGAGGTAGGAAGCTACGCACGTGCTACCTCACCTCCCTGACTCGTCTCACGAATAGGCTGTTTCGATGCGCTTTACATACAAAGGTTGACTACACAGCAGGCAGGTAGGTAGGCCTTGCAATTTGTTTATTCAATGGAAATAATGCGTCAGAACCCGAAAGGAAACATTAGCCCGCAGGCAGCTTTGAAAGCCATTAGAATATATAGACAACCGGGAGCATCGCTGCATATCCGACATTGATGTGCAGTCAATCCCTGAGTGTTGGCGCGGTTCAGAGGCTCGGGTCAAAAAAAGGGTCGCCCTTCCCCCAACATTCAGGGACTGGACTGCATGCAGGTGGCATGCGGAATGGCCTGAACTGACATATAGGCAGATATATTTCACATATAGGGTGAATGTGCATAGATAGGCGTGAATACCCATTGCTCCAACAGGCACTTCGCGCCTCCCAGTCTCACGGGACATGTGTCCAACGGGACAAGCCAAATGCAATGCAACGCATATTGCTATCCTCTCAAGACAAGGACAAAAAAACGCCAATAACGGCATGCCGTGGCACATGGCAACTACTGTACAGTTCCAACGTCTACACCCTCACTTCCATCCGAAATAGCAAACGTCGCCGCCCACTTTTCCCCATGCTCGGATATTAAACTCCTCTCGAAGCTCTTCCTACTAATCAAAAACGTTGCTTCATTTTTGGAGGTTGCCAGCTCCTTTTCTGTCGCCAATTTACAACTTGGCCTTAGTCTGGGCCTTCTTGAGGATGGGGTCTAGCTTGGTGGCCTTCATGACGTCGCCCTTGATCTTGAGCTTGCCCGACATGAATAATCGCTGGGCATTGGCCTTGCCAGCGACGAGGCTACCGAAGTCGGCCTCGGAGAGCTGGAGGGTCACTTTTCAAAGGGGCGGAAGAGATGAACATTAGCGCACGTGATATCCCACCAGCTTTGGGGCGTTGCTGCGACTAACCTGTGGGCTTCTCGCCCAGGCCCTTGCCAACCGTCCCCTTGTTCTTGAGGTCAATGTGCCAGCTGTCGGTCTCGCCGGCCGCGTTCTTGAGCGTGAAGGCGAACACGGCGTTGCCCTGCTTGATGGCGTCCTTGCGATCGGCCTCGCTGGCACTGATGGCCGTGTTGATGGCGTCAAAGGCGGCTGAGGAGGGGAACTTGTCTGTGGCCGAGCGGCAAATGTCTTAGCTTATCCGTCCTGTCGTGGTACACGATTGTCTGGCGGCCACGGGTCGCGTGCGCACACAAAACCCAGTGCGCGAGGCTCTCCGTGGTGAATGGACGTGGGGGGCCGCCAGCGCCAGCGGCAGCTTACCGTTCTTGAGAGACATGGTGAATGCGGTTTTTGGGGTTGAAGGTTTGGGGCTCGGCAATGAGTGACTGTGGGGAGCGGAGAAGGTGGGAGAGGCGATGCAGGGTGACGGCTTCCAGGTGAGTTATAACAGTTTGTGGTAAAAGGGGGAGGGAGTAGTGCTCAGAGGCTTGATGGAGAGGGAAACTTTAAAGAGAGGCTCGGCCTCGACGACGGCCCTTTTTTTTTAGGGGGGACTCGTCCGGATGCGATGACGCCGGTTGTCTTGTCCGCCCGCACATGTGAATCGAACCTCGGCGCATTCCACCTCGCAAGCTCCCTCCAAAAAGGTGGGGAGCAATGTCAAGTCAGCTGCGCGGGCGGTTCATCAGCCCGAATGGCGCGTGCTGAAAGACAGTTAGCGCCATTGCCATGGCTAGGGCAGGCACTGAAGCCTCCCCGGTTTGTTACCCCACATGGGGCGGAAGCCTGCTTTCTGCTGGAGTGTCGAACTGTCGATGGGAGCAGCTTGGCCCCGCACGAGTCACAAGCTTCGACCGCTTACCACCCGCGCTTTCCTCCTTACTCACTGCACAGCAAACTGACTAGAGTTGGGCGCTTAGTAGCAACCTGGACCTGAATTGATGCGAGAAATTTAACCTAACGAGTCCAACCGCCTCTAAGGTAATTTCAATTTTCTCTCCAACACTGCCGGTATCATCCCAAATCACTAAGTCTCGAATACTGTACAAAGTACAAACTAATGGTCCTGATAACACTCAGTACTCGGCCAAGACTTCATCGGTCCATTCCCACAGCTTCTTTGCGAGTTCTTCGCTCTTCGCGGCCTTGTCGAACATCTTGTCGCTGAGGACGCCAATAGGCATGTAAAAGGAGCCGTTGGACATGTCGCTCCTCTTATAGGTGGCGGCCCAGATCTGGTTGTATGCGCCCTTATCAGGGCTCGTGAATGCGTCGCCCGTGACTTTGATACTCCATTCCACAAACTTCCTCTTGGCCACGGGCAGCGACGAGACCAGCCCCGTCTTGATGACGCCCGGGTGCAGCGACACGCTAAGGATGTGAGGGTGTCGTCGGGCGAGCTCGGAAGCGTAGATGACGTTGGCGAGCTTGCTCTGCCCGTAGCGCACCCACGACCCGGCCAAGCCTTCCTGCGTCGTGCGCACCTTGTCGAACTCGATGCCCTGTCTCGGGTGGCCGCGCCAGCCCGTCGAGGTCAGGCAGACGACGCGCACGTCCGAATCCGGCTGCTCGGCTGTCCGGTCCAGCATGGGCAGCAGCTGCTGGATTATCATGGCGTGCGCCAGGTGGTTGATGGCGAACTGGATCTCGAAGCCGTCCTTGCTGAGCCCCGCCGGAAGAGCCATGACGCCAGCATTGCACATGAGGAGGTCGAGGCGGTCGTGCGAGAAGTTGGCCGCGACGGCGGCTTTGACCGATGCCAGCGAGGTCATGTCCAGCGCGACAAAGGTCAGGCCCACCGCCGGCTTCTTTTCCTTCACCTCAGCGATGAGCGACTCCGCCGCCTTGACATCGCGCCCTGTGAAGTAGATGTGCGACGGGTCGTGCTGGGCCAGCAGGCCGACGGACTCTCGGCCTAAGCCAGCGGTTCCTGGCGAGTGTCAGTCTTGGAAGCCCGAGGTTTAGACACATATACCGAAAACACCCAAGTTACCTCCAGTGATGAAAACCACTCTGCCGTCCAGTGATGGGATTTCCTTTTCCGGGTCGAAGTCCACAAAGCCCTCGAGTCGTGGCATGTTGCCGTTATGCTGTTGTTGATCTTCGGTCTATCTTTGGTCTCGGCTAGTTGGGATCGCAGTCGATCTGTTTGGATGCTCGAAGCCTATCCAACATATTAGATGGTTGATTGAGAGCGCGGCTATTTTTATATGCGGTCATTATGTCTCAACACCTCGTGCATTCCTGACGAGACGTCTTGGAGCGCAATGACGAGTGGACGTTTTGTGTCCTGGAAGGAGTTGATCGGCTGGCCTAACAAAGGACGTCAAGCAGCCACACATCCAAATCGGGCCCTAGTGCATAAGCAGAGTGCATAAGCAGGGGTTGGACCACAGCCCATTGGATGGTTGCCGTGTTGGGGGCTTTCCGGGTGCACACCCCGGCCGCGACCTGGGTTGCAGTTCTGCGGTCTGCTTGTGTATAAAGGGGGCCGGACTCGTGGGCGTCCACACCTCAGAAGCCGACATGTAGAGTCCACATCATCAGAGAGCTGCGAGGATAAGCAGAGTGCATGAGACGGCGTGTAGCATACGGCACCTAAGATGGCACAGCTAGAACCGCGCACCGTCGTGGTGCTTATGAGGCAGCGCCTCAGCGAGGTATAGTGCAGATTGATATCAGGCGTATCCCGGCCGACCTGCTAAGAGAAGCCTTGTGACAGGTCCGCACCGATGACGACGACTGGACCGGCCTCACGAGTCCGGCCGAGAGGAGGAGGCGGCAGAACAGACTCCATGCTCGAGCCTGGCGTAAGTCTAGTCCACTCTGACCGGGCCATCTCGTGCTCCGACGAGACTGGAGGCACGGCCTCTCGGCTTTTTTTACTATCCGCTACCCATGGAGCGGCTGTCTTATCGGAGAATAGGGGAGCCCCAGTTAATGCGGTCCCGGCATTAGGAAAGCGGAAGGCGGCCCAGCAGCAGGCAGAGCAACCAGGGACGGCATCTGGGCTGGTCTTAGCCTCCTCGGCAGGGCGATCCGAGCCAGCTGAGCATGGGGGTTCAAGGGCTTCTGTTCAGAAACTCTTGTCTGGCATGAACATTGGCCCTCCCGACCCTGCCACGTTATCTCTGTTCCGGCATGATGATGCCGAGCCGGATGGACAGGATCTACCCGGTGACAGACAGGATGTGCGGCTTGTCAGCGACCCAGCGCCAGCGCCAGCCGGCCAGTGGCAACTCGACGTAGTCCACCACCACCACCATTACCACCACCTGCCCCCCAACCCGAGCCAGGTCCAGCATTACTACCACTTGCCCCCCAACCCGAGCCAGCTCCAGCACCAGTCCAAGCACAAGCACAGCCACTACTCGCCCTACCTCTCGTGGCTCGCCACTGGCCCGCAGGAACGCCCGCCCCTCATCCCACCCCTGATTCCCTACGTGACGCCGGACTCGGGGCCGACGATCCCGAAGCCAGATCTCATCTTCCCACTATCGCCCGACCATCTCTTCATCACGATCGTGCAGTACAACGTGCTCCGCGGCACCATGACCAACATGGTCATCCTATCGCTGCTCGACACGCTGCCGATGGAATGCTCTGCTGCGTTGCATATCCAGACGGAGTACCGCAACCCGGGCCGCGCCGGCACGGTGCCCGAGGCGCTGATGCCGACGGAGCTGCAGCGCACGGTGGCGCACGCGCCGTGGTGAGTTGGTTTTTGCTTTCTCGATGGTTTGTTGGTTCGTCCCTGTGATGCGCGTCATGTTGGCATAGACGAGAGAAAGGAGGAGAGAAAAGAGGAAGGGGGGCTCTCTGCTAGTTCTCTTACACTCCAGTTCACAGAAGACATTGCACAGCGCTCTTTGCTCTCCCCCCTCGAACACCCTTCCTACACACCATTTGCGACACTCTCGCATACATATAAACGCTCTCGCCAGCCCATCTATCTACTCACCCTCATCAGCACCAGCCCTCCACCTCACCTAGGCAACCCCTATTCACCCCCCCTAGCCACCGCCATAACCTCCAGCCGCCATCTTCCATCACACATTGGACATGGAAAATGTAAACATAAAGCTAACACACCCCCCCTCGACCCGCAGGATCGACACGATCCCCTCGCCACAGCTACGCGACAACCTGATCCTGCTCGACGGGCAGTACGACCAGGACGAGCTGTGCAGTGACGTCATGGGCGGGCTGTTTGAGGGATTCAACGAGGCTGCGGTGCGCGGCTGGATCCTCTGTGAGTTTTGTTTCTCTCCCCCCCTCCTCTGGCTATTCCATCTATTGTATCTAATATGGGCGGTATAAACAGGGAAGGAGCCGTGGGACACGCGCGGGTGGGAGGTGTCGGCGGGCTTTGCGCGCAAGTGGGCGTTTCTGCTGCGCGGGTGCACGTCGGTCAAGGCGGCGACCAACGCGTGGCGCGAGAGCCGCGGCGAGGAGCCGTTGGTTTTTGAGCTGTGAGCTTTGGTCTGGTTGTTCGTTCATTTGTTTAGGATGGGCTAGGTTCACCAGTCATTTGGGTTGGGTTGGGTATGGTATGGTATGGTATGGTAAGCACGGGAGAAGTAAACACTGGAGAATATTCGGCAAGGTAGGTAGATAACTCGTTGCTTTTTCTGTGGTGGTTCCCAAGGTACTTTTTTAGGTGGGAGATTGGGTGAGTTATTGCTTCTTGCTTCTTGCATAACGAATACTCCCCCCACGAGTATATGATAGGCAGGTAATTATCACGTCTCAAAAACTTTACACGACCGAACAACCAACACTTACAAGAGCCCGCCAGCCAGCCACAAAGACAACTCGCTGCATTACTCATTACATTTATCTAGATGTACATGTACATTACCTCTCACTACACCACTCCCCCCACCGCAGCCAGCCCGCACGCTAGAACCCACCCGATCACCATCCCCATCCCCATCCCCCCTGTCCCCATCCTCGCAGCACCATTCCCATCCTTCCCACCGCCTCCGCTCCCCCCACCGCCTCCACCCGCAACGCCGGCGCCGGCACCTGCAGCATCGCGCAGATACGCGGCCACCAGCCCGCCCCAGGCGCCGCGGTTCGCGTCCTGCGCCGTCGCCACGCCCGCTCCACCGCCAGCACCGGCATCATCGTACACGACATTGGCAGTGGCCTTGGTGGCGAGCGAGAACCAGTACAGGTCCTTACTCCCCAAACCGCCGACGTACGCCGCGTTGAGCTGGCACACACCTGCGGTGGCGGCGCACGCGGCGTCGCGCCAACCGTTGTCGGCCATGCCGTTGAAGAAGGCCCACATGGCGGCGCCGTGGACGGTGGTTGTGGAGGTGTTGAATGCGTGCAGCGCCCACGCGCGGAAGCACTGCGCGTTGTCCTGCGCGTTTTGGGCGGCGCAGTTGGCGAACGTCGGGTCGTCTGCCCATGGCGATGGCGATACCGAAGGAAAGGGGGAAAAGGGCGCCGGCGCGCGTTGCGGCGTGTTGGCGCCCTGCCAGTAGGGCGGCTCCGTCTGCAGGCCCGTCGCGAGCACGTTGGAGCTGTTGTGGAATCCGTACTGGTAGAGGGTTGTGTGCTCGAATGATGTTCCGACTAGCCATACGGGCCCCGGCGAGCTCTCGACGAGGACCCCCCGGCCGACGGCGATGTTTTGGGCTGTTGACGGGTCGTCGAGGTTGTGGTCTGGTTCGGGCGGGCGCTTGTTAGTGAGATGCGAGATGGAGGGGGAATGAGAGGAAGAGAAGGTAAACCTACCAGCAACCCATCCCCAGAAGCCCTCGAAATACGCCGACGCCGTCTTGGCCACGTGCAGCAGCGCGAAGGCGGCCTTGCAACTGGCCGGGTCCGGGCCCGCGCACTTGTCCGTGCTGCCGATCAGCGAGTCGAGCGCCCCGCCGACGCGCACGACGCAGTTCCACAGGCCGACGTCCCCCGGGGTCGCGCCGGCCATGTTGACCTGCACGGCCACCGCGCCGGGCAGCACGTCGGCCACAGTCACCAAGAAATCGGTCAGCTGCGCCACGCCGCGGTCGCCGGGCTGGCCGACGCGGATTATGGGTCGCGGGTTGTCGCCGTCGCTGAAGTTGGCCCCCGCGCCCGAGATGACGCTCAGCACGTCGCCCACCAGCCGGCTGCCCGCCGGTACTTCAATGGTCGAGTTGGTCCGGTAGATGCCCTGCGGGAAGAAGACGATGTGGCAGGCGGCCGCCGCCTTGGCTAGGATGGCGTTGATGGCCGGGCCGTCGTCGTGCGAGTCTGTATTTTTTTTTTGTTTTTGTCAGACGTGTTTTTTTGTCTCTGTGAGACTGATGGGTGGACACGGCAACTTACTATCGCCGTAGATGCGGAACTGCGCGTCGGCCATGACGTTGACGACCTGGTCGGCGCCGTACTTTTCGTACTGCGGCAGGGGGGCCGTGAAGTATTTGCCGTTAGTGACGAGGCTGGCCGGCCGGTTGATGGTGTAGGTCTGGCCTGACTGGTAGTTGCCAGGGTTACTGGGAGTCATGTGTGTTAGCGGCACCACACAGATGGGGAACGAGACGAAAAGGGGATGCTCAGAGAAATAAAAGCAATAAAACAAAAAAGGACTCACGTATTCCCCATCACCCACGCCTGGCCCGCTGCCACAGCGCCCGCAAGCAGCGTGGAGCCCGTCGAGGACCTCACGGCGGTAGCGTTGCTGACGGCGAAGTTGTCGAGCACGAGCGAGGCGCCGCCCTGGCTCTGGGCCGAGACCAGCACGTTGACGCCGGCGGCGCAGTTGGTGGCGGACGAGTCGACGACGGACACGGCGCCCACGACGCCGTCGCCGGCGGCAGAGGCAGTGCCGTTGGTGCGGGCCATGTCGACGCCGTACAGGCAGTTGCTGAAGGCGCAGCCCTGCACGGTGACGACGTACGCCGTCTTGACGTAGATGGCGGTGGCGCAGCCGTCAAAGGTCAGGCCCTTGAGCAGGTACTGCTGGTTGAACAGCTCGATGCCGACGGCGCCGCCCTTGAACGACTACTCGAGAATTAGCTGCTGTCGTTGGTCTGCTGCAGGAAGAAACTCACGCAGTCGGAAATGACGTTGCCCGAGCCGCCGTTCTCCATGGTGATGCCCGTGTGGTTCGAGGCCGGGGGCATGACGACGTGGACGTTGGTCAGACTGCAGCCCTGGGAGACGGACCAGTCGAGGGCGCGGGCGTAGACGACGGGGGCGATGGCGGTGGTGTCCATGACAAAGTTGCGCAGGGCCATGTAGAAGTTCTTGTTGGCGCTGCCCTCGCCCTGGTGGGCGTCGTAGCCGCGCACGACGGGGCTCGCGTCGAGGGCCGGGTCGGCGAGCAGCGTCGGCGGGTCCAGGGCGTCGCCGACCAGGAAGGTGTTGACGAGCAGCTGGATAGGCTTGCGGATGCGGTAGCGGCCGGGCGGCACGTAGACGTACGCCGGCAGCGTGGTGACCGTGTTGGCCGTCCGGTTCCACGCGGTCACGGCGTCGTTAAAGGCCTGCGACGAGTCCTCGGCCCCGGTGGCGTCGGCGCCGTAGGCCACCACGTTGCGGTAGTGCTGGAACGTGGCATCGGCGCTGTGTGGCGTGGTGCCGTTGTGGTCGGCCACGGCCCGCCACCACTGTTGCGGTGGCGGGTTGGACGCGACGGGGCCCGAGCACGTCGCCGCCGTCGCCGAAGACCACGATGCCGCGGCGGCCCACACGAGAGAAGCGGCCCTCATGGTGGCAGACTGACTGACTGATCTAATTGCTTGGCTTGATCAAAACCAGGTTGTCAAAATCACGGCCACGCCCATCGTTTTGTTTCAAGTAAGCTGTGTAAGCTGTGCAGTGAAAGTCATGTCAGACAGACTTGGCAGTCAGCTTCACCCCCAAATCCAGTTCTCAATTCGGAATCCAAAAGTCAAGTCAAGACGAGACGAGACGAGACGAGACGAGACGAGACGATGCAACCGCGGCGCGGGAACTGCCACGCCGCAGCGTCCGACTAGTGCATTCTAAATGTACAGCTGAATGCCTCAGTTGGTCCGAATCGGGGGTGAAGCTGACGGCCGCAATCTGCCGCTGCCGCATTGGTGCCAGTGTCAGGCGGGCACGCGGCGGCGGCTCAGTCAGCTTCAGGGGCCGAATATACAGAGGTACTTAAGCTTCCATGACTAATCCGGCTCACCACCACCACCACCACCACCACCACCAGTCTCAGCCAGACGCGAACCTTGATGGTCGTCGGCACCTAAGATGGAAGTCTCAAAGAATACATAGCACGCCTTCCTCCAAACTGACATACAATTGCAGATTCCAAGTTACTGTACCAAAGTACTCAGACGTTAGTTACCACGAGTAAGGTACGAAGCGCTTCAGAATGGCCAGCCAGGAAGGGGTAGCTGAACGGCCTTTTCATTGTTTTTATTGCCTCCGGCCGCCCTCCGGGGGCGCCTGCGGCGAGCTGCTCGCTGTGCTCGGAAGCCGTCATTTCACAGTTCCATCTCTAGCAAACGAATGCTGAGAGTCAGTTAGCTGAGCAGTCTAACCGACGAGCACAGTAGCTTCAGTGGCTCCGTTCGTTCACCTAAACCAAGTACCTTGTTTAAGGATGGCCCTTTACTAAGGGAACCTCACATCATTCAGCCAGTGATTAATATGGACCCCTCCAACTGCAAATAGCCTGTTCTATGGCTCGTGTCCGAGGCGTGGCGTGGCGGCCATGGGTGCTGGTAGCAAATGGCAAGAGCGAGATACAGCATAGCAAGATTCGACAATAGAGACAGGTTGCAACAGTACAGGAGTAGCATAGAACTCTGGTTAACTGTGGTACACCAATGTGTCTTTTATATGTGTGTTATTTCATTGTTTTGGCGTTTACCCCTTTTCCCCTGTACAGCCTGGCTCGAGCGAGGGGGAAGAGGGTGCTGGCTCAGCTATTCTCCTGTAAACAACAACAACCAGACCAACCAGAAAGCAATCTCATAAAGCTCAAAGTCAAGAAATAGACAAGTACTGCTAAACCACTAAAGCCCAAATGCCTACCGATTACAAGTTCTGAAGGTCATGTAAGTTACCCAACATGCCCAAACTAGCCAAAGGCACGACCAAGACACCGACAACAACCAGCCAACCATTCAAAACACGAACAGCTCACGTGACAATCGCTGCCACAAACATTGCCTATCTATCTATTGAACCTCTACTGCCTGTATGTACAATAAGATATCTCGAGGTATGTTGCGGCAGTTACATCTTCATGCGAGTTGCAATTACTAAACTAAACTAAACTTCACGTGGATGGTGATTAGCTCAAGAAGGAAAATACACCGGGATAGGCTTACTCAAATGTTTAGCGTATTACCAGCCCTAAGCAACACTGGCCGGCTTGGCTGCGGCGCTGTTCAACCCGATGTGTCTGATAGGCACATACTTGATAATCCAAGCGTGTAAAGGGGCACCAGTATAGCCCTTGCCATCTTCAGTCAACAACACACGCACAAGCACTGCAACTCTTTGGGGTTATATCTTGCTTGGCTTTATTCATTCACGTCATGTCGTGTCTCTGCCAGCCAGCCGTGGCGCGCATCCGTCTCGCTACACCTTCGCGCGCAAGTTGCCTTCGAGCTAGCTAGCTAGCTACCCGGTCACCAAGTCTACCGAGACAGTTTCCTTTCTGTCCCCTCAAGGACATTCCCTCAAGCATACCCCCTCACGAACAAGAGCGAAAATAAAAGCAGTCATGTCTCATCCCTTCTATCCCTGTCGCCGACAAACAGCCTGGGCATCTTTTGCGCCCCTGCCTGCCACTTTTCTGTATCTCGGGGTATTTTCCACACCAGCACGCTCCCGCAAAAACATATGTTGCGGCTAAATGCCCGCCGTAACCCCCGTCATGAGGTCCTCGTCGTCGAACGTCAACTCGAAGCCCATAGCCGCCGAGTTCGGCCCCGAGCCGTCTTTGTCCCGCTTCTGCTCCTGAACCAGATAGCGCAGGTACTCGGGCCGCGTGCCCAGCCGCTCGCTGGCCGCCTTCACTATGGGGCCCAGGTCCTTAATGCGCTGGGCCGCCGCCAGCATCTGCGCGGCGAACTGCTGCTCCGAGAGGTCGTCCGCCGGCGACAGGAAGTGGAGGTAGGCCGGCTGCGGCGGCGTGCCGTCGTCGCCCTCCTCGGCGGGCGCCGGCTTCTCGATGACGCCGTGCAGCATGCCGTCGCCAATCATACTCTCCACCAGCGCCTCGATCTCGGCCTCGGTCTCGAGCGGCGCGCCCGTCTCTGCGCTCTGCGTCTGCGCGCGTATCTGCTCGAGCGAGATCTTGGTGTAGGCCTCGCCGAGGTTGACAATCTGCCAGCGCTGGTAGTGGGAGAGCACGAGCTGCATCAGCCCCAGGTTGCCCTCCTCGGCTAGGCTGTACTGCCCCAGGGAAAAGACCTCGGCCTTGATGGTCTCGGCCGTGAGCTTCTCGAACGCCTTGCCAATCGCCGTGTACGCCTTGCCGAGCGTCGCGTACGTCTTTTGCGCGGGCTGGGACGTCGTGGGCGGCAGCGCGGGCATCTTGCCCGTGAGCAGCAGGCCGACGAGGACCCACTTGTTGTGTGCGTCGACCATGATCTTGCTGCAGGCCAGGTCCTTGGTGGGGTACGTGACGACGCGCTCCAGGGCGTCAAAGGCCTGCTGCCACATGCGGCGCTGGATGAAGCACAGGCCGCACAAGAGGTCGTACCGCAGTACCGAGGAGCTGCTGAGCTTTGCCGTCAGGCCCGACTCGGGGGTCAGATATGCAGCGAGGGCCAGGGCCGGGTCGCCTAGCAGGCCCTTCTCTGCGGCAGCGCCCTTGACGCCGGGGTAAAAGACTATCGTCTTCTCGAGGACGGGGAGGGCGGGCTCAATGTTGTTCGTCTCGTAGGCGAGGCTCACCAGCGAGAGGTGGTGCGAGGTCAGCATGGAGCCGGCAGGGTTGAGTCGGAGGATGGCTGTGGCGAGCACGTCGACGGCGACGGAAGCCTTGTGGGTGTTAGTAGACTGAACATGTGGTGCCAGAGTAGCCTGACCCCAATCTGGCAGAGTAGCCTGAAAATGTAGCGGCAGAATACAACTCACGGGCAACAGCTCGTTACTCGCGACAAGGTCGAGCAAACGGGAGAGCGCGGAGCCGACATATCGGATCTGGCGGGGGTCAAAGGTCATGAAGAAGGCGGTGACTCTGGGGAGGACGGCGAGGCGCTGGGGCTGGGTAGTTTTCTCCGAGGCCAGGATGGACTGCAAGAGGGCCAGGTACGAGATGGAGTTGACGGCCGGGTTGACGTGCTCGAGGAGCAGGGGGGCCAGGCTCGCCAGGTTGGTCGTGGTGTCCTTGAGGAGCCTCTCGGCCTGCTGCACATGGGCGGTAACGGCCTTGTGGTATTTTTCGAGAGTCGGCAGGTCGCCGTCTGGCGGGAAGGCCAGCAGAACGGAGGCGGCGTTGTCCATGGCTGCCGGGTGCGGTGGCGGACGTGATCTGATTCGGGATGGGTGGCGCAGACAGCCGATCTAGCGGCGGGGAGCTCGAGGTAGCGAGGGACCTGCAAGTTCAAATTAGGGCTCGCTCGACTCTTGGGTGCTGCACCTCGGTCGGGCCTCCAGTCGCATGCCTCGCGGTCGGTCGGCTGGCTGGGTGTGCGGCTCAGTTGAGGGGCCCTTCGCCGGCCAGTATTTTTCGATTTGCTGTGTGCTGTGTGCTGTGTGCTCCGTGGGGAGGCCAGGCTGCCGGTGCACGAGACGAAGTGAATGAAGCTCCCCGCGATTTGTCGCGAGGCAGCATTGGAGTGGGCCCCACTTAGCAAGGGTCACGGCTGCAGCTGGGTGCAGGGGCTGTAGTGGGGTACTGTGTAGTCAAACCCCAGAGGCAAGCCACTGTGGCACTAACAACGTCTCGTCGTGGAACGACACCAGGTTTCACGACATGCGGGCCACATCTATCTCAGTCACCAGCAACGTAGCTCGACAGTCGCACCCGAGACAGCTATTAGATAGCTACCCAGAGTCTACGGAACTGAACGGCCTTTTTTCTTTCTTTCCTTTTTGCCTTCGGCGGCCCTCCGGGGGCGCCTGCGACAGGTTGCTCGCTACGCTCGAAAGTCGCTCTTTCCTTCAAATACCTAGTTTATGCGATCGACCAAACCCTAGTCGAGAAACATTCAGTGCAGAAATGGAGTTGGGAAGACAGTCTCGATCCGTTCAGCTGAACAGGCTACATCTTAAGACATGCAACTCGTTCTGGGTACTTATCTCCCCAAATCAACTCACCCAAGACAGTCACACAAGCAAGGAAGCAGCGAGTCAGTCATTCACAATGCCAAAAGCAAAAAAGTGATGCATTTCCCTGCTGCCTGCCTGTCTGTCTGTCTGCGTGCGCACATACGTGCCCGTGCCGGCCCAAAGCCATGCCAAGCCGTACTCAAAATCCAGACTCCGCCTAAACTGCCCAAAGTAAGGTACCTAAACTAGGTAGTGAAGAAGGCGCAACGGCATTTTCTCTGTCCGAGTCCCTGCCCGTGTGTAGATACCCTGCCCGTGTGTAGATAGACTGCCCGTGTCCCGTCTCCCGTCCCTAGTATGCCACACAGGAAGGGAAGAAAAGAAAAAAACGAAAATGCGTCCGCCACAAGGGGCAAGCAAAGCAAAGCCAGAGACTCCAAAAAAACCACCCAGCCAAGTGGACCGCCGAGGAGAGTTTCATTTGGCCGCTAGCCTCGTATCTTGCTCCTCCCTCTAAGAACCCTGCCCTACTTCCATATTCCATATTCCATTGACAGCCCCATCCCGTCTCCAGGGTCTTAAAGTCCTTTTTTTTCCCGTGTTCGCGTCGTCGTGCCGTTTTCTTCCTTCCTTCGTATCCCTCCTCCCAATCCATTCCATATCGATGCGGGAATCAGGGAACCCCACGCCACGCCACCCCAAGCCAAACAGAAAAGGAAGGAGGAAGAATGGCTAAATAGTGCATCTAGGGAGTAAGAAAAGAAGAAAAAAAGGGGCCAAGGAAAGTTGAAAATGAAAAGGGAAAAGAAAGGGGAGTCGCGAGTATGAAACTAGGAAAAAAATTAAGAAGTAAATAAAAAAAAAAAAAAAAAAAAAAACCTTCCTGGCCATTGCTAGCCCCGTCCATTCTTTTTTTCTCTTTCCTTCCCTGTCAATCATTGATTCTTTTTTTCTTTCAGTCCAAATTCCCTCGTCTCACATGTCTAGTGCTTTTGTGGCCTTTTCTCTTTTTTTCCCTCCACATTTCCTTTGTTTCCCAGTTTGCTTGCCATGGCGTACGTACGTGACTGGCGTGACGTGGCATGACATGACATGATATGATTGGACGTGAACGTTGTCTAGAAGAGTAGAAAAAGAAGAAAAAGATCCTATAGAGGGGTTTTTGGTGGTGATGCATAACAAGAACGCTCAATCTTTCTTTTTCTCTAGTGTGGTATGGTATCTGATTTTGTTTCTGGGGATATGGGCGGGTGGATGGGTAAGAGCAGGACTGAACTCTTCCTTTGGCATCAGGGCCGGAAGGAAAGCAACGCATCTGCTGGGGAAAGCAGGGGAAAGGCCAAACTCCAAGAAAAATATCAAGGAAGCTGAAAAAAGGCAAAACTAAGGGGAAGTGGGGAAAAGGGGGCAGGCCATAGATGCTTGTTGCCCCTGACCATGACTGGGAAAATAGGGGGGGAAATGAAATGACCGAGATGGGCGGGTGTGTGTGAATAGAACTGCCAGAGGGAAAGAAAAAGGCAACGCGCTGCGTCGTGCTGCTTTTTCTTTCTCATCCCTCTCATCTTTCTCATCGTTGGCTGCTACTTCCATAACCCTCCCCCCAATCCTTGACCCTTGACCCTCCCTGGCTTGCGAGAAAGGGGGCAGTTCAAAAAGGGGCAAGGCAAACAGCTCGTATCGTTTTCCGGGAGCAAGCTTTCCTTCCAGTTGCAGATCTGGTCGGTAGCGACGGTGGTGGATAGATGAATAGTCGAAGCCATGCCATGGCACCGGCACCGGCACCGGCACCGACGCGTGAGCAGCCGCGCAAATCAGACCAGAGCCTGCCTGCTTCTCTTGCAAAAACAAAGAAGGGCCTGGTGATGTCGGCCCAGTTTAGTTTAGCTGGTACTGCTGCTGGTGCTGCGACATGGGCATGGGCATGGTGGTCGAGCGGCGCTGCTGCTGCTGGGAATCCAACGGCGAGCTTGTAGCGTTGTTATTATTCGCAGCAGATGTAGACGCAGACGCAGCTACAGAAACCAGCGGCGGCGCGATGGGCCCGAACGGCGAGGGGAAGAGCGCTGCTGCGGCTGTTTTTTTTTTTTTCACTCTGTTAGCCACCCGCCACCCTGTAGCCGATACGATACGACACAAGCGAGCCAAGAGACAGAAAGAAAAAAAAACTCACCAAACCGGCTCGTGCCCTTTGTTGCCGCTTCAGTTCCACCGCCGCTGCCCGTGTTGTTGCCCGTTTTGTTGCTCGCCGCGGTGTGGAACGGGCGCGCCCACCCGGGAGCACCGCCGTTACCATTACCACCACCACTGACTCCTGGAGTAGTAGAAGTAGTGTGTTGTTGCTGCTTCAGCAGCTGGCTCGCGCGGTCATTATCTGCCGCCGCCGCCGCCGCCGCCGTGGCCTTGCCATTTCCGCTGCCGCTGTTGTTGGTGTTATTGTTGCTGCTGCTATTCCCTCCCCTGAGCGTCGAAGCAACAGAACTAGAAACACTAGAAACACCAGAAACAACACCTCTACCACCCATCATCGTCGACGACTGCGGCGTAGTCGCAGCTCGCGCACGATGTTGCTGGACCCCTCCACCAAATGAAGTCCCATTATTACCACTCCCACCCCCATTCCCCCCATTATTATTAGCAGCCGCAGGAATAACAACCGGCAAATCGGTGCCCTCGCCCAGCAGATCGCCGCGGTGCGCGCGGTTCAGCTCGGCCTGGTGCTTCTTCCACCACGCCGGCAGCCCGTGGAACAGGCCCAGGCGCTGCTGCGTGTCCTTGTCGAAGGGCATCTCGTGCTTGTACTTGCAGCCCTGCTGCGTGAAGGCGCACACGCCCTCGTGCACCCACTTGTCGCAGTACACTTTGATTTTTTTCTGGGCATGTTGGGGCTGGGGCTGGGGTTGGGTGTGGGTGAGGGTGTGGGTGTGGTGGTTGATATGGCTGTGGGTGTTGTGGGTGTGGTTGTGTGGCGTAGGAGTCGTCGCTGTTGTTGTGGTTGTGGCCGACGAGGACGGCGTCGGCGGCGGCGAGCACGCCACGATGGAGTCGATGTGTGACTGCTTGTTGCGCGACGGGCGAGGCGCCGGGTCTGGGTGTTAGCCTGGCTGTGTTGCTTGTCAAGGGGGGGGTTGGGGGGGTTGTCATGGGTGACTGGTTGTGGTAATGGTTCGATGCCGCGTTTGCATGTTCATGTGTGTGGTGTGTGTGTGCCAAGAGAGACGGGAAAAGGGGGTGACTAGATCCAAACCACACCCCGAAAACGGGGGAATATAAAAGGGACTGACCAAACTCACCTGGATCGGATCTGGAATCTATTTTGCTTCTATCAGCACCCCTTCCCGAGAACTAGAATCATAAGAACAGAAACCTACCTTCCACGCCACGTGCTCCGTGTTGCTCGAGCGGCCGTTGGGGGCCAGGCCCAGGGGCACGGGCACGACGAGGAGCCCGTTGCAGTTGGGCTGCGACGGCGCGATGTCGTGCAGCGCCGGCAGCATGTCGGCGGGGATCAGGCGCGTGTACTGCCCGTCGGGGCGGCGGTACGCGTAGGCGAAGAAGTGGCTGCCACCACTTGTGCCTGCGTTTGCGCTGGCATCACCTCGCTGCTGCTGCTGCTGCTGTTGGACCTGTGCCGTCTGCTGCTGTTGCTCGGCCCCGCGCGCCTGCATCCAGTTCTGCGCTGCTGCACTCTCGTCGAACCCCAGCGAGGCAGACAACTGCTGCTGCTGCTGCTGCTGCTGTGGTTGATATTGGTGGTGGGGTGCCATCTGCTGCAGCAGCTGCTGCGTATGGCTTACACCAGCACCCACGCCCACGCTCACGCCCATTGGCATGCTCATGCTCATGCTTGGCGGGAAGAAGGGCGAAAACAACGACGGCGATGCTGCAGCCGCTCCAAGACCGGCCGAAGTCGGGACCGACGGCTGTCTCACGGGAAGCGCAAACGGACGCAAGACGCGGCTGGTGTTATTGGCGATGTTGCCATTACCATTACCATTATCACTACCGCCGTGCAATGGGTTGACGATGTGGTTGCCGTGGCTGTGGCCGTGGCCGTGGCTTTGGCTGTGACTGTGACTGTGGTTGTTATTGTTGGTACTTCCGCTCCCTCCACCCCCCGCGACGATGCGCCAGTTCTGCGAGGTCGGGCCGGGGCCGGGGCCGGGGCCGCGCGACTGGCCGTCCGCTGCGGGCGCGGACGGGCGGGCGGGGTGTTGGAGCTGGCCGTAGGGGTCGAAGGAGGAGGAGGTGCCCATGGCGCGGTCGTCGTTGGCGTTAGCGTTGGCGTTAGCGTTGGCGTTGGCGTTGGCGTTAGTGTTGGTGTCGTCGGACGAGACGAGACCGGTAGCCCGGCCCGGCGGCTGCGAGGACGAAGGTGAAGACGGAGACGACGACGAAGAGTGGGAGGTCGAGGGAGACAGCTCGTATGGCGACGGCAACGGCAACGGCTTGGAGCTAGCCTCGGAAGCTATATGAACGTGGCTGTAGTTGTGGTTCTGGTTGTGGCTATGGGTATGGGTATGGCTGTGGCTATGGCTGTGGTTCGAGGCGAGCAGCCGGACCATGAGAGAGTTGGGCGACGTGTCGGGCGTCGACGTGAACGAGGCGAGATCCGACGACGAGCCCGACAGGCCGTCCGACGACGTTATAGAGGGGCGATGGGGAGAGTTGCGGCTGGCACCAGCACCGGCACTTGGTGACGAGACAGGGGCAGTTGAACCAGCGTTTTGTTGCTGCTGCTGCTGCTGCTGCTGCTCCTGTTGCTGCTGCTCCTGTTGCAAGTTGTGCTGGTGGAGGTGTTGCTGCGACTGGTGGTGGTGCTCTTTGAGGAGCATAGCGTCCATAGCGGAGGCGGCCTGCCGGGGAGACAGACAGAGACAGAAACTGGGCCCCAAAGATTGGACGGTACCGTGCTGCGCTGTGCTGTGTTGTGCCTGTACCACAGGAGCACAAGAGAGAAGCCGATAAGATGGACAGGGCAGGGCGGGCAGGGCAGGGGTGGCTGCGTTGCGTCTGTTGCAAACGAAACGCGTCGACTTCTACCTATACCGCCTCGTCTCGCCTCTGTGAAATGCCAGCAGAGTAAAGTCCTTCCTTCTCTTTCGGGCTAGGGCAGCAGTGCCTCCTTGCCGTCGTTGTCGCCGGATCGGAAACAGCTGGAGCTCGCGAGACAGACAGAAGCACCCAGACAGGCTCGTCTTCAGAACAGCCTCACTTCTGCTTCAAGTGCTGAACCTGGGTTGGATCTGAGGTGGGGGTGGAGGTAGAGGTAGAGGTGGAGGTGGAGGTGGAGGTGCGGCAGACTGGGCGCTGCTGGACTGGTTCGGGAGCGGGAGCGGGAACGGGAGGCCTGTCTCTATCTGTATCCGTGTTCGTGTCCGTCCGTCTCTGCCCAGCCGTGATAGTAGAACTAGTAGTAGTAGTAGTAGTAGTAGTAATAGTAGTAGTAGAATGGGAAAAGAAAAGCGGAAGGTGCGCTGCTTGTGATATTTCGAGTGACCGTGATCCAAGCTGAGTGCGAGCGCGTGTGAATACGAGTGTATGTGTAGGTGTGTAGAAGGCAGAGCGCGCTCTAGATAGCTCGGGCGGTGGTGGGAGAAGAAGAAGAAGAAGAGGGAGCCCAACAGAGACCGGCACGCATTCTGTGGTTAAATAGAAAAGGCAGAGAGGGTGCCTGCGAGATGAGGTGAGGTGAGGTGAGGTGAGGTGAGGCGAGGTAGCAAGCAAGAGCAAGCAGAGAAAAAGCAACACCCGCAAACCTGGTGCTGCCGTCCGTTCTAGACACAGATAGCTGTTGCCACTGCCTAGGTAGCTATCTTGCTCAACTCGGGGGAGGGAGGGGAAAAGAAGGAGTAGCCGCGGGGAAGGGAAGAGAGATGACGACGCGGAGGAGGGGCAACAAGAAACGAGACGGACAGACTGATGGATAGACAGAAGCAAACGGGCCCATTTTCATACGCATAGGGTTCCCTGCGCTTGGGAGAGGGAGGCCGGATACCTGCAGGTGCCGCCCACGACGCAACGCCCACCACTACTCTGCACTTCTGCACTTCCGTTTCTGTATCCCCAAGCAAAACGAACGGCTACTTTTGTTTCCCACGTGCCAAATGGAAAGTGGAAATCGGAGAGAGCCGGTTTCAGTCTCATCAACCCCGACCTGGCGAGCCTGGGCCTGGGCTGAGGCTACTAGAGGCTAGCTACCCAACGTGTCACGGCCGTCGTGACAGCCCGGCCATGGACTGGGAAAAAACCGCCGCCCCATTCAGTTGCGGGCGAACTGTACCTTGGGCAAATCCTTACACATAAGCCATGCAGAGAGATAGATGCACATGACATGGGCCATGGTTGCCCACCTGTCCGTCGTTTTGCAAGTCAGCCGCCGCACATCAACAAGGACAGACAGACAGACAGACAGACAGACAGACAGACAGACAGACAGACAGACAGACAGACAGACAGACCTAGGTGACGGGCCATGCCTCTGTTTGTACCTCGCCCTGTAACTCTCCGTATCCTCTTCTGCCCTGAGTTGGATACGCAGCCAGGTAGCCAGCCACGGAACCAAACCAAAACATCAGACCACCGTCCAGTCATTTGTTTCCCATTTCTGATTTTCATTTATCAATCTCCTACGTTCCACTCTTCCATCCACACACGCACACACACACACACACACACACACACACACACACACGCCAAAAGAAAGCAATCAGCGTGTGCAAACCAATCTACGCACATACACATATATGCGCGCGAGAAACAAGGGCCATGTGAGATGGGGAAACACACACACAAGCCCAGAAACATTGAAATAAATACATACACACACATGTATATAAAGCAACAGACGAAACCAGACGAGAAGATATATATCATATCCCATATTCTACGATCGCTACAATTCCATCCCGCACTACGATCAAGGCACACATGCACAATCATACATCCCAACTAATCAACAACACAAAACGCAGCAGGCATGACAGGGCAGGAAATGGCACCACAACTTGCACACGATACGTTCGATACGTACTAGCTCCGTTTGCCTGCGAACTTCGCAGCTTTCAACCCCAGACTCGGAATTGCAACTTGTAGAATCTGGGGGATGGGATGTGCCGCGGTTTGCCTTGACTTGCCGCACCTTTCCCCATCATCTCGAGACGAACATCATCCTCTCTCTAGATGAGAGTCTAGGTGAGAAAAACGAGGGGGTTTCCGGTACGCAAACCCAAAACCAAAGCTCCAAACCAGACCAGACCAATCCGGACCAACCATCAGCAAACCAATCCGAATGCGCGCAGTTTGACTTACCAATTACGGTTTATGGTTTCATTAACAATATAAAAAGAAGGGAGAGGGGCAAACAAGAAACCAAACCAGCTCGGTTAGTGGTGAAGGGAAAACACACGCGCGCGAGATAGATGCGATGGCAGTGATCGTGACCATGGCTATGACCTTGAATATGACCATGGCGGCTACGATAGCGATAACGAAAACGAAAACGAACGGCAGCGGACGAGCACACACCCAGACACACACCCAGACACACACACACACACACACACACACACACACACACACATCACCCACGAGAATAAAGAAAAAGAAAGGGGCATCTGCTGATAGCGTTCCCATTTCCTGTGTCTTCTATATCGAGAAGAATACCACGACGAAGGGGAAAAAGAGCCACCAATCTGCAGACATATAGCTAGCTAGGCAAGCAGGCAGGCAGGTAACTAGTCATTCCCGTAAATCCTCTTGACTGGTGATTTCCATTATATATGCTTCCATTGCCATGTCATACCATTGCATTCTATGCTATGCCATATGCTGCCCTGCCATGCGCGTTAAATACATGTATGCATATACAGACCCGTTTGGTTTGCAATGCCTCCCTTTAGAAAAGAAGCAGAGCCAAACCAAACCGGCAAGGTAGAAAAGTAAAAAAAAGCCTGCGGGTAAAAACGAAATGCCTTCTTCCATGCAAAACAAGAAAGGACAAAACTCTACTTCCCCCCACATGTATGTATGGGTCGACCACAACCGCCCACTCCCTCCCTAGAAGACCAAGACGAAGAGAAAGGAATATGCGACGAGACGACACGCCCATCTTGAGGGACAAGAAAACGTGAAGAGAAGAAAGAAAAAAAATACGGGGAAAAGAAATCATGGGTGCGGGGGCTGCTGCTGCTGCCACTGCTGTTTGAGCACCCTCAGCTTCTCCATGAGAAAGGCCCTCATAAAGCCCATATCGTGTGCCGTCAGGTGGGGCGTCGTCCGTAGCCGATCCAGAGCGAGGCGCAGATGGAGCTCCTGAGACATCTCCGGACACTCCCAGGATACCGGGTGCTTGAAGCCGCAGACAAGGCACACTCCGTCCGCCGCTAGTGCTCCGATAGGGGGCGCCGCAGCAGCGCGGCTCTGCTGAGGAGCAACGCAAGATAGTTCTAGCCCACCCGGCTGTGATAGGAACATCACTCCGCGCAAAGGGGGTCCGCTGAGAGGTTGGGCTGGTGGTCGGGGTTGCCACTGTGTAGCGGGATTTGGCGGCCGTCGGCGGGGGAAGGCGACAATTGGTCGTCCGGGAATGGCTGGGGAATTTGGGCTAGCGGGGATGCTGCCAGCAGGGGGTTGTCCAGCGGGGCGTTGTTCGCTGGGGAGTTGTCCGCCAGGGTGGAGGGCTTGTTGCCCGGGCCGGTAGTTTTGGCCTTGGGGGTAGCCTGGGATTTGGCTTTGGGGGTTGCCTTGGTGGTGGCTCTGGGGGACGCCTTTGCCGTGGCCTTGGGGGTTCGCTTTTTGTTTGGGGTTTGCTGTTCCGTGTTGGAGCTGCGGGACTTGGCCGGTTGTCTGGAAGGAGTTCCCGTTCGGGCCTTGGATGCTTTTGCCGATTTGGTTCGCGGGGTTGGGGTCTTCTTGGGCTTGGGTGTCTGCTCTTTTCGTGAGCTCGCCGTTCGGGAGGGGGTCTTCTTGCTTGCTGCCGCTGTCGTCTTGGGAGTGGCTGGCGACTTTCCAGCCATGCCGCGGGCGACAGCCTTAGTGGGGGTTTTGCTGATGACTTTCGTACCTTGTAAACCTTTGCCCTGTAGCTTTCGCGAATCAGATCCGTTGATACTAAACTCACCCTCGTCCCCTCCGTCACTCGATTCGGCTTCCGATTCGGCGCCGACAAAGTCTTCGTCTCTAGACCCGGCGTCGCTGTCCGGAGGGAGCGCCTCCCCGCCCTCTTCATACTGGAGTCTCTGGCTCATGTAGTTGGCAGCCTGTCCTAAAGTTAGTATATACGTAAAAACAATAGCCGCACATTCCACTCACATTGCGTCGGCGGCCGCCCCGCCCAAGAGTCTGGAGCTCCCGCTCCTTCTCTCGCCGGGCCTCCTCCTCGCGCTGCTGGATAATCTCGTCCCAGACACTCGTGTTGTGGTTCTGCTTGCTCTCTTCGAGGTCCTCGGAAAGGCCGGCCTTGTCCTGGGCCCAGACCCGGGCGAGGGCAAAGGCTGACTCGGCAGACTTGTCGTCGCCCAACTTCGTCTGTTCCTCCATGGACCGGTCTAGAAGCTTGTCAATAGCGGCCGCATCGTAGTTAATGCGTTCCTTCTTCTCCCCCTCGCCGAACAAGGCCGCGGCGCCGTGCTTGAGCACAGACTCGACGTCGTGCAATACTTCACCTTCCTTCTCCTCCATGGTCTCGATAAGAAGGTGGTCGAGCGCCATCTTCTTCCGCCCAATCTGGAGGATCTTCTCCTCGGCCGAGTCGACCGTCATGAGCTGGAAGCAGAGCACCTTCTTCTGTTGGCCGATGCGGTGGGCTCGCGACAGCGCCTGTATGTCCTGATGCGGATTCCAGTCGGGATCCAGTATGATGACCGTGTCTGCTGTCGCCAGGTTGATGCCCACGCCGCCCGCGCGGGTGGAGAGGAGCATGGCAAACAGCTTCGAGTCTCGAGCGTTGAACAAGTCGATCTTCTGCTGCTTCTCCATACTCGACTGGCCTCCGTCTAGGCGCTCGTACTTGAGATCGAGACCATTCATAAAGTCCTCGAGGATGGTCAGCTGGTCGAGGAACTGGCTGAAGATGAGCACGCGGTGGCCGCGCTCTTTCAGCTTCGGTAGCATAATTTCCAGCAGCATGAGCTTGGACGAAGCTTCGACCAGGTTTCGGCGCGTGAGCTCATCGTTTCCTGTGTTGCGGTCCTCGATGGACTGGCTGTATACGAAGGGGTGGCACAGACACTTGCGCAGCTGCATGAGAATATTGCTGAGGGGGCCCCTCTCGGTGGCCTTCAGCTTTCCGCGCGCAAACACGGACCGGATCAGCTCCGGATTCCTCTCCATAATCGACTTGCAGAGTTTCTCTTGCAGGACAGACATGCTGATGGGTATGATGATTTGCGCCATGGGCGGCAGAAAGGTCAGCACCATTGCCTTTGTGCGCCGGAGAAAGTACGGCCGGATCAGTTCGTGCAGCTCGGGAAGGTTCTCCTTCGTGATCTCGGCAAATCTCTCGTCCAACTTCTCAGCCCTGATGGAAGGGTCGACAAACTGCAGCAGATTGAACAGCTCGCGCTTGTTGTTCTGCAGGGGAGTTCCCGTGAGCAGCAGCTTGAACTGGATGTTCATGTCATTGAGGGCCTTGTACAGCGTGTTCTCGGGGTTCTTGAGAGCCTGGGCCTCGTCTACGACAAGTCCAGCCCACTTGACCCCGGCAAAGCGGCGGCGAGTGTCGGGGCCCTTGGCTGAGTCGTAGGACATGATGACGACGTGGGCCTTCAGGTCTCGGCTGCCTCCAGGGAACAGCTCGTACTGGTGAGCGAGGCTCTGTGATGCGCGCCCGCCGTAGTAGGCCACCACGCGCAGGTCGGGAGCCCATTTCTTGATTTCTCTGCGCCAGTTCGGACACGTCGAGTTGGGTACCACGATCAGGAAGGGCCAGATTCTGGGATTGTCCTGGATGAAGCTCGAGAGCAGGGCTACAACCTGGACCGTCTTGCCGAGGCCCATTTCGTCGGCAAGGATCACATTTCGCTCGTGGCGGAAGTTGTATAGCATCCAGTTGAGGCCGTCGACCTGGTAGTCCATCAGTTTGCCGCGCTTCAGCCCCTTTGGCTGCTGCTTCACTTGGATCTCGGTGTTGAAGTCCATGTTGCGGAGCCCTTTGATACGCTCCTTCATGGTGCGCCAGGGGTCCGACTCGAAGTGCTTGCCGTTCAGATATTCGTGGTAAGCATCGACATAGGCGTCGTACATGGCACCCGAGCCCGATGGGGGCGGCGTGTCCCACACGACGTCGTCGTAGCCCAGACCCTCGAACTTGACCAGAATCTTGGTGACGTGAAATATTCTGCTCTTGTCCTCGTCGAACCTATCGTCTCGGGACAAGCGCTTACATTTCTGCTCCGCCTCGCGCGATCGGGGGGCATACTGGACGTCTAGTACAATGTCAGGCGTGATCCACGAGTCATGGACGGCTTCCTCCAGCGTCCATCGGACGAGCGAGTCCCCGGTGACCTCGTGGCGGAGCTCTTCGTCGTCGGCCCTCTCGCCATGAGTGCGCTTCACAAAAGCCAAACGCATATTGGCAAGCACGACGCCAAAGACCCACGGGCCGGGTAGCCAAGTGCAGTGGTTGTATGACTTCTTCTCCCACTTGACCAAGTACTCGACCTCATCTTCGGTGAACTCCTCAATGGTCTGGCCGCGCGTGTAGCTGCTGCGGTTCGCCGGACGCCACGCAACCAGCTTGTCGACTTTGTCTTCCTCCGTGTCCATGCACTCCTTGCAGTGCCAGCTTATCTGGTACTCGTCCAGGCGGTGCTTGTGGAGGTTCTGGGGGTCGTCCATGGCAGGGTCGCGTGTCTTGTTTGGGTGGGGAAGATGCTCGTAGTGCCAGGCGCGGTGGCAGCGAACACAGCGGAACAAGACGTTCTTCGGGTTGTCGATGAGATTGGGTGCCACGGGGGTGACGGGATCAACGCCGCCATTTTCGACGCGCAGCTTTTCCTCCTGCTTGGGCGTCTTCTTCTGGGAAAAGGGCGCGCAAGACGGGCCTTTGGTGTGGCAGCCCGTGCAGACGTCGTGGCTTGGAGCACGTGCATCCTTCTTGTAGGTGCTTATGCAGAAGCGGCACTGCATCACAAACAAGCCCTGGCCGACCTTAGTGACACGCTGGTCGCGCGAGTTTCTAGGGCCGAGGCAAAGCCTGTGGTATGAGTTAGAGCAGCCCTGGCAATGGATCAAAGGCCCCTTGTTGGGATTGTGTTCGACATATCCGCAGCTACCGCAGTTACGACGGTGGGCTTCCTTAAAGTCGGAACTCGCTGACTGGAATGTCTCTCGCATGCTGCCGAATCTCGGCGTGGCCGGGGCCTTTTCCTCGACCCCGTAAAAGATTTCATCATCATCCACGTAGTCGATGATTACCTTAGTGTTCTTGTTCGCCCGTGACGAGCGGCGGGTCTCAAACTCGATATCGTCATTGACATTATGCGAGTGGCGGCCCTCCGAATCCTTAGTCCTGGAGGATATCGGCCGAAGCCTCTTCCTCGTCTTGGACCGGACGATGTCTGACTGTATGATGAAATCTCCGTCATCCTTGTCCGAGTTCTGCAATTCGTCCACGTCGTTCTCCTGTGAGAGGGGCAAGGCCGGTGACTGGTTTTGTGGGCTTCTCTTAGGTCTGGGGCGTAGTTCCCGAGTCCTCTTTCTTGGCTCGCCCTCGTCATCATCGTCGCTCCCGAAAGACGTGGCTTGGGTGCTGGCACGGGCGCTCCACCGGCCTCTGCCATCAGAGTAGTAATTGGTGATTTGTCTCTTTCGGGAGGCTCTGGGTTGTGAGATCTCGTTTTCTTGGTCAGATTCGTCCAAGATGTCGCTGCCGTAACCTGCATCATCGCTGTTCCGCTTCCGCTTTCCCGAGACGTTCCGACCGTCGTTGTCAGGATCCTGGATGTCTGTTAGTGTTGGCTGAACATGAGGTGAGGCACAAGTGAGCAGCCACGAGAAGAATGTTAAGGTTTGGGATGGGGACTCCCATGAGGAAACCACAAGTTACGTAAAGCGCAATGTAGCAGCGGTAAGGGAGACTCGGCTTAAGTGAGATGAAGGGTTCCAAGAAACATCAGACGAGGGCTGACCAAAGTGGCCAGTGCAGAAGGTACGCAGGGCACACAAGGTGGAAAAAGGTGCCAGGTGGGAAACTGCAAAATGAGGTCCAAAATGTGTCATTCATGAAATGGTTGGGGCTGCGATAGTACAGGATAGTGTAGTATGTAGCAGTGCCGAAGAGACTGCGCGATATGAAGGGTATGAAGGGCATGTGCATGTGCATGTGCATCTTGTGCTGTAGAGATCGCATACCATCGTGCTCATTCTTCTTAGTCGCCGCTGACGAGAAGAGGGCGCGAGAAGGCAAGCAGGAATGAAGCCTTTGCAAAGCGAAGAACCGCCTGCTAAGATAGCAGCAGAGTAGGTATCTGCGCTCGGCACTGCTGCCGGGGCGAGGTTGAAGTTCTTCGGTGTGTAGCAGTGAAGAAGTTGAAGAAGTGTGTGTGGGGAGAGATCTGCAAGTGCTTTTCAGGCCGGAGACGTGCAAAGGCGCACAACGAAGAGAGAAAGGCAGAAATTCGGGCCCAGATGAAAAAAAGGGGTGCGACGTAGGAGGTAGGTAAAGATAGGTATATATCCCTAAGGCAGGCCTTCGAGGCAGGTCTCCGAGGTGTATGTGTGTGTAAGCGCGGCCTCGTGGTTGGAGGAGGGCGAGGTTGACTCCAAGTTCAGATTCGAGCAACCACAGCCGCAAGAATCGAAACATGGACCTCGCAAACCCACCATCGCTTGACTTTCAGACCAGACTAGCCAACTACGGTGGGCAGCGGCTAGAACCAGCGTTCTCCGGCGGCCTAATAGGCTCAATTGGCCTTATAGTTATAACTAGAGCACATACACTTCTTGAAATCGAATCGACACTATGCGCCAAGTGTCCCCCACGTCACGTATCTGTCACTGCGAGGTCTGTTGGGCAAGGGGATACAGCTCCGCGCAAGCAACACATGAGTGCGTCCACAGTCCACCTCGCAGGCTTGCAAATATAGAACATATAGCGTGCGGATAAATCTCACAAGACTGGGTCGCAAGACGGAGTGTCGCTCACTCCTTGCGTGGCAGCCGAGTCGTCGACGATGGGAATGGTGGTGCAACAGAGAAGGAAAGCTGAGCAAACTTGCTTACCCTGTGACGTCGTCTCAAACCCAGTCCTTGGGCAAAGTCTTCATCCTCAACGTGGACATACTCAAAAGCCGCCCGCTGTGACGGGGACAGCCACGGTATCGGAACCTCGATATCGACCACTCTGACTGTATGCGCCGCTTTTTTCGCATTCCCGTTTAGCAGCCCGCTGTCGAAGCCATGTATATCCGTGCCGACAAGCACGGGAGCCTCTTGGTCTGCCTGCGCAACTGGTTCAAGAGCGCGAGTTGGTTTTCGGGGCGCTGGCGCTGGCTCTGGTTCTGGTTCCGACTCGAGATCGAGAGCGGGGGATGGCGATTCGGGGGCAAGGAAGAAGTCGTCCTCGGAGAGATCGGGCTGAGACTCGTAGGCAGCGGGCTCAGGAGTTAGGCCATCCAAGAGCTCCTCTTCAGAGATCGAGAGGCCGTTTGCCGCCTTGGCCATGGCGAGACACGTCGCTCGGAGGGGACGCCACGACTTCGGTGTGAGGTAGGTATTCGGGCGTCGAAGTCAATCGCCAGAGGTAGGGTACGTAATGCCAACAAGGAAGCTAGAATGTGCACAGAATATGTAAAGTACGGCAACTAATAGAAGGTACCAAGTACTGGACTGTTAAGTACAGCACTGGGCAACCTGTCGGAAGGGCGCCCGGCGCTGGTTAGCAAGGTGCACTGCCAAAATATTGATTTGTTCTGTATTGCGTACCTGTTGCAAGACCGTGGGCCAAGTCTAGACGCGTGCAAATTTCGGGGGCACCGTCAATCAGCAAGACATGTCGTTCGGACTGTGGTGATGTCGAAACGCGCCGCCCGGCTTTAGCACTTATCGACGCGTTTGGGGTCGATATAAGAGCAACACTTTGGGCGACGGCAGAAGAAAAGTGGCGTCCTTGGCCTGTGCCATTGGCTGCGGCCATGTGGTGGGGATGGTGGGGATGGTGGGGTTTGCAGGGGCCATCGGCTCGTCTGCAAGCAGAGACCCTGTCGCCGTGGTCCACTCTTTTTTTTTCGTCACTTACGGAATGGGGTGCATTTATTCTCCAAGTTTTCCCTTCGTTCAAGTGTCACTTATAATTTTCATATAAATCCTCACATTATATACCACTCGTTTGGAGGGTTTTTTTTACACTATACCCCAGACCCAGGGGCTCCCGGTAATTTGTTCTGCCACAGAATATTAAGGTAATTCCGACTTTCACAGCATTTCAGCGGAAGCAATCAGGCAGGCTGACGAGTAGTTGCTGAATTCACTGAGCCAAAGAATAACGACATTCATCCGCCTCAGCACATATAATTCGCACATCGAACCCCGGTACTTGCTTCTCACAAGGTCGTTCTGTCCCTCTGTCTGTTCAGGCAGTTTATCGATCCTCGATTTTCAGCAAAGGCCGTTAAGAAAACAGGCGAGAAGCTCACATCAAAAACTTGGCGAGGTAAAGGGGCAACGACGCGCCCAGGGGCAACCCGCACCATGGCAGTCATGGCTCTCCTCACTGCCCACCGGGCTCTGAGAACCACAGCCCTGGCCACCTCGATACCACCCGCCACAAACGTTGGACTGGCGAGGAGATATGCGTCACTCGCGGCTATTCATCAAGGCGTCCGTCGCTCAGAGAATGTGCGGCCACAGGGCCGTCGGCCACCCACGGCATCATCAGCCTCGTCCGCCGCCTTGAGGCAGGAGTTTCAGGACAGCCTCAAGGGCATGACGTATGCCGAGAGACAAGCTGCCCGTGCCGAAGTGGCCGACTCGGCCTTCAAGATCCGCAAGGGCAAGAAAGATATCACCCACGACCCGACAAAAGCTAGGCCCCTGTCCCGGCAGGCGCGCTTCTACGACGAGAAACTCAGCTTCGGGAAGAAGAGTCTAGTAAATCAGCTACAGACGGGAAAGCTGGACCCCGAATTAGTCGACAGGGTCGTGAAACGGCAGTCATCCCCCGCACCTCTACGTCCCAGATCCACCGGCTGGAGAGACTCGAAGCAGCCTGAAGACTCGTTTTCCTCTCTCGAAGGGATGAAGCGGACAACCGATCGGGCACCCTCTCATGCCCCCCAGAACTGGGATGGGTCAACTTCTGCTGTTGCCCCAGACGCGTCTTCAGACGATTCAGCGCGCCGAGAGCGGCCCGCGCGTGGCGGTTCCTCGGGTTCCGGGAGGCGCTTAGAACGGGGCAGCTCTCGCTCTGGCTACACACGCTCTGACCGCCCAAGCCGTCCTAATCGCGCAGAAGCCCCGTTGAGCCAAGAATTCTCCAGCAGCACAGAACGCACAGAACGCACAGAAAGGGATCCCGTGAGGCAAGCTATCAAGCTAGAAGGTACCGATTTACCCTCCTCTTGGAGCTCTTCCGCCGTAGAAGAAGGCGTAGAGAGACCGGCGCGCAGACAGTTCTCAGACCGCCCGGCGCGTTCAGAGAGACCGCCGGCGCCGTGGGAGCCGCGCGAGAGGAAGCCGTGGAAGGCGCGGGAGAAGGAGGCGTGGGAGCCGCAGGACAGCTCGGGCGGGTCGGCGCGGGAGCGGCGGTTCAAGATCTGGCAGGAGCGGCAGCCCGTGTCGATAAGATACACGACGGCGGCGTCGCAGTTCATTTACGGGCGGTCCGTGGTCACGGCGGCGCTGCGGTCGATGCGGCGCAAGCCGTACCACCTCTACATCTACGGCGGCAGCAACCGGCAGAACCCGGACCGCGACCAGGGCCTCGAGGCGCTCGCCACGCGCAGGGGCGTCGAGACCAGCGTGCTCAGCGACCAGGACGGTCTGCGCATGATGGACAAGATGGCCGAGCAGCGGCCGCACAACGGCTATGTCCTCGAGACGTCGCCGCTGCAGCAGCCGCCCCTGCACTCGCTGGGCCCGCTGATCGAGGCGGGAGAAGAGGGCGGCGGCAGCGCCTACGAGGTCAGGCTCGACTACCAGTCGGAAGAGGAAAAGGCCATCAACGGGGAGTCGGCCGTGATGCCGCCGCTGAGCGCGACGCACAAGCCGCTGGTGGTGGTGCTGGACCAGGTGCTGGACCCGGGCAACGTGGGGGCCATCATGCGCAGCGTCGGGTTCCTGGGGGCAACGGCACTGGCCACCACTAAGCACGGGTCGGCTAAGGTGTCGGGTGTGACGCTCAAGGCGGCGTCGGGGGCGAGCGAGTCGGTGCCGCTGTACTCGATCCCCAACCTGCCGCGGTTCCTGGCCGAGTCGCGCGACAACGGCTGGTCCGTCTACGCGGCGGTGCCGCACAAGCCGTCGGGCAGCGGCAGCTCGGCTTCGTCGACGCAGCACCGCCAGCTGGACGTGCACGACGTCGAGGAGCGCGACCCGCTGCGCCACGGGCCCTGCGTGCTGCTCGTCGGCAACGAGGGCGAGGGCCTCGCGCGCCACATCGTCAAGTCCAAGGCCGACTTCGAGGTGGCCATCCCCAACCTGTCGGCCGACGCCGCCTGCGTCGACAGCCTCAACGTCAGCGTCGCCACGGCGCTGCTGTGCTCGTCTTTCCTGAAAGGCCACGCCAAGGCGCAGTTCTCTATAGCCGACTTGGAGCGTGAGCAGACGTCGCTATTCTGAGCTAGCCGAGCAGGGGCGGGCTTTGTATCAAATCCTTTTCTCATTTTCTTGTAACAACTAACTGTCATTGTTTTACTATCTTGTCACATTTTGTATCTGAAGAACACCTGTCCTACTACCATCTATCTATCTTCCTCACCTTGTGACGACGACTAGACTCATCTGTTCCCCTATGCGCTGTACGCGTATTGTTTCTTTCTCTGGGTTGTATTATAGTAGAGCAAAGGGGGATAGGAAAAGAACTTAGATATCTGTAGATGTAATAGCGAACACGGTGCTGTACGCTCCGAGAATGGCGCCCTCCCCCCAACTCTCCTCATTTGGTTTAGCGCGGCCATTGCATCATCCCCGCGACTCTACGCCCTTAAGCAGGCAGAAGATGGTCAAGCAGAAGATGGTCCGCCCGTCGCCAGAGAAACTCACATCCTCAGACGAGGAACGATTCAAGGCAACCGAGTAAGAAGTTGAGAAGCAGCTCAGCGACCAGGACGGAGATTATACCCCAGAGTAGGATTATATCTTGGGGCAGGTAGCAAAGATAGAGCTTGTAGAATATTTAGATCCGTGGATATGTAGAGCTTACGGGAATAAAAGAATGGTCGTCTTTGAGGTGCTGGTGTGGTGTAAGCTAGCCAGCCAGCCACGCTACCCTACCTTACCTACCCTGGTCGCACCGCATCCAGCCCCAGCTAAGGTAACGCCAATTAGCCAACCGCGGCCCAATGTCAACATCACGACCAAATAATTTCCTCAAACCCCTAATCTAGCCCGTCGGCTCCGGAAATCGTCGCCCGCCCACGCCGCCAATTGATCCCTGCAGGCCGCCAGCTTGCTCTGCAAACGGCAGCGAGGCAGCTAGACTAATATTTTGCTCTCCGCCTCTACTCGGACGAAAAGACGGCAGACAAGTCAACACGGCAAAGTACCTACTTTACCTCCCTAGGTACCTTCACCACAGAAACATCAACATCGAAGACCGAATCCGACTGGCAAGAAGAGCCGCATCGACAGATATTAAACAAAAATGCGCATCCTCCCCACGCCGCTATGGCTGCTCGTGGTGGCCCAGGTCGACGCCCTGCAGGCACAACAGACACAACAGCAGCAGCTCCTCCCGACAGCCGTGAGGAAAATGCCGCCCGATCAGGGCGAAAAGTTCTACCACGAGTACTGCGCCTTCCCCGAAGCACACCAACACGTCTTTGCCCCGGCGGCAGCACCGCCGCTCATACGGTTGGCGCGAGCAGCGCCAGCCGTGGCAGCGCGCAGCGCGTTTGACGACGACGACGCGCGGCGCCAGGCAGCCAACGCCTCGGCACAGGTCGCGTACCGGCCGCCGTTTGCGCCGCACAGCAGCAGTCAGGGACAAGAGAGGATACCAGGTGGCAGCAGGTGGGCCGAGGTCGCGGCGCTGGCCAGGCTGCAGCAGCGCGACTGGTCGTGTCCGACGGGCACGAGTAGCTGCGCGGCCATCGGCTTCCCAAACAGCTGCTGCAGCGCCGGCGAGCGGTGCATGCAGGTGGCCGACACGGGGCTGGGCAGCGTGGGCTGCTGCCCGGCCGGCGCCACGTGCAGCGGCAGCGTGTCCAAGTGCGCCCAAGGCAGCACCGCCTGCGCGTCCGAGATTGGCGGCGGCTGCTGCATCCCGGGCTTCGTGTGCGAGGGCGTGGGCTGTGAGTTTTTTTTTTTTTTTTTTTTCCCTCTCTTGGATGCAGTCCAGGGGGTGTAGAAGCAAGATAGGGGAGAGATGCTAACTGACCTGCACAGGCGTCCAACCCGCACCGTCTCCATCGCCCTCCTCGTCTCCTCCACCAGCTGGACCCACGACCATTACCAGCACGTCGACGAGCATCATCTCGGCACCCACGCCCTCCACCGTGGTCGTGACCGTCGTCATCACACGCACGCCGTCGACGGCGCCGCCGGCCACGAGCACCACAACACAAACCGTCTCTGCATCACCATCCTCGTCACCGTTCTCATCACAGTCCTCGTCCGACTCCTCCGGCGCCGGCGCCCCATACCGCCCGACGTCTTCACCCAGCGACGGCAGCACCGACACCAACACGTTCTGCCCTACGGGCTTCTACCCGTGCCTGGCGTCGGCCGGCGGCGGCTGCTGCCAGACGGGCCGCGACTGCCACACCACCAGCTGCCCGCCCGTGGCTCTGACCACCATCGTCAACGGCGGCGGCGTCACCGTCGTCGTGCCCGCCAACGCTGATGCCACTGCAACTGCCGCGGCAAAGTGCGCCGACGGCTGGTTCCTGTGTGGCGCCGACGCCGGCCCCGTCGCCGGCTGCTGTCCCTCGGGCTACGGCTGCGGCACCGCCAGCTGCTCGTCTGTGGCTGGAACTGCTGACGCTGCGGGCACCGCGTCTGTCGCCAAGGCGCTGCCCGGGAGTAATTCTGCGCCATCTGCTGCTGTTGCGGGGGCAGGAGGGCGGGCGCTGGCTGTTGTTGTTGCGATGCTGGCGGCTGGCGGGCTGGTAGCGGTGCCTTTTTGATGGGTCAACGCCTCAGCTGTTTGTTAATGTCTTCTCTCTTCTCTCGAGCATGGAACGGAGCATTCGGGGCTGGGTTTTTCTTTGGAGGCGTGTCTATTTTCACCACGATAAACCTTTTATCGTAGATTTGCGCATATTTCGTGTCCCTGCGCTTTCATTTCATTGCTAGCATTTCATTGCCCGGAGTATTTGTCGAGTTGAAACTAGAGTCTCTCCTGTTCACGGTCTGGTCTGGCATAGGACATCGATCGACCTCATCAGGGGTCTCGTCTCTTTTCTGTGATCTTTTTTGCCAACTTGACAGGGGTCGATTTTCTGGGAGATATGCACCACATCTTACATTTACGTAGGTATTTCTTTTTTCTCTTCCCAGGTTGGATCAGATGCAAGCGCCTTTTCCGTAGGGCGGCATTGGTCTTGATTTTCACCGCTCCGAGACGAGAACCGACTCCGACGAAATTTTTGCCACTGTCGTCAAACTACAAGGTAGAGAATGCTCCTGGCAAGTCGGCAAAAAGAGTCACAGGACAGATCAGAACATAAGCAATAATCGAGAGCGTGTGCAAATTGAAATGAACTTCCACTTCCCGTACGGACAAATGTGTTATACATACATTGCGATATCGCTACATCTCATTCTCCTTCACTCATCATCGTTCTCGCAGTCCTCCTCATCGCTCTCGCTGTCCTCCTCATCGTTCTCGCTGTCCTCCTCATCGCTCTCGCAGTCCTCCTCATCGTTCTCGCAGTCCTCCTCATCGCTCTTGCTGTCCTCGCCCTCTAGGCCTCTCTCCGCACGAGCGATAGCTTCATCCACCGCCAAATGAACACGACGAGCTGCTTCAGCGCTCTCGTCATCGTTGAGTATCAATGGCGAATCAAAGCCGTGATCTACAATCCACGATTCCACCACGCGCATTTCTGCTGTTCCAAAATAGGTAGCCAGAGCAAGCAGCATGCTCTGGCGCATGTAGTTGCCTGGGGTTGGGAAAGGCCTTTGCTGGTAGTACCGAGCCCAAACATCCTGCCATCTCTGACGTTTGACATCTTTGATGCGGATCAGTGCCATGATGAAATGGAAATACATGAACCGGGAGACAGGCCGCTTATCGTTGCGGAATTGCAGCTCCTTTCCATCCAAGTCTCCACCAAGGTCTTTGGGTCCAATATAAGATATGTTTCGAATGTCAGAGGAGATGACATCGACTTTCCAGCGCGTGATGGGGTTTTCCGTTGCATCAACCGGTACGATGAGAAGATGGTAGCTGTCAAACCACTTCTCAATCTGGCCTAATAAAAGAAGGGCGTTTCCGGCCCGTCGGAGCGATGGTGCTCGGCTGCCGAACAAAATCTCACCGAGCTCGTCGCTGTCGAGAAAGAACGGTACGACATGCGCAGCTTTGACTAGATTCGTATTCCACCAAGAGCCCGTGACGTGGCACCAAACCAGGCCGCAGCGTATCTTACTCTTAGGACCACCTTCCTTGCCCGTGCCGCCAAGTACCTTACCCCCGATCTCGCCATCGTAGTACCGCAGCGCGTCAGAGCGAAAGGAAGAGGGCCGTTTCTCAGTCTTGCTAACGCCATCGCACTTTTTGTACAGTGCCAAGAGACACGCAGAGATGCTACCACCACGTGGATCCAGCAACCGTACAACACCAGGATCGTCAAAACGTGCCTTCTTCAGCTACTGTTTCCACAAATAATCACCAGTAGAGAGGTATCGGTGGTCGGTGTCTCGAAGTCGTTTCGCTGCTATGTGGGGTTGGATTAGGTTGGCATCTCGTTCTTCGATAATGACCTGTCGCTCTAGCTGAAGCTCGTCCTTTTTCTTCAAGGCTAGCTCAACCCCCAACGACGCAAGCTCAAGGCCGGATCTCACATCGGGCTCGTATCGCTCTTCATCTGGGTCGAGGTCGGGCTCTACCTTGCGAGAGAGGTCGTCAAAGGCCTTTTGTAGCTCGTGAGAAACGCTTCGTGCTTTCTCATAGTTGTCTCTCGCTCTCGACAGTGACAGTGACGGTGGCAGGATAGCTGCTGACGGTGGGCTGTGCTTCGGCGAATCGTCCTTGTTTTGCGGTGTTGATAAAGCAAAGGCGCCGAAGCTACTAATGCAAAAAGCGGCTAGTCTACACAAGTTGTTAGTCATCGGCGGGACTAGGTTCTTAGGCAGCAGCACTTACGAAGGAAAACCGAAGTCTGAGTAATTGGTACCGAAGCTACCAAAAGCAACCGAAGATGGAAATCGACGGTGTTGAAGATGCAAAGGCGCCGTAGCTACCAATGCGATCAAGCGGCTGGTCTGCACAAGTTATTAGCCATGGGCGGGACTGGGTTCTTGGGCAGCAGCACTTACGAAGGGAGACCGTGATGGATGCCGAAGGAACTAATACAACGAAGAGAGTGGGTGGGCAAGGGGAAAGAAAAAAGCCTTAAAATATTACGAGTGAAAAGAATAAAGTAAAGGCGAGTGGAAAGAAATGGAAGAAAAAAAATCTTGGCGAAGCATAATTAACAACCCCACAATCTCTACCTTACTGGCAAAGGAAAGTACGGGGGGAGGGCCAACGACGAAGATCTTGCCGCAAGCAAGCTTTCCCCGGTAATATCAAGTAATTTGTGTTTAAAGCTATCAGCGCTACCAGAAAAAGACAACGAGACAGGCGTATAACCCCGCTTCCATATTTTCCCCCTCCGCAGTCCTTTTTTCTTTTCTTCTTAGGCATGGAGTCTCAAGACAATTTTCCGGCTTCTTGAAAGCGGAAACTCTACACCTTACATGGCACTAAATCCTGCGGAAGAGAACCCCTCAAAAAACTCGGCCCATCCGGTAAATTAGGGCAGTGATGCCGTCATTGTAAACATCGGTCCCACCAGATGTCGTTTTGTTTCATGTCTTGAAATAATGCCTGACATTGTTATTATCTCTAAAGTCATATTGTATAGTAGATGGATCGTCGATGTACAGTAAAAACCCGGGAACCGCTTCTGGGCTGGCTGCCCTGCCCTGCCCTGCCCTGCCCTGCCCTATTTGCAGCTGCAGCGCTAGGAGGCCAACTTTGCTATAAGTATACCGTACCTGCCATAGGTCCTTTCCCCGGGGAGATGTGTGTGTGCGTGGTCTTGCAGACGTCATCCTGACCCTGCGTCTCCTGCACGGCGACGGCGCAGGATTCCGGAACTTTGTTGTTTTTTCTCTATGCAAGTCACCCACTCACTACTAGTGGCCGCCTGCCCCTTTTCTTTTGTTCATTCGGGCCGGCGTTGGTTGGGGAACAGGACGGGGGCGAGTGTATACCCTAAAGGTAAATCTTGGGCTTCGAGGCCCTTGTAGCCTCTGGTAAGGTGGCTTGATGTGTGAGTGACTACGTGTGTAGCAAGGTAAACAGAAGTCTCCGTCTCTTTATTTCCAGATTATGCTTTTTTATACTATCGTGTCTGAGAGCGCGAGAAGCAGATTATTTCATCGGGAGAAGATGGTGCTTGACAACTGCCTACAGCAGGGCAACTCCAATCTGGCTCCGTTATCGGTGCGGGCGGCCTTTTCCCTCTTCCCCCAATCCATCCGTCCCTCCATGGCGCCATCCATCCCACCGTGAGGCCGTCGCAAGGCAGTTGGAGCATGTCAGGTCGTAGCAGGCGATAAAGGCATCGTCTTACATGAAGAAAGATTAGGAATGATCATAGGGAGACGCCCGTCTAAACAATAAAACCCAAATAAACAACAACAACCCCTTTCCACCTCCCTCCCCACCCAGAAAATGTCCGACCCATCCACAGCACCACCGCTCACACGGGCATCAGTCGAGGCGGCGCACCGGCTGATCGCGGGACATGTGCACGAGACGCCGGTGGTGACGAGCTCGACACTATCGCGGCTAGCATCAACACAACGCACGCCTCAGGACCTGGCCGGCACGCCGTGGGCCGGCCGCGCGCCGGCCGCGCCCGTGCTGCGCCTGTACTTCAAGTGCGAGAACCTGCAGCGCGTCGGCGCGTTCAAGGCGCGCGGCGCGTTCCACGCCCTCGAGCGGCTCAAGCTGGACCCCGCGTGGGACCCGGCCAGGGGCGTCGTCACGCACAGCTCGGGTGTGTGTGTTCTTCGATCTGGGTGTTGTTGTGGTGTGTCGTGTATTTGTGCTGATGTATACCTATGAAGGCAATCATGCGCAGGCCCTGGCGCTCGCAGCGCGGTACGTTGATCCCCCTTCGCATCCCCCGTTTTAGGGTGGTCCCCGGGTCCGTGTTCACCGGAGGACGAGTGGCTTTGATAGGCAAAACGCTGCTCGCCCGGGGGGGAAGATACCTACCTGCCTGCCTACCTGCCTACCTACCTACCTACCTATACAAGCAAAGAGATCTGACGGCAAAACACAGCTCCAACGGCATCCCGGCGCACATCGTGATGCCGAGCATCTCGGCGCCGGCCAAGATCGCCGCCACGGCGGGCTACGGCGCCAACATCATCTTCAGCGGCAGCACGAGCGTCGAGCGCGAGGCCGTGACGGCGCGCGTCGTGGCCGAGACGGGCGCGCGGCTGGTGCCGCCGTACGACCGTGAGTTGTGTCCTTCTCCACTGCCGTATCCTTCCGTCATACACGTGTACCGTTTGTTTATATTCATCTGTTACTCCCCCATTTCCACCCCCCTTTATATCTCCCCCCTCACCTTCGCCATCCACCACCCCCCCTCCTCATTATTAACAAAAAAAACCAGACCCAGACATAATCCTCGGCCAAGGCACCGCAGGCCTGGAACTCCTCTCGCAAGCCACATCACTCATCCCCTCCCCCCATAAAACCCTCAACGCAATAATCACACCGCTCGGCGGCGGGGGCCTACTCTCCGGCGTCGCGCTGGCATGCAGCACGACGTCGACGCACGTGTTCGGGGCGGAGCCTTCTTACGAGGGCGCCGACGACGGGCGGCGGGGGTACTACGCTTCTCCGTTTCCCTCGCGGGTCGAGGCCGTGTCGTCGCTGACGGTGGCCGACGGGCTGCGGACGCCCGTGGGGCGGATCCCCTTCTCCGTCATCACGGGGCCGCGGCCGGGTGCTGCTGCTGTGGACACGGAAGCAGCGCAGGCATCCAAGGAACAAGTAGGTCACGGTGGAGCAGGTCAAGGAGCCAACCCGTTCGGGCGCATGGTGGCGGGCATCTACAACGTGAGCGAGGACGAGATCGGCGCGGCGCTGCGGCTGGTGTACGAGCGCATGAAGCTAGTTGTGGAGCCGAGCGCCGTGGTCGGGCTGGCCGTGGCGCTGTATAACGAGGACTTCCGGGCCATGGTGGAGCGCGAGGCCGGGGCCGACGGCTGGGATCTGGGGCTCATCTTTAGTGGAGGCAACGTGAACCTCGACTCGCTGGGGAGGCTGTTCGGGAAGACCCAGCAGGCGTCAGGGACCTAAGCCTGGGGAGAGGAGAGAGACAGGCAGGACAGAAACACACTTGGACAGCCACGTGTTCCAAAAAACCTCCAATTCACGACATTCTGAATATATATACACGTTTCCACAGACCGCTCAAGTCCGGAATTAAGAATCGACAAAGCTGTTTTTAGGTTTCCGTTTTCCCCGGGTATCCCGTCCCAGTACTAGTAGCCAGAGTGCGCCGCCTGCAAAGGAGAAGGCGGCACGACCTGCCGTTTACCAGGCCTCGACCTTGCCGGGAGTATCAAATTTGTTGCCCGAACAAGATCACCATCACGCTTCCCACACACACACCAGTTTACTTCTGGTTCTCGGGGCGCAGAGAGCTAGACACAGTCAGTTCGTGCCGTCCGTGGAACAAGCAGAGAAAAAACTCACCGAACAGCCTTTCCGGCTCTCCAGATCTCCAAGCCGCGGATCTCGGCCATCTCGGCCTCGTACTTCTCACGGTAGTCGGGTTGCGAGTTGTACTCGAGCGAGCGTCTGGTCTCGTCGCCGTTCTTGACCGAGTCGTACAGCGAGTTGAAGACAGGCTTGAGGGCGTCCTTGAACTTGGGGGTCCAGTCAATGGCGCCGCGGCGGGCGGTGGTCGAGCAGGCCTCGAACATCCAGTCCATGCCGTTGGCGCCAATGAGGGGGTACAGCGACTGGGTGGCCTCCTCGACGGTCTCGTTGAAGGCCTCGCTGGGGCTGTGGCCGCGCTCGCGCAGCACCTCGTACTGGGCGAGGAACATGCCGTGGATGCCTCCCATGAGGCAGCCGCGCTCACCGTACAAGTCGGAGATGACCTCCTTCTCGAACGTCGTCTTGTACAGGTAACCGCTGCCAATGGCAACACCCAGAGCGACGGCCTTCTCCTCGGCCTTGCCGGTCACGTCCTGGTAGACGGCAAACGACGAATTGATGCCGCGTCCCTCGCGGAACAGCGAGCGCACGGTGCGGCCCGAACCCTTGGGGGCGACCAGGATCACGTCAATGTCAGTAGGGACATCGACCTTGGTCAGGTCCTTGAAGACGGGGGAGAAGCCGTGCGAGAAGTACAGCGTCTTGAGACGGGGGTCTGGTTAGCGTCGAAGGTGAAGGGTGGGAGGAACAAGCCGACGTACCTTGCCCTTGGTGAGCTGGGGCTTGATGGCGGGCCATGTCTCGCTCTGGGCGGCATCGCTGAGCAGGTTCATGACGATGGTACCCCGAGAGATGGCCTCGTCGACATCGAAGAGGTTCTTGCCGGCGACCCAACCATCCTGCTCGGCATCCGTCCACGACTTGCCGTTCTTCCGCACGCCGATGATGACGTTGAGGCCGTTGTCACGGAGATTGAGGCCCTGGCCGTGTCCCTGGGAGCCGTAGCCGATAAGGGCGAAGGTGTCGTTCTTGAAGTATTCCTGGGAGGGGGTTAGCTGTGCTGATCTCTGTGAGGTGCTTGTCCCAGCCTTTGACCGTGCACGGGGCAGCTTCTTCCTTGCTGGAGGCAGCTAGGTAGATGCTGACCACAGGCTTGGAGCTTGGAGCTGGGGTTTGTTGGGAACATGACTCACCAAGAGCTTCTCCTTGGGCCAGTCGGCACGCTCTGCAAGACAACACCAAGATATCCGTCAGCCTCTGGCAAGATTTGCGGTCCAAGCATCGAGACTCAATTGAGCCTAGCCCGGCTCAGTTCTGCTCACCGTAGACATCCTCCTTGTGGCCGGCAAAGTCCATGGTCTTAACACCACGAACCTGCTGGCGGGTGGGACCGGCAGCAGCAGTGCGGGAGACGGCGACGGCAGAGGCCCGCGCAGCATTGAAGGCCGTCACAAAGGTGCGGCGCTGCACAGCAGGCGACGCCAATTGGCGGCCCAATGGCGAGCGCAGGGCCTTGGAGAAGCTTCGGGAGGCCATTTTGAATGGTGAATTGAGTGGGGATGGTTTGGGAGAAAGCTGGTTGAGGTGGGAATGGGGAGTAAATGGCTTTATGGCTTCACCGTCGGGGGGCTCTTTCCTGGGTCCCAGCACGCACACCACAGTCATCAGAATTTTTTAGTTTTTTCCCTCTGCTGCCACCAAGCTCTCACCGACTTCGGGGCTACGTGCTAGGTGTGGGGCACCCTTGTGGGGGTAAGCTCTGATCTCGGCCTCTGGTTGGCTCCTTCAATCTGGGGTGGGAGCGCCCCGTAGCGACCCAAGTGACTAGCTGTTGGCGAAGGTACCGAGTGCGGGGCTGGCCTACAGTGGGTTGTGTAGGCCTTTCTGGCACTCGGGGACAGCTTCGTCCCACAAGTTCGCGATGGGACCGTTACAAATTACCTCGGATGGGCTTCCTGGCCATCTGAGCTCTAAAGGTCCGATTTCCAGCCATGTTTCCCTGCTGTTGTGAATCTCCATCCGACATCGTCAACAAACGAGAGCGGTTTTGAGTCACCCTTGGCGCCGAGTTTGCTCGCCTGGGTCACGTCATGCCGATAAACTCGACAAACTAGCTAGCACCTGGACAAACGATTTATGAAACGTTTCTGATTTTGGATTCTAGACCCCGTTTGCGGTCTACTGTCCGACCGAATGCGCAGCGCCTCTTTGAAAGGGCACGGGGGACAATCGGGTTGCCGTGACCCGGAACGGGGAATATATCGGCAAGCAGACAGACCGTGAACACTTTCACAGCCTCCCGCCCATTTGGAGGTAGATGCAGAGATGTTGGCCATGTGGCCTGAAAACGGGAGTAAAAGTAACTCATCCGGAGGATGCCGTGAATTTGAAGGGAATAAATGAATAAAAATGTAAAAAAGCAACCCATGTTCGTTATGTGATCGTGATCGTGATCGTAAACGCCGCAAGATGCTCGCATCTATGCCGTCTCCCATGCCGCGTCTTTCTTCCCTCACTTGCTCTCCACCGGGCGGTGTATATCTCGTCTTCTGCGCCGTCCGCTGCTCTATGTCGGTTGCAGTTCAGCAACCCCTGCCCCTCTCCCCCTTCCTCTCCCCCATCCGTCACCTGCGTTGTCTCAGTGATGACCTCGGCGCAAGCCTCTCACTAGATCATGACCTTTTCAAAAGCCTCTCCCTTCACAGTGTACCCGTTCATGGCGGCCCGCACGTTCCTCTTGAAGATTTCCCTGTTCTGCCGCAGGTCCTCGGCGGCCTCCTTGTTGAGCGGGTCGCTGGCGTTAGGCTCGAGGAACAGGAACTGCAGGCCGACGATGACGGCGTTGAGGTTGAGGACGGGCTTCCAGTCCTCGCGCAGGATGTTGAGGCAGACCTTGCCCTCGAGGTCGATGTTGGGGTGGTAGATCTTCTCGCGGCACTGCACCTTGGGCGGCTCGTGCGGGAAGTTGGGCGTGATGTTGAACGTGAAGCTGAACCGCCCGCCGTAGTACATGCCCTCGTCCGGCTCGATGTACAGGATGAAACTCAGGATATCGTCGGGGTCCGGGAACTCGGTTGTCATGGTGGTGCCTAGCGAGAGCTCTGAGAGGTCTGGCGAGAGGGGGGAGTGGCCGTCGTCAGCAGGCGGTTACCAAGTCTCCCGAGTCGCATGACCCGAGGCACCAGAGGAACCTGGAGGGACTCGATCCTCTCGGGCGCCGAAGGGAGAGGGGGGGACAAGACGCAAACGTACCCTTTTGCACCCGTAATTGCGCTGCCGTGACCTTCTTCTTCTTGCCGCCTGCCGCGCCCTCGGCATTCTCAGCCTTTTGTTGCTCCTTTTTCTGCAGAGTCGATTAGCAACGACAAAAAACCGACAGAAAGGACGCGCCCTAGGCTGGGTATTGCGCGCGCGCGCGCGCGTGACCGCCGCGCCGCGCTACCGCCTTTCTCGGAGCTGGGGGAAACACCGTACCATGGACCATATCTTCAACATGGTGGCGGTTGACCAGCCTCGAAGGCAACAAAAGCAGTATGCGGAGGGAGATGAGTCGACGAGTTTCGCTGGTTTGCGATTCGCAAAAACCAAGGAGGGGCTTGCCTGCCTGGGCGAGGTGGGTAGGGGAGAGGCAGGGGTGGGTGAAATCCGGGGCACGGTCCGTCCGTCTATCTTGGAGATTTCTTTCTCCAAGGCAACCTGACAACAAACCAGGTGGTAAATCGGCGTTTTTTTTTAAAGGTTAAGGTAGGTAAGTTCCTTGCGGCAGGTGCTGGCTGTTTGAAAAGAATAAAATCAAGAATGTAAAGAGGAATCCGCGTGGCGCGTATCCAGAAGTTTTGCCACCAAAAAGGCCTCCGCCAAGAAGATATATAAGGAATAAAAGTCACTCCGAGGTACTCAATCAAGCGAGGGGCAAGATGGCGGAACTCAACCTGTGGTGCAGGCGAAACAAAGAGCCAGGAATTTTGATTTTCCAGCGCGCCCGAGTTCCAGGTTACCGGTGGTCAGGCGCCTACGGATTGGAGAGGCTAGTTGCCTGATAAGGCGCTGAGCTGACTGAAGGGTGTTAGCGGGGGACTTTCCAAGATTTGAAAGGCCTCAATTCCTAATGGCTTGCCCTTCAACTTTTTTCGCCGAGGGAGGTAATAACTATTAGAACCCCTACCCTAGAATCCTAGAGGTCTATCTCTTCTCTAAAGTACCTTTTAAAGCCCTTTTCTGCCGGTTTATTTGCGATAATCTTCTCCTTATTCACAGGTATCAGGCCAACAAACATTCAAGGATTGGAGTGTGAATAGAGGGGGCCTTACGTATCACCGTACCTTGAAGCAAGCACACAAACCTTACAAATTCTGTGTCCCTTCTTTGAGTCTTGTGCTGTGTGTGAATCCACTCTTGATCGACTCGATGTGTCCTCGAGCTTGGAAATCTGTCTTACCAACGGATGTGTACCCTAGATGCCTCGGTCTGCTCAAGACCACTCAACCGCAACCGCCAACGTCAACATCAATAAGAAACACCTGAAAATATTGAAATGAATGCCTCTGAATTACTAACTTCTAGGCTGCCAGTGAAATAAATAAACAGTAATTGATATATCGAAGCAACGAAACGCCGTGACCGATGCCATGATTGTCTCTTTTTTTTCTCTCTCTCCTCACAAAACCCCCAAATGCCGATTTCTTTTGCCGCCTCGGCCCCTTTGACATGAATGATGCCCGTCATAGAGAAAGAGACAAATGCCAGCGCATTGTAGCTAGTCGTAATAGTGCGAGAAATGGCCGAACTACCTACCTTACCTATGCCATGGGTTGTCGCCCCTTGACTAGTAATTAAAAAAGCAAGAAAACAGCCAACGTGATATACAAGCCGAAATCTGTTCTTGCGAAACTCGCGACGCCGATCTACCTACGCCGCTGAACCAAAAGTACACCCTTCACTCCGACGCTCAGCGCCGCGCGAAGCAGCACATGATTCCAGTCCTTCCGAGGAACCAGAGGAAGCCGATAAACCGAACGAGAGAGAGGGCGGCTGTGGCGTAGAGCAGGAACTTGAAGAACCCGACCGTGCGTGTCGATGAAGTAGTCGACTACACAAATGTCAGCGTCATGCCAATGCCCGGAGGTTAAAGCAGGGGAAAAAGTGCTACTTACAATAGCAACCGAATCAAAGTTGGGGCTGGTGATGACAACAGCCAAGAGGCAGTTGGAGAAGAGCCAAGAGACGACGAGCATGGTTCGGAAGGACTTGTACGAGTCGTCGAGGTCCTTGGGCTCCGGCTTCTGCTCCTCTTTGTAGGGGGCTAGCGCTCGGCGAACCGTCTGCTCGAACTGCTGGTCGATATCTTCCTGCGGCTTCTCGATCTCCTCCACCACGGCTTCATTCTTCTCGCCCTTGCTGACATTGGCCGATGGCAGCGCCTCGGCCTTGTCAGATCCCTTGGTACCCCACGACACATCATGCCAGTTGTTGAAGGCGTACACCATCAAGATGTTGATATACGTGGACATGAGCACCATGTAAAAGGGGAAGGAGTGGAACATGTGCCACGGGTCCAGATACAAGAATGAAGCTAAGAAGTAGAGACCGTAAATGGAAATCAGCGCGACGAGGATGACACCCACAGCACTCGAGTCGCTGAAGAAGGAGTGCAGCGCATCGCCTGCACTGTCAAACTTGAGCTGGTCGCCGACTGGGGTTGAAAAGGCCTTGACGACCAGGTACCCAGAAAGGATCAGGATGTAAGTCTGGATGAGTGAAAAGACGATGAACGAGGTGATGTACGTGTACTTGGACCCCTTTGGCCGATTGCCGAGAGCCAATATGAACTGCAGAATGACGAATGCCAGGTAGAGATAAATGAGCACCGCGTTGAAGATGGGCGTCACGCTATCGCCAAACGGCCAGGCGTGCGTTTCTGCCGTCGTGTTCGAAGCCGTGGTGGGAGTACCGACAATCTGCATGATGACAGAGGTGGTGAGGAAGTAGGAAGCCAGAGAAAACCAGGTGAAGATGACGTTCAGGACGTTGTAGAGGAGCTGAATGTGGAAGAAGAACATGCGGATCAGGTTGTGGCCGCTCTTGTACATGCGCCCAAAGTGCATGAGCGAGTAGATGCTGGCCGCAAAGGATCCGTTGAGCCATCGACGACGCTGGCTGATGAACTCGGGAGCGCCTTCAGGGACATCGGTCTCGCCCTTGGCGGCCTTGATGTAGCTCAAATGCCACTTCTGGCCGGCCTTGGCGACGAGCTCGAAGCAGAGAATACGATCCTCGGCCAAGAACATGTTCTTTTTGAAGATATTCATACCCTCGATGCCCTTCTTGCCCAGGATCTTGGACAGCGTGTGATCACCGTGGAAATACTGCTCCAAAGGCCGGCCCATGATGGCTCGGAAGCGGTATGCCGAAAACGCGCCAGGCAGCACGCTCACGTAACCAAACGAGCTCTCCAGAGGCTTGTCCAAGATGTTGGAGATCTTGTACTCGAAATTCTGGACTGCGACCAGGGGGTTCAGCAGCTTCTTGCCGCCCTGTTGGTTCGACATTAGAATAAATTTAAAAACAGCGATTAGACGTAATAGGAACAATAAACCAAAACAATACGTACTTTTCCGAGCATAGCGTGTATCTCGCCGCAGGCACCGCCGAGGTCCTTGTCGTTGAAGAAGCCTTCCCAGAGGGCAAGGAGAGACCTCGGGCTCGGCTTGGTGCCCGCATCAAGCAGAATACAAACCTCGGGGTTGAGGATGCGCCCAAAGGCGTTGAACAGCCAGCGGTGCGAGTTGATCTTCTTACTGTTGTTCTGCTTCAGGCAAAAGATGAACTGCACCGGCGGCAGCGTCTGCGGACCCTCGTCCACAGGCTGCATAAGCTGCTGGGTAGGAGTGACCGACAGCTGTGTTGTGTACTCGAAGATGTGGGCGACAGTGGGCTTGCCGTCGACATCCTTCTTGACCACACCGTCCTGGTAGATGCCGACGGTGGCCAGCACATCGAGCACGTTCTTGTCTGCCTTCTCGATGCCATCAAACACCAAGCACACGACAATCTTCTGCCACGCAGGGCCTCCCCGGTTCCAGAACTCTGACTTCTTCAGGTTCACTATGTCCCGGATGTTCTGCATAACGCCGTGCAGTGTTCTGGAAAGCAGCACCTTGTCTTCGTTGTAGTAGGTAATTGCGATTAGGAGCTCCGTGTGTCGGTTGTACATGCGGGGGCGCAGGTCGTAGCCGTTCTTCAGGGTGAAGTCGTTGGGGTCGCAGGTCGCAGCTGTGTAGCGCATCTTGAGGAACTCTTCGTTGTTGCCCTCCTGGTTGCGGTACCTGGGCTGGACGGCGTTTCTGATTGCGCTGGGCACGGGGTAGTCGATGCTGAGCACCGATCCCTGGACCAGCTTGACCTTTCTTGTCGCGTAGCGCTTGAGCCCGCCGGACGGTGCCGCATTGGGCTGCTGGCGCTGAATCCAGCTATCATCCGAGTCGACCGTCGACATGCCATACGATGCCGGATCGGGTGTGTACCCGGCCTCGTACTGGTATTGCTGCGCGCCAGCATATTCATTGCTGAGCGGGGGGAGCGGGGGAGGAGTCGAGTCCCTGCCACCGCCAATTCTCGTGGTGGGAGCACCGGGGGTATACGACTCCGTCAAGCTATAGGCCGAGACAGGGCGCACAGGGGGGGTCTGGGTGCCAAGCCGCTCATGATCGTATCCTGTCTGGCTTTGGTGGAGAAGCGAAGATTGTGCCTCCAAGTCGTCATGTTCAAGCTGCGGCGGGTCAAAGTCAGTACCATGGTCTCTCCCTCTACCAAACAAGCTGTGATCATCAACCCACCTCGTTGTGCGCGTTCAGATCCTGCATCGGGTGACCCTCGTAGCCAGCCTGTCCGCTATAGCCAGTTTGGCCTTCATAGCCATTTCCATGGCCTCGGTACGCCATGGCAGCCAAGCTCTCAATCTAGCAGGGCGGTCCAGGTAGCAACCAAAAGGTGGTCGTTCTATTGTCCCGCGAAGCACTGGCGTCTGTCGATGGCGGGGGTTTTTTTTTTTTTTCGGATGAGCGGCCGCCTTTGTTGCTCTAGGCCGTTTCGAGTCTGGTCGGGACGTACAGAGGGCAGCCAACTCTAGGCTCACAGCGGAGGACTCTGGACGCCCGCTGCGTCCAGTTGTTACGTGTACGGGATAGGTGCCCGATCAAGTCAACCCAGGGCAGGCGCGATGAAGAGGTAGACCGGGGCTCGATCTAGGGGCCTAAGGTACGGTACGGTAGGGTACGAAAGGTAGCGTGCAAGAGTACCGCAACTGCTATTTCGGTAGGTGGCAGCAAGAGAAAAGGCAAACAGAACGAGCGGGTTTGTTCTGGTGGATCTTTTGCTAGAAACAATGGTGTTTCTCTGCAGATATGGAAGTGGTCCAAAACTTGGTTTCAAGAGCTTAGGAGATGTCCTGGCTGGTATTGGGGTTATGAGGTAGGTAACGTGGATAGAGGGTGTGGCTGAGCGTCCAGGGATGGAAAGCGCTTCTCCACCGGATTCCTAGCCCAGGGATGGCTGCAGCGCGAACACACCTGTGGACACGAGGGGGCTTGGGCGCTCAGAGCCAGTGGGAGGGGAGGGCTGTTGCGCGGCAGCCACCTCTTGGGGCCGCCCGAACAGCCCAACCAAAGATCCAAAAGGGAACCCTCCTACGTCAGTCGGCCACTTGCCGACCCCTGAAGGCGCCAAGATCCTGGAAGAAGTATCCGCGCCGACTTCCATCTGTCTTCCTCAGACGCGTTTCAGCGCCGTGTTTTTCCCCTGGAAGGTGCATTTTCACGGCAGGGCAGATATACAAACGTCGCCGCCTAAAAGAGTTTGCTCCCATGCGGATTACTCATGGCCTCCCATCATCCGTTGTTGCGTTTCTTTCTATAAGTTTAACTTAGCACGCGGTCCGCCCCTTTCAAGCATGCATGCCACGGAGTATAAACTACTGCTGTAGTCGCAGCGCCTTGGGAGCTTGACATCGATCCTGGGGTGACATGGATTGTTCACTTGCCCGCCTTACAAGGCACGTATAAATTTGGATTGCTGAATCCTCTCAACCCATCCGTCTTTCCACCGCCTCATTTGATCTCTTTGCACGTATCCTTCAGCATCTTGAACGTTACATTGCCTTCACCTGGCCGCGGCCGCCCCAGAATACGGTTTGCCGGGCGGTGGCGACCACGAAAATAAGAATAAAAATCAATGTTAAAAGCAAACGAGGCGGAGAATCAGCGGGCGGCGCAGAACGGGAGGCGACACTCCCGGACTCGGCCCTGAGAGCTGCTGCCGCTTGCCGCCTGTCTTTTGGGCCACTATATTCTCGACGGAACCTGAACCCATATTAATCAACTCCTGAAACACGAGCAAGCCCAAACCCCATCCAGATCCGCACGGAGGCTCCTCTCTTGTCGAGAGCCTCTCCAGCTGGCGCCGGCCGTCACCCAATGACTCCCACAAACCGCGCGTACTAAAGCCGAGCATCCCGGCTTTTCAAGATCTGCAGCGACGCGAATTCAAGGGATTTTGTTTTTCAACGCAGAGTGGCGAGAACGTCGAATCAGATCAGACGGCGGTGTGCGACAGCGGATGCTGTGCTTACGCAGTTCGGGCATCGCGTTCTCGTTCCCCAGACAATCGACCTTTCTTTTGCATGGTGGCGGTTTCTCGTAGTCGGCTTGCCACAAGTTGTGATGGCAACCGCCCTGTTAGTGTGAAGATTCGAATCTTGCCATTCCATTGTTGCCCGCGGCGATCAGTTGCAGTCCATCGTCAATTTTTTTTTTCAAGACCCGCAAAGATCTGCGTGGAGTGCCCGGGGAGCGCCAACCAAAAATAGAAGAGGGTCGTTCGGGGCGGCCTTTGTCCCTGAACGTCCCACTTAACGTAAAACTTTGCGCCACTGAGGCGGAGCAACTGCGATTCCACTTCCTGCTCAACACGAATTTCGCCAAATCCGGTGTTTATCCACTCATTGATCGCATTGGTTTCGTTCGCGAACGGAAATTTTAGACTAAGGAGATATCGCATGTTCGGCGGCTTCCGTTCATTAATAGTCGCCATTTTCAATTCGTATATTATCAACGTTACCTCGGTCGAGTCTCAAGTGCCGCTATAGAGCTACTCGATATTTAGTAGCTATAGATACCGAGACGGCTGCTCCGTATTAACAGCGAACAGCTCGCCGATAGCAGTCCGGTTGTTCATGCCTTAGCATGCTTATGCCCATTCCGGCAATCAGCCTCGACCGTGGCCACGGAAGCCTCATCTGTGCACTCCCGGTTCTTCAACCGGGCCCGGCCACGTACCCTCGGACTCTCAAATACGCGTGCCCGAATCCGAGCCTTTGTTTCAACAGTTGCTTGTTTGTTTCGCGAATCCGTCCGATCCTCCGCCGCCAAGATCTTTGCTGGTCCTATAGCCCCCAGCCTAATAAGTGGCTATACAAAAGAGACTGCGGGCGCTCGCCGTCGATGAGCCTCTCTCCATCTTGCTCCCGCCCTCTCCTTCACTCTTCCACAAAGACACTCGGTGTTGATGGAAAAGAAGCTTATTTTTATTCGAGACTAAACCGTCCATTCCTATCCCTCTCGCCAGCGCAGAGGGCTTTCCATGTCAGACTGCAGCCAATGGGAACGACAATAATATCTTGCTTGTCCTATGTCCCCAAACGCGAGGGGGAAGCGGCAGTTGCCAACTTCGACAACCTCTCAAATGTTCCTTCTCGGCAGTGACTAACCTCGGGCTCGACCGCGGGCGGTGTGCCATAGCCAGCTCCTTAGTCTACGATTTCTGCTTACATGTAGGGTTTGTTCTGCTTCCAGATTCTGTCCGCGGACCAAAGCAATGTAGAACTGACTCTGTCTTGATCTTGTTGGAACTAGGGACAAGCGACCATGTACAACACTGAAAACCAGTCGTGTTCGGAAACGAGGACCGGGGCTCAAGAAACGCGTTGAATAAGTCGACGTACTTTGTTGACCAATAGGCTCTTTCGGCTGAATAGTTCCTGTTTTCTGTGGTGATCTACCTTCCAGAATTGAAGTGACGTGACATACGGAATGTTATTACGTGGTCTTCCTTACAACTCAGGCTATGCTCCGCAACACACCTCCGTCATTGAGACTTGCAAAGACCATGATACCGATCCGGCCATTCAACCACTATGAAGCGCTCGCATTCACTTTCCGTCCAACATGCTGTGAATTACAGTGTTCCCGATTCCAGGTCCAAGAGACAAACATGGACGCTTTACCCTGACCTCGACTAGGTAGTTTGCTTTGCCACGGTCCGAGCACGTCTGAAGGCTTTACGCGTACTCCGTAGCGCCCTATTTCCGACCATGATGCTAGCGATGTCGTGTTGGGGGCCTCCCATTCCTATCTAACACCAACCAACACTCCATAACCATCGAATCCAAGGCTGCTGTTTACACCTGTTGGAAGTTTTCCTGACAAATTCCGATTCAAAAGGAGAAGACATACATTTGGCACAGCTATTTCCGGGAATCAAGCCAACCTCAACGACACGTCTTACGGCAGATCTGTTTTGGTCATTTAGGTAAGAGTGTGGAAATACGAAGTGGAACAAGGCGAGCAGAATCCGTACTGTTACGGCACGGTATGACACGCTGAGCAACCCCCCCTACACCAAGGTGAGATAAACGCCGGCAAGGACGGCTGCCAAGCTGGCACAGGTATCGCAACCGTTGGACCCAGATTAAATTTTACGATTCCGAGATCGTTGGGAGAGAACATCAGACGAATAAGATTCCGTAGACTCTAGCAGAGAGATCTGAAAGGTCACCAGAAACCTCGATTCTCTGGCATTTGATGATTTAGAGGTTTGGACACAGCATCCATTGCATTAGAACAGATCTACAATGTCGGCGAGAATACAATGTTCCTAACTAGTCTGCTAAGCTAATACTATGTATGCATTCAATTGTACAATATACGTTTGCGCACATGTCGATTGCCCAACAATCAGCCGCCTCGCGCAGCAATTATACCAATAATCGCTGAGCAGAAGCCAACGAGAAGCCAAGAGGCTGGGCAGACGCTCCTAAACTCGCCAGCCTACCAGCTTCCTAGGTGGCCCACCCTCAAAGAGACCGCCTGTTCAGCTTGGTCGCCTACCTTCACCGTGCCACGTCTCACGTAAGGAGCACAATGACTTGAAAAACAAACGGCGCAAACGAACAGTGAAAGCCAGTCAATAAGTTACCATCTGAGGTCATCTCGGACGGTTTCAAATGACAGAGATGTAAAGCATGCATGAGGCGGTAGATGCGGCAAGCTAGTGTCCAGATTGTCGCCATCGCAGGCGGGAAATTTATTAGGTCTACCCCAGTTTGCCCAGGGAGGGGAAATGGAGCACTTACGGCTTGCGGGAACCACTTTCGAGCTGCACGGTGCCCACGAGCTAAGGGAGCCACAGGGGGCGGCCAGGCTTCACTGATCGGACGAATCAGACGCAAACTTAGGGCTCCAATATGTTTCGCTTAACTACCGGATGGCACGCAAATAGCGCAAGAGGCGGCCGCGGGACACTAGTGGCCCTGAATTGGGGTCCTTTGTCACCGTGTGGCACTGTGTCCCACTTCTGCCTTGTGGCTCTGCTGCCCCAACTGGCCCCTTCCGTAAATTGAGCCTGGGGAGTGGGGCGAGACTGGGGGGAGGACCGACCTTGGCCCTGAATTGCCCGCCTGCCCACCTTCCAACCCTCTTTCGAGACTTCCCTCTTCCAGCTTTCGCCATCACCGCTGTCTCCATGTCGATCTCGGCCGACTCAATCAACGACAGCCGCGATCACTCAACTTCTCGCCGTCCTTGCGGTATCGCTAGAGGACCGGTCCATCAGATTCGCTTCTGAGAATGGTTTGAACAATCCGCAGCGTAACCTTCTCGAACTAGCCTCCCAGTCACTCGTTTCCTGGTTCCGGCCTTTGTGTGTTATCTCACCCTTTGGAGTCATCTCCTGTCCGATTGTCTTGCATCCCTCCGCGGCCCATCCCTCATAACCGTTCGAAGATCAGCCAAGGTCGCAGTATCGATCCGAAATACGTGTACAAAGTAGATCGAATCTTAGACAGCTTGCGAGCCGTCGAATCCCCAGCCCAGCCGTTTCAACCCCAAACCAAAACTGATCGACATCACGAGTGGATGGTCCCGGCTCGGTTGCAAGGTTGTCCGTCTCGAGGATCCGCACGGCAGTCAGCATCTCAATTCACAGTCGCGATTCCAACCGGAATCGTCCTTCCATCATGTCAGGCACGGTGGGCAATCTGAAGGGTAAGCCATCGGACTGAATCGTGATGTTAGCTGAACAACCTTTAACGTGTCTCTGAATGCAGCGACGAGGACGACGCGCGAGTTCTTAAAACGCGACACTCACGTCAAATGTCAGGACTCAAAGCTCGTCTGCCCTGCTTGCGACACGACTGTATCGCAATGTCAATTCATCTATCCCACAAACCGCCTCGAATGCCCATGGGCGACCTGCTCTCCGCTCCCCGCCTCCAGCTTGGTTAATCAATCCTCGGGCAGTTCTAGCACCAATGTAGGTGCGATCGCAGGAGGCGCCATTGGCGGCCTCGTTGCCATCGCTGCCGTTACATATCTGGTCTGGAGGTTCTGTGTCAGGACGAGGCGGCAGCCGATTGAGCAGGAGGTGTGGGTGGAAGAAAACGTCAAGGTTCCTGAGATTGAAGCTGCCCCGCGCCGCGACAACCGCACTTCTACACATACCGTTCAGTCGATAGCATCGACTGTCCTCACGCGGGCTTCCAACATTATCCAGATCGCATACATTCCCGGCGTCACCAACCGCGCGGCCAACACATCGCCTACACTCCTCGTTCCCCCAGTACCGCCCATCCCGATCGCCATATCACAAGCAAACAGTCCTGCTGCGACAGAGGATCAACACTTTTTCGTCCCCGGCGGCCTGCGCGACTCCACATACTCTGGTCTCTCTGCTTATACGGACCGTACCTCGTTTGCTCGGACGTCCTACGCGCCGCGGTCCAGTGTTGCGTCAACTATTTATGGCAAGAATGCTGTCATCGTCGCTCCAGCCCAGACCGGTATGATGACTAGGCCTGCCATGGTCAGCGTGAGGTCTGCTCACTCGAACGGCTCGAATGGCAGCTCGACTCCTCCAGTCCCGGCCGTTGACTACGACAAGTACAACAACCTTATTCGACCTCCGAGCCCCGCAAACAGCACATTCAGTGTGGGGTCGACGTTTTTGAACAACGCCAGCGCTCATACCGCTACCCCTGCACGCGCCATGGTCGTCCGTGTGGGGAGTATAAAGAAGTCGACGCTGGGCAGACCGAGGATAGCCGAGGAAACCGTATCTTCACCCAGCGAGTCTTCAACCGTCCGCGACTCCAATGCCGCCACTATCATCATTGACTCGCCGGCCTCGGATCAAGGGCCTTTCAGGGATCCTCCAGAGCGGTCAGCGAGCCAAAGCACGACGAGTCTCAGTGCCGTGATCGAGGAGGCAACGCGGCGGGCTTCACAGAGGGACTCGCAAAAGGAGTCGCCAAGCCTGCTCAAGGGGAGAGAACGAAGTCCCTTTGGCGACGAGAATGCCACGCAGGACTGAGCGGTGCCATCTGTGATGATTTACTTTTTACCATGATACTCCGCCCATTTTACTGTGGCATCTCTTTTTGTCTATTTTACCTTGACATCTAGTTTTGATTTGTCTTAACTTTCTTCTGGGTATACTGACGCTCTGGGCCGGAAACTGGCCCAGGGCCGATTCTATGTTTAAACTTTTTGGAGATGGTGCCGGAACGGGATACGAGCCTCAACAGAAGGACTCGGTTTGGCGTTCTTTTTTGTTTGTTTGTGGGTACCGTGAGCGGTCGACGGGGCCGGTTAGGATGAGATACTTGAGCAACAAGCTACAGCTTGACTCACTCAGCCATGTTACATGTGATTTATATCAATTGAATATAGAGATGAGGTTATTACCACTTAGCAACGCTGTTGGATTATGCATGTGTTGTTTGTTGTGTATGTCGTTTGTTGTTGTTGCTTGGGTTCCTGGATGGCCTGGGAAGGGGTTGTTCCAACTTGGCCAGTAATGCCTGCCTGGGCGAGGTCTACTAAGTGCTTTTGTCGCCATTCCCAACCTGCGGCTATGAGCCCTTGAATCTAGACGCCTATCTAGCGGTATAGTTGGGGCGTGTGTTGTGTAGTTGGGTCGTTTTTGGGTCTGGATTGCTGCCGAGGTATTGCTTGTATGCACATTCTTAATATCTTGGATTATGGTTCTTTTGTGAAAGGGCCCGGGGTGTGCTGAACCGCGCGCGCGCGCGTGTGTGCTGCAGGGCGATACGGTATCTGTCGGTGTGTACGCTTAGACGGAGAGGATATGTGAGTGTGTGTGAGAGAGTGCGTGAGAGGGTGTGAGGGTGAGGGTGAGAGTGTGTGTGTGTGTCGGAGATTTGGGGGAGTGAGAGAGAGGGTGAGAGGGTGAGAGGGTGAGAGGGTGAGAGTGAGTGTGAGTGTGTCAGATAGTTAGGGGAGTGAGTAAAAGAAAGAGTGTGTGTGAGAGCCAGAGAGCGATGGTAGATAGATAGGCAAACACAGGACTATATACACTGCTGCTGCCCAGTTTCCCACATACGTAGATCCGGGTGTGTGTTCCTGCCATGCCTGCTCAGTCATATACGGCTGCAAAATATCAGCGTAACCCGTGCTGGGCGGGTAAAGAGACCAGCTTTGGCAATGTGTTCACGCTTTGTTGCTCTATTTTTTCTGGCAGGATCTGGTGGTCTGGGCCGCAGGCAATATGGCTTGTCTACCTCATGTAGGATTGTGTGTGGCAATGTAAGTTCCAAGTGTCACTTCACTTTGAGAGCATGGTTGGATGGCGATGTCGCGGCAAATGGTGCTTGGGCGCCTTCTGTCTACATGTTCCGTGATAAACTATTCAGCTGTGGTTCAGACATTCAAGGCCTCATAAATTAGGTTCTATTTCCTCTCTGCTGCTTTCATGCGGCCAGAGCGGGACAAGAGGTTGGTACAACCTCAAAAGTCGAGGAAAAAGAGGTTGTCTACTTAGTTGTTAATTTCTGACAATGGGAGAAGCAGCGTTTTGATAGTTGCACCGAATGTCATCCCTGAAGGGGGGGCCGAAGTCTGTTTGCCTTGGAAACGTGGCGAATAGGATGTGCCTAGGTATATATGCCCCTAATCAAGACTGCTCGAATGTTGAGAGAACTCGACTGTTAAGAATCTCCGAAATGCCCGTGGCTTTCTTCGCATATGGTGGATTATATAGCCAGGTGAAAACTCTCGTTTTCTCTAGTCGACAACCCTGAACGCAAAACTGTGGAATATATTGTACAAGCTGCCTGGTAACCACACCATATACTAGGCAAGTCTTCCCTTGATACTAGGCGAGGTTGCTTGGGCCTCTGTCTTTCATCCTTTGTATATGGCTCAATTATCACCGTCTTCATTTTCTCGGACAAATTTGTAGAACCATGTGGCCCAGTTTCCGAAGTCTTTACCAAGAAGTTCCGGGTCATGGCTTGACAGTAGAAGACTCGCCGGAAGGAAGCCCCCGAGTTCACTGAGATATAGACGAAAGGCAATGGATAGACGGCGAGGGCCGAGAAAACGAGACATGCAAACTACAACAAGACACATGCCCGATATCCACCAATGTCTACCCCCACGCTCACTAATGCCGAAGCACATGAGACGAAATCCCGAGACGCAGCCCCGAGACGCATCCCCGAGACATGCTATACTCGACACCGGAATATATGAGACAAACACCTTGTCAGCTGGCTTCCAGAAGGCCCCTACGCCCCCTTGTGAGTCGTGCGAGAGGAGGAAGAGACACATGTGCCACGAGTTTGGTGTTGTGGCACCTTGCTTGGTCAAACTTTTTACCAGGAGGCACCTACCCATTGTATAAGTCTCTGGGCTTACCCCGGGGTGCCTAGACCTAGTCGCTGGTCCCGAGCAGGTCTCTAGCGAGAGGATAGCGCCGGCTAGCGCATACAAGGACGGGTTGTACTTTTCAGCTCGGGCTCGTGCGGATATTGTAGCTATAACACTACCTAGGCACGGTATATATCTAACTACGTTCTACACTACGTTCTACACTCCACTGGTCAACTTGGTTCCTGCGTAACCTAGGTCGGTAACCAGCCGTGATACCGCTAGAAATTCCCATGTACGACTTAAAAACGTGGCAATCCTGCTGGCATGATATGACAAAGACACAAGCCAGACAGGACCGTTCACCCAAAAGACCAAGATCCAGCTAGTCAAGGAAACAGTGGCCCAATCTAATGGCATGTGGTAGAGTACTAGATCGGCACAACGGAAGAGAGCATCACCTCTGACACTGCAAGAAAGGGTAGAGCAAAATATAAATAGATAATTAATCACTTTTCCTTTTTTTCTCTCGATAGAATCTAGACCAGGACTCAGATTCAGATAAATATGAAAATACGGCCTATCACAGAATACCCGGTGAAAGGGAAAGCAAGCAGGATGGCGTGTATTTGTTTTAATACGCATCTGCACTTACATATTCTGTATGTGCAATAGATCTCCTCTGCCAAGTTGTGTCTACGCCAAAGTCCAGCTCCGAACCTACCAATGACAATTTTATTTAGTGCCATACACCAGGTTTGTACTTCGTACATGTCTCTATAATGACAGTAAAGCAGGCAACAAAAACGACAACAACCAATCCCTTCCACCCCCTTGAGAACAACCAGAGATGAGAAAGAGTAACCTACAATCCACGTGCCATCTCCAGAAGATACACCAGGTACCTCACATATAAACTAATTAACAAATCAGCCTCTGGCCGGTGGATGGGATCCCGCAATCCAGCAACAACCGCCGACTACTCTCTCCAGCTATGGGCAGGCATAGAAGACAGTTTAATGTGTGTTTATTTGTTTTCCAGGAGTGAATTTTCACGGTATCATTGCACGCACAAAATAGAGAGATAATTGCATCTAGCCCATTCTCACCATCTGGGTGCCAAGGTCTGGCAGATGGATTAAGCATGACAGATCAGTGAAACTGGGACATACAAGGTTAAACCCCCCCTCCCCCCCCCCCCCCCCAAACAGACTAAAAGAACAAAAAAGCCCCCAAAAGGTACAAGGAAAGAAAACCGCAACAGGCGACAGGTAATTTGCTCGAGCACGCCAAATCTGTAAATTCATCTTACCCTAGCTCCTTCCTCGCGTCAGTATCATGATGCCCCGCGTGGGGGCCGTCCAAGTTTTATTAGAGGGGAAGAAAAGCTGTGGCGTATATATGTACGCTCTCTGCTGATTGTGGGGTGAGGTGGTTGGTTAGTTATGCACGCACGGCAAGGAAGAAGCTAGGGACGGGGACAGGTGCATGTGCGGAACGAGAGGGAGGGACCCTTGGCTATAAACTCTTCTGCATAGCAAAAAAAAGATAAAAAGAGAGCCTCTAGCCCAATGGTTTAGTTTTTATTTCTTTTTTCTCGTGTTGTCTTGCAGGAGGATGACAGGCGAGGTGTGGGGTGGTGCTGATGACGATGCATGGAGGCTTTTCTTTCCGTGGCCGGAAAGACTTGACCTTAGCTTGTCAACCCCCCCTTTCCACCCCCATCCTGCAAGCATCTGCATGAACATATCATGTACGCAGAGATATACGTACATATAGCGAAATGTAGTCTTGTTCTGGTCCAAGATAGGTTCGCGCTATGCACATTCGCTTCTCGAATAGCAGATCAGTCTTCTTAGTGGACGCCTAGAACGAGTGTGGGCAGCAGCTCCGGCACCGGATTTCCTCTTTCTGATCGGATGGGTGGGCCGCACGAGTGCGTGCTTTCTTTTCACGCTCTCTCTCTCTCTCTCTCTCTCGCTCCTCTTGCAAGCACACTGCAAGTGCATGCATGCGTGTGGCTCCTTTGGCAACGATCTTGGGGTGAAAGAAGGAAGCGGGGAGAGGATCTTCCCGAGGGAGAAAGGGGAGGGGAGAGCGTAATAGTGTGTGTGCGGTTGAATCCGGGGGAGGAATGGTGGACGGACCCCCGGTAACGGTCGGCGTCCATGTTGATGGCCAGGCAGGGCCGCCAGTTTGACCTTCCGGATCCGTCCGTACCGTCGGGGCGGACTTGGGCCCGATATGCCTGTCTACCATCTCCTTTCTAGAGTCCCCTACCATTCAACGTAGCACCGCTGCCACCAGACGCCTTATCAGATCCGCGACCATGGCAATCATTCGCTCGTTTCTGCTAGAAGTATAGGCGAATTATCCCGAAGATGGCAAGCTGCCCGGGGGCATTAGTTCTAGGATGCACGTCGCGCACTCACGATCTTGCCGCCTGCCGCTTTCGCCCGAGGCCTTGCTGCGTCGTCGACCATTGCTTGGATGAGTTGGTGGCATGTGGCCGTGGCTGGCTAACAACGGGCAAGGTGGTATGGTGGTTTTGATGGTAGCATTTGACGCATTGAACTCTTGCTCTGATTGCCTGGTGTCGGCGTGTCGTTGGTACGTTCGTACATACGTGCTCGGTAGGCCAAGTCCATCATCATGAGGGCTTTTGACCCAGTATCCGTATTCCGCATCCGGACTTGGGACGGGTTGTGTGCCGAAGCTTCCCTCCCATCCACATTCACCATTCGCTATTCTCCATTCCTTTAGCCGGGTGCAAGCACAAAGGGGTCCGAGTCCACCGGTCTGCGCACGCTCAAACAATTGATCGGGAGCGAAGCGAGGCCTGGAGATCCGGCAGAAGAGTGAGTGGCCCGGTTCAAGTCTCGGCTCTCACTCGTCGACGACGCGCCAAGCCCACCACGACGCTGGCTTTAAGTTGAGTTGACAACCACGGCAGACGTAGGTAGTGCCGAGTATGACACAGTATGTACGACGCTTCCATGCCACCCTCTTCCTCTTGTCTCTTTTAGATGCAGTGAACCGATCCGACGAATGATACTAAGCGGCAAAAGAGGGCGATTTGGGTTGGGTCGGGTACTGTCCACTACAAGCCTTTAGCTGCTTCATGTGCTTCAACTCCAAACCCTCGAGACGGCACATTGCCGCTCCCCCCACCCCGCTGGACTGACCAGAGGGGTATCCTGGAAAGATTATGAGTGCTTAAGGAAAAAAAGATCCAAAGCCAAGTCGGTGTTCATCCAGATGGAAAGACTGAGTGATGTCACTATGGCGTGTTATGTACATGTCCCGGGTATAGATATTCGGCTAAGCCGTGTTGCTAGGAGCCGTAGTTGACAGGAAAGAGAAAAGTGATGGAAGAGAGATGGAAAAGCTCAGATTGTCTGTCAACTTGCCCGTAATCTCGATCCTACTTTCCGTCAGGTACCGTACCTATTCTTCCGGTCACGCTTAATCAAGCAAGCTCAAACTCTATTTACCCCCCACAAAGAAGTTTACGGGGGCAGGCGCCACCCAGACCAAGGCAGCGACTTGGACTTGTGCAATTCACTAAATGCTCCCGTTGAACTCTAGGGGGTCTATGCCTCTGTTTACCTAAATGAAATGAGAATGACATGTCCTGGGCGTCGTCTCTCAACGCCAACCCCGAGCAACAAGCTCTTTGATAATCTGACAGCCGCCGCCGGACCGGGGCCGGTCCTCCGGCACGTGTTGACACTTGGGAATCCTGGCTGCGGATTTCTCTGACAAGAGCGGTGGCTCTTGCATAGGTAGCTGCGTTTTAGGGCGTGTGAGTGGGAGATACAAGGGTTCTCGACGCGCAACTGGAGGATTTGAACCACCAGACCTAAATCGAGATACGAAATAGAGGAATTAGGTTCTTATAAGTAGCAAGGTCTAATTGCTCCCTAACAAGGAAAGGGGGCAGGCACCGCTTTCTATAGGACAAGAGAATTAAGTTTCATACATGCTAAAAACAGGATAAAAAGAAAGGAAATACCGTGAGTTATTCTCGCCCATTAGTGACAACAAAACAACTCTCTAACTAGAACAACCGAACAACAACGCAAGTCAAGTAAGAAATAAAACCGATTGAACAAAGTAGAAGCATTACCGGGGAAAGCCCTCGCTCAGTCTCAAAAGGGGAATTTTGCCCTGATTACCTACCTTAGCTGTCTCCCATTGGGCAAGTAAGTAACCCGCACTCCCCGCGCATGCCAACATCGTGTGCGATACATACAGCCACTACTTCTGGTGTTAGTTTAATATGTATGAGTGTATGTAGGTATTTACATGCCTTACCCAGACCTAGACCTAGGAAGGCAGGTAGGAAGGCAGGCAGGCAGGGACCGCTCGGTAGCGGCGTCTCACGCACATGCAATGCAGTTTGCAGACCTGCAGCAGCAGCAAGCGCAAGAAAAAGAAGAATGTGGGTTGCGTGAAGTGTGTGTGGTTGTGTGTGTATGTGTTCTCAAACCGAGAGTGATGAGACTTCAACTGCCTTGCCTTACCTTACTCAAGGTAGGTAATAGGCAGAAGGAGAGAACATCGTGAGAGCTAACTCCCTCTATACGGGAATTCAATGTTAAACGAGTGGACGGGGGTTCACACAGGACCTGTTCGCTGAGCATAGCATGGGTAAAATCTATGCGCTGGCGGTTGTCGTCGAGACAGCCAGAGGGCCAACAAAAAACCCATCTTCATGTATGTATGTATGTATGTATGTATGTATGTATGTATGTATGCGTTGTTCACCAGAGGAGCCAGGCGTTGAGTGGTTGGCATGTGGCTGGGCAGACCAGGACCGAACATCTCGATTGAGCTTAGTTCTAGTCCCAAGCCGGTGGGCGATCCAGGAGCCTGTGCAAAAGCGAAGCGAAGCATCTGTGTTACCACAAGTTAGTAGCAAAGATAAAAAGCCAAGATAGGTTCCTAGGTAGAATTTCGAGACAGTCTTGTGTGCGCACCTGGAAATATTTTTGACAGCCTTTCTTTAGTTAATATTTTCTGAGATAGCCCTAGCAGATAGATACCTAGCCGGCGATGGCACGAGGCCATTGTAGCAAATGTCCAGGAGAGACGCGAGCCGAGTCTGTACTGTGCAGTGTAGTCGGTCTTAGGCCCTCACCCTTCTTCTCCGCCTCCCTTTCACCCTCGACCGCAGCGTCCCTCGTCCTGCTCCCCCCCGGCCAAACACTAAGTCCTCGCCCACCGACAGTCTTTCCTACAAGGTGTCCACCATCCTTCCATCCCTCGGGCTAATCCGTGGTTACAGAGCTACCCAGGAGAGTCCGAGAGTGCTCGGATGAGGTTGGGATGGAGGGACCCTAAAAATCTCAAGTCGAGGGCCGTGGGGTGTTAATGGACACTTCTGCGCGCCTAGGATGCTCGTGAAACCCCCCTCGCAGATAGAACAAAAGGAGAAAAAAACCTCTCCCACGTAGCCGAGAAAAATCGAATATTTACGCCCCAATGATGCCCTCTTTTGGTTTGTGCGCCATTCGCCGTTTGGAGAGCCGGTTATTTGTGTGGTGGATTGCAGAAATGGTGTAGAATATGAGCAGAAATCGACAGAAAAAGGGGTCGCGGCACGGCGCGTGATAATAACCTAAATGGGATTCGAGCTGTTGCGAGAAAAATTGCCATTGTGCAGATTGGATGGAGATATTCGCGCATTGGCGCTAAAGCTGAGGGGAAATAGATATGGGAGGGGAAATTTGCTTGAGCTGATATCTTTCTGCATCGCGGGCAACGGAGCCGTGGTGCCCGGAATACCGGAAACGGCCCAAACCGCGAGGGTGAGTTTTCCTCTGGCGGATGAGCGACGAGCCGTCGCTCATAATACGACACATCGGTTGTCTTTGCGTCGATAGCGTCTAGATTCTCCCAGCTGCGGGCTGGTCTCTCCCCTCCTCTCATATTTGCTGCCGCCCGAGGGAGGAAGCGGCCGGGATGCCGCCTGTCGCTGCCGCCGTAGGATCCGAACCACGTCGTGGAACGCTTTGTCAACGTTGACGTTGTTCTTGGCCGACGCCTCGACGAACTCGCACCCCAGCTCGCGCGCGAGAGCGTGGCCTTCCTGGGTCGACACCTCGCGCTCGGCAATGCGGTCGCTCTTGTTGCCCACAAGCATGATGGGTACGGGTGCCGATGGACTGACCGAGGCGATGGGCGACCCCGGGTACGACGGCGACCCCGCCGTCGACTCCTTGACTCTTTGGATCTGGTGGTGGAAGCGCTTGATGCGTGAAAAGGACGACCGCGACGAGACACTGTACACTAAGATGAAGCCCTCGCCGTCTCGGATCCACTGATCTCGCAGTGCTGTGTACTCCTCTTGCCCAGCCGTGTCCAGCACTTCGAGCATGCACGCCTGGTCGTCTATGACGGACTGCCTCCGATACGAGTCCTCAATGGTAGGGTCATACTACAGGAGGCACGTTAGCGAGCTGAAGTGCAGGCGCAGTCGTAGCGAGCTGGGGGAGGGGAGGGGATGCAAGCTAAGACGAGCGGGAGATAAAGCTCGGGAGACGAAAGCGAGCACGGCGGTAACAGGACAGTAGTAGGAGGGGAAAGCAGAAGCAGGAATAGACTCAAACCTACAGTCTCGACAAAGTGCTGCAGACACAACTGGATGGTCAAGGCCGTCTTGCCCACGCCACCGTCTCCAAGCACGACCAGTTTGTACAGCACCAAATTTCCCGCCATGTTACGTGTGCGTCGTCGAGGACGAGGCCCAGCTGTCGTGTGATTTTTCGGCGGCTGTCGGACGGGGTAAGGGTCGGGGAAGTGGCACCGAGCTCAGATGAGGGGCGCGAGGCTGGAGGCGGAGGCGGCAGACAAGCGGATGGAGGGGGAAAAGCGCGGCGACCTAGAAAGACGAGGGCGGGTCTGTGGCTCGTCTCGCTCCGAGTCTGCACCTGACGCAGGGCCGAGGATATTGGCGAGGTGGAAATGGAAATTCGGCGTCGGGCGATGAAAATGGCAAGGTAGGTCGGTGGGCAGGCAGGCAGGTAACGATGACAGCAGCCAGGGCCGGCAGCAGCAACAACAGCAGCGGAGCAGTAGAGCAGCAGCAATACAGCAAGCAGTTGGTAGCAGTCGCAGCACAGCGTTGAGTAGGTATGGAGGGCGGTGGAGTAATGTAGGTAGTAGGCAAGGTAATTATTAGTCCCGGTCTTAGTAGGTGGGTTGGGTTGCTGCTTTGATCTCCAGAATCGTACGGAGCATCGATGTATGGAGGTACGAAGTACCTAACTGGAAGCTTTGGGGATGGATGCGCGCAGCACTTAGCCCCGGGGCGAGGGGATGGGCGGTGCCGGGGGTGGTAGGTGCGTTCACTGTAGTGCGGTGTAGCACTGTAATATAGTACCGTACATGCCTTAAATACTTGCGAGTTAAAAGGGATACCGGAATAAAGAGGGCCAAGGCAAAGGCAACCTATCTTGGCAAAGGGCCAAGGGTTAAGGGCCAAGCTACTGAGTAGGGCCACTAGGAAAAGCCGACTGGAAGCAGCTTGCCTTGCCTTGCCTTGCCAGGCCTTGCCAGGCCGGTCTGGCTCTTTGGCTTTTTGACTCTTTTGGCTCTGGCTCTGGTTCTGGCTTTGGCTCTGCTGACGGATGGAGCGACCTGGAACCTGAGCTAGGTATCCATACCTACCAGACCGACCGCAGCCACCCCACCGCACAATCCCAGCCCCCGAACGCGCCCAACCCTTACCATACCTATGCCTTAGCAGAACAAAGCAGAGGCAACTCCCGTGCCAGGCCCCAGATCACCCACAAACACATTCGCACGCAATGCAAATCGCCCAGAGCCCAGCCCAGGACTTGTACAGTTGGGAACACACGGTGGACAGTTGGCCGGACGGCTGGGTTCCGGGTTGCCGGCGAGTGGACATCTCGAGCACCTGACTTGGAGGCCCTCAGGTCACAGGTGAGGTGAGGCTTATGCAACGTGTTTGGTTTGTGTACGGACACTCCGTATATGTATCGCACGTACACTATCCGTACTCGGTGCACACAATATCTGTCCCTCTCTCGTAGATGCGTCTGGCGCTTTTGCTATCTATGCGCCGGCTAGCAATTGGCATGGGCCATGGAGGCAGCGAGCACCCATGGCACTGCCGCTGCCGCTGCGATCTCGCTCGGGGCTTGTCCACCCTACTACCCAACCCACCTAGTGTATAATACGCTGCTTCGTGCCGCCCGACTTGTCCCAAGGTGTTTACCGAAGGTTGGTTAAAGCAAGGGGATATGGAAACAATGGAAGCTCTCTGCGACAGACAGCACGGACGATTAGACATACACGCTGCTGAGGCGATTAGGTTAGGTTAGCAACTGCCTGCAAAAATGGGGTGTGCAAGCAAGCCGGAACAGGGGCCTTAACCTGCACACCCCATTTTTGCAGGCAGTTGGTTAGGATGTAGGCTGGTTCCCACGGGCTGTCCGTCCACCTCGCTCCTTTTTACCTGTTATACTCGAACCATACAGCAATCCAAGCTGGCGTGTGTTCCCGAACGGTGAACCACAGAACTTGGTCCCCTGGCGGGACCGCAGAGAGGCGAGACAAAGACAATCATGCTCCCCGCCTCGAGCGCCCTATCAGCCTACCATGTAAGTGCCATTATAGCACTGTAAGTATTGTATGTATGTATTCATACATCGAAGTGCATACATCAGTGCCGCTGACGGGCGATACACGGGCGGAATGGCAGTGCGGAACGCTGGGTCCCGTCGAGTTTTCCTGATTTCGAGGCCACCACCCCGGATAGCGCACGGCGAGATCCGACAGAGATAGTCGCCCATGATGTTGTGGTATCTGAGGGGTGGGGGGGGGCGGGGGCTCGGCTGCCTATGGGATTTTCGGGACTCGCGATGGCGATCCGGCCCGGCACGCGGGCTAATACCCTTTTGCTATACTTCGCACCTTCACCCAACTGGCGAGATCTGTGGTTAAAACAGTCGTGAGAATGGATGACGACGCCTGAAGAGCCTGAAGACCAGTTTTCCCCGGCCTCGGGAATGTTCCGTGCCAGCCTCTGTCTCTTCCATCAATGGCAGTCGACCGTGGCTCCCATTACCGTGGTCGCCGCTAGCGGGCTCTAGAGGCCCCAGGAGCAACCCTCGTCCCCCATCCTATTCCTCTAGCCAGACGGGAGTCCAAGGGTCGTATGCTGGTATCCGGGGCGGCGTCCCATGAATGCACACACAAGATACGTAGCAAGCCGTGCCCGTCCTAGCTGCCACTTCGACGGCGGCGAGCCTACTAGATACATTTACCTACTATCCGTATTAGACCTAGGTTCGGCAGCCCAACAGGACCTCAGAAGCATGAGCACTGTGCATAGCCATGCAAGCTAGAATTCTCGCGCCTTCTCCAAGCCTCCTCGTCACTATTAGTCCTCGGCTGAGAGAGAGGTGCCTCATGCGAGCCGAGCACATGTCCTCTTTGTCCTCCGCTGGCGAAATGTGTCCTCCTGCTAGTCCGGATTCCTTAGCTACCAGGCCCTGCAGGCCGTGTGCCCGGCGGCGTATATCAGGGCGTCGAGCGTTGGACCAAGCCCCCGGGCAGACTGTGGTTTTCTCTTCTTATTTCCAAATACAACACAGCTAAGAGGCTTTTTAGGGGTTTCCATAGTAAGTACCGTCCTTATGTACGCTGTAAGGCAGGTAAGCAGGCCTTTTGCGCGGTCGCAGCTTCCTGGGTCAATGTTCGTCTCAAGTATCAGGTACCTTCCCCAAACTGCAGGGGCCACATGCATTACCGTGAGCCCCTGTGGAGCCCGCGCTCGTCCCCAACTCCCAAGAGCAAAAGTCGTCATGGAAGGTACAAGCCATCGAGGACTGAGGACTGGGACTGAACTGTCGGCCGCCTCACCTTCCGTCACCTCCATCATCCATACCTTCCCGCTTCTGCTACATTTCCTCCTTTCTGAGCTGGGACTGGAATCCCGTCGAATCCTTATTGCCTACCCAGGTAAGGTAGGCTGACAATGACATGGAGAGAGCTGAGGTGTGCGGCACGAATTTGATCCCATCACCAACGTACTTCAACTTCCCTAACCAGACATGACCTGACCGACACTTGCTACCGCTATCGCTCCTGCTCCTGCTACAGCGCGCTACTACTCGGCCCTAGCCTTTGGACGCCAAAGTGGAGCGTCCAAATCACATCGTCGAGTTTCACTGGATGGATCGTGTGGTACATATAGTACAGTAAGGAGTGTAGTTTGCGAGAGCTCGAGTTACATACCGGTCGCAACCGCCTCGCTGCGAGTTACTGACATCCAACTGCCTGCGGGAGCTGCTCCGTATCTCGATTTGGTATTCATCATGAATCACCCATCCCATGCTTGGCCGCGCGCAACCGGTCCTGTTGGGCCAATTGTGCTGTGTGAAGTGTGCACACCTACGCCTGGGATGTAACGCCAGCGCCGACTCCAACTTTTCACCCGCATGGAAACAACAAATAATTAAGCGGGAGCCGACGTTGGAAGCATGCATCCGTGGGTAGGGACCAAGGCAGCTTCGGTCGACTTTGTCCTTGAGAAAGCCACTGATGGGACTTGGGGGTTGTTGGCCTGCAATGCAGTGCACTGGATTGCTTGCTTGCATTGCAAGCCCTATCTTTGAGGAACCCCTAATCCTAATGGCATTGAGACAGACGCTCGTGTCGGGCACACGAGACGGCGGCTTTCCACTGACGTTGCAGAGCCCTCTACTACGTACATACGTACGGATACTCGGTAGGAGACGTCTGAAGCCGCTCCAGCATACAATGTCCATGATACGGTACATAGCTGCGGAGTGCGGAATGCGGAATGCGGCACAAGTCCACGGCACATACGGCACGTAGCTTAACTCAATATCATGCCAAGGAGTGACGTGCTTTGCACAGTGGACGGCGTCTGCGGCGTCGTGCTTTTGAACCTGGCCTCCTTGCCTCGTCGCTGCCGATCCCGCGTCTCCTTGGCCAAGGTGCCCTCCATGGTCTCGGACCCGCGCGGGCCTGTCGCTCGAGCTTGGCGCCTAGGGGACCTCGATTCGCGGCCGTACAGTGCTACCCGCCTGCCGGCCGACCGGCAACAACGGCCGGCCGCGCGGGCCGCTTGGCATCGCTTACCCCGAAGATGACACAGGCTGGTTTGTTAATACTGATTCCGCTCGAGGCCTAATTCTAGACGGGTGATCGACGTGTCCTCGGTCTGGTGAGCACGCCACAGGGGTGATGCTGGACAGTCGTTGCAGTGTAACTCGAACAGAGAACGGAATATCCCGTCTGCATGCCGAGTGCTAGTTTGTGAGACAGATCAGAGCGATATTCTCTGAGGGCTGCCTGTCTGCTGTGTTGCACAAAATCCTTTCGCTCCTAGCTTACCACATCGACTATCCACACGGAACAAGTGGCGCCAGGCATCTCTGGTTCATCAATCAAAAAGATGTTGCAGCTCGCATCTGAAAAGGTAATCTAACACCTCTCGTTTCCGCCTCTTCGAGTCTACGCAGCAGGTCCCCCAATCCCCTGACAACGGGAGTTCATGACTTCATACACATATGTGATTCATGGCTGGAATTAACGGGGGTGTTTCCGGCCCCCTTGGACCTAGGACGATGCCAACCTCCACAACAAACAGCATCACGCAGCCTTCGGTCCCATGTCGCCCATGTTTCTTTGCTACCAAGTCAGATGCGGTGTTCTCGGCCTCTATAACACCTTTCAGGATCGCGCTCACAGCCTATACGCTCGGGTTAAAGGTGAGCGAGAGTTCGGCTGAAGTGCGAGGGCTTCATGTTTGTAAGACGATCTTGGAGATTATAGATTTTACTCGGTATAGTTGTTAACACCAGCTCACTAACTCTCGGACGGATTGTGCTTTGATGCTTCAGATCCCCAACCTTTCGGCGACCTCCTTGAACCCGTCTTCGTCTTCTTTTATCCACAAGTCGACCCATTCTTTGGCCTCGCGATATCTTTCCTCGTCGGGCTTCCAGTCCTCTTCATGCCTCCTCTCGACGTATATTGTCCGCAGCCCAAGCGCTCGGGCGGATGCCAGGTCTCCCAGGTGCGCAGCAACCATGGCAACCTCACTAGGCTCCAAACCAAGTTGCCGGCAGGCGCCGAGATATGTGGCCGGATTAGGTTTGTAGGCTTTGAAGTCCTCGGCCGACGCCAAGTACTGAAAGCCTAGGTTACCATGCTCGTTGAGGTCCGCAAGCAGCGATCTGTTCCCGTTGGACAGAGTCGACACCTTGAAGCGCGTGCCAAGCTTGTGGATGCCTTCTGAACTATCCGGCCACGGCTCTAGAGCGTGCCAGATTTTGTTCAGCTGCTTCATCTCGTCGGGAGTGTATAGCCCTGGCAGCTGCCACTTGTCAAGCAGCTCGATGAAGCTGTCGTAGTGATGCGTGTCGATGTCTTTCCACTCGGTCACGCCCGGGACAAAGCTGTGTGTGAATTTGCCATACGAGTACAGCCACTCCTGGGTAAAGGCGGCCCAGTCGTCTTTAGTCAGGGCTCGGACGCGGGCCTGGATATCCGGTGGAAGAGAGCCAGAGGCCGGGGAGGCAATCTTGGCCGCGGCGGCCTCGACCAGTGCCTTCGTCACGGGGGTCCTGCAGTCGACCACGGTGCCAAAAACATCAAAAGTCAGGCCTTTGATTTGGCTCGCCAGCGATGCGGAAGACATGGCCCCTGGTCAGAAAAAGGGGAGATGATGATCCAGCAACCGGACGAGAGACTTTGTCGATGCAGAAGCCGAAAACCGACGTAATTGAAGAGCGAGAGCACCAGCCCGCACGAGACACGGCGCTAGATCTTGTGGCAGATTTATTAGCCCTGAGTCTATGGAACCAGTAGTGTCTGGGATCACAGGCTATAAGTAGGTACCTAGGCAGGTTTGTGATGGCCCGGATCTTGTGCTGCTGTTGTTGCTCTTATTATTATTAATGTGATGTTCGCGGCCAGCACGTGCTTCCAGTCCACGGGCACGCATTCCCGTATGTATACGCTGTCATCAGAAGGGCGGGGAGAGAGAGGGGATCGGCATGTAGAAAAAGTCGGGGAACCGAACCCCGTGCCGCCGGAGAGGGCGGGGGAGACCAAGAGAGCCGACCATTGCCGCTACTCGTTACCACGTGCACATGCCGAGTACGGGACCTGGAACAATGGACGAAATTGACGTCAGGCGAGGAACAATCCAGGTTTTTGCATTCCTGCTGTAGCATGGTGGTATTTCGGTTTGGCTACTCCGTACCTCCCCATTTTCCCCCCGTGTATCCCCGTTGTCGTGTGATTGCATTACCCTTGCTATTGGTCCAATTACTCCCCTACCTTACTTACCTACGGTACCAAATTGAGATGGAAATACTGACAGACAAAAATAACAGTCAGGTAACACGTTTGTTCTGCCCTTTTCTCCCTTCCTGAGGAAGTCTGTTTTTGGTTCTTGGATGGTTCCCGGCGATGACGACAATGATATCTGTATAGCGTTGCGATTTGTTTTGCTACAAGCAAAACAACACAAGCAAGCAAGCAAGCGACGACTTACTTTTTTTCCCCAGGGAAGCTTCTATTTTTGTTTTAGATTTCACGCCAGGAGGAGCCGCGTTGCGTTCACGAACATACCTACCGTGCGTGTGTATGTGCATGTTACGGGCTGTGCTTGTGCGTCTGCCGTACCTTGCATATCCGCAGCGTCGCTGGCTTTGCTGGGCCATTCGTTTTCACCTTCTCGTTCTTGAAAGGAGGGCGCAGGAAGTGTGTGTGTGGTGAATACACACGCCCCCTTGCTTCCTCGCGCGTTTTACCTTCCAACCATTTCCGTGTTTGTTTCTTTTCGCGAGAGACGGGATACATTACCGCACCATCCATAAGGGATGGACGGCAACGGCCGGCGGCGGCACTCCCGCCACGCGGCCGCGGCGGCGCACTACTCGGCCGGCCCCGTCGCGTTCCTCAACCCCACCACGCACTACCACCCCGTGGCCGCGCCAGCACCGGCACCGGCACCGGCACCGGCACCGGCACCAGCACTGCCTGCCCAGCCTCGAGGAGAAGCAGGAGGAGGAGTAGATGGCACCCCGCAAGTCTACCACGTCTGGCGCAGTCGCGACAACCGCAAGGGCCGCCACTCGGCCGTCATCCCGCGGCCGCCGAAGGAGACCAAGCCGATGGCTAGTAGTTTCCCACGCGCAACCGACACGCTGGCCGAGACGCTGCGCGGCGTCCTCAAGATGGCTACTCGCTTCCCCGTGTGGGATGTCAGCTACGATGTCGCCGTGGTGTTTACGCTTGGTGAGTGGTAGTGATGTTTGTTTTGTTGTTGTTTCTGTCCGTCTCCCCCTTTTTTCGTTCTCCTGTTGAGAGCTGTCTTGGCATCTTGGGGGAAAGGCATATATCTATATCCCACACACACACCACGTGCTCACACATACAACATACTCGCCGTTTCTGTTTTTCTCATTCGCAAAGAAAAAAAGCGCCTCGCTGACTCCCCGCGCCCCCTCTTAGGCTCCGTCGTGTGGTGCATCAACGGGTTCATGGTCTGGCTCCCCCTGGTCGCTCCCTGGACCGAGTTCCCCGACGAGGTGTCGCTCGGTGGCGGCGTGACGGCCTTTGTCGGTGCCACCATCTTCGAGTTTGGCTCCGTCCTGATGATGCTCGAGGCCGTGAATGAGAACCGTGAGCTGTTTGTCTTTCGTTTCTCTTCCAAGGGGAGCAGTTGCCAGGTTCCTTCCTCCCTGTCTGTCTCGTTTGCACCCAACCTACCTTTCTGTGCCGCTTAGTCCCCCCCTGCTGCCGCGCAACGATCTCCCTTCTGCAAAGAAGAGACCGAGAAGACGACGTAGCTGACACGAGCGGGACCACGCACAGGCGAGGACTGCTTCGGCTGGGCGCTCGAAGAAGCGCTCGAGGACCACGGCCCGCGACTACGCACAACATACAGAAAAGAGTGCCGCCACCACCACCAGAACAAGCGGTCCCTGCTGAGAAGCAGCGCAGTCGCCACAGCAGCAGCAGTCGGAAACGTAGTGAAGGGCAAGGACTCACCCGACAGTAGCAGCAGCAGCAGCAAACCCACCAGCCAGCGCCGCTGGTCGTGGTGGCCGACGTGGCACGAACTGACGACACACTACTTGCGAGAAGTCGGCTTCCTCGCCTGCCTCGCGCAGATGGTCGGCGCCACCGTGTTCTGGATCGCCGGGTTCACGGGCCTGCCGCCCGTGTTCGACGCCCTCGACGTGCCCGTCGCCAACGGCGTCTACTGGCTGCCGCAGGTCGTCGGCGGGTCGGGCTTCATCGTGTCGAGCGCCCTACTCATGCTCGAGGTCCAGGACAAGTGGTACGTGACATGTGTGTGTGTGTGTGTGTGTGTGTGTGTGTGTGTGTGTGTGTGTGTGTGTGTGTGAATGGCCAATCCTTGCTCGTCGAACCTCGTGGACACCCACCGGGTACAACATAGACACTGACAACCAGTCTCGGCTCTCCCTAGGTACAAGCCAGCGCCCAAGATCCTGGGCTGGCACATCGGGCTGTGGAACCTCGTGGGCGCCGTAGGCTTCACGCTGTGCGGCGCGCTCGGGTTCGCTGTCGAGAGCGGCCCGCCAGCCGTCGAGTATGCCTCGACGCTGGCGACGTTTGTCGGCTCGTGGGCTTTCCTGGTAAGTCCAGACAGACCATCATGCTCCAGCCGTTGATGTGTACCCCCCTTCTTCGGGGGGTTCTTTGCTTATTTTCTTTTCCGTTTACTGACGTTTTTGCTCGTTCGCTCTGGTTCTGGTCACAAAGATTGGCTCCGTCGTCCAGTGGTTCGAGTCTCTTGACAAGTACACCATCTCGGTTGGCCGCGTGCCTGTCTTGCTTCTCGCTGGAGACGAAAAGGCTTGAGGAAGGATGGGATTCCTCGCGGATCCCTCGCCTATGCATGGCAGTTCTTCGGCGTCGACTGCAGCAGCCAGCAGGCAGGTGAGGATGTATATTTATACTATTATGTTTATATACTAAAAAATCTTCGGAAGAACGGGGAAATCCCGTTGCTCTTGTCGGCGAGAACGCCATTGACACTTACACGTCGAAACCTTTGTCGTGAAGTTCGTTTATGGGAATAGACTATGCCTGTCTGTGTTGTGATTTTTAGCACTGCAGAAATGCGCTCTCTCTTCAAGGGCGTTAGACAAACATCCGAATACGCTCTATAGCCAGGACGAGCTTCCGAGCCCATCCGACGCCATCCGCTTCAGAAACAACACCGCCGCGCTTCTGCTTACATGGGCTTTTTACTAGCTTGAAATACCAGTCTCCTTATTATCAGTAGGAAGCAAGAGATAAAAGCAAACATGTATCAGTAGAATAATTCAAGACTAAGGTGAACTGTGCCAAAACTAGTAGACGTCTTTGGACGTTGTCATAGACAAAATTAAGCTGTGGCTAAGGTAGGTACTCGCCAGCCCAATCAGCCGACATACAACTAAGATAGAGTACACCCGCGAATAGAAAAGGAATATATATACACAGCGGCTTCGCGCGAAGCCTAACAGGCTTGAACATCAAATAATAACAGCCAAGCGACCCAACCGCCTCGGTCGCTATACATCTTGGAAGGTTTTCAACCACGTCCTAAATATGTCCCTCGCCCCCGTTGCTCCGCATTTTGATCGCAAGGTATAAGTAAGCAGCTAACTCCAACTCGAATTCCAAAAGAAACCTCGTGCCCAGACAAGTCGATAATAAAGGAAAATGAATCACCGTCAGTCATGACCAAGGCGCGGCATACAGCCGTATAACTGAATATGGAGAAAATAAATGCTAGAAGCCCTTGAAGGGATCTTCCTTCAGGTACCAGTCCTCAAAATCTTCGGTACCCTTGGTGCCTTTGCTTTGGTAGCTGTCCCGCTGGCGACTGCGGCTCGTCCTCCTCCTGAGCTCTTTGCTGGCTCTGCGTGCCACGCGCCGCACGTCCTCCTGCTCGTACGGCGTCTCTTCGAACCGCTCAAACGCAAGTGGGCTGATGAACGCCTCCATGCGCATCGTGCCAATGGCGTCAAAAAAGTTGTTCATGGGCGCACCGCTGGGCCGACTCGACGCTTCTGACGTCCGGACAGACCCCGTCGCCCACGTAATGGCACTCGACCCTAACACGCTCGACGCTCCGCCGTTGCTGTAAATGTCAGACGACCCGGCAGTCCCGATACTGTTGCCCGCCGTGCTGTTTGTCGCCGCGTGGTTAGCGCCGCTGGCCGGCCCAGAGAAGCCGCGGAACGAAAGCGGAGGCGGTACATGCCCGCCAGTATTGCTTCGCTTGCGCCCGTGGACCAGCGCTTGGCTTGCGCGGTCATGGAACCGCGGGATCATAGGTGGCTCGGCAGCATCGCGTGAAATCTCCCGCGTGTGGGCGGGAAGGTTGAACGGCTCGGGCATCGGCGGTCTGTAGCTGGGGATGCTCGGAGGCGCACTGTCTGTATGCGACGACGCCACGCTCACCGGCCCCGATCTAATGGCTCCCGCCTTGGACTTCGTGAGTCGGATCGAGTCGCGAATACCCGGCCTCCGGAGCTTGGCTTTCGGCAAATCATACTGCTCCGGCACTGGCTTTAGCGGCGGCGAAGTCAGATTCTCCGGAATGGCTTGTTGCGAGTGCGCCAAGAACGACAGCGACGTCAACCAGACATAGTGGCGATCGGGGCTTGTCGCAGTAAACTTCAGTGCTCGTTGCGGCGTCAAGATCAGAATGGACCTGTTGAAAAGCGGTCCAGACCCTTTGGGAGGCGGATTGTCATCCTTTACATCCAATACCGATTGGATTGTCACTGATCCCATGTTAGCAGATTGACCCCTTGATTCCCTAGTACGGGCACTTACACTTGCGGCCAGTCTTGCCCATCAGGGCGCTCCCAGAAGCTGGCTGCTTGCTGCTCCAGAGAATGGCACGCTCGTAAGGGGCGAGCCAGACCCATCTCTTATGGCGATCGTTGCTGGTGTCATCGCCTCCCTTGCCATCCGCCACACCGAACGACTTGCGTCGTCGCACGTACTTGAACATCCACTCGCCCACCATGGTCTGCGCAATGGAATCCACGACGCTGGTGGCCGGGTTTGAGCTTGCAACAGATCCTACGCCGGTTTCGCCTGTGTTCGCTGTGTTCGTGGAAAGTTGTGGCTGGTGCGTCTTGTATTTCGAATATGTGGAAGGGTCTCGATTCCGGGGTGTTGTGATGTCGTTACTCGGCATAGGGGGGAGGCCGGGACTTTCGGGTGCCTCGACAGAGGCCGGGTGAGGCGGAGGAGAGCGGCTGGACAGTCGGCGGTTTTTCTGATTTCGCGGTAGCGCTGTGGCAGAACGTACTCTCCGGATGCTGTTTGAGCGATAGTGGCTTCGGCTGCTACCCCTTCTGTGCCAAGTGTCCGAGCCCTTTGTCGGACTGTTACGGCCGTCGCTCGGCGCACTGGCACTGATGCCTGGCTTCCGGGAGCTAGCACGCGTGGGAATGGGGAACGGTGGTTCTTTAATGTCAGTCAAGCTCGGGCTCCTAGCCCGCTGGTGTGAGGCGATACCGCTTTGAATCATAGCCGCTTTACGCATCACGTTCGACTTGGAGCCCAGCATAGAGGAGCGTGATCCACGCTTCGAAGTCGTTCTGTTCAAGCCCGACTCCCGGTTCTCGCGCTGCTGCTGGTAAATATTGGCGATTCCAAACCCTTCGGGCTCGTCAAGCCCCCGGGGTGTGTAGCGGCTACCGCTCATTCTCTGAGAGAATAGCATCTCCGAAGATGCTGCAGCTCCGCCCGAGCTTCGTTTTCCTCCACGGCTTGTGCCGGCCTTGGGCTTCGGGGCCGAGAGTGCAGTGCGGTACTCAGAGTCGCTCTGGTCAGACTCGTGGTGGAACTCGTCACCGTCGTCTGAACTTCCCCCCTCGAAGCCAGCGAAGAGACTGCTAATACGATGCGGTCTTCGCATCGGGGCCTTTTGGTTCGAGAGAGGTCCGTCGTCATTGTTCCCTGGATACGCGTCATGGGTCTCTGTCTCTTCCTCTTGGATCGAGGCGGAAATCATTGGTGGAGACGAAGGCATCTCCGTCAAGCTCCGCTTCGTAGCAAGGCGTCGAGGGTTCCGGGGAGGTACGTTTCCAGGAACGGGACTAAACTGCCGCACTTCCTCCACCTCGGGCTCTGCGGCAGTGATTGCGGGGGAAGAAGGCCTAGAGGTGATAGTAGAAGGATGCAAATGGACCGGGAGTCTGTCTAATCTCTTATCGACCCGTATCTCCTCCGTCTGAACGGCAATCGATTTGGACGATACGATGGCGGGAAGCGAGACTTGGCAACCAAAGTCTTTGCATAGCTGTGGCAGGCGTGGTTCACGGGGTGTTGTAGGACGGCTTGTAGGGGGGATGATACTGATGCTGGGAATGGACATGGGCATAGGTGGAAGGGCGAGGAACGAGGGCTGAAGAGGAGGCGGAAGATCAGTTTGTGTCGATGTAGAAACCATCACTAACTCCAGTTCGGGTTTAGGCGTAGGCGGCAGCTCCTGGAAAGGCGACTTGGGAGTCTTTGGAGGGCTCAGAGGCTCTTCAGCAGTCTGGGACGAGCCATGAACCATCAAGTTGTTCACGTTCGGGGGCTTTATTGTCAATGGTTGACCAATGTGAACCCGCTTTCTCCTCTGGTTTGCCTCGATTTCGAGGTCCACGCGGGGCGGACTCTCGATATCGTAAAGCCTGTCGTGCTTGAGGGCAAACAAGGCTGGCTCCGGAGTTGTTGGCTTCGCTGGAGCAATTTTTGGCGATGGCGGTGGCGAGAACTGAACCCCAGAGTCGACATAGTTGGCTCTTGGTGAAGGCGTCTCGTCGTCCTCGTTGATGACGCGATCTTCAAGCCTCTCGAGCGTGGCATGGTTCATTGCCAGCCTTCCGCGAGCCACACTTCCAGATCTCATCACGCTGTCGTTGCTCGGACGCCGTCGATGCGTTCTAGATAGAACGCTGTCGCGGCTCATGTTCCGCATGTGCCCGCCGTTTGACAGGGCGCTTTCCCGGCCGCCATAGTCGCTCTCGTCATCGTAGCCTCCGTCAAAGTTTAGTTCGTCTGCGAGAGAGTTGCCAATCGGCTTCGAAGGACCGTTCACGACCGAAAATCGAATGCTGTTTGTCATGCTCATTGTCCGAACACTTGCTGCATCGTTCTCCTTGGCGCTCTCTTCGAGCTCACTTTCAACAGCATCGTGATTTCCGTTCACCTGGGCAGCTTGGGCAGCGGCAACTTCATCCAGAACTGCCTTCATACGAGTCTCGGCCACGTGGACCCGACGCTCGAGCTTACGCCTCTCTTCTTCCCAGTCATCTTTGTCCTTGGCCCATTGCTTGTGGACCCGCTCTGAATCCTCTTCTTGGGTCCGCAGCTTCTTTTGAGTCGCGTCAAGTCTCTTTCTTGTCTCCGCCGCAGTGTCAACCGCCTCGTCACGCTCTCGTGCCAACTCGCCAAGAGCAGAAGATGTCCCGCCTTCCAACAACGCCAGTTGGCGTTTCAGTGACCGGCTTTCCTTTCCCGTAGACAATATCGAAGCCTGCAGTGATTCGCTTTCTTCCCTGGTGGCGTGCAAGGAGGTTTCAAGGCCCTCGATGATCTTGAGCTTGTCCTCCTGATCACGTCTCAGTGAAAGAATCTCGGATACCAGGCTCGCATGAAGCGTCGGCGTGAAGCGGCGTGGGTCGAGGATGCTGATTGTGTCATCGTTACTGACGTCTCTAGAGGATCTCTTAGACGCTCTCTCGCTTTTGTCTCCAGGGAGCGGCGGTGGGGATGAGCTTTTGCCGGGTTTCCCAGGAGGCGTAAGAGATCGTCTGGACTTGCGCGAGCTTCTCGAGGCATTTCGTGACGGGGTGCGGTACGGCGTGGCGGCAGGCGTTGGCAACGACCCGACCGGCCCAGTCGACTCGTCGTCCGTCTCCCACATAGCCATTGTGACTACCTTTTGGTTACTCGGCCACCGTGAATCTACCGTCTTGTGCAAGGCCCAATCTGCGCTTTCATATCGTGTGGAGTAGGTCAATCGCTCGGAATCGTGCTTTGTGCTGTTTTCTGTTTTAGTATGTTTGGCCGTCTGCGAGACAGGCAAGTTCCTCGGAGCAAGTAGAGTTGATCCCCAATTCGAAACGCTGCTTCAATGCGCAGCTGTTGTTGTCCTATCGACATCACCCGTAGTTAGTCGCTTCACACGGAGTTGTGCTTCAGAGGGGCGCCCAAGTGATGTGTGCCGAGACTGTGCAGCCCTTACTATAAATTGCCAGACAGCGGTCTCAACGCAAAATAAGAGAAATATCGTGTTCCAAAAGGCAGTGTTTGCCGTCGTGATTAGATCAAAAGCCCAAAGTCATGTTCATCCGTTGTCGTGAGTGAGGTCGATCCCTACACCGCGATTGGTCAATCAGCATAAGCCAGCACCCCGAATCCCCAAACCAACCCCAGATGCTATAGCATTGCCTCATAACGAATCGCCCCTTGATCAGGCATGACGCCGCCAAAAGAATATCCCGTCTTATGAAATGCAGCTATAGGGAGAAAATTCCCGGTCCAAAAATTGAGAGAGTCCACTCACACAAGACGCCCAACGACCCGGTCCAGGTATTTCGCAACCGCGGGCGTAAGGGCAGTGGCGGAGGGATCGAACCGACCAAATGTTCAACACGACGAGATTCCCGGGAGCGGCAGTCTTAGGTCGGCATATTCGAAGGATTGGGTGTGCGCCTTCCCAAGATGCCTCGAGGCGTCCCAAGGGGTCTGATGCGTGCGTGTGACAGAAGCGGGCCGCGGCTATGGTGAAAGTATGCTATGCTGTAGTTCAAAAAAATCGAAACCCAAAAGACTGAAGCCCCGACTGCGACTAGCTGCCTCCCATTAGCACGGTTTTTACGAAACGCCGGGACGCAATGCTGAGCCTCGAGGGGCGTGCTGCAAAAAGCTCGCTGGGACCCGAGCCGCCAGTTTCCAAAAGGAGACCGAAGTCGCGTAGGGAAGGCAAAATAAACCTACATGAGCAGGCCGAAGATAGACGAGAGTGCAGAGTTACGAAAAAGCAGCAAGTTCTGTCTGGCCCTGTCGAGTTTTCGGGCGCGTTCCACCAGGAAGCACCGAGAACCGAAAATGACAGCCGACTGGCGCGCCGTGGAAGCCAAGCTAGGTGGCAGGCAGGTAGTAGGGGTGAAGAAAGAGTTCGAGAGACTCGAGAGAGCTCACGAGGTTTCTCTCTCTAACTCGCTAAGCACCCCACGCGCAACGAAGGAAATGGAGAATAATGACGACGAGATCTCGACGCGGCCGAGACTCGAGACTCGAGATCCAAAAGGCAAAAAGGAACAATGCACAAACGACGACACCAGCAGTGAGCAGCGAGTGGTCTGAGCCAGACCCAGACCGGGGCAAGCTATGTATTTACGATCCACTTTTGGTCGATACGAGCTAGTAGGAAGCTGCTGCACGCTCTACTTCTGTCCACACTAAGCCAGGCGTGTGGACTGTAGAGGTGTGGTGTAGACTGGACAGGACGCGAGAGCACCTGCCGAACGAGACGGGTACGTACCTTCCAGGCCTGCGCCCTGCAGAGTCGAATTTGACAGGCGGATGCGGAGTGGGCTCGTGGTGGAGCGACAAAAGACTGGATGAACGGGTACTTCCAGAAGGTCTCTCCCATCCCGCGCCGCCGCCGCTCTGAGACCCGGGAACATGCCAGAGCGGCTCAAGATTGGTTACACGGTCTGTGCATCTTCTTCGGAAGATAGACAGGTAATAACCCTCGTGCCGTCTCACTCTCTCATACGTTTGTATCTTCTTTCCCGGCTCTCGTGGCTCTTTCTGCTCGGACACCGACATCGCGTGGCATGTACCAAATGTGTAGCTGTCTAGCGTGGCCCATGTCACTGGGTATGCGTAGCGGTCTTGTGGCCACGGACAGTGGAAGGAGCCCTGGGTCGCGGTTTCTCAATGCGGCTGGCCAGGGAGAGCGCCCTAGTGTCTCCTGTCTCTCAAAGGCAAGACGGAAGCCAGAAGCACGGGATTGGGCCGAGGGAACCTGGAAGCAAGGACAGACAAGCCTTGCCTGCCCATTGGAGGGGCTGCTCTTGGCAATTGAAGTGGAAAGCCCAACTGGACTTCTGAACGGCCCTGAATCTGTGGAGCTGAGAGCCAGATGCCAGGGCAGTTGCCATTTACGGCTGATGAGGGCAAGAAGCTTTGCGCTCTGTCCACTGAGACGGCTTCAAAAGCAGTGACTGTCGGCAGGTTGTTCAAGAACGGAAGGCCCCTCCCGACCCCTCCACTGGCACCTCGATTCGACCCTCCAACTCATCGACCTCGACCGCCCGTTTTCTTTTTCTGCTCCCGCTGGAGGCTGCAGCAGCTGCTGGACCGTAATTGGCTCTAGCCGGCTGCAGGACGCGCAGTGGCAACATGTAACTTTACAGCGAGCAGGTGCCTGAAATCGGAGTCGTCGCTGCGTCTTGTCACTTCAACCTCCATGCCTCGACCGAAAGAGCCTTACAAAGACTTGTTCCCACTCATCACATTGCAAAATTTCGGGGAATGCAACCTGGGCCTGCAAAACAAGAACCGAGCGGAAGGGCCGCTGGGGCCAACCTGCCCGCTGGGGAACTCGAAGCAACAGGACGTCGTCTTGAAAAGGGAGTGAGGCCCGGATCCTCAACGCCACTAAGCCCCTCTGGTAGCAGGCGTGTGATAAGTGTGGCAGACGGCGAATGGGAAGCCCAGCCAGCCCGAGGCAAATTTCGTTTTCGCTGTGATGGAAACTCGGGCAGATGCCGATCGCCCACTCGATTGGATTCTGGAGCCTTTCAGTGGGGAGCATCAAGCCTGAGGGGGGTAGCTAGTTCTGTCCAAGTACAATCCCAGCAATCTTTGAATTGAAGTGGGATCCAGAAAGGCCTGCCGCTAGTGGGCAGTGGCTCGCTCGCTTGCTACAAGTTACAGCGGACAAATCGGTGATAATAACCAGCAACTGCCCTAGCCCAGAGGTCGCCGTTTGTCGCGCTCGCCGCGTCAGAATCGCCAGGCGGCCAGAATCGCATCGGGAGTGAAACATTTTGAGACTTCGTCACCCGTAACGGGCAACGAGGTCTGAGATTGTCCAGACTCCAGAGACACCAGACCGCCAGCGATGAGTTTACTCTCCGAACCTCGAGCTCAACCCGAACTCTTCTGCTTGCCTCGGGGCCGGAAAAAGAGTCAAACCATGGTCAAGGACTCCAAAAGTCCAAAAAAAAAAACTGCTCGGTTGTGCATCCTGCCTGGCCAGTGCTTGCTACTTTCTCGCGCATGCAAGCCAGCGGCGAGGCGCACTTCTCAAACATTCACAAGGGTCCACAACCCTGCGAAAAAGAAGAACAGTGGAGGCCCTTAATCCCACATCCCCCACCCCCGCTATGATCCGGCCCTTATCACCGGAACTGCAAGCCTCGGTCCCCAGCAGCTAGCCGAATAGGTCCGTGGGAGGCCTTGGCGCCTTGAGGCAACTCCAAAAGTCTGTGTGACGATGCCATTCGCGGCTTATTGCAGCTCGTCTTTCGGCGGGGAAACCTGTGGGTGATGTCTTGTCAAGCCTCAGACTCTCGACACGTGGCGAGCTGTATCGAGTTTATAGAGGTATGTATTATACCTTTAGGTACACACATTGGACGCGGGAGATGGGCGCAGAAATCACAAATCCACTGTTGCCGAACCGCTCTGCATTGGGCTTCGTCGAGCAGGGGGAACGTCACTGGCAGAGGACAGCCAGGCTAAAAGAAGCTGTGGCCGCTCAGAGCCCCTCGTGTTTCGGTCAAACCTCGAGTCCCACGTTCCCCAGACTCTCACGGCCCATGATCTGTGAAACGGCGGCAGCTTTTGCGGGGCATGTTAGGATGCCGGCTTCTGCCAGCACCGTCGGCAGAAGGAGCCTGGATAATCGTCCAATTTGCTGTTCAACTTGGGGCAAAGATCGGCTGCTCTGTCGTCCAAGTCGGCCGCCCCTTTCTCCGAGGTATCATGCAACTTGCAAGTGCAGAATTCCGGAGACAACGTTTGGTTATTCTCCCCATGAATCACACGCCACAGTCAGCATTCAAACTTATAAACTAGGTAATTATTGTAAGCCAGCTAGGCTAGCGTCTGACAGCTCGTGGGGCACGTATGGCCGATCTTCATCAGGAATCATCCCCCAAAGATTGGTGGGGGAGCAGCAGTCTTTCCGCTAACGTGCCCCTTTTGTTCCACGAGGAAAACCCAAAGCCGAAAGTTTGGACTGGTCCCGGATGAGACACGTGGGGCTTGTCTCGGGAAGAGCGATATTCTAGCCTTTCTTTCAATATTCCAACATCAAATTCTCCTCCGCAGGCGAGCAAGCCCACCGACGGCCATTCATTCCCAACGATTGCTTGAGAGTTCGATTTGCACTCTGTAAGGTGGCGTCAGACTCAGAGCAACATTGACCAAAGGGACTCAAAGATCGGAATGTCAGCCAATCCACGGATTCCGTCACTAGCGCAGGGTCCCTGCGGACCGCGCCTCTCACGACCACCCCCGGTCTTGACGCGTCTTTCTGAAGCAGGCCGTTGCGGTCCGTAGCGTACGATTATCAATTGACCAACGGCCCTGGGCACTCCTGTTGATTGGGGCATCGTTGCCACTGCCAGAGCTAGCGAGGAGTCGACCGCCGGACGGCCGCTTTCTCAGGCCTGTAGGATCGTCTACTGTCCACTAGATTCGCCCTCGGAACGAGCTCGTCCTATCGTCACAGGCCACTCGCTGTTTTTATTTTTACCGCGTTTAGTTTGTTTGGTTGGGCCGGTGCAAGACAATCCCGAATGCACAGCAGACGCCCACCCATGGATGAGGCAGCAAGAGGATTGATCGGAGGGGACTGCCCGCCAGTCAAACAAGCCAGCTGGTACCGAAGGCGGGCAGGCCGCGGGCTGCTGGTTGGTGTCTGTCTGATGCAGTTGACAAGTCCATTATCACAAAAGCAGCAGCAGCAGCATCTGAGCGTGCATACGGCCGGCCTTCTGTACAAACATTCCCTCGCATGGAATCCCTGCCAACAACAACGGCGGAATTTTGAGCGGGCCTAGGCCCCAAAAAGTCCCTAAGCCCACGCTTGAATTGGTGGGTGAGCAATGAGCATGGGGGAGTGAGCACAAATATTGGGGGATGCATGAAAGATGAAAGGGGGTGACGAGAGCCCAATCCACACAGCAAATAGCGTTATTCAAGGCATATCTCGTCACGAATTCGTGTTACTCTCGTTTTCTCGTCCGGCGTATTTTTCTTCTCTTTTCTTTTCCTTTCTCTAATGTCCATGAGTCCTTTTATACGAGGATATGAAACCCGCCGCCGTGTGCGCGGGTGTGTGTGTCTGCCTCCCCCTCCCGCCAAATTGGACAAGGAGGCTCCTCGAAGTCCCAAAGCCTAGGCCGCCTCGAAATGGCCTGTTCCTAAATTGATCATTAAACAACCCCGTTGGCCCCGTCGTCTCCGATGACATAGTTGGATGGCTGAGAGCTTTGCTGCTGATGCTGCTGCTGCTGCTGATGCTGCTGCTGATGCTGCTGCTGCTGCTGTTGCTGCTGCTCTGCTGCTCGACAACTTTCTGTCTGCGTGAGAGTCTGCGAGAGAGAGCGAAAGTCGACTTGTCAGAAAGTTTAAGACGCACACAGACCAGGTTGGTTGCTCAGCACTTTGTACAGTACCTTCTAACCCCATTGGGGACTGCGGCCAATCAGAACACGAAACACAAAACGCTGGCAATTGGTCTGAGCACCTTTCGACGTTGGACTTTTTTTACGGATTTACCTTTCCTTGACAACGTAGCCTTCGGTAGTGGGCCTAATGTTTTGACCAAAATACGAAATGACGGCCTTTTTAAGGACTTTACAATAGTACTTCTCTCGTGTTGGTTGGACGTAAATTGGCCACAATGCAATGCTAAACGTACTTTTTGCTTACCTAAACCACCACCACTTACACGTATACATACAACCTTCCAACCACAACACATCATTGCGCCTTCCGAACGCTTCCCGGTCCTCCGGGGTTGGGTCAATCGGGGCAAACTCGCTCCGTCTCCTAGACACACGACAGCGCAGCTCGCATAGAGCGTCGGTCTCCCCGCTGGAGGAGCTCGTCCATCGATTTGTAGCCTGCTTCGAATGCGTCCTCGCTCAGTGCCCGCCCGGAGATATACCTGGCTAGGCAAGTGGCCAGATACGGCACGAAAGCAATGCTAAGCTGGAGGCTAGAGATTGTGATTAGAATAAAAGAAAGCGTAGTATACCCCTAACCTCCCTCACACGATACGGCCTCACACGATACGGAGGCCCTTGGGGGAGAGGGTTCGGTAAGCTCGGAGCTAGATAGACGTACATATCATCCTGAGCCTTGCGAAGTAGTCCAGCCTTCCTCTTGTTGTGGTACAACGTAGGTGTAACTGTGATCTTGGTCTGACTAGAATCGTTTGGATCCCGGACAACAGCTAGCTCTACCTGATCATAACCTACGTCTACCACGGCACTAATTCTGAAGCTAGTAACACTGGCAAAGGGAATGGCAGTGCAGAAGTCAAGACCCGGGTGTCCGGATCACAGGGGATCAGGTCGGAACGATGCCAGACTATGTCTAGGACAAGGATCTCTTCGTCGCTCGCCTCGTGCTTCTCGAGTTTCTGACTAGTCACAAGATCATACTCCTTGGTCAGTACCTCTACAATCCAATACCATCACCTAGCCCTAATCCCAAGTCGGCTTTGAACGACCACCATGAGGCAGTAACGCCATCACCCCTCTCATCATCATTTGTACTGCCATCCTCACGGCCGGGATTTACCCCGTCACCCAAGCCAAGCACAGCCAGCGCTCCTCCGTTGCGCTTCGACCGTCCGGCGCGTGGTTGACAACCAACTCAAAACTGATACGGAAGGGGGATCTAATTCGATACTCGTTCCCGTCTTCTCCAAGTAATACTTATTCCCGTCCTTTTCGATTAATACTGGTTCCTGTCTTCATAGTATAATTAGCGGTTTAGAAACAATGTTACACTTGATCGAAGTTGACCTCGGTGTCGACAAGATCGCCAAGCCCACGGCATTCGCGGAGCAGGCGCGATAACGTGGCGTCCTGAATGTCTGGGTACCTTTCCTTCCACTCTAACGAACCCTCGGGAGCGCAGGGTGTGTAATAACAGGCACCGATAGTCGTCTTCACGATGGTCAGGAAGGTGTCGGTCTAGTTGCAGTCCTGCCGCGATTCCAGCGCGTAGTACACAACCGCAGGGTCAAACGACTCGTCGCAGCAAAGGAGCTCGGCCCAGGCTTGGAAAGTGAACTCAACGGTTTCGCTGTGCACGAGTAGTTTAGTCGACCTGCTATCGTGAGCCTCGCCTCGCCTCGCAGTTATTACACGTCAAATAATTAGCAGCAGCAGATTTGACCTTCGGTTATGGCTCGCGTCAGGCCGCCCAAGAACCAACATATGCAGCACCAGAAGCGAACAATCAGGGTTCGGTTTCACTTGCCGCGCGAGCAGAACTGGCCCACGTGGTCGATGACAGATAATAACTCTCATGATCCGCATCTCGGACCCCTTGCAGGTGTGGACGGCTGTCAGAAGGTTTGGCTGGGGAGAAATGTTTACGATCCTGAGCAGGCGGCCTTGATTATTCGTGAGTTTCTCTCGCACGTACCTGGGCTATACATGGACATGAGTTGCTAATCGAGCTGTAATAAAAACCCCCAGTCTGGTCCACGGCAGACGCGTTGGAGGCTTTTGAAGCCCCTCCCGCTTGCATCGAGCTCCTGCAAGGTCTGCCTACCAATGATGACGCGCAACCATCTCTCGCGTCGGGCATCGTGCAAAATATATTATCCCTTGAAAGCACAAAAAACAAAGCATCGTCGCCATCATCATTAGCACCAGCATCACGTTTAACTGTCTTTGGGTGGAACTCGGGGTTCTACCGGCTGGAAGAGGACCTGTAGGGCCGCATCACGGCCACCGTTCTCGTGATGCCCGGCACGCCAGGCATCCCGGTCAACGAGACGTGGCGCGACGCCGTGGTCAAGGCATTCAGCTGCTTCGCGCCCGCGAGCTGCGAGGACGTACTCGGCAAGCCGCACTTCCGCATGTATTTCCAGAGGTCGTGGGCGTGGATGGACCACTATCATGACTACGGTAATGATAATCATCAGCAGAAGGTGGTGGTGGCGACAGGCCACGAAAATGAAAATGAAAATGAAAATGAAAATAAAAATAAAAGCAGCAGCAGCGGGGGGCAAACGGTGCTATGCGAGGTTCGCCGCTGGAATGGTTACAGCGGTGCCACCCCGAAGCGGGAGGAGGCCTCGGCCAACAGCCCAGTGGATCGGAAGTCGTGGGCTCGGACGGTGAAGAAGGTGATGATGATGACCAGGAGTTTGAACGGAACAGGAAAGAATATATTAAGCAACAGAAGCCGAAGACGGCTTGAGAAATTGAATACCGATCCCCGCATGGAACTGCAAGAGTCTCTAATAACATCACAGCTAATACAATCACTATGGACAGCTCCAGATATATGTAGTTATGGACAGAAATTCAAAGAAGGACTTGGAACAAACATGCAGCGGCGCGGCGTGTCAGCTTTTCTAATTAATTCCCACGTACATACTAGCAACTGAGCAACATTTATTGCGAAACCTTGGTCGCCGCCCCGTAAATTCGTGACGGAGCAGGGCCGACAATGTCAAAGTCCCATCTCTGGTCTATGGAACTCGGAGAACCGTCCGGATCGTGCTCCTCAAGCAGGTAGTGCATCTTCGCCACGTAGAAGACGTAGTTCTCTGGATTCCGCCTCGCCACCGGCTTGGCCGAACTCTCCTTTCCCGCTGCCTCGATGCACTTGCCAATGTCATCTATTTGTGTTGTGATGCCGAACCGAAAATCAATAATTTGACAAGGGTCCTACAGAAAAACGTGACGAGGGTGGTTTTATAAGAAGAGCTCTTTTAACGAGAAAAACTTGACAAACCTCATCGCCCTCGAGAAACCCCGTGGGCCCCGTCCCAAAGAGGGCATGGAACGCCTCGTGCAGGAGCGTCGAGCTGCGGGGCACCACCTTCTCGAGCCCCATGCCCTGCGTAATCATGGCAACGCCCGCCTTGTACGAGGCTGGGAACTTGGGCGTGGTGAGGGCGTGGTGAAGGCGTAGTCGCAGAAGACGACGGTCTCGATGTCTCGCAGCATCGTAGGGACGCCCGCCGCCGACAGCTCCGTCATCAGAGCCGTAAGGCCCAGGTTGGTCGCGGCGCAATAGGTGCCGCCCGTGGCCGAGAAGTAATAGCCGTTGACTTCGGCGTGGTGCGATCACCAGGGGACGGTGCCGGGCTCCCTGGCGAGCGCGTCGCTGCAGGCCGGCACGCCGCTGATGGGCACCGCGTGACCGTCCTCGTCGACGATGCCCTGCCCCGGCTCGAGCCCATCATATTCTAATTCAAATTATCTAGCTTATTGCCATCACATCACCAATCCACGCTCATTTCATTTCCATTTCCTCCCAATTTAAGCACCGGTCGCCACAATCTTGACCGAAACCCCATCAGGGGTAGCCCCCGCAGGGTACGTGGCAGCCGAATAAGCCGGGTTGGACGCGTTTAAGGCGACGCCGAGCGAACCGCCGAGGGTGCCGCAGCCGACGATGGCGCGGGCCGCGTTCGCCTTGTCGGCACCGCCATCGATAGTGTTGGTGATGTCGGCAAAGAGCCCGCAGGTACGTCGCCGTGTGCGCCACGTCGGCGACAGCTACGTCTTGCGGCGTGTTGTCGGGCGCGGAGTAGCACTGCAGCGCGGCTGTCTCGCCCGCGTAGCACGCGCGGGACAACAACTCGAGCGGGGAGTTGGGGTTGGGGGCCGCGAGGACGGCGATACTGCCGACAAGAGCTAAACCTAAAGGAATGAGACTGCTGAAGAGGGTTTGCGAGAGCATGTTGTGTGAGATGAGATGTGTGTCGGGTGCTAGTCTGACTTGGCTTTGAATTAGCTGCTGCTGCTGTCTTGGAAGTTGGAACGAAGATGAGAAAGCTGTGCTGTGCTGTGCTGTGCTGTTGCGATGGGAGACACATGACTTGATACCTTTCGGCCTTATTGTGCCGCTTGTCATCGACATTGCTCTCAATATCATTTCGAAGTTTGGGAGCCGAGTGATCGACCGGTTTGTTGTGTCACTCGTGTACATATATATCAAGATTGGGAATTCCCCTCGTTTGTTTGGTACCTCTCATTAGGCAATTACTCTTGTCCTACATTAGGTATGCAGCTCACGTGTAACAACGGCGCCTACCTTCTAACATATAGTACAGTTGTAAGAACTGCCCGCAAAGGATTAAACCTGACATATATACATCTCTGCAGGTGAAGATGTGTAACCCTCAGCGTAACTCACTCACTCACCGGTTCTGCGTAGCCCTCAATACCTAGGTAGGCGAGACTGCCGAGGTGTGTGAGTGTTCATGCTCAAGTTGCTTTAGTCTCATGATACCGAGGCAGATGGTTTCCCATACACAGGACGATCCTCTCCTCAACTCCCTCGTTTCTTTGCCTGTCCTGTCACTCGATTCAGTCGGGGCTCTGCAGCGACATGGTCAGATTTTCAACCCCCATTCTAGGAGCTTTGCTGGTTGCAGAGTGGAGCCTGGCAACGACGCACTACAAACTAGAACCGACGCAACAAGCGACGGCACTTTCGTTCGATCCACGAGTAAGTCAAGTCATCCAATGCCAATCTATTGTGCTGTTGTTATCAGGGCACAAGGATGCTGACCTTTGACTGTAGCCCGCACCACCGCCACCGTACATAGTCGATAATCAACACAGTTGCTACCACGTAGCTTCTGACAAGGGGAAGCAGAATGGCCCGGTCTGGCGTTACTCTGGCAGTCTGGACAAGCACATGCAGAACCTTGACAACGGTACTGTGGTCCGAGGCGGGTATGCCGGGAGCAATGGCACTAGACAAACGGCCTTTGCTTCCGCCAAAATGAAGCCTGAAGCAAACAGCTACTGAATTGCCAGCCTCGGGGCTCCAGGAGCTGTAGGTTGACTGTCTCTGTCTCTCCCATCCCAAGTCATGGGCTGGCTAAGACAAGACTGCACAAAAGCAACCCCTAGCAGGCGGGAGCGACTACCAGTTCTTCCGCAATGTGGTCGACGACTTTGGGGCCGACAACACGGGGAAGACGGACACGGCAGAGGCCCTCAACGCGCGGCCGTGGCCAGCTGGAACAAGAAGTCGGCAGGAGGCGGCAAGACACGCTGCGGCGAGGAGTGCGGCAACATCTTCACGCAGGGCGCCATCGTCTACTTCCCAGCGCGCACGTACAAGATCTGCTCGCCCGTGGTGCAGTACTACTACACGCAGTTCATCGGCGACCCCAACAACATGCCGACCAGGAGCACCAGCAGCGTGTTCCATCATCGACACTGTCGGCTCGACGCAAACCGGCCCCGTGACGGCGCCTGCCAAGAACAATGACGTGCTCGATCCCAAGACGGGCTTCCTCTACGTGCGCGAGCGGCCACGGTACGAGGGCCTGTCTGTCGGCTCGTTCCTGGTGGCGGCGACCCAGGACGGCGGGTGCAAGAACGACGGCTCGGGCGACCAGGCGGGCTGCATTAATTCGTTTCTGCGCAAGGCCGCGGGCGCGCGCCAGGTCGCCTTCTTTCCTGCCGGCATCTACACCGTCGGCGACACCGTGTTCGTGCCCTCGGGCTCCCGCGTGCAGGGCTCCTCGTGGTCGCAGGTCTAGGGGTCGGGCTTCCGGTTCGGCGACATGCACAACCCTAAGGTCATGGTGTAGGTCGGCAACCGCGGCGACGTCGGCACCATGGGGATTGTCGTCGAGATACTCTTCTCGGTCCGCGGCGGCACTGCCGGCGCTGTCCTCATGGAGTGGAACGTGGCGGCGTCCTCGCAGGGCGCCGTAGCCGTGTTCGATAGCTATTTCAGAGTTGGAGGAGGGCTGGGCAGTGATCTGGACCTGGCTACGTGTCGCCATGCCTGGGGCCTGCAGATCATCGACTCGATCGACGTCACCATCCACGGCGCCGGCCTGTACAGCTTCTTCAATGCCTTTTACTAGGACTGCGAGGACACCCACAGCTGCCAGCAGCGCATCCTCGAGATCAGGGGATCGACCGGCGTGGCCATCTACAACCTCTTCACCGTTGGGGCAGTCGAGATCGTGCTGTCAGCGTGCGCGAGAGGCCAGAGCGCGAGTCCCTGATCAGCAGCCATCCCCGTCTATGATATTTTTACCACCGACACCAACAAGTTTATGAGTGCGTATGGAGTTGGTAAGGGATCCGTGTTGCTACCTACCAAAACCTATGTGGATATCTTTGAGCAAGAACCTGCCTCTAATCTCTACTATACATATCTACATATTTACACTTCCAGGAGCTGGGAGTTCTGGGTTGTTTATACGCTGCTGCTATGCAGAGCGAAACCCAAAATACGGCTCTCTCGCCGGCCCTGCCCTCACCTCCCAGACAAGGACTCGCCGGGCCAGAGCATCTCCAAAAGGCGCGACCGATGGCTCTCCAGCTCGCCGGTGCCCGCGTCCCTCACGAGCGCGCCTAACCTCGCCGGGATTTTGAGGTCTTCCCCCTCACCGTCGGCCCCGCCATCCAGCAGCCGGCGCATCAAGTGCGTGTAGGCAAACACGCTGGCGTCAAAGAGCGAGGGCGAGGGCGCGCCAAAGAACCAGCCCGTCTCGCTCTCGGCGAGCAGGTCTGCGAGGGCATCCAGGGCATCCCGGGCGCCGGCATACATGGCGCTCTCGTCGACAAGGATGGGGGTTGCCGCCGAGGCGCCGCCGCCGCCGGCCGAGGAGCTCGTCTTGAGGATCTCGGCCTCGGCGGCGCGGCGGAGCTGGTGCCGCAGCGTCGCCTGCACCCAGAGCGACGACGAGGCCGGCGCGACGTAGAGCCGGCCCAGCAGGGCGGCGTGCCGGGGCTCCAGGTACAGGGCCTGCAGCCAGGCGTTGCGGATGGGCACGTCGAGCAGCGCCTGGTAGGCGTCGAGGCGGAGCGTCGGCGTCTGCTCGGCCGGCTTGTGCTGGCCGTGCTCGAGGGCATACTTGTGCAGCCGGGCAGCGGAGACGGGCGCGGGCGACGCCGACGGCGAGGGCCTGGCGGGCAGCAGGAATGGGAGAGCGCCGGTGGGGGAGGCGTGGTTCGTCGCCGGGACGATCTGGAACTCTACGCGGGCGAGCTTGAGAAATGTCTGCCGATCACCAAAAGCACAGAACATGTTAGCTAGACGGCCCCAGATCGAAATCGACATGCCCGCTCGGCAACGTGTCGTGGCGACCTACCTGCCACTTCAGACACCCCGGGTTATAGCTAGGGGCGCCCAGCCTGGCGTCGCTGTCGGTGGAGAAGACATAGAGAGTGGGTAGTCGGCTCGACGTTGCCGACTGGGAGCGGGCCGGGAGAGCATTGGCATCGTAGGTGAGGAGCGGGACGCGGTCAAAGAGCTGCTGCAGCGGCCGGGGCACGGTTGGCGAGGGCCAGACCGACATGGCGGACTGTGGGATGTGATGTGAGGAGATGGGATGCGACGCGATGCGACGCGATGCGATGCGATGCGATATTGCGGCCTTGACGCCGACGTCGACGTGGCGGGGACACGCAGCGGAGAGACTGAGAGCGGCAGCACAAGGCCCCAAAACTCACGACGAATACCTCTGAATATTAGCTAGCGTGGCCCGGTCATGCACAATGCTGTATCGTCTCGACGGTCCCTGGGTCTCGGTCTGTCTCGCGGTTTCTGTTGGTGGGTGCGTGCCTCGGGGCCGATGCTATAGCCCGAAAGGCTGAAAGCAGGCCGACAAAAAAAAGGTGGAGTCTCGAGCGGCTTCCCGCCCGTGCATGAGAAAATGGCCGAATAAGATGGAGGTGGTCCAAGCGCCCTGGGATCCCCTCCCAGCTCAGGCCAGGGCGGGGCCACCTCATCGGCTCCGGGAGTAGCAAAACTCTATTTGGTATCCACTAGTGGGCCCACTAAGGCAGGTATGCCTGATCAAGGTGAAGGTACTGAAGAGAGCGAGCAATGACTAGTATTGGTGTGAGACTTCAACCTGGCCCTCGCAAAGGAAGTGGGCGAGGGCCACTGATTATATAAATGACAGTGTGCAGGGCAGGGCGGGCGAGAGGTCATGACAAAGGAGTGAGGTCTTGGCCCGCTTACGCGTGTGAGTTGGCCGTGTGTGTGGGTTGGGGCTCTTTCCTTACATCCGGGGAGTTCGGCGGCCATACAAGAAGCTGGAAACCAACCTTTCTCCAAAGCTCACGGTTCCAACGATTGATGTGGGAACTTGTGTTGTCTTCCTGAACAACATGGTACTTCCCGAATTCTTCCCGGAGCTTCTTCATAAAGGGCATGAACCTAGGAAGCAGGACTTCCTGTTGGTAACGCATCCAGTCGATCCCGCCTTTCGAATCCCGCTCCTGCTTTCCAGTCGCCTTGGTGTATTTCCAGCTTGGCTTTCGACCTGGCTTCTTCTTATCACTGAAATTGAACCGCCGTAACTCGGTCTCCGCTTTCCACCGAGTATAGTCTTCGGCTTCATGCTCTTCGTTATAAGCATCCATCATATCCTTACACTTTTGCTTTATCTTTGCTGATTCCTTTAGCCAATAGTAATAAGGTGTAAGAGAGGGTGGGTACGCCTGATCAAGGTGGTCACGATGTAGGTAATAAGTGGAGTGAGCAATGACTGGTATTGGTGTGACCCCAACCTGGCCCTCGCAAAGGAAGGGGGACGAGGGCCACTGCTTATATACATGACGGTGTGCTTGGGCCAGCGGGTGAGAGGTCATGACAAAGGAGTGAGGTCTTGGCAAGCTGGTCGTGTGTGTGTGTGTGTGTGTAGGTTGGGGTTCTTTCCTTACATAAGGACCTCTCTTCTCCCAGGTAAAGCAGGCCCAAAACATAAAGGTCATAAAGCCTTTCCAACGACGGTAGATGCAACTGTGGAAGCTCTTTTCCCACATACGGCGCCAAATCCTCCTTTTTCCACACGTTGCACCGAGTACAATAGAGGTCTCGTCGCTCCATACTACTTTCTTCCAGTCTTGGAGGGTCCAGTTACGAACCTGCATAGCGAATTCAAGCCTTTTCGTCTGTTGGGCTTTGTTCAGGCCGGGCTTCATTGTGGGCTTGACCGACCTGAATCCCTTGCGCTTGAGCTACCGTAGTATCGTTCGCCGGCTTGGAACCTTAGCCCCGGAGATGCCCTCTATTTTTTCGGCAACTCGGTCAGCCAATTCGTAACTTGAGCGTGAACGCGATTTGAAATCCTTAGTAACCACCTCTTCAATGGTCTGGTTTTCCAAGTCCCCTATTACGGGCGGCCGGCCACTTCGAGAACCACTCGTAACATGACAGTCTTCAATCTTACCGCCCACAATATACCCTCTTTTCTTCGCCTTCGTTAATAGGCTATTGAATGTGGTCTATTGAATGTGGTTCTTTTGAGCCCTGTGAGGGCCTCGATTGTTGGAAACTTGACGCCATTCGCATATAGGGTCAAAGCCTGTACTCTCTCTGCAATAGTGGATTCTCTGCGGTGGACCGTAACCATTGTGCCGTTGGGTTGTGGTAGATTGGTCGGGAAGTACTTTGCCTAGTCACCTGTGAGTAAATATGCTTCTCGGTCAATCTGTACGGCTTCTTGGTACGCATCCAGCCGAACCTGCGCTCTGAAACATTGCCATTTCGAATTCGGCTTCAATTTCGGTGTGGAATTTCGGTGTGGATGAAGTTTGGTACAACCCTGATAAGGGGTCGAAGGGAATGCAGAACGCTAATAAAATACACTTCCCCTCGACGGATTCAGGGGACCCCGGCGGTGACGAAGACTTTTGCCCCCATGTTCCGTATCATAGTTGCCTCTATCAAGCACAGGTCAATCGCTATTAGTTCATTCTCGTCTCCCCGATCACATTTCTCACCGTCGCGGACGCGCTATTCTTATTCTATCGATCTCATTTCCCACCATCGCGGACGCACCTGAACATGCCGGCTCCTGCACTGATGGATCTTGACCCGCCGCGGACAGAACCAGATCTGCTCGAGTCCCTGGCAAACCAGATGACCATTCTTTAGAACCAAATGATGTCGTCTAACTCACGTCTTCATTCAGCTGTTGGTTCGATGAATCAGCGTCTTGATTCAGATCTCGGCTTGATAAATCGGCGTTAGAACCAGTTGCACAAGACCTTGCTGCAGGAATTACTGATCAATCAGAGGGTAATGCGAATGCAGGGCTGTGATTGGTCTAACTGGTAAAACAGTGGGGAATCAGGCCAGCGCACGGGCCACACCCGCTCAACACGTGGCACAGCACGTGACCGCGGGGCACCCTGATTGAGCGCCTTCGTGTCCCCGTAGTTCGTGATCCTTTTGGTAGACATACTGTAGAAGAATACGATCAACACCACCACCCCACCCTTTCGTAGCGGTTACTATATAGTAGTGACTGGCACGGATGACCTTGTCATTCCAACACTTGCGGATCTGAGACAAGGGTTGATTGACACCCGTAAACAATTGCTCGCCGAGTTTGTCACCTCGTATTCTATTCTCCTCTTCTTTACTAATATTGTGTACTAATTAATTTAGGGGAACCAACCGAGATCGCCGCTAGCAGAATCGGTCATAGGTACATTGCATCTCGCTCTGAATGCATTCTTCTCCGGCTCGTCGATTAACAGTGCAAAGAGATCAGCCTTTGTCCCATCACGATTCCCGAGCTTTACGAGCAGAGCCGTAAGTATATATTATTGGGGTTGCTAGAAGATAACTGTATGCTAATTTATTCATCTCTGATGCGGACACGTGCCTGGTTTTACAGCGACTTGGGCACAATTCCAATGATCTCGATATTTGTGGTGCCAAAGAATCACTGCGGTGTTTGTTATGGTTGGGAGTGATTGAGGACTTGGTCGCGTGAAGGGAAGAACTGTTCGGGACGGAGTGATAGCGATACAACTACATAATTCAATTCTCTAGACGGTCGCCCTCCTGGGGTTCTCACTTGCCACCGTTCATTGCCGCCGTCAGCAAAGGCAATCCCATGGCGCGACAGAAGCTAGAAGCATATTCTTAGCCTCCCAACTTGCGTGAGCCTTCACATGCAAGATCGATATAATACCATCCCTATCTACGGATCCGTATGTAGTAAACAATGGCCGAGCCGACGCATGCACACACAGCAAGGTGCCAATTTGCGCGCGTCTTCACCTGCCCCTGGATCCTACGCAAGCCACAGAGGAACCAGACGTCACCTCACTTATCCGGGAGCCAGATACGGCGGCAATGAACGGTGGCAAGTAGGACCCCAGGAGGGCAAGATAACGACGGAACAGGTCGGAACTTGAACCAGGGAGTCCACCTGCTGGCGCCTTGGGTCCGCAAAAGCCTACACGTGCACCTGGTGGAGGTGCTGTGAACAGACTCGCCAAGGTTGTATCTCGGCGTCGATTGGGGCTACCCAAACTTAGTGCATTGCACGGGCGGAGCCTCATCCATCGCGGTTGACAGGGCGCGAAGGGTCTTGCAGGGGGATTTCTCGGCCCTTCGCCCGTCTTGCGGTGTTTATTATTAGCCGACACAAGTCGGTGAGGCCGAGGCAAGCAATCCGGGCGGGCGCACCGCAACGCCCATCGGAAGATGGACGCAGAAACGTGGCCAGATGTGAAGCCATCTGCTAAGGCAGTGTGGTAAGTCGAGGTGAGCTTCTCGTCGGGAGGGTTTGGACTGTGGACTACAGCAAACTATAAATTAAAGAGAGCGTAACCCTCCACTGTTGAATCGTCGCCATGCACTGTAATCGCCCACGTATAACCCTAACACTGGCTACACACCCCGCCCTCCAGTACATCCAAGATTCTGCCGCGCAGTAATTTACCACTTTTTACCACAACGCAACCGAACCTTACCTTTCCACTGAGCTTCAGTATGGTATAGGGCATGAAGGAAGCCTGTGATGAAGAGACTCACGAATAAATAACACGCATTCGCTTCGATTACCTAGGAAAGGAGTGGCTTGGTGAGGCTCTACATAACATCTGTTATGCCGCCCTGGACCGTGTTGCATATCAATACCGGAAGATGATAAATGCCCTCGGCGACCACCCCCGGGCGCCTCTCGAACCCTGTACCGGTCGGTTCTAGGCGCAGTATGGCATCTCTTGTGCTCGCGAGCTTCTTCAGCGTGACAGGGCAGGTACTTTGAAGCTTCAGAAGGTTGATTTCTATCTATATTAGTACTTGGAAAGGTCATTACTTGATGAAGACGATTACCGGGAGTTTGACAGAGTTGAACACCTTCGGGGAAGGCCGCGCACCACTACTGCCTTTGCAGCCGAGCCAAACGCTCCGCGGGTCTACGCGAAGTGGAAGGGTCCCGCGACCTACTGCCCGGGCTGAAGGCATGGATCAGTAAGGCTGTCAGTTGCATGCAGTTGTAAGTAGTTATAGTCAGGCCTGCAGTTTTTTATTGCATTTTTGGCCCTGTTATGTAAAGCGAATTCAACGAAGTCAGCTTCGCTTTTTATTGTAGATTTGAACGATTTGAGCGAATCTACAGCCCTGAGATGGAATTACCGCATTCGGAAGTGTGTTGACGTTGGCGACGGCGGCGAGGTGCAATTGCGGTACAACTGCGTTGCCAGCGCTTGGAGCGAGGCAGCCAGCGAACGCGGTAATTTTGGCTGTAAAATATGGTATTTTCCTGGGCGGTGAGCCGGAACGCTTGGGCGCCTTTGTACTTACAGTGAGTGCATGGCGACAATTTATAACAGTGGAGGGTTACGCTCTCAAATTAAAGGTCTGTACTTCCGTACAGTATCCGTACCCAGGATCTCGTTCCGGCGGCAATGCTGCAGAACTATCTCTAACCGCGCGCGCCCGCCGCCAGCGCAGAGCCGTGTAGGTGAATTACCCGTCTGCAGTTCTGCCGCCTCTGATGCTTACCAGCCCAGACTTAAATTCCGAACCTGCCGTAGTTAATAAAAAGAAGCCGGGCCTGGCTCGTGAAGGTGCGATGTGGCAGGCCCTGTCGACATTGGAAGCGGTGAACACGTTCTCGGGCCGAAATTTGAGAAAGCTATTCGTAAGGAAGAACAGAGGCGTCGACGAGTCGCAGTCACGCCATGCTCATGCTTCTGGATGTCTGCAGCGTGCAATTGCAAGTTGCGGACAAAGACAGAAAGATGGGGAATGTGGGGGTTTGCCCAGCCCCACCTTCACACTTAGCCCCGCTTCCCCCCCTAGCCCCCCCCCCAGAACCCCGGACGCCTGCGCCGGATCTCGAGCGACTTGGCAGTACTTGAAGGCCCCGACAGCTCTGCAAGGGTGCGAAGCAAATCTGGCCCGGCGGCGGCTGAGCGGACCTCGTCCCGGCAGTTCAACCGAGGTACCTTGATGTCACTTGCTCAACGGTTCGTCGCTTCCTGACAGCACCGCCAGGGGACGACCTCCACTGAGAGTGTGGAGGACAGAGGGCCAGCCGCCGCGTCGAACGAGCGATGACGCCGTTTCCAGACTGGCGCACTTATCAAAACGATAATGTTGTCCGCAAAGGAAAGTCTATCAACTGAAGCAAAGAAAGGACCGCCGTTTCGTCCCGTCGGCCATTAGTGGGCCCAGACCTGCATCTCATCCTCTCCCATCGTATGAGATTCGCATCCGAGCAGCAAACTTGCAACATCCGTACATGTCTGTACATGTACATTACATAGTGCCGTGCGGCCCTCTGATGCCATTCTCCTCCCCTCACGTACTACGCACTATTCCGTGCTCCCCCTCGCAATCTAGCCAGCTGCTTGTGATCTCTCTTGCCCGGGCGGCCTGACACCTATCCATGAGCGGCGCTTGACACATAGGACATATTTGCATCAGCATCTACCAAACCCAATCACGTCTCCCCCGCTCCTCGCAAGACCTTCCATCTCTCTATCGTATCCGTCCTCGTCCCCTCTATCAGTCTCCCCTGTGCAGACAGATCAAGGATAGAGCGTCCCGTTCTTGCCTTGTGCATATGTGCTGCTGCCCCTCGACGTCGACCGGTGAGAGGGTTTTGGCTGCCGTGGCCTGCTGGACGACCCGACTGACGTTGGGTGATTGATTGATCTTATCGGCTGGGCCTGCATCCTCTACCTGTTTGGGCTTTTGGCAGGACGGTCACTGCACGAGCACCGGCAAGCACCAGCAACTTGACAGTCTCAGGGGGGCTGCGCTGCATCTCGCATCTGCAACATCCCGCCCTCTGCCCTCGCCCAAAAATTACCACATATTGGGCCGCTATTAGCCTGTGGCCGTCGACTGAGCACCGAGTGAGAGTAAGAACTGGCTAGCCCTGGGGCTTGCTCTTCTTGATCGAGCCGAAGCGCATATTCGAGAGCCACACAACAACCACGCAATACATCATCCTTGGCGCTGGTGATACACGCACCAAGCACCAAGCACTCTGCTAGTGCCAAAGCCTAAGCCAAAGCCAAAGCACCTAGCGCCCTGACCGCGGCTCACCATTCGAGTAGCCCGGCTCGGAAATCACGTCTCTGCTTATCACTACTCCCCGAGACAAGCAGACGAAGGGAACAGGAAACCAGAGTCCGAAACTTCCCACTTATAGACGTCCATCAGGGTCCACATCCCTCCCCACAGCCAGCAAAATCTCAAGAAATCTCGAGACCCTACCTGCACTGCTCGACACCTAGCAGCCCATCTAGACCATCCTGCCCGCCCTTGTTCCGTCCGTCACGGACAATCCATTCACTGCCCCGACAATGAACGCTCCCATCACATCCCCGACGTCGCAACACACGTCAGCAATGCCTTCGTCCCAGCCATCGCCCACGGCCATGATCGTGCCGCCGCAGCCGGCGCCGCTGAAGTCGCCCTCGACAGACGTCTTTCTGAAAGACTTTACCCTGGTCGCCGAGGCCGCAAAGCGAGCCCAGATGGCTGTGTTGATGCGCGACATGGAGGGCATCGGCCTGTCATAGGGTGCCAAGCACGCAACTTACACCACACATGCGCACACGATACGCTCGTTTCTACATTGGGCCTGTGCCCCCTTGATCGACATACTACACCACACCCGACACCACCTTTGTCGGCTACCAAGTGCTGGATTCGGTAAAGGGTCGTCGGAAAGGCTGCGGTGTGGTTTGGCGGCTCTATAATACCCACGTTTTCCTTGATGGAGGGACTCCCGGCGAGAGAAGGTTATGGTCTGGACAATAAAGGACAATTACATGCGAGACATGGCGGCAACAATGGCATGGGGTGAAGGTTTCAGAATACCTATACCACGGTTCTTATTTTTCCCACTCACGGGCGCAGGAAACAAACTTCCGGGTCGGAGGCAGTCTGATCAGAACGGGGATGGCTTCTTCCCCTGCGCATGCAGATATTTCTTTTATAATGGGCATATCCGAATCGGCGGCGGCGGCAGACGGCAGACCAGTCAATCTCGGCATTTTGGGTTTGGGAGTTTACAAGGACTCGGGCGCGACGGGAGGGTGGAGTCGCTGATTTCTATTTTATTTTTCTTTTCGTTTTCTCATCTGGGCGAGGTATTCTGGGGTTTCTTTGGTTTGCTCTCTCCTCGATTAGGTATTTCCTCATCTTTGCTCATCGGACATACGTATGGTATTTGCCGTTATACCCATACCCCCCCTTTTTCTGCTCAAGCATACACGAGAGCTTACAGGCAAGCATGCCAGTTCATAGACTAGTACGTGCTCCTCGGTACCGCGGGTACGAGGGCGGCGGGGGCCATCATAGTGGTAATAGGCAGGCACTTATGAAAAGAGCCGTGGGAAATGCTAGCAGTATGCGCGCTGAAACGTCGTGCTCGTCCGGCCGGTGTCAGCGGCCCACCACCCTGTTCACACGTGAGAGAGAGTGTGTGTCTCTTTTATTACATCTTTGACATGAGCGACACACCGCCGTCGAGGGCTAGCGTGGCGCCGTTGACAAAGGCGCCGGCGCGGCTCGCCAGGAACAGGCACGCGCCGGCGACGTCCTCGGGCGAGCCGATGCGCCCCAACGGGTTCGCGGCGCGGAGTCGTCGCCGAACTCGCGCAGCGTCGCCGCCATCATCTTGCTCAGGAACGGCCCGCACGCCACCGTGTTAGACGTGATGCCCCGCGGCCCCAGCTCCGTCGCGAGGTGCCGCGACAGGTGGTGCAGCGCCGCCTTGCTCGCGCTGTACGCAAACGTCGGCAACACGAGCACGCGCACCCCGTCGATGCTGCCAATGTGGATCACGCGTGCCGGGTTTGATGGCAGGGAAGCGGCCTCCAGCAGCGGCGTCACCGCCTGCGTCAGCGTGAACACCTGCTGCACGTTGAGCGTCAGCAGCTTCGTCTACGCTGCGTCTAGGAACGCGTCGTACGACGCGCCCCACGTTGCGCCGCTGTTGTTGACGAGTACATGCAGCTGTATTTCGCCGTGCGCCCTCAGCTCGGCGGCTACGCGCACGCACTCGGCTTCCAGGCTTAAGCATGCTGGGAGAGCTACTGCTGAGCCTCCAGTGGTGGTGGTGGTGGTGCCGGCGAGGAGGGTGTTGAGTTCGGCGGCTGCTTGTGCGCACGCTGTTGCGTCGCGCGACGAGATGTACACCCGCGCCCCGTTGCGCACGAAGGCTTCGGAGATCATCCGGCCTATGCCTTTCGCGCCGCCCGTCACGAGTACGACTTTGCCCTGTGTGTGTGTGTGTGTGTGTGTGTGTGTGTGTGTGTGTGTGTGTGTGTGTGTGTGTGTGTGTGTGTGTGTGTATGTGTTAGTGAGGTGTGTTAGTGAGGGGGAGGAGGGTTATTTTGGTTATAATAGTAAAATATAAGCCGCTCTCTCGCTCGCTCACCTTGACATCGAACAGGGAGTCGATATCCATATCTTCATGTCTTGGCTCCTCACGTGTCTTTCTTTGCTGACGTTTAGAGCCTGTACGTGATTACGTAGTGCCGCAGACTGGACGGGTTTCTTTAGTTGCTCTGATGCTGATGAATTAATTTAATTTAATTAATTAGGTCTTGACTTAGTTGGCATGTCGTATCAATCAAGACTGATTCACCTCGTGGAAACCTGCTTGCTGGCTGCTGTCGTTGTGGTTGCTGATTTAGTGGTGATGTTAGATTCTGACGTTCTTTGGCGGGCTGCCCGCTGACGATATATCCCCCCCCCAACCAATTGCATTAAACTTGGCAAGGTGAGCCGAGGCAACGCGATCGACCTAACCCCTTTTCCCGCCCCCTCTGGGAGGTGTAGCAAGGGCGTTCGTTGATGGGCTAGCTTGTTGCGGTATTGTACAGGGAAACTAGGCCAGGTCGGGCTGAGCTGCTCACCTCGCTTGTCTGTCCCTGGTCTCACTTCACATGCGCGAGAGAGGCCGGGCTTCTTGATTAGTATTTCTAAAACTCGGACTATCTTCTACAGAGGTACAAGAGAGTACCTTTTCTAGATCTCTTCTATATCGACTCCAAATATTCAAGAGTGAAAGGACGAAGTTACATTATCAAACCGTCGCTCCTCCTTTCAGTGGTAGTGTAGAACACGGCCCCCGCCCCCGCAGCTCACGTAACGTTCTTAGTTGGTCGAAGTAGGTAGGTACTTTAACACAATGACACGACATGATGTCTTGCAAAAACATTCACGCACTCAGATAAAACTATCACCTGCACCGAATAAATAAGAACCACCATCTCACCCGTGCCTTACCTTGTCCTTCCTCTGGAGTCCTGGACTCGCACCAACACCAACACCAGAACCACACCCCCCTTACCTAGGTTACCCCTTTTCTCCCTTTACCGTCAGTCCGGCTTGCACCCGTCGTCACAGTTCGGGAAAACAACAAAGAAGAGCAACAGACCCAACTACAGAGAACAGAGACCAACATGGCACCATCGCCGCCCGCAGACACCACTGCCGCCACAGGCTCGAGCACAGCACCAGCACCCGAACCATTATCCGGCTCAAACCGCCTGCGCGACACATTCGCCGGGCAGCCGCTATCAGCGCACCCGACGGCGTGGGACGCGCTGTGGCAGGCGTCGTACACGCCATGGGACCGCGGGGGGGCGAGCGACGCGCTGCGCGAGGTGCTCGTGACCCACCCACCTCTCTTCCCTCCTCCGGGAGGAGAGTCTCAGACCGGGACGAAGAGGAGACGGAGAGCGCCGGTGCCCGGGTGCGGGCGTGGCTACGACGCGGTGCTGCTGAGCCGGGCGTTCGGGTACGACGTTGTCGGGCTGGATAGTTCGGCCGAGGCGGTACGCGCTGCGGTTGCTAATGCTGCTGCTGCTGCTAGTGGTGCTGCTGGTAATGGTGATGTGTATGCACCGCAGACGGAGACGGAGACGTCGACAGGGAGCGTCGAGTTTGTGCTTGGGGATTTCTTCGACGAGGATGGCGTTCTTGGCAAGCCCGCCGATGACGGCGACGACAGCAAATTCGATCTCATTTTCGACTACACGGTGTGTGCAACTTTTTTTATTTTCTCTTTATTTTGTCTCTTGTATGAAAGTCTATACACCTAGTCCGCCCACACAAACACAAAACCGCCCTTCCGCTAACACGCCCCCGGAAAAGTTCTTCTGCGCGCTCCCCATCGAAGCGCGCCCCAGGTGGGCGCGGCGCATGGCAGACCTCCTCCGCCGCGACACAGGCCGGCTGGTGTGTCTCGAGTGGCCGCTGCACAAGCCGCCGGCGACAGGCGGGCCGCCGTGGGGCGTCACGGCCAGGGCGTACGCCGCGCACCTGGACCACCCGGGAGTCGAGCTGGCGTACCAAGACGACAACAGCGGCGATCCCATCGTGTCGCCCGGGTCGAGCAGCCCCTCAAACAACGGCGCCCTGCGGTGTCTGGCGCGCTTCCAGCCGCAAAAGACGCACAAGGCGGGCTGTGACGAGCATGGGAATGTCATTGACTATGTGTCGGTGTGGGGCCATCAGTAGGTTAAGATAACGACAAGACGTTGGTTGGTGGTAGTATGGGGGGGATTTGTGGGTTTTCTCTCTCTCTCGGATAACCGCAAACACCGTCTTTGTCGCTGTTACTGTCCGGGGAAGTCCGTGGAGCGAGTTCCCTGCGTCGGGACATATACGTAGGTATGCTGTCGGGCGCCGCGCCCGAGACGTAGCCGTCCGTGTTTGCCAATCACTCCCAGAAACAATAATCTACCCTGGAGAGAAACGATTGACCCCCCATGAGAAAATCAAGCCGCTTTCCGCAGCGAATTGTAGTGCTCGCCCAGGCTGTAGCCGTGGCGGTAGTAGGCAAGCCACAGCGTCTTGAGGCCCTCCCTTGTGTCTTCTGCAGCAGGCCGCACCACCCCAATCCTGCCGTCCTGCACGACCCTGATCTCGACGCCGTACGCGTTGGCCAGCGCCGCCAGCTCGAGCTGCCCGCCCCACTCGGCCGTGTCGCGGATCTTGGCCGCGTATGCCGCGAGCGGCTCCTCGAGGAACCCGGCGTACTCGTCGCCGTGCGCCTCCATGTAGTCGGCTGCCCGCTGCCGCACCGCCTTGTATGCCGGTCCGTCGGTAGTACTGCTGCTGCTGCTGACAACAACGGCAATACCGTTCGCCGCCAGTTGGTCCGCCACGGCCGAGAACAGGCAATGCCCGTCAGGCGCAATATCCTTCTCGACCAGCGCGTGCGCAGCAAACTCCTTGGCCATGTACGCGCGCTCGATGCCGCGGTGGTCGATCATGTGGGCGGCCTCGGAGTGCGCGGCGTCGGCGGCCGCCTCTTGCTCTGCGGCGCGGCGGGCGAGGCGCTCCTTTTGCCGGTTGCGTTTCTTGGGCTGCTGCTGCTGCTGCTGGTCTTGCTGCGGCGGGCTGTCTGCGGGTGTCTGCTGTTGCTGCTGGGCTCGAGGCGGCGCGATGGCCGTGCCTTGCAGCTGGGCAGCCAGAGCGCCTTCCACATCTTCGTCTTCGTCTTCGTCTTCGTCTTCGTCTCCACCTTCTTCCCCCGGCTGAGCTGCTTGTTCGCTCGCATCCCCGCCGGCGAGGCTCTTCAGCTCGTCGGCGTGTCTCTGGCTGAGCTGGCGCTCGAGCTCGGCACACTCGTCGTTGACGCCCTTGCGCGTCTTTTTGGTGGCATTTTTCTTTTTGCTGGTGACGCGCGACTGGAGGTCCCGCTGCTCCTTTCTGTGGCGGACCTGCATCTGCTCGACGGTTTCCTCCATGGCGGCTGTCTGTGAGGGCGGGCGACGTCGAGTTTGGAGGGCGGCGACTGAACTTGGCAGTCCCGCTGAGAAACTGGTGGGGCAATTAAGCTAGGTGTGGTTCAGGCGGCTGCGGCTGCGGCTGCGGCAACAACCAATCCCCACCAGGTTTCATAATTACAGTGGCAGCTATGTTCTAGTAGCATGTCATAGGCAAAGAGACAACGTGGGGTTCTGGAATGCGGGTACGTACTACGTACGTAGTTGAGAACAGAAACATTTTACCCCCTCCTTTTAGTTTCGAAAAGCCACAATGGAATATACGACCTCATTCCATCCCATTATCTTGTCTCGTCTCGTCTCGTCTCGTCTCTTCTTACCTCTCGAGTTCCAGCTCTTCTCATTCCATCCATGTAGAAGGCGCCAGGGAGACACTGGATGAGACAGAACGACGCGTACGCGTGCAGGTTCGCGTGTTTTTAGCATTCGAGATATCGCATGTATGAGGCCTGAATTATTTACTAATCGGGTCTGATCTGATTTAATTCTTCCCAAGTGTCTAGCAGTTGAGCGGGAACCCTTTCAGAAACCTACCCAACGTAACTTAAAAGCGCCTTTTTGGGTGAAATGGGTGGTGTGAAAGGCTTGTATCGTATTCTCAGGATGGGACAGATATAATGAGGGAGGTGATTCTCTTACCTTACGATACGTAAATGAGGACAGACAGCACAGCAGCAGCAGCAGTAAGCGCCGGGAGGAAAGTCGTTTCTAGAAAACAACGCTCTAAAGCGGGAAATGTAGAGCTTTCACTTCTATTAATCTCTGCACGAACACGGTGTTTTATGGCTTATGAATCATTTATTTATTTATATTTGATCCAGCGAAAAAACAATGCAAAAAAGACCTGTAATAAAATGACGACGAGTATATGCAAACTTCAAAAACTGACGTGACGTGACATGACGTGACGTGACGTGACGAGATGAGATGAGATGGATGGATGGATGCAACAAAACAATAACAAAACAACCCCGAATCTCCCCCGCCCTCCCACCTCTTAAGCCCAATGTAAAAACAAAACAAAAGAAGAAAACACGTAATACCCGTATACTACACCATACTATACCATCAAAGGAGGTATAAGCAAGTGAAACCAAAGAGAAGACGAAACTAAAGACGAAGAAGACGAAGAAGACGAAGAAGACGAAGAAGACGAAGAAGACGAAGAAGACGAAGAAGACGAAGACGAAGAAGCGACGAGAAAAAAGACACCACCCCCCATCCCCTCCTCTTCTTCTCTTCTTTCACCTTCACAGGAACATACAGCACAAAATAGCAACAACGCACCAACCATGACGGGAAAGCACACACACCTAGTTCTCATATTGCCCCTTCCCTTTGCCCCGCCCAGTGCCCGGCCGATCGATCACCCTGTCCTGTCCCGAAGAGTGCCCGCCGTCTGTCCAACGCCTTCCTGATAGAAAAGACACCTCGAATCCGAGAAGGGATATAAGAAAAGTGTAAAAAGAAAGCATTACGAAAAGAGAATAGCCCAGGGGAAACAAGACGAAGAGAGAGAGAGAGAGAGAGAGAGAGAGATAAAGTACCTTAATACCTAATAACGGGAGTGAAACCCAACCCGATGCCGTCCTCGCTACCCCAGACAAGGCGAGGTAAAGAAAAAGTCAGGATGCGGCCTTTAGTTAAGCTCGTAACAAGCTCGACCTGACCAGACTAAATCCACCTGGGGGAAAATGTCCCGTCCCGCCCTGTCCTCTCATGCCCTGCCATGCCCTGTCCTATTCTTGGTACCGACTACTACAGTTACTCATCCATCAATCCTACAACGATATCTCTCCGTCTCTCTCTCTCTCTCCATACCATCTCGCTCCATTGCCCGCCGGCTCCTGCATCCCTCCCAGATTCAAAACGGCGACGACATGGGAACTTCGTCAAAGACGCTCTGCACCGTGACAAAGGCGCCGTCGCCGCCGTCCTTGCGCAGATCCTCGAGCAGGACGACCGTCTGCGCGAAGACGTTCTCGAGGGCCGCGCGCGATGACTTGCCCAGTGACACTGTAATAGCGAGAACAGCCATGGTTAGCAAAAGTGAAAAGCGCACCAAAAATGAAGATTCACAAGATAAGAGGAAAGAAAAGAACGTACTCAGTATCGCCGAGTTCAGCTCCTCGGCCACGGTAACGCGGCCGCTCCCGTCCAAGAGGTGCGCGACCTCCTTGACCTTTAGCGGGTTGGGATACGCGATGAGGGCGAATATCTCCTCAAGGCGGTGCGAAATTTCACGGCGGGGGTCGGCGTGGAACTCTGCGCGGAGCTCCATGCCGTAGGCGAGGGCGTCCTGAGACAGCTTGCTGACGCCGCCGAAGCCGTTACCGTTAGCGCTGGCGCCGTCCTCCACGTCCATGCCGTCGTCGTCTTCTGCTTCCTCGTGGTGGCCGCCCGTCCAGTGGCCGTTGCCGTGACCGTTCCCGACCTCGTCCACCTCGAGCATCTCCTCGTCGTCTTCCTCGCCGTGACTAATCTGTGCTCCCGCTGCCGCTGCATCAACGCCTTGGCTAAACCGCCGCTTTGTGAATTTCGCCAACTTCTTCTCAAGCAGCAGGTTCAGTTCGGCCTCTTTGCGGATCATCTCGATGAACTTGCGGCAGCGGAGGCTAAAGTAGACCTGCTCGTTGTCCTTGAGCACTGACGGATAGAACATGTCGACGTACTTGAGGGCGCGGTCTATGTCGCCGTCAAGGATGGCGCGGCGGATGCGTTGCCGGTTGTTTGCATCTTCGTCGTCCTTGATGTTGATGCCCTCGACATGCTCGTTGGGGCCCAGGCAGAGCGCCTTCTTCTCGCCAAGTATCTCTTCGGCAAAGGCCCGCGCCGACTCCACGTAGCCGTCGTGTTGTAGGAACTGGAGCACCTGTGGTCGCTCGCGTGTTAGCTTTTGTAGGTGGGGCATCGCTGGGCTACCTGGCTCAGCACTTGCCAGTTGCTGAATGAGCTCTGACTCTGCCAGCGGGGGCGCCAGGCTAGAGGGATCTGCGTTTTTAATGCTATCGGATATCATTTTTTGCTGCTTCTGCAATAATGATGGACTGGTTAGCAGATGAACCGAAAATCGACCGGTGGGCGCCATGATAACGGATTAAGAGTTGGATGAAGTATAGGTCGTCTCCATTTGGAAGTGAAGCGGAAGTCAGGCCGTCTCAAGTTCGATAAAGCAGCAACGACGCAGAAAAGAAAGCGGCAGCAACGAACCTTCATATACCCGTCAATATCGAACTGAAATGGGCGCTGTCCGAAGTTGACTAGAACGTGGTCGCCCGGCTTCTTCAGCCCGATTGTGGGGTAGAGTTTTCCCTTCACGTCTTTGAAATTCACGTCTCTGAATGCGATGCCTTTATGAGAAGCATTGTTAGCCGTGTCACGGACCGGCCGTTTTCATCCCACAAAACGATCTGGCTCATGGGGGGAAGTCGTGTTGCACGACCTTAGAAGGATAGGCACCTGTTGTTTGTGAAGGCGGTAGTGCATGTGGTAGATAAAGAGAGACAGGTGAGGGAGAAAAATCCTAAAGCCATTACACACCTAAATCCACGCCGTTTTTCGTGAACAGCGCGTGGCCCAGCCGGAAGTTTACCAGGCAGCCGGCTGTATCCCCAGAGCCGAACTTGGGGCCGTACGATTTCCCTACGTTCTGGGCAGCAAAACAGCGGCCGTCGTCGCCATGGTAGCCCCACGACTCGGGTTCCCAGCCGGGCGGCCTTTGTAGCGACACGGATCTGCTTGAGAAGCCGATGCCGATCGTTGTTCTGTTGCGCCACGCCTTAGTCAGTATACTCTGACCACATCTTGCACAGACATCATCGGGAGAGGCACTCACTCGTCCCGCTTCTTATTTAATACGGTTAACTCAAAGTAGTAAACCCCGCACAGCGCCGGCATGGGGTAGTCTGCCCGTATCGAGCAGGCCTCGTGCTCGCTTGTTGTCCGCCCGGTGAACTTGACCTCGAGGCCATCGCCCAGCACATCGAGGGACGTGTCCTTGTCGTCCTTGTTCCACCGCGACGGCAGCGGGTTCAAGTCGTCGTCGTCCTCGATGACGGGCTGCTTCTCGACCAGCTCAAACGCGACCCCGCGGTGGGTGCCCGAGGGCAGCTTGGAAGCGCCTTGCAGCTGGGTGCTGCCGTTGCTGGCGAGCCCGGCCGCCGCTTGTGTCTTGGCGGCGTTGCCCTCTCGCTCCGCGATAAGCTTAGCCCTATGCGCCTCCTCAAGCTCCTGCAGATATACGGACCCGCGCAGATACGACGGCGACAGAAATCCAGAGCCACCTGCGCTGGCCAGGGCGCCGCCGAAGCTGAAGTCGGTGATGCCGGCCGATGCTAGCAGTTCGTCGGGGGTGATGAGGTGGTCGAAGGCGCGCGAGAACCACGGCAGGCCGTTCCCTGGTCGGGGCTGCCACTGCGGGCCAAGCGAGGCAATCGGGCCATCATCGCCCGAGTCGCCGGGGTCGCCACCACCAGCACCACTTCCCCCGCCTCGGCCGCTACCGCTACCACTACCCGGGACGCCGTTCCGACCTTGTGCCATGCCTGCGTCGAGATTGTAATTCCGTGCCGTGGCGTATAGATTGCTGTGTGAGTCGCTGTCGGCGGCTGGGTTTAGGAGATGTGAGAAAGCACCAGCTCTCGTCGGGCGAGCCAGCCCTGGTGTGCCAGACACCACCGACGCATATGACGTTCGACGCTGGCCCAGGAGCGTAGGGACTAGGGGTGTGGGAGTGCCACCCGTGGACGAGTCTCCTGCGAAATGCTGGAAGGGATTCGTCATGGTGCAAGAGAAGGACCCGACGAGGTCGAAGGCGAGGACGGCGAGGGAGGGAGACGACGAGGAGAGGGGTCAGAGCGGGACCTGCAGAGTGAAGCGGTGGTGCTTCTGCTTCTGCTGCTGCTGCTCTGGTGCTCTGCTTCTCTGGTGGTCTCGAACCCGGGCTGCACCGCTGGCTCAGGAAGGTTCGGGTTTTGGGACGAATGGAGAGCTCTATAGATTAGGAATATATCGACCAAAAAGGCCAGCCCGTTCGTTGTTGTGTCCGGTCGGTCTGTCGGTCGGTCGTCGGTCGTCTAGCAAAGGTCACCTCGAGACGGACGCACTGGCACAAAGTGTGAGGTGTGCCCCCCTTTGAAGCGCCTGGGGCGACCCTACACTACGTGGGTGTCGTCGCTATGTCATAGATTCCGCAAACCGGCGTCGTCCAGCTGAAAGCACGGGGCTACCTGATGTTGCCAGGCGCGGAGATCGCTATATTATCGATCTCGTAGACAAAAGTGGCAAAGCTCGCTCGCTCGTCGGTTGGCACCCTCGAGGTGATTTGTTGCGCAAATGGCGAGATGGCCGGCTCGATGGTTGCTTGGGTTTGTTGCTGAATTCCCAATCAATCACGAACGGTCGGGAGGCGTCAGATCGGGTAGGCTGGCACGGATGTCTATTTGGGCTACCCTGATCGTTCCGTCCAGGGCAGTTGTCCACTGTTATCTTTGGGGGTGCAAAGCTGGGGGGCTTCCCCAGCACTTGTCTCAGGCAGGCTTGTCAGCAGCCCACAGTGGCTCAAGAGTGCTCTAGCGATGCCTAAATGGTCACTAGAGACGCTTCTGGAGAAAGACTGAGGTGTGCTACAGGTATCCGCCCGTAAGGTACCGCAGGTGGTCATCAGAACCGCATTGGCTCCACAAATGTATGCAGCTGAGGGGCAGCCTGAGCTTATGTCCAGTGAGGCAAAGGCGGACAGAAGCTCTAACCTGACGGCCTCAGGCATTAAAGCGTCACGCCCCGCCCCTGCCCCCTTTCAGAGGTAATCCGGACTTGCCTTATTTACCTTACCTAAGCTACTACTAACGGCTGCATAACGTGATTCGCCAGTAGGCAGGCGCAATTGTTCAAAACAGTCCTCCATTCGGAGTGCCAAGTGGAGCACCGCCTGCCTGCCCACGTCACCTTACCTAAGGCAACTTACTCACTCAACCTGCTGAAAGACTGTTGACGAGACAACAAGCTGTTACAAGACCGCGTTCGAGACAGACCGGCTTCGCTCAGCAATTCATACCCGAAGCCCAGGCAGGCAACCGCAGCGAAGCCGCCGCCCTTTGGTCATGCGGGCATCCCGTCCAACAAACGGGGCTATGAGATTGTTGTGCACGGCTCGCGAGTCATTTCCGAATTGGCTACATATGTGACTGTGAGGGGGAGGAGGGAGGAGGGAGGAGACAGAGAAATCGTTGGGGATTTCGCCTTCGCTTCAGCTGCCATCGCAATATCCTACCTCCGCTCTGGGGCAACCTTGGTAGGCCTTGACTGCGTGGCATCACCAGGGCAATCAGCCGCCAACGCGTCACAAGGCAGGCAGCTGCAGTCTCAACCCACAGCAGAAACAAGCACAAATGTAAAAGTCTATTGGTGTTCGACGCTTCAATAACCCATCCTACTGATGTGCCCACAACCCTCTGAAGGCATGGTAGTGTACAGCGTGCCGAACATTGCCGAACAAACAGACTACCGCAAATTTGAACGCCAGCCAAAGCCCTATTCGGCGGAGGCAATGATGATAAAACAGAATACCTTCCCAGATCCCCAACGCCCGGCAAGCCGGCCAAGCACTCCAATGGCAGAGCCAGGCAGTATACAGTGGGTTCCTATCCTTTTCCCGCCATCCGTGTAACGCCTAAGCCCTCTTTGTATAACAACTAAAATGAACCGGGACTCCAAGCGTGTCCCGTCGAAAGTGTCTGTAAAAAACAAAATGCAAGATAGTAGGTATGAATCCCAGGGGGTGGATCCCAAAGGTAATCATGCAGCCGCAACGGCGAACGGCGCCGGCGAATTGGCAGCGGCCACACTTGGGGCGCTCTGCATCTCAACATCGGCTCCGTTGTTGCTCGCGTCGCTCTTAACTTGGCTGTTGTCTTCCTTGTTCTCCTTGCTGCTACCCTCGGCCGATGCCGGAGTAGAGTCGTCGATTGAGGACTCTGGCCTGGGCTTGGGCGGTGCGACCCATCGCGGAATCTCCCACACGACGCCCGTGAAGCTCTTGAGGGTGAGGCCTCCCTTGGCCCACTTCCGGCACGGCTTTCCAGACCGATCAAGGGCTCGGAGGCCTGCGTTGATAGCTCCCTGGTTCGCCTTGGGCCCGAGCTTGTGCGCAGCCAGGCCTCCGCCTCGGCCACCCTCGATGGTTCCGTCTTCTCTGTGCATATGGTTAGCATCGCATGTATGACAGGAGACCCAAGAAATTGACATGGGCAGAGGGGGTAGTCGACTCGGGGCGAGGATGAAGGAAGCGAACGCTTGGTAATTATGTCCACGATGACGCGTAAAAGATACTTACAGCCTCTGCTTCTTCTTGGGGCCAGGCTTTCCGCGAACCTTAGGCTCGCCGTTGCCAATCGCAGCAGCGCCAGCGCCTCGCTTGACGCCCTTCTTCTTCGGTCCGTCGGCAGGCGGGCCCATGATAGAAGGCTGAGCCGCGGGCGTGCCGGCAGGAGTGTTCGGAGTCGAGTCCGACGCGTTCTCTGTGTTTGAATTCGGGGCGGCAGGGAGAGTGGTTGATGTGGCGGGAGACTCCTTAAGCTCACGCACTGGCGTCTCTTCTTTGACCGAATCGGGGTCGACGATGGCTCGCAGCCTCTTGGGCGTCGTCTTGAGGGAGACGATGAGGCTGGGCTTGATTGGGCTTAGACTTGTTGTGATGCTGGCCGCCGTCGCGTTGGACTTTCGACGGTCTTTAGGCGCAGCGGCGTTCTTGCCGGAAGGAGGCATGTTAAGGTAAGCTCAGACGCGAGAGACAAGTTTGCCGTCGATGAGGGCCGACGAGGTTTTTTGTTGTTGACGATGACCGAAAATGGGGGCAATGGAGAGGCGATGTGGGAAAGAGTGTTTGGTGAAGGAGGAAAATTTGCTTTGTCACAATGATGCTTTTTGGGGGATCGTGTGTTGGTGCCTTTGGCTCTGGCTGCTGGGTCGGTAGTTAGAAGGGCGATCCACTGGTCGGCTGGTGCGAAGGGGCGGGCGCACACACAATCAGCTGGGGTGAGAATCAACCATCAACTTTTGGCGTTGCACTTTATTATTCCGCGTCGACGTCGACGGGCGAGGCAGAGGGGGATGATGCGATGGTGTTGAGCATCAGGGTGGGTGGTGCACTGGTGATGATGGTGATGGGGAGTAGGATGAAGAGGTTTGTAAAAGTTTTGGGGCCTTCGCAGCCATGCTGAGGCGGCGGGCGTGCTGTTTTGCCTTCATGCCCTCTGGCAAAGAATAAGGTCGGGTCAGGTCGACTGGACTTGTTCGCACGAACCGAGGGGGACTGCGCGCGCGGAGTCTCTCCAACAAGGGATCTCGTCCCTTTTTTTCTGGATCCTCTACTGTAACCCGAACCCTAAGTACCTGTGTACTGTCAGCCCCGGCTCGACCCGCCAATCACCGCGCGTCCAGCAAGATTACCACAGGTTTTGGATCTGCCAAGGCTGTGTCAATGTATTTCCGTACTCGACACTAGCAACAAGGTGGATGTTGCAGGTTGGCGGTCTGTCTGTCTGGCTGGGGATGGGTGCTCGGCTCTCTCTGTTCTGTCCAGTTCAGTTCAGTTCCGCCTCGAGCCCGCCTGCCTGCCCGTCTGCGTCCCTGCCTCCGCAGCCTCCGTCGTGCCTTCCCTCGCGACGCCTAATCTACTTTTGAGGCCGTATTGCGTGGCAATCTGCACTTGTCACTCGTCACTTGCCTCGCTCCCATTCCCTCCCTCTCCACTGTCGGCCCACCCAACATGGATTGCCCAAACCATTTTGGCTTCACCCGTGCCGAGCACCAGCACCTTTGCGTACAGTAGAAAAGTCGGCCAACACCAACCTGGAAATGGCGATGGCTGGGACGCTCGCCCCGACTCTAGCGCGAAGAAGCTCAACATCCTCAACTCAAGGCATCCGTGGCTCGGCACGTTAGGTCTGACCCCGGTATCCGTACTCCGACTGAATACGGACAAGACAATCCATCCTTTCTCCCGTTCGGTCAATTAGCTATAGTCGTTTACTCAAACATGGAATCAATCTGCTCTCCCCCGTGTTCCGATGTGCCGCTCGCTCGCTTTTGTTCCCGCCCAGTCAAACCGACCAAGTGGACGACGATAAATGCGACCCCAAAAGGCCTGATCCAAGTGGCATACATGCCCGCCGACATGGATGGACGATAATAATACTTGGATACTAATAAGCGTCACTTGCGCCTGCTCACAACAGCCAGACAGCCAACGGCGCCCCTCCCCCTCTCCTCTCTCCCCAACCCTTTTCCTCTCGGAAATGCCAATGTGCACGGGAGCCTACAAAAATGCGCGGATGGTGACACTGGCTGGATCACAGCCCGCCTGCAATTGATCAGCATCAGCAACACCCACTTTTCGACGGTGGGAGATGGCTGTTTCAGACGCCGCAAGCCCTTGGAACTGTTACCCAGCCCAGCCCAGCCGAGGTACATTGCCTTCGATCAACTGTCTTTCGAGGAGCAAGAGGATTAATTGCCAAGGCCTCAACAACTCCAAGGCCAATCTCTGTTGTACAAATGGGATCCTATACAAATACGGATAACAGCTGGCGTTTTCGTCCCAACTGCTTCAAAAAGATGGCATCAAGACACGTTATATTGTTGATGCCGAGTAAGTATGAGCAGCCACAGACAACCAACATTTCGCTAGCCCAGCCCGTGGAGCGTTCCTGGCCATTGTCGGCGACCCTCCCTCTCGTCCTGTCTCATTGCCTCCATCCTTTCATCGTCCACGCCAACCACAAGTGTGAGCCACGGTGGCATCATTCCCCGGCATCACGTCTTGTCAGACATGGCGGGACGTTCCGAAGAGCATGGAGGCTTTTTGCATTCCAAGAGCCTGATAGCCCCTAACACCGCACGCCGACACGCGGCAAAGGCACCCGGCTCCTCCACGGCCTGCCCCGGGTGTTGCAAGGCCAACCCGCGATGATCGACTGCAAAGGGTGGCACCGGAATTCCTTATCTCAGGGGAATGCGAATGTGTTGCTAGGGATTGTGGCCGGCTTCTAGCTCCCTTCCTTGTCCAGAATGGATGATTATATAGGTGTCCGCGAGCTGGCCGACGAGCTGAGATAGCCAAGCTGGAAACCACATCTGTGCGCCGAACAGCAAGATGAATCACCTTGCTTTGTTCGCTTCCCTCGTCCTCCTAGACTCTTCCGCCTACGCTAGCCGGGCCGGTCTTGGAAACGTCAACGCTCAAGCCGGGCGAGGACTTTTGGGAGGCCTGGCATCTCTTCGGTTCTCGACTAGGTCATCGACATGTTGCTTCCTGCTGCGAATACCAAGGGAGAGGTAGGCGGAGCACCACTACCAGTCACTATTCCAGCACCACTCAGCACGTCTGCCAGACTGCTCGCCTCTCAAGTCTCTTCCCTGCTAGCCCCTGTTGTAAGTGCCTGAAGTGCCCCTGACGCTCTCGGATGGTGTAGGCATGACCTGGATCATTTCGGCGCTGATGCTTACAAGCATCTCTGGGCTTCCCAATCTACCTTCTCTCACTATTCCCCCCTTGACGTTGCCAACGATTCCCGGAATCAATTTGTCCGGCTTCCTCACCAATATCATTGGACCGATTCCGATGGGGCCTCCCAGCGTCGGCGTTGTCGGGTCTTTGATGTCTCAGATTGCCAGCCCGGTGACCTCGGTTCCCCCCAGCACTAATCTCGGAGATTGTCAGCCCTCTCCGGGGTGCATTGAATGGCAACGTCAGGTCTTTGGTGTCGGAGGTCATAGGCAAACTTCCTACTACTCTTCCAACTAGCATCATAGAGTGTCTGGCATCACAGGCCGTCGTTGCACTCCTAACCTCAGCCATTGAGTCGCTTGCCTCGCAGGTGATTGTCGAAATCCCGACAGCTGTTGTTGGTGACGTTGCCTCACAGATTGTAGCCCAGATCCCCTCAGCTCTTGGCAGTATCGTCTCTGAAGTTCTCGGCCCACTGCCAACAGCTATCGGGGGGGGGCGTTGTCTCCCGGGTTGTCAGCCCGCTTCCGTCTGTCATTGGAGGTGTCATCTCCCAAGTGTCTCAAATCGTCGGTCCCCTTCCCACCGCAGTTGGGGGTCTTGTTGGGTCGTTGGCATCGCAGGTTATCGGTGCACTTCAGACGGCGGTCCCCACAGGTCTTGTCGGCTCTCTTGCGTCACAGGTCGTCGGCGCGCTTCCCACAGTCTCGCTTGGGGTTGGAGCTACCTTGTCTGTCGGCAGGCCATCCGTCTCCTTGGTCAACCTCGGCCCGTTGCCGAAGGTCTCGATTCCAAACGTAATACCGACTGCCATCGCCAACCTAATTAGCGCCTTGACATCGTACTTCTTCAACCCCCGGGCCGGGGCGAACCTAGCAGTTTACTTCAGCCAGTCAGGCGCCACAGCCACCGCAAGCCTGGTTGCGCAGTGCGCGGATCCGAACGTCGATATCATGGTCCTGGGTTTCCTGACATCCATTTCCTACAGAGGCAGCAGCTTCCCGCAAATACAGCTCAGCCCGGCGCTGTCCGGCACCCAGACGCCACTGATGTCGTTCCTCGCGCCAGGCCTCGCTTACTATGCCACCCTTGAGTCTGAGACCAAAGCGTGCCAGGCCTGGTACGGCAAGAAGGTGCTGCTGAGTCTTGGAGGTGCCGGCTCGAACCTCGGCCTCAGTTCCGACGCCGAATCTCTCAACTTCGCCAACACGCTCTAGGTGCTGTTCGGGGGTTTCCATCTGCCCACGAATACCGCGAGCACTTTTGTCAAATCAAACATCCTTAACGTGACGCTATATTCATCTATTTATGTAGATCAGTTGGTATATCTATGTATGAACAAAACGGGCTGTCTAGTTCAAAACAAGCGACCGAGATCAGCGGTTCTTTGCTGGAACGCCTTGATCCATCTTCACCCTCCAAGCAGGGCCGCGCTTCCGGAGGGCCCATATAGCCAGGTTTCCCGTGGTCCAGGCCAACAGTCCAATCATAGTACACAGCCAGCCGTTGCCCATTGCATTGATAAGGGGTTGAGCGATGATGCCGCCGACGCACGAGAAGATGTTGCGGACAAAGTTGTTTACGGCAACGCCGCTGCTGCTGCGCTGCGGCATGAATTCGGTCAACATGGTAGTACAGGCGCCAAATACGAGCATGCTACCACAGCCAAAGAAAAAGTTTGCGATGCAAGGCACTATCCACGGCAGGCCGCGTTCAGCGCTCCACCCGTACCAGATCAGGGCGCCAGGGTACATTGTCGCGGCCAGCCACATGTTCTCGCGCATGCGGTCCTCGGGCAAGAAGATCAGCTTGCCCTCGCCATCGTACCGGTTGGCCTTTTTCGCCTCGCGCGCCATGATGTAGTCGATCCAGCGCCCGCCAATGACCGACGCGACCACGTAGCCCAGCGACGGCGGGAGGTACAGCAGACCCACGATGATGGTCGAGAAGTCGTAGGGCGGCTTATCAAAGCTAGACGAGATGGAGATGTTCAAGACGAAGAGGGAGCAAAAGCAAATCGAGGCCGAGTAGACCGTTATCAACACGGCCGGATATCTCAGGTAGACGAGCACCTGGAGCGGATCGACAAAGAAGCGCCTGAAGGCGGCACCTGCCTTCTTGACAGGCTGGGCCGTCGTCACCCGCTGGAGCTGGGATAAGGGGGGAGCGGCAGCGTTTGGGCTAGGGAGGGGCGAGAGCTTCTTGCGCTTGGCCAGTGTCTCGGGGAGGCAAAAGAAGATCATCGGCACCATGACACCTCCGTAGATGGTGAGGAACCACATGGTGGCTCGCCAGCTGAAGGCCTGAGTCAAGGCTCCGCCAATGATAGGAGCTAAAAGAGGCCCGGTCAGGGGGCCAAGATAGAAAATGCCCATGGCCTTGCCGCGCTCTGCTGGCATCCAGATATCGGCAATAGTGCCAGCTCCAACGGCCTGGACAGATGCCGAGGCCCCGCCGCCAAGGATGCGCATGATGATGAGCATAGAGATGTTGACGCTGATTGCGCTCAGGACGGAGAAGACGACAAAGAGCGAGAACGAGACAAGGTAGATGGTCCTCCGCCCTAGCGTCTCGGAGAAGGAAGACCTGAGGATGGTCAGCCCATGTGTTCTGGACGGAAAGAGAGAGAAGGCAAAACTGAACTCACCACCACAGCGGAAATATGGACATTGCCAGCATGTACATGGCCACGGTCAGGTTGGTAATGGTTGTCGTTGTGTTCAGATCGACAGCCATCTGAGGAAGCGCAGCTTCACGTCGTTTTGTTAGCTCAGCCCAGAGACAGTACCAAGAAGGAAAAACGCTGAAACTCACGGTAGAATATGCCAGAGCCCATGGGAGCAGCGGCGGCTGCTAGGGCAATGACGGCGGTGATGGCCCATTTTGTGCCGTTGGTGTAGTCATAGGGGGACTCAATCTCGGGGATGATGGCGAAACGGCCAAAGAGACCCCGGCGCTTTGCCCGCGGGACGACCCGAGAAGTGTTGGCAAAGCTCGTGGTGCGTTGCCGCTGCGCTTGGCTAGCCCTGTCGTTATCCGGGACGGAGTCTTCATCCTCATTGCCGCTCTCTTCAGACGGCGATACCACACCATCATTGCCGTGGGTTTCGTGATGTGACGACGCGAACTTTTCGGCCATGGGGTCGTCCTGGACCCGGACCTGGCCTGACTCTTGATCGCCACCAGCCATGTCTTGGAGGTCACTATGCTGCGACTTTGGAGGTTAGGTGATGGTGGTGGCACGCAGTTATGAGGCTGGAATTTTCAACGCAACCATGGGAGGCGGCGTGCGTGCCAAGGTTGGTTGTATAAACAAGTACAGATGAAGGTAGTATTCCGAGCCAGCTAGCTAGAGCTAGGTAAGGTTGGCAATATAAGGTAGAGAAGGTAAAGTAGACTGGGAGCTGCCTCAGCCCTAAAGGCGGCGAACGCACTAGCAGTAGAGAAGGAACACAAGAAGGGGGATGGTGAAGGTTGAGAGAGGAAAACATGTCGGAGACGACTCGGGATTGGAAATCAAGAGCATTAAGACCAAAAGAGCATAGGACACGAGCCCGGAGTGGACACGGGAGCAACCCGTCTCTCTCCATCTCTATGTCCCTCGCTCGCCCTGTGAGTTCGTTTCGGGCGGAACAAGGTTAAGGTAGGTCTGGGGGATGAAAGGCAAGGCCGGCTCGACGTTACAACACTACCCACCCTAGAACCGGTGGGGGAAGGAGCCAGCCGGTTGCCCCCATGGCGGGGGAAATGGATATACACAGTATTTCCTGGTGGGGCCTTCCGCGTGAGGAAACAAGCTTTGGTTCCGCATGCAAAGAATATGCATTGTATATTTGGAGACCAGGAAGAGAGGGGGAGATGGACGGGGGGTTGTGGAGGAGGTCTAGGGTCGTTGCTGTCGCTGTCGCTATTGATGCGTGCTGCACCGGAACGAGAAAAGGAAGGAGACGACAAGGAGGTCTGACCCCCGGAGAGCGAAACGGTCGTGACAGCGCAGCGGGCCCGGCTATTCGGCAGTTCGCCATGGCTTGCACACAGCGCGTCATCCCTGATCCGAACGTAGCTCGTTGCGCTACTCCATACGTGGACTCAGTATCTTGCTAGTCCACGGCTACATGGAGCCGGCTAGCACCTCCTCGACTTCCGACCTTCACGTTCCCCGCCTTCCGGTAGGCTGCATGGCTCGGGCCCGCTCCGGCAGCCAGGCCAGGTCCTCGTGGAAACCTCGGTTACCCTTGGTCGGGGGGTGGTCGTCGATATATTTGATCTCGTGTTTTAGCCTTGCCAAGATCACACAATCACCACGATTTTCGGGACGGTCTTGCTTGCGGCCAAGCACATAACACCGCTTACGCCGCTTTCTCGGGTTATCGAGTAGTTCCCCAATTGGCATCCGTAAGCATCATAAGGCTCGGCTCGTGACCTACAACCTCGTCGGATCTCGATTTTGATCTCGACTTACCTGGTACTCCAAGTACTCCAAACCACCAGCTCCCGTCTACATCGAGATTCCCATCTACTTAAGGTCGCATCCCTTGGATCTGCCGTGCTTGTCATAGTGTCAAGAACCAACAAAATGGATATTATGAACATGTTCTTCGTTTCTCCGCATTGGGGCCCTATTTACTCTTAGAGTTTTTCCTTTCTCTGAATCCATGGAAGTTCAATGGCCTAGTATGTATTCGCATCCTGCTTAAAGTCCACACAGACGATTGCGACAACAAACAGTCCTGAGCGTGGGAACAAGGCCCGTTTCCAGAACATCACGTCGCCCAATGATATTCTCGCTGCTTCTCACCTACTTCACCGTCCGATTCGTCGGCGCATTTTCAATAGATCAGCACCAGCATACTAACACTATCAAGACGGGAGATGGCGTCCGCCTAAGGTATAACCAGACGGGGCCGAGAAACGGCCAGCAGCTACTCTTCGTCACGGGATGGCGCCAGGCCGCAGTGGAATGGCGCAAGCAAGTGGAATGCTTCTCTTCGGTCGGCTTCCGGGTCACCACGTTCGACATGCGCTGCCATGGCGAGTCCGACGAGCCCGGTTTTGGCTACCGCGTCAGCCGCTTCGCCGCCGACCTGAACGATGTCCTGACCCAACTCGACGCCAGGGACGTGACCGTCATTGGACACTCCATGGCAGTCACGTGGGCGTGGTGGGACCAGTATCCCGACGCCCGCAAGCGCGTTGCCATACTCGTCTTGGTCGATCAGACGGCCGACATTTTCAGAGACTCGAGCTGGACCGACGCGCAAGCAGCTCTGATCTCGGCCATCTTCACCCCCACGCAGTCTATGACTTGTACGCCGACATACTAGCAGGTCAGCTCGAACCGCTCGCAAGAGGCATGTTTACCTCATCCGTTTCGGAAAGCAACTTCGAATGGGTCTTGTCGCAGAACAAGAAGACGAGCGTCGTAAACGCAGCCGCTCTGTTACTCGATCATTCATTCTGTACTCCCGCGCATCACTGTCCCGAATTTGGTCCTAGCGGGAGAAGTGAGCGTCTTTCCGCATGCTGGAATTGAGTGGATTGCAACACAGATCCCGGGCGCCCGGAACTATACCTTCACGGCTGCCGAGAAGGGCAGCCACTTTGTGTTTTGGGAGAATCCTGAGAGGTTCAACTATGTGCTTCTGGATTTTCTTAAAGCTAGACGCTGAACAAGGCAAGGCAGCGCTGCCCATTTCGGAAAGGGGACCTCCACCCCGAACCCAAGGCAACTGTATCTATGCGTATCTATGGAGAACCTTGGTAAGCTAAACACTGGTTGGTATTCTTGCACGACCTATCACAACACAGGCGATTTAGCTAGTAAGCGGGCAGTATAACCTTGCCTATATTCGTAGAATCTAAAGCTAAGGAAATGAGAAGAAAAGAGAAGGAAGCTATCTCAGGGATGGGGAAATAGGCTGTGATGCGAAGTGAAGCGAAGTTTACAAAGTACAGTATCCGACGCAGATCTTAAAACACCTGTTGTTGAAACCCCTAGGTACGTGGAAAGTAGCCCGGTGTTACAGCGCTTTGAGATGCAACAAAAAGGGGGAAGTTGTGGCCCGCTTGTTATCCCTCTCAAACCATGAAATTACATTTCCAGGAAGAGGCTGAGATGGGGAAAGACTCGGGCAAGGGACGAGAGTGGGAGAGATGGAATGGAACTCGGGGTAGAATCGACATTGACACATTTGGAGCTTAAGGCTGTTTGACTCACACTCAGACCAACACCCCCCACACCACTATCATTCGCCACCCCACTTTTTGATCTTGAAGGGTGAGAGGAAGGGACGACGGCGAACTGCGCAACACACTCTGGCAAGAACAACTCACAGCGACGACCTGGTACTTACTCGGGTATTACGTACAAAGCTGCTGCACTAGGAAAGAAGGACCATAGGAGAACAGCCCGTGCGACCTAGATCTTGCACCCTGCCTTGATTCGGTTTCAGAAAGAGAGAGGGACAGGGCAGACAGACCCCGAGAAATGTCGCTCACCAATGCGTCGCCCTCGGAGGCGGCCATGGCGGCCAGGTCGGCCTCGCACGTCCTAGCCACGCTGCCGGCATCGGCACGCAACGACGCCCTGACGGCCATGCACGCCGGACTGGTGGCCGCCCGCGACGACATCCTCGCCGCCAACGCCCGCGATCTGGAGCTGGCCCGAGCCGCCGCCGCCGATGGCCGCCTGAGCCAGAGCCTCGTCTCGCGCCTCGACCTAGGCAAGAAGGGCAAGTGGGACGAGATGCTGCGGGGCATCCTCGACGTGCGCGGCCTCGACGACCCTGTCGGCCGCGTCACCCTGCGCACCCGCCTCGACGACGGCCTCAATCTCGAACGCGTGACGTGCCCCATCGGCGTGCTGCTCATCATCTTCGAGGCCCGCCCCGAGGTCATCGCCAACATCGCCGCCCTGGCCGTCAAGTCGGGCAACGCCGCCATCCTCAAGGGCGGCAAGGAGTCAACCGAGTCCTTCGTCGCCATATCGCGCGCCATCTCGGCCGCCCTCGAGCGCACCCGCGTCCCCAACGCCGCCATCCAGCTCGTCACCACCCGTGACGCCATCCCCCAGCTGCTCGCCCAGGAACGCCACATCGACCTCGTCATCCCTCGCGGGTCCAACGAGCTGGTGCGCTACATCAAGGGCAACACCCGCATCCCCGTTCTCGGCCACGCAGACGGCCTCTGCTCCATCTACCTCGACGAAACTGCCGACCCCGAGAAGGCCGCTGACGTCGTCGTCGACGCAAAGACAAGCTACCCAGCCGCCTGCAACAGCCTAGAGACACTGCTGGTGCAGGAGAGCGCTCTCTCTACCGTCTTCCCGCGGTTAGCGGCCGCCCTAGCTAGCAAGGGTGTCGAGCTCCGGTGTGACGCCAAGAGCAAAGCCGCGGCCCTGTCGGCTGTCGGCGACGTGGCTGGCGCTAAGGTGGTTGACGCTGCTGAGGCCGACTACGACACCGAGTTTCTCGCTCTCGTCCTGGCCGTCAAGACGGTCGCCGACGCGGACGAGGCGGTGGCCCACATCAACGAGCACGGCTCACATCACACGGACGCCATCCTCACCGAGTCGTCCGAGCTTGCCGAGCGCTTCATGTCCGCCGTCGACTCGTCGGGCGTCTACTGGAACGCGTCGACGCGCTTCGCCGACGGCATGCGCTATGGCTTCGGCACCGAGGTTGGCATCAGCACCAACAAGATTCACTCGCGCGGCCCCGTCGGTCTTGAGGGTCTGATGATCTACAAGTACAAGCTCCGCGGCGCTGGCCACGTCACAGCTGTCTACGGCGAGGGCGAGGGCCAACGCCGCTTCAAGCACGAGAGCCTGCCTCTGGAGCAGTGAGACAGAAAGACGTCTAACAGAGTTCTTGAGACTATGATTGCTCCGTGCATGATGTGCGTGCCGGACTTTCGTAAAGCAGAGGAAATCAGACGAGCATTTAAAAGGGGGCCATGATATCTCCGCGGATTTGGTGTTATGAGAGTAGAAAAAAGCGAGCTTTGAATTTGGATATATGTGTATTTAACGGCTGGTTCTCTTCCCTGCCACTGTAGGCGATGAATCGATGAATCGAATATGAAGAAAGAAGATACCGTCTTGTCAAATATGACTGAAAAGAAAACGGCAAGCAAAGGGGCGTAGCCACCTCCGCTGTCCACCTCGTCTTACACCCACGAAACACAAACAAATGATAAAGGGGCGGCGTGGACATGACCGGAACAACCCGTTAAGGATGCAGGCAGACCCTAAACCAGCCATTGGATCCATGTTTAGTGTACCTATACTGCACCGCCGTCTTTAAAGCCTGCATGCGACCAACTCCCACCCGCTGTCCCTTCCCTCGGAACAACCGCAGCAGCCACTCCAAAGGCTGTACACATCATAGCTATGGCATCTCCTTCAATCAGTGCAGATCAGACAAACAAGTCGGGGCCTGGACCATCTCAGGCCATGCCAGTGTAGTCCCGTCAAGGAGGAGGTTGTCAAGTCACGTCATTTCATGCCACGTCATGTAAAATACACTACCTGGCTGGCAAGTCAAGTCAAGTCATGAAGGGCAGTTGAATGGGGGTTCTTTCTTCTTTTGTGTTGTCTCCGGCGGCCCTCCGGGGGCGCCTGGGGCGGACTGCTCGCTGCGCTCGAAAGGCGTTCTTCCTTTCTTTTCTTCCTTCCTTTCCCCTTGTTAAAGTCTCGGGAGGAACTTTTCTCGTGATTTGAGTTGTAAAACTGACCGATTAGTCCCCAGCCGAGAAACCTTTCGAGTTAGAAGTGTACATAGTTGAGAGAAGAAAGCTGAGATGAACAGAGCCGCTGAAGCCACTGTCAGCGAGCTTGCAAGCCGAATGGTAGTGTAGGTGGTGGAGAGAGGGAAAGAGAGGTAGGTAGGAGGTATGGTACGTGAAAGCCAAGTGTGTAGGTGCTGTACCTACCGTAGATAGATATGTAGATAGATACGACCGTCCACCCCCTTCACGTCACCTCCACATCACCATCACATTAGGGATAGAGAAAGAATGGAAAGAAAAGGACATGAGATAAATAAATTCATCAATCAATCCAACATGCAATTCGTTTACCCTGTTCTCTCTCTCTCCAAGGGGGAGGGGGGCAAGTCTAAGCGGTCTAATCTGTTCGTCCGTCTGTCCGTCCGTCTGTCCGTCCGTCCGTCTGTCCGTCCGTCCGTCTGTCCGTCCGTCCGTCTGATTGCCTGTCTGTGTTTCTGTGTTTCTGTCTCCATACTTTCTTTCCTTCGTCTCTCTCTTGCTTGGTACCTAGGTAGGTAATCAAAGCAAAAAAAGGCAAGTTCAGAAAGAAGGAAGAACGAAGAAGGGAGGGGAACTAGAGCCAGAGCCAAACAAAACGACCACGACAGCGACGACAAACGCCAGCCACAACAGACAAGACAAGAGAGAAGGGACAAAATCCACCACACCACATCACACCCCTACCCCTATACATCCGTCCGACTGTCTGTCTGTCCACTGCCCGTCAATTCGTAAGAACCACGACAAGAACAACTACCCCTACCAATCAAACTATTGGCTAGTCGTGACACCCGCCCCCCATACCCCCAGCACATACATAAATAATTGAAAAAAAGACACCGAATATCAAGCCAAGCCGAACCAGCCCGAACCAAACCAAAAAGGGGTGAGGAGGGTGTCGGAGAGACATGGCCCCTCACCAAGAAGAAGAAACATACAATAGTTTTATAGAAAGAAAAGAAAAGAAAAGAATGAAGTTTAAAGGGTAAAGGTGCCAGAGCAAGAGCAAAAGCAAAAGCAACCTCTCAGTCGCCGCCGCCGCCTCCGCCTCCGCCCGCACCGCCCCGCGGGCCTCTGTAGCTGCCCATGCGCTCGATAGAGTTCATGATGCCACTGCGCATGGCGAGGCCGCTGCCGGGGCGGGCGCCTGCTCCGGCGCCGGCTCCGTTGCTTGCGTTCTGCGCGACGTTGCTCCTGGCGCGCTCGTGGTGCGAGAACCTGCCGATCTTGCTCTCGACCTTGACGCCCGTGGTGCCGGGGGCTCTGAGGCCCGACGAAGCGCCGCTAGCGCCGCCGGCCGGCCGGCCGCTGATGCTTCCCCTGAATAGGTTGTTGCTGCCGGTGCCGTTATGAATGCTGCCGAGGCTGATGTTCTCCGACTGGTGGTGCGTGGACCGCGCCGTCAGCGGCGTGTTGCGTACCGATGGCGGGGCGTTGCTGAACGACGAGCGGGCGGGTGTCCTAGACCCGCCGCTGGCGAGCATGCTGTTGCGGCGGTTGACGCCATTACCGGTACTACTATTAATGTTATTGGTGCTGCTGTTGCTCTCTGTGGGTGCGGGTGTCGGCGGTGCAGGCGCGGGTGGCGGTGGTGTTGGCGCTACAAAGCTCTGCTGCATGTTCATCATCTCCTCGGCGAGCTGGACGAGCTCGCCCTTCTCGACGCGCTCCTGCTCAAGCAGGACGCGGAGCTCGGCGTTGTCAGCTTGGATCGTCTTGACGACGGCCTCGAGCTTGTCGACCTCGGCCTCGCGCTCCCTGATCTGGGCCGCGCTGCGGGCCTTGTCTGCCTTGCGCTCATCCTCGAGCTCCGTGATGCGGGCTGGGTCGACGCGAGTCAGAGTGGCGTCACGGCCCATGCGCATCTCGTCGTTTTCGAGCGACAGCTCGTCCACCTGCGCCTGAAGCTCGCGCACCTTCTTGTCCCAGCGGTTCTCGTAGCTCTTTTTGAGGGCCGCTACCTTGGTCTCGTGCTTGCTCTTGTACAAGGCGTGGAGCTCACGGGCGACGCGCTCGACTGCCATTTCGACTTCCTTGTTAGAGGCGCCGGCAGCTCCCAGCGAGCTTCTGTTGGCGTTAGAGCTCTTGTCTGACGAGTCCGACGCCGCCGCCGCCGCCTCTGCGCTGGCCTTGCCGGCCCGCATGCCCGCCATCTTGCTCTCGGCGTCTTGGGCCATCATCTCGGCGGCCTCGCGGCGCTTCTCGGCCTCGTCGAGCTTAAATTCGAGCTCCTCACGCTCGCGCCGGCCCAGCACAATCTCTTCCTTGACCTTGCGCAGTACCGTCTCCATCTCGCGCCCGCGCTTCTCCCAGCTGTCCCGGTCTGCCGTCAGCGATTCTTGGAGGCCTTGCACTTCGCGCAGCTGCTCCAGGCACTCGCCTACGCGCTTCTCGGCATCGCCAACAGCCGTCTTGAGAGAGTTGACCTCGGCCTCCTTGCCGCTTAGCGACGCCTTGAGGCTGCTGATCTCGGATAGAAACCCTGACTTGAGCGACTCGAGCTCGCGCGGCGTGATAGTGGGCAGGCTGCGTGGCGTCGGCATGGGCGGGATATCAAAGTCGAGGAGGTTGAAGCTGTTCGTATTTGTGCGCTGTGGTGTTGCCGCAACGTGGGGTGTGGTCTTTGACGACGGGAAGCGGCCTTCGCGCCGCGAGGGAGATATCTGGGGCGGGAAGCCGCCGTAGCGAAACTGCTCGGTAAAGTCCATCAGGTTCGTCGTGTTGCCGGCTTCGTATGGCGGCGGTGGCGCTCCGGCAGACCGGTCTGGCAAGGGTCCGCTGGTGCGTGGAGTCCTCACCGACGACACGGGGGTCTCGCCTATTGCGGCGCGCGGTGTGTTTGTGGCGGCGAGCATGGCGAGTTTGGCCGGGCTCATGTTGCGCATCTGGGTCAGCATGGTCATATTGGGAACGGCCGAGAAGGTGCTAAAAGTGCTCATCATTGTGTCGTCAATGCCGCCAGGCTCGTCGTCATAGGCGGAATCGTCATGGTGCTGGCTGTCAAATTGCTGCTCCCCACGCCCACCCGTCAAGATGGTATCGTCGGCGTAGGCATTGGCTGCCGGGTCGGCTTCATTGGCACCGACAGGTTCTGTGTCGAGCAGGCTAGATTCGTCTTCAAATATCTCGATAGCGCGCTTCAGCCCGTTGTTCTCGCGCAAGGCTTCGTGGAGGCTTATCTTACGCTCGTCCCCGGGGGGTGGGGTCTCGTGGACCACCGGCGGCGGGCTGACCTTGACAGGGAACCGCTTGATCGGGGCCGACATTTTGCGGGGGCTCAGCAACGGCAGCGGCGGGGGTGGCATGGACTTTGCGGGCGACAACATGTCGCCGTCCTCGGTATCTGGTATTGATTGACGTGTTTGCGGCTGTTGTTGTGGCTCTGGCGGCGGTGGTGATTGTTGTTGTTGTTGTGACTGGTGCAGCGGCTGGGGCTGTTGTTGGAGTATCTTCAGGGGCGACAGCTCGCTGCCCGAGATAACACGAGAGGCCGGACGGAGGGCCTTGGGGGGCGAGGGGCCCCGCGGCGAGGGGATGTCATCTCTGACTTGCGACATGAAGGGAGAGCTGTCGCCTTCGTCGTTTTCGGCGTTGTCGGGGAGGGCATGCGTCGTGGTGTGGGAGCGGGCGTAGACGTCGTAGCGAGAGGTCACTGAGGGCGGTGTAGAGAAATTGAGGACGGCACTCGGCGTTGGCGATAGCGGCGCCGCCATTGTCTTTCAATAGGGGCCACACCACCAAATATTCACTTCGCCCGTCAGTCGCGCACCCTTGCCGGTCTTGCTCGTCTTGCGTCGGGGTATGCGTGCGAGTTGCAATGTGCCTGATTGCTGTCGCCAAAAAGGGTGGTGTGTGGTGTGTGGTGCTTTGTATTGTTAGTGGTGTAGTGCAGTGAGTGCTGTGATTAGTGGACGGAGAGGGTAGTGGGCGGTGCGAGCTTGGTTATTTGGGCCGACTGCCGCGTCGAGCTCGGACCCAGGTGCAGTGGCAGCGCAATAAGGTCTCTGGCGGCGTGCATTGAGCAATTCCGCGCTTGCTGTTTACGGCTCTGGCCGGGCAACCAAACCGCACCGCACGTGACCTCGTCCCCCTTACTCCTGCCCCCTTTAACCTCCAGTCTGTTAATCTCTTTCCGCCAGAGTCTCAATGCTCAAGCTACCTCCCGAGCTTACATGTTGAAGCAATCAGCCGGCGAACCATGGTTATCCCTAATGACGAGATCCACGACCTGGCGGCTTAAGGTAGGGAGAATTAGTTCCGAACAAAAAGTTTAATTATCAGTCCGCCCATTTCTGTACCTGGTACCTTAGGTAATTACCTCAAGGTACTGAACACCGGTGTTTCACCTTGACCAGGCATCTCGACCCGCAACGGCCGCTAAGAGACTGGAAACCCCCTGCAGCTCCTAATATGCTCCCATACAGAGCTGTGTACTAAAGACTAAAGGTGTCAACTACCTGATATGCACATGTTACAGCTTTTATGTGCATCAAGTTAGATCTCGACGAGATCCTAGCCAGCTTCTCACACCAAACTCAACAACTCCTCACGTATTTATCAGGGGCAACCATCCACCCAGGCTCCGAAGGCAATAATAACTCGGTTCAAATTTGCAGATTATGCTGGTAGATCAGGCTTCATTGGCAATTGATAAAAGTCTAGCTTCAGCCATCCCCTGTACCCAAGATGTTGAGGATGCTCTTTTGAGATTCCATCATAATTCGTTTCGTGATTGGAAGAAAACGTTTCCATAGCATCCACACCCCCCTCAGCTTTTTTTCAGAAGAAATAAAAACAGGCGGTCGTAAGCGTCATTAGCTAGGAAAGATAAGAAGAAAAAATAGGATATGCTTTTGTCCAGGGATCTCTCCCCGCGGCTAGCACCCCGCCATGTTGGATGCCCATGGCATGCGACATGCAACGGGGGTAAACACAAATGACACGACTGTCGTTCATCCAAGAGCGTGGTGTGTTGGAGGTGCAGTGGGGGGTGCAGTTTCGTGCAGTCGTCCACATGGCCCTCTCCTCGCCTAGAATCGTTACAGGCGTCTTCTCCGGCCACATGGTGGCCCGTCGACGTCGTCTGTCGTCTCTGTCGCCTCACCAGCCCGCGACAAGACCGCGTCGACCAACTAGTTGGTGCTCTTTAGTGATTAAGGTCCAACCCATGCAAACCATGAATCATCAGCCATTTACACCCATATCAGGACATCGAACAACAAAGAAGAAGTCGTAGCTCGTGAGCCTGTCCTGAACAAGGGCCGGAATGTCGTCTTGAACGAATACAAAGAGAATAACGGAGGAAAAAACGAGGCCAATGAACGAGTGGAGTCACGGCGCGGTGAAATAAACGACTCCGACCCTCAACAGCGCGATTCTTGACATCTGATCCATCATTTCTTTGGATCCAGGAAGCCGCAACGCCATTCGTTAAGTTGACGGAACACAAAAGAAAGATGATAAAAAAAGTTTGCTGGTCCGGCCACTGCGTATCTCATCATCTGCGTCGTTGCGCCGAGATGGGAGGCGCCGGTTGTGCCATTGGCGAGTTATACGTGGGCGAAGGCATGGAGCCGTCCAACATGGTCTTCCGACGCTTCGGGTCCAGGCCCATTGAAGCTCCGCCGCTCGACGGTCTGTCGTCCTCATCGTCCCGGCCACGCTTCATGCCCGAGCTGCCGTTCATGACAGGCGGTTGCGACGCATATCCGTTCTGCATCGAACTTCCCATATCACCCTGGCTGGCGTAGACGTCGCTTCCAGACGTGCCGTTAGACGACCCTCGGTCGTTGCTCATGACGCTATAAAGATTGCTCGAGGGTTGCCCGACGCGGGGGGGCGTGTGGTAACCCTGTTGCCCATAGTACGACTGGGGGGGTGCGGCCGTTCTGGGGGTAGCCCGCCCAGAGCCGGCTTGATGGGGAGAGCCAGAAATCTCGGGCGACAGATGGGCATGGTCGTTCGGTAATGAACTCACGGGGGGAGCGCTATAGTTATACGATCCACGATTTGCGTCATAGCCGCTGTCGTGCGTGTACTCGGCGTCGTGGTCATGTTCGGCCTCATCCTCGGGACCCGCGTGAGAAGATTCACCTTGATGACTTGCGTGCATCATGCCATTTGATGGCTTGCTCTCCGACTGCTCGCCGCCGGGACCCGAAGACCTGTTTGACGGTGGGCCCATCTCATTCTTGACATAATTGCCCTGTCCGTATATCGACCGGTCTTGGGGGTTGGAATTAGAGGGCGGATAGGGGGACTGCTGCGACGAAGGGGCCTGGTACATTGGCTGCCGCGAGCTGTCGTAGGGCTGGCTGACGGGCGGGTAGTTCTGCATACTTTGGATGCTCGAACCGGGTGGCGTGGTCGCCGGCGTATTGGGCAAAGAGCGCGCATTGCTTAGCCCGGTATCAATGGACATGGGATTAGCTCCCTGGCCATTATTGATGCCTTGCTGGGACCATTGGAAATTGTCAGAAGCACCCATGTTGCCCATCACACTTGAGGCACTAGTCGGCGGTGTGGGGAAGGTATGAGCTCGGTCTAGGTTAGGACGGCTCATTCCATGAGACGGAAGCTGAGGCTGCGGTCCAGGGAGCGCCATCGAATGGTGATGATGCTGCTGGATGGAAGGCAATCCCGGCTGTGGCGGGCCACCTCGCATCTGATTTTGGTCCTGCTTCCGCCGTTCTGCCGCGGCAGCCATGACCTGGCTGGTGCGGTTATGGTTCGTGGGGTGATACAGAAGAGAACCAATGTTGTGGACAAAGAGAGGATATAGCAGCTCGGTAATCTTCTCCTTGTTCGCAAAGTCCAGCGCTCTGTCAAAGGGGATCCTAGCATGTCTATTAGCGACGCATGCACGTTTCAGATATATAAACAAAACAAAACTTACCAAACACCTTTTAGGTGCATGGGTCCGATCTTCACGACATGTCGGACCTTTTCGCTTTTAAGAATGCCATCCCGACGACCACGGGTCATGCCAGCAACATTTAGAAGCTTGGTGCCGTTGATCATGTGGTTGTCTAGAAAATTGTCAGAAAAAGGACGGAGAAAATACTTGGCACGTCGCAAACTCACCCTCACGACGAGCAACGCATATCCCCCTCGCCTCGACCTGAAAGCACAGGCTTCCCTCGTCTTCCCACAGAGTTGCAGTCACACGCGGCTTCATGCCTGGCGGGACAACCTGACCAGTCGTGTCAAAGCCCTGCTGGTACGAGCTGGGAGCCATGCCGGGCTGGCTGCCTACACCTGGCAGCGGAAGAACCGGCTGCCCAGGACCCATGGAATTAGAGACAGCCGGAGGGCCCGTGGAGGGCGACGCGAGGCCATTGGAGTATCCGTACTGGCCGCCGTATGGGGCGGGAGGATACTGGCTGGGGCCAGGCTGTAATAGCGTGGGCTGCTGGTGGGAGTAGTGGGAAGTGACGGTCTGCGGCGGCGGCGCCGGACCCGTGGACATGTGCGGCTGGTAGTACATTTCCGGTCCTCCTGGGTTCATTGCTGGGTACTGCTCGTATCCTGCGGCGGCTTGGCCCTGTTGGCCAGGTATCGAGCTCCCGGAGGGAAGATTTGGCGAAAGGGGCCCTGGGGTCTTGGGGCCGAGGGACGAAGCTGCGGATGTGAAGGACGACTGGGAGCCGGTATTGGAGCTCGCTGCTGACGATATTGAGCTAACCCGGGGTGACGAACTACTCGAAGAGTATGCCTGTGGATGCTGCGGCAAAGGCAGAGAGGGCAATCTCTCGCTCACATACAACGGACGCTGGGCAGCGTGGGCGTTGTAGTAAGGCACTTCGGTCGGACCCCGGGTTTGCACTTGCGAGATCGACGGGAGATCCAGCTTTTCGGTATTTCCTGGAAACTCCGCAGGTTGAGTTTGCGATTGAAAAGTCGACAGGAGTCACACGCCGTGACTCTGTCGGACAGAAGATTGGGGAGTGCGCTTGGTGAAAAGCACCAGCGCTCTTTTACTCTCCAATTGGGCAGCGCCGAACAGCTGCTTTGGTTTGACTCGGGGCCAATTGGTCGCCCTGAAGCTTCCCAGAAGATTGCCGACGGGGTGAAACGCAGGTATGCGGTCTTTCGACGAGCTGTGGTGCGGAACGAACCTTCTTTTCTTCCCTTGTGCGGTCGGTCTGCTACTCGATCAAGCGGCAACACTGCTGTGGGATGTCATAAAACAAATAGACACAAGAAAAAAGTATTCTGGGGTATCGACAGAGCGCGCCGTGTGCTGTGCCCGAGGGAGTTCCTTGAGAATTTGTGGAGGCGTGACGACGGTGGAGACGCGGCGTCCTCTGTGCGACTGGTGTTGAGGTCGATGCTGCCAAGGGCAGTACAAGAAGAAGCACTGCTGCTGAGGGACGCGTGGAGAGAAATTGTCGATACAAGTCCAATCCCCCTTGCTGAAAAAAACGCCGGCCCAAAAGACACAACTGCCTCGCTTCACTACCTCTTTCTCAGCTCCACTTCTTTCGCCGACACGCGCACACTCTGTCTCTCGATCGTGTCTTCGAGGCTCTGGTCAACCGCATAAACTAGAGATACCGGGTTCAACGGTCTACTACTTATGCAAGTTCCGATTAGCTTCGAACTTCGGCGCGCAGCAAGATAAGACGACCGAGTAAAGCTTGTGGCAACAGCGGAATTTTTTTTACATGCGATCGCATGTTCCTGTGGAGAAGGGCAGAGCGGGGATGGAGGGGGGTGCGTGGCAAGATCAAGTCGTACCTTCCTCGCCTCTCAAACTTTCCTCTGAGAGAAAATTGACGAGGTCGGTGGATCGTGGGTGAGGAGAAAGAAGGAAGAGTGAGGAGAAGAAGGACAGCGGGAGACGGCTTGATTTAGGTGGTAGGCAGAGGTGGTGAGAAGGAAGGAGGCAGGTAGTGTGGCCGATCAGCCAGAGAAAACAGAGGCAGGCCCGGTCTCCCGTTCCGTCCTGGCTGGGTATAGGTACTGGGGGGGGAGGGGAGAAGGGGGGGCTGCCCGCGGTCCACTCTTCAGCCAACCAGTCAAGGGACAGAAAACAGTACCGGAAAGGTCTTAGATTAGAGAGAAAAAAAGAAAGGCACCATACCAGACGAGTAATCCATAGGTTGGGAAGGAAGGAACTCTAGGTCCAAGCAGGGTAGCAGTTTCCGCTTCGCGAAGACACGGACAAGCGAGAATAGAAAAGCGCAAAAATGCACAGAGCCAGGGCCCAAGCTAGGTAAGTTGGGGTTGGGGTTGGGGTTGGGAAAGAGGGAGGGGGTTGCTTGCTCGTTGCTTCTTACCCTCACTTCCTCACCCACTCTCATTGCAGCTCCGACTCTGGCTCTTGGCTTTTTAGTGCCGCCTTCCGCAATCTGGTGGTGGTTCTGGCCCTTGCCACCCGGTGCTGGGCCGGTGCTTGCTGGCTTGCCCTGCCCTGCTCTCTGCTCTTGCTCGCAAAGCTGGCAGCGAGAGAGGCAGAGGCAGAAAGTGGTCCCCCAGACGTGCCAGGATGAGCCCAGGCTAGCAATAGTTAGGGTGGGTTTGTTGTCCGGACCTGGCTTGACCAGGGATCAACTGGCGAGCGAATCTGACTGGAGGGGCTGGGATGTAGAGCCGGGGGGGGCGGGCCCAAGAGAGAGGGTGTGTGCGTAAGTGACCGTGTAAGTAGCCCTGGGTAGTACAGCGACTTGATGGACGCCAGTGGTCGCAGCGCCAGGGAGGCGTGTGGGCAGCTGGCTAGCGGGGGTGCGCCTGCGAGGTCGTACCGGGGAGGGGCCTACCTTAGCTGGAGCGGGGGTTAGACGGGCTTGACGGGGTTGCCTTACGTAGGGGGCAGGGCCTCGACTTTCCAAGCTGTCTGGCCGCCGAAGGGAGGGGGGGTGAGCGATGCAACGGGTTAAGAGTGTATTGGTACGTATTCGTACGGATACTTTGTAGGTACTCATGTATCAAATTCATACAGCAGACGACGGCCTCAGAGGAGCTTCATCAATCAAGGCTTGGCCCGCAAAAAGTTGTGCTGTCTGTCAGTGTGCACCAGCCGTCTAGACACTAGACAGCGAAACCATGTTCCTTGTGAGAGACTCAGATTTCCGAGAGTTATTTTCCTTTTACTCAGTAGCGTGGTCATCAGTCGTGCAGTGTAAAGTAAAGTCACCACCTCGGTAGTCGTCGGTCGGCATCGAACAGTGATGAGAGATGGCGGGGGAATCCGATCCCGGGTGAGGTCACTTCTAGCCAAGTTAATGCCCGAGTGGCCTTGAGTGTTTGGGTGTTAGGCTAGGGGTCGGCTTACACAGCACTAGACTAACTACACCTTGGCTGCCCTGGACCCTTGACACCCGTGCACCTTCATCGAGGCCCGCCAGCACGTCCCGTCCCTCTGTTTCTTTGCCCCGTGCAAGCGCTGAACGGGCCTGGGGAGTCGAGACCTAGGGGCACAGCTATTGGCACAGCGGGCAGTCAGTCCCAGGTCAGGTCCTTTCGGCCCCCTCAAGCGCCCACCACACCCTCTCATTGTGTTCGGTGCAAACGAAACCTGGCGAATTGCCAAAGGATCAGCAACACGGTTCAACTGAGAGATCCAAGAGACTCTAAGAAACGAAACCCCCGACAAGCTTTGTCCTGTGGCGATATCCGGCCTGTTTGCTTTGCCGTCGTTGCGCATATCCTACAAGATGACTTTCCAATTGTGTTATGTTATCTTTTCTTTTTTGGACTTTCGGTTGTGTTCTCGACCTTGGTTAGCTAATAAGTTGGGGACTGAACCGTTGGTGAGCTGACGGCGTCCGACGAAAGCATTAGCCACGGCTGTGCCAGACAAGCTCCAGACAAGCTCCAGACAAGCTTCAACGCCTTCTTGATCCATGACCCACTTGGTAATAAAGTCTTCTAGCGGATCAACTAGAGCTCGTTTATTAGGGCTATGGGTGGATGAATATCCACAGATGTGCTTCTTCAGCGAGTTAAAAAGCATTGTTCCAAAAGACTCTCTACCAGGGAGATTCTCTTATCTTGATTTCGACTTAGCCGTGTATTTGCTGAGTTTGTCCCAAATTCAGAAAGATCCAAAGAGCCTTGAGTCGGCTCAGAAACTGTGCCTTCTCAGGTGGAACCTTGCAGATCCCATCCTACCGAATTAGCTTTCCCCCTCTTCCCTTCTCGTCACGCCGAGCGAGCGAGCAACGCCGTTCGTAGTCTATGAGCTTGTGCCAGGCCGGACTCGTTTCCTCCATTTAGCCTTGTTACTTGTTATTATTAACGTGCGGCGCTAGGGGCGTGACAGATATTCGGAGCACTATGTAGTCTGCTGCTCTTGTTGTTGTACAAGCAACAACAACAAGTGTGAGGTGCGAGATGACGGCGCCGTGTCTCTCGGCTACCACCATCACTCGATCAGAACCTGCCATGGACTGAGTTGTTTGGCAAATCAAGTCAACTCGTCTCCGCGGATGTGCAGGTTAAAAATTTTGCACGAGGTCTCGTCTTGTTGCACAAAGCCGTAGGATACCCCGGGCACTGGATGGCTTGATACGAAGAGGATTGTGTGTCTGTACGGCGCCTTGTGTGACGCAACATCTGTGTCCCAGGGCTACCTGCCTTGGGTAGTGAAGTCTGCACAGTAGTGTCAAGTAAAGGTGGCAATGAACAACGGCCCACGGCCAGTCAGCCAGCGAGCCAGCCAGCCAGCTGGCTACTAACTACCGATGGCCCCCTGAAACTGGCTGCCCGCTATCGGGACGGACAAAATGGGGCACGGCCTCGGCGAGCTCGGGCGCGAAGAATGGCCGCCAGCTTTGCCGCAACATGGGCATGGACATCCGTGCTGCGTGCGTCCGGCTCTCCCAGGTTAATATGGGATGTGGGCGCGCGGAGAAGGTGCGGGAAGGCCCTGCGGCATCTCGAACAAGAAACAAGACAATAAGACGGAGGAGGAGGCGTGTTGGATATGGAGGCGTGTGGTGCCCCCCTTTGCCGCCCCTCCACAAGGTCCAAGCTAAAAATTCGATTCGGGATGGATGTTATCAACCGCCCGCTCAACCGCGAGTATTATTATTGTTATTGTCGACCCGACAGACAGCAGAGCCCGCTTACGGTTCAACAAGACAAGACCAACAAGTTCGGCTCACACATACTCCGTAGTGAGCGCTTTCTTCGCGAATCAGCCGGCGTCGACTGTTGGGAACCGCGCCATTTGGGGCCCATCCGCTGGCGACGAGAGGAACTTTGACCAACAGCCATGGGGGTGTTATCGGTGCAGGCTGTCCCATTTGGGGATAATTGCAACCCATATCCATATCCGCGCGCCAGTCGGTCTTCTTCTGTGGTTGTGGGCCTGGGCGCGGCGCTGGCCCGCGTTGAGATCCGTGCCCCCAAGTCTGGCTCCACTGTAAACCAAACATGGGACTGGTCTGCTGGGTAGATACTGTACGTACTCGGTATGTATCTCACGGTACTGTAATCGAATCCGCCCGCAAACGTACAGCCAGCGCTTGCGCCAATATCCAATTATCCATGGATTGTGTCCAGCCTCGTCGTTCTTGTCGTTGGTAGACTAATAAACCTGGAGACTGAGAAACGCGCTGCCGAGCCCGAAGGGGCGTCGCTCGTCGCGGGTTGCTACCGATCAGCACACTTTGTTGCCATGTCTGCTCGACTTGTTGGCTTCCATTGTGCTTCCATGCTTCGCCCTTGGAAGAAGCCCCATGGAAGCGAGCCCCCCCCCCCCCAAAAGAAACAAGCAACACCGACGTGATGCTGCAGCAATCGAGTGCAGTGGCAGGGCCAGGAATTGAGCCGATTCAGCTCCGAAAAACGCCTCTTGTCTGCCACCTCCTTGCCTGACCAGCCCAGATCTACTCTTTGCGCCGCTTGAGAATGAGATAGCGTCGGCGAATGGGTGCCGCCCGTCTTCCATCTCGCGATTGCCGGGCCATATCACCTGTTTTAATTGTGTCGGGCTGCCTTTGGGGGCGCCTCCGATATGGAAAATTTCAAGTACTGTACTAGCTTTGAGAGCGTCTCCCTCGTCCACCAGGGGCGTGAGTGCAGTGGGACAGGCCTGGCGCGCTTCTCTACACACACCCTGCTGCTAGTTGCATGCAGGGTGCAGATACAGCTCAATATGTACAAGTACTTGCACACACACACTCCCCGCAACTCCCTCTAAGCCGATTTTGGGGGTCGTTCTTCGCATGGCTTTTCTGTTGGCAGCAATTCAAGAGAACCAACAACAACCCCTAGGGAGCAACGGACTAGAATTGTTAGAACTTAAGCCAACATGGAAAACCCGGGCGAGGCCAGAGTCCAGCAGACCTGATGGGATCCTGGAGTGCATGTACAAAGTACCATGTTTCGAGGATGGGATTCAGAACAGCCGACGGCAGCTGCTCGGGCGCCAGGCTTGGGCCCATCCCACGGAAACATTACAGTTTTCTTATTATGCGGTAACTGTGGCCAGGTCTTGCTTGGGTGGGTGGTGCTGGTGCCCGAGCCCGAGCCCGCTTGCTGTCCCGCTTGCACGAGCTTGTGCCATTGGGAATCGGAACCCACTATCACGAGCATGCCGCAACCCACGGACGACTATGCTGTGGTATACCTAACTTACCTACTATCGCACTCTGTTCTTCTCTTTCCGTGTCTGTGGGCGAACGAGCCGTTCGTTAGAAACATGCAAGTTGTTAGCTTCATACCCATTTTATTCTGTCCAGACGGCAGCCAATGCATGCGACGGCGCCGCTCAGTCAGGGTCAGCGTTGTAGATGCAGCCATCACGCATATGCACATGTACGGCGGGGTGGGTGTCTTCGCATGGTGTAAGATGTCTGGCTGCGCTGCGTTTGGCCAGGCTCCTGCGCTATCATCTGAACGTTCGCCGCGAGCGGATCCCTGTGCCTCTTATTAGTACATACCTTCGCAGTGCTGTAAAATCGAGTTTACTTAATTCTGTCTGCAAAGATATGCTCCATAGGTAGGTATAGAGATCTCGTGTAAAAAGATAGGTAGTACAATACCGGCAAAAAGTCAATTGGGATAGGAAAGGGACAGTTTCAACGACTGGAGAAGAATAAACGCAATTAGGAGCTCGGGCCCTGGTGAAACAGACGGACAAAGTAAAAAAAAAATCCCCCAAAATCAAACCCTTAGCGCACGAAACGAATGCTGCCCGTTACCGTTACATCCCGGTAACCTGACGCCTTGGTGTCTAACTCCGTGGGCTGTGTCAAAAACAGGAATCTCCTAGGACATATTCACACACCATGAACTTTGTTCCGTGGTTCAAGCAGCTAAAAAAAAAAACTTGGGTGCTGCGCGGGCAGCCAACTTGCCAAATCTTCCGATTGATCCTCGTCTGCAATGCAAGATTGATGCAAAAAGTGCCTTAGGTGAAGGCGGGCGAGCGCTGTGTTACTTACCGTACGTACCCAAGGTATACATGAGCCTGCGGTTTGCTCTGGTCAAGCCTCTAGTCTAGGCTTTCGAGACTTGAAGCTTCCCGGGCGGTCAAAGGCTCGCCCGCCGCTGCAGGTCACGTATCGGCTTCAGGTACGAAAGCTTCTGGCATCCATGATGACGGGAAGCTGATGTAAGATGGACGACGGGCACGCCTCTCGCCTGATACCACGGCGCCACTTCAGTCAAGAGCCGGCGCCATGTAAACCATGCTCGGCTAGCTTTCCGTAGTTAGCTTGCAACGGCCGACAGACAGCTCGAACGGCGAACGAGCTCATATCCACTTCGCTGGGCAGCTGCTTGTTCCGTGAACTTCTAATGCACCCTAAAACCCAACTGCTCGGGGGACGTGAATGCAGCCGGGACATTCCTAAGACTAAACTACCAGTAGCGGGACTTTGCAGCAATTTCTTCGCCGTGTTGTCGACAGAGCAGAGCGGGATCACCTGTGAAAACGCTAGTATCACCTCAAACGCTCGCCGCCAAGATCTAGAGAGAGGATTCCGTCAGCATTCGCCAAGATTCTCTCCGCTAAAGGAACCAAGTGAATGAATGTATGCCTTACTCAGTACTGAGTACGCTTTGCGATGTGTCCTGGTCTCGCCCTTAGTTTCTGAGGCCTGGAAAATGGAGGACTGGACTCCTGATTTGAGTGTTCCGTAGCGGAAGTGGGAAAGGGGCGGTGGTGATATCGGGCTCGGCGAAAGCCGCACCCGACTGGCATCTTGCATCTCTTCCCGGGCCGCCAGGGTCCCCTGATGCACACTCGCACCCAGAGCATGCGCAAGAATCGACATGGCCGCAGCTGCTGCTCCGTAGTCTCCCAGAATTCAAGACCCAAACCAAATGCCTCGTAAAATCAACTGTCCCCTCCACGTATCATGCATTGCTTGATCAGAGCCACGGCCAGCCTGATCAAGCGACCAGGAAACAACATACGAAATAATCCGAGTCGGAGCACGACAGATCCAGACCCCGCCACGTGAAGTATCGTTCAAGTCCCCAACTCTTCCTCAGTACGTAAGGTACTCTGTACCCCCAAGCGGGGTTGGTCCGCGCTGGCACCGTCCCGCAACACCTATCTGCAGTCGCGCAGAAGCCTCTGTGGGGGCCGACAGCTGTGGGATGTGCGTGTCCGGATACAGGACGCAAAAGCTGTGCAACTCTTCCGCGTCTCCCAGATGTCGTCCATCTGTCTGGACGTGGAAAGCATGCAGACTGGTGATGGGGCGCCATGCAAGATTCCGGCAGAGCTCCCACACATCCTGCCCTGCAAAATTTCCTTGCTTTTGTAGACATCGGACAATGGTTTCCAGATTCTTGGTTATTCGATCCTGCCTTGATTGGTACCTGGGCATGTTGGACTGGCGCTGCACGCTTGTTGGTCATCTTGCAAGCAACCATCTTTGAGCTCCTCCCCACGAGATCATCTACCATTTCGGAAAACATTCGAGAGTGCAGACCATGTCCTATTCAGTCATGACCAGAGCGTGTTTGGCCTTTCGGATCCGATCGTATTCGCACACGCCCCGAAGTGGCTCCAACGACGTGCGGGGGCCGCGGCGACGAACGGCACGGCTCCTCTTGAGTACCTTACTTCTTTAAATTCTCAAAAGAGAGGGGAGACGGCTCAGCGCCTGCAAGCGCGCATCAGGGCTCATGTCTTGGCAGCAGAGCGCAAAAAAAATCCCCTGAGCCTGATGCGATGCGAACCATTGGCTCTGCCGGTGACAAGTCTCCCGGCGACTGGCCCGCCAACCGAGACGATAACGAGCGGCCGAGGTCACTGTGAACGCCGAGCGACGATAGAGGATGAACAGCGTGGCAGCCTAGAGACCGACGACCCGAAAGCCTCGTGATGGCCGGAGGGCTTCTCCCATCACGTCTCTTGGGGCGAGAGTCGTGGCTACCTAGGACTGGCTGAAGCCAGGGTCACTTGATGTCCCCAACCAAAAAAAAAAAAAAAAAAAGTCTCAACCCGCCTGTTGCCTATTGTAGAATCAGCCAGTCAGAATGGGGACAAAGGAAACCCGACCTGCTCGTCAAAAGACGACCCTACTACTACGTAAGTTGTTGCCCCCCATGTTTCAAGCAGCGACAGCTCGTCAGCCACGCTGAGAGAGCAGGGCTTGGCTTATCGTCGCCTTGGCCCGGGGCCACCTCCAACGACTGGTCCTGACAGAGGACGGGTCGGCTGGCTTTGCTTTTTTGGGGGGGGCTCGAATCACTTGAAGGTGTTGGTGGCATGGTCAGCGGCGGGCCGCTGTCGCTGTCGAGGCCTGCCTAGCACACTTTCCACGAAGTGGTCGGTTCGCATTTCGCAGATCGCCAGCCGATTTCTTTTTTCGGACCCAAGTCTCCCACGGCTCCGGGCAATGCAGGCCCCGAGGAACGAAACAGTTTCCTCATGAGACCATTGACCATGGACTGGGCATGGAGACCCCAGTGCCCTGCCTCCTTCATGCTGTGCTCTCCAGGCGGAACTCCACTGGTGACTTTCCTCGACTGCAGCCCTTTCGGATGGATGCTCATCATCTTTGCCACAGGGTATGGAGCACAGAACGTGGGCTAGAGCGGCACAGCAAAAAAGCTCTGCCTCGGTGCTGCGTCTTTTGTGGACGACGACTCGGCAGATGGCGGGTTCAGGTTGGTGGCGCCCCGGACAAGCTCCACGGTGCAGTGTATGAAAGCCGGTGGGCTGTCCCTTCCTCAGGCCTCCTCGCAGCAGAGGCAGGCATGTACCCGCCCCCGGACATGTGTCGACGGGAATGAGATGCAGGAGCACTTGAGCCTCATCATGCCTTCCTCATTCACAGCCCGCCTGTAGCAGCTCGCGGCAGGTACTACGCATTAAGGCAAGTATGATGCATCATCTCCACGAACGTTCCTGCCTTGCGGTTTTAGTGAGGTTAGACATCATACGGAGTATTTAGAATTGGAAATTGCGACATGCCCTTTCTTCAAGTTTCAACCACCTTACCTGCGTACCTGAGGTAGGTACGGAAACCTTGGAAGATCTTCCAGCTTCAAGCCTCAAACATCCTTCAGTTCTTGCCCCAAAGACGCTAACCAGCACAGGATATCTATTTCTGTCTTGCACACCAGATACCCGGTCCTCAAGCTGCCTCGTGGCAGTTTTAGAAACAGGTTCACCTCACACTTCTCTGCGGCGCAAACAGCCGTCGACCGAGGTTCTGACTGATCCCAGTCCGGTCGATTTGCAGTGCCGCACAGCTGGATCGGTTCATTACTCACCTCCACCCTCGCATCTGGCATTCTCGTCGTCGGCTAGTTTCTCTGCCCCCCTGGGTGGGACTGAGAGACGAAACAACGCCCGGCGCCGTCGCTGTCGACACCAGGACTGGGAAGCTAATAGCTTGCTTGAAATTTTCAGCCGCACTGCGCTGCGCTGCACTGCACTGCTGCAGCGATGTTGTTGATTCTCGAGACGCAAATGCTCCACCCTCACAAGCACGCTAAACTATCGAAACACCAGCCCTACGCTCCCGCTTCATACTGCGGGAAAGAGAAAAAAAAGAAATGAAAAACGGCCCAAGCCACTAACTAATACGGCTTCCATGTGGTCCTCAGAAACATGCCGTGTTCCGTCGTTCCCACAATAGGCTTGAAACTCTAGCACGCCTCTGGTCATCGTCTCCTAACTTATTACGATGTAGTTCGGAATCGACCGCACGACACGCCATGGGCAGCGATTGACGAGCTGGCTGGTGTTGAAACCATTTCGTATCGTAATTCGCGTCATCTCATCAAGGTTACCAGTCCCTGCCTCTCAACTGTACCGACTGCACTGTACTGTGTTCAGTGGAGAGCTATTGGTACACGGTAAAATCCAAGAGAGCTGCCAGACCGACAGGGATCCTGGGTCGGGGCGGACAACACTTGCATGAGAGCGAATGCACAGCGGTTATGTGCTTGTGCGTCTAAGTTTGGAGAGACCCGACCAATCAGACCCAACCTGGAAATATGTTGGGCGTGTTTTATGTTTCAGCTCCCCGTCCAGAGTCAGGCAGCACACGCCTGCCCACTGCCGTCTCACTCAACCCACCTCAGCGCCTCCCCCTCCTCCCCCCGATGCCGCCGGGCGGAGCTCACCGAACTGGAGCCGACACGCCGGTGAGCGGATGGCTAGAAACCTAGAAGTTCCAGACCCGTGCTTCCGCTCCTTTGGTCACATACATTAGCCTTCCCGTGGTCCACAAAGCTAGGTTGCGAGGATGAATGGGATCCAATGCAGCTTCCACATCGCCGCGGAAGAACCTCTTGAACTATCGATCCGGGCAAGGCAGGGCCGCGATTACAGCTACCTACTGCGTATGGATGTGATTTCGGGTTTCTGCCTAGAGCGGTCTTGAGCTTCCCGACGATAGTAGCGGCGTGCTGGAGTTTCCCGCTGCTCGCTGATAAGTTGACCAGCGTCTACCAACCCCGATTCGACTTGATATTAATAATAAGCACGCCGTGGAGAACTGGGTCAACTGGGCGTCTCGATAGCAGAACCAGACATGTGCGGATGTGCTGTACCTCTACCTGACCTTTCGGGCTTGGCTTTATCTTCCCGCGCCAAGTTTAGTGGGATGTGGTACGGGATGTGGTACGGGCTGCAACCCAATCAGCGTGAACCACGTCTTCAAGCCCACACCACAATCCGCCATGGGCAAGTCCTGAGAGGGTGGTCTGGCGGCTGCTATCCATTCAATTGTTTGCGCGAGGACGGACAGGTCGGTCATCCAGATTCATCATCACTTCCTGGTCATTTACACACGATCCAATGGACGCGTGGTATCGCAGCGTTGGACCTCAAAGCCCAGGTTTCGTCGTCAATTGTTGTTTCTCTCCGCGACATGGGATTTTGTTTTCTGTCAGCCCTCTTCACCCACTCGAACCCTGGGTGTGAGACTGGATCATGCAAATCATAAGTACCGCAAGACTCACTTCACCACTCCCATTCGCCAGACAAGTCTGCATGGGCGGACCGTTTTCCGCCTTACATGGCGGCCAGGATAGAAGCAGAGCACACGAATGGCAGGGTGGTGGAGTGGAGCAAGAGAAGGGAACAACAGCTTGAAGCACAGTGTCACTGAGCGCTGTTGACTTTCGAGATTTACGGCGGTATCCTCAAGCTCACAGCAAACTTTAGCCCGACCTTGACCAGTTCTCTGTACAGCTTCATCGAAAGCGACCCAATTGCAGATGCAGGGCAGACCGACAGTTCCCTCCACTGCACGGCATTGGGTCCCTCTGTCCCAGCTGTCTTTCTCGCGCTACCTGGTTTTATCCTCTATTTTACCGTTCATATCAACATACCTTGCCTTCAACCTGACTACCCAGTCCTTCTCGAACCGGTCTATTAGTCGCATAGTGCAGCAATGCTTGTTTCCCGCTCCACCTCAGCACATCCAGTATCTGCTCTCCGCTGTCAATGCTGAATAGACCTGTTGATTTCAGAGGTCGACTGGGAACGAAGCCGAAAGCTGTCAAATCGTCACTTGTCGGGTACTTCCCCCGGTATTTGGGTTCACACTGTGGATGTTCAAAACAGGCTTGGCTTGACGCCCACACCGCTACTTTCATACAACCTGGTTGGAGGGGTGGCTGTAGAGAGCCTCCCACACTCGATAACCACACATCAGTGAGCAGTCAACTTTGGCTGAGGAGAAAATCAATAATTTGCCGCAAACCCATCTCAGCTTTTACCCTTTTCCGCTGCCCCGCCAAGGAATATTTTTTCTTCTCTCTCAGCGAAGTTGTCTGTGACCCTGGTCCATGAACACGCTATCTTTGGTATTGATACTCTCTTTTGCCATTCCTCTAGCCTCGAGACTGGCTCCGGAAAGATCATAGGGCTTTTTTCGCGCAGAACTTTTCTTGTGGGTTCCGCGTGCGAATCCGCATGCTCTGAGAGGTTTAGTCACCAATGGTGCAATCGGCCTGATATTTTGCGCGCCCCAACAGAACGGCGGACCAGGTTCGGGTGTGCCGTCTTTGCACCTGCCCCCTCCACTCGGCATTCTCCTTCCCCGCCCCCGCCTCATCCCGTCTGCCCTTGCGAATCTTTTCCGAGTTGCTTACCCTCCTGTGACGGGAGTAGCGAGAAACTGCAGAGGCTGTGGGAAAACAACACAGAGAAGAGTGGTTGTCCTCTCCGCGTCCCTTTGCTATTAATTGCCTTCTCCCTGGCTCGCCAAACATTGGTTTGCTCGAGATATCAGCTCACCAACTTCGTACCGCAGCGGGGCTTAACTAACGGCTGGTGGTTGGGGTTTGCTCCACCGACCTGTGGAGAAACGTCCCCCCCCCCGGCTGGCCTTCTCTTGCCAAGTCAGCGCTCCCTCGTCGTGACCACAGTGGGCCCTCCGACCGGGGGAGTCTGGATGCCAGTGCGGGCGGCATCGGGAGTCCGCGTCAGTAGTCTGCAGGTCGTGCTGTGTAAGATCTATCTTTTACGATGTGCTGTCAATCCCTTACCATTAGCCTCCACACAACTCTCCTTGATAGTGGGGGTTATTGGAAGAGTCACTATTTCTTCCTCCAGACAGAGTTTTGTCTACTCTCGTCGAGGCGCGCCCTGCAAGATCAGCATCGTCAACCTGCCCATATACCCCTTCCCCCAAAGCAGCAAGGGATATTGGGTGAGTTGATAACGAGAACGTGCACACTTTGACCCCAGGGCAGTGTTAATATACTTTGGTTTGTGTTGTCCCCCCCCCCATTTCGCCCCCAGCCGGTATCTTATCCCTGGCCAAGACGGGGAAGGGAAGGGCGGGCGCTGGTGAGCCACTCGATCAAGCACAAGGCTATCGAAGTCCCATTTCAATTTAGATCCCAAATGCACGGCGTGCTGGTGCGGGATGCTGCTGCACGCTGCAGAGAAGGCTCCCCGGAATCACAGCCTGCTCCTTCACCCAACATGCAGTCCCAGTGCTCTCGAGGGCACAAAACCCCGCGGATACACTAGGCAAAACTCAGTCCTTGGCCTCTTCTCGTCCAATTCCCCGCCATATCAAGTGTTTTATATCACGGGGGTTTGTATCACGGGGACACAGAAAGAAGCTGGAAGCTGAGGCACAGCCCGCACGGCAGCGGACCTGGACCTTGGACTCTCCTCTGATCAAGGCCTGCTAAGCCAAGGGGGATTTTGGCCGACGCACGACGCAGCAACCCGGCACTGCAACCAAACGCACGTATGATTCGCATATGGCAACCATTTCGCGAATCTTTATTTTTGCCCCCCCTTGCTTTTCTCTTGAGCATCTTTTAGGTGTCATAATCAGAAGAGACTCTGAACCGAATAGCTTCTTTTTCGGCTTTTGTTTTTCTTGCTTACTGACGGTCAAAGTCGACGTTGTCTCCGTTCACCGCCATGCTTGATTGCTTGGTTGCTGATTTTCTGGCCTTTCTTTGGTTCTTGTGCGACCCCCAAGTCCAATACTGGAAAGTGATAACAGGATCCTTCTTTCAGGGTTTTAGGTCGCACAACACACTTGCTTGTTGAGCCTCGGGAGAGTGCTGTGGCTGCATGGAATGATTGATGGCCATGTGCGCGCCGCCTCTCTTTTTCTTTTCTTTTCCCACGCCCCGCCCCGCCCGCCACCTGGTGGAGGGGGCGATCCTCCCCCCTCTCTCTCTTCGTATCAAACAACTGCCTATCTTTTCTGTCGCCTGCTCGCTCGCTCGTAACTAGGGGGCGGGCGGGTGGCATTAGGCGCCATCACGATTTGCTTTCCGGCTGCACGGCCGGGTTGAGAACCAGGTGGGTGGAAGAGTGTCTGAGTGGTAATAGAGCTGCTGAGGGAGAGAGAGAGACATTTATCCACCCCCCTTTTCCCAGCAAGCAGAGTAAGCAAGTAATAAGCAAGCAAGCAATGGCAGTTGTCGGTTGTCAGTTCTTGTTACTTGTGGTCAGGTTAGTACGGATCATGTGAAGGTATCATGCTGCATTTCCAGTGGCATTTTCCACAGTGTACGACGTATGTGTATACGATTACATACATACATACGATACCTTGCACACAGAGGTAATAACGCGGTCGATGACCTGAGCTAAGGATCGCAGGGCCCCCGCCGCGCCCGCCTGATGATCCTCTCTGCAACAGCGGCAGTGACATGCGGCACGGATTTTCAGTGTCCCAGTCCCAGCAGGCACGTTAGCGGCCGCATGCAAAAGACAAGAAAGCTGGGCCTGTATCCGGGCACCTGCGCCCTGCGGCTGGGCGGGGGAGAGAGGATGATGGAGAGGCGCCAAAAAAAAAACTTAAGGGGCACAGGCGGCGAGCGACTGCTACCCCTCCCCCCTCAAGTTCCCGCCCTTGCCTGCGTCGCCGGTGCGGTGCGTCCGAGGTATCTCCTCCGCCCTTAGGCTGGATGTAAGTATCCATTACCTACTCCGTACTCCGTACCTACCTTACTTTTGCTGCACGCACTGGAGACATGCCTGCGGTAGGTACTAATGCATGTTTGTATGTACAGTACCGGTATATATACGGAGTACATACTCTGTACACGAAGATATGAGGGGTCCGAGTCCCCTGCTCCGAGCTGAATCTAATGAGTGAACCCCTTTACCGATCCCACCTCAGTTGGTGGGGGGGGGGGGGGACCAAACTCGATGATGGCAACATCTCAGATCATTTCTAGGGTGTGGTTCTTATGCGTTATTCTTCTAGAGATTGAGCAACAAGCGAGGTCGGGTAGGTTGGTTTCTCCTCTAGAAAAAAAGTGTTTGAAGGGTTCGCGGGCTTTGTGGGGTGAGGGAGGGGGGAGGGGAAGCACAGAGACAAACGTACATGATGGACATGCCCGGCATGACATGGCATGGCATGGCATGGCATGGCATTAGCATGGCAGGGGCAGCTGGCAGCAGCCAGCCAGGGCCGATCTCCATGGTATCCATCCATCCTCCCTCTTCCATCTTCCATCTTGTTGATCCTCTCCTAGGTATGTACATACTAGACGGCTATGTATCCGTAACTCCTCTTTTTTTCTACCCTGCAGCCATGTTCCAGGGAGAATGTGTGTGTGAGCAAAAAAAAAAAAAGCTTAAGAGTCCAAAAAAGGGCACTGTATCTAGTGCCTACAGCACAGTTGGCGGGGGGAGCATGAACGCCTGCGGAGGAGGGATAACGGCCGAAAGTGTCTGCGGGTTCTACATATCACAGCCTGCCTGTCATTGCTGAATCCGTAGGTAAGGTAAGGTAAGTAAGTAATCTGGCAATTACTCCTCTTCTTGATGTGTAATGATATGAGGTACGTAAAAACCTTACGAATTGCACGCACGGCATATCCGCAACCGCCCCTCCTAAGATGAGAGGGGGGCCCTCTCAGACTTCTCTATTGCGAAGTCTCTATAACGAGAATTCATTTCACAACAAACAGGAACGCTCAACCGCGGGAGACGCGAGCAAGCGATTGTCGATCACCAGCGGGGGGAGCTGAGGGCTGGCTGGCTCACTGCCTCTTTTCTCTTTTCTCTTTCTCTCCATCATTCACTCACCCAGTCAGTCAATCCCTGGTTCGAGCTCCTTTCATAACAGAACCCCCCCTGTGTTGCATGAACCAAGCATGGCAGATCTATCTATCTATCTCTCCCCCGTCCGTTCGCTCCCGTGTCTGTGTGGGAAGGTAACATCTGTGTGTCGAGAGGGCACCTATCTCGGCCTTCTTCGAAAAAATAGAACCACAAGGGATATGTTCGAAGAGACAAGACACACAGGGAGAAAGACTCGAAGGTTTGATGTTTATTGGTCACACAAAATACTATGTAGGCAAAACGAAACCAAAGAACACACCCTTTTCCAGGCGCATCGCATCGTATCGCATCACATCGTGCAAAACGCACGCACGCACGCACACAGGGTTTGAAGGGCAGGGCAGGGCACGACACTGTGCGTGTGTGCGTGTGTGTGTGTGGCCGTTTCGCGGCAAATCTAGCGCAGGCTAGGCGATCTCCCATGCACGTCAACACGCCTTTGCTCCTTGGGAGTGAGAGAGAGGGAGAGAGAGCCTTATGTATATACCCATATACCCATACATATAACAGATACCACCGGGGAAGGCGGGGTTCTTTTGTTCCCCAATTGTCATGGCGTTCGAAACTGCATGGCCTAGGGCACGGTACTTGAACCTACCGCGTATGTTTGTAACAAGCACCCTCTGTCTATCACCTCTCTCTCTTTTCTTGCTGTTGTTTCTTGAGGCAGGGGTGGGTATGGTATGACCGGTATCATACATACATGCCGTGCTGTGTGTATTGAGTTTGGGGGCGAGGGGCAAAGGGAAACGAGAAGGGACAGGAAAAGAAAGGGAACGAGCGGCGTGGGTTGTTTCCCGTGCCCCTTTGCCTCCTCGCGATGGTGTGTGTGTGTGCATGTGTGTAAGTGAAAATAGAAACTCTACAAAGACCGAAAGCGGATATGGCAGTGTGTGCTCGAAACGGGGAATAGGATTACGATTTTCTTGTTTCAATTAATCATCATCAGGGAACTGTGCCTCTTTTTTTTTCTCTCTCTCTTGACCAATTCTCTCAGGGGGAGCTGAAAAACGTGGTGGCTGGATGGGATGCGAGCAGAGGGAGGGATGGATGGTTCGATGGATTGTGACACACGCACACACAAAAGAGGCCGAACGGCACAGGCAGAGCGTCACGTCCCGACTTATCCGCAGAGAGAAACAACAAGGAGGATTTGACCCGGAGCTGTAAAGATAGCCATTAGGATGTTGTTCTGTGCCTCTTCTCCCAACACAAAAAAACGAATAAGAGATTTGTGATGGAGTAAATTAAAAGAACGAGAACCAGGGGTTCGTTGCCGCTGCGGCAGACGGTTACCATCTTGGCGTAGTCTAGATAGAGCAATTACTTGGTCTTGGTTCAGGCAGGAGAACCTGAGGCAGCTTGGACTGGGTCAGTGGATGGCCCAAAAACCCGCTCACATGACAGCGCGCGCGAAATCTTGTGGAAGGCGCGTTGCGGCAAGAGGCAAGACGGAAGGCGCGTGTGAAGAGAGTTTAAGTGATGTCGTGTCGTCACCGTCACGACACCTCTACGGATGTACTTTATATTATTACTGCTATTGCCTTCCCATGCTGGGAAGGGGTTAACAACCTAGCCGGCTAGGCATGAACAAGTGGAGAAGGACTACCGAAGGATAGAAGGAAGAGGGAGAGCGGTATTCCATCTCATCATCTGAAACAGCCGGTTTCGCCCAGAAAGCAATCCCTTTGTTTCCTTCGCAATTAGCGTGTACCGAACGAACAACCTCTGAGAAGACACCTACGAGGCGACCGGGCCAACCAAGTCAACGAAAAACAAAGAAAGGCCAGTGGCTCTCTAGCAAAGCAATGGTTGCATTCTTGGACCTGGTGGATTCCTTCTAGGGAGCGTGTCATGTTCCTCTTGCCGCGCCTTCCAGTACATATTTTCGACTATAGGTCGCCTTCTTCGACAGCCCTTCCTTCTTACAAACAGACATCTTTTATCCATCTTGATGCCTTCGCTGTCGCGGAAGCAACCGCCTTCCCCTCACCGCCCGCCGCCGTCAGCGCAGCCGCCGCTGGCCGAACCGCAATACCATGGCCGCGCCTTTGACCCGTGGAACTCCGGGTCGACGGGGCATCAGTGCGCCGAGTCGCGCGGGCCGACGGGCTGGCGCGAATCACGAAATGTGAAGCTGCAGAGTCAGTTCCGCGGCGGCCACTCGGGCGGCCAGCACCTGTCAGATACCGCCAGCCCCGGCACCGAGCACTTCGACGAGAGGCACCGCGTGCTAGTGCCCCCGGAGCTGCGCGCCCGAGCCGCCAATAGCGTCGCCGACATGCTGCGCAAGCCGGGCACCATGGCCAAGTTGCGCCAGTCTTCTTCTTCGCTGTCGTCGTCGTCAGCTGCGGGCCAAGGCCAGGACAAGGCTGCTGCTGCGGGTACGGCAGTGAGTGCGGGTGCGACTGCCGAGCAGCAGCCACGGGGCGAAGAGGAGATAGAAGATCAGCACGCCGAAGGACAAGGCAACGGCGAGGCGGGCACGGCTGCGGTCCGCCAGCGTGCCATATTCGACGGCCTCGTCATCTACATCAACGGCAGTACGCACCCGCTCATCTCGGACCACAAACTCAAGCGCCTGCTTGCCGAGCACGGTGCCCGCACGTCGATCCACCTCGGCCGCCGCCAGGTCACGCACGTCATCCTCGGCAAGCCCTCGGGCCCTCGCGGCGGTGCCGGCGGCGCCCTGGCTGGCGGCAAGCTCGAAAAGGAGATCCATCGTGTCGGGGGAAACGGTATCAAGTTCGTTGGTGTCGAGTGGTAAGTTTCCTTCCTTTTCCTTTTTAGGACCCCCTATTTCCCCTTTTTTGTTCACCCCCTCTTGTTTCTCTATTTCCAGGCCCACCCCCTGGGCCTGTTCAACCCTGTACATACGCAATGGACGGATACTGTGTGCGCGCATATGTTTAGCTTTGCGCGTGTATATTTCAATTTGTGTGTATGTGTGTATCTGGCGCTGACCGTTTCGTTTGCTACTAGGGTTTTGGAGAGCATCAAGGCCGGCACCCGTCAGCCCGAAGCCCGGTTCACCAATCTCAAGATCGCCGCCCGCGGCCAGCAGAGCGTCCTGCACGCCTTCTCGAAGGCGCCGCTAGGTGCCACATGACTTTGTTGATCTTGCCACGGGTACGTGCAGTCGCAGGGCTTGCGTCCAAGTCTAGAGCCTAGAAGAAAGGGGGGCTTGCCCACATTTCGCAACCCAAAGCCTCCCTTCCCTTCCCCGCCGGGGCACGCACGCGTGCATGCATGCATGCATATCGTGGTTGGAGGAGAAAACAGAAAATTACTTGGGTGGGTTGGTTTGGCAAATGTTTGCTACTACGAAAATTTCCTCTGCAGGCCTTGTTGAACATATTTCACCTGCATGAACAAGGCTCGACACGACACGGTAGAACACGACACACGATATCACACGACAGCACACGACCACGCTAAGTTGCCATGTCGGGGAGGTGGCTGGCTGAGGGTTCTGGAGCTGGCTACGTGGTGGGCGAGTGAGCTCTCCTTGGGGACACGGGGAAATTGGAAGGTTCTAAACGTCGTCTATGATTGAATGGGAAGAGGAAATGGTGTGTTTGTTTGCTACGGTGCTGCTCTTTGCCTTGGGCTTGGCATGGTTCTGCTGCATTTCTGGGAGCGTCTTATCTGGACGGGGGCGAGGGAGCGGTTTCGATTGACACGGGTCTAGGGTCATCGTCGATACATGGCATCGGTATAAGTAGGGGTATGGGCATTGGCATGGGCATTGGCATGGGCATGGGCATGGGCATTGGAATAGGCATGGGCATTGGTGTGGGTGGGAGGGTAGGCAAAGGCAAAGGCGTAGGCAAGGCAATTAGCATGGGCACGACATGAGCATGGCACTGGGCATGGCATTGGGTCTGGAGGGCGGCAGAGAAGCATTGTATCTTGATTGCGAAATACATGGTGCGTAATCGGTCTCTTCTGTGGTTATGGTACTAGGCGGCCGAAGTTCAGGCCTAGAAAGGGGCATTGGAGACTCGACCAAGCTGGGGACTTGTGCCGATTAAGACTTTCCGCTGGCCCCACGGAGCCATTTCAGCTTACAAGTTAGCCCACTACACCGTAGACGACTAGTTATCTCTCTGTATGTGATCGAAGATGCCTCCATTCCTCCCTGTCTGCCTGCCATTGTCATCTAAACATTCCCGCCTAAACTCGCACCGTACAGTTTTTGGCTGTTCCGTCTGGGAAACTGCCAAGCAAACCCCTGTCTATATGGCCTGGCCGACTAGGTAGCGAGGATATGGAATACATGCTTGCGTGTTCACCTGGTAAGGGTGTGGGTGTGGTGCTAGTAGTAGTAGTGTCCGCTCCGCTATCCTCGAACTAGGGTAGAATGCTTTTGTGTTGGACCAGACTTCGTACTTCGGTTTTTATGTATTCTTTTTCTTTCTTTCTTTCATCGGCGTACGAGTACCTGCCTGCGTGTATTTCTCTGCCCCCTTCTGGGTTGAACCCCTCCCCCTTCCTTCCTCTCTGTTCAGTTCTGTCTTGTTCTGTTCTGCCGGAGAGTCGGGGTATCCATCCGGCGGCGGTGGTGATTGTTGTGGTTGCCTTTTTATAGCCTTGTCTTTCTTTCTCTCTGTCTGTCTGTCTGTCTGTCTGTCTGTCTGTCTATCTGTCTGTCTGTCTGTCTGTCTGATCTAGCACATATGCTGCCCATGTACATACATACGTATCCAGATAAAACTACGTAACGCCCCGGGAGCCGAAACCGTTCGCATGCCTGCCTACCTGCTTCATGGTGTGTACTACTGGAAAAAAAAATAGTACGTAACGGGTCTACTCTAGCCGCAGCCGCAGCCGCAGCCACCCGCCGCCTGCATCTAGTGCTCGTGTCGCCGAGGCCGTCTTGGTCTGGCCTGTTCGCGTGGTAGTTTCATGGCCTAGGTACGAAGTACTGATGGCCCATCCACGTAACTGCCCGTGACATGGCCCGGGATATGGTGTGTGTATGTGTGTGTTTGGGGCGGGGCAAATTCTAGATCGCGGGCCTTGTCAGACATAAGTGATAAGTGTCGATACCATACCTACCTCCCATGATGATATGGATGCGTGTAAGTCTTGCTCGCCCTGGCGCCGAAGAAGAAGACCGGCTGTCTTGGCAACTGGCGGTTCTTCTCTCTCAGCCCCAAAAGCGATGGTGTAGAAAAATAATGACCTCCTGATGCGGACCGTGTGTGTGTGTATCTTTGTGCCATTTGCCCTCCCTTCCTGAGGTCACGTTGGAGGACGGACGGGAACAGAGTTTAGGCGCCGAAACATTGTCCCTACTAGCCTTCAGAGCAGTATTTGTCGATAGAGAACTCTCCGATGGCAGCCGCTGGCCGGTGGGGGGGTTGTGTTTCTGCTGCCGAGCACATACGTACTCTGCTGTGGAGTGGAATCCTCGCCGTTGCTTCCTGGAGATTCTTCACGCCTTGCCCTGTGAAACGTCACGTCATGGACGTTGTCCAGAGGACAGATGGAGGGACGATAAGATGGATGGGGGAGAGAGAAAACCATGACATCGCGGTTTTGGTTTCGTTGATTCGCTTGGCTGGAAAGCGAATCCGGCTGGGCCCCGGCCGCCGGGTGCTGCTACTGCTGCTGCTGCTGCTACTGCTGCTAGTTCGTGGCGTGGATGGAACGACGCGGGAGCAGGACGGATGGGCGAGCCCCAGGATCATGGCCCCCGAAGACGAAGACGAGGGAGGTGGGGGTGTGAGAGAAACTAAGGCTGCTGCTGCGAAGAGGGATCATGTTTCGAGTCACGACTTGGGAACAGTAACGTCGTGCAACTCTGCTGCATACAGGCTGCCCCCGTCCTCCCTGTTCCCCTAAAGCGGTGGCACCGACAAGCGCGCCTGTTGCCTGCCCCCAACCCTCTAGTCTGTTGTCCGCGGCGCGAGAGAGAGAAAGGAGCCAAGTGCTATCGAGCTCGGGTGAAAGGATAGAACGTGCATGTGGATGTGGCTAGTGTTTGTGCCCCCCTCCCTCACCCCTGACAAGGAAAAGAGACACACAAAACAGAGAGCAAGAGAGACGGTGTAAGAGATCTAGAACCTTCCTCTCGTGTCCGCCAGCCCCGGCATCGGAACGGCGCACGCAAAACCGGCCCACTCGCCATAGTAACTGCCGATCATCACAGTGAGGGGAGGCGATATACGAACAACTGTCGCCACGGACAATAGCCATCTGGGTCATCCGAAAGAGGACTTTGTGCGAGCCGACAATATATTAAACGTGGAGAACATGACATGGCACGGCCAGCTCATCATCATCGTCCCTTCGAGTCTCACCTAGTTTGGCCCGCCGTCGTCATCATCAAACAACAGAAATAGCATCGACAAAAGAAACACCGAGCATCGACATCAATATGGCGGGGCACGCGACGCGTGGCCTTGGCACCGAATAAAAACAACCCCCCGCGGAGCACAAAGTAAGGTATGTATGATGCACAACACTAGCCTACTCTCAAGGCAAGGCAAAGCAGCGGACGGCGGCCGGGTAGGCGGCCAGCACGTGTTTTCGTCTAACAGAGAGCGTATAGGTACCCAGTCGGTCTGGTCTCGGGCCCGGGGCAAGCCAGGGCCGTCGGGTATTGCAGAGACGGAGATTTCCGGAGGGAGGGGAGAAAAGAAAAGAAAGGGGGTTGGGGGAGGAGCAAACTCGCAACCCCCCTTGGACTTTTCGACAGCCTCAGGGCTGGCTGGCAGTGCCATGGCATAGGAGGTGAGGGCTATGAACCAGATAGGCTAGTTCTGGTATACCTAGTCCTGGTAGAAGGGGGTGGCCGTAGAAACAAGGGATTTCATGCCCAAGAAAGTAAGATACCAGTGACCCGTTCTGGCAGAGAGTCTCTAACAGTTACTGCCTCAACGGTTTCTCTAGGTAGTTAGTTAGGTAGGTACTTCGTACGCCCACTGGAACCAACACACGAAAAATTGTTAACCTGCGTTGAGCCAACACTGTGTTTCTATTATCGTATCAAGTTGCGAGACGCTGTTATCTAGTTTTAGCCTACTTACAAGCAACGATAACGACCAGCCAGGCCCATTAGAGACACTGCAGAAAAGGAGATTGCTATCACCGCACTTTTCTTTCTCGGAACCCAACCGAACCTCGATGGTAGAAAGACGAACAAAATAGAAACTCTGTCCAAAGACCTTTTTTGTGACTACCTTCCAAGCATGTAGGCAGGTAGATACCCAGAGTAGCTAACTAAAGGATCCCATATACTAGCTGTGCCCAAAGCATAACAAAACCTGACGCCCTGGTAAATTATTTTTAACAAACATTAATGCCCCTAAATATAAAGTAAATCCTTTTTTCACATGCCGTGAATGCTCCTTGACTTCCATGTTGACAACGCACACTCTGCCTGCCATGCCAAATCACCGACTTACACTACAGCCTCTGCCTCCCTCTAGTCTCGATGGGAATGAGACACATGGCGACAAAGGCAGCCAAGATTAGGGCGGCCGACAGGTAGATAGGGCCCGTGGTGCCGTCGCCGGGGACGGTAGCAGCAATGATGGGCGCCAACAGGCCCGTGGCGCGGTTGAGGAAGCTGGCGACGCCTGTGCCAGCTCCCCTGACGGGGGCGGGGAAGATCTCGGGCGTGAAGGCGTACAGGACGCCGTACATGATGTTCTGCGCAAACGCCTCGACGCACGAGAAGAGCAGCTGCGCCGACGCGGATCTCGCGCCGTACTCGGCAAAGAGAGACAGAAACAGAGCCGACACCAATGTTGATATGGCCAGCGTGCCGCGCCGGCCTAGGAACGGCGACTCCATGTCCACCGCATACGCCGCCAAGAGACTCCCCGGCACGCCGACAAGGCTCGTGATGACGTAGCTGCGGTACGCCTCGACCGTGAGCTGCTGTGATGACATGTTTGCTGCTGGTGGCGCCTGGCTGCTGCTGCCGCCGCCGCCATGCGAGAGATACTGCGGGAGAAAGGCGTTGAACAAGGGGTAGCCCATGCCTATCGTGGCCCAGCAGAACCACATGATGGCCGTAGTGAGGCCGAGCTTGCGGCTGCTGAACAGGGGGCGGATTCGCTCGGCCGAGAAAGAGGCGAGCCTGCTTTTGATGATGCGGGTGGTCGACAGGCGCCTGGGAAGGCGAGTGGCCGAGTCGTCGACGACAGCGTCGAGGATTTCCTCTGTTAGCCACGTCTTCTTTCCGTTCCGGAAGGCGATGCCATGGACGACAGCCACAGCCTCAGCCTGCCGCCCCCGCGAAAGCAGGAACTTGGGCGATTCGTAGAGGTGGAAGACGAAGAAGCGGATGAGGAACATGACAAAGGTTATAATACCAATTGTCAGAACGAAGCGCCTCCACCCCTGGTCCCCTGGCCAGTTGGCGATGAAGAACCAGGCAAACAGGGACGAGACCAATTGGCCGATGGGCCACCACACGGAGAGGAGGGTGAGAAGAGACGACGACGCGTCAGGAAGGAACTCGAGGAACAGGGCCCCGTCGACGGGCAGGTTCCCGCCGACGCCAAATCCTAGAGTAGCATACATGAGGCAAACCCCCCCCCAGCTCGAGGCCCAGGCCGAGGCGATGCCAAAGACGCTGGTGATGAGCAGGGTGGTGTTGAAGGCGAAACGCCGGCCCATAATGTCGGACCCAAAGCCCCAGAAAAAGCTGCCGAGACACAGACCTAAAAAGAGGGCAGAGGTCGTGTACCGAACCGACTTTTCCGAGATGCCAAACTCGGCGGAGAGCGAGGGGAGCGTCAAAGACACGCCCTGTCGAGAGGTCAGTCAGGGCTCTCGTACCCGAAACTCACCGCAATGGAAAATACAAGCCTGAATGCGCCGAGAGCTGCTTGCTTGCTTACCTGCATCCAGAGACTAGTCCGCCAAACAGCCGTCACAGCCTACGGTTAGAACTCGGTCCTACGTCTCAGCCCGGCACGTGTCTGTCGAGACTCACTTGTCTGCGAACCAGCCAAATCCGCACAGGATGAAGAGCTGCCAGTTATACCTGCCCATGCCAATGTCCTGGACGGCCTTGTTGATGAGCTTGGACTTCACTGCAACATGCGACAAGAGACACAGTTTAACCTCTAGACCCCCCACAACAGAGACAGACAGAGACATGAAGATGGACGGGCACTCACTCTCATAGGCAGTCCACTTCTCGCCCTTGGCACCTCTGCGGACCTCCATGCGCAGGCCTTGGATGCTGTACTCGGGCACGCTCATCTCAAGCATGGCCGTGCCTTCGTGGTCGTCGCCCGCCTTCCCACGGCCGCCGCCGTCATCGTCGTCGCCATCGACATCGACATCGTCATGGCCGTCGGTGCAGGAGGCCGCGGCTTCAAACGCGCGCCGGCCAGTCCGGTACGAGTGGCTGTGAACGTGGGCGTCCTCCAGGGCAACCAGCACGCCCGAGTAGTCGTTGACCGACTCGGTGCGGCGGCCCGTCCATAGCAATATGTCTGGGACCAACATGGTTGCTGCTCTTCAAATCCAGATGCCAAGACGACTTTGGGTACCTCGCGGGACCTGAGGCTCTTCGCTGCGAAGGAACCGAGGACGGCGTTGCGTTGGTGCTCTGTTCAGCTACCACAAACGAACAGGATCCAAGTACCGTGCCAATCCATGCACAGCCACACAACAAAAGATCAAAAAAGAAGGATGCGGTTGTCCGTTGTTGCTTCTCAAGGAAGGACGAATCCACTCCTTTGAGTTCGACTTTTGAAGGTTGGTGCCTCTGAAACAGGCGGACCGCTGGAATCGTCCGAAACCGTGGCAACGCTCAAAGAACGTTGCTCGCTCTTGGTGGAAATTGTGTCAAAAATGGAAACAGCCCATAGAAGAGAATATCCATGTGCCTGCCAGCCCAGGTTGCCAATTACATCCTTTCAATCCATGCTTTCGAGGAACTTGATTGAGGGAAAGAGCAATCCGTTTGGAGGGATGTCCGATGTATAAATGCACCGGAAGTGGTATGCACAGTTGCCATTTTTGGACGTAGCGCCTGCTCTGCCTCGTGTCAGAGCACCCACCACAGTGCACTCGAATCGGATTCGCGCCCCCCGCGTTGGGTGCTAAAAGGGGCGTCGCGCATGCATGACGGCGCCGGAAGCCAGGTCATGGGGCTTCTCGCGCTGCTGCATGGCGGTCACACGCCCCGGAATTCGTCTTGAAGGGCAGCATTGCTAACATCACCGTCACGTCCACCTGGCAATTGAACAAAAGGAAAGAGAGTAGGATTTAGTTATACAGAGTTTGGAAATTCGTAGCATTAATAGCATTAATAGCAACAAAAAAACGACGAGCCTTCGAAGCTGACACAAACAAAAAAAGGGAAAAAGCCAAAAGAAATCGACGTGGGCCTGATTCGAACAGACGCTCCCGAAGGAACAAGATTTCTAGTCTTGCGCATTAGACCACTCTGCCACCACGCCAGTGAGCTGTTACTTAACATGACCTTAGCTAAACACCTAATATGACAGGCACACTGGAATGCACTACGTCGTCAACATTAACCCCTCTCACCGCAGCGCAACTCTCTAACACGCCACACTGTAACTGCACTGGCAGGTTGCTTGTGGTGGGTACGTCACCGCATCGAGGGGCTTCTTCGCTCTGACGGCGCAACGCAGTGCAGAGCAGCGCCAGTATACGGAATAGCGTTCATTCCTAAACGGTTTTTCATGCGAAGAGCCAGCCAGATTTATCCCGTTCTGGCCTTTCGGATCTAGTTCTACTTGGTGCATACCTATACCTCCTACCTTGCACGTCCCCTCAATTAACCTCATCCTCCCTTCCCTTGCTCGCTGACGACATCGCAGCCCCACAACATCACCTCCCCACGACCCTGTCAGCCCCCGACGTCGCCCGAGAGGGAGACCCCCGAGTCGAGATGGCCGACCCAGAGATAGCCACCAAGGCCCCCGAGAGCGACGCCCAAGAAGATGCGCCTGCCCCAGCCCATGTCCCAGCCCCAGCCCCAGCCCCAGCCCCAGCCCCAGCCCCAGCCCCAGCTCCAGCACATGCCCCCGCGCCAACCCTCAGCGACCACTGCACCTCAGACCGCCCTACACCGGCCGGACGGGCCTCGACCGGCGAGATCACTAAGCTCGGCGACATCGATGTCTACATCTCCAAGCCGGCCGACTACCCGCACACGCCGTCGCGGCTGCTGCTGCTGCTGACGGGTGGGACGGGGCTGCAGAGCGTCAACAACCAGATCCAGGCGGACCGGTTCGCGTCCGAGGGCGGGTACGTGGTGGTTATGCCGGACCTGTTTGGCGGCGACGCGGCGCCCAACTCGACAAAGACGGCTTTCTCTGGCTCGTCAGAGTCGGGCAGCTCGCTGCTCGACACCTTCAAGACCAAGGCCGTCGAGGCCGCCAAGAGCTTCATGATCGACATGTGGCTGGCCCGCCACACCGAGGAGAAGGTCCTGCCCATCCTGCACAAGGTCCTCGACGCCGCCCGCGACGAGTTTGCCGACGCCGTCGCCTCGGGCGGCGGCATCTACGCCGTCGGCTACTGCTTCGGCGGCCGCTACATCTTCCTGCTGGCCGCCGAGCGCCCCGTGCCGCCGCCCTCGGGGGCTGGCGGGGGACTGACAATGCCGTGGTCTCCCAGCGTCGCTGCGTCTGCTGCTTCTCCGCAGCCGGGCGACGACGAAGAGGCCAGCCGGCCCAAGACGGCCGGGCCCTACATCAAAGCGGGCGCCATCGCCCACGCCACGCTCGTGTCGCGCGACGACTTCGCAGGCCTCAAGGCCCCCATCAGCGTCGTCTCGGTCGAGCACGACCCCATGTTCCCCGACGAGGTGCGCACCGCCGCCGAGGACTACATGAGCAAGAACAATGTCGAGCACGAGGTCCAGGTCTACCCGCGCGTGCCGCACGGTAAGTTCTTTTTTTGTTTCTCGTTTACGGTTTATGGTTTGCCGATGCACATGCACCCCCCACACCTTGGCTGGCCCCATGGCTGATAGACATCACCTGCAGGATTCGCTGTGCTGGGCGACTACGACGACCCAAACATCCAGCAGGCGCAGGTCACTGCCTTTGAGCAGATGCTGAAATGGCTCAACGACCATTGATGACGGACTTGTCTTCTGCTGGGGCAGAGGCAAAGGGCTGGAGAGCAGGAGCGTGGCATTCCGGGTGAAAAATGGGGTGGCCTTCTGCTCTGTGTGTACATACAGTACGTATAGTGCAGGGTTTACCTATATGCCTACGTACCTAGGTACCTACTGAGGACTCTGAATGCTAGCGGGTTTGCCAAAAAAAATAAGGGGGAGATGGAAAAAGGGAGGTGCTGCTCATTACTACCATCCCAAGAAACAAAAACAAACTAAAAACCTAGAATTGCCCAACTTCCACTCTTCAATGTATCTCGCCTACTCCACAAACACAACAACACGCCTCTAAAATCTTCAGGCAATAGTACAGATGATCTTGCCCATAGTCGTATTCTTCTCAAGCAGCTGATGCGCCTCAACAATGCGCTCCCACGGCAGCACCGTGTCGACAAACACTTTGAGCACACCGCTCTCAAACTGCGGCAGGTACTCCTCGAGCTTGTCGCGCAGCCGGCCCTGGTACTCTTCGTCTCTGCTGCGCAGCGTGCTGCCCTCGACGCGCGCGCGCTTGAGCAGCAGCTTGCTGATGTCCAACTTCTCAACCACGGCCCCGCCCATCAGGCCCAAGATACAGATGGCACCATCACGCGCCACCGCGTCGAGGTTGCGCTGCAGGTACGGCGCGCCGATAAAGTCGACGACGAAATCCACGCCCTTCCCGCCCGTGCGCGCGAGCACAGCCTCGGCCCAGTCGTGTTCCACGTCCTTGTAGTTCAACGCGGCGGTGGCGCCGAGCTCGCGCTCAACAAAATCGCATTTCGCAGCGGACCCAGCCGTCGCGAACACGGCGGCGGCCCCCGCGAGGCGCGCGAGCTGGATGCCCGCGATGGACACGCCCGACGCGCCGGCGTGGAACAGCACGGTTTTGCCCTGCTGGATCCCCAGCACGAAGTGCAGCGCCTGCGCGGCCGTAATGAACGTCTCGGGCACGCCGGCGGCCTGCTCGAACGTCAGGTGCGGCGGCTTGCGTAGAAGTGTTCGTGTGGACACGACGACGAACTGCGCGTACGCGCCGCCGTAGGTGAGGCCGAACACGTCGTCGCCGATGGTGAATTTTTCTGAAGAGGAGGAAGGGCCGAGTGCTGCTACTGTCCCGCTGAACTCGACGCCGAGTGTGGCGGGCGCTTGCGGTGGCAGTGAGTACCGCCCTTCGCGTTGGAGGAGATCCATGCGGTTGAGCCCAAAGGCGCGCACGCGCACGAGAGCCTGGCCGGGCCCTGGTACGGGCTTGGGCACGGCGTCGTTGATGAACAGGGCGGCGGCGGGGCCTTTTCCGCCTTTGATGTCTTTAATGGGGGTGCATGTTAGTGGTTATAGTTGTGTTGTGGGAAACTGAGTCAGAAACGGGGGGGAAGAGGTTAAAGGGGATAGCTGTTGAGTTGTACGAGCAAGTCGACTAACTGGCTGACGGGAATAGCGAGCGAGAGAGAGAGAGAGAGAGAGAGAGAGAGAGAGAGAGAGAGAGAGAGAGAGAGAGAGAGAGAGAGAGAGAGAGAGAGGAGGGCAAAGAGGTGTTGTTAGTGATCGGGGACAGAAATGGCGAAACTGAGTCTACGACATTGTCTAGATCAAGAATAAGACCCACCAACTGCCTTCATAACTTCTGCCATTGTGTTTAAAAAAGACTCTGCAGAGACTCTGGCATTGGTTTGTTGTTGCGGTAGAGCCCCTGTTGTTGACTTTGGGTTTCTGTGTGACAGCTGAATGAAGCTTCGACTCAACCACGACTGTTTTCCTCTTTCGTAATAAAGCAACGGGCTCGCAAAGAGTTAGTGCCCAGTTCGTTATAAATGAGTTTCTCTTTCAGAGGCTTGTCCCACCTATTATCAACTCCTGTACGTTTCTGGCTGCTCCCGTCGTTGGGTTACAAAAGGCTGGCAGCTGACCAAATGTGTTTGAAGTGGTTCGAAAGAGTGCAACTAGAAGCTTAGTTTGGCCAATAGCCTCAAAAGCACGACTACACACGGCGAAGCTGAAATGTCGTGCTTAGAAATTGTCTATGACGTGCGGGATGCTTCCCCGCTGCTCCCGTCCGTCTCCTCATTCTTATCCCGAGGCTTCTAGAACTAGACGTGCTCGGCTGGATAGCGGGGTCGGTAACTCCAGCCGAAGCACGGCAAAGGTAAACCCGGAGTCTCGCTGGCTCTCTGATCTACCTAGCGCAATCAAATGTTCCGGCACTAAAGAAGAATATTGGCGCCATACTGTCGGGCAGACAGAGCCCGGTCCGCCTTGCCATGTTCAATGGCCCGCAGTCAACAACAGCCACAGGTTAACAGACTCAGTGGGCGTCGTACGTGGCGCCGTGCGTGCTGCCGTGGCTGCTCAACTCCGGTTTCACGGGAGCCCAGGAGCTGCGAAGCGGAAATGAAGCTGCACGGATCACGACGAGAGACAAGACAGTGAGACATAGAGAGCCCGATGCGCAAAAGAAGGAGCAGACACGATCCAGCGAGCCTGTAGTACACGCCCGGGCCGGTTGTTGGCAGCAAGCAGAGAGCCTGTCTCAATTATAGTTAATTGGCATTAAGCTCTCCGTTTCCACAGCCATGTGTCCAATGGATTTCCGTCTGAAGTCTCGGGCTGTGCCACAACGGTCAGATGAAGCGAATATGCACGCCGAGGCGAGGTGCCAGCGAGAGAGAAAGCGAGAAGGATCCGTAATGTGCCAACGAAATCAAATAAATCTTTGAGAAAAAACAACCGATCCTTGAAGCTGACGATATATATCTCGCACAAGGAAGGCAAACGGCGCAGTGTGATTATACATAGTAGACGGCTATATGAGTGCGACCGCGACGCTATACTCACATTCGGGGCCCTGTCATCTTGACTGTCCCGACCGAGTCTCGGGTCCGTCAATGTATCGACAACAGTGTTTGTTTCTCAGACTCATACAGCAAGCAGTCGCAGCTGGTTGCGCTTGCAGGTCAGATACGCTCTGCACCGAAGCCGTAATATTTTGATCTTTCTAGAGCTTGGGTCCGCTGCCAACCCCGCATGCGTAGGCAGCGTCCTGGACAGGACCCGGATAGGAGAATGTGGAAGGTGGGCGTTACTCCACTTGCCTGAACGGCTTTCATTTTCCAATCATTACCACGTCGTATATGGAGTCATGGTACCCGCCTTCGTTAGAACTTGTGGGGAAAGCGACTGAACTTGCATTACCGTCCTGCAATGCTGCAGGTACGGTGCCAGTGGGCTCGGTGGCCCGCCCCATCCAATCTTCTCAACGGCGGGAGCGCGTTCGCTTTCTCTAAAATCTTCTCGCTCTGCCATCCATCCGCCCAAGGGGGTTGCCACAGTGGAAGAATCCCAGTATCACTAGAGACGGCTACTGGGCTATTGGGACAGTCGGGCTGTGCTGAAGAGGGACACATGATTACCGGACCGCAAAGTCAGTGACGAATCTGATGGCAGCTTGCAGCTCCAGATTCGGTTTCCAGTCGTGCCTTCTTCGAGATCCGCACGGATCCCTGCAGCGCCCAGTGCGCCGCCGAGGCCGCCACACGCAGGTCCACGCAGGTACCAGGCACGCGAGGGAAGGCACGAGGCAGGTCACTCACGCCTACGGTGGTGTGGCCACTCACACTGTCACTGGGCCAAGGGACCTTCCCACATCGGATGGGCAGTAGGAAATTGGCCCGTCCAAACCGCTGGTCGGCCTCTTCCCGTTGGTCGGGGCCCTGCCGATTCGAGATCCACACACCCCCTTTTCCACGCCCCCCAAACGCCTCCCTTCCAGGCCAGCCCGGGGCCAGCGAGCCCAGTGATTTGACTGCGCTTAGATAACCTGGCCGAAAGCATCCAAGTAAAATGGGCTGCCGCAGATTGCCCTCCCCAGACAGCAGAGACTGGGGTCCGGGTAGCGCCCTGTCCACTGTAACCTGCTCCGTAGTCGCGTCGGCCGGCCGCACTGGCAGCGGGCGATCGCCGTGGGAAGCCCTGCGCGGTATATAACACGACGGGCAGCGCAGCGAGTGGCGCCGCCTTCTCTCCTTTCCCTTCTCTTCACCACCACCAACACGCTCTCTTAACAAACAAACCAACCCTGACTTTTTAGTCAATTCCACTCGTTTTCACGAATCCAGCGCTCTTCAACCCTGACTACTCGCCAGACTCTCTCGCCAACTTCACTCTTCGAGTACATATTGTAATACCCGAACAAACAAACTCAAATCTGTCAAGATGAAGTTCTCCGTTGCCGCCGTCCTTGCCGCCGCCGCTGGCGCGCACGCCTGGTCCAACGTGACCTACGTCACCGAGGTTGTCACCGCCGTCACCACCTTCTGCCCCGGCCCCACCCAGATCACCTACGGCGGCACCACCTACACCATCACTGAGGTACGGAATCCACCCGGGGGTCGTCTACCATGTGGGATTGGGAGCGGCCTGGGAGCGTCTTGATAGAAGGCAGGCGCATATCAAGGGCAGGGGGAATAGGGGGAAACACAACCCGATCACCGCTGCTGCCACGGCCTACGCTCTACTTCTATCAAAACGCTTCGGAGAAACTCTCGAGATCTTCACCTTGGCCCTCGTTCTCGAGAGACAAGGGGCAGCACCACGAATCACGCAAGAAACAAAGCTAACAAACTCACTATCTAGGCCACCACCCTGACCATCACCGACTGCCCGTGCACCGTCACCAAGCCGGTGTCTGTTATCTCGTCAGTGGCATGCCACACTTGGTGCGTCTCAGCGGCGCGAATGGGACACGCATCCCATGCCAGAGCATCGAGCGCTAACCTGAGTTCTTCGTATTTATAGCAGCGCCCCTGCCTACCTTAACAGCACCGTCAGCGCTGCCCCCACCAGCAGCGTGCCTCTCACCACTGCCGCCACCACTGCCGCCACCACCACCAGCGCCCTGCCCACCGCCGGCGCTGGCCGCGTCGCCGCCCTCTCGGGCGCCGGCCTCGCCGGTGTCCTCGGCCTCGCCGCTTTCGTCCTCTAAGTTCCTCGCCCAGGATCTCGTGCAATTCACTTTGCCCGAGCCGGAGGGGACAGCCCCGCGCGCTTGTCTCCGCCCCCCGCCGCTATTAGTTCATTTTTATTCGCGCTTGCTCTGGAGTCCCCCTTTGTGCTGAGGGGTATTTGGTGCAGACCGGGAGTGGCGGAGGATGGAGATGTGCGCCGAGGGTTTGTGAGAGGATGTGGTTGGGTCCGAGGAAAGGGGGGGAAGGAGTGGTTGTCTTGGATGAAGCCCAGTTTTTGGATGACGATGAAGTTGTTTGGATCCGGGGAGGAGCGGAGGGGGGGAAAGGGAGGGTCTGACTACCTATCAAAGGCGACAAGAACTGCACTGTGATTCGCTTCACAGTTGTACATGATGCATTGGGATTCGCTTCCCAGTGTAGAACCTGTCTGTCTCCTTTGGTTTTTGGTCGATCTTCCTGGGGGCCGAGCGTCTTGTTCATCGCCGCGCTTTGCGTCCCAGCCACCCTTTTTGAGGTTTTTCAATCCAACCCCCTCGGCAGAAAAAAAAAGGTGTTGCCCTATGGAGAGAGGGAAAGCGAGTCAAATCCCTTTTTTTTCTCTGGACAAAAAAAACAATACCAACACCTTTCAAAACCTCAACTTTTGTCGTGTTTCTCTTCTCTTTTTTTGTCGTGTCGTGCTCTGTCTGGCCTGGTGGTGCTGCTCCGAGTCGCTGACGACGAGCACGACGGGCAAACCCCTTTTTATTGATAAAAAACTGGACGTGTTTTATAAACCCAGTCCCTGGGAACATCAGCCTGCGGGAATCCTGTATATTCTTCTGTATATATCTATCCCAGACAAACCCAGGCTTTTGGACCCACGGAACTTGTTGGCGCTCGGCAGTATATGCCATGCCTCGTCTACTCACTTGCACGAGGTGAGCCGCCTCTCTTCTATTGTCTCAATGGACCGGTGAATCGTGGATGCGGTTTCGTGATAATATTGGTAAACGTGATGATGAATGGGCAGACGTTGGAACTGCCCTGACCGAATCAACCAACCCGGCTCACGGATCGAGGAGGACATCGCACAGCATGTCTAGCGCAGGTATGTAGGTACGTACACAGGTGATCGATCTCACACGACGTCAAGATATGCAGTCAAACTCGTCACCATGGGCGTCACTCAGGCGTCTTATCACCATTATCGCCCTAGCCGCGTGGATCTGATATCCCGCAACCCGCACGGGCGGCGCTGCCGCGGCGGCTCATAATGCTCATTATTTCATGCTTATAACTTGCTTAGGCACGCATACAGGCGGAATATATAAATGGATATATGCCCCGATACCCACCTCTAGTAGTTAATCCCCCAGAACTTAAGTTTGGCCCGTTTGATGTTCTACCATGTTTTCTTATTCCTGCCCTCCGGCCCTCCGGCCTTCTCGCTTCGTTTCTCGGATTCCAGGTTGACCTGCCCCCGGGAAAGCGTGAAACAAACGACCAGAGAAGAATAAAACACCGGTAATCTTCACTTGGAATAATAACCCAGAAAGAGCGAGGGAAGCATCCAGAGGTTTCTTGCTCGCATTCCTATTTCCCCTTTTTTTGTGGGATTTATCACCGAGAATACGTATATTCTACTGACTTCGTAATGCCCCTTTTCTTTAGGTACAGTACAATCCAATCCCTGAATGTTTGTTGGCGTGGTATCCGTACTTTCTAAGATCCGAATGGCCTTGGTATCTTACGACTCGTCGTAAAGGCTTTTCGCTGAGGAAGGTAATAGCTATTTAGTCCCTGTTTAATGATTCTGAAGGCCAATTCCTTCTCTAGAAATACGAAAAAAAATATAAGAGTTCCAGCAGTTGGTTCTGATCAGCAAGACTGAAAAAGGGGCGAATATTTGCGTGAACGAACAAATCCTCCTCCCCGCACACTCGCTTATCCGTACTTGCACCCTCCGGTAATTGTCCCACAGATACCTCGATGCGTAGTATGTATTCACAACATTGAGCACAAGAGTCCGAACTAGCTTACAGACTTCCTCAAGAGCCGTGATTAGCAATCCCCAAAATGCAATTACAGCGTGCGCGCGTGACTGACTATGTACGCCGTCCATAATAAATAATGATAATAAATATGCCCCGCGACAACACGAGCATCTATGTGACGTGACGTGTGTGGGACTGCGATGTGATGTGTGTTAATTACTATTACGTAGCCTGGGGGCATCTATCCATCGCATCACGATCGATCCTCTTTGGCTTGTTTCATTTCTTTTTTTTCTTCTTCTTTTGCCTTTCTGTGTTTCCCCCTCTGGTTCGCTCCTCGCGCACACATGCAAAGTCACACGGAAGCCACATGCAGCTTGGTGTGCGTCATGTCACGGTGACTACACCACTAGATCCCCAGAAGGAACGTGGAAGGAAGGGATGATATGCAAGGAATCTGACGGAAGTGGGAGATGTTCATTTTTCTCTACACGAAACTACTGGGGGGCCGTCGTTCCATCCATCATCCTTTTGGAAGGGGATGATGATGAGGTGGGATTCGTCTCTAAAATCCAAACGGAAGGTGCGACAACACAGCCCTCCTTTCTTTTAGAGTTCGAATTAAATCTCTCGGATGGAGGAAGACCCCAAATGGGAAAGGGGGAAGGGGCGGCGGTGGCCAATAAGCGAGATTGGGACAGATCCCCTGGCCGCAATTCGCCTCTCTTTGGTTTCTTGTTTATTATTTGCCGTTACTCCGTATTTGTTCTTGACACTCCTTCTCTTTACGATATATATAAATAATAAAAGGGCGGGGCGGAAACGTTTCGGCTCCATCCTAACCGTTCGCTTTCGCTCTGTAGGTGCAGTGCCAGTCAGGTCATGATTCCGTCTGCTGCTTGCTTGCTTGGTCAATGGTCCGTGTGCTATTGTTAGCTCTGCTGTGCGACACGAGACAAGAGAGACAAGAATCGAGCGGTCAACAATTGGCTTGCGTCGATGCCGCAGCTGCGTTAGGTTATCAGACTTGGGCAGGGCGATGTCCCCTATTGCCAGATGGTCCGAGTCCGAGCGAGTGAGTGGCTATCAGCAAGAGACAACAATACTGCTACTTACCAAGACGACCGTGATGTGTGAGTGAGCCGTCAACGTCGGACCAAAGGAACCACCATTGAAGTACTTGGCATCGAAAGAGGCGAGCCGCTCTTGGCAGTTCCCGACTTGAAACCACGTCTAGATTCCTTTCTGGGTATGTAAGGATATCTCTAGGTTCTTTATGGCTTGGGTCATGCCGCCTGCGAGTTCTCGGACGCTGCCATGGGTGTTCGGCAATAAAGAAGAACAGGGGACGGGCCAATGGGATTTCCCCGCGCTGAGTCTCCGGACGCCCAGCCAGCCGAGAGCCGTCGGTCGGGGTAAGGGAATGCGGGGCGAAGGTCGGTCGTATAGGTAACCGTCGCCGAGGCGCACCAACATCATGCCATGTCGATGCTGGACGGCCGGCCATACGGCAAGGACATTAATGATTCGAGACGGACGACGACGCAGACAGTATTGATGACTGAACTCGTTCTATAAGTGACTCTAAAGCTGAATACCTATTCAATATTCGCGTGGCTCTGCCTGTCCCTGAGCAAATATGGCAGACCGCGACCATCCCCAGGACCAGGTGCAGCACCACTCGCTCACCGACCCCGAGAGCTTCTGGGGTCACCAGGCCGAGCAGCTGCACTGGCACAAGAAACCGTCTGCGGTGCTCAAGAGGACTACCAAGAAGCTGGAGCAGAGCGGCGCCGAGCATGATCACTGGGAGTGTAAGTCACGCTTCTCTCTTTCAATTTCTCTTCTCTGTGTGCTAGCCTCTATGTAGGGTTCCCCGACGGCGAGATATCGACGTGCTACAACTGCGTCGACCGCCACGTGCTCGCGGGCCGCGGCGATGACCCGGCCATCCTGTACGACAGCCCCGTCACGGCCACCAAGGGGCGGCTGACGTACGGCAAGCTGCTCGACGAGGTCGCCACCTTTGCTGCTGTCCTGCGCCAGGAGGGCGTCAACAAGGGCGACGTCGTGCTCGTGTACATGCCCATGGTTCCCGCCACCCTGGTCGGTATCCTGGCCATCGGCCGGCTCGGCGCGATCCACGCCGTCGTCTTTGGCGGTTTCGCCCCCGCCGCCCTCGCCCAGCGCATCGAGGCCTCGCGCCCCGTCGCCATCCTCACCGCCTCGTGCGGCATCGACGGCAACAAGCCCCCCGTCGCCTACCGCTCCTACATCGAGGAAGCCGTCCGCCTCTCGGCCTGGAAGCCCCCGCGCATCATCATCTGGTATGTTGTTTCTTTCAGTACCTAGTAAAAGAATGTATGCTGACAAAAACAATGAATGAATAACCAGGCAGCGCCACGAGCTCTCTTGGCACCCCGTCCGCAAGACGGACGGCGAGCGGAACTGGCAGAACCTGGTCAAGAGCGCCCGCGGCCGCGGCCTGCGCGCCGACTGCGTGCCCGTGAAATCAACTGATGGCCTGTACATCATCTACACGAGCGGCACGACGGGGCTACCAAAGGGCGTGCTGCGCGAGGCCGGCGGCCACGCCGTCGGGTTGCACCTGTCCGTCTCGTACCTGTTTGGGATCCACGGGCCCGGGGATGTCGTGAGTCCTTCTTCTTCTCACCAAATCTTGTCAATCTAGTCCGCTCGACCTACTAACACCTCATCATCTAGATGGGCTGCTTCAGTGATATCGGCTGGGTGGTGTCGCATAGCTACACGCTCTACGGGCCGCTGCTGGCCGGGGCGGCGACGGTGCTGTACGAGGGCAAGCCGGTGGCGACGCCGGACGCGGGGGCCTTCTGGCGGCTGGTCGACGAGTACCGCATCAACGCCGTGTTCACGGCGCCGACGGCCCTGCGCGCCATCCGCAAGGACGACCCGGACAATGCGGCCATCGCCGCCGTCGGCGCCCGCGGCGGCCTGCGCTCCCTGCGCGCCATCTTCCTCGCCGGCGAGCGCTCCGAGCCCGCCCTCGTCACCATGTACGCGGGCCTCTTGGCCAAATACGGCGACCGCGCCGGCGCCCGCGTTATTGATAACTGGTGGTCATCTGAATCTGGCTCACCTATCTCGGGCATTGCCCTCGTGCCCCACGCCGGCAGGGACCGCGCGGCAAACATCAGAGACGTCCCGCCCCTCGAGATTAAGCCGGGAAGTGCCGGAAAGGCCATGCCGGGGTTTGATGTGCGGTATGTGTGCATCCATCTCATCCCTCCATGACCTGTGTATGTGAGCGTGTCTATTCTCGCGTTGAAAAGCGAGCAAACACTGACACGTCCTCTTGACCCCACACCACAGCACGATCGACGACGACGGCAACGAGGTGCCGCGCGGCACCATGGGCAACATTGTGCTGGGGCTGCCGCTGGCGCCGACGGCGTTCCGCACGCTCTGGGAGGACGAGGAACGCTTCTACCGAGGCTACCTGAAGCGCTTCGGCGGGCGCTGGCTCGACACGGGCGACGCCGGCTGGGTCGACGACAGGGGGTACATTCACATCATGGCGCGGTCTGGTGCGTATTCATTCACCTAGAAGCTTCCCTCCTTGTTACGTCGCCTGGATTGTCGATAGCTAACAAGGAGGCTGTACCTCTCTAGACGACCTCATTAACGTAGCCGCCCATCGGCTCAGCACTGGTAGGTTTTCCCTTTTGTTCTCACGCCCTGTTCGACCAAACCAGCCGAACTAACCAACCCTCACCAACCACAGGCGCGCTCGAGCAGGCCATCACCAGCCACCCGCGCGTGACGGAAGCGTGCGTAGTAGGCATCCCAGACGATCTCAAGGGCCAGCTGCCGTTTGCCTTTGTCGCCACCACCACCGACCCCACCGACACCGCCGAAAACAACAACCAACTGCTCGCCGAGATCCAAACCCTAGTCCGAACACAGGTCGGCCCTATCGCGACGCTGGGTGGTGTTATCTACGGGCGCGGCATGATCCCCAAGACGCGGTCGGGCAAGACGCTGCGGCGCGTGCTGCGCGACCTGCTGGAGAACGCCGTGCACGGCGAGCTGGAAACCAAAACCGTGGCCGTGCCGTCGACCGTCGAGGACGCGGCCGTCGTCGATGTTGCGAGGGACAAGATTCGCGAGTATTTTGCTGTGCACGGCGCGGCGCGGCACCGCGCCATTGACGCGCGGGCTAAGCTCTGATGCGGCAAGATTAATGAGTGAATGGCCGTCTGTCTGGCTCGGCTCTGGTAATGTGAATAGAAATAGGGACTTGCTGACTGGCTGACTCTTGTTTCTGTTGAGAGACTGGTTGCCCGTAAATGGCAAAACGGGCGGGTGAGTGGGTGGCGGGAGGCCAGAAAAGGGCACCCCCTATCCATATTTATATGCATACGCAAAAAAAAACCGACCAAAAAAAGAAGTAGACGAAACGTGTTTGGAGCTGGTTACACGTAGCATGTGCTTTACTGTTTTCCCCTCCTTGAAATATATGTACGTCTATATACATGCGGCGTCTATCTCGAGGGCCTTTTAGTTTAGTTGAACACTACGAGCAAATAGCGTTAAATATTGGCGTTTAGAGCCTCAAAACAAGACAAGGAAAGGGACACCGCCGAAGCCGTGAGCTATGCGAGTTTGTTTTGCTTGTTTATTCGTATTATCACCGCCCTGCACCAAGTCAAGGCAAGGCAAGGCGGGGCAGGGCATGACCTTCAAATCTTTCTATATATGTGCGTGTCTGACCGACGTCAAAAAATTCCCCAGAAAAATAAAAAGCAGAAAAACAAAAAGCAGAAAAACATGTACATCACCTCGTCCCTCTCGCTCCCGCAGGCGCGTCCACCCTCCGCTTAGTGAGCGACCTACCGAGCGCGTCGCGCACCATGGGGTCGCCGCGGATGGTGTTCTGCACCAGCCACTCCTTGACCTTGCTTCGCATGGCGGCCAGCATGTCGCCGTCGCCGGCGTACGGCGCCATCTCCATGTCCAGCAGCCGCGAGGCGTCCGAGTCGAGGCCCTTGGCCACGGCCTCGAGGCGGTCTAGGCCCTGCCGTAGCGCCACGTCGTTCTCACCCGCGCCGCCGCCGTGGCGCCTCGTGGCGATCTGCCCGCCCGACGTGTCCGCCGTCAGGAGCGGGCCGATCTGCATCAGCGCGATGGACAGCGTGATGCTGAGCTGTCGGGCGAGGGTGATGGCCTGGAAGGGCAGATAGGGGACGCGGGAGCCGCCGCCGGCAAACAAGGCCAGCAGCGGGTTGAGCAGCTTGTCGACGACGGCGGGGCGGCCGGGGCGCGTCATAGTGTGGGCCTCAAAGGCGAACATGGCGGCCATGGCCAACCACCGCTCGTACCGGCCCCAGTCCATGTAGCCCAGCAGGCCGAGGCCGTAGAGGGCGGCAGCGCTGACGCCGTAGTGGGCCAGCAGCACCTGGCCGCCGACCGTCACGTAGTCGCGCACCGTCTTGCAGCGCTGGGCGCCCCAGCCGACGGCGGCGGGGCCGAAGCGGTCGTAGGCGAAGCGCCGCGCCGGGTCTAGCAGCGTGTCCGAGGCCGTCTTGAGGTGGATGAAGTACGTGTTGACGGCGTCGGGGTCCGTCGCCATGTCGGCGGCGGCGTCCCCCCCTCCCTTGCCCACCTTGTCTGGGTGGAAGGTGGCGGCCAGGCGACGGAAGCGCGACTTGATCTCGCGGTCGGTAGCGTCGAGGCCGACGCCTAGGTCGCCGTAGAAGCTGCCGGCGCGCTGCAGCTCGTAGTCGGCCTCGTAGATGGTGTAAGCCAGGTAGACGGACACGACCAGGATGTGGATGCGGCGGCGGTGCTCGGCGTAGCGCGGCGTGCCCGGCTGCGGCTTCGCCTCGCCCGCCCGGATCGTGATGCCGTAGTAGATGGCCTGCACCCAGCCCGTGACGAGCTTTTGCGCCGACGCGTTAGCCTATGTGAGGGTTCATTAGGCATACCACAAACAGAAACTCACATTCGGAAGGAAGCTCCAGCCCAACAACGAGAGAACGTTCAACATGGTCGTCTACTGCTGCTGCGACAAGTCAAGGTTGCTCGCAAGCAAAGGAATTCCGCTGTTTTCCTCGACGCAAGAGTTAAGTCATGATGGGGGAGCAAGCTACAAAATGGCGAATAAACAATTTAGAGGTGGGGTGCGGGCTCGTTTGAGGAATGGGCGCAAGGAAAGGACGATCGCAGATCGCCGTGGCGTATGCCTCGAACGCGGCCAGAGGTCAACCTGTCCAAGTCGCTTCAGCCCTGGCGATCGGCTTTAGGTTGCGCCCGCCTGCTGCGTGCAGGGTTAGTGCTGCGCAGTGGTCACTGGTGGCGGGCGGGCGGGTTCAGGTGGTCTAACGGCACGTGCGGCGGCCAATCTTCGGCTGAATCCGGGGAAGGGTACACGCTGTATGTTTCTCGAGGGTTAGGGGCTGCATTGAAGCCGTTGATCACCACGGGTGCCAATCGCAATTCCGGTGTCTGACCACGTCCACTTCACGCAAGTAAACGAGTTTCTCTTTATTTCACTTTCAATTCTTTCTTGTTTTTTCTCTGTTATATCTATAAGCCAAATCCTCATCTAGGCGGGCTTGCTCTGAACACCTTAGCATGTAAGGTACCTAGCATCCCACGGATACGGGAAGTTAAGTTACACACCCATACCATCTCCAACCTGGAATATTCTCCCGCGCTACACTGACAAGCAAACACGAGCGACAAACAGCCCGATCCGAGCTGCCAAGGGAATCAATTAATGAGCAGGTTAATTCTAACAGTCTGCGTCCGTCTGGTAGCGACTTTAATAAACAAAAGAACTTGCAATGGAAAAAGCCAAAGCCCAAGAAACCTGTGAAGAAACAGTCCAATCACGACGTCGTCCAAAAAAGACGGGAACAAATCTACCACCTACCTACTCCGTACCTAGTCCGTGATCATGTCATAATCTGGACATCATGTCATAGTTTGCGGCACATGGTAGCGAACGCAAGATAACCGAGCGATGTAGCAGGATCCTTCCCTGGTTTCTACTCCGTACATAGTACAACTCAGTAATACACAGGTACTGTACATATAGCCTGAGAGGAGTTGACAGCGTTGATAGCCCGCAACACTCATATATGATCTACGAATATCTAGGCCCAGTTGCGGAATCGCGAATTGTCGGTGGACGCCTGCTAGTGATAAAGATAAGTATCTATATGTCCGATTTCTTTCTCATCCCATGCTCTATGCCCCATAGTAGATAGCTCGTCAGGAGTTGTCTCGCCTATCTCGTTACATAACGAAGACACGCACACGCACCACACCATGCCCATCGGGAAAAGTTTTGATGTGAGATAATACCTGGTATCGTATAGCAACCGTAGAATTGGGCCATACCAAGGTCTCGTACCGTATATATAGACATAATTACATACCTACGTCTTAAAGACATGCTTTGAACCAGGTAGTCCCTTGGTAGTTGGCGAGGAGTGGCCTCAAAAGAAAAGCATCGTCACAGTACCAAAATGTCCCACCGAAGCTATGTGACACACCCGCGACCTGCATACCTAGCCACACCATAATAACAGCCAGTCCAACAAGATAGACAAGGTATACACGGGCAGGGACCAAGATAAAGTACTTTGTACTCACAATAAGATGCTGATTTGGTTCCTCCCGAGGCCGGGGCAGGGCAGGGGGGGTATTTGCGTTGGCCACTTATTCCTTCGGGAAATTCCATTTTCAAGATACAGAACGAAAAAAGAACGAAGAAGGAAATAGCAGGTATAAAACCCCATCCCCCAGTCCAGCTCGACATCGAAAGAGAGGGATTCGCCCACTTGCTGCCGAGTCGAGTCGTTATTGTTGTTAATAATGCAGGCCGAGGTACAAACCACACGGCGGCCATAAACCACACCATCCAGACTGGATTGGCGCGATTTTGCCGGGGAGAGGGGGTTAAATGCTGGCGCGGCTTGGCCTCTGTCCAAATCCAAATCCAAATCCAAAAAAAAAAAAAAAAAAAAAAAACGACGTCGATATTGGGGAAAAGAGAAACGGCGACAACGCTTAAAACTACACTACATACACTACAGTGCTAGCTCGGTGCGGGGGAGGAGTATGGGAAATAGGAAATTGGGAATGGGAAGGGGGAAAAAGAGCCAACGACCCCGTCGCTTCCCTGCCCGCCCGCCCGCCCGCCCGATGCGCTCCGTCCAATGGGCAACGCGGCAGCTTCCAGAAACGGATAGCTTAAGCGGACGCAAAGGCTGAAGCTCGCAACAAGGACATGGAGCTCTCGCACTTTCCCCAGGTTTTTGTCGCTCGGGCTCGACCACCCCGCCATCGCCACCACTACCACCACTCATCCTTGCTTCGCCCTGGCTCGCTGCATCTACATACCATACTATACCATACATGCACCATGTGGAGAGCTTTGACAACGCGGGATTCATTTCCTGACTCCTCGCATATGTGGTCGCTCCCCTCGTGCTGCTGCCGTGTGTGCCTTGGCCGGGAGGGGTAGTGGTGTCTAGTAGACACTCCCAAGCCAGTAGCTCTTGATCGTCTAGTCTCGCTGTTGCGTTGCTTCTTGCCCTCATCTGACTTGTTCTCTATCGCTCTTGCCCGGGTCCTTATCATACCCCTCCCCCCTTCTCAGCTGGACAGGTCTCGACTTCTCAAACACACCAGCCCTCGGATTTACTTCGCCAGCTTGTCACTTGTCAAGACTCACGAGTATCAATAACCCGTCGTCCCGTCTTCCCGCCCTGTTTGGCCAAGACTCATTAATCAGAACACCAAAATGCCCATCAAATCACGGTGGACAGCTCCTATCCCGCGCTGCTCCCTCCAGCAATGGGTATTCGGGTCCGCTTGTGGCCCCGTCCACGACTACCGGGCCTTGATCGACCCCGAACGGCCTGACACAAACTTCCTCACCCTAGACGACTTCCGCCTGCTGTCCAAGCGCGTGGCCCTGGGCCTGCAGAAGGCCGGGCTGAAGCCCGGGGATCGGGTGCTGCTCTTTTCTGGCAACAGCCTCTTCGTCCCCTCCGTCTTTCTCGGCATCCTCATGGCCGGCGGCATCTTTACAGGTGCCAACCCAACCTTCGTCCCGAGAGAGCTGGCGTACCAGCTCCGCGACAGCCAAGCCAGCTTCCTGATTGTCGCCGAGCCGGCAAAGGAGATAGCTTTTAAGGCGGCAAGGGAGGCCGGCCTGCCCGACGATCGCATACTTCTCTTCGGCGGCGATACCCTAGCGCCCGAGCTCGCCCGGAGCCCAAACCCTGGGCCGGGAGCCCAAGGGCGGGCAGGAAAGGCACGGCACTGGACGGAGCTCCTGGCCGGAAACCTCGAGCATGCCAAGGGCTGGAGCTGGCAAGAGCCTTTGGACACGACCGTCACAACCTGCTGCCTCAACTACAGCAGTGGAACAATGGGGGTCCCCAAGGGGGTCGAGATCTCGCACTACTCGTACGTCGCCAATGGCGTAGGCGTCGAGTTTGCCAACGACCTGGATCCCGACGCCCAGGAAAAGCGGAAGCAGGCCCGCGCTCTCTGCTTTCTTCCATTGTACCACGCGTACGGGCAGACTTACTTCGTCACCATCTACCCGCGCCTCCACATACCCGTGTACATAATGCCTAGCTTCGACTTCGTCAAGGTGCTTGATTACGTTCAGCGCTACCGCATCACGGCCCTGATGTGCGTGCCGCCTATTGTTGTCGCGCTGGCTAAGCACCCCTTGACTAAAAAGTTCGACCTGTCCAGCGTCACAAGCATAGGCTGCGGGGCAGCGCCTCTAACGCGCGAGGTTTCTGACGAGGTGGAGAAGTTGTTCCAGGACAGAGACGTCTTCGTCCGCCAGGGATGGGGTATGACAGAGACAACATGCACGTGCATGTCCTGGGACCCTAAAATCCGAGGCCACAGTAGCGGCGTGGGCGAGATGATGCCAAACTGCGCAGCGAGGCTCATGGCGCTGGACGGCAAGACGGAGATCACAAAGGCGGGCGAGCGCGGCGAGCTCTGGGTGACGGGACCGACCCTGATGCGCGGGTACTGGAGGAAGCCGCAGGCGACGGCCGACACGCTGTCGGTCGACAGCAACGGGACTTGCTGGCTTAGGACGGGCGATATTGCCTACGTCGAAGACTACAGGCCCGGCGGCATATTCCACGTTGTCGACCGCCTCAAGGAGCTGATCAAGGTCAAGGGCAACCAGGTGGCGCCGGCCGAGCTCGAGGGCGTCCTGCTCGAGAGCCCCGACGTGGCCGACGCTGCCGTTGTCGGTGTCACTATCAAGGGCGAAGAAGTCCCGAGGGCCTACATTGTCCGCGACCCCGCGTCCAACGCCACCGAGAGGGCCATTGCCGACTGGATGGCCACCAAGGTTGCCCGGTATAAGCGGTTGAAGGGCGGCGTGGTGTTTACTGATGTGATTCCGAAGAATCCAGTAAGTTTCTGTCCCTCTCTCCCTGTTCTCACTCTTCTTTCTGGGAAACTGTTTGTGATCTAACTAACGGGGTTCGATAGTCCGGCAAGATCCTCCGCAACCAGCTTCGGGATCGAGCGAAAAAAGAAGTCGGAGACAATAAACCTAGAACCTCGAAGCTTGCTTGAGTATGCATGCAGGCAGTTTAATGGGCGGTCACTTGCCTAAAGTTGGCCCCAACGAGAGAAATGGCCGGTTTTGCATTCGGCATATTCAGGTTGCAAGGACAGGGAGGGAAGGAGGCGAACGTACGTGACGTGGAGAAAACCTTTAGCGTTTGCTATGTATACGAGTGCGGCGGTGAGCATGGAGACCCTTCGTGCCTGCTTTCGGTGGCAGCTGCCTTCCCTTCGGGTGTCATATTAATTTGCTCGGGGGGAAGTTGGTGCGGAAGGAGCGAGTCGAGGACGGAAACAGCTTGACTAACTGTCCACGGCAGGAGTGTCCGAATTTTAATGACATCGTAAACCCAACTTCCTGTTCCTCTCGATTCTGTTGTCAAAGACACATCCAGATTTCCGCTTTGACTACCTAGGCTTATTCCTCTGCATCGTTTGCATTTTAAGGTAGGCATTCGGTTCCGTTGCCAATTCTCCAGTGTTGTTTTGAAGCAAGGCGCCCACATACACCTCCAGTTTTGGCAGTTGATGACCATATACAGAGGCCAGGCTGCCCATTTCGGCTAACATGGCTACCCCGTCGATCCAATAGTTCTATCAAAAGAAGGCCCCCTCCTTCCCTCCAAAACCCCAGGGGCCAGGCCCGAATGGCAGCAACGGCGAGCCCAACCCAGCCAAGGCCGACGTGGCTCCGCCCCTCCTTACCCAAGCATGGCAACCGAAAGGGGCGTACGAGCCAGTCCAAATCAGTGAGCTACACCAGGGACCGGGCAAGGTGCGTTTCATGGGGCGCCTCGTAAACTTTGTTTCAGACGACGGCGGCAAGGATGACCGACCCAGACGCCCACGGGTTCTGGGATTCCACTTCATGGCCGTGAAGGACGACACGGGTGTTGTTGTCGTGAGTGCCTGCCTGTTAAACCAGCCATAGCCACTCCCTCGCTATCCTTCAGACTACTACACTTACGCCCACAAGCTACGAGCTAACGCCCCATTGCGGGACCTGCACAGATAAAGCTCACGGCCGCGGGCATTGATATCAACGATATTCAGCTTGGGAGCCTTGTTACCGTGTGGACTGGCTTCGTAGCCGAGTCCTCGAATGCGCTTCCACTGCGTGCCCCTTTCGGGGCCATGATGATCCCAGTCCACCTTAGCCCAGCGTCCCAGTCATGCATCCACTTCCACCGCGAAGAGCCTGGTTCGGACGAATCATGGCTCTGCCGACTCCCTCTAGACTACGACAGCGCGAGGGGCTCTCTGGAATCGTCTCCCATGTCGGCCTTCATGAACCTCCGGGCTTACCTAAACTGTAGCCACGATAGCGCCCCCAGTCCAAGAGTTGTCGTCTGCGTCTCCAGCGTCGGCCCGTGCAAGACGGTCTGGTCGGTAAAGGCACAGAGAAATTTGAAAATGGTTGAGCTACACGTCGTTGACGAGACAGACAGCTGCGTACTGCGGCTATGGGAGGACAAAGTACTGTCTGCACGGGCGTGGTACCCTGACGATACTATCCTGCTTATCAGTAACTCCCTATTCTGTCTAAAGGGCAAGAAAAATGACATCCCAGAACTCGGCATTGGCAGTACATCGATGATTGAAGTCGACCCAGTGTTCCCTGATGCCGATTGGCTACGGCGGATGGCCGCGAATCGTACCAGGAAAGAAAGCGTCTACATCCCCTTTCCTTCGGACATTTGGGGTGCCGATAAAGGAATCGGCGGCCTGGAATCGGACTCGGGAACCCTCTTCACTTTGGCCGACGTCGACGTCTGGGCAAGGGACGAAACTAATCCCATCTTCACTGGAAAGCTGAACATGGTGATTCTCGGCGTCCGTATTACCGAGATCGCGGGCCGAGGCATGCTGTGCTGCTTTGAATGGTGAGCGAGCACACACATATGTCCATCTACATCCTACGCCGTTACTACCAAATCAGTGTGGACTGACTTTCTTTTCCACCAAAGCTGCGGCGTACCCATCTACGGCAACCAAACTCGTACCACTTGCATGAATTGCAGAAGCAAGTGCGAGCTGGCTCTGAACCCCTGAATCATCGGCCCCCTGGCCGACGAGACCGGTTTCATCGCAGCGGGAAAGCTGATCTGGAGCGACCGGGCCTAGACGGAGCTTTTCTTCGGAAGCACTGTCATCCCCGACGATGGCGGAGCGGTAGGAAAGGAGAAGCAAGGGCCTAAGGACGCCTGGAAGGAGCTGACAGCCCTCGACTCGGGCAGGCTGCGGATGGTGAAAGACCAGCTGAAGTACTCGCGCGTCACGCTAACGTTTGGCTGGTTTCAGGGGCTGGCGAGGCTCTGTGTTCTGAGCGTGGAGTGGTGACGGCAGGCCACCTCGCCGCAACGTATGTTGGGTTGATGTATATGTCGCAAACTTTGGTACTTGTAAGTGGACTTTGTGTGACGGGCAGAGGGACGAATATGCTCTAAGTAGCTGAGGGAAATATAGACAACTGTCGTATGTATACGAGCACGAAAGAGTTTGCTGTACCAGAAGTACTTGAATGATTATTGCTTGGGCTACGCTTCGTACTTGAACATTACTAGGGTCATTGATGTTCGACTTGATACGAAAACAAGACACCGATGCTCGGCAGCTCACTTTCAAACATTAGGTTGTTCAACTACCGTCAGCAGCCAAACTCTCCTGATATATACCAAAACAGATATGGATAATCGCTCGTATTTTAGTTTATGTCTATGTAAGGACTGTCTAAGGAATTTTCTCAGGCCACCCCGTCTACGCTGAGCCGCGCCAACTATCTGTGTCATTTACACTCATTCTGCAGCTCAACGGCCAAAAAATACCATGTAATGTCTCCCCTAGAGGGAGCTTATGACGAAGTGAAGAAAACATCGGGTCTCCGTCTCTAATTGAATTGTCCACGGCACCCTTCCAAAAAAAAAACCCCCCCCTAATACCGTGTGCTCTAGAACAGCTTGTGCTCCAGAGTCATGTCTGACTCGGGCTCGAGGCCAACACATGCGCGGAAAATGTTGGTAAGAGCGCCGCGCTGCTTGGCCAAGGCATTGATGACAGGCGTGCCGGGGGGCGTCAGAGGGGCCTTGAGCATGTAACTGAGGATGCTCAGAACACTGTGGAAGCTCTTGAAGTCCTTTGTGCTTTCACTGCCAGCTGACTGAGCCTTCCACTGGATGCGAGTCATCATCTCGGTGACCAACACAAGATCAATGATCAAGGGAGAGGCTAGGAGCGAGTCTTCGCAAACATTGAAGATCCTGCAAAAAAGACAATTAGCCTCCTCTTGGTGCGAGTGGTCATGGGCGAGCAAGACTTACGAAATGGTTTGGTGGCCACCCATGAAGATCTCAGCATAGTATTCGTCCAGGGCACGCTTGTTGTCGCCAACAGCGGGCATGTACTTGATCACGACCGTGTGGTCAGGATGCTCGCCTGGGGCATACAAAACGTTGTTGGCCTCGACCATGTCGTCAACAACATTGGACTTTGATATTTCCTTGGAGCGGAACTGCTTCTGGGAGCTCAAGTTCTTGCCGTCATTGTTGCCAAGGTGGTTGTAGCTGGCAATCGAGGTCAACTTGATGCCAGCGCTGATCAGAAAGTCGACGAGGGCGGATTTCATCTTGGTCTGGCCGGACTTGAAGTCGTCGCCGCCAATGAAGGATCCGTGCTGCTCCGCAAGCTGGATGGCACCGGGCACGAATGTGTTCTGGGGCGAGCCGTTGATGAAAGGCGCGCCCTCGAGAATAGAGGCGACGGCAAACACGGTCGACGGGGCAACCTCCTCGTGGCCATCGGCAATAGCCTTGAGCAGGTTTTCGGCCGTGTCGTTCACGCCAGAAATGATGTCAGCGAATCGCTCTGTGTTGGCGGTCCACTGCACGACGACCTTGTCCAGGTTGTGGCTGGCCTTGAAGTCACTGTTTTCCAGTCAGTCCCCACTCCAGTGTTCACAGCCAAAAGAGTCCTTACCGGATGTCCTTGCGGATACGTTCAACGTGCTCTGTGGAGGCCTTGGAGCCGGGAATCAGGTTATCAGCGCGGTCTTCCTGGTTGGCGGCGATGAAGTCGGGATAGTAGATGCTCGGCAGCGGCGTCATCTCGGCCATCTCCTTGCGGACTTGTGCCTTCAAGGTGGGTTCCAAGACTGCAGCACGGTCCATGGCAGCAGCGAGATTCAGGCGGCTGATGTCCCAGCCGCCGATGACCAAATCATTGGGATGAACCATGGGCAGGACGTCGTGGAACGGGATATTGACATCCTTGAGCGTCTCCGAATCGGTGCCGAGCTTCATAGTAGAACCCATAATGACAGATCCATAATAGTTGGCGGCCCGTGGGCCCTCGCGCGTCTCCCAAACGAGGCCACGGCGGTTGGCAATGATACCGGCTGTCACAGTGGAGCCGTTGTTGCCGCCCCAGCCCACCAGCATGACGCCGAGCTTGGGGACCTTGCGGTCGACCTTGAAGTCGTACAGAGTCTCGCGTGGAGTGGCCACATATTTGCCATTAGTTCCGCGGCTGACCGTGGTGGTGCGGTACGTGTACTTGGACCAAATCTCTGAGTCCGTGTACGTCACATTGGGCGACTCGACCGTGAAGAGCTCACGGGATTCGGACCCATTGGAGGCTCCACTGGAGCTCAGGTGCCCATTACCGTTGCCATTGACAGAGGCCACGTCGACCTCAGCATGGGGTGCCATCTTTTCTGTGGATAGAAGGGCAGGGATGGGTAGGTGGGGTAGGTAGGTTTAGGCGAAAAAAAGTTGAGTGAGAGGTGAGAGGGCAGAGATAGGGAAGAGAGATAAAGGGTGAGTGAGAGTGAGAGATAGATTTGCCGGTTCTGGAAAGTGTCTCTATCGAGTAAAGATCGAGTCCCCCGTACTCCCCGGAGAGGCAGAGCAACGGCCTCCTGCGTACGGGTGATGGACGCTGGGGTTTTTATATTAGCAGAGGGCTCCTTCCTCAGATATGGCAACAGCAAACGTCTGAGCCGAAACGCGGACTAGCAAAACTCACGAGTTCAGGAGGTTGGAGAACGTTTTGACGGCTTCGGATCGCAGCTCGAAAGCGCGATCAGTCGATCAAGCTTGAAGTCCGTTTGTTCGAGGAGTACAGCGGCAGGATATCAATACGGAGCTGGAGTTTGAAGGCAGGAGACGGGAAACGGAAGTTGACAGAGCAAAGTTTGGGCCAGGCAAGGACGGCAGGCAAGCCTTCCTTTTATATACCTGTCTGAGGTACGACGGAGCGGACGCGGAGTTTGTGGTGTGGGCGGTGAAGGAAGAAGAAACGGGAACGGGACCCAAAAGCTACTTCACACACGCACAGCAGCCACACTAGGTACAAGTCGGGTCGCGACTACTGCAAAGCTGGGAATAAGGCTCCACGCCTCGGACAGTTCGGATACTAGACATTTCTGGATGGGCTCGCCTGGGCCTGCATGGATATTGGACTCGGAACATGGAGTGCCCATGATGACACAAGCAGGAAGGAGCGAGCCAACGGAGGCGAGAGCAACACAGTCGAGCAGCACGCAAACTCAAAAGCGGCAGAGGCAGGAGCACACTGAATGTATTTGGATGGAGCACTAGGTTGTGACCGAATAGAGCGAGGCGGCCAAACGCCGCGTGCAGGCACTCCTTCAGTCCTCCACATGCCGTCACTTGCAGAATTCCCAAGAGATAAGACGAGATGGGATGCACCTTCAGCTTTTCGGGCACACAGTCAACTGCACGTCTCACGCATATCAGCAATTTCATGATTGCGAAATCGTGCGTTCTCTAGGGTAAGGAAGCGCTAACAGCAACTGCTAGTTAGCTACCTACCTAAGGCAGTTACCAGGTAGCCCAGGTAGTTTGAGAGTAAACTCTCATGCCCGGTGGTAGGCTGTACGTCCTACGCACACACACATCTACGTATTTTCTTTTCCTACATTACATTGCACGATGTAAGGGTTGCCGAAACTCGGCGCCCACAAAGGAGGACGTCTCCGCTCTCTGATTGAACCCCACCAATTGTGGCGCGGCTAGAAACACCCGTGACACGCAGTCAGCGCAGGCACATACAGCACACCACCTTCTGAACACACCCCCTAAAAGTTGGGTGAGCGGCGCAGGCGGGGCCCGTGTGTTGCGGACGGTGCGGGGTTCCCAACCCGGCCGTGCCCCGAAGTGATTGGCCAGAGCTGTCGGCATTTGCCCGCATTGTCAAACTTCCCATCGGCATCCGTGCCTCCGGAGGCGGCCATGAGAAGCCGGACGGCAAGATTTCAAGTCACCGGTGTGGGTGATTGAGCCACGAAATGTGTCAACACCTGCACAAGACAAATAGACCAAGCCTCCGAATTTCTTGCCAACACCCAAGTTCGCGTTAGCTCTGAAAAGACCCCGGAACTAGCTAATTATCCTAACAAACACATGCACATCCAAATACACAGATATTGTTTGTTCGTTGTTGTTATTGTTGTTAGCTTAACGACTCGATACGGCACGTCTGTAACCGTTTAAGAAACAGTTTCGCTTTACCCTTTCGTCTTCAGACTGTCAAACGATGCTGTTGTATGTTGTATGTCTGGATCATTGTATGTCTTGATCAATCTTAGCAGCACCGATGGTGAGGTTTTGAGCCAGCAATCTGTTGATATTGAGCATATCAACAACAACCAGAAGAAGGTTGCACACCTTCCGGCCCCATACCTGACGTTGTAACAGCCAAGTAAATCCTGGGAATCTGCTGGTTAGACAGGCTTACCGGGCTGCTTGCATCTAGATCTCAGAACCACGTACCTGGGTGATGATGCTTTCTCCTTCATCGATATTTGGGAGACGTAGATGAACTTCACAAATCCATCCCAACAAGTCCAGTGCCTGGACAGTCGTTCTGTCAAAGACGGACTGGATTGTAGCATCTGCCAAGCATGACGAGGCGTATTTCGAGTGTTTGTATTTATTATCTTCCTCGATATTTAGTCATTTGGACTGACAGTTATCAATCGGTAGCGAGAAGAACTTACATACTCACCGGAGGTGATACCCACCATATTCAGCAACCTCTCCTGGATAAGCAGATGCTAAGGTATTTGCCGAGATGGTACGGCCTGATTCTGGTCTTTGAAAGGGCTGGCGTGGATCGGGCCAGGAATCTATCCACCCAAAGGGTTCAAGAATACCTTATTACGCAGGATATTGCATGCAATACTTCCTCGTTACAGCGCATACGTCAACTTGAAGTAGTTTTGCCGTCGGCAATCCGTTGCAACGCATTGCGCAAGAGAACGGACAAGTTCGCCTCCGTGCTTGGAAGGTGCAAGCGACCTGCGAGTTCCAATGTTCCGAAGATCCAGTCAAGGTCCCAAGAGACCACTTGCAGCCAACATTAGTCTGGGCTGCGTCTGGGCGCCGAACGGCCTCGGTGGAAGTGGAAGACCGATCACATCTTATCTCGATCAAGAGCCTTTCTCAGAAGTGGGAACGAAAAGCATTGTGACTAACAGATCGGGTTATCAGGCGCAAGTCTCGATTCGTCTTTTCTCACACAATACGATTTGTCGTGCATCATCGTGATGGGGGTTTGTGCGATAGGTCATAATTTTGAACATAGCCGCTACTTCGGTGGAGTGGTCTGATTGTTTGGAAGACGAAATCATCAACTCCAATGGATCGATTTAACGGGCTCATTCGACCCGACTTTCTGCAAATGTGCAAAAGGGAACTCGCCTGTAGGCAGGCATTGCCGGGCAACCCCTCCTCAAATGGTGTGGGTGCCGTCTGGTCGTGGAACAGAATGGTGGGTTGCACACGTTGTTAGGCGTCGGCCTTCGTGTGGAAGATATGTGTGGTCTGCAGGCAAGGCGACAAATGAAGACGACCGTGGGGGCGTGTGCACTGCATATCGAAGGTGAAGGGCGGGTCAAAGGCGGGTGACATTGCTGCACGCTCTTTCGCACAGGCAATGGGAGGCTGTGACGCTGCAATTCCAACCTGAAGTGGGCAAACCGAGCCCGCGATTCTCGGTAATAAATGAGCAATCCCTCGACTTCGGCCTAGCCACCAAGTCGCAATCTGGAAGCGAGTAGGAATGAGGCCTAAGCAAGGTAAAGAGGAGGTTGAGAGCTAAGGGAAGAAGGTTGGAGGCCTAGAGCGATTTGATGACCTCTTGATCGCCTTGGCTTCGGGCTGCTCTGACACACGCAATTGGGTCCCGCAATAGGCCTCACCTCTCACTCAATCTGGCTTACCGCCGCTTTGGGAGACCAGCCTGGGGTCCATGGCCTATCGTTCAGCAAGCTGACTGGTGAATCGCAATTCTTCAGCCCAGAGAGGCAATGCCGGAGAGCGCGTGATGACGAACTGTTCGGCATTTTGGCAGACTCTGCCGTCTTGCTGACTTGATAGGTGCCGTGTCCAGCCCGGCTGACGACATCTAAAACAAGACACGGTCGGGAGTGAGAGAGAGCCCGTGGCAGAACTTAAAGAGCCTCCCGGTTGGGCCCTAGTTGGCCGAGTGGGGCTGCTCTGACAACACCATCCCAGCGCCCGGGCACATTCGGAACGGAATCGGAAGGGAAAAAGCAAATGCAAGCACGTAGTAGGACGGGACCAGGGTGTTCGACGAGCGAGAGCGACCAGCCACATTTTCCCCAGGTTCAGTTGTCCTGGAGGATTCCCAAGCCTCGCCTAGGGACCTCCCAGCGGCCGGAAGGCTGCTCGGCAGGCAACGGAATCTCGAAATTCATTGGGCGTCTCAGGGGGCGATCAAATCTTAAACTGGTGTGCGACAGAGGCACAAAGAGCCATTCAGCCGCCTTGACAGCCACACAGGCGCAACATGTAGAGGAGCCTCAATGAACAACCGGGATTGCGGCGGTTCGTCGGCGAGCCAGAGAAAGCCAATCGATTACACGATGCGCAGTCCCGGATCGTGTGAGCCGCGGCCAAGCGGTGGTGGGCGAGAGAGCAATCTGGGTTTCATCCGGCGCCGGTCAGATGGGCCAACAAATGATGAGACTGTATGCAAGGTCTCTCAATGGCCAGCAATACGTCCCATCTCACCTCGCCAAACGCAGAGACCTAGGTAAACGGCATTTTGTTTTAGGAGGTGGGCTGGTCGCCGGGGGGGGGGGGGGGGGGGGGGTAAAAAGAATAATAATTTCAACTGTCCGTTCGGTTGCATCCAACCACGCATGCTGTACGGAGTACTCGAGTCCAGTCCGGTTCTGATTCTGATGTCCGAGCAGTGCCGAGCAGCCAGCTACTGAGTAACTAGTCAGGTCAGGTAGGTAGGTAATCAAAGGTCGCAGTGATGCATCGCCGTCTCCACGACGACAGATTGTCAGAGGTTGAAGGGCCGTCGGCTTGGTAGGTAGGTAGCTACCTGAGCTGGCAGCGACCATCCCCTACGAGGCTGAAATCCCGGGTGCCGTTCGCATCCCGTGAACGGCCGGCGGCATAACTTGACAGTGAGACGCCGGAAAATGTCACGGGTTTGCTCGTAGGCGGCTGGTCAAACATTGGTGTTGCAGCTTTTGCGAGTGAATGCTCTTTCTAATGACGTGACAAGTGCAAATTGGAGAATGACCTGCCTGCCTTTCTTTCAAGAGTTTTGCATGTACAGAACAGTACAGGTGAAGGGGGAAGCTGCAAGGTACCCGCTCCACAGGCCCGCCTGGACGGCAAGCTTCCAAAACTCTTGGACGAATCGCTGGGCATGTGGCGCTGATTATCACTTGAAACCCCTAAACAGAAACAGGCAAAACGGATCGGGTGGGATTTATCAATATGAGGAAATCACGCCCAAAACTTCTCAAATTCGAACTAGGCTGTGCTCCGGAGTTTTGAGCATTGGCGTGGAAGGAAAGCGTAATGAAGGGACTTGGCCGAGGAGCAATCACCTGCGCCTGGGCATCCCTGATTCATGTAAGGTATCGTGTCGAACTCGGAAAGAGCATGACCTGTTTAGTCGCGGGGTGTGCCTTCCTCAGTCAACACTACAGTGAGTAGCAGCCTGAGATGGACAGTATGAAGCCGGCGCCTTCCTCATCTCCCTTCCCCATTGCTCTGGCTCCAGTCCTCACAGCTCCCGTCAGGTGCTTCGCAGTAATAAATCACTCCCCTCAGTTTTCAGAAAGGAACCGCCGCTGCGCCAAGATGAGATCCACCTTCGATTCCAGTAGTTACCGAAGACCCTAGTAGGTATCTTCAGGTCCCCAGACTTCGCAGATTCGCCAGTGCACCCACGACCCACCTCGCCGGGGGACCATCGTCCATCGCTCGCCGCATCGGGATTGATACGCATTTGCTTTTGTCTGGGCTGGCAGGGGATATAGGCAGGTTCCTGCCGCACCAGGTTAGAGCAACATTCGGCATCGCTGCAGCTGGCAGCAGTTCACGAACGGCAACGCTAGCAGTCAGGGGCTGGCCGCATCGAGCTTGATCCTCGCTCCATCCGTGCACATCGCGCACATCTTCTTCACTGTTTTTGCGGAGACACTCGGGCCTGCCTTGGGTCCTGGACACTGTGGGCTGCCCTGGCTGCGTTACGAGGGTGCCCTGCATCGACCGACCCTAGGTCGTCGACCCTGACCGCAACAGCAACCGTCCACGAATTCGAGGCCGGGGCCGGGGACAGGGTCGTGGTCGTCCTCACCGATGCTGTTACACACCCGCCCGTTCTTCACCTCCCGCAAACATCTACGCTTGCTCATCCCTCTCGAGGATCTCCTCCGGCAAAGTTAGCAACGAGACACATTCCGCAACAGCTTGCCACGCCGTTTGCTTTCCCCGCAGAATCCGCATGCTCGGGGTTTGTCAACTTTGCAGTAGCCCGTGGCCCCGGCTTGGCTTGGCATCCCATCCCTCCCTCGGCTTCTTCCTGTCTCTCCTTTTGTTCTGCAAAACAACCTCTCCCCAGTGCAACTGAACTGCCTCCACCACCTGGCCTCCTTGAAGGACAACGCCTGGGTGGCTGCTGGAAGCAATCGCTGTCCTCGATCTTCGCCATTACTTGCTGGACATCGTCGGGCCTCGACGACAAGACCAAGACGACTTGTCGCCTTGAAGACCTCTGCTCACGTACTAGACCCCCTCCGGTGGAGGGAGCCTAGGAAGTCCCGCAACTCAGGAGAGCACCAAAGGAGGTTCTTGAATAGCAACTTGGCCGGCGGCTTCAACCTGGGCGGAAAGGACCGTGCCGCAACGTACGACGCCATCGTTTACTAATTATACATACCCACGCCTCGAACGTTGCACCCCGAGCAGGGACGTGATCGAAGATGGCCGGGGCAGTGCGCGAGTCGAGCTTCATGCCAACTGTGAAATGTTCCGACTGTGGCTTGCAGATCGAGATCTCGTTGATGGGTGAACATATCTGTTCTGGTAAACCTTCAACGCAGCGTATGACTACCCACAGGCCCAATAGCTACAAATCCAAGCTGACCAATTCTCCAGCAACGCCGCCAATGCCCATTCCCTCGTTGTTCGAGAGGTTCATGCCATTTGGCGGCCCCGCGGCGAACAACAAGCAATCTCGGACGCCCCCTCAAGTGGACACATCCGCGGCTAGTGAGTATTTGTCGTCTCAACTACTCGAGGCTGTATATGCTAATGAACCACCTCCCCAGACCGCGCTTTCATGGGGCAAGGCGAACTAACCCCGGTTAGCATGTCGAGTGGATCCCGAAGTGTATCGCCAAAGACTCCCAATGGACGGCTGGGCGCCGGAAGGGCAGACGAGGACTTCGCTCCACGGATAGCCGATGATTCGCCGCTTCCGCAGCAGTCCAGAAGGCCTGGGGGATATGGAGGACTTGGAGACGGCGACGGGTATGAGGACTCATTGTATCCGACAAACGTGGCAAAAAAGCAAGCCTCCAGCCTGATGGACCGCGCGAACACCATCGCTCCTGGACCTTTCGACTCGGGCCGCCGGCCTCCTTTGTCTGGACGGACGGCCTCGGCTGGTGACATCTGGAGTGAGCGCCAAGGCCCCTCGCCAAATCTGAGCAGCAGCGTCGGGAGCTTGGGGAGTTCTAAGACGCCCAAGGCGCCCAGGAAGAATGGGTATGGCGGTTTTGGTCCTCCTCAAAGGGAGGAACTGACGCCGGAGCCACTAGGCCTACCATCCCGCTCCGCGACCTTCCCTCGCTCAGGCGACACTTTGGATCCTCCGATGCGTACACCCTCTGCTCCGGGACCACGGCCTGACAGACTGCGTGTTCCCTCAGACGATTCCCAAGACATGGATGGAAGGTTTCTGATGACTAGCGAGAGGTCAAGAAGACCGAGTAGGGGCCCAGATACGTCCCGCCCGCCCCCTCCACGAAGCGCTGGTATTGTCCGATCCAGTACCCCTGGGGCCCTAGCTATCAATCTTGCCGAGGAATTTGGATCGGGAAACCCATACCACGCACCCTCCGACTCGTCTTCGTCGAGCGCATCAGGCTTTAGCCAACCAGAGCGTCGTCCAAGCGAGGCAAGCTCACGGTCCAGTCCGCCAAGGTCGGCAAGTTCAAAGTGGGGGAGAAATCCTTCTGATACGTCGGGGCTCGACAATATCATGTCGGATCTCCAGTCTTCCATGGTAGAACCAGACATTAGAGTGCAAGTAGTATCTCCGCCCACGCGGTCGGCCAGTGACACGAGAGGGAGACCGCCGCCGTTGACTATCCGCCCGCCAGGTGGCCGAGGCTATGACCGACGCTATGATCCGCGAATTGACCCGCGCAATCGCCAAGGAGTATCGCCTATTGACTCGCCAGTCGTCGACACCCCATCCACCGCCGATCCTCCTTCTGCTGTCGATGCTCCTATGCTGATTGTTGGAGATGACTTTTCGCCACTGCCAACCGCTCCCCCGCGGCTGACGAGATCACCTGAGCCAATGCAAGATAGGTCGCGTTTTGCCCCCCAGGGACCCTTACGATCACGCTCGCGAGATCCGAGCCAGCCCTCGCGCGGCGCTTGCGAAAGCTGTAAAGAGCCTATCGTTGGCAAGTCGATATCAAGTGCTGACGGCCGTCTGACTGGGAGATATCACAAGGCATGCTTTGTCTGCACGGATTGCCGGCAGTCATTTCCATCTTCAACATTTTACGTTATCGAAAACAAACCATACTGCGAGAGGGACTACCACGAGCGGAACGACAGTCTCTGCACAACGTGTGACAAAGGGATTGAAGGTCAATATCTCGAGGACGAGTCTGCCAAAAAGCACCACGTCGGCTGCTTCAGATGCCGCGAATGTGGCATGGCTCTGAATAATGCGTATTTTGAGGTCGACAAGAAGGCATACTGCGAAAAAGATGCCATGAAGCTTGTGCAGCCACCGACGCTCACAAATATAGCGCCACCGCCTCGAAACGGACAAGGCCCTCCTAGGCCCATGCTTGGACTTCCCGGTGGTCCTCGCGCCGGAATCGGCCTTCCCGGTCGAAGCCCCCTGGGCCCAAGGCCTCGAATGGAGAAGCGTATGACGAGGCTGGGAATGATGTAGTCGGCGTGTTCTCAACCGATGCGAGCAGCAAAACCTCGGGCTGCGACCTCTCATTTTTTTTATTTTATTTTTCCCCTAGACCACGTTTTACGGTCATTAATCGCCATGCGACGCCGACGAACACGATAACGACTTTGGCTTATTTTTTTCTCAGCTCATGTCCAACCGGTTGGACTTTTAAATACTTGCCTTCTGAACCCATGGACTGGGCCCACGTTCAGTTATACCCACGCAAGAATTCTTCTTTATATACCCAATATATCCGGAGGCAATTTCACCTAATCGACAAACTTCGACAGCGATTTTTTGCGGATAAACAAACCTATAGTCAAAATTTGGGAGGGGTGGTTTCTCTTTTTTTGTCGCAAGCCCATCTGCATTCACAGAAGTGACTGCACCCTTGCGGGCGTTTCCTAAGCATGGGGTTTTATGGTGCTCTAGAGTCGCGCCCCCTTTTTTCCCACTCCGACTAGTCCTTAATTAATACATGCTTGGGGTTTGGTGGGAGTCGCGGGACAGTATATTGTGGACGACGACGAGCAACTGGCAAGCTGTCATCTGCGACACAAATGGACACGGGTGCCCATAGAGCGGATAGTGACAGGATGTTATCAGCTCACATATATTACATGTAAATACCTAATACGTAGTAGTTAGTCTAAATGAGGGACGGGTCGGCACTAGGGCCTATAGGTTATCTACACATTTGGGCCGCCTTTGTTGGAATATTGGTGGCGTACAGTTGACTGTTTCCACTGTTTGTTGTTGTTCATGTGTGTGGCACGTGTCCCGAGACACGGTCTTTCGGTTGTTGCACTCAGGGGTTTTCGTGCACGCTAATGTCGAATATCTACTATAGTAGGTTGCGGTCCGCACTCGGCCCAAGCCTCGAGGTGAGGTCGTCATTCCCACACCAGGTGAAACAGTGCCATGGTAGGTGCCTCCTGGCTCGGGTTGCCTCGGTGTCTTTTGCGATGCACAAACTCGACTCGGTTTTATTGTCTTGTGGCACTGCGCAGGCGAGGAGTTGGAGAAACCTGAGGTGGCCTTTTGACTTTGCTCTACGTGCTACGTGAAGACAGATTGTCGGTGACTACCATACACCAGCAAAGAACGCGTTACGCAGGAGAGGTATATACTGTACTGTATGTATGTACCTAGCAGAGCGTTGAACTTTTTCCTTCTAGGCGCCAAACTAACAGACGTTGATGTCTACCACCGATCAATCGAAAGGCCCTTTCCCACTTCGTATGGGCCGCCGTTAGAATAGGTACAATACATACAGTCCTCTGAAGCTTATTGACACTACCCAACCCAAAGTCCAATGATTTCTCTGCGGCAATAAACCTCGCTAAACGGTTTATCGAAAAAGGGGGCGGGGAATTTTGGAAAACGATGGCACAGTGTGATGGCTGGCCGGTCACGCCGCCGCCGCCCGCTGCCGAAACGTTTTACAAAATTAGTTTGCCTGGGGCAGGAATTGCCTTCTAAATGCAGTGGCATCCAATGTGTGCGTGTGCGCAGTGGCGTTGTCTCACTAATTACTCTGTTTCTAAAACGTTGGACATGTAGATCCATCACTTGCGATACCCTCACGTTCAGCTGTTCTGTTGAACTTTAGATCCCGTCAATTAGTAGACAGACAGACAGTCTCCCGTCACCTCATTGGCTGTAAGAGCTCTCTTGGCATCTGGACATCGGAAGGACGTGAATGGGCCAAGCGGGGGGGGGGGAGGGGGGGGGGGGCGTTTTCGCGTTCTGCTTCGAGAGTGGTCTAGAACGCTAGAAAGGTGGATACCGACCCCTCGCCCACTCCTGTCTCACTCCTCAGGAGAAACCCAATTGCGTGGACCAGCCAAAACTTATCGAACAACGGATTACATCAGCTACGACAAAAGAGTAGAGGATAAACTACCTTGAATATGAAATACTCCGTCTCCAGTTACTTCGTGCATGGCCAGATAGAATATTCCATAACATTACCTGTGCTGACGCAGGAACAGGGAGGTCCAGGATGGCAGTTGGCCTGTTTGCTGCTGTTGGCAGTAGTGTACTTCGCAACCTAGGCACGATATTTTCCCTCTAGCCGGTTAGATACTGCTTATGCAACGTGAGAGACAGAGCAGCGAGAGTCGGGACAGAAGGAAAGCAGAATGATGAATAGCATCGCCCTCTCAATCATTTACACTAACAAAAATAAAAGAACAGATTATTCCGTGTGACCACACATAGGCAGAGAACAAGGGGCAAATTTCCTCGACGACGTTAGGTGGATCGCTGTGTCCCACTCTCGAGGCACCCAGGGTCTCTCTCCTTATCCCGGGGTGGAGAAGGAAGATTGCTCAGAGGGGGGGTTCGTGCTTTCATCAAATTAGCTTCAGGCTTCCCAATCTTATGAGCCGAAAGACCAGGCTTCCAGGCTCCTTCTCCCCATTGCACCTGGTAAAACGGAAGACCCCTCGCTGGACCACTGGGCACTGGAAGCTGATTGCAGAGTCCCGCAGGGCCTAGGTGTCCCTGCCTCCACCCACCTAATTCTCGACGCGCCCGTGTTGGTAGGTGCCCTGCCCGGCTCTACTAGGTTCCAGGTTGAGTCCGAGCTGCGATCCATCGCCTGTGGCCCTCCTTTTCTCCCTCCCTCCGCCGTCTCCCACCTCTAATTCTCTCCACCTCCTTTCACCCACCTCACCCGCGAGTCGCAACTTTCCACGCGGCCGCCGTCGCTTGTGCTCGCCCAGTGCACTTTGACGTCGCCACCCTTCTCCGCGGCCAAGGACCAAAAAAAGGTTGAACGCTCCCAGCTCGCTGGGATCCTGCGAATACGAAACCCCCTATCACCGCTAGCCACTATCTAGGTTGCCATCTGCCTAATATTCGACCCGCAGACCCTGCGACCGACTTTCGTTCTCTCGTTTATCGCGAACTGCTTGTCGACGTGGTCGCATCAGACTTTCTCTCCACATTCGTTTTTCTTTTGCTCGTTTGGCATTTGGCTTTGCCATCGCCGCCAGGCTTTTGCCAGCCCTACGATTGCCTTCCTCTGCTGCGCCACATCGTCCACGACTCCGGCGCCCTGGAATTTATTTCACTATAGTAATAGCTCGCCCTTCCTCGTCTGCAACTCGGCACCCAACTGAGCGATTTTCGGGATTTCTCTCCAGTATAATAGGTTATTTTCGCCTGGCGATGCTTCGCTAGAGGTTAGGAGTCTTGCCGATTTATCCGCCTTCTTCGCACAGCGATCTGATATTCCGATCCTTACCACTGCGATCGAGCTGGTTTTTCTTCCTCTTACGCGACTACGCGCAATGGGGGCTTCGGCAACCATGTTGTTTAAAGCGCATACCCGTCGGGTTCTGGCGCGGCCCAAGACCGTCTTTCCCATCGTTCTCTTCTTCCTACTACTCATTTACCTCGTACAAAAGCGCGACATATATCGTGCTGGGACCCATGCCGCGGTAGAGGTCGTCGAGGTTGACATCGGCGAACAGCCCGTGCCGGGAGCTCGTAAGTCAACAGACGCGGGCACAAAACTTGCGATGACACGATATCTGACAAGCAAAATACAGAGCGCGAAGAAAAGTTGCTTCGTGAGCTTCGGGGCAAGTTCGAGCAGGAGAGCAAGGCGCTGGAAAAGTAAGAAAACCACAGATGCTTTGCGACCCGTCCATACGCTCTCAAATGCTAACGTATGCCACTTTCCAGGGATCCGAGGGCGTTCGCCATATTCGGGAATACACTCGAAACTCTTGTCGAGCAAGATATCAGATCCCGTCCACAGGAAGACAACCTCACACCGTCCAACAACGGCACCGAGTTCACCAACGAGCAGCCCTTCGTATTCAATCCGTATCCAAAGTACAATAATGCAGCTTGGAAAGCACGGCATGCCGAATATGTGCCGTGCCGGGGCCCCACAGGAAGTCTGGTTGAGGATATCCGCGTCTTCAAGGGCCGCCCTCGTAACTTCCCCGACCCTGGATTTGGATCGTATGAGGACCTGGGTTTGGACCAGAACCTCTGCTTCGAGAGGGAAACCAGAATGGGCCAGTATGGGGTTTCGCCCGTAATGGGTGAGGACGGCAAGCCGCTGGAATGGGACACCATTGACTGGGGGACCTTGCAACGCGAGTGCCGAGAGCTGAACGAGGCACGATTCGCAACCAGTGGCCCCCCCAACATCTACGTCACCGCTGCAGACGAGAAGAAGGTGAAGACTAACAATGATGATTCACAAAACTTCAAGCGACACATGGATCATCACGTCAGGCGCCAAGCAGGGTCGTCCGGGCCGTCAGTGACTAACACCACTTCGACGGTTAAGGAACCGAGAACAGCCCTGCTGCTCCGCTCCTATACAGGAAAGGAGTATACTGACAACGACAAGCAAGCCATCCGCTCGCTGATCACTGAGCTGAACCTCCGGACTGGCGGAGAATACGAGGTTTTCCTGTTCGTCCACGTCAGAGACGACTCGGATATATGGTCGAGCAAAGAGGCCTATCAGCAAGTCGTCCAAACAGCAGCACCCCGCGAGTTCTGGAATATCACCGTCCTGTGGAATGGAAAGGCTGTTGACCGCATGTACACAAAACTCCCGGATAAGGCCCGCAGAGTGCACAACGGTCAATTCTTGCCAGTACAGATGTTCATGCAGGAGCACCGAGAATTTGAGTTCGTCTGGAATTGGGAGATGGATTCTCGGGTCACGGGTCACCACTACGACGTTCTGAACAAGTTGTCCGAGTTCGCCAAGAAGCAACCCAGGAAGGGACTCTGGGAACGCAACGAACGGTTCTACGTGCCCGGATTCTACGGAGACTACGACAAAAAGTTTCGCTCCGCTGTCGAGCGAAGCACTTCCGGGAGCACGATATGGGGCGCGCCCGAGGTTTCGGTCGTCAAGCCTATCGGTCCTAACCCCCCAGTGCCGTCGCCTGACCAGGACAAGTACGAGTGGGGCGTTGGCGAGGATGCAGACCTCATCACACTTGCGCCCATGTTCAACCCCATCAACAGCAACTGGGTCATGCGCAACCAGGTGTGGGGGTACCGGAATCAAGATTTTCCGTGGGGAAAGCTCCCTCGTAGGGCTACTATCATCACCCAGGTTCGCGTCTCTAGAAGGCTGCTCGATATCATGCACGTCGAAGATCTTCGTGGCAATCACGTGGCGTCGGAAATGGTGACGCAGACGACGGCGCTCCTCCATGGTCTAAAGGCCGTATTTACCCCGATGCCTGTCTTCTTCGACCGGCCGTGGGACGGTGCCGCGCTCGCGAGGTGGTTCAACGGGGGACCAAAGGGAGCGAGCGGTGGCTTCGGAAGCGCCATGGGATGGGGCCAGGAGGAGCGATACCAGGGCTCCACCTGGTATTACCGGGCCCTCCCGCCGCAGCGGCTGTACAACAACTGGATGGGCTACGAGGATACGGCGATCGGAGGCGCCACATGGGAGGCAGACCATGGCCGTCCGTGCCTCCCTGCCATGATTCTGCACCCCATCAAAGAAATCAAGCCGACTCCGCCGGGGTGGGTGACGGAATCTAAGCTGCCCTACAAATGAGACCTCATCGACTTTTTCTTGACAGGCTGCAGAGCTGTCAAGATTAGAGCTTGCAGTTTCCAGAGGCAGTTCGAGTACCGAAGCAAACACGATGGCCCGCTTGTTTTACAGGGCCCTCCAGGGCGTCCAACCGAAGAGGGAACATGGTAGAGCTAGGCCGGCCCAGCGTCTGTCTGCATTCTCTGTTTCGCCTTGGCTAAGGCCCGAGTTCACCTGGCAGAGTGTATGGATAATATCCGTGGTCGGCTGAGAGCTCAGCCTCACATTTGGGCGAGCAATTCAAGCTACCACTTCGACGACTCACCGTAAACAATGTCGATGGACTTGTTGTTCAGTTATTCCTTAGGTTCATTTGATTCCAGGTTTATGGCGGCTACTCTAGACGGAACCATAGGACTTGCATTGACGGACAGTGAGAGAGGATTGGGCTGGGTCGGGTTACGTGTATCGAAACAAATGTACATTGCAATACAGCGGCTCGTGTCCGTTCAGATATATAATCATAATGTGGTCGGTCTTTTGACAATGCTGGCGGCAGGCTTTGTTGTGCGAGTTCCACGTGCGCAAATGGTTAATAGACAGGCTGGGATCAACCGTTGTTCCGGACACGGGACTGATGAACCGGTCCCGGGCTTTTCGGCAGACGGGAGGCAGAGCTAAATCTGAAAATTGTATGCGTAGACCGCATCGAATATTGCGGTGAAGGATTACTGATAGGGGTCAAAGTGACACGATCTGAACACCAAGCGCAAAGTATGGATGCAAATCTAAAAGTCCTCTCGGGTGGCGATTTTCAGTCACCAGTAGTACTTCGTAGCATAACCATGAGATTCGGGTTATCAAGGAGCCAGCACAGCATGTTCAGCAATGAGGAAAGTAAGTACTTAGCAATCTACCTTGATGATTATCAAAGCCTTGTTTGTCCGGGTGTTTCGGCTTTGTAATGCTACATTCTGGCCCCTAGGAGCGAATTGACGATTCAACTGAGGTACCTACCTTGGGCCAGCAACTTGAACTGAAAAAGGAGGACCTAACAACTGATCAGCTCGCCAGGTCAGTGGGTGTCCAGGCCACGGCCAGTCGAGTGTATTGTCCACCAAAAGTCTGCTAGTTGAGCACGTCTTGCAGCAACCGCCGTGATTGGGAAGGCACACACCCAACGGCCAGCGAAATCAGGCAGGAGCGGGGGCAGAATCGCATGATTCGCGAACTCCCGCGCGAGGTTAGGCGGTCGATCAGCCCAGAACGACAAGCCACCTTTAACGCTCAGCCACAATTTTTGCAAATAGGGAGGCCCCTATTGGCCAGATGCAGGCCCGGCCTGTGCAAGTCTGGACACCGGGGGGATGCCGCATGGGGCAGCCCACCTCAAGGGCCAGCTGGACTTCGTGTCAGCGGTAGTGAGTCGATGGGCTGCTGGGCTGGGTTTTCTAATCTGCCCAGACGGACGCTTCCAGTTCCAGGCACCACGCGCAAAAGCTGCGTTTGTCGTTCCATTAGTTGGGCCATCGAGTCAGGTGTTCCATGGTGTTTAAAAGGGGATGCCCTCCTTCCCCCTCCCTCCCCACCAACACTGCCGACCGTTATAGCGTTCCTGGATTTCCATCTGTTCAAGTTACCTTTTCCTGGTGCCCATTGTGCAGCCTGCCGATTCTCTCCAACTACAGTACCTACCTTAGGTTGCCTACAGCACTGCCCGGCCCGTTTTGAAACAAGATCCAAAACCGGTCGTGACCCGCGGAAGCCCGACATCGCGCCTCATCCCATCAGCCATAAACCCTGTCGCGCCTCACTTCCACGCCGCGACGCTCTCAGTACACACAACCACCCGACCTCAGCTTGTTTATCTTTCCTCGGGGGCACTGCAATCCTCGCACGCCTAGACCTCGACACACCTGCAGCAGCATCATCATTGCCATAGTCGCCATGTCGCCCACGTACACCATGTCGGCACACCTGTGCAAGCAGATATACGCCTCTTGGCGACAGACGCGGCAGTCCTCGCCGGACCCGAGCCCGTTGCCGTCTCCGCCCACTAGCAATACGCCAGGCTCGTACTTCCAGCGCTCGCCGTCGCCCGAGAAGCAGTCCATGGACAACGACCGCAGCGACTCGCCCTCGAACCCGCCCACTTCTCAGCAGCCGTCAAACTCCAGCTGGAAATGGGGCTCTCGCTAGCCCAGCTCCGCTTTCTCGCCCACGTCAGCCCATTTACAACGCGACATGGCGTGAGCGACGACCCAGCAAGCAACTAAGACAATGGACATGCCATGCGGCTGTCCTCGGTATTGTTGGTTAACCGGACGAGCAACGCAAGAACGGGACAACGAGCACTGCTTCGTAGCAACTCCCCCTTCACAGAACACAGCATTTTCGCAATATTGCATCCGTTGAAACCAGCAATTCCGTACCCACCACTCCATCTAACATCTTAGTTGCCATCTTTAAGTCGTCTGAAAGACGGAAGATCCTGGCTTCGATGCACCCGGCCGTCTACACCGCATTTTTTTTCTGTCAAGTTTCGATCGAGAAAAAAAATTGAAATGATGGCTGTCAGGTTAGGCTGACATAGCGCCGGAATCCCGCTAGCCAACCAGCTGGGCTTGCAGCATGCAATATCATGCACGACACACGAGAAGGAAGCTTTGTCGGACGGCCCTGGCCAGGCCACAAGGAGTCAGTCAGCAGCCGAAGTCAGCAGCCGGATCGGCAGCAGGGCCTTATAGAAGAATGATTCGAGAGAGAAACACCAAGGACAAGGCACTCTCACGGCAATTCTGTCACGCAATGTCGCCACTTCCATCCAATGTTTTTTGCGACGCGCGCGAGGACGACAAGAACCCTAAAAAAGAAAAGGGGTCCAGTCGACGCCACGTTTCGCGCGCGCGTGGCAATTGCGCCATTGTGCGCAATCGAGACTAGGAAGGCCGATATATCCATTTTTATCGTCGCATGGATAGTACTTGGTGCATAACCTCCCCCCATACAAACCACCACACACGCCACAACTCGTTCGATACCACAACCCGTTTCGTATCATGTGCATGTGTCTGTAGTGTAATGTGGTGTGGTGCGTGTGTGTGCGTGTGTGTGCGTGTGGGTGTTGGACGAATCGACCACCCCTCGCTTTTTATTTTTGCCGGGGTGGAAGGAAGAGGAGTGGTTGCAACCTGCACATGTGTGTGTAAGTTGCGGAATTGCCGCTTTGGGAAAGTCGAACGCAACCACCACACATTTCCCTCACATATCCACTATTGCGCTTAGCGGCTCCTCAGCGCAGTGCAGTGCGGTGCGGAACCTGCGAGTACCGGGGGAGGTTTTTTTTTTGAGGATATGGAGGAATAATAATTAACCTCTGTCTCTCTCTCCCCTCCCCGGTGTGGAGCCCCCCGGTGGGGAAAGCACCGACGTGCTGTCGGCCCTAACATGTGCGTTGCTTCGGTTTGGTGCGGGGCGCCGTTGGCTTTTACCTGGTTCGTCCGTCTTTGTATCAACCTATTTCTCCTTCCTCATCTGGGGGGGAAACTGGCAAGCGCACCTTCCCGATTGTCTCTTATGGCTAGATATGATAAAATGTCGTCATGGAGCATGAGACGAGGTTGTTGAGTCTTTGTTGTGGCGGCCTTACAGCTTTTGTCCAAAAGGAAAAGGATATTCGTAGACCTAGAATATAGTAGGTTGGTAGTTGTTGCAACTTTGGCGTTGGAAAGGACTGAAGCCGCGACCATCGTGATGCCTGACACATATTGTATTTCGTCTGCTCAAAGAGAGACTTCTACAGTTGGATCTATCACACAATTCCTAATGCATATACGTGCATATGTATATATATCGGGAGATGGACGCAATACACCGTGCCGTTTCCTCTGAAGAATCACTACCCCTTTCTATACACCTGACGTGTGTACTGTATGTTTACTGTTTTTCGATACGAGACCCATGATTCCATGATATATATGAGACCCAGGGCACATAATTTTCTTTCGCCTAGACACAAGGAGCGATTTCCACAGGTAAGATCCATCACCAACGTGAAGTGGCCTATACCAATCACCACCCACACACTAAAATGAGCACAGTTAAGATACTTGGCACATGATATATTTACAGTCATATCTCACTCATAGCATCGGCGCTGCCTTGTGAGAGTCTGGCATATGTCGGTCTAGTTGAATAAGGATCGATCGAAAGACTGATCATCCCATCCCATCCCATCCCATCCCATCCCATTCCATCCCACCCCATCACCAATTCGCCCATTATAAATAAAGACAAGCTTTCCGAGAACCTTGCTACATTACATCCGCCATATATGAAACAAGCTCCTTTGTATCCAACGGCGACGTCATCAACGATGACAGAAAGTGAAAGCACATTACCTACCTTCTGTTCTGTATAATCCCTACAAGCACATACACCGTCTGCTCCAGCTGCGACGGACGCAAAACAAAACAAAGCAAAACAAGAAGATATCACCACCTACCTGCCCACCCGACGTACAACACCTAACCCGCAACTCAGTGATCTACATGACATCGATCTCCTGATACCTATGTGTTTCTCTTCACGATGCAGAGAGCACTGCAAAGATAATTGGTTTGATTTATTTTGTGTTCTTTACTCAGATAGATAGCCTTTCCTCATATTCTTACTCGTTTTATTTTGGTTCAGAGATCCTACAAGGGACAACGATAAACAGAGAGAAACAAACATTCATGGCAAGAATAAACCCCCCCAAGGACGGCATCAGCCGACAGAGGCAAGGATTTCGTTTCTCGTTCACTCTGCTATCGAGGCTGTTGCTGTCACGCCCGACTGTAGGACATTCATGGATGAGATGTCGTCGCCACCGCTGTCTTCGGGCGACTCCTCGGCCTGCGCGCCTTGGATGCGGCGCTTCGCATCCTGCTTGTCGGCCTCTGTGACCTGGTCCTCGTTCTTGGGCATGTCGGGCTTCCATGCCGGCTCATTCAGCGCGTGGCCAACAGACATACCGACACGAATCTGTCAAGAGTCAGCAAGCGCCAGGTCATCAATTAACACACACAGTGAGAGAGAAGTGCTTACCAAAGTCTCCAGAGCTCCGGTCGAGTTATCCACCAAGTCATCGTCAAACACCATCTTTCCGGCCTCGAACAGCACGACCAGGGTGCTGCCGCCAAACTTGAAGTACCCCAACTCTTCAGCGCGCTTGACCTCCTCGCCCTCCTTGCGCGTGATGACAGTACTGCCAACCATCATGGCGCCGATGCAAACGACCATGACGCGGCCAAACTCGGGGCTGTCAATAGGAACCAGGACACGGACATTCTCGCCGTATACGTCGAGCGCTGAGCGAATGGCCATTGGGTTCACCGTGTAGTACTCGCCAGCAATGGTCTTTGGCTGGCGCATGATGCCGTCGACGGGAATGTGGAAGCGGTGATAGTCCTGGGGGGCGAGGCGGAAGATGGCGAGGCCGCCACCATTGCCATAGCGGCTGACGTCCTCGGGGTAGGCATCACCGAGCAGGCGCTTGATGCTAAACTCGCGGCCCTTGACCCATACCTTGGTGGCGATGTCGATGCGGTTGAAGACAACGGACCGGCAGTCGGCAGGTGATACGACAATGCGCGGGTTGTTGGGCGCGGAGCAGGGCCGGGCATCAGGCTTCAGCGCTCGGTAGAAGAACTCATTGAAGCTCTTGAACTCGCTCATGGGCAACAGCACCTCCGACATATCAAGTCCGTGGAACTTGATAAAGGATGGAATTTCTGCCTTCGATGCCGGGTCGTCGTACTTCTTGCCCTGCTTGATGCTAAGGCTCTTGAGAAGTTTACGAACTTGAATAGAATTAGCATACGATGTGGCATGGGGGAGAAGGGGAGGCGGCCTTGTTCACTTACTCCTCTTCTTTTCCATATTGTTGGCCTTGAGACCCTTGTACAGCAGGCGGATGCCCAGGCGGACGTAGACGCTCATCTTCTCCTCGCTGATCTGGCCGGTGATGCGGTCTTGGATGAGGATGTTTGCAGAGTTGGCGCCAAGTTTATAGCCGCCGTACGAGATCTTGGTGATGACCTTGGAGTACCATTTGCGTTGCGCCTGACTGGACGTGACGAACCCGCCCATCATAAGGTTGTTGACCTGTCGCCAGTCTTGGCTCGCACAAGTTGCAATGTGGGTGATGATGTCGGCATCATTGCGCTTGTTTAGGCGCGGCTGGTGGCAGATGGGGCACTCCCGAATCTCCACTACGTGCTCCTCGCTGCTGCCCGTGTTCAAGTCTTCCCGGTCCAGAAGCTCGCCTTCCTCTCCAGGGGTGCTGAGCTCAGGAACAGCAATGGTTGACGCGTCGGTCAATTGCGACTCGGTGGGGGTCTCGGAGCCGGAAGATTCCGTTCCCGAGCTCGAGCTTATCCCGGACACAGAGAGTAGGGGTTTCACCTTGTCGGCGTCAGGTAGTAGGTTCTTCACGCGCTCCGTCATGCTCTGAGGCTGTCTCGTCTTTGCTTCGAGCTGGTCTTCCAGGCAGATGACGGCCTCGTCCATAGTCAGGTCTTCGCCATCGTCACCCTCGGTTGCCTTGTGGGGAAAGCGCTGGAAGAAGCTGTCGATGGTCGACTCGCGCAGAGTCGAACCGAGCGTGTCAAGCATGGTTGTCAGCTCGACCTTGCTGATGAGCCCACTCTCGTCGGCGTCGTATTGCTTCAGCATTGCCCTCCAGAACTGCTGTCGAAGTGCCGGGTACGGCATGTACTTGACCCGGATGAAAAGCTGGGGATTGTGCTTGTCTTCCCACTTTTCCAGATTTTTCATCTTCAGCGGGAGCGAGATGGGGATGAAATCCGGATCATCCCCGTCGGGCGGCGCCATCTCGCCAAGAGTGGAAGCTGCCGCGGCCACGCCATCACCGCCCGACGGCTGGAGGAGTCCTGGATTATTCAAGGCCTGTGGACCGCCGTCTGGTGTGCCGTCAAACGGGGGCTTGGAAGCAGAGCCAACGCCGGGCGTGGCGGCAGGCGTGTTCGTCGCCGTTGAAGCCGCCGTCGATGCGGCCGTCGTAACAGAAGGGTTCTTGGAGAGTGCCGGCCTGGCAAGCTTGCTTAGGCTCTGGGCCGACGAGGTCCGGGACATGCCCAATCTCATAAATCGGGGCCGTTGCACCGGAGTGTACTCGGGAACATCCTTCAGGTTGTACAGGCCGGTATCGGGGTCGGCCTTGGGCGACTTTTCGAGGATTTCTTTGAGTGGCAGGTTGACGGACGCGATGAAATCATTGCCCGAGTACTTGTCGTGGTCGATGACGGTAAAGGAGAACGAGTACGTCTGCTCGTGGCTGAGGAGCTGAAAGATCATCTTCTCGTTGAACACGGGATTCAGGTTGTGCCGGATCATCTTGGTCCTATACGTCTTCTTGCCGAGCGACGCGACCACAAAGGGATCCATGTCGAAGCTCGTCTTGGTCAGGTTGGACTCGGGAGGCAGGTCGGTGATTTTGCCAATCTCGAGGAAGATGATGCCGACCACGTCGCTGCCGCCGTTGAGGAACTCGTACGGGTTGTCTCTCTTCTTGCGCTTCAGCCCCCTAATCCGTAGTCTCCTCTTTCTCTTCTCGATGGCCTCGGGCTTTGTGGAGTCCTCGTCGTCCGGAGTCTCGTCCTCGTACATTTCGTAGTCATCGTCGTCGTCATGGTCGCCTTGGCGCCTACCGGGCGGGGGGGACGGTGACTGGGACTTCGTCATGCTGCCGACGGGAGCCAGAATAGGGGTCCGAGTCGGGGTGGGGTTTCGCGACGCCGACTCGATGGCCGGGACCAACTTTGCGATGGCAGAAAACTTCTCAAAGACCTGCTGGGGGGTTGCGTCCTTGTTCTGGACATCCACGAGCGAGAACTGCAACAGAACCTCGCCCGAGACGACGCTCGTCTTCTTGCCTGGCTTCTTGCTCTTGAGCGGGAACCACCTAGGGGGCTGCTCGGGCTTCTCGTCAGCCGAGAATATCTCTTCCAAGGCCAGGTCGAATTCTCCAAGGTAGTCCTTGCCGAAGCGGTCCTTGTCCCAGCAGCACACGTCGAGGAGCAGGCTCTGGACGCCATTGATGGGGAGCTGACACTGTTCGTTCCAGTCCGGGTGCAGAGACTTGGTCACCGCGTGTGTAATATGTTTGGCTTCGCCCAAGGAGAGCACGAGGTACTAGTCACGTCACACGTCAGCCAGGGGTTCTTAAGGATTGCCCGCCAGCAGCTGGTCCTGGTTGTAGATTTACAAACGGCTGCAGGATGCCGCCATAGCAACGGGCCGGAGCAGTGCACTAGGTGTGGGAGTAACGCGGCCAGTCTAAAGAAGGACAACTTACGGGATCCGAGGTGCCTCCTCTGTCCTTGGCAGCAAGATCTCTAGCCTAGCGGCAAGTCAGCGCGCCGTCTACATCTATACTCTGTCTGGGGAGAGTAAGCTCGCCGCACCCGTAGGATATTCACGTCCAGAGCCAGCCCCGTGTCCTTGCGGCCCTCGGGGCTTGCCGAGTCGCCCTTGCTCCGCATTGGGCTCGCGCTGCGGCTGTTGGACGTGGAATTGGACATTGTGTTGGCGGAGTGGCCAGGCTTGAGACGATTGGGGATGATGCGGACCATGGCGGGCGTCTTGGCGGCGGGGATGGGCGGTGTCTACTTTATGGGCGGCGGCAGCGCGCAGACTGGAGGGCGAGGGGGGTGTGGAAGGCAGCAGCAGCAGCAGCAGCAGCAGGGGGGGCAGCCAGCTCGAGAGGGGTCGCAAACTACAATCGATCGTCACTGCGGATATCCGTAGCAACTGGGCAACTTCCAGGATTCGCCAGCTAGTATCCAAAGCAAAGCCAGTTTGGGGTGCAGCGCAGCGCAGCTTGGCTCGTCGGTGGTGGCGGGAACGTCAGGTATCGACCGATCGAGACCGAGGGTACCGTACACTACACTGCCGTACCTCACTCAGTTAGGTAAGGTCTCCAACAAGGCAAGCCAAGGCAGGCCAAGGCAGGTAAGGTAAGGTAGGTATCGACGACGAGGGATAGTGTGTCGTGTGTCTGTCCGTCTGTTCTGTCCTGTCCCGTCCCGTCCCACTGCGTCTTTTTGATTCGATCCAGAGACGAATCAGAGCCGATGCACAGCCGACCGCAATAATACGACGAGTCCACCCAGTCCCAGTACCGGCGTCCAACACGGCAAGGCGCGACGGGGCACCGGTGTGGAAGCTGGGGGAGCTGGGCAGCCAAGGAGCAGCGAGGACGTCATCCGCCCGAAGGTGGGACGCTTCTTTTTTCTGGTGGCCTGGCGCGAGGTCCAGTGTCGACGTCTCTAGCTGCTGTGCAATGACACCTCTATGGGCGATCGGCGGGGTAATTAATTGGATATTGGGGGTGCTGTATTTCCGCAGCGCTCTGTGCCTGGGCGACGGTTCGGATTGCGTCCGTTACCGACACTTGGCCCAAAAGAATAAAAAAAAATAACAGGCTGGGATAACTGGATGCTGCTGGATAGATGGATAGTTGCTGGACTGCTGCAGCATGCAGCTCATTCGGATTCGGCTTGGTGTTATCAGAGGTTTTTTTTATTAGTACCTAGGTTGTCGCCGTCCTGTTCCTCGTTGGGCGACAGCTCTGCGACGTTTCAGCGCTGCCTCTTATCCTTCGGTTGCGTTTGCGTCCAATCTGGCGTCTGAGGTGGTGGGTAGGTTGGTATGGATGGGATGGCGCGGAACGGCTTGAGTTGGGCTTGTTTACGGAATAAGGCAGTAGTAACGTACCTAGGTAGATGGTCGGGTATCGGTCTCTCTCTCTCTCTCTCAATGGAAGCCGGGAAGAAGAGTAATAGGACGGGGAAGATGGTAGTGGTAGGAGGTAAAGGTGACGGCAAGAGAGCTGCTGTGTATGTAATGTGTATTAAAAGTTGCAAGTCTCTGGTTTGGACTGCCAGCCGGAGCTTCCTTCAAAGACCACAGTCGGGAGCTCTCAGTTGGGGGGCCTGGCCAGATTGGCGACAGAAAAGGGGGCTGAAAGCTGAGGAATTAGTAGGTGATCGCTCTCATCCCCATTGGCTTCATTGACAAACAAAGTGGGCAGCCTGGCACGCCTAGGGGGTGGGCCGCATTCCCAATGCTTCGGGGAGGCGTCAGGGTCTGGAATTGCCCGTCGGTCGTGGGCAATCTGCCAATGTCCAATGTCAATGTCCCGAGGTCCCAGGTCTCCTAGGTCCCCCTTCCGTGGCTGCCCGGCCAGGGAAGGTGCGGGCGGTTTGGAGAACACGTACAACGGGTACAGGACAGGACAGGTCAGGTCAGGTCAAATTATTTTACAAACAAAACATCAGTCGGTGAGGGATTGAGATGGAGGCCGGGAGCATCGGGATGGAGGTTAAATGAGCTCCGAAGCTGCAACTAGAATGTACTTCTTCTATCTGGTTTTATAGCTTCTTTGAGCTCCTCGTCCCGAATCCTTAATTTGGCTGTTCTGCCCGTGCTACGCAACGCAGTAAGGTGTTATTGCCTCCCCTTTTGAACTAGGTGAGCCGCAGCTGACAAGATCATCCAGCCCAGGCGGACCAGTCCACTCCCTAACTTTATCTGCAGCTCGACTTCCAGAATCAGGGTAGCGCTTAAACCCACGCACTGGGCGTCCGAGGCTGGAACCTTCCGGGGAGTCTAAGACGGATTAAGAGTAATAAACCCAGATGCTGCCAAGAAGCACGCATCCACCCCTCAACTTGGAAGGGAAGGTACCACCAGCAGGCAGAGTGTGCATGTATGTGCAGAGGAATGGAAATAGTCCAAACTTTGTTTCGAAGACGGGGGAATATCTTGGCCGCCTCACACAGGCGGAGTGGGTTTCAGCCTGGCTGGTGGTCTCGGATGAGGGAATGCTCAGTGTTGGTTGGGTTGGGCCTGCTGGGTCCTGTCTTCTGGCAAGAGGAAGCCGCTGCTGACACCCAACAGCTGGAGGGCACCTCAGGTCATCCATCCGTGGGACGCGGGGTGGTCCCATCCCCAACTGAGAGAATGAATGCATGCTTCATTCATACGACAAAGCCAGCTCGCCTCACCTCACTCGCCTCACCTGCTTTCGTCGTCTTGCAGAAGAATCTCACGCATTGACACCGCCCAGCCCTCTACCATCTAGGCCAATCAGAAAGACACGCTGGCCGTCCCCGCAGGAAGCTGGGCAGTGGGACGCGATGACGCAGCGCCTCTCGGCATCAGCCCGGGCCAGGCCCGTCTACTCTTTTTGTATGTGCTGTACGTACCTTGGTGGTGGGCTGACAACCGTCTCCGTCACCTTGGGTTGGGAGCACAGAACGTCCAGTACGTACTGGGTCGCCCGACCACATACGTGATTCGGCAGCCCGTCGTTGCACACACGAACCCATCGAGGCAGCCAGCAGATATGGCTGAAACGAAGCCGCCATTTGGAGAGTTGGAACCAAACCGGGCGTATTTGAGCTGCAGGACCGACTTGGGCCGACTGCCGCGTGTATTGTATTGCACAATACACACATAGCTTGTGGACGGAGCATGCACACACCACGCTCTACTGACAAAGCTACGGCAGCCAATGCCAAACTAAGGTCGGTGAGATGTGCACATCAGTCCATTAATTCTAGACTGCAAGCAGCCGCGCTCGATCGCACCCGCACTCGCTCAAAGCTTGTAGCAGCAATGGGCGGGGTTTAGTTAGCTCGCCACGCCGGCAGCCATGGAAGCGCGGGTGCGCCGAGTGAGCGTCCGTCGGGCGAGTCAACCCGGCGGCCGTTTTGAGTTTAGGGAAGGCCTCGAGGCCCACCAGGGATCTGTCTCTCTCTCCGCCCGTGCGTACTATATATATACATGTGTATGTATCGCAACACGTTGCAGCTCGGCGATTGGGGAAACGAAACTGCACAGTCATGATCGTTGGCCCCAAATCGTCGGCCGATCCGCGTGTTTAAGCGCACCGCGGCCGCCCCCCCGGATCCTTTATCCCATCCAGCAATTGTCTTCGAGAGCAGCCTGCGCTGTTTCGCTAGCCGCATGTCCTTCTTTCGAGACGTCTCGTAGTGGGTAAGGTAGGTAGTATCTTACTCGTCCAAAGTCCGGGGGGAGAGGGAAAGGGGGGTGGGGGGGCTACGGCGCCGTCATCCTCCCGCACGCCATTGATACCATCACTCTAAAAGATGAATGGAGGAGGCTGTGGTATATCCTCGCAGCGCGGTGCTTGATTCAGCCTCGCGTGAGCCACCGCTCAGCTCTTAGCGAGGGAGAGCCTTGCCGTGCCCCCAGTTCGCTGTGGTGGCTCCAAATAGGCTCTCACCGCGTAGGAAATAGAACCAGTGCAACTCGTAACTAGCACTACCCGGAGGACAACTCAGGGGCAGTATATTGCCAGTAGATATACCAAGTACTAGGTAGTAGTTCGATATATGTTCCGGGAGTCCCAATGGCGTGTTTGTCACCACAACTTCAGCTACAACTACAGTTTGTTAGGTTCTCACTCCCAGCCAAGAATCCATATCACAGCTCCCGAAGTTAGCACTCACTTGTGAATTCCCGTGGCGCAAGATTCTTGTCTGGTCTCCATCACTTCCGAGTCTTTGGCTGCAGGAATAATAAATGCTAGAGTTCATTACGAGGGGATTCTGAATAGGGTACACAATAGGCATTGTTCATATAAAGCCACACGTTCGTTCATTTATTCGTCCCTGTTTGTTTGTTCACTTCTAGGCGCATTCTCAGCTACTCGGAATGGAGACTCCCAACGCAGACCCCCCGTCATGACTGTGCTTGCTTGTGTTTGTAGACACACGAGACAGAGACAGAGACAGAGGGCACGGAAACCAAGGAACCAGCAGTGATGGAGTCAAAACAACAAAACAGAAGGAATGCTGCTCCAAGCGGCATCGTCAACTGTAACAGGCCCCTCTCTCTAAACTGCAGACGTATAAAAAAATTAGAATCTGGTCTATAGACTGACATGGCATGACGATTGCAACAAAACCTTTGCAAAAAAGTCGTTCCGAAAAAAAACATGCATCCCATTCATTGCCTATCGACCAAACACGCACGCCCGAGAAACCAGAAATGCCTACCGTAGCAACGCTTTTTATATTTTCTTCGCCAAAATGAAGATGATTTTCTTTTGGCGAGAATTCTTTTTTTCTTTTTGCCGTTACTCATCATCATTTACTTTACTTTTTTTTTAATAATTAATTAACAACATGAGTGCTGAAAATATAGCATTTCTCATGCAGCCACCTTGGCCTTGTACTTTGTCGCCGCCTTGTCAAAGAGGTCGCTCTTCTCTGCCAAGTCGGTGAGCAGCGGATGCTGGGCGTCTACCTTCTCCAGCGAGCTGTATTGGGAAGGGGAAATGGGACAGTTAGCCTTCCAGACACCCCCACTACAAACTGAAGGGGGGCGGGTCGTTGAATACTAAAAGACATACCTCGTAAGTTCCTTGGTGTCCTTGCCCGTGATGACGCTCAGCACCAGCAGGTCGGCGATGGCGTCGGCGAACGCGGGCTCCTTCTTCAGCGCCTGTTCCAGCGCTACCTGCGCCTCTTCTGTCCGGCCGAGATGCAGCTCCGCCACGGCCTGCGAGACCAGACTCCGCACGGACGATGTCGCGGGCGCCTGTGCAAGCTCCTCAAAGACGTAGAACGCCTGCTGGTACTTTTCACCGCCCTAGATGTGAGAGAGAGAGAGAGAGAGAGAGAGATGTTAGGGTGCTGTGTCTCGAGGCGTAGGCTGGGGTGGGGAAGATGGGGAGACGGGATTATGTATGGATAGAGAGAAGGACTGACCAGTCTCAACCCGACCCATGACTCTGCCAGATTCACCAGGAGACTATCCTGGGCCCATCTCCGCGCCGCGACCACCTCCTTGAGGGCGAGGTCGGTCCTGTTTTGCTGGAGATGGATCTGCACGATGAGCGCCACGGCTTCCACTGCAAACAACATACAAAGTCAGTCCACACACGAAAACAGGATACGCAAGAGCAGAAAAAAACGCACAATTGCCTTGGTGCTGCGACAGCAGAGCCAGGGCGTCCTCGGACCTGCCGGCGGCCTGCAGGACGGTGCCGGCGAGGGTCTGGACGGTGGCGTTGGCGGGGGCCGAGGCAGCGAGGCGCGAGGCCGTCTTGAGGGCGGCGGCGGCGTCGCCCCTGGCCTGCTCGGCCAGGGCGGCGACGGCCTCGAGCTCGGGCTCGGCTTCGCCCTGCACGTCGGCGAGCACGTCGTCGGCCTGGCCGAGGGCGACGCGGGCGCGCAGCTGCAGCACGCGCGCCGGCAGCGCGTTCTCGGGCGACAGCGCCGCCGTGTCGAAGTCGACCACGTCCTGGTACTGGCCCTGGTGGAAGTGGTTGTGCAAGTTGATGAGCTCGCCCTCGGCTGAGAACGGATCCATCGTGGGCGGTTTGTGCTGGTTTTTTGGGACTGGGTTGTTTTGGTAGCAGCTGCGTATCGACGTCGTCGGACTGGGTTCTTCGTGGCTTGATTGATGGTCGGCGTCGGCTTCAACCACGGACCCAAAGTGATCGACGTGGAGCCTCTCAAAGTGGGGACTGGCAGACAGACGACGAAGCCAAAGAGAGAGGTGGGGGTGGCCAGTGCACGCTGTTGCAATTGAGTATGTAGGGTTAGGGGTTTAGATGACTCCCGAGCTTTGGGCAGCTGTTCTTGCCGTCAGAAGTCGGAAACCGCTGATCTTACCAGCCAGCCATGCTTTGCAAATCAAGCGACGGCCATCAAGGAGCGATCCCGCAACTCGAGTGTGACACGCCGTTGGCAAGCACCATATTTTGCTACGCGGCGCCTCAGCGCAACGGCTCACCGGTGGGACGCGCAGTATGGTCAAACTCATATCGCCTCTATTTGTGCTGTACCTGTATGTGCTGTGCTGCTATACTGTGCTGTACCTCTTCGCTGCACTCTCTGGTCAGGAACCTCGTCACCGACCATAGTGCTCTTTTATTCATGCACTGGCCGCCGACTTGGAGAAACGCAACTACTAATAATAAACAAACATTATGCGGCTCGACCCGGTCGGGGAGAAAGTCGGTACTGTTTGGCCATCAGGAAACCACGACCCCAAAAGCTAAGACTCGGTGGGTTGTAGTGTCGGCGACACGGCGGGGTGTCATCCGAAGCCTGAGCGATTCGCCAAGTTGTATCAATTGACAACATGACAGGTACGCAAGAGAGTTACCTGTCCTAGTCTAAACCGGGAAGTGGCCTAGAAGTCTAGAGGAACCGCATCGGCTTCGTCGAGAAGAGACGTGACTTGTGGAAGACGTTGCAGTGCTACGCTCCTCGAGTCTTTCGGATGGAGGAGCGACGGCACGCACAACTCCATCCTGTCCTCCACCAAGTTGATCCCTCTTGTCTTGTCCTGACTCGTCCCATCGCTTGGGGGGTTTCGTGTCACCGCACTGGCGTCCGGATCACTGGGGACTGGCAGAACCTGAAACGTTCAGCACCTCCACCTACCAGCGAGTCACAACCTCCCCCGCAACGCATGAATCGGACCTTCGTACCACAACCTGGAAATCCCAGCCTGGATTTGATTTGGCGGCTTCCTTCAGGGCTGCCACGAGACAAGAAAAAGGGCAGATGCAAGATGCAGATGCAGATGCTGGGCAGGTTCGATCGTCGAGCCGACGGGGACACGGCATGAACGATTCAAACATGACCAGAGAGACAAATCTCTCCCATCCGGGCTCTTGGAACTCGGGATTTGCGGCCGTTCTGAGGCGCTCTCGGGCCATGAAAGTCAAGTGCTGAAAAAGCCGACCAGGAGAGCAGAGAAACAAAGCCGTGAGCAAGCGAGCGAGCGAGTCGGCTATGTCCTCCATGGCGACAAGTCGTTGTGGACCACATCCCGTCTCACGTCTCCCACCTCCCGCTTCTAGCCTCTCTGGTTCTGTCTCTCGAGTCTCTAGAGTCCCAAGTAGGCGCTCGATGCACCAGAAAATCCATTGCAGCATGTGTTGTTCTGCGGGCAATTCGCCGACTGGTTCTCCCGGAATTTTTGCCGTCCAGACTGGCCGTGCGCACATGGTCCTGTCGAGTGTCGATATTCCGGGTGCTAAAGATACCAGCCGCACTCGCAGGTGTAGCCCCTTGTCAGGTAGTACCACCGGTATATAGGCCAGAAGTCGGCGGTTGGAAGTTCTCGATTCCGCTGCAAGGCTGCTGCAGGACTGCTGCAGAGCGGGACTTCTATTTTTGAGACGGAGAGTGCCGACTGCTCGACGAACCAGCCCAGTTCATTTGATCGTGTCTTTTACATCGGCGAGGAAGGTAAGGGACGAGGTAATGGATAAAAAAAATTGGGCTGAAGAAATGGAAAAGAGGCATCTTTCTCTTACATGCAACTACTAACCTACCTAGCTATTTTCTGCGACAAGAAAGAGGACCCCCAGCAGGCAGGCCCCAAGCTTTCAGAGTTTGAACAGGGCCTCCTCTCATCTCTACCTAGCCAAACAACAGGCCCTTGGTGTAAGGCACCCAAGCCGTCGAATACTTAACAATAGTGTGGCGAGCCAAGTGGCTGCTGATTGGGGCACGACGGTGAGCGATCGCGAGTTGCATACAGTGCCTTAATATAGACACCCCTGTCACCCTGTCACCCTGATGCACGTCGTGAGTGGCTCCCCCGGCCTGGAGTGTCGGACCAGGGGCAGGGGTAGGTACATACCAGTGCCGTTGTCTACCGTCTTTCTTGTCGTCGAACTCGAGCGTCATGGCGCGGGGCAATCCCCCTTCGCCCAGCTGCCCAAGACAGAACAACACCACTGGTTTGACTAGCACCGGGCAGCGGTACGTCAAAGATGTCTGTGGGTTGTAGGGACAGGACCAGGACGGGGAGGAGAGGAGGAAGCGGGCAGAGATCCTCGCCGAGGGTTCCCCGGGCTGCCCTTCCTCCCCATACCCGCCCGCTGGGACCCATGAGAGGCAACTAATACATAATGATGGCTTCTCCTCCCTGACCCCTGCCTGCCGTTTGAGAGCCCGGCCTCAGCCACCAGTTGTCGTCCTGTATGCGAGTCAAGGTCATGATCCCCCCAGCGTGCCTTGCGACTGATGTTTTGTGACGAACCCCTTCCACCCTCACCGGCGCCGCCCTCCTTCCTTATGTCTCTTGCGCCTCGCTGCTGTCCTGCCCCGCCGCCTCGTCTTGCGGCATGGAGATAGTCATACCGCCTAGGGACCATGGGCCGTCAACCTTTCGTTACACGTGGGATGAGAATGGTGAAGTGCAGCAGATGACGAGGTCCGTTTCTATCCCACCTTGAACCTGCTGCGGCGTCGCCGTGGACTGACGCGAGACAGAGTGCGGGAACCCTCTGCCATCCCAAACTTTTCGCGGCTCGGGAGGCGGACGGCGCAGTGGCCGTTCGAGAGCATCTCCGACACCGACGCCGCCTCGAGCCCGGCCACGCCGGCCTTCTTGCCCCAGATAGGCACGTGGCAGCCGCAGCCCACGCGGGACTACGACACGGACTCGGTCGCCACCGAGAAGAACCTCATCCCCGACTATGTCATCAACTACATCCGCGGCGAGACGCCCGAGACGGTCGCCCAGCGGAAGCTCGTCAGGCTTGGCCAGCGCGGCGTCGACATTGAACACCAGAACGAGCTGCACCAGTCGAGAGTGCCCGACATTGACGGCTCCTACCTCGAGCACTCGGGCCGCCCGAGGTCGCCGGTCGGTCATGGGGGTGATGAGGAGGCAGACGGCGGCCCGGGCGGAGGATGGAGGCGCCTGTCTGTCGGCTGGCGAGCCGGGGTGGCTCTGAACACTCTGCTCTCCTTCTTGATATTGGTGGCGGGATTCGTCTGCTTGGTCGTGGCCATTGCAAAGGCGTCTGTGTTCCAAGGCAGGTCCGTCATCTTCTCAGGATCCTGCTCAACTACATCCAGCATCAGCTGGGTCCTCCATGCCGTCCTCAGCGTGTTCGGCATAATCATCATCGCCGGCGCCAACTACGTCTTCTCGGTGCTCAGCAGCCCCACAAGAGCCGAGGTCGACGTGGCCCACCAGAAGAAGAAGTGGCTGGACATTGGAGTCCCGTCTCTCCGAAACCTCGGGCACATCGACAACACACGGACGTGTCTGGCTCTCATCCTGCTCTTGTCAGCCGTGGTGACCCAACTAATGTAAGCCACCCCCTTCGAAGCGCTGGACGACGTGGCAGGAAGCTAACCAGCCGGCGTCCCGGCATGACAGGTATAATGCGGTACTCTTCACCTCCCAGACGGCCCCCAACTTCAAGCTCGCCTTGGTCGCCGAGTCGTTTCTCGACGGTGCCCCGTTCAGCAACGGCACGGCCAATAACAGCGGGCTGCTGAGCCGCTTCGACCTGCTGTCGCTCCAGCAGCAGGCGAGCCGCGACGACCTCGTCAACCTCACCGCCTCGGACTGCTTCCAGGAATTCAAGGGCGCCTTCGGGCAGACCTTTGACGCCGCCCTCCTAATCACTAATACCGTCTCGCAGACAAACTCGCTGCTGCAGACGTCGACCGGCGCCGCCGGCGACGCCCTCACGCGCATCTTCAGCACGTCGAACCCGCCGCTCGACCAGGCGTCGGTCCGCTACTGCATGGCCCAGCCCGGCCGCACCGCCAGCACGTGCGAGGTCGATCTGAACGGGGCGCTGCTGGGCGTCGTGGCCCTGCTCAACCTCATCACCGTCGTCGCCGCCGCCGCCGTGCTGTACCTCTCCAAGACCTCGGCCGCCTTCCAGCCCCTCGCCACGCTCGGCGACGCCATCGGCTCCTTCCTCCAGCGCCCGGACCCGACCACGCGCGGGTCCTGCCTCATGTCCAAGGCCGACGTCCGCCAGGGCCGCTGGGGGCTGCAGGAGGCCAAGTATTACGTCGCGGCCGGCGACCACTACTGGTTCCGCAGCCCGTCGCTAGCACAATGGCTGTTCGCCGTTCTGGCATGGAGCGCGCCGGTGGGGCTCGCGGCGGCGGCGCTCGCCATCTCGGTGGCGGCCGAGCCCGGCGCGCAGCTGTCGGCGTTTGGCGCCGTGTCGGCGCACTCGCTCGTCGTGCTGCTGCCCGTGCGCTCCGTGCTCGACGGCCCCGCCACCGCCGCCCTCCTCGCCGCCCTGCCCCACCTCCTCGTCGCCGTCCTCTACTTTGCCGCCAACGGCCTCGCCACCGCCTGCTACCTCTCGCACGAGTCGTCCCTGTTCGCCGCGGGGCACGCCCGCCCCCTGCGCCTGTCTGCCGGCAGCGGCGCCAACACGTCGCTGTACCTGACCTTGCCGCGTCCCGTGTCATGGCTGCTCATGGCCGTGTTTGCCGGCCTCGACTTTGTTCTGAGTCAGGGCTTCTTCGCCACCACCATCCGCCTCGTCGACGTGTCCACGGCGTCTCCTGATCCAGTCATCTCCGCAACTGCCACGGGCACGACGCTCCGCCCAGACGTCATGGTCGCAGCCCTCGCGCTCAGCGGCGTCGCGCTGCTGGTGCTCGTGGCCGCGCTCGCGCTGCTGGCCCTGTGCGCGCTCGCCGTCGTCTTCTTCTGCCGCGCCGAACCCGCCGGCCTCGTCAACGGCCGCCGCGTCGGCAACCCCATGGCCCTCCCCGGCGGCTCGTGCAGCGCCGTCGTCAGCGCCCGCTGCCATCCCCACTCTCCGGGGGGCGATAGTGATGGTGTTGATGCTGGTGTCTGGCGCAAGCCCCTCGTCTGGGGCGTCGTGCACGAGGCTGTGGGTATGGACGTTAGTCGCTGCGCGTTCACCGCCGGTAAGGCGGGATTGGTGGATGTCGCGCGGAGCTATGCGTGAAACTAACTACCTGTGTGGGGGGTTTTATGGCTTTCTTCGGTTTGCTACGTAGGTGGTTGGCATCTCTATCTATTTATGTGTATATATATACATCACTTCGGTCTTTTGGTGGTTGTTTCTAGGAGTTTTTTTTTAAGGGGCGGGGGGAGGGGGGGCATATCTTGGAGTTTTGACAGGCGCCATTGGCTCAGGTACTTACTTTCAGGGGGGTGTTTGGGCTATCGGGGAGGCTACCTATGTACCTATGTTTTGAATCTGGAATCTGGGGAGTTGGTTCAAAAGGGTCAGGGGGGTATGCTGTCGGTACGTAAAAAGGTGATGGGGAATGGGGAACCGGGGAGAGGATATACCCAGTATTTGTTTGTTTATTTATTTTGCAACGAGACACAGACCAGTGCAGGAGAATAAAATTTTGAAATATGTAATCTACTACACTTCCCGCATGAGGCGTTTTGCGTTTTCTATATGTGAAGGAGTGCATAAGTGGGAATATTGTATTATTTAGATATATCATTATTCATTATTTTATTTACTGCTAGAAATAGCTTTGTCAACTCCTCCTGTTGGAACAAGTCTTTGATCCCATCCCATCCATCCCAGAGAATGAATGAAACAAACAAACAAACCAGCCAGGGCTAGCCGTGTGACAAGTGACGGCTGGGTGACCCAATCACGCCATCACCTGCTTACGGTCCGGGAAAAAAAGAACGAGTCTCCACTTTAAATGTTTGAGAGCTGCTCACTGCTCAAACACAGAGACAGATATCGATATCGATCACGGCGATAGTAGTCAGCCATCACAACGACCACCGCCACCACCCGCATATGAGAAAATTGTACACATCTCTAACTTTTGTTCCTTTTGAAGAAATCTTTTTTTCCGGCCCATATCTTGCCCCTTTGCACGAGTGTAGGATCTGAACCCTGCCGCTTTCGTTTTAGGACAGAGAGAGAATTATTCTACATCGAAACTCACACACACACCCACCGACCCATAAATATCTGGTGTCAGCCAGCCAGCTAGCCAGTCGATTCAGGGTATAGAAAGCAGAATACGAAGGAAAAAAGGCAACACCATGGTCCGTCTCTGCCACCCTTTTCCCGCCCATCTACCCATGTATATGTATACATGTGTATGTATATAAACAAAAGGAAACTCATAACCTCCGTTCCCCACCAACAGGTCCACGCCGACGCGGCCAAATTTGCGCCCGACGTAACCAAGGAGCAGGCCTATGAGCAGGTGCTCGACCAGGCCGAAGGTCTGTTTTTCGAGCAGCGGAACTGGGTGAGCTTTTGTCTATTTATTTATTTATTTCTCCGGACAGAGTGGAGTGGCTGCCATTAGTGTCACGGGGAAAACACTAAACTCATGGACTATGTGCTGCTTCGTGTGGTATGATGATATGAATCTTCGGCATACATACATGTCGCATACACAAAAGCTATACTGACCCTTCATTCTCTCTCAAACAGGTCTGGTAAATAACACCCCCCTCCCATATTTGTGCCGGGACCTACTTCACCGTCCAGCAACTACGGGGAGACAGGAGAAACTTATGTTGAAGTGGCACTGGGAGCAGCCGGGAAACTATTGTTGACTGACTGACTGACTGACACGAAACCAAATCTGCCTACTTAGCAACCTCGCCAACACGGCGTCGCTGCTATGGCACGCCTACAAGTCGCTCCCGGCTCCCAGCAACCAGGTTAACTGGGCAGGTTCGTCTTTTCTTTCATTGTTGTTTTCTTTCCCGAAAAGCTCGCTACCCACATTACTCTCACCCCTCTCCCCCTTTATCCTTCCATATCAACACGTCTCCTTTTCTTTCTTTCTTTCTTTCTTCTTCTTCTTTTGCCAAAGACCTCGTTTTACCCCTTCACATCAAGACGTCTCTTTTCCCTTTTTTTCACCTTCCTTTGGCAAAAGACCTTCAGATGTTACTTATCCCCCTTTCCGTATCTTTCAATCTCCCCATCTTCGCTCTTTCCCCCCTATCTTCTCCCCAAAACACAACACCCCCAAGCCCTTCGTCAACCCCCAAGTACTGCATGCTTAATCACCATCCATCTACCTACCTACCTACCTCAAGGAGCAATCTTGCACATTCTTCCTCTTTCTTTTTTCTTATTCCCGCTTTTTTTGTAGAAAACCACAGCAGAGAACCAACACATCAAACACAGGCTTCTACACGCTCGACCCGCAGTCGCGGCCCGGAAAGCCGCAGCTGATCCTCGGGCCCTTCAGCGGCAAGGTGGCGTGCCAGACGATCCCGTTTGGGCGGGGCGTGTGCGGGACGGCGGCGGCGACGGCGACGACGCAGGTGGTGGGCGACGTGGACGCGTTCCCGGGCCACATCGCCTGCGACGGCGACAGCCGGAGCGAGATCGTCGTGCCCATCGTCGTAGTGCCATCCGCGGGATCCGGAGGGGGCGAGGGCAGGGTCGTGGCTATCATAGACGTCGACTGCACTGCGCCCGACGGCTTCGACGACGTCGACAGGCTCTGGCTCGAGAAGCTGGCCCGGCTCGTCGCCGAGAGCTGCGACTGGCCTTGACATCCTGACAAAACAGCCTCTGTACATAGCAACTCAAGTCTAGACGTTTCACAAAACACCACCACAGTCATGTTGAGCAGGCAGCCTCGCATTGTTTCTGAATGCTCCCACTCAGGGCACGGCTCCAGTATTACATTTTAGCATAGAGCCCTGATGACAACGAACTAAGAAAATAACCATGACCCGTCCACTATCGACCTGAAAATGAACTGGTGTCATGCCAAGTTAAACGCGTAATAATTATGTAACAACTCATCCTCGCGGGTATGACCTTGAATTTCCGTTTAAATGCTCAATTACCACTGTCCCGTATCCAGCACATCACGTCCGAGACGGCTACGCAAGCACGAAAATCCTGTTAGCCATACGTCGCAGACGATATGGTGCCCAAAAAGTAACCATGCCTAACATGTGAGAATCTGCAAGTCGTGCCTCAGAGCAGCAGAGTTCCGCTCAGGGTCAGAACAAAGACTAGCGCCGTGAGGATGAGTGGCGCCTTGTCCACAGCTCCGACAGTGGTAATGCCCGCCGCGTTCTTGCTGTGGGTGGGCGTTGCCGTGGCGGCACCGGATCCCGGGGACGCGTCGCTGATGCTAGCAGGGCCAGCGTTTTGGGATCCATCGCCCGTCAGGCCAGGGCCCTTTCCAGCGCCACTGTTCATGAACTAGAATGTGTCAGTATGTGACAAAGTCGACGGACGAAAGAGAACTCACAGCCTTGGCACCGCTGGGAATCTCGGGGAGCAGAGTAGAGTCAACCAGCCAGTTCGCGTCCTTTGTAGGGCAAGGCTGGGACTTAGTCGTCGAAGTAAAGCCGCCGTCCCCAGTAGGTGCCGGGTTCGCAGAGAGAGCCTTTGCAAACTTGGCAAAGTCGCCTTGCTCCTGCACTCCTGAGCTCGAGATCTTAACAATGCCGAACCCATTGTCTTCCAATGCGTACTCGTACATGAGGCCACCCGAATAAACGCCAGTCATCTCGCTGTTCATGAGAGCCGCAACTTCGCCAAAGTCGCGGCCGTTGGTTGTGCAACCATACTCGGACAGGCTATATCCCGTCAGAAAGATGCAAGGCGGGTGTTTGGGAGCATGAAGATGAAACCTACAAGATGGGGAGGCCGTAGCCAGTGAAATTCTTGACCTTCTGGTCCCAGCCAGACACCTGAAAGTTTGTGTTGCACCACGAATAATCGTTCTAGACCGCGTTAGAAAAGATCATCACGGAACACGAGAAACAAAACCTACAAAAGCAAAGAAGTCGCTCCGCTCGTCGTCGGTGCCGCAGTTCATGTACTGAGCCATCTGCATGCGGTTCTGGGACACGTCGGCGGCCGAGTAGCCAACCGGGACCTTTCGGTAGCCGCGGTTGGCAATGTACTGGCGCATGTCGCGCGTCGTGGCCTTGACGTAGCGGGCTGACAGGGTACTCGTCACATTGTCGTTGATCACCTCGTTGCCCGAGAAGAAGGCGAGCAGGTTGTCGTACTGGATAAACTCGTCAACCGTGGCAAAGACGCTCTGCAGATACATGGCGTTATACGACGGGACCGGGTCGTAGCGATTGATCGAGAACAGCGGGTTGTTGGCATCAATAATGGCGTAGATACCCGCGTCGGCGAGGGCGTTCATGCACGTGTCATGGTTGGCCGAGTTATCTGTTATATAGACTCGGATCGTGTTGACACCCAGCTTCTTGAACTCGGCAATGTCGCGCAGACAGGTTGTGGAGTCGGCCAGGGGATCCTTCATGGCCGACGAGCCGCCGGGCTGGTAGTCGATTCCCCGGATGTAGAAGCGCGTCTTGTCTTGCCAGAAAGCTGTAGCATCGCGAATCCACGTCAGCTTCCTTTTCTCTCCCCTTTGCGTCTCTCACAACCAGTTACACATCTTAAACAGCCCGCAGGGGTAGTAGGACCATACCATTGCCTGAGGCAGTGACCGTAGGGAGCGAGGCCCGCTTGTGAGGCTGCTCCAAGTCCGTCAGAGTAGGCGTCGCCAAGGCAAAGGCCGCGAGCGTCGCCAAGGCAGACGCCAAGGCAAAGGATCGCATCGTGGGACTTGGCGGATCCGTTCCAGATCGTGGGGGACTGGGCAAGGGTTCTGAGTGCCGGTATTGCCAAGACTTCGAAAAAAAGAAAGCAAGGCTCTAGCTAAAAGATGTCGGCAAAGAGCAATGGGTTGGGATTTCTGATATGGGGGTGTAGCCAAAACGAGTAAAAAAAGGGGACAGAGAGACTAAAATTGGGGGTGGACGATCACCGAGGAGGGGAGAAAAAAAGAGCGAGCGAGTGATTGGAACTGGAAGATTACAACGAGTACGAGAATGCCAAACACAAAACGAGTGAGGTAGTTGGCAGGTGGGAGAGAGTGAGAGCAAGAGATGGAGAGCGAGAGCGAGAGATGGCAAAAAGAAAAGAATCAGGCCAGAGCGAGCGTGATGGGGGGAAAGCGAGAGTATCAGTCAATCAGACAAATATGGAGAAAATCCGGAAAGGGCGATGGGCAATACGCCGCAAATGCGTGCCCGTGCTTGTGCCTGTGCCTGTGCCTGTGCCTGGACACTGGAGAGGTCCGAATCTACACTAACTAAAAAAAACCAAGGAGGCCGGCCCCAGGATTCCTTGCTCTGTTCTGGGGATGACAGAAGATGAGAAGAGGGAGGGATAGCGACGGCGGGTAAGCCAGTATCCCAAAGGGTACACCTGTGACGCTACATGGCTCACCAGGTTTCGACGTACCGTCCATGTATTATGTACCTCGACGACCGAGTCGTAACAAATAAGGAAGTCACCCCCGGTCGTCCCGTCCCCTGGCTCCTGCATCTTGTCGAGTTGCGGTTGCGAGCAAATCAATCAGGCGAATTCCACTAATACCCAAAAAGAGTTGAACTTGTGGGACCCCCCCGGTCTCGACTTGTCCTGTATCGTACAGATAGTGCAGCCGCGAAATGGGAGACACAACGGCCATTGACTGGGCCCCAGAGCTCTCTCTCTTTCCAAAGTTCCAAGTCCGCTGCTTCTCAAAGGGGGGGGGGGGGGAATATCCTTACCGTTATGGCTTGAGTGACGCACGTACCCAAGAAATGTACGGGTCCGGATGGCCAATCTTTATTTCGACTTCCCTGCGAGCGTTGTTATCTTCCAAGGCACTGGCATCCGCCGACCCTGATCGGCGTTGACACTGCCACCATCACATCGCCTCCAATGGGTCTCAAAACTTGCCAGAAGCGTGTGCCGCCTTGGCGAAATGTGCTGGGCCGTCTCGGGCAAAAAAGAGTGGTACGTATTCAGTAAACTTCTAGGCTGTTTCATTCTCGTTGCTTCGAGGATTTTTGCACCGAGGTGTACCACATTGGCTTATTATCATGTACTGTCTTCGTACATACCTAACCTGCTATGTACCTAAGGTAGCTGGTGTCCTTAATCTGAAGCCCTATGATTTGTTCGCAAGTCAATCAGCGAATAGCGAATAGCACGTGGACAGCAGCCCGCGGAGACTTTGCAGAACACGAGATGGGGGTCGATCTGCTTGAGGAAGGTGATCCACTATTCTGGGCTCTGCCTCACATTTGCCCTCCCGAAATTATCGGAACTTTACCCTCACTCAAGCCCGAAAATAAAATGTTCCAAGTGATTCCTTATCCGTACTTCGTATACACACAAACAATTGTTGGGCGACCATTTGAGATCGTCACGGAACCCAAACGTCATTGCCAAGGCGCAATACCGCGGGCCGTACCCCCATGTCCCTGTCACACTGCGAATGCCTGTCTGCCAAGGCGCATGCACCGTGGGTTTGTCGCGACTCTTGGTACCGAATTAACGCCTGTCTCCCGTGAGTTGTGCATCCCTCACAAAACATCGACACTGCCTCTCAGCCCAGTCTAGACGACAAGAAAGACTCAGAGCCTCAAAGCAGGCGCGGTGCCCAATGGCCTGGATAACCTAGAGTAGGATATTCGTGTTTAGTCCTCGGAGCTAGTAATTTAACCAAACCAAACGCACTAAAGAAAATGGAAACGATGAAAAAGACAAACCATAGGTCTATATCCAGCGCCTCGTCCAGGCCCCGTCGGCTCGTACAACAATAACATATAACCACAATAAGCGATCGATCCCTCTCAATGCCAAAAGCCAGCCTGCCTAATATCATTGTCAATAATCCTTCATCGCCGTCATAGCATTATAATCATATCGATGACCCCGGCAAATCTGCTTCGCTCCGCTGTCCTGTCCTTCACTCGTCAGCGCCCCCTTCTTTGCTTTCGCCAGTATTCGCCTCGCCGCTGCTGGCAGGCGGTTTCGAACTCTCGCCCGCCTTGTCTACTCGCTTCGTTTTCTCCATCTCGGTCGACGAACTCTTCTCGTGCACCTTCACCTTCCACTCATTACGCACAGATTCCTCAAGGGACCTCTTCTCGGCCGCCGCAGCCGCCGCCCTCGCTCCCACTGCGGCCTTGGCTTTTTCTGCAATCGCCTTCTAGGCGGCATTGCCAGGCTTCCCCTGTTGTTGGTTTTGACACTGCCTAACAACACGGTGTGCCTGGCGCATCTTGCAGCGCAAATGGTAGCCGGGTTCATTGGCCTTTCGCCACTCCAGGTATGCCTCGTACTGCTGCTGCTTTACCGGGTCATGATCCCGTGGTTTCTGCGTCACAGGGAAATGAGGCCGGTTTATTCTGTCGTCTGGACCGAACAAGTGTTCCTCGTTAGCGAAGACGTGAGGCAAAGGAGCGCCTGCGAATGGCGACGTGATTGTGTTGCCAAGGTTGAACCCATCCGGGAGGCGCGGATGAGCACCCGTTGGACCCCGAGCACCGTGATACGGGAACGTGTTGAACCCATTTGGGTTTGCCAGGTTGAACTGTGCCATTTCCAGCGGCGAAAATGGCAGGCCAGATGAATTGAACGTCCCGAAGTTGTTGGCTAGTGGACTGGCCGACATTGTCGGCTGAGCGAACATGGGAGGAGCAAAAGGAAAAGGTTCAACGGGTTGCTGACCTTGTGCCTTGGGCGGTGCAAACATGCCCATATATGGTGGCAGTTCTGGTTGGTTGATGCCATCGAGGGGCAGATTCTTATGCAGGTCCGGAAACTGGTGTTCAGACGATATGGCTCCCCTAAACATCGCCTCCCCCAAGCCGAAGCAAGGTCGTGGGTTGATGCCATTAAGGGATAGGTTCTTTTGAAGGTCCGGAAACATGTGCTCAGATGATACGGCTCCATTGAGCATCGCCTCTCCCGAGCCGAAGCAAGGTCGTGGCTGAGAAGCTACACCGTCCGTCAGCTGGTTTGGGTCATACTGCGAGGCCCGCATGGTTTGGACGCCAGGTTCGATAGATGTCGCCGGCCGGATCATATTGGGGAACAAGTTTGTGAGCGGTGGACGGCACAGCTTTTTTGGCGAAAAATTCGGCATTGCCATCATGCCCGAAGTTGACTGAAACTCTTGCGCGGTGGGGTTCAGCTTCTTGGTGGGGCTCTCAAAAGTGTCTTGTCCCTGGGGTCTCTGGATAATGACACTGCTCATGCTCCCAGAGGCGTCACTTGGACGATATATTCTCTGGTCCTGTGTCCTACTGCCCGTCGCATAGCCCGAGTCTTGGGACCCTTCTTGGCCCGTCTTGGGACCCTGACCAGGAAGCCGCTCGTAAAGCCTGTCCATGAGTTCTTGGTTACGTCGATCGGCTTCTGAGTTCATTTCTGCTGCCTCGTGGTTCTTCACTTTCGCAGCTACAATGGAGGGATCAGTTTTTCGAATATCGAAGGCTGATGCGCTAGTTGTCTGGCGAGCGTCGGCCGGCGGTGCCTTGTTCTTGTTCAGTCGCCTCAGAAGCATCTGGAACCGCGAACCGTCATCCTCTGTCGACTTTTTGCGTCTTCCATCGGGCTCTGCTTGAACGCTCCGGAAGCAGCCCATGACAGAATCTTCGCTGCTTCGCTGGAACATTGCGCTCTTCGTCAGGTTTCTGGGGCGGCGGGAGCAACCAAAATCTGGCTGAAAGCCCGAGAAGGCGTTTGACGAACCGACGACGCCATTTTCCTTTGTTAGGAGCATCTGGAGGTCGTCTGGTAGATCGTGGGAGAAAAGCAGCTCGTCTGATGGCTTGAGGTGAAAGTTTCGCGGGCCATTCACACGCTTTAACTCCCCAATCGAAACCCTAGACGACGAAGTTTCAGAACTCTCAGCGGTGTTGACAGGAACAATATCAAAAGAGAACCGGTTAGGCAGCAATATATCCTCGCCATTGATGTTCACCGTCATGGTCTTCATGTCTTTGAACTGCACGGCTGTCACTTCGCAGACACTTAGTCCGGACAGGGAGTCGGATGTCAACGTGGCTGACCTGCCTGTCCGAGCGGGGACGATCATATCCCAGAGAGCTTCTTCCTCGCTGCGACGCCGGATATTGACGGAACCCGGATTTATGTTTTCCACCTCGACAATCACCGAAGACGACATGCCCGAGCTGCTCCTCATGCTTCGTTCTCTGGTTGACGCGGTCCCTGTCCGCAGAGAGCTACCGGAAGATGAGACGGCCGAGGCCGTTTTGCGCCAGTCAGCCGACGCAATAGCCTTTGCCTTTCCGTTGGAAGCAGTTATATCCATGAAGTTTGTTCTGACTTTGAGGGCGGGCGCCCTGATGCGGCTGGTGCCTTTGGCATGTTGATGCTGGCCGGTGTGAGTGGACGACATCTTGATACAAAGATTTCAGGAAAGTATTCGGACGAGAAAGGCGGTAGTAACACGATCGCGGCCAAACTATGAAAGCAACGGCCAACCAAAAAGATAACAGAGCGACGGTATATATTTAAGAGCTCTCCCTATGCGCCCTTTTCTACGCGGTGCTATTGTTAGTTGCTCATCCTCTCTCAAGCCATCTCGGAGCTTTGTCTCAAGGAATTTGACAAAACATTGATGCGGCCATTTGACCACTGGCCGGTGGGGAGGGACTCACACTTTCCAGAAGAGCCTGCAGGCTCAGAAAACCCGCACTCCTTGAGCAAGTGCTGACACTTTTAGAGAACCGATTTAACACGCTCTGTCATTGTTATTAAACTGATTTCTTCCAGCCAGAGGGAAGAATGATCAGATACCCACGGTAAGCCAAACTCAAATGTGCTGTAGTTTCGTCCAGTGAAGGAGTTCGCGATAGCAAGGACAAAACTCCTTCAGATTTCTTTAGTCATGGATCGAGAGGAGAAAATGGAGACTTAGAGTGTAATCGAGAGGATTGGGCAGCGGACGGGCAAAGTAAAGAGGAGCTTCCTCCCGCGTAGCGGCAGTGACATTGGCTGGACCGCCTTCCCCACGCGGGCATAGCCATGAAAACCGGCTTCGGTCCTTGGTGCCATCATGGCGGTGGAAAACTTACAGTGGTTGTGAACCGGTCCTGGCGGTAGCCAAATCTCTAGGTTCCAGCCACTCTCTGCGCGCTTCCTTTCCCGTGTAGTGTCCTGTCTGCTTAGTAGAGTCCCGAAACGGCACCAGCGTTTCCACCTCTCGATACTGTCTCCGATCGACGACACTTCCGATTGAGCATGCGTAGGTGCGGAATACGAGGAAGGAGAGCGAACACCAGGTCCGAGATACAATACTACACCCGAGAGGGTATGACAGGCTTGTAGGCCGGCTACCGACGTCCGAGGCTCGAGGCTGGTGGACAGCTTTCGGACTGACGAAAAGAATAAACGCTTTGTCAGTGATTGGAGAATAGGGCTGGATGGTGAGTGAGATCTGAATTTGAGGTGGAAGGGTGGAAGCGGGTGAGTGGTCGCTAACTAGAAAGTGGTAGAATGACGTCGACGTCTATTCCCTTAAAGAAGAGGAGCCACGAGGCAGGTGGCGGACAGCCGGAGGGGGACAGAGGTCGGGGTGGGTGTGTGAGTGTGATTTTCGTCGCTGGTAGCTGTCTGTTTTTTTTTTTCTTTCTTGCCGATTTGGGCAGAATATGTCGTCCAAGGCGGAGGTCGATCGCTCCCAAAAAACGCTTTTCACTGCTCCGTGGAAGAAGAGATACCGTAAAGCTGACGCGAGAGACAAAATACCACAACTACCCAAAAAGGCTGGCGATGGCTGGAAATCCCAACTGCGCTATGGTGGCTGAAGTTTTGGGAGGACGGAAGACGGGACAGCGACGGCGAGCAGATAAGATGCCTAGCAGTAAGGTGCCTTGGACGGACGAGCTCGGATCAGGGCAGAGTGCAGAGCGGGCGAGGCGAGGGAGGAGCGGCCGGCGGTTGATCTGATCTCTGGTCTCGGCCCCTGCTCTTCCATCTGAAGTAGAAACTCCGCCGGTGTTCATTCCCCATCCGTCGTGCTTGGCTACATGCTGTTCAAGTCCCATGTGCCTGTTCGCTGTTTGAGGTTCCCGAGTCCATACTCACCTTATTTGTTTCCCACGCCCGCTGTCCCGATTCCCGCGTACCACGCCTCCGGGACTCATCGGCGACGTAACTGTGGCAACCGCGAGTCGAAGTCAATACGGCCAAGGCAGGCAGGTACCCTCGCGAGGTTCTGACAGTGCAAGGTCGGCTCACGGGATGAAATTCAACTCAATTCGCTACGCAATACCTATCCTAGCATACGGGTGTCCAACATAACGTCGCGTCTTTTGTAAATAGGCTTCGATTCCACCGGAGAAGGGCTGGACAGAGAAAGGATCGAAGGTAAATAGGAACAACGCCCAAGCCGCCCAACCCGCCCCCAAAAGTCCGGACGCCGGGTGAGAAAGAAGAAAGTAGAGAAAGAGCTCGAGCAGAAGCCGAAGCAGAAGCAGCGCCGAAATAGACTTCTGTTCCAATTTTCATCGTTGCCCACGTCGTTTCCCGCATCGTTGCCCACGTCCAAGCCCGTGGCTCGACTCTCGACATCGCCCGTCTTTACATGACCATGGCCTGTCCGGCCATGTAGCCGCTGAATGCTTTCTGGAACCTAGTGTGTTAGCAGCGCCGGGCACACACTTGATTCTCTGGGAACATTGCCATCAACACGTACCGCGTTTCTCGTCTGGATGAAGACGGTCCCCGGCCCCGTGAACTTGCACACCAGGCCCTCGCCCGACGCGAAGCCGGATATGAAGCCGCCCGAAGCGACGCGCTCCAGGATGTACTTTACGTTCCAGGCCACGAGGTGTCCGTTGTCGACAATGTACTTTTCGCCTTCGGCCAGCTGGAGAATGGGGAAATGTCAGCCGATATTCTTTTGACATGTGGGTCGAGATGGGGTTTGCTTCCGTGTGGGAACTATACATACGTCCTTGCGGATGATGGCACCGAAACTAGTCAGCCACAAGAGACCGACGCCGCCAATCTTGTAAACATAGAGGCCTTCGCCGCTGAACATGGCCTTGCCGATTCCCTGGCGTTTATAGTCCTTGGTGACGTTCTGGGTGGAGGCGAGATAGCCGTCGTGGCTGACCGACCACGTCTCCTGGCCGGTGAGGCGGAGACTCGTGATATCGCCGAGCATGGGAGGCGCCAGCAGCAGCTCGCCAGGGCCCGTGTAGTGCGACTGCGCCATCTCGCCGCCAGCCACCAGCTTCTTCATGCTGAACTTGAAGGCGCCCTTGAGGACGATCGACGGAGACATGGCAATCATGGCCCCTGACGACGTGTTAGAGCGACGGATATGTCTCGTGGGCAGGCTAGCAAAGCGGAGAGAACGTACCGGGCTTGGCATCCAGCGGGCAGCCAATGGCCAGCTGGATGGTCAGAATGGTGTTGCAGTCTCGATGGCTGATTCGATAGCTGCCCCCGTTGAAGGTTCCGACGTCGTCTACAACCGCCGTTGCACCAGCGAAATGGCCTGCGGCTGGGGCGCCGGCCAGGAGACTCGCGGGAGCTGATGCATCAGGCGCGCCTCCCTGCTGCTTCTCTTGTGGGTAGCCGCCGTCTTCTTCATCTTGGGGGTATGTAGGCGGCGGGGAGAACTGCTGGGGGTCTTGAGGTGCTGCCGACGGGTTCCGCAAGTGCATGGGCAGGGCGTTTGCCTGAGGCGGCCCGGGATACTGCTGCTGCTGCTGCGGGGGCAGAGGATATGAAGGCGACGACCCCTTGGGTGGCGGAGTGCCGGACAGCCCCTGAGGCGGAGGAGGATAGTTCTTGTTGCCCTGTCCGCTGGGAGGAGCAGGGTACGAGAACTTGGTCTGCGTTGGGGGAGCGGACATGGGCGGAGGCGGGTAGTTGTTCTTCGCTGCAAGCGAGGATGACCTAGGTAAGCTTCCTGTCTTGTTCTCTCGGTGCTTGTCACGGAAAGACTACGTGGAACGACATACCTCCAGATCCGGCACCACCGGGCGGGGCTGGGAGGAGAGGTCAGCTTCAGAGCTAGGTACCTTAGGTAGGCACTTGGCTGAGGGCATTCGCAACTCACGGGGATAATATCCAGACATGTTTCACGTTCCTAGAGTGCTTTAATTCGAACAGAGTCCAATTCCTTTTCTTCGACGAGTTCCTTGTCTTTGGATCGTGGTCAGCAGAGCAGAGCGGAAGCTGGTGGACGATGCCCCGCACTCACTGCCTCGCTTGGCAAGCTCCCCGCACTGGTGTTAGTCGGCGGTCTTGAAAGGGATGCGAAGATGTTTTGGCGACAATATAAACAAATAAACGAGGACGAGAATTGAAACTAGAAGCTATAGGCGGCCGGGAGTTGCAAGGCAGGAGTCATCACAGAGCACCGCAGTCGCGCCGAGAAAGAAAGACAGAAATTAGATGGGACACCAGCAAGGCGTCGCGTCGTCGAGGGGCTTCTTTTTGAGGTTGCACCTCCGTCGAGCGACACCCACCGACGCAACCGTGGCGTGGCGGTATTAGGCTGGTCTAATTCGAGAAACCTGGTCGACCCGAATGGCCCAATCATGCAGCTTCTCTAATCCTCGAGGCCGGGGCCAGCCCAACCGCCTCTCTGGCGCGAGCTCACCAGGCGTGGAAATGGGGTTGAAGACGGCGCTTAAGGGCAATAAAGAGGGAGGAGCGGGAGCGGCGATTGGCCGGCCAAGCCCTCCCGCATTTGCCCGGCATCCGTTGAAGATCTGGGCGCTTTCCAAGCCCCACTGCAAGCGGCATGGGAAATGCCCCGCTGCAGCCTCGAGGCTGAAATACCAGCTGAGAGTCACCTGGCAAACACTGCCGGCAGGCACTTCTAATTTAACAGCTGGCCGGCATCTGTAGGTAGCGCTGCCAGCTGTGCTAAACCACACTTACCAAATTGACCAATGGGAAGCGCCAAGTTGGCTCGAGCTCTGTCAGGTTTTGCCTGCCGGAAGTTGCATCACCTCGCATGCGGAAGCTTCCCTGGCTCCCATTCCGCGGGGGAGCTCGGACGCTTGTAGACTAAAAAAATTAAAAATCCACGACGGATCTCACCGATTACTTAGCACATCGAACGAACAGAACCAGGGCCCTTCGCCTCGACTATTGCCTGACAAACGGAAGACAGGGCAATTTTGGGGGCTTGGAAACGCTCTCAATCGAGAAGTGCGTGCGTCCTGTCGCCTGCTAGTTGGCTCGGTCTGCGTGCGCGTGACGTCGGACATAACGGAACCACCAGAACCCGTCGTGCGGCGGAAGCTCCGGTAGTACGCTCGCTGACTGCCACGGATTGGTGGCGACGGGCTCGACACAACACAACAAAAGGAGGCGCGGCACCTCTATGGTGGAAACCCTAGTTTATGAAGTGCACACTACGGCCTTGCGACACCCAAACCCTTCCGAGTCCAACCACCACTAGCGTTGGGCGGCAACTTGCGACAAGCCCAGCCCAGCCAAGCCGCCCCCACCTTCGACGGCGACGGCGACGGCGACGGTGACGGCAACCGACGACAACGACGACGATGCTACGGACGGCAGCCGGGGCGCTCGACGCCGTGCTGGGCGGGAGCTCTCTTTCAAAGCGGATTGCGAGGGACGCCGTCGGGAAACAGCTCTGGACCCGCAGGCTCTCGACCAACCTTGCGCCGCTCCCATGGCACCAGAGCGTGCGCCTGTCTCAGCTCTGGCCCCGGAAGTCTCTGGCTGGCAACGTTAAGGGGACGTCGAAAGCCGGGCCGCTCCAGACTCACTTCTTTTCTTCGGCGAGGCGCCCCTTCCACTCCTCGAGGGCCCGAAGGTCCGAGGGATCCTCGTCTTCCACAAACGGGAAGACGGGCGGAAAGGCGGCCGAGCCCGAACGGCTGGGGTTTACCGCGAGAATGAGAAAGCTGTCAAGGGAATACGGCTGGGCTGCGGTTGGCGTGTATGCGGGACTGACCGTGCTGGACTTTCCCTTTTGCTTTCTGCTTGTCCGGACCGTTGGCACGGACAGGATCGGTAAGACAAGCCCCCTCCCTCGTTGAAATTGGCAAGTGGCTAACGGGCGACTGCTACTGGCTGCCAGCCCAAGTCGAGCACGTTGTAGTGTCGTGGGCCGAAAAGGTAATACCAGAGGGGGTCAAGACGTTCTGGCGCGAGTACCGCGAGGCCCTAAGGGAAAACAGGGTGCGAAATGGTGGCGAGGACCTCGCCGTGGAGGGTTATGGCGTCAAGGAGGCTGAGGAGCGGAGCAAACAGGAAGGAGCCAGTGAGTTTTTTCTTGTCTTATCGTTTTACCGCTTGTTGTTTCTCAACGGCTGACCGCTTTCGCACCAATAGGCTTGGCAACGCAGCTCGCGCTCGCGTACGCCATCCACAAGAGCTTCATCTTCATCCGCGTCCCCTTGACGGCCGCTATCACGCCCAAGGTAGTCAAGGTGCTCAGGTCCTGGGGCTGGCAAATCGGCAAGAGAAGGGGGGGCAAGCGTTGAACCAGCTTGGATTTGCACTGCATACGCCCCTCCTCCTCTCCCCCTTGGCACAAATCTTGATGTCGCTGCCTCCATGCCTCCCTTCCCCGCCCTTCCCCCATATCACTAACATATTGTATATCAGAAGATGGAAAAGAAAAAAACCACCGACGTTATTGTGTAGATAGATAGCGGGTGCATCTTTGTTTGCGTATATAGACAAGAACCCTCCAATAACAATGTAACATTAACTTGTACTGATACAACAAGCACACAAACAGAAATGGGGCGTGCTGTGTAGGAATGTATGTTCCAACGGCTCTCGGGCCGCTACAGTATACACAGTAGGGGGGAAACGCCGGATGCTTGGCACTTGCGTAACCCTCCTTCTTGCCTCAGTCTGGGTAGGTAGGATGCTCTTTCGAGAGATCCGAATCGGATTTTCCTTTCGGGGTTGTCATTATCCCGTACATCACCCGTTTCTTTCCCTTTCCCATTCCCGTTACCTTTCCCAAAGAAAAGTATCCGAGTCATCACCACTTAGGGGGCGTCTGTCTTTGCATTTGTTCAGGGATGACCGTGGGAGATGGGAGCAATGTGCTGTATGATATCCCTGCCTCTCTGCTTTCTGCCTTCTTGCCTTGACGCGCAACTCGTCGCTAGAGTGCCAGATGTCACTTTCCATGCTTGTCAGTTTCCTTCCCTTCCTCCGAAAGAAAAAAAAATTTGACGGCAATAGGGTTTGCGCTAAGGGGGGAGACTTCGGAACGGAGTCCATTTTTTACGGGGACGGGGAACATGTTCGTATCATGGCCAATGGCAAGACAGAGGTCCTTTTTAGTTTGGAGCTTGATGTTCTTTTTTTTTTGGGTGCTAGGTTAGGTTGTCTTTGACTGTTGTCCTGATGGGAATGTCTGTCTCGATCTCGTCTCTCGACCTCGCTGGTCTGAGTGCTTTTGGTGTTATCAGGCACATGCTCAGGCACATTCGCGCTGCTATGGACTGGCAGGCGGTTCCAAATGCTCTCCGTCTCTCTTCGTATGTGTGTGTGTGTGTGCGGTTTGTGTGTTTTCTGTTTGTACATAGCGTGCATCAGGTAGGTACTGCTCCCGGCATCGACTGACTCGCCCGGCCACCGGCTGTTTCGTCTCTTCTACATGCTCTGGCCCCCGAGAATTCTCCGGAGAAACCTGGTCACCCGCCGTAAAACCGGTATTCCGGCATGTGGGGAGGTTATCATGCTGCCGTTTCCTTGCCAAAAAGCATACCATACTCTGCTAGCCCCTACGACATGTTTATTGTAGTATGTAGATACAGAGGAGAACATGCCTCATTGGAGCTAGGCGACACCGAGAATCGTAGAATCGAATCCCCACCCCAGAGGCAAACTCCCCAAACTCCCTCCCTGCCGAGACCTGAGGGCAAACATGACTTCTTGGCCTTTTCGCCCTTTCGCATTTTCACACCCCATCCCTGACTTATTCTATTTTCTTCTCGAGGCCGTATAGCGACGAGCAAGGGCCCCCTTAACCCCGGCTCGGTCATCCACCATTCACCATCGTCGAACGGGGGCTAGTGTCTATGTGTAGATAAATGCTCGTGAAGGCGGTCTCTGGAGGTGAAAATGCCCAGAGCTTGCAAGCCGGCCGCGCACGCGGCTGACCTGCGTTATCGGCAATAGGCTTTTCTTCGGTTAACTCGTAGCGCCAGCCCGTAGTCAGCGCCAGCCCAAGTCCATGAAACCTCGATCCCTCCCGAGTTGCTTGGCCGAGTCACCCGTGCATCGCGAGTGTCCAGACTGCTGCCCCCTTGGTGTTTTGTTCCAGCCCGAGCCCGTAGGCTGTAGACCATCGAGACTTGGTAGTATTGTCTTGCCCCTTATCCTTCAGGGCGAGCCATCATGGGTCACTTGTGCTGCTGCCGTCGCTGGTTGTCCTTGCTAAGGGCCGACCTGACCCTGGGGCTAGCGCTCTGTCTCAGACCTGTCTATCAAGAGATTGAATGCCTCCCGTCCGGCTACGCATACCCTCCTAAGATGACCCCAAACATAACGTTTTTCATGCTGCTTCTGAAAAGCTATGGTCGGCATGCAACGCGCTAGCGTCGCAAAGTCTGCCTTCTTGACGGGTTCTGGAAGGGGGCTGTTTAGCACGTTGGCTAGTCTAGCCCCCTCAGGACTTGGAGCGTTGCCTCGAGACAAGATAGCTCGGCTTTATGTCACCGGCGTCAAGGGCGCGAGCTTGGCACGCCCGCCCGCCTGCCCGCCTGCTAGGACCTCTCTGGAGGGGCTACGGGCTTAGGTTTGCCAAGCTTGCTCCGGCTGCCTAACGCTTCGTCTAGCCATCGACATGGTGCATTGTCCCATGCTGGCACCGGTCGTGTCGCGATGGGTCGACCATTGACGAGTTCCCTCTCTCTATAAGAGGGGGCACCCCTTCCCTGATCTCCAACGGACCCTGTGACGATAGCTTCGGTAAGCCATTCTCTCTTAAAAAAATCAACTAATCCAGCAAAGCAACAGCTAGGTGCTGGGATACCCCTACTCCTCTACAAACTGCTTGACCAACCTTGCCCCTGGCCAAGACAAGGGAGAACCTAGACGCCCTCACAAGCTCGTCTCCCCGCTTGAAGCAGATCGGCAGTTCCTGCCACCACACAGCCCTTGCATTCTCGCCTATGTCTGCCCAGCTGCCGAGCATTGTCCCCCTCTGTCTTCGGGTTATTAGATATATATAGAGTTAGCCATACTCTCGATCCTGTCTACTCAAGCCCAGAACTTGCTTCGGCCGTCCAGCGCATCGTACTACGACAAGCCGCCAGCCGCGAAGCACAACACCACTGTCACCGTCAACGCCATCATGCCGTCCTTAACTCGGTCGCCCACAGCCCTGTCACCGCTGCCATCGCCATCGACCTCGACCCAGTCGTCGTCCACAGCGCTGTCATTCGAGACAGCGCCGTCGTCAGCATACTCGCTGTCAGCCTCTCCCGCGCCGTCGTCGTCGACATCGTCGTCGCCAACAACAGCAGTCCAATACCTGCCAGATCTACTCGACGGGCTCGACCAAGAGCAGCTTGAGCTGCACCAATTCGATCCTCTGGACGGCTCCCAGCAGCAGCAGCAGCAGCAGCAGTACCAACAATACCTACCGTATCCCTCCCAGCTGCACCAGCAGCGGCAGCAGGTGTACCAAATCTACCCCCCTCCCACCAGGCACAGAATCACCATGTCTGCCAGCAAGACTACAACGGCCAGATGCCGCCACTGCAGCACCCCTCCCAACAACACCAACAACAATACGACTCCTCCTACCACTCCTCGCAGTCCCAACCCCAGCAGCAACCGAAAAGCTCCTTCGCCGCCGGCCCCATAGTGATGCAGGCGCTGGACATGGCGCGCGAGAGCCAGGAGGCCGAGGGCGACCCCAAGATCAGCGCGCTGCTGGACGGCGCGCTGGCCGAGGTGGTGGCGCGGGTGTGGGCGGCGCCGGACAGCTACGTGATGCAGCGCGACGAGTTCGCCGTGTTTAATTTTTTTCAGTGCAGGTTTGATAAGACGGATGAGGTGTACATGAGTGCAAGGAGGCGGTATTGGAATTTTCCTACTGCGTGATTAGGATATGGTATAGGGGGGCTGTTTTGTTGGCGTTGGGTGGATTGGATTGGATTGGATTGGGTTGGATTGGATTGGGTTGGGTTGGATTGGATTGGATTGGATTGGATTGGGTTGGATTGGGTTGGATTGGGTTGGGGTGGGATTACAAAAGGGGGTTGTTGTGCTTGGGTGTTTTGTTCAGTGGGGCTGGCTACCTAGGGGGAAAAGGGGGATGGGGACAGACGTCGCGGGCGAGGGAAGGGGAGAAACAGAATCTCTCTTGGGATGGCTGTCCTGAACCCCTTTTTCCTTACGGGGAGGACACCGCGTTTTGGTCTGGGACCTGGACCGTGATGGGAGGGGATGGCGGTCCCCCCTTTTACGGTCTCGTCAGGTGTTGTCTAGGATGTTGGTTCCATCAACAGTGTACCCTATTTTCCAATATTTTTACGTACCACTCGTCCCTATTCAGCGAGCAAGCAGCTCAGAATTGGATTTGGCCTTTTGGCTCTTTACACTTTGATGTTCATGCGGTGCCTGGCCACTTACACTGCTCTCCTCTCGGTGCTGATCCCCCGAAAGCCCCCGCGCCAAGACCTCGCAGAGTCGGCCCCTGCAGCCGCTGTGTAACTTGGTATTATACTCTGTAAACCACCTTACGTGGGTCAATTCTATATCCTATTCCGGTCCCAAATCGGCAAAAAGAAAACACTTTATTCAGGTCTATTGACCGATGTGCTAGAAACCGAACTTGCACTAGACTTTTGGCTTTGGCGGACCACCATCCACCACCCAACGTCCCCAGTTCAGCCAGCGCCAGGCGGTTTCGTCCAAGACAGACAGAGAGACAGACAGACAGACAGAGAGACAGACAGACAGACAGAGAGACAGACAGACAGACAGACATGCAAGCTTAACCAGATTAACAGCCGCCGTTGAAGATCTAACAGCGACCTATGGGTGGCACTCGGTATTGTGGCTGAATTCGCGGCCGCGCCGGGCACTCAGCAGCCCATCTTGGCTCCATCCATATCCCCTCCCCTCACTCCCGTCATGCCCATTGCAATCCCGGCCGAATCGGGAAGCCATCACGGCCCCCGCGCATCGCTCGCGCATCACGCATCGCGTTCATCAAACGTGGACCGAGAATGAGATTCGTTTCCATCTCGACTCTTATCCGATTGATTGATAGCGTGTCATCTATTTCGGGTGTTTCCAGTACCCAATTTGCGGTTCAAGTTTTGCAGAGTACGTCGCACAGCTGGGGTTTCACTTGACTTGATGGATGGGACGCGGTTGTGGTAGTCCCCCCGTCCTCAGCTTCGTTCCCCGCGTCCTCGGCTAGCTTTGGTTTTCGCGACTTACAACCATCCCGAACTATCCAAGGTGAAGCGTGACCGCCATCGTCGACGCCGACAATCTGCAGCAGCCCCCGAGGCTCTGCGCGCTGGCCTACCTGATTCATTCATTCACTTTCATCTCGAGGTAATCCGTCGTTTGGTCTTTGCCAATGGATCCAACCCGGCCGGAAAAGCGGCCGTTGCTGCATCCCGACGAGGCGACCCGCGCGGTAGACAATGTGCTCGACCAGAAGCCTCGGGCATGGCGACTACGCCGGCTGCTACTGCTGCTCCTGCCGCCGCTGCTACTTTTGGTGGCTGGACAATACGTCTACTGCCAGCTTCATCCGATGCCTTGTGAGTCGCCGAACGGGGACAGCGATATCAATGGCGCAGAATATGGCCGCCCTGTCGCCGGCCCCGTGGCCGACCACCGCGCTCCCGCCTCGTCCCCCTCGTCGTCCCAGGCCGTCGTCAAGAGCAGATGGGCGAGCGTCGAGGGCTACGGCCCGGCCGCTGCCACCTCAACCACGTCGGCCCCGCCCGCCGAGAGGACCGTCCTCAAAAACTTCGAGGTCGCCCAGCCCGTCCTGCTGCCCGCCGGTGCTGCCGACAGCGACGGCTCGACCTCGTCCGTCGACGACGTGCCCTGCAGCGTCCAGGTGATGCGCCACGACTTTGCCTTCAGCTACGGCGAGCCCTTCATCGGTAAGCTGCCTACACCAGCCCCTTAACTAGTTTGCTTCTGACTCCTGGCCCAGGCGATTACGCGCCGCCCGACTGCGACTTCAACCGTGTGGTGCTCAACTTCAGCGTCGTGAGCGTGGGCCGGCAGTATGACCGCCTGGCCCTGATGTATCTCGGCGACGTCGAAATCTGTATGTCCAGCCCCTGCCCCTGCAGACTTGGTTAACGCCGGCCTCTAACTTGCCCAGGGCGCACCTCGACTGCCGAGCCGACGACTCCCCCGGGCATCAGCTGGATCTACCTCAAGGACGCCACCGAGTATCTGTCCCTCTGGAGAGAGCCGCAAAAGGTCATCTTTGATCTGGGAAACCTAGTCAGTAAGCTTCGGGTGCCTCGACTATTTGCCCGCCAGCGAGAGGAGAGCTGACCGTGTCGCGCAGATGACAAGTACACGGGCATTTTCAACACCACCCTGACGGCCATCTTCTTCAAGAGCGACGTGCCCACCGATGCGGCGCCGCCCAGCGACTTGGTCATCCCCATCTCGGCGCGGCAGGCGGCCAACAACTCGGTCAGCCAGTTCACCGTCCCCCTGCAGAACGCGACCAACACCATCGGCAACTTCCCCCGCAACGTGCGGCGTGCCGTCTTCTCCGTCTCGGCCAACGGCCAGGCCAACGAGGAGTTCTGGTGGAGCAACGTCCTGCAGAGCGACATCTACGCCTTCAACGCCACCGCCGGCCAGCTGACCGGCTACAGCCCGTTCCGCGAGGTGCAGGTGCTGATCGACGGCCAGCTAGCCGGCGTCGAGTGGCCCTTCCCCGTCATCTTCACCGGCGGCGTGGTCCCGAGCCTGCACCGGCCCATCGCCGGCATCAACGCGTTCGACCTGCGCGAGCACGAGATGGACATCACGCCGTTCCTGCCGCTGCTCTGCGACGGCGGCCCGCACACCTTCACCATCCGCATCGCCGGGCTGGACGACGACGTCGAAGACAGCGGGCCCTCGTCGGACCCGAACAGGGTCTACTCGGCGGCGCTGACCGAGACGGTCGACGAGAGCTGGTATGTGACGGGCAAGATCTTCGTGTGGCTCGACGCGGACCCGATGTCCATCACGACGGGCGACCGCCGCCCAACAGTACAGGCGCCCGCGCCCGCCGTCAGCATCCTGCATCGCCTGACGCAGTCGGCCAACGGCACCAACGAGACACTGGCCTACGACACGACGGTGCGGCGCGACCTGCTGGTCAGCGCGCGCGTCGTGTCGCAGTCGTCGGCCGACACCGTGTCGTGGTCCCAGGCCCTGACCTACTCCAACCGCGGCGTCGTGTCTGCCTTCGGCTACAACCAGATCAACGACTTCCTCGTCAGCGGCGTCGACCAGGCCACCGGCGCGCCCGTCGGCGCCAGCGGATCCTACCGCGCCGCCTACCGCTACCCGCTCTTCGCCAACCAGACCTACAGCGTGTCCCCGCAGGGCAACCTGTCCATCCGCGCGTACCTCGAGCAGGGCAAGCAGCTCGAGACCTCGGCGGGCGGGGCCGGCGTCTTCGCCAGCGGGCTCGAGGCGTTCGGCGCCCTGGGCGCGCGCTACGCCGGCTCGGCCCTGACCACCACCAAGTCCGGCTCCGCCGCCTTCTTCCAGACCGGCGACCAGCGCTCCAGCTCCGGCTACGGCGACGCGCAACAGGTCCTCCGCTTCGCCGGCGTCTCCGCATCCGGCTTCCTCGGCGATAATGGTCCTGACGTCGAGCTCTACTTCCGCAACGTCTCCGCCGTCAACGCCTCCGTCGTCTACGACGTCAAGCGCCTTGCCGGCGCCACACTTGCTACTGACGATGTTGGGAGCAGCAGCAGCAGCAGCAGCAGCGGTGGTGGTGGTGGTGGTCAAGAGGCCGCGGCCGTGTACGGCGACCCCCCGACCGACGGCGCGGGACACGGCGCGCCGAGGGTGTTTATGGGCAGGCAAGGCGTCGACGTTTAGCGAGTTTGTGCTGTGGATGTGCGTCTCATCCCACTGTGCTGTGCTAATTTCGCCGCTGCCGTACATACAGAGGCACATGGGTAGCTATGATAAATCAGCACATGTGTTGTATGCATGTACAAACACAAATGTTTTGTTTGCGCAGTGACGTGGTTAATTACCGGGAGTATATATCTGTGTATGAGTGAGTGTGTATGAGTGAGTGTGTATGAGCGAGCAAATGCCATCTTTGTGCTCTTCTTTGACGTCAAAGTTGTATGTTTGTTTGTACATACAATACAAAACTTACATGTACCTGCCTCTCCTCTGGCACGCAGCCCGGACAAAGGCAGATATGTAACCAATGGTGGTACATACAGACCCCGCCGTACTTTACTTTACCTGTAAGTAGAAGGCAGACAGGCAACGGCCATATTCTCTGCCTCCATCTGTGGCACAATCCATACTACCGTAATACTACTACCGTCCTCGTCATCATGATACTTAGTACAATACATACAAAATACGCAACCTGCCCAGACCAGCCAGGAAGAAAGGTATCAGCCGAACGGACGGCCTTTCTGCTTACTTGTTTGCTTGCTTTTCTTATTTTGAGGTTCGGTTATTCGATCGACTAGTTCCTATCGAAATATAAGATAGGGGCTTTGACTGGTTAATTTCTGTCCAAGAAATATTCGGGTGAGAAATTCAGCTAGTTGTGAGAAGACATGTGGAAAAAAAAGTGCCCGCCCATACTGCGCGCGGCACATATGGGTAAGGTGTACATTTGCAATGTAAAGCAGTTTAACGCATTTTCGGAATTCGATTGCCAGAAAGAAGGGAAAAATCTTCGTTCTCCATAGCTGGCAAAAATGAAATGACGGAATGGAAACACTTTTCGTTGACTCGCACCTCATCGTGCCACGCATGTCCAAACAAGGTGTGACGTTCTAAATGGGGGTTTGTCTCGTGGTCCAGGAACTCAAAAACCATTCATTCATTCTCAGCTTTGGTATGACGTGCGTGCCTGTGTGACGAGAGCCCTATCTTGCTGGAGTGTGGCAGATTAGTTACTGGCCCTAGTTGTCCTCATCATCGCGACATAGAGTTTGCTGTTTTAGTTCGAAAGTCGGAGCATTCTCTTGGAGATTCTTGAAGCTGGGCCATGTATGTATATACGATACGTGGACCTATATGTTGCCAACCAGGTTCGGAAATTTGATATGACTTTACACTGCCGTGAAGATGCTGGACGTGTGGGCTACTTAGCGACTACCGAAGCACATATCCTACCCGGGTCCTCGGATGGTTGCAGTGCATTGTCATGATGTTGACGAAGTGAACAGCTGTCCACCAGACAACCCGTGGTCCGAAGCCCCGGGTTACTGGGGTGCACCAAAGTCAGGCAGTCGCCGACCCCAGCGCCCAGCCCCATTTTCGACTTGCATCGCCAACTGCCAACAGCAAGCTGCCGGTATCAAACTTGGCCCGCTGACTCCATCGCGCTGGCCAACAGGGCATGAGAAACACAAGCGTGCATGCAGGCGGCTGCTGACTGGTGGTGCTGGCGCGAAGAGAAAAAGCCGTTTCACATCTCGTCTTCCTGAGAAGGGCGCAAGCCGCAAGCCGCACGCCGAGCGGCAGCGGCAGTTCGTCTGCAGGTTCGACGTTGCTGGGCCAAGCTGCATGGCCAACCAGGATGGGGCCGGCCGGGGGGGGGGCCTCGAGACCCGGGGAGGCGCTGTGGGCGAATCGATTATTCATTGCACGCGAAACCGGAAAAGTGCGGCGAATTGGCATCAAGAACCACAGGGGAGACACCGACACCGCTTACAGCGGCCACACCACCACGGCACACAGTGGCATGTCACACTGGTCCCCCGTTCAACGAGGTGTGGAGACAGGGTTCAACAAGCATGCATGCAGGCCCGTTTCTGGACGCAACGCAACCGCAACCCGACTCTCTCACCACGGAAACACTGGACAGTGTGACTGGAAATTATTACCGCTCATCAATCACTTGCCGGTTAATATGGAATAATGGACACAGGACAGCATGTGGCAACCAAGTAAGGCGGGAATATCTAGGAATAAAATAGCAATTAAGCTCGACACGCCGTCAGGTGCTGAACTGCTACTGCCAAGCGCCGCCCGTCTGCCAACCGGGGTCATCCGAGGGCTGATGGAAGGAAGAGCTGGAGAGCTTCGAAGCCCAGTACCGGGCCCCACCACTTCCGTCATCGCCCCCACTTTTTAGCCTGTCACTAAGGAGACGATGCACTTCCAAGGTGCCAACTAGAAGGGAGCTTCCTTCCCTCGCTTCACACCACCCTCTCACTGACTGACTGACTGACTGACGCTGCGCTTGGTCTATTACATATTACGCGAACATACGAGCCGTTTCTTTCGATCCCGTTAGCGTGTTGTTAGCCTGCCTGCCTGCCTGTCCGGCCCTGGTCCCGTCCTCCAAGACCCTCTCGGGAATTAAAGACGAGCCAGTCCCCTCCCCACCTCCGGCCGATCCTCCCACCTTTATTTGTCTTGCTCATCCCAACAACCACTCCGACCCTTTCCATCCGCCATATTCCAGGAACAAGGCAATAAAAAAAGAAACTTTCCCGATCTCGCCTTCTTCCTACCGCATCCAATACCATAAAGATACCCTCTACTTTGCGCAGCCTCTATATCCGCCTTTCCTTTGGAAATCTAAACAAGCTTCGGCATCGAATATCGCCAGCTAAGCAAGCAGTCTTCTTCCCACCTTTGCGCCGCGCGCGCGCGTTACGGAAGCAACTCGCCGGCTTCTCTTCCTTCCTCGGAAAAGCTGAAACCGTCCTGCGCAACATAAATCTCACCATCCCTCTGTGCGACGAGATATCGCCGCCAGAAACACATATACATACATACATACGCACATACACCAAAACAAAACGAAATGGAGATCATACAGGTCCTGCTGCGCGGCCTGCAGCTGCTGTGGACGCTGCTCCTGACGGCGCTGGTGGGCAACGTGATCGCGAGCAACGTGGCGGCAGCGGCGTCGGCATCAGCACTAGTCAACTTCACCATGTTCGTGGTGGTGGTGGCGTGGCTAGTGTCGCTGTACGGGCTGGCGGCGGGCGTGGTGGACAGCGTGTCGTCGCGGTTCGCGTCGCCGGCGGCCGTGTTTACCGTCGACGCGGTCGCCGCCGGCATCTTCCTGATCACCGCCATCGCGCTGGCCGCCAAGCTCGGCGTCGTCAACTGCGGCGACCTGCAGCCCGGCTCCAAGCCTGGTGACTGGATTGGCTATGGCAGCTTTGATGATGCGAAGCGCTGCCGCGAGCTCCAGGCCAGCACCGTCTTCATGTGGTTCCTCTTCGTCACCGTCGTGGCTGGGATCGTGCTCGGCAGGCTCGGCGGCGGTAGCCGCCGGATGGGCGGCTCCGTTGGCGCCCCTTCCATGTCGCATATCGGCCGCTGAACGAGAGAGAGATGGTTGGAGGGGATGGGAGAGAGAGGCCGAGGCTGGTGGGTGTGATGGGGTGACTAGGGAAACCTTTGGCTCTGACACGGAAAGAAGAGTGAAGTCTCAACCACTGCTGTTGGACACACACTTTTTGTTTCTTTCCTTTTTGGTGCACGCCAACCCTCCCCCTATTACTTCTTACCTCGGCCAGGCAGGTTTTCTGATGGCGGGCATTGTTCTGAGCCCTGTTTCTTCTTCTTTTTAATGACGTTGTCGGATTAACGCAGATTACGTTGTATTCTGGCAAAAAAAACTCGGGAGCGAGCGGGCGGGCAGGCAAGACTTGCTTTTTTTCATTAGGAAGGGGGTTTATCTTGTGTACACCGAACGGAGGCGCCTTGGTTTGGAAGGCATTTGGGGGGTTTTTGTTCTACTTTTTTACTTCATTGTTTGTTTATTTATGAATGATACCGATACCGTGGTATGGCTTTAGAGCAAAAGGAAATTTGGAGGGAAGGGAGGAAAGGGGTCATGGGGGGAAAACAGGCTTGGTCTGGGGCTGTCTGTATTTCTGCGTAGAAAAACATAGGTAATTAGCAGTGCTGCATGCACCCTGATATCAGATCTTGAAGCATGGCTTTGATACGGAGTACAATATGGAAACTGTTCCAACGTCGCTACGCCGCTCTATGGAGCCTCCCGTTGCCTAGCTTCCGGTTCCTAAGGTCTGGATTTAGGTTTGATCAGGTTTTTATTGTAAATAAAAGAGATGAGTTGCTACGACACTGGATCGGTACGGCATGACAGCAACGCCATCAACTCATCCGAACCCGGCCTATTCACGGATACGGTACGTCCCGACACCCAGAACGATGTAATATTACACCCAAGTGGTGACAGCGGTTTCTTCTATGACGGGGGAACATGACTGACATGCCCTTCTATACAATCCACGAAATGTGCCCCATCCCAAAATAACGCCTGGCCCCATCCGCCGCCTTGCGTGGTAATGATATTTTGTTGTTGTGCCCTTGGCAGTAGATGTGTATGTGCTTGGCTGGGCGCTGCAGCCCATCGTCGACGCCGTTGCTGCGCCGAATCGCAGTGTGTTGTTTTTCTTTCTTCTAACCGGTAACTGCGTGTCGTGTCACAGCGACATGGCGGCTTCCGCGGCGCCGGCGGCCTGGAACGTCCGCTTGCTCGTCCACCGCACCTCGACGTTGTGCATCCATTCCATGTACCGCGCCCAGCCTAGGAGTGGTCAGCAACTTGTTTGTGGGTAGATAGATAGGTAGCAGACTCACTCCAGTAGGCAAACTTGCGCCCCAGATACTTGCCGGCAAAGGGCACCAGCACCATGGTGAGCAGCAGCTGCAGCTGCTCCAGGCTCGCGTCCCACTCCTGCTGCGCATCCGAGTCGGCCTCGGACCCGCTCAGCACGCCGCTGGAGATGGACGGGAGGGACTCGACGTCATCGTTGTCGTCCGAGGACGGCGCCGCGTCCGGCATCACGAACGAGCCCGTGCTGCTGGCCATGGCGGACATGTCGGCGGCGTCGGCGATGCGGGGATGCGTCGAGGAAGAAGGGGAGGCGAGGGCTGGTTTGGGCTGGGGTCAAATGCAATGCCGCAGGTGGCTGTCCGAGGCCAATCAAGGGCCCCTCATCGACTTCTGGTTTGGTTACTCGGCGAGATGTCTGGGCACATAGAGCTCAAAAGGCGAGTTGAAGCTTCAATTTGCTTGTTGCTTGCTGCTAGCTGTCTGCTGTCCAGGGTTGCGGGATGCGATCTCCGAACCCCGGACGCCACAGACTGCCGCGGAGCAGCTGCCAGCTCCGCCAGCTGTCTTCCTAGCGTTGCCACTGGCCACGAACCCTGCAAGGCAGGCAGCAAAATCCCACCTGTCAGGTGATTTGAGGGCCGATAGGGCCTGAGTCACAGTGAATCTAGTCCAACGTCATGAAAGGGAAACGCTTTCCTTGTCAAGAACATCCAAGAGTCCTCGCAAGTCGGATTGATTAAAAACCCCCTCCGTGAAACGGGCTCCTCTCCTCTAGGAAGATTTGTATTCCACGGATCCTTTATCCCTCGCCAAACAATTTCCACATATTCCTGCAACCCTTCACCCGAGGAAAGCCCGCCGTTTCAGACAGTCAGCAAAAAAGGACAAGGAAACTGTGAGCCATCCAAGATGGATGCTGAAGTAAGTTTGGGAGTTTACGTTTAGCCCTCAGCCCGCCTTTCACTTTGACCCCCCTCCCCCCCCCGGGCCTAACCAAAAATCGGCCTCTTTTTCCATTACCTACTAGAACCTGTACCGGACTTCTTTTTTGCCTCTCCAAACCACATTCAGTGCAAAGTATCTTCCACTGCATCGATTTTTGGCGCCACGGGACATTTCCTTTTTTAGTCCTCGGGAAAGAGACATCTTCGGCTCCTTCATGCGCGAGAAATAACACCCGAGTCGAAATTGTAAATCCCGAGACTAACCAGCTTTCCCACGCGAAAAGGCACCCGCAATCCAGAGACGGGTCTCGCGCAAATCGGTCGCATTTACCGACGAGAAGCTTGTGGTGGACGCCGACGGCAACGTGACGATGGTTCCCTCTCCCAACGACGACTCTAAGGACACAGCGATGTCGCACACTCCTCGTACGCCGCCTCTTTCCGCCGCGCTCGGCGCCTTTACTGATGCTTCTCAAGCACCGGTGGCCGACTCGGCCGACGGCGCCACTGCCCCGGTTGACGGCAGCCTCGACTTGACGCTCAAGAAAAAGAAGAAGAAGGTGGTCAAGAAGGACGACGAGGCCGAGGAGGGCGACGAGGCCGCAGCACCGGCGGGCGGTGAGGATGCGATCGACCTCTCGATGAAGAAGAAGAAGAAGAAGAAGGTGACCAAGGAGGACGACGAGTTCGCTAAGAAGCTCGAGGCGCTGAACCTCGAGGGCAAGGAGGGCGAGGAGGCGCCGGCGGCCATCTCGGCCGAAGACGGGGCGCAGGAGGGCGACATGGAGAAGGGCACGGGCATCTGGGCGCACGACGAGTCCAAGTCGATCAACTACGTGCCGCTGCTGTCGCGCTTCTTTGTGCTGCTGACGCAAAAGAACCCCGACCACGCGTCGAGCGGAACGCGGTCGTACAAGATTCCGCCACCGCAGTGCCTGCGCGAAGGCAACAAGAAGACCATCTTTGCCAACATTGCCGAGATCTGCAAGCGCATGAAGCGGTCCGACGAGCACGTCACAGCATACCTGTTCGCCGAGTTGGGCACTAGCGGCAGCGTGGACGGTGCCAGACGGCTGGTGATCAAGGGCCGCTTCCAGCAGAAGCAGATTGAGAACGTCTTGCGCACGTACATTATAGGTGAGTCTGCCCGTCCCTGCGTGTGCGCCGCGAGAGACGAGCAGTGCTAATCTTGGGTGGGCAACAGAATACGTGACGTGCAAGACGTGCCGCTCTCCCAACACGGACCTCTCCAAGGGTGAAAACCGTCTATAGTAAGTCGTGGCTCCCTCAATGTCTATAGAGAGAATCATTGCTGACTCGCGGATAGCTTCATTACATGCAACTCTTGCGGATCTCGCCGTTCGGTACAGGCCATCAAGACGGGTTTCTCGGCCCAGGTCGGCAAGAGAAGAAAGATGCAGCAGGGTTAATGAGGTTGCTAGTGTGCTTTTACGGCTTGCTGTTTTTTCATCTTTTGTCTTTCGATCCAGGACGGAGTTTCAGTTCATGTCTCTTTTGAGAGTTTGGGCACTTTTTTCGTGCGTCGTTTGGCAGTTGTCAGCGTCGAGGTGGCGGCGCAGTCTATGCCTCTGTCTGCCTGCATTGCATGATTGATGACGGAGAAATTGTCCACGGCGGGAAAAGAAAAGCAGTGGGAGCGAAGCGAGGTCGGGGGCATGTCTGTCTTTATTGCCGGGCTAAAAGAGAGAGTTATGAGAGAGACATTGCACGTACATAGACGATGAGTTGTACTAGCCTAGCTCCCGAATAGATTGTAGCCTTGACGAGAAGAGGCACTTGAACGTGAATCGCGGCATGTTGTGCGGCGTATTGACTTGGGACTCGTATGCGTGAGACTGTGAAGATGGGATTTGGAGAGTGGCTCTGAGAAGGTGTATTGTGAGGCAGTGAACCGCGGACTCATTCTCGTGTAGATTTTAGTTTTGATAAGTTCAATGATTGCAATTGGTAATTCATGGAATTCTGGCTCTTTTGTGTTCCTGTCCCTGTTGTCTAGTTGGTTTTTGGCTTGTGGTGGTGACAACTGACGACTCACTCAATCTTCCCCTCGTCTCCCCTCGTCTCCCCTCGTCTCCCCTCGTCTCCTCTCGTCTCCTCTCGTCTCGTCTCCTCTGTTCTCCCCACCCCAACGTCGTGCGTGTCGTGACTCTTTTCCTGTCCAAGAACACGCAACATTGCCTGGCTGCCTGCCTAGGTATTTATTGTGCGTCTGTTTAATTTGCATCTTGGGTTGGAGCCTTCTTTTGCTATTTCTTTTATTTTCTTATTATTGCTCTTGTTTTCCTCGCTGATGGTCTTGGTCTCGAACTAGAAGTTGATCTCGACTCGGGTCGTCTGTAAGATGGCAGTGCGCGAAGTGGCTGGGCTGCCGACGCCCACGTCGACGGCGCCGATCTGGCTCAAGGAGCCGTCGGCGACGCTGCAGGGCCACCGCACGACAGCCGACCTGCCGGCTCTGGCCGACGTGGTGGTGGTGGGCACGGGCATCACGGGGTCCTTTGCCGCCCGCTTCCTCAAGGCGCACCAGAAGCCCGGCACCAGCCTCGTCGTGCTCGACGCCAGGGAGGCCTGCTGGGGTGCTACGGGCCGCAACGGCGGCCATTGCCAGCCCCTTCTCTACACGGCAGCCGCCTCGCCCGGCGTCGCCGAGTTCGAGCTCGCCACCTTTGCCTATCTCGAGAGCCTGGCCAAGACCAACGATATCCCCTGCGACTGGACATCGCTCTCGGGCGTCCACACGTTCCTGGCACAGGACCTGTTCGACCTGGCCGCCGCTGCCGTCAACAACCTCGAGCGCTCCCGCCCCGACCTGGCCGCCCTGGTGCGCATCGTTCGCCCTCCTTCTGACACCGACGCCGCCGGCACGGGCACGGGCAAGGAAACCCTGGCCTCGCTCCGCATCCCGCACGCCGCCGGTGCCATCGTGCAGAAGCATGCCGCCACCTTATGGCCCTACAAGCTCGTGGCCTGGGTGCTGGAGCAGCTGCTGGCCCAGTTCCCCCCCGGCGAGTTCAACCTGCAGACCAACACGCCCGTGACATTCTTGCAGCAGCGCCGACACCAAGACGAGAGCAACTCCTTGCACCCCTGGCTGCTCACCACGCCCCGCGGCACCATCGCCGCCCGCCAGGTCCTGCTCGCCACAAACGCCTACACGTCGCACCTGCTGCCGGCCTTCGCCGACCTGATCGTGCCCGTACGCGGCCAGGTCGCCGCCCTGGTGCCGCCGCCAGCAGCAGCCCGCGGGGAGAGCGATGATCCCATAGCGCTCGGCCGCTCGTACGTCATCATGGACCACGCGTCGGCCTCGGCTCGCGACGACTACCTAGCACAGCGGCCCGTCGACGTCGACGCAGTTGCCGGGTCAAGTGGAAAGCGAGGCGGCAGCGGCAGCGGCGGCGAGCTCATCTTTGGCGGCGGGCGGCCGAGCCAGCGCGGCCAGGGCGTCGGCGTGTGGAACGACGACGAGCTCGAGGAGCCCGTCGCGCGCTACCTGCGCACCAACCTGTCGCCGCCGCTGGACCTGACACCTGACGACAACGACGGCGACGATACGAGAAACCCTTCTCATCGGCCTAAAGAAGAGGACGGCGTGCCGCTTGACGCCACGTACGAATGGACAGGCATCATGGGCTTCTCGCGCGACCACCACGCGTGGGTCGGCCGCGTGCCCGCGAGCCTCGGCGGCAGCGACGATGGCGACCAGGGCGGCCTGTGGCTGTGCGCCGGGTACAGCGGGCACGGCATGCCCGTGGCCGCGCTAGCCGCCCGCGCCGTGGCGGAGCAGATGACGATGACGATGACGACGACGGAGGAGGACGTACGGGCAGTGGAGGAGACGAAACTGCCGGCCGAGATGGCCCTGACGGCCGACCGCGTGCGCCGCGTCAGGGAGTCCTGTGAGACCGTCCTCGAGGCTGATCAAAGGGGCTGGGCGGCGCACTTCCCTGATCTGTTGCTTGCGGCGGGACGGATGGATCCTGCGGGCAAGGGCAGCTCGGTGTCGGTGCCGGTGTCGGTGCCGGTGTGAGTTTCTGGGATGTCCTTTCCTTTCCACTTCTTTGTCTTGGGGTGATTGACGCGTTGGACTATGATTCAATATGACGATCTGATGTGATGTGGTGTGGTGCGATGGATGTGCTGTGTGTCGTTTGGCATCGGGGCTGTTTCTGCATATATACACGTCGGTGGGTGGGTAGGTAGGTAGCTGACCAGGTTGCCGGAAACATATATTATATATATATATATATATGTGTGTGTGTGTGTGTGTGTGTAATGTGTCCGTCTATATCTAGTCTGTTCTTGCACACGATCCTAACCTCTTATTCCGCGGTTACTTCAAGCCCAGGGCAGCACGTCGCTGCGCTGAGCAGGGGTTAAGGGGGTAGGTGAAAAGGGGCTGAGCGGCTGGCGGTGACTATGACCCCCATTCCTTCGTTCATTCCCCTTGCCGGCACGGGTTTCGGAGCTGTCCTTTGACAGCACGATATCTGTCATGGCTGTTTGCGCCATACCAGTCAAATGTGCCTTTTGCTGTGTGTGAGAGACATACTAAGTGCGAATGCGTGCATCACGCTCTCGGCATAGCGGCGGGAAATGACATGTCACAACAACATTGGATGGCCTGGATTTCTGCCTAGTATTGACTCTCGCAGCCCCAGACTAAAAATTATCAGACTGGATACTTTTTCTTGCCTATCTATCCCTTACCGAGGCGACATGCTGCTTGGCCAAGCGTTACTGTGAAAGCAAGCGTGAATGGCCGAGCAAGATAGGTAAACATTGTGAGTCCCGAGCACAGAGCTCAGCCAGAAAACTTGGCATAGCCGACGCCAGCCTGTGCTCAGTCCAAGGAACTACCTTACTTCCAAACCGCGTCCACCTACCTACCTAACTAAGCAAGTGGACGGGCAGGCAGGCGCCTCATCCGGGCAGCGTCCGTGGTCTTCTTTCGAGTTGTTTATAGCGTGTATACCTTTTGCAACATCATCACCATGCATAAATGCCTCCTCACCCTGAGCGTTCCATCTATGAAGAGCGGCTGTACATACATTCTCAGCCACGTTTCAGCTCCGTATTCTTTCGGCGACAGGAAATCACCCCCTTCCAAACTCAGCGAGGTATCTGTGAAAGCTTAGATCTTGTGGCCGTAAACCAGCCCGGTTTATCTAGGTACGCTCTGCTTGCGTAGGCAGTGATATTATTGTTATTTGCGACGGGAATACAACACAAACAAGACGAGATAAGTAGGAAAGTGGTATCCCGACGGAGATTGTCCCCAATAAAGACAAAGTCCAAAGAACGCAGGCCCAACCATAGAAGCCGGAAAGGAGGAAGGAAGACAGAAGAACATAGGAGCTCTGTTTTTGTGCCCGCTTAATTCTTCTGCCTGGGCAGGAAGCAGGTGGGAACTTGTGTTTGTCAAGAGACCTACCTATCCGGGAACCTCCCGAAAATGAGCAACGCACGGGTAGATAGGATTCATTGAATAGATGGAAACACCTCATTTTCATGCCACACACGAGAGAATGGAGATTAAGACAAGGCGGTGAATGTCAAAAAGGGGCAGGAAAAAGAAAGGACCTCCCCTCCGGAGATGATGCAAATATACAGAGAAAGAGACAAAGTAAAGCAACCAAACAGACTATGAGGGAGCATGCTACCAACATGAGTCTGTCTGAGAAGAGAATCCCTTCCCCACAAAAGAAAGAAAGGGAAAAGAGCACCAACGGCATCTTCCTTCGGGATGTTCAAAGCACCCAACAAACACCACGGTTGGGCTGTACAGCCACAAAACGGGGGGGGGGGGGGGGGGGGCGTGATGCACAGGACTTTTTCTCTCTCTCAGGGTCCTTTTTCTAAAGCACAACAAGAGAAACAGAAAAAAAAGAACCATGAATAGGTTCATCTCGGCTGAGAGACACTAGTCACTAAACAGCCCGCGGATGGTATCCAATAGCCTGGCCTAGTCACATCAGACAAAAAGCCCACTAACACGGATACAGCAGACTAAAAAGACTCCATTCGATGAAAAGCCTCCAGTCGATAAAAAGCCTCCATTCGATAAAAAGCCCACGCAGATAATTCACAAAGGCCCGCGCAGGGCCCGCGCAGCAGCAGCCAACACACCATGTGACATTTGACGAGAGCGTAACGAGTTCACGTACTCGGATCAGCTATCTACAGAAGGAAAAAGGAAAGAAAAAAAAGAGAAGTAAGAAAAGATGAGACGAGATGAGGTCAGCCCGCAGGAGGAAGACCGCCCGCAGTGCAGTGCAGTACAGTGCAGTGCAGTGAAATGCAGATGCAGGGAGCGCGATCCCGATTCTCCCGCCGCCATCAAAGCCTCCACTGACCACTCCAACCACGGGCTGCAGTTCGACTGACTGATCGTATAATTTTCTTGCCTCTTTCTCAAACCTCCGAGTCGTATTTTGCCTCAATTCTCCTATTCCTACGGCCCCCTTCCCCCTATGTATGTACGTACCCGTCGCTGATTGGGACTTGGGCACTTTTTACACTGCCTTGCCTTGCCTTGCCTTACCTTGCCTTGCCTAACCTTACCTTATATCAGTTCCCCATCTCTCTAGGTTAAATAAAGGAGAAATTCTATATCGTCCGCATTCCTCCTCACACCTACTACGTCCCTTACCTACCTCCCCCATGTCTCAGTAGTGTCAGTCAGGATCGGGAGCGGGATCGGGAGCGCGAAGCAAACGGGCGAAGGATTGTGGCTGCCTTGGTTGGGATGAAAAAGGTTCAAATTTCAAACATTAGTTTGGCAGGGCAGGCAACAGAATAAAAAAAAAGAGGATCCAAACAGGACAGAAAGAAACGAGGTTGATAAAAAGGGCTGCGGGCTGCCCCGAAACATCTTTGTGTAGGAAGTTAGTTCGAGGGGTTAAAGATGGAAGGGCAAACCCACGACAAAACGGGCGAGAAAGGAAAATGAATCGGATGCATGCAACATGAACGGACGCCACGAGCGGGGGAAAGAAAGAGCGTGGGGAAAAGAAAGAAGGTTGTGAAGCAGAGGACGAGGGGATAAATTGAGAAGGGGAAGTGTTCGGAAGGAAACCCGATTCGGCATCTCCAACACCGCAACAATTTGCCGCCTTGTCCGACATCCGAGCCGATCAGTGACCGACAGTTCCGTCGCCGGGCCGGTGGGGGGAATTGCCTGGGGCCATCCGTGTTCTTAGGACCGAATACGGGTTCTTACTCCGTACAAACAAACAAGCCCGGCCGCCTCGGCACTCGGTACCTTACTGCACCCCGGCGAGCGATCTGCAAAGCCCGAGCCTCGCTCTCGTCGGCCGCCCCACAACTTGTCATCAGCGCGGGGTTCCCAGTTCCCTCCTCCTTCCTGCAACTACCCGACACGTACCTACCTGAGCGACGCCTCACTTCGTCGACTGCATACCACGCTCCGGAATTCAAGGAAAAGGGACAAACAAATACCGGCAAGGAATCACAAAAGGAAAAAAACATGCCGCCCATCAGCGACGAGGACTGGGCCGACGTGGTCTCCAAAGAGCTGCCAAGCAAGGATGACGCAGTCATCCAAAAGTACCTCCAGAACCGCCAGGCTCTCATCGACGAGGAGAAGAAGCAGCGCAGCGGTAACCACAAACTTCCCTTGGCCCGTTTCTCTCATTCACCCACCCCACCCCCTTACTGCCACTTACTGCCCAGAGTTCCCCCCTAATGTCGAGCTGCCTGCCAGTGTGCCGAGCTGCCTGCTAGTGTGCCTTGGTGAGAGGTGGAGGCGTCTGACCGTGAACGACATATAGATTACACGTTCCGCCAGCGCCTGTCGCCCATCGCCAAGAAAGCGTGCGACATTGTCGACAGGATCCGAGACCATGAGAAGCAAACAGTTTGGACGTCCGAGGTGGAGGAGCAGATTGCCCAGCAGGTGGCCGTCACTGTCCACCCGGGCATGATGTTCAGCCTGGCCAAGGAGAAGATGGAGTCAACCAACCTGTGGAAGATAGTCCGCCGGATGCCAAAGGGGGCACTCCTGCACTCCCACTGCGACGCCATGGTCGACTTTGATTACATCCTAGAGCTCCTCCTCACGACTCCAGGCATGCACATCGCCTGCCCCGGCTCGCATCTCGCCACCGCCGAGGCGAGGAAGGAGGAGGGGGTCTCCATCCAGTTCAGAGCCATCAACCACACCGAGGGCTCCCTCTGGAAGGATGACTACAAGCCCGGCACATTCGTGCTCATGACGAAGGCAGCTGACGACTATCCCGACGGGGGCAGGTCGGGCTTCCTAGAATGGCTAAAGAGCCGGTGCACCATCAACCAGGCAGATGCCCTCGAGCAGCACCACGGCGTAGCCGAGATCTGGCGCAAGTTTGTCAAGTGCTTCGAAGTCATTGGCGCCATGATACACTACGAGCCCATCTGGCGCGCGTTTCTGCAGCGACTCATGAGCCAGCTCGTTGAAGATGGCGTCTATTGGGTAGAGATACGGTGAGCCCACCGCACCCCTTCTTCTCTATGGGCAAGGCGGCCGGGCATCGCCCCCCACCCCCTTTTCCGAGGCCCGCACATCTCCTCTATTAGCATTCCGACTCATTGTCGACCGTCGCTTCGTCTATAATCAAGCTCCGGTGCGGGGATGAGAGACGAAGGAAGAAAGGGAGGGTCGCAGGCGCAACTGCTAACCAACCATGGATTGATTTTAGATTTGCCTGGCCTCCTAATTACTGTCGGGAGGGGTGCGAAGAGCCGGAGCCAGACTATAATCATATGTTCCAGGTGATTGAGGAGGAGGTGGCCAAGTTCCAGGCCACCGAGGCCGGCCAGACTTTCTGGGGTCTCCGGATGATCTGGACCGCCTTGAGAGGCCTGGGCTCGAGGCCCATCGTCCAGAGCATGGACGACTGCATCGCGACGAAATTGGCGTGGCCGCATCTTCTGGCGGGCTTCGATCTCGTGGGCCCCGAGGACGCTGGACGGCCGTTGGCGGACCTCCTTCCAGAACTCTTTTGGTTCCGAAAGCAGTGCGCCCTCGAAGGGGCCAACATCCCCTTCTTCTTCCACGCGGGCGAGACTCTAGGCGACGGCGACTCGACCGATCAGAATCTGTTTGACGCCCTTCTCCTCGGAACGCGGCGAATAGGACACGGTTTCTCCCTCTTCAAGCACCCGCGCTTGATCGACGCCGTCAAGGACAAACGCATCCTGGTGGAGAGCTGCCCGATATCAAACGAGATCCTGCGCCTGACGGGGAGCATCATGCAGCACCCCCTTCCGGCACTTCTGGCGCGGGGAGTCCCGTGTGCCCTCTGCAATGACGATCCTGCCATTCTCGGCCAAGACACGGCCGGCATGACACACGACTTTTGGCAGGCGCTCCAAGGCTGGGAGAACCTCGGGCTAGCCGGCCTGGGATCGCTGGCCGAGAATAGCGTGCGATGGGCTGCTTTCGAGGACCAGGACTCTGAGGCGTGGTACGTACAATGTGTGCAACCCTGAATCCCGTTCCCGTTCCCGTTCCCCCCACCCGCGCCCCTCGTCTAGGGGGTTTACTTTATCTCCTCCCTTAATTCCGATCGGGCCTGGTTCGGATCAGAATCGGCGACTAGGTAGAAACCAAATGGCGGCCCGAGATCACCTCCCTGGGAAATATAGGGGGAGGGGGAGGGGAAAGACAGGGGAAAGACAGGGGAAGGGAGAAGGGCAGACTGAAAAGGGGAACAAAAAGGAGGACAAAGCAAAAGGCTGACTAGGAAAAATCTCTTCTCTAGGACTCGGGACATCCGGGTGGCTACCGTTGGGGGCGGCACGAAGGCGGCGCATTTGCGGCAATGGGCAGTGGAATGGGAGCTATTCTGCGTCTGGATCGTGACGGAATACGGCGAGACAGAGTTCGGCGAAAAGCACAACGGCGGCGTCCATGTCGAGGCTATGGGACGCTAAACAATTAACAGCTAGCCGGTGCGTTGTGTGGCTTTTTTGCTGGGCAGTTAGTGGTAGGGGAGAAGGGCCGAGAGGATCATTGTGAGAAAGGACATTGCAGCTTTGCTGTTTCCAGCTGTCCCGACAGGACGGATGACGGGGGAAAAGGCAAACGAAGGGGAGGGTTGAAGGGGGTGTGGGGCTGTTTGGGGCTGGTGAGGCTGTTCGTGCTTGCCTCACTTACACATGAGTGTGTATGTACGTATACAACTCGTCGCAGGTGCTTGTGGGCCCGGTTCAGGGATACATCTTCTGGGAAGGGGTATATCAGACAGGACAGGGCAGCTAGTATTACCTAAGCCCCCTTCCCTTCCCTCACCCCCGGCTGCTGCTACTGCTGCACGTCGTGGGTTGTGGGTCGTTTCGTCGTCGATCAGCAAAGCAACGTCCGCTGTCATACGGCGCTGGCGGCAGGTGATGGATGGCATTATGGGGGCCCAACAGACAAAAAACGCTGCTCATTCAATTTCCTATTTCCTTCTGCTCAGAGCCGAGTGCTTGCTGCCTGTGTGAGAGTTGAGTTGCAATCATGCCATGCATAGGGCATGACAAGCTTGTCCTGTGCGAACACGGGGAGGGGTTGGTGTACTGTGTATGGTACTCGGTCGGCAACTTGAGGACGGCCGATTACCTAAGGTACCATGCGGGCAGTGGAATAAGATACATTGATTTAAGCTGCTTACCGCGGGCTAGATCAGGTACCAAGAATAGTCTAATAGTTCGGTTTTTTGTGAGTTCGTCCCTGTCTGTCCCTTCAAACAAAACAAGCCCGGACGGGATTCAGGATGAAGAAGGTGGGGTGGGGGAATGGAGCCCACCCAGTAGTCGGCCAAGAAGGGAAGGAAAGGGTGAGTATACCTTGGACTCGGGTAGGCCCTACCTGAACTCTTGCGAGTGGACGCTGGGATAGCACGTACGTATCCATTGGCAAGGACGACCAGAGTAGAGTGACGAATGGAAATGCGACGCGATGATGGGAAGGGAACCTAAAGCTCGGCCCGCGTTCCTTCGACACCCAATAAACTCCAATGAAGAACACGAAAGCGTGACGTGACGTGCGCGCCGACCTTCCCCGAACGAGTCAGTCAGTCATACCCTTTTTTGTCCTGTGTCGTTGTTCCGCCTCGTCAGAGTTTGTGTCGTGTTTAGCCGGTGTTCGTTTTCTCGTTTATGCGGGAGGGAAGAGTGGAGGGAAAAGAAGGAGGGGGAGAAGAGAAGGGGAAAAAAAAAAGGACGGGAAGGAAGGGTTGGCAAAGAATCCTTCCACCAGGTCTTTTTTTTCTTGTGTCCCTTCTACAACTAATTACGCAAGAACCACCATAGCAACAGTGCATTTTCCCAAGGCGTTTCAAAACCCCGATCAACAGATGCCCGGGCAATAAGGAATAAGAGCCTTGCCTGGAAACTACAAACCCGACCCGAAGTGGTGCAGTAGAGTAGAGAGTGAACGGTTCACCTGGTATGGTTCTCCTCGCCTGAACCAGTCCCGCATTCGGAATGCTGGAATCAGCCCCGCGCCGCCCAGGGGGGGTTTGGTTAGGGGCCCCGGGGTGGAGGGGTTAGCGGTCTGCTTTAGTGTCTGTATACCCCTCACACACGCCATGGAAGTCGAAGCCCATTCAACAGGTCCAGGGTTCGCGTCACCGACTCATCCGTCGATGGACGGCGAAGTTGGCCGGTGCCCCTCCTACCTCCACCAAGTCAAAGCGGAAGCGATGTGCAAGATCCAATCCCCTGTTCCCCGTCCGCCCAGTGCTACGGTATGGAATCAGTTTCCCCCCATGGAAGGTACTTACCTTACGTGCCTCAGTGGAGATATGTCCGGTACCTTACGGAGTAGTAGCTGGTACGGTCGGTGCCAACATCCATATGCCATCTCAATTCGGTCAAAAAGTGACAGCCCTATCCGTTATTAGTGGGCTCTCGCGTTCAGACTTTTACCCGGGATGCGCCTCGGCGCGGTAGGGCTGGGGCACGGCATAGTCTGCCATTGGCACAACTCTTTTCTGTCTGTTCCCCCCCGGGTAGGTTACACGCCCTGGGCACTCTTCCGTACCATGCCGACCCTCCCCTACAGCACGCACGCACGGCACCGTACCTGTGCATTTATGTATGTATGTACATAAGCAATGCGCCTTAGGTGAGGCGGTTGTGCAACGCGAGAGCCTAGAGCCAAGAGTGTTGTTGGTCTGCATAGTGCGAGTTGTTGAACCCCTTTTTCTACCATTCTACCCATCATGTGGCCGGCTGGAGTCACCGACCGAGCAAGGCTATACACGCACACACTTTCTCATACACGTTTAGAGACTGCCAGAGCCAGGCGTGACAAGATGCACCATATTGCGCAGTTCGGCCTTGGCCGAGTCTCTTCTCCATCACCCAGGGGCCGTTTATGCAAGAGACTTCTGTTGTCTGTTAGCCTTATTGGATGTGCAGGCAGCGGCAGCAGTAGCTCGGTAGCTAGTACTTGCGCCGGGGACATGCCTTTCCCAACGGCCGTATGAGATGAGATGAGATGGCAGATGGCAGATGGCAGATGCAGATGCTGCTTGACCATCGCATCGCCAGTGCCCGCCAGGTGCATCAACGGGCCAAGCCGTCCAAGGCAGAGGAGGGAGAGGACCATGTGTGCAGGGTCCAGGTCCAATACGGATAGTATACTGTCCGGATCTAGACCAGGTCCGTCCCGATAGATGAAGTAGGGCGCATTCCAAGTTTTCAACGCTGCTCTCCTCGCGCCCTTCGCGTCCATCTACCTCGTGTGTCCGCCCTTGGCTTGCAGAGTCCCAGAGCCAGACACCAGATGACGGATGACGTTTAAGGCCCAACGCCGCCGGCACTGAGAAGGAATCGACGTGGGGGCCGAACACGACACTACCTATGGCATCCCCGCGCCCGCCCGCCGCCCGCCCGCCGCCCGCCTCCCGCCGCTTCGTCTATTGTTGGTGCTACCGGCCGCAGCAATCCATTCATTTGACATGACGCCAGTGTCTGGCCATTGCCGTGTGTGTCACGGCCAGTCGAGCACGAGAAATCGACCTCGACGCCTTGCCTAAACCTCCTTGGGCGGGAAACAATGCATGACGTGAAGTTCAGAGTCAGAAAAATAAATTGCCTGTGCTTGCGGGTTGGTAATCGCCAAGTAGAGCCACAAGTATCCGGCCAGGGGAAAAAATACCTGCCGAGCGAAAACAAGTCGTGAACCGTAAGGAAAATGCAGCCATGTGCGGCGCGAGCTAGTAATACAACAAGGCCCCTTGCATACCTAAGAATCAACAAATTCGTAGCTCTCGCCTCAGGCGAGCAGCCTAGTCATGGCTCCCAATGAAACGCCGATAAAAAGAAAACAGCTCAGACAGCAGGGCCCCACACATTCTCCAACCACCGTCTGAATCTCGTGGGAGGCGCGATCCGCGTTGCTTCGGCGCGGTTGACGTCTTCGACAAGGTTGGGCCTGCGTATGTGGTATCGTTCATTGGCCGTCTGCAATAGTCTCTGAAGGTAGTACCAACGGCTCAAGTACTGAGCTTGTTCACACTGTACCACCTCGGCCTCCACGTCTTGGTAGCTGCGGCTCACCGCGCCAAAGCGTACTAGAGAATGAGTTAGCCTGGAAGTCTGCTGGTAGCTTGCAAAGGCACCAAACGAGGACAACTGACTCCCACGAACAGCCTCGCAAGTGGCAAGTATATCTCGCACTGTCAAGCTGTCGCCCCTGATTCTGTACTCCCTCGGCCAATTTGCTGGGCCCATCTCGATGGCCGCGGCCACAAAACGCGCCAGGTCGTAGACCGAGGTGAGAGAAACCCGCGCCGGCCGGCCGGAGGCGGTCCCTTCGACAATTTCGCCCGTAGCCTCCCCGACGTTGATAAGATAGTCGTTCGGTGTCTGCAGTCCGGAGCCGGCTCCCATCCGATACTGCTCCAGGCCGCCTGGTGCAAACCTCTCCATAAAGATACCGCAAGAGAAGATGGTGTAGCGCATGTTGTTGGTCGTCGACAGCGCCCAATGATCGAGGAGATCGCGTGCCGCGTGTGAGTGGCGGTCGAGCGGGTCGTCGGCCGGTCGATGTTCCACATCTCCCTCGAACTCGGAGGGGACAAAAAGCCGAACTCGGGCCTGTCTTGCTGCGTCGATGAGATCGAGCTGCTGGCTTCCCGAGATGGTCGAGATAAGCAGGTCTACGCCAAGCAGGGTATATCGTAGCTCGTCGACGTTGCTAAAGTCGACTTGGGCGACCTGACACCCGGGGAAGTCCTGCTCAAACTCGGGGTGGGCCTGTGATATCTGGTGAGCACAAGGTCTGTCACGTCCAGCTTGCAAAGTAGGCGACTTACATGTTGGGAGATGACTAGGACGGCGTTGGCGCCCTGGGTGATTTGGGCCGCGAGGACATAGGCGAGACCGCCGCCACCGGCAATGGCGATTCTCATCATGCTTGGCTGGGCTGCTGGTTGCCTCATTGTTGACGGGTCCTCTCGAGCCTAGTGGGTAGATATGGAAGCGCGTGCGGTGGATGATGGCTATGAACCCTCATGGGCGGGCTCGAACAGGGGCGTTAAGAGAGGATTTATATAGATCCTTCAAGATAGTGATTTCACGGTCCATTTCCTGAAAAGAAGAGAGAACTTCATTGAAGGCCAATGACTCAAGGAACCTGGTGTAGCCTGGGGGGTGCGTTGAGAGAAGTGGTGCTCGGGCAAGGCAGCCAGGCAGGCAGGAGAGGAGAGGAATCAAAAGGTGGTGATGGTTTGGATTGGCATGAACACAAGGACCGGGGGCAGGGGGGGGTGTGATGGGAATGAGAGCTTGGCTGAAGGAAGATGCCGGCTCCCCAGATCTTCAACAGGGACGCCTCAGCCTAGAACCGCTTGGTCAAGGCGGGAAGGCTTCCTTCGGTGTGGCACAAACCGATGGTGGTCACAGGTTGCGTTGCGTGGGCCGTTGGCACATTTGGACCAGGACAGGACATACAGACAACCACGCAGCAAGGCCGCTTGGCCTGCACGAAAGGAACTCTCGTTGTGACTCCAGAATGCCAAGAATGTCATGCATGCTGTGCTCCCACACCGCGGGCCATACCCTCGGGCCATCCACTGCAGGGAAGGGAAGCGAAGGGCAGAGCAGGGCAGGGCCCGCCTGCCGGCCCGGTACTTGACTCGACTCGGTGCCGGGCTGGTGTTTGCAGGTCTCGATCGATAGACGCACACGACGGCAGAGACTTGGACGGCAGATGGCGGGCGGGCCCAACCGCGGGCCGCACACCACAGGAATCACTTGGCAGGCAACGGACATGTCGCCCAAGGACGTAATCAACCACACGCCCCAGTGATGCGGTCGCGGCAGGAACCGCCACAAAAGGCGTTGCGAAGTCAGGCTCCCGCTCGACGGGCCCCATCCCATCCCATCCCATACCATCCATATAAGAGAGACGCGGAAAGAAAGCCCGGGTGCGGGATAGATAGAACTGGCAATTTGGGGGCTCTCTCGGGGAAATTTGAAACGAGGCGAGTCAGCTGCCGGATCCTGTTATGAAGCCATACCGAACTCTCCCACGGCCATTGAGAGGTATCTCGGGCCAGCGGTGTTGGGCCTGGAGAGGGGGTCATCAGGACCTGTCCTGGCTGCGCAGTCGCGGCAAGGGCCTTGGTCGGATGGCTGGGCAGGCAGTCAGCAACCTCAAACATGTCCAAATGGCGGAGGTGAGGGGCCAGTAGCACAGAAGCGGCGGGTTCTGTAGGGCTGGGATGAGGAGAGCGGAGCGGTGCCAGGCGCCAGGTGCCACGACAGACACGGCACCGGGGCTCCAAAATTAGACGCGCAAAGGCTAGGCGAAAAGGAGGGTCGACGACCGTCGGCACTGGATCGAGCAAGGCGCGCTCAGTCGTATTAGGAGCAAGCTTTAAAGGATACCGTCCCTCGTCAGGTATTCTGCAGCATACTCCAGGCTGGAGAGACTGAGTGAATCACCAAGAGTGGATGCAAGCGGTGCTCTGTTACACAGCAGCACTTGCATGCCATGTTGCTTATCGCGCCAGCCAGGTTACGCGGGAGTCTGACACTTCCAGTCCACGGAAGGGCCAAGCCGGCCAGACAGTGGATGGAGGTGAGCACCGCACCGCACCGCGTTGCTGGCTAGCGCACGCCCCGAGTGCGAAGCAGGCTGACGCAAGTGAGCAAACAACCAAGTGAGCAGCCAAGTCGGTGCTGGTTGGCGACGGACGTGCTTGTGACAGTGACGAGACGAGGACGACACGACTCTGAGGTAGGTAAGGTAGCGAGGGAGGAGCACGGAGCTGCCTCTGCCTCTGCCTCGCCAGACTAGAGCAGGTACTGTACATTACCTTGCCTATCCATCCAAGGATCGCCTTCGCCTTCGCCTGCTCGCGTCGACATCCACCCAGTGGAATTCCTGCCGTTCACTCGTTGCAACGCAAATCCAGATAAACACCGTAGGTATGGTATGTACTGTAGGGTAGAGACTAGGAGCAGGTGATAGTGTGTGTAGAAGCGCACAGCCATAGCAAAGGACCCGGAATAAGATTAAGGCCAAATAAGCTGGGCCGTTGCTGATTGCCGCAGCACAGCTAGCCCGGCTTTCCGCTCTGAGATCAGCACCTATTGTCAACGATTGTCAAGCGTCGGCAATAACGACCTCCACGGTGGCCGGCCGAGTAGGCTGGTCCCCGCATTGGAGCTTTCGTTTAGGGGAAGCGTTGAAATTCAAGTCTGTAATCATAGGTTCATTTAACGAAGGGAGAAAAAAAAGAGCCACCCAACTTGGGTTAGGCTGATTGGGGGCCGTTTTCTACGGCGTTTAGGGCACGAATTGCCATGGCGAGGCGTGGAACGAGGCTTGGATATGCTTGAAACACTTGGGGAAAGCACGGCAAACCAGGTCCTGTCGTCTGCGCTCACTCTACGTGTGCTTGCTGTATGTACTCGGTGGCCCTCATACACACGTAGACGCGGTTCCCATCCGTAGGTGATCAAATTGGATCCGATGGATGTCGTGACGAAGGATGCATAGAGGTTGAGTAAACTCAAAGCCTCCGGAGGGTGATGCCCGGATTTGGCAGGAACATCCGTGGAACTCTGGATCTGGGAGGCTCAATGACCCGATGTTCCGAGCCTGGTTCCCAGTCGGTAAGCGCGAACGCAAGGAAGCTCATGCGGGGCACAATCACGTGAGAGCCGGAAACGACGACTTTGACGCATCTACAAGGCATGCAAGGCAGGCAAGGCAGGCAAGGCAGGCAAGGCAGGCAAGGCAGGCAAGGCAGGCACGCTAGGCACACCCAGGCACCTGCTCAGCTGCCGCCTTCCATCTCGCCATTCCCGACGTCCAAGGGACAGGTAGAATGCCCAATCCGTCACCCCAACAGACGCCGCGTCGTCTCGGACAAGAGTTCGGACGGGCAACCTGGTTCTTACAGTCGGCCAGTGCCAAGATAGGCCGGCCTAGCTCTCAGAGCCGCCGGGTGCCTGTGCGCCCACGATAGACTTCTCCAGGAGTCCAACCAGACACGGTGACCTCAACTCGGAATCTCGGACCCTGGACACATCACATCCATCACGCCAAACATATTGGTCCCACCAGTGCTTTCGCCCCGTGTTTTTGGCGCCAACGACCAAATCCATCCATGCCCGCCTTGGGATCTTCTAATTCAAGGCACTGTGGCCGTTCATGCGTCGACGTCTCGGAGCTACCGTACCTTAGCTTCAAAATGGACACGCCAATATACACAAGCACCGCATTACACCACACACAACCGGCCTGACTCGGTCGCCTGTGTTGAGCAGACCAGCTAAGGTACCTTAGATATGTAGGCGGGCAGTGTTATACGGATACGGAAAAGGGACTTTTGCGAGGACCCTCGTGGGTTTCCAAGCTTCCCCACCTAACTCCAATTCTCCCTTGGCTTGGGCCCTGCCTGGACTGTGGGGGGCCCGCAGTCACTCATATCACGCCGCCGGGCTTCCATGGAGTCATGGAGCTCTATTCTAATCCAATCCAAAAAAAGCCCCAGCTGGTCGCCAAGAGTTCTCCCCTAGATTTACCTTCCCGATCCAGCACCATTTTTCGATTTTAAATGCCATCGAGATTCCGGTGGTGTCCATCTTTCAAATTGCAAGGCTCTCGCTGCAGTGATAGAGTTGAGTCACCTCTCCAAGTGGTGTTGTTTTCCGAGGTCGCTTCCTACCTACCTAGCGGGTAGTTTCGTTGTCCGCACTGCCTCCCAACGTGACGGATCTTGTTGCCGGTGCATGTAATTCCCACGATATATGGTCGCATCAGCTCTTGGAGAAATCACAGGTGCTCGGATTCCCGGACTCCCACCCAGAAAGGATCACGGGCCACAGAACTGGCTACTCGAGTGCGCCTCATTCGTACGCTCATAGCCACAAAGGGGTACCAGATAACGGGATGCGAGACTCGGATTCTGACTTTTCATCACCCAATTTAGGAATATCGGCGAGAAAAAGAAGACATGTGTGCATGGCAATGGAACAAACTCTTGGCGATTTTTTCTCTAACCGCACGACTAGTTCCTGTTTGCCTAGACATGCATGCTAGTTCCTAGGCTATACCGAGACCTAAACCCAGACCCTTAGAAAATCAAGATAAACCGTCCCGGGGGTATCAAAACTCCATCTCCGGGACAACGAGGAAACGTCACCCGCATATTGCTGGACGTCCATGACAGTCGGGCAATTAAAAAAAATCCAATCTATTCGCGGGCCTCGGCCTGCTTGATGACGTCGTGCTCGACGCCACGCTGTTGGGTCTTGCCAACATCGTGGCGCTCCTGATTCTCTTGTTGCTTCGCGCGATCGCCAGTGAGACCTGCGTAGGCTCCTCCAAGGGTGCCTGCTACGCGGTCGGAGACACCAGACGCGTAGTCGTTGACCTGGCCCCGAGCCTCCTGCTCTTGGCCGGCGAGGTTTTGCTCACGGCCTGACTGCTTCAGGCTCTGTTGACGGACGTTAGCCGCACGCCACTAAATGTTTACTCGAAAACAAACGGCACACATACCTCAGAGCCAATGACGCCGCCGACGAACTCTTTCGTAGACCCGGCTGTCTGAGCCCACGAGCCAGCTGTGCGGTCCTCGCTGTCCTTGGTGACGGCACCGGAAGACGAAGCTGTAAAGCCTGGGACCTTGGCAGTGGCGTGGGACGCATCGAACTCGGCTTGGCCCTTCTTCTGCTTGACGTCGCCCTCAGCCTATGTTGAACTTGTCTCAGCAAAGAGCACACCTCTAACAGCAATGACTCAACAAGGGGGTAACACTGACCTCCTGGCTGGAGTTTCCAAAGACTGCACCGACGGCGCTCTGGACGGCCCCAGTGGCTGAGTCGACGTACGACTGGAGAGTGGATGTGTTGTTGTTAGACATGGTGATGGTTGTGGTAGGTGGTTGTAAAGTGTGAGGCGTGATGTGTTTTTGTTTGGTTGGTTGGTATTGAGAAAAGGAAGTGAAAGAATTGCGAGAAGCCCGTTCTTTATATCTACGGTGAAAAATCCACTCTCCACGAGCAATATCCACATGCCTGCAACTTTTTGCCTTCAGTTTGGCTACGACGCCACTTCCAACACCAGGTCTAACACCATATCCGTCATAGGTTGCTGCGATGGAAGCATCGAATGTTGCTCGTGTTGCGTGCCCGGCTAGGATGATGTCATAGGCGAGACCTTGGGTTGGGGCTGGCGGGGCCTATGACATCATCGGCTGAGCCTGCCTGTCAGGGCGGCCCCAACCGCACCTGCCACCCCACCGATTCGCTTGGGTGTCGCCCTAGGTACAGGAAAGAGCTCCCGAAGAAGCCTGAGCTTCAAGTTCTTGCACCGGGCCGGAAGGATTCCCGTCCTCCCGTGTTCTTTCTCCTTCAACCCAATGCAAGCTCAGGCCGTTGTACTACCTGCCAGTTACTTCAGGTAGCAGCAGCATGAAGTGAGTCAAAGGCTTCGAAACACGTTAAACCCCGTAAGGCGAAAACCCACCCCTCTCTTTCCCGTTGCGACCTAGAAGCGTGGATTTCCAGGTTAGGTACCCAGATGCCATTCTCCAAATTACACCATCAGCGCAGCTTGATTGGAGTTTGTACAGTACACAGTACATGCAACACGAACCCGAGCTTCACGCCTCAGGTGCCATGCACACGCCGTGGCTTTCACATGCTTTATTTCCGCATTCTGGCCTCTCGATAGCATCCAACTGAAACGACACAGCCCATCGGTGAGTCGATCCACCCACCGCCATCGACGATTGTCGGGTGCATTGCTGCAAGCGACAACCTATTATGCGAGGCTTTGCCACCATCCTTACCTCAGCTTACCCCATGTTCCCTGTCTGCAACCGTGTTTCATGTCCATTGTTCATTCTTTTTGGCTTTTTTCGGCTTGGGTTACCTGACCTATCCAAATTCCTTCTCTTGTATCAATCCATTTCCAGCCATACTGATTCCAAAAGAGGGCAGTGGACAGCGCGATATGATCATGCCCGGAAAAAATAAATTGACTTTTGCTTCCTCTTCTCTGGCATCGCACGCTCCTCGTTCCTGAATAAGAAGCTATCTCCGTTTCCTTTTGTCCGTGTCCTCTATCTCCATCTCTCCTGCTGTTCACGTCGGCCTGCAGGCGATTTCCTCGGGGCCGGAATAGTTCCTCCCAAGGTTGATTCCCGATACCGAATTCATAGGCACCGCCCCCCATGTCTGCACTCGGCCCATGTACTCGGTACCTCTCAACACCCTTTGGGGATACCGAGATATCACGCATGCCTTGGTCGCTTCAACAGCCAAGGTCCCAAGGCAGCAGCAATTCTTTTCGCAATTGGTAAACAAGTGAAACAAAGCCTACTCTGCCCCCGGAGAAAAAAACAAGAAACCATGGAACGTCTCGTATTTTAGGGTGATCTCTTACGATCTGCGGGAAACGCAGTGGCACATCAAGATGCCATTCCGGTTCTTGTCAGCGTCGCAGCGGGCTGGCCCGAGTAAGTCTGGGCCGCCGGATACCACCACTGTGAGAAGGTCGCAGTGGTTGCACGAGCAAAAGCACTCGGCACCTGCCAACCGCGGTCTCATTTTCGTTCACATATTCAATTTCCAAACATTCTGCAATATATTCTCATCCCCGGTCTACACTTTCAGGTTCCAGGTTCCAGGTTCCAGGTTCCAGGTTCTAGGTTCCAGGTTCCAGGTTTGTTTGTAGGACTTATGTGATCGCCACTGGCGTCTCAGGCTACGACGAAAAGTGCAACGACCTAAACTTGGTGTTTGAGGCGAGGGTGGGGGGTGATTGTAGGACAGGTTTGTTTTGGCAAATAGTCAATTTAATACCTCCCGTGACAGCCAATGTTGGGGAGGCGTCTTGATTGGGTAACGACCAAGGGGCAACTGCAGTTATGGCACACACATCTTTCCAAATTACTATACCTATAGGTAGGAAAACTTGGAATGAATACCTCAGGTTGGATTTTGGAAGAAAAGGGGGAGGGTGGACAAAGTTTCCAAGAGGTATCCCAAGAGACGGTGTAAAGGGGTAAGAACAGAGAGAAAATCTGGTGGACCAAGTCCGTCAATTCCCTTAGCTCGAATGCCGGTAGCTACGGTGACTTCCATGGCCATGGCGATCTCTTCTCGATGAGTTACTGGCGATGGATCGCTCCAGCTTGTTCTCCAGCTCTCCCAACTTGCAAAAGAATGGTAGGATCCTACAAGCTCAGAGATGACCAGCCCTATTCAGAGAAGCCTAATAGTACCCTAACTGCCTGTGCTATTCAAGAAACAACTTCACAAATTGTCTCTCCCTCTCTCTGGTCAACGCTTTTCCGGGAGGGACTCGAGTCCGGTCTTCAGAGGTTGCGATACATTGGCCCACTCTTCAGACACTTCTCCATGCGACGTAGTCTAGCGAACAATGGCTACACTGTTAGCCTCCTCGAGCATTTCCCGAATACGATGTCGTAATGCAATCGACAAAATCTCACCTCTGAATTCACACACACACATCCTACGAGGCCACCTTCTTCCTCGTCGAGTGCCATACCTACCTACCTGGGTATACGCTCCCAGCGCCTAAACAAAAATAACCTGTCCAGACAATAATAGTTAGAATCATTGGAGACTCCTTCGTCCCTCCAAAAAAGAAATCTGCAGTAGGGTCTGCAGTAGGTTCGTCTGCAGTATAATCGGATGTTCCAACTCGGGAAAACGCAGGATCGACGCAGCATGTTCATGTCCTCGTCAAGGTTAGTATCACCAACTTCTGTACGCCTCATCCATCCATCCATCCACCCATCCACCCATCACCTCCCGCCAAGAACATATCGGCATCTCGATGCTGCAGTGCTTGGATCCATGTCCGTGCCAGGCCAAAAACAAAAGGCCCTGCCCGGGCTGTCTCTGTCTAAAAGGTGCCCCTGCGAGCCGTGAAGGCTAGTTAGTACCACCAGCTTCTCCACGCCCCATCCATCCATCAATATATTGGCACACGCAGCCGCAGTGCTTGCGTATATAGAGATGACCCTTGAGTAGATAACGTTCTACTTTTAGCTGTGTGGTGGACGGTATTGGTGTGGTCTTTGCCTTTCTACCCCCTGACAGTTGGAGAGGATCGCGGGGGCGCCTTTTAGCGAGAGACAGAGAGCCAGGGCAAGGCTTTTTTGTTTGGCCTGGCACGGAGTACGAATGCTCGAGGCATTCTCCTCCTTTTCTTTTCTTTCTGAAAGGGGGTGTGTGTATGGAGTACTCGAGGGGTCGAAAAGCAAAGGTTTGTTTGTTTTGAGGAACAATGACATGCAGCAACGTGGTCTGGTCGTTAGGATCCATGTTCCCTAACCTACCTCCCTACCTACCTACCCGGTGAGCTAGTGTGTATGTAGCATGGCACACATCTTTGCCTGCCGCCATTACCATTTTATCTCCCTAGCCGTCCGTCGTCGTAGTCTGCAGTCGTCATCATCGCGGAAACGACATGGCATGGCATAGCAGATCCTGGCCCCCCAAACGTGTGTACCGTGTGCTTTGCCGTAGGGAGGAGCTGCCACACCAGGGGGGAAAGCAAGCAAACAATCCAACTCGGTTAACCGCCCACTACCCACCACTGAGCACCCACCAAAACGGAAATGTATCAAGTCACGCGCATGCCGCGTTGGTATCATTCTCTGTGGCCCCTTCCATTATGTACACATTGTATATAGTACAGGTTGAGTGTGTGGTGGCGCCTGGTCCTTGAGTGTGTGTGGGGCAAAGTTGAAAGCCAAAACCGGTGCTCTGTACAGCAACAAACAATCCCATTCGCATGCCACATATGCAAACTGCCTCGGACATGGGAGGTCTTTTTTTGTCTCCTCCTTTTCCCCTCACTTCCCTGTCACCAACTACCGGCCCCCTTTCCCCCCCTTTCCCCCTCATGAATTCAACGGCTCAGTGCTGGCTCCACTCAATCGTGTTGAGGTCAACGCCTTCTTGGACCAGCTCCCACAGGGGACTAAGCTCGCGGAGGAAACCGACACGGGCCGTTACAGCCTTCAGAACGTAGTCAATCTCCTCCTCGGTGGTGAACCGGCCAATGCCAAACCGGATGCTCGAGTGGGCGCTCTCGTCGCTGTTGCCCAGCGCGCGCAAGACGTAGCTGGGTTCTAGGGACGCCGAGGTGCAGGCACTACCCGACGACAGGGCAATGTCCTTCAGGGCCATGAGCAGCGACTCGCCCTCGACGTACGCAAACGACACGTTGACGCAGCCGGGGTAGAAGTGCTCAGAATCACCATTCTGCTCTGTGTGCTCCATAGCCAGCAGCCCATTGAGCAGACGGTCCGAGAGGTGCTTGATTCGCCTCGAATCATACTGCCGAAAATGTTAGCAGAGGAAAGGCTGGACAGTTTCAATACGATCAAGAACGCACAGCAAGTTCTTCTTTGGCGATGCGACACGCCTCCCCAAAGCCTACGACAAGCGGAGGGGCCAGCGTGCCGCTCCTCAGCCCTCGCTCCTGTCCTCCACCGCTAATGATGGGGTCGAGTCTGACCCTCGGCCGCCGGCGGACGTAGCAGGCTCCGATTCCTTTCGGGCCGTAGATCTTGTGGGAGGAAATGGACATCAGGTCGATGTTCATTGCGTTGACATCCATGGGGATCTTGCCGACGGCCTGGGCGGCGTCGGTGTGGAAGAAGACCTTCCGTTCGCGGCAGAGCTTGCCAATCTGTTCTAGCGGCTGGATGACGCCAATCTCGTTGTTCACGGCCATGATGCTGACAAGGGCCGTGTCGGGGCGGATGGCAGCCTCGAGGGCCTTGAGGTCGATCAGGCCGTTGTGCTGGACGGGCAGGTAGGTGACGTCAAAGCCTTCGTCTTGCAGATGCCTGCAGCTGTCGAGCACGCACTTGTGTTCGGTCTGGCTGGTGATGATGTGCTTCTTCTTGCCGGACCGGCCAAAGAACCTGGCGACTCCTTTGATGCTCATGTTGTTGCTCTCGGTGGCTCCGCTGGTGAAGATGATCTCCTTAGGGTCAGCGCCAATCAGGGTGGCGATGTGCTCCCGAGCCTGCTCGACTGCCTTCTCGCTCTCCCAGCCGTAGGCGTGTGTCCGCGAGTGGGGGTTGCCGTACACGCCCGTGAAGAAGGGCATCATGGCGTCCAGAACACGCGGGTCTACCGGAGTGGTGGCCTGCATGTCGAGGTAGATGGGCCGCTGGCCCTCGTCCATGACAGTGGCCTGTTTGAGGACATCTGGTACAGAGTTAGACATGGGGCAAGCGACGAGACGAGGCAAGGGACGCTAACCGGCTATCGGGCTGACATGGCCTTCTGAGCTCTGGTGCCCGCTGACGGCAAGCCCGGACTTCTCGAGCCCCGCCTTGTCGAGCCGGATCGCCGTATCGGTCTGTACTTGCGCATTGTCGCGCTTCGTCTCGGTCACGTAGCTCCTTGCGGAGCTGGCGGGAGATGCGGATGCGACTGTGACTACCGGCGCGGCCGTCGCCACTCGGGATAGAGTCTGGACGCTGCGTCTAGAGCCCGCAGAGAGGGCCGACTTTGTGGCAAGGCGCGAGGCCTGCCTCAGTACCTTTGGTGCGAGATTGGCCATGATGGAGCGACGACGTTCGTGGTTGAGATGTCGGCGGTTGACAGCCGTGCAGAGCTCACGTTGCGAAGCTTTCTTTCCAAATTCCTACTTACCAAAGGAAACGGAAACGCGCGGATTGTCGGATTGGCCCTCGGAGCGTCTCGGCGATAAGATTGCTCGCCCCAGCCAATGATACACCAACCGCCCTGGTCCGACTCTGGCCCATTACTACTGGTCATACGCGCGGGAGGCCCCATTAATTACCTACCTGGGCATCGCGCATGACGCTGGTCAGTTTTAAGAAAGGGATGACGGAATGATGTACATGCAAACCACCAGCACCCGAATAACCTTAGTTAGGTCTCAATACGGAATACGCTGCGAACCTAGCCTCCAACTACTAGTCTCAATGCCCGCTTCCCAACATTGATACTCTACTGGCAGGGCTGTCAGCTCTCAGAGGAGTCGCATATATTTCAACATCAACGCTCCAATACAGATTCCCTAGATTTACTATTTGACAATCCTAAAGTCGGCGGCTTTGCGACTTGCCTACGAAAGCTTGCTAAGATCCGGCTTTCACAGCCCACTTACAACGATTGTGCCTGCAACGCGGCACAGCTCCCATCGCTGCCCGCCCACAACAGCATCTCAAGGCCGCCAATGGGCTTAGGGCTTATGTTTTAACTCCTTGCTAAATAGAGTGCTAGTAAGAACTACTGGTCTGTATTTGAACTAAAGTTTAGGCTTCTTTGTGGCCGTCAGCCTAGAGCCCAGATGGAAGCCGGCAGACGCTGACAAGCAGCTCAGCTCAGCCCCCCGGAATCGTCATCATCCCCAATCCCCGCCCGTGGCCGGCGTCAGGTGCGACCCCTCTAAACCCAAGTCCAACGTCAAATTCCAAACCCACTAAGGTTAGCTTCTATTCTCTCTGCTCGCGAACTTGCTTACCTTCCATACGCCACTTCACGACGCCCAAAGTCCTGCGCATTGCATTTACTGCATTGTTCATGGCAGCAGCTTCATAGACTCACGATTAGTTCTAGGCTCAGCAGCAATACCAAGCTTGCCCGCATCATTCCGCATCCGCATCCGCATTCGCATCCGCATCCCGCATACCTACTGCACCACCCCTCAGACCTGCGTACGGCGTACCGCATACCAGATTCCGCATTCCGCATACCTGCCAGCCCAGGCTTGCGGAGAGCACGCGCACACGCACACGCACGCGCACAGTCGGTGACACATAGCAGAGCTGCGACAGCATCGACTCCGAGAGCATGAGTTTCCGGGGGCTCCAGAAGAGCGTCCTTCGGGCGCCTCAGCAGTTCCGGCAGAAGTTCAACATCGGCGAGCAGACCAAGGATCCCGTCTACATCGACTCGGAGCGCCGCTTTCAAGAGCTCGAGACTGAGACTAAGCACCTGCACGATGAAAGTAAAAAGTACTTTGACGCCATCAATGGGATGCTTCAGCATCAGATAGAATTCTCACAGGCTATGACCGAAATCTACAGGCCAATCAGCGGCCGCATGTCAGACCCCGGCTCGCTCGTCGTCCACGGCAACATCGAGGGCATCCGCGCCTGCGAGGAGTACGAGGCCATCGTCAAGGACCTGCAGCAGACGCTGGCGCCCGAGCTGGAAATGATCGAGAGTAGGGTGATTCGGCCGGCCAACGAGCTCCTCGACGTCATCAAGGTCATCCGCAAGACCGCCCTCAAGCGCGAGCACAAGAAGCTGGACTACGACCGCCACCGCGCCACCCTCAAGAAGCTCCAGGAAAAGAAAGAGAAGACGGCCAAGGACGAGAAGGCCACGTGGAAGGCCGAGAACGAAGTCGAAAACTCGACGCAAGAGTTCAACTATTTCAACGACTTGCTTAAGGACGAGCTACCCAAGCTCTTCGCCCTCGAGAAACAGTTCATCCAGCCCCTATTCCAGTCCTTCTACTACATGCAGCTCAACATCTTCTACACGTTGCACGAGAAGATGCAGCACTGCGACATCGGCTACTTTGACCTGACGCGCGACATCGAGGAGGCCTTCCACGCCAAGCGCGGCGACGTCCAGGAGCAGGCCGAGAAGCTAAGCATCGTCAAGTTCAAGACGACGGGTCTGAAGAGGCCGCCAAAATACGGCGGCGCCCGTCCCGCAATAGAAGGCACTAAGCCCGCCGGCTTGCTGACGGCAGGTCCGTCGATCAGCGCCCCTGCCAGCGAAAGCGGTGGGGAGCCTACCACCCCGGTGCTCGCGACGGCAACCAAGCCCAGCTGGAGCCGTCCAGCCGCTGAACTCGCCGATCACCCGCCGCCACCGTACTCGTCAATGCCTACTGCCGTCTTCCACCCCGTGCCGGGCGCCAAGCCGGCGTCACTGGCGGCCGTCGCGGCAGCCAAGGCGAAGCCGCCACCCCCAAAGCCAAAGTCCAGCCGGCTAGTCGCAATACCAAGGGCCGAGACGGCCACGGCGCTGTACGACTATGCGGCCCAGGCCGAGGGCGACTTGAGTTTCCGGCAAGGCGACGAAATTGAGATAGTAACGCGCACCCCCAACGAAAACGAGTGGTGGATCGGTAAACTAAACGGCAAGGAGGGGCAATTTCCCGGTAGGTCTTGCTGTGTGTCTTGTGTTGTTAAGAGGTGTGAGTTCTGCTTCCAAAACTGAGCGCTTGCTAATGTTTTGGTCTTTCTGGCAGGTAATTATGTTAAAGTGAACTAGACAAAGAAAACAAGGGGAATAGGGGGCGGATTATGCTTTCCCCCTGCCGCTGGGCGCTACCATACCTACCTAGGCACGCTTGCCTACCGATGTTGTGTGGTATAAACGGGGTCACTGGACCTCGACTTTTAAGGGATGCAGGAATAAAAAACACCTTACCAAGCACGCAGTAGCTACATCCTAGACGAATCACCACAAACGCGCGGGTTTATTGAGCGGGGAGAGGAGATGTCGGAAAGACACAAGGTTAGATGACCGATACATGGATGGGTGGGGGCGGGAATGCATGGAATGCATGGCATGCCTGTGATGAGTTCTCTGGCTTTTCTTTTTCTGGGATGGGGGATCTTTTGGGAACCTCAAACGCGTTGCGCGAGCTTGCGAGCTGGCGGGCGGGCGCATGGACGAGTGAAATAGAGAGAGCCTGATTCAGACTCAGGCTCGAATTTTTTTTTTTTGGCTAGCAACAGAATACGGAGGAGGGAGGTCAAAGGGGGCAGGGAAAGAATTGGTGAATGATATGCGGTTCGTTCTGCGGAAGCCTTGCCTCCGATACCTTTCCTCAACACACGCTCTTCTTAACCTCCCCAACTTTCTGTCTTCTGTGCCTCTCCCTGCTTTGTTGGTGTGTATCGACCCATCATCTACGTATGGTCGATATGAAAGCTTTTTTTTCTACTTTTATTGTTTTCCGGCCTTGTCCCAGTTTTTTTTTTTTTTTTTTATACTTTGCTTGGGACTACATTTGATATGACAATATCAGAGGCAAGCCATGGCAAGGAGGTTGAATGGGGGATTGGGGATGTGGTAGGATAGAAAGACAAGGGACTGAACGAGAAAGGGGTATTATTGAAATGGAAAGGGATGTAAGATTGATGATGGGAAAGGGGTCGGATGGAAAGGGACGTGGGATGTAGCTGATGTGATGTGATTTGATGGAAAGGGGCATTCTTCCCTACTTGAGGAGGGCCCATATGGGCACAGAGAGAAGGCATTATACGGGGTATGTATCAATGATATCATCTTCCTCATTCGCTCACTCACCCACTCACCCCATGATCACAGGCATAGGTACATTGCAACCATGGCTTCATCTTTTGTCTTGTGGGGTGTCTTGCCAATTTGTATATAGTAGGTTATATATGGTATGGTCACGAACCCGTAGACCTACTCACATCACGCCCACGGTACATACCGTGCCGTGACATGGATGGGGTAAAAGAAATACCACGTGTGGTCCGTTATCTCTCATGTGGGAGGCAACTCAAGTCGTGACCACCTACCTACCTAGGTACTCATTTTAGTTTGTTTCAAAAGGGTTTTTATTTCGACAGGGTTCTAATTCCAGAAGTAAGTGCCTTAAGGCAGTTGGCTTTTGGCTTTTTAGCTAGAATTTCCGAAGAGAAGTTAGGTACCTGAGGCTATTCCAGACTTCTGCCCCCCCTGGGTTTGGCCTCACCCCCCACGCGGGACGTGGGCATTTTGATCTAGAGAGGCTGAAAAAAGGACCGCAAGGATGACCACGGGGGTCCATGACATGGGGCATGACAAGGATTCTCCGCCCCGTGGGATGGGGGACTTTGAGTTGCTTCTTGAGAGGGAAGGGAAGCGAAGTGAAGGTCATGATTACATCCATCCATCCATCCGTTATAATGGCGCCCTCCCTCCCCCACCCACACCCGTGGGATAGAACAACACAGCGTGCGTGCGTGGCCACCATTTGTGGTGATACTTTGTGTCTCTTTTTCCTTTGGGCTCCCTCATGTAGTACAGTCTTACGCGCACGGCGCCTGGCTGGTGAGGCAGAGTTGGTGTAACCACGAATGAGATCCCATGGCCAAAATCATGTGTGTACTGTGTAGCGCTATCAGAGGATGGGGGTGTAAGCTGGTGCCCAGACCAGACCTCCAACAGAAAGACAGGATAACGAGAGGGATATAAAGAACAGGCCGAACAACCCCCATGAAACCCCCCATATTTGCCTCGGTATTCCAGAACAGAAATTGACGCCATGTTGCCCGGTGAATGCTCGGCCCCACCAAAGCCTTGCCTAAGCAGACCCCCTGACATGGCTTGCATGGCCCCTTACGGAAATAGGGAAATGTAAATTCGGGAAACAGTACCTAGCGGGCAAGCAAATCGAGCAGCCCACCGACCAGAATACTCAGAATACTCGGGGGCCCTTATTCATCAATAAATCGGCCAGTTCTTTTTTGTTGGCCATGCAGCGTCTCGGTCTCTGAGAGAGTTGCCTCGTATCTAGCCTATTTCTGGCGGCAGGGCGAGGAATGATGTTCTCAGAGCCAGGGAATTCTTTGTTTACGCAATCCGGGAGGGAGAGGGCCACAAAGTTATTGCTGTCTGGCATACCCACAAAGTTGCCAATATACACATGTGTGGCCCCCAATGGGCACGACAAAGAGCGCCGAGGTTGAACAGGGGAGGATATGGTCCGGGTATCTTAAATCTTCTTGGACAAAGGGGAAGCGTATTGGTGCTGAGGCTGATGAGGCGCTCAAGCTAGAGAATCAACGGGACGCCCAGAAACTGACGTGTCAAGATTGCAGCCGAGATGGGGGGCATAATGTCGGGGTTTGGGAGGTTGTGCCTGTAGAAAGGAGGGCCGACTACAGAATCTACTATCCACAAGGTGCCACCAACAGCCGAGATGGGGATCCGATGTATTCGACAAAAGGGAGAAGGTATGCAGCGGTGCACACGACATGAAGAAGGATCTGACTTGCTGCCGCCACATGCTGGGAAGCCACAAGCAATAATCCTCAGATGAAAAGAAGAAAAATTTGCTCATTTGTCTCCCCATCTGTGCTCATCTGATGTCTTTCACCGAATGAAAAGATGTGTCTGTTCATGTGTGAGTGGGCGATTATGTGACAGCTAACCCACCCAAGGGTAGTTCGGAAAGTCCAGAACAGAAATCCCTTGTGATACGATAAAGAAAACATTAGTGGACACGACATAGTGCCAGTTCTTTCTGTCACTCTCGTCGGGCACGGAGGAAGACCTTGTCAGTGGGGACACGGGGAGGGAGAGACAAGGTGGGAGTTGGGAAGAGTGTTTCCCGCACAAGGGGAAGAATAATAGGTTGAAATGCGGGGAAAAAATGTGCCTCGCAAGTGGATGCTTTCGTGCCTTTGATATGTTCTTGTGATGCCAGGCGCAGGCAGCGGACCGGGGAAAGCTGAAACTAATGTCCAATAGATTCTCAGGCCAGGACGCACTTAGCAACTCCAAGATCTCGACGACGCTCTAATCGGGCGGAAGCTCGTTTAAAGAGGGGTAAACGTAGGTCATGAAACAATGATTTGTCCGGGGTTGTTCGAAGACGAGGCTGGCGACCGCAACAGTTTGGCCCCCGCAGCCTCGTCGAGCACACCTCAACATGTCCCATCGGGAAGACTCGCTGCAATAACCTCGGGAAACCATCGGATTCTCCGCCCAGAAGGATTCAAGCAACGTGATTTTTTTTCTCTTAGGCTGTCTAGATATAATGCATTCTCCAAGGCCCGAGAGAAGACAGTAGAGTTTGAGACAGCCTTACGATGGTCCACCCTTTATTTTCCCGTGACTCTCCTTTGGTGTCTGCTGCCCTCCTCCCGTGTGTGATGTCGGGCGAGGCGAGAAAGTGCAGAACCTATATTTCCTGCGGACCGCTTAGCGATCAAGTAGGCCACTGTGTCAATGTTCTGTGCTGCATAATATCGATGCCGACAAAGCACCTCTAGAGGTGGCTCGGGGTGCCTCTTGCTCCACCCTCCCACAGATGAGGGACACTGTTGTTGTCTCCGCAGATCCAATAGTCCTTTGGCTAAAGAGCGAAGTGGTACCCGACTGAGATATCTGCATGCATTGGTCGTTCGAATGCTCTCCATTGGGCGACCTCGTCCCCCGTGGCTGGCTCGTCCAGTATGGTTGTGCCTAATGCAGCACTTCCGCCCAGACCACAGGTCGTATTGGGCTCCGTCGCTTCTCCTGTCTCTTTGCCCTTTCCTTTCGCCTCATATGACCCGTCGTCGCAGGTCTGGGCTTGGCTGTTGGCTTGGGATGCGTCGTCGCGCGGACCGGGCGCGCTTCCTGAGACCGAGGCCCCAGGATACGGTCTAGTGCCCTCCAAGTAGAGAGATGGATCGAAGGAAATAAACACCAAGGGCTTCAAACCTCCGGGCATGCTCCCCGTGGCGTATAGGAGGCTTCGTTCGTCAAAGGTCCCATCAATATTCCCAGAGCGGCCGGGCGGGCTGAGAACCTTGAACAGCTCGGCCAACGCGGGGTCGGGCTCTGATGGATTCTGGTCGGGAGGCCAGAAAACAACATCCTCGTATTTGTAGACGTCCCGAATATCTTGTTCAAACGTATGATGAGACTTCTGTCTCTTTGCCGCCGACGGGCGGACCTGCTCCTCAAGCTCCCCAGGTGTCCAGAGACGTCGCGAGCCTCCCCGGAGGCGCAAGCGCTGTTCGTTGGGATCGGAAGCCGAGGGATCGTTCACCAGATCAACAAAGGTCTGGGAGGCAGGATGGTAAGACCGGACTGGACACTTGCCTAGCAGAGATAGCACGAGCGTTTTCGAGCCGTCGTCACCCAAATGGACCATGTGGGGATCTCTGGGAGGCGCATCCATGTATGTTCGGTGCTTTTTTCTAGACGAGGTTGCCATCTGCCTGATCTCGCTGTCTGAAGGAGGATTCCAACCCGTTTCGTCTCGATGTTTCTTCTCTCCCGTATCGCTGAATTCGACGTCTGTGGTGTAGTAAGTGCGCCGCGCCGAACTGTGGCCTGCCGGCCACTCCTTTCTCGCCTCGACAATTCGTAACAGATTCGTGGACTCGTCCCTGAAGATGCTCAACAGGCCCCATCTCTCATCTATAGGGCCCTCGACGTGGCTCCTTCGCCACATGGGTCTCCTAGGGGCGTGTTCAACACACTGGAAACCGAACTCGTTGGTTGGAAAACGGAAGCAAGTATAGTATGATGTCCAGTCGACTTCTTCCACTTCAAAGCCCGTCTGATTTGCCAGGCCATAGAAAAATCCGTTGAAAATGTCGAAGCAAACGGTGGAGCCAATGTCAGACCCGACCATGTCGGGCAGATCGAGCCTCTGCTCGAGCCAGGTAGAAGCCCCGATGTCAAAAGCTCGGATGACCCAGCGGCGGTAGCCATCGGGACCCAGCTCCGAGTGAGTCCCGTAGTAAAGAAATTTGTCGTCATTCCGGACAAATATCTTGAAGGCCGAGTCTAAACGGCGAGTCGTCACGAGGCGGTGGTCTCGAGGGTTGAAAACGACAAGCCAGCTGACCTGGTCGGGCTTGGCGTGCGTGTAGACGCAGGAGACCAGATCGTGGGCAAAGTATAAGAGCTGGAACTTGTACTTCCGGCTGGTCCACGACTCGGGAATGGCCTCGTCGAGCAGTTTGCGGATGCTGACTACCATCTCCTGGCTCTGGGGCCGGTGCAGGTCCAAGATGCGGAGCTGGCGGTCGTGGATATAGCAGAGAACGCCATGCTCGTAAATCCAGGACTCGGCAACGGCGACAATGGCGACCAGATACGGCGAGACTGATGATACCGCCTCTCGGCGTTTTATAAGGCGTCTTAGCTCGGCTGCATAGCGCTTGCTGGCCTGGGCTGCACGGGCTTCCAGTGAACCAGCCGCTTTCCCCTGTGGCACGCAGAAGTGTCATCACGGTCAGTCAGCCGCTCATGCTAGGCACACACATTTGTGCCGGCCAGCGTGCTGCCACCGTCCAGTAAGATGGCCACCTCAGGCACCATCGCTGGGGGGTTCGGGCCGCATGACCAGCGAGCGGGAAAAAGAGGGGCATAGGTCATCCATACCTCAAGCAGCGCCCTTGCAATTCTGGGCTCATAGAGCAGGAATTGAAACCTCTTGCATGTGAGGCTCAGGGCGCGGACATCGGCGAGGTCGAGATGTTGCACGACATACGATGTAAGTTCATAGGGCAACCGGACCAGGGACATCACACCGGGCAGTCTCTCCAGAGCGACCGTCGGACACCATTGAGGAGGATACGAGACTGGCGGGAAGGTGTCGGTCGGAGGTTGGGGAGAGTACTACTGGTGGGAGGCAGGTATGTATTGGCATTAGACGGGCGTCTTTTCAAGTTCCCAGACAAAAGAGCCAGAGGCACACGTCCGAGTATTTGTACTTGGCCATCCGTCGAGGCGCTTTGTGGGGTGGAATGTAGGGGATGTACCTGCCAAGTGTGGCCTTCAGCATGTACATAGTTGGCCCACCCACCCTATTTTTTTCCCTTTGAATATGCAGAATGCAGGCAGGGACGGAGCAGGTTTGGATTGACCCACGTGTTGCACCTTCTGTCCTTGCAAACAAATCGAATTGAAAGCCCTGGCACCTACCTTTCCTTACTCATTTCTCATGTTGGCTGGTGTCGGGTAAGGTAGGCAACGTAAGGCAGGCAGGTACATTGGGCAGTGGGGGAGAACATCAAGCCCGAGTGGAATTTCTCCCAAGGGCGCAGGTTGTAATGCACCATTCCACGAGTCGATCTAGTTACTCAGAGACGAGTCGGCTCCCTCCCGCCGCCATGTTTTCGATTCCCGCGGATGCTGCAGCAGCAAGAGCAGAGCCTCACCCTTGAAGCTCTGACAATGTTCATAGTTGAGGCTTAAAATGATGTGGCCGGTGGCCGCCATTCAAGTCCCGGCCGGGCTTTTGGATTGCAACCACAGGGAGGGTACGGAGTAAGCCTGCCCATAATATGTACCCGATACCCTCAGCGATGCGGCTCAAAGTATCAAGGCGCTAAACATTGCGAATGGCAACGTTGGCTGTTTGGATGCATTAGGTACCTATACATCCAACTGGACCATCTGGAAGATCACGGCACGGACTAAGTCAGCCGGACCAACACCCCTGGCCACGACCTAAGCCTGTCTAAGAAACCCCGTTTTCCGGTGCATCATGGTGCGGCTCTGCGTAGGCCGCGTTGGGTGAGGGGCCTCACAAATCCCAGAAGCCTACCATTTCCTTCTGGCCCTCCTGCCGCCCTCGCCCTGACTGGGACTAAGGAAACCCCGCTTTCAACGCTATAGTCGCGAATATGTGCCCGGGGTGCTTCTGTCATACAGAACTAGCCCCCGCTTTCCCCCACCTCCCTTCGTTTCTGTGGTTGGGGGCACTGGTGGATTCGAAGCCATCATTAATTCCTGCCACCTCTGGCAGACAATGAAGATCTGTCCTTCGATAGCCCAAACTATTCTCGTCAGAGACTAAATTCCAATATCGTCAACTTGCATTTTCTCGGCTTGGGAGGTCCAGGCCGTCGCCGCCAATTAAGTGTTGGTTTCCAAGCCATTGCCCCGCCCCGCGTCGGCCCAAACGAACAGGGCACGAGTCCAGTGTCCATAGCCTGGCCGGCAAGATGCGGCGTTGTCAGCCTGAACTACGTAACAACAACCAAGACTGTGTGTACGAAATAGATTATCCGTCACGAGAATGCCCACCGGCCTTCCTCGCACGGGCACGGGCACTCGCAGCTGTTCCCAAGTTTCAAGTCATGGAATGAAGCTCTTCACATTCCATTCTCGCTGTCGCCACAACGGCGGTCAGGACTCCCAACTGTGTGACCGGCGCTAAGCAGTCTAAGCCCCCGAGCCTGACGTATCAAAACCAGCTATGGCAAGAGTCCAAAATCTTGCTCCTCGAATCTCAGATCCAAGAAAGAAAAAGCGAAGAGCCATGGAGTGCGGGTGGGCGTCAAACTCTGCCCGCACACGATGGCCACCGCTCATTCTCTTGGATGCGGGGGCCTAGGTACTTGTGGATGCATATGTACATTGCACATGCATTTGACAATCACATGAGGACCCGCCCTACCTCGCCGGGTCGATCAGCGCGAGGCTCCGAGACAGCCAGGGCACGATTTGCTGGCTAGCCTGGTGGCTTCTACCCTTGAAGCTGGCTCGAGGGTTGCTCTCACGACCCACAAGGGGACTGCAGGGGCGCTAGTCGGCCCGCATCCAAGAAAGCCACGGGTTCAAGAATTTCTTCACTCCGCCCGGGCGAGGAGGGGAGGCCCACAGATACGAGCATTATCTGGCGGCGGTGGGATGGGCGTGAAAGAGACTAGACGAATCGAGAGGAACCCGGTCTTGGTCACACTCTGTGAGACAAATTAAGCGGACCTCGAACAGAGACAACCATCTCGTCACAGGTCTTGGACGGGATGTGATCCCTCTCCCCAGAGTATCAAGGCATGAGCAAAGGGTCTTCTTCCTGCGTTCATGTCCAAGTCAGGCTGTGAACGCGGTGCGACTTCACTGAGCCGACGTGATTAGTCTGTTTCAGTACTGTTCTCGCTGAGCTTGTACTCATCGAGCTCTGCTTAACAACATCTCGCTATATACCGATAATCATGTTCTTTGTGGCCTTTGAAAAGAGCCGCGAGTCTCCGTTATCATGGCACTCGAGTCGCAACTCGAGGTACCGGAATTCGGTTGCTTTTATTTACACCTTTCGATCCCGCTTCCCCGCCTTACCTCTTCCCCCTTTTGTTTTCTTCCCCCCATTTTTACCTTTTACCCCTTTTCCTGCCCTTCCCGCTTACTTGGGGAAGACCAAACTTGTTCATACCAAAGCCAAAACATGACCCTCCCTCCCCTAAATCCTTTCAGGTCATAACGGCTGGTTCCAGCTCAGCCGCTTGCTTGATGCTAATAGACGTAGTATAGCACCGGTTTTTATTTCGAGCCCAGAGGCGTGTACTAATTGTCTAGGGTTTTCGAAATTTGCTCTCAAATATTCTCTTCGTAGCTTCTTCGCACCGTGGCCATAGTCCGGCCAATTCACCCCCTTTCACTCCCCGGTAATTTGTACAACTATTAAAAGGTCTACCATAACTACCGCCAGGCTACCTAGCACATTTGTGAAAAATATAGTGTCTTAGGTAGACGAAATCTCACAGCATCAGGAGAATAATAGAGAAAAACCACATGGCTCTCCACGTGATTTGCGCACCTTCCCAATAGGGCAAGCGCTGAAGGAAGATGCTACCGCACCTTACCAAGCGCGGGAGAGTGGAGGGCAGTAGTTGCTAGCTTGCATAGTTGATCAGTGTTGCGAATAGTTAAGGCGCTATATACCTACCTACGTATCCTACTGTGTATACGCAACACGCAGCGTGATCCTTCGGTCTGGTCTTTGTTTAGTGCATTAATAATGAAGTTGGTGCTTGGTGTGCGTCTCTCTCTGCGCGCCCTTCGACCAACTGAACGGTAGATCTTACTTAAGGATTCCTTCCATCCATGGTTACACCCACCCCCTTTTTTTCTCGTCTCCTTTTCTTTTTTTCCCTTTTTGTTGTTTTTTGCAGTCACTTACACACGCGCACTTACACACACACACACACACACACACACACACACACACGCACACACACACACATACCACGCCCCCTCCTTTTTCATTTTATTTTATTTTCGCTCCAAGCACTAGAGCCATCTCACCTATCCCCCTCTCCCTGAAAAAAAAAACCAAACCATGGCTATCCAAAGCAAAACAGCCGCGGCCGCGGTGGTAGCAGCAGCAGCAGCAGCAGTAGACCTGGACGCGCCCTTCACGCGCGATACGCTGCTCGAGGTGCGCGCCGGCAAGATGCGGCCCATGCCGGGGCTGCCCAACGTGCTGTCGGGCATCGACAAGACGGTGTGCGGCAGCAGCCCTGTACACATCTCGCGGCTGGGCATTGACGGCGACGAGCACGACCTGACGTTCCACGGCGGGCCGGAGAAGGCGATTCATGGGTGTAAGTCAAGTCCATTTACCTTGGCCATTCTTGTTTATTTGGTTCATTCCCATGCAATTCCCCTGTCTTTGGCAGAAAAAGAAAAAAAAAGGGGGGGAGAACAGCGAAGGGTTTTTTTTTTTTGGTTTGCTTGGTTTGGGTTTTGAGCGTGCGTGCGCGCATCGTCGCGACAGATTGGCATTACACTACACACACACACACACACACACACACACACACACACACACAAACAAACAAGACAAACCACCAACCAACCAACCGAGAGAAATAAAATATAGACTGCTCCTCGCACTACGCCGCGTGGAGGGCCGAGTTCCCCGCCGCGGCCGACCGGTTCGTGCCGGGCGCGTTCGGCGAGAACTTTGTCACGGCGCAAATGAACGAGAGGAACGTGTGCATTGGGGACGTGATGGCCGTGGGGGGCAGCAGCGATGACAACGCCGTGCTGCTCGAGGTCAGCCTGCCGCGGCAGCCGTGGTAAGGGCCCCCAACTTCTCTTCTAATCGCTACGTACTACTACTACTACTACTTAATGGCACACGTCCTACCCCTATTGTCTTTTTTTGTTTCATTTTCGTCTGACGTACCGTGTGTATGTATGCTTTCTCCCTCTCATGTTTTAATGCTTTGCCGAGGTAACCGCCCTTTGCGAGGCACGAGGAACGTGTAACGGTACCCGAGCGGGGGAGAGAAAAAAGGGGTACAAGGAGAGAGTGAAACTTGCGGCTGACGCGCACACGCGCAAATGGCACAGCTACAAGCTCAACCACCGCTTCCAGCACAAGAACTTTGCGCCCAACACATGGAAGACGAGCAGGACGGGCTGGTACTTCCGCGTGAGGCGCGACGGCACGGTCAAGGCCGGCGACGAGATCAGGCTCGTCGAGCGCAAGCACCCCAAGTGGACCCTCGAGCGCGTGCAGGAGTACCTGCACCGCACGCAGGACGACGCGGCCATGAACGAGGAGCTGGCGGGCATCGAGGCACTGGGCCCTGAAAGCCGCAACGTCTTCAAGGGGCGGATGGAGAAGCAGCAGAAGCAGGCCCTCAGGGACAAGACGCCGGCGCCCAAGCTGCGCGACTTCCGCGTGGTGGAGAAGAAGCGGCAGGCGGCGCGCATCTCCTCGTTTGTGCTCGAGGCCGTGGAGCCCATAGCCGACGAGGAGGACGCGGACCTCGACACGGGCGCCCACGCCAGCATCAAGCTGGGCAACGGGCTGGTGCGCGCGTACTCGGTCGTCGACGGAGACCGCAACAGGTTCCAGCTAGGCGTCGCGCTAGCCAGTGGCCCCGCGAGCCGCGGCGGGTCGCGATACATGCACAACGAGGTCGAGGTGGGCAGCGTGCTGCAGGTATCCGCCATGACGGCGGCGGTGCCCTTTGCGGGCGACGCCAGCCACCGCGTCTTTGTGGCCGCGGGCGTCGGGCTCACGGCCTTCCTGGCGCAGGTCGAGCTGTGCAAGAGCATCAACTACAGCGCCACGCTGCACTACGCGGTGCGGTCGGCCGAGGACGTGCCCTTCCGGGAGCGCCTCGACAAGCTGGGCGACTGGGTCGTGCTCTACGACAAGTCGGCAGGCCAGCGGCTCGACGTGGGCAGCATCATTGCCGACCGCAAGTGGAACTCGAAGCTGTACTTTTGCGGCCCAAAGCTCCTCATGGAGGAGGCCGCTAGGGAGACGCGGGTACGTGGCATCCCCGAGAGCGAAGTGCACTTTGAGGCCTTCTCGGCAGATGTCTCGGGCGACCCGTTCGAGGCCGTGGTAGCGAACAAAGGGGGCAAGGTTCTCCAGGTCGGAGAGGAAGAGACACTGCTCGAGGCTCTGCAAAAGTGCTTCGATGTACCCTCAAGCTGCTCAGTTGGGAATTGCGGAACGTGCAAGATCAGCCTTCAGGGGGGGCGTGTCGACCACCGCGGAACAGCGTTGACGGTAGACGAAAAGGCCACTTCTATGCTGTCGTGCGTTAGCCGCGGCATTGGGCGCATAACTATTGAAATATGAATATGTCGGTCTGGGAGGACTAGGTCTGGGACTCGGGTGCAGGGAAGCAAGGCACTGCGAAGGGTGTCTCGATGAAGTGAGGGCAGAGCCGACGGTTCCTGCCACACGAAACTCCAGCCTTCCCACCACACCTTGCTGCCGGGCACACTTGTACGCCGACTGACCTGTCGTTCCTTGGCTTCTGTTCTATATGAGCTTGGTTTGCACAGCATTGGGTTGCTCGGGTTTCGACACATCCTTAAATATCACAGCCGCTCTTGCCGCGTACTAGAGGGGGAGGCTTGATACTACCGTTCCTGTGAGAGATGAGGATTCCATCGAAATCACCTTGATGGTGCTTTAGGCTGTAGAGGGAATTTTCTCCTGGATGGGGCATTCTCTTGGCTTGCGGATTTCGAGGAAGCAGGAAGCGAAGTTGAAGCATACCGTCGACAGCCACGCAGCCAGTGTACTGTGCCGTATGTACACTGCGGGCCCCCGCTCAAGCGGATGCCATGCACTCGGATAGTCAATAAGCTGTAAGAGACAACGCCAACACAAGTCCGTGACAATGAGGGGGCCAGGAGAGAAGCTATGAGCAAGACTTACCCTATAAGTGCTAAACCGGCATGGGGCTAGCGTGCAGAGTGCAGGACTAAGGCAAGGGTCTCCTTACACTTTCTCGACTATTTTACCCTAGTATAGACGACTTTGGGAGGAGCGGGGATTCAGGGCGGCGGTCTCTGCGCTGCAGTATGCAATGGGGCTCCGGGGAGTGCAGCCGGAAGCCGTCTCAACTCTCAAGAGACGGCGAGGCTGGGAATCGGGTTCAATACTTACTTCACTGCCGCGCACTCACTCACACCTTGGACGGTCTGGGCCCGACTAGCTCGACCGCTTAGGCACCATTCATTGATCGACCCCCAAAGGTTGATATCCTTGGTTTCAAGCTATAGTCCAGAGAGTATTCCTGTCAAGCGAAAGAGCCGCAGCAGTGTAGAGTAAGGTAGGGTAGGAAGAGAGGCTTACTCGAGCGATATCGCACAACCAAGAGTCAGGACTAAGAAGGGAATGCCGTCTAATGCAGGGAATGTCGTTTAACTAGTGCCCCGTACGTACCAATAATCTGCAGGTGCATGGCGTTGACAAGAGTTGATTGGCCATCAGGAGCCGAACCCTCTGAGGTAGCCGATGAAGCTTCTGTCCAAAGACCATTCGTACACAGCACACAGCACAGAGATCGCACCGAAAACTCGAGACCGAGGCCATTGGAACGACGAGAATGCCCAACCTCGTCCCTCACCCCGGAATTGTGACTGTAGCACAAGCCAGCTGCGGTGAGAATGCCGAGGGTGGCATAACGGTCGGTCTGAGTAACGTGAAAATTGAACCACCCACACAGCCGGGTGCGTTGTACCCCAATCCTTCCCTAGTTGTCAAAGCCTCAGATGGAGACACCGAGGCTCGGCCGTAGCACTTCGTTGCCGTCTAATGCTGCGCTTTGTCCCCGAGCACACCCACTCACCAGAAGACAGCTGGTGGCTCAACGAGAGTCGGATTGTCGGTGAAGTGAGGATTTTCAGAGTGTTACACCAAAACAAACAACTTGTGTGAGATGTGACAATGTCTTGTTTTATCGCTTCTCGCGACTCCGAAAACGGACGCGGGTGCCATTTATCTTGTCCGACTTGTCTTGTAGGAGTCCATGTTGTACGAGGAGGAGGAAAGCGAGGGAGGAAGAAAGGTTCTGCCTTGGGATGGACGCCAGCAAGCTCTGGAACCGATTGGCGCTTGCTAGCTAGCCTACAATGGGCTGTGGTGGGAATCAACGGTCAGTGCTTCGAGTAGGCAAGAGTAAATCGGCAAAAACGAGGGGGGAAGGTGATTCGGTGGCGGAAAACAACATCAGTAATTCAAGAAGAAGAGAAACCGAAGACGAGAACAGGATACGCAAAAATTCGAAACAGAGAATAGGCGGACAAGAGGAGCAAATGCAAGACTGAAGGAGGGAATTGAGAACCTGCTATTCTTTACATGGACGCATGAGGCAATGACAGACAGGAGGGATTGAGACCTGAATGGGCAATTGCCAGCGGGACTTGTCTGCGGCACTGTTCCGCAGCCCACTAAACCTGCCGGGGAAACCCCACCATCAGCCTCGCCCAGCTTTTAGCTGGAAGCGACCACTTAACGACCCCACATCTCGTTGGCAGTCTGCAAGGCTGATTAATTCCGTAGGTAATGAGTGGGGCGGCACAAGATTTGGGGAAGTAATTCCTTTTTTTTTTTCCTGCCGTTAAAAATTAAGATTTTGCGACGAACCTTTCATCAACAAACCCGCAAAAAACCGCCCAACATGGTCGTCTACTGTCCTGCCACAATCAGCGACTTCTCCGTTCTCCCAATCTCAATACCGCCGTTACCTTCATTCCCCAAAACCGTTGTGCACCATGTCTATGTGCGGCGGAACTCGCCCAAGGTGCCGACTGCCGACGACTCGAGGAGTCTGTTCCTGACAAACGTGCCCGTCGACAGCACCGAACTTCACCTGCGCGGCCTTTTCACCGCGCTGATCGGCGCTGGCCGGTTCGAGAGTGCCACATTTGACGACGAGCGCAACGCGTTGCACTCTTTAGCGGACGCGACGCCCGCCCAGCTCGCTCGGCAGCTGGTGTTTCATATGAATAACAACGGCGGGGCCAACAAGAAGCGAAAGCGCGAGGAAGACGCCGAGGCGGAGCGGGCCAGGGAAGAGGCTGCATCGCGGCTCCCCGGCACGTGGACGCGGACGCTGCGGCGAAGCGGGTCGGCGGCCGTGGTGCTGCTGGCCGACGAGAAGAGCGTCGAGCAGGTGCTCAAGGCCATCGCCAAGCTGCACAAATCGAAGCGGTACCCGACGTGGGGCGAGGGCGTGGGCGACCGCGTGCCGGCGCTCGGCTCCGCGTGGCTAAAAGCGCACAACCGGCTCTCGTACCCCGACCGCGACGCCGTGCAGGCGGCCATCGACGCCTTCTCGACGCTGTTCGCCCGCAAGGAGCAGGAGGCGGCCGACACCGCCAAGCGGCTGCGCGGTGAGCCCGACGAGGACGGCTTCGTGACGGTGACGCGCGGCGGCCGCAACGCGCCGGCCAGCCGCAACGAGGCCGAGGAGGCCAAGAGGAAGATGCTAGAGAAGGCGGAGAAGAAGAAGGCCGAGCTTACAGACTTTTACCGCTTCCAGCTCAAGGACCGCCAGAAGGACGAGCAGGAAGAGCTGCTGAAGCGCTTCGACCAGGACAGGAAGAAGGTGTGGGCCATGCGCGAGCAGCGCTCCAAGTTCGTTCCCGAGAAATGAGCGCGCAGTGCCACGACGACGCAGTGCCACGACGACGCATTGCACACTGGCGAGCCGCGAGGGTTCCTTCTCGTCTTGGGTTCTGCCCTGCGCAATGCTTTTTGCTGCTGCGCACAGGCATTTGGCTGTGCCGTACCTACCGGCTCACAGGCCGACATGGCCCTTGAAAGAACAAGAAGCGGCGGGTCTATGTTCGCGTCTGTACTGCAGCAGAAGCCACACCCCCTGGAGAGAGATTTCCAGTCGAGATACTGGGGATGGTATCAAGAGTCCGCCGTACCGCAGTTTGGTGAGTCTTTTTTCATGTCCATGTTACGAGCCTTGTTCCATGCCCGCTGCTATACATATCATGATGACGCACGCGGGGCCATCAGAGCAATTGGTCTTGTTGCTTGAGGTCCTCTCACATGGGGGTTCTCTTTGCTTGGGGATGTCTTCCTTTGGGAGGCCCCTCTTTGCTCGGGATACTCTCGCAATGGGGCTTGAGTGCTGACAAACACCGCGCTAAAAATAATCTTCTCACCATGTCTGAAAACTGTATCTGGGTCTTCTGTCTCGAGTGTATCTCCAATACTGTTACAGTGATATTGTGCTGACACAAGATACCTATCAGGATTGGTGGGGCGTCAGCCCCGGTGGTGGTTTTTAAAGAGAGGCTTCAGCTACATATACCGACGGCATGGATTTACAGCCTTCTTTGCAGGTTAGGTGGGGTAGCCTGATCGTAGATGGCCTGAACTTGAGATGACCGAGATAGGGTCCTGACATGACATGCAAGTTGGGGAGCTCCCTCGTGGACGGGACAGCACAGGAGGGCTAGAATAGGTCAACATGCCAACTTTTTATTCAAGTTGCCCGTTGATAGGCAATAATTGATGCTGTCTAGAGCATATTCTGGGTGTTCGTCTGCACAGTATCTGTCGGAGCAAGTGTCCAAGCAAGTGAAGGAGGAGTAGATGGGATCCGAGGGTTAGGGTTGTAGGTAGGTGGGGCCCCTCAGTGCCAGCTGTCACGGATGCTACAGCAACGCCCCGCCAAATAAACAAGGCAGCGGGCCGAGATTGCGCTGCAGTGCGAATTGGGTCAGCAAACCAGGTCACACACGCGGGGGACGGTAGACCAATCTCCAAATAATGATAATAATAATAATAGTCGAACACGATAATTACACCTCTGGGAAAGCGTCGATACTGTACATTGGTGCACATGCGTTGCAACTGACTTTGGCGCAACCGACTTGTCGGCATTTTCGCAAAATATCGCGGTCTTTTGTTTACTTTTAACTACTCTTTTTTATTTTTTCCTAACTTTGGTCTTTAACCTACCCTAACTTTGTCCCCTCCACCTCACCTCACCTGCGTCGCCTCTCTCATCGACACCGACACCGGGAATGCCACCGCCATGATGGAGACGGAAAACCTGCGGACGGCGTCCCTGTACATCAACAACCAGCTGCTCTCGCGCGGCCTCCTCCGCGATGGCCAGACCATCGACTTCACCCACCCTGGCGACAGCCCCGGCGAGGTTGCCACCACCATGAGCCGCGTCATGGCCGTGGTCAACGACCTGATTCTACGACGCGATGTGCGCATTTTCTTTTTTTCTGTCTTCTGTCTGCTCCTCCTCTGACACGGGTGTCTTGTGCTAACCCCTCCTGCGCACTTCCAGCGCGACGCCGAACACCGCGAGGCCCTGGCGACGACGCTGCGAACGGTGCGGGCCGAGTCGCTGCGGCAGGCCAACGACGTGCAGCGGCTGCAGGAGAAGCACGCCGAGGCGCAGCGCAAGGTTGGCATCAGTGAGGCGGCCGAGGCGGCGCTGCAGGCGAGCCTCAAGACGGCCGACGCCGTCATCCACCGCCTCAAGGACGAGGCCGCGCGCATCAAGGCGCTCGCCGCGCAGACCCGCACCGCCTGCGCCAACGAGGTCCGCAAGCGCGACCGCCAGATCGACGGCCTGCGCAAGGCCGTTGTCGATGCTGGCAGGGCCCGCGGAGGCGCAAAGAGCATTGGTGTCACCTCTATTACTGTTGCCGGCGAGATCTTGGGTGCTGCTGCCGACGACCATGCCGAGGGCGGAGGGGGAGACACGACTGCTGGCGACAGCGGCTACGACCTGCGCGCCGAGACCAACGCGTTCCTGGCCGAGCTGGCCAAGGGCCTCAGCGCCGAGAATGAGACGCTGCTGGGCCTAGTGCGCACGACGACGGAGCAGCTGTGGGAGATGAGCGGGTGGGACAGTGACAACACCAACAGCAACACGGACAACGGCCAGGCGCTGGGCAGCTGCGCGGAGCTGGCCGGCGACCTCGAGGCGGTGGTGGCGCACATGCGCACCATCCTGACCAACCCGTCGTTTGTGCCCATTGAGGAGGTGGTGGTGCGCGAGGACGAGATCCACCGCCTGCGCGACGGCTGGGAGAAGATGGAGACGCGCTGGCGCGAGGCCGTCCACCTCATCGACGGCTGGCGCCGCCGCATGCAGGCCAGCGGCCGCCCCGTCAACGTCGAGGATCTCAAGATGGGCCTGCGCCTGAGCCCCGTCCGCGTCCACAACGTCGAAGAGACTGCCCAGGGCCACGGCCACGGCCACGGCCTCGGCCTCCTCGGCCTGCGCCTGCCTGCCGTCGGCGAAGACGTCGAAGACAGCCCCAGCGGCATGCGCCACCGCCACCGGCAGCAGTCGCCGACTCCGGCTGTGCCGCGGCAGCAGCTGGACTTGGTCCCGACACTGGATTTTGCCGACGACCTCGACCTCGACCTTGACCTCGACGACAGCGACTGCGCGTCGAGCATTTTCATCGACGACGACGACGGCGACGACGACGACGACGACGACGACGACGACATTGATGTCGACGAGCTCGACGTCGAGGAGCCCAACGTCGAGATCCTGCAGCAGTCCACCATGCTCGAATCATCACCGCTGCCTGCGCCGCCACAGCTGTCGCCCCTCCGGGACTCGTACACGGCTGGGAACCGCGGCCCGGCAGCCGGCGTCAACCCCCGGAAGCGCGCGCGCGGCGAATTTCCTGCAATCGCCGAGGAGAGGACGTGGGAGGACCTCGCGCGCGACGACGGCGCCCCACTGCCGCCGCCGCACCTCGAGAAGCCCCAGCCCCAGCCCCGGCAATCGCCGCGCAAGAAGAGAGTCCAGCCGCCGCCGCCGCCGCCACCACTGCATCGCCCGGTGCAGCAACAGGAACCCGACGCCGAGCGTGACCTCTCGGCGTCCGAGTCGCCGCTCGACAGCATCCTCCTCGTCAAGCCGCCAGCTAGCAGCGAGCCGGCCAAGACGGGGCAGAGGGTTCGTAATCGCGTGTCCCCCGCGACAGCCCAGCCACGCCGCGACGAGGCGGCAGCAGCAGCAGCAGCGACGACATGGTCCAAGCAGGACCGCGCCCCGTCGGTCAAGAAGCTCCAGCGCTCGCCGGGCACAGCACCAGCAGCGACGCGGAGCAGGCCGCAGTCGCGACAGGACGGCGATAGCGACAACTCTACTACCAAACAGCAGCAGCAGCAGCAGCAGCAGACGGTGCGGACCGTGTCCGGCTCGTCCAATGCCAGCGCCAGCGCCAGCGCCAGCGCGACAAACACAGCCACAGTCACAAACAGCATGCCGCCGCCACCAACACCAAACACTGGCGGCGCCAACAACAACCGCTCCCCGAAGCGTGTCAACTCGCGGCTGCCGCTGCCCCGGCCCGGCCCCGGCCCTGGCAATGTTCTCCCGCCGCCGCAGCAGTCGCCGCTGTCCATGGCCACCATCGCCGCCAAGCTGGCCGCGTCGGAGCGCGAGGCCGATGCAGCCCGCGTTCGTGCAAAGCTCAAGGCTGCAAGGCTTGGGAGGCAGGGACAGGCGCAGGCGCAGGCGCGGACTGTGTCGGCTGCTAGTAGTAACAGTAATGGGAACGGGAGTGAGGTTGCTGGGTCGGGTTCCAGCGGCGGTGGTGGGCGTGGGCGTGGGCGTGGGTGTGGGAGTAGTGTGGAATCTCGGGACGAACCACCGCAGCTGCCGGACCAGGACCGTGATTGTGACCGTGATAGCCATGACGCGGATAATGACCACCACCAGCAGCAACAAGCGGTGCAAGTATACCCAGAACGAGACCAACAACGAGGCCGCGAGAGAGAAGAAGGAAGAGAAAGAGAAAGAGAAAGAGAAAGAGAAAGAGAAAGAGAAAGAGAAAGAGAAAGAGAAGAAGAGGAAGACGAACTCGCCGGCCCCGCCGCCCTAGTCCCAGTCCTCCCACCACCATCACTGCAGCCACGGAAACGCGACCGCGACCGCGACCGCGGCGACATGAAAACGCGGCGAACCAGCCGCGTCGCCTCGCGGAGGCGCAGCACCCTCAACGCCCGCGAGCTCGAGACGTTGATTTCCCAGGGGGCTAGGTAGAATGTGAAAACATGAGGGGCATGAAGAGCATGTAGTTAGTCAGATGTGTGATGGCGATGGCGATGGCGATGGCGATGGCGATGGCGATGGCGATGGCGAGAATAGCGAGGATTGCGCTGCCTTGGCTAGGATGGGATGGCATGGCATGGTTTTAGATGCAACTACAATGCCCTTTGGAGGTGGATATGGTCTGTCTGTCTCCTTGTCTGTTTAGGAGATGGACAGAGATGGGGAGACAGACGAGCACCTCCCCTTTTAACCCTTTCTTCCTTATTTTTCTTTTCTTTTCTTTTGTACACGTCAGGCATGGTTCACTTTCTTCAAGATGCTGTCCAAATTCGTTCTTCGTCCATAATATATATACCAGGAGGACCGGTCAGTCGAGGGAGAGACGACGAGAGGCGGAGAGAGGGAGGGATCTGAGAACCTTAACTGCCATGTAATGACACGGGGACAAGTCTGGGGGTCTTTTTTATTTATTCTTCTTTTCTCCTTTTTTCTGTTCCTGTTCAACGCAATAAACTGCAGTTTTTTTTAATAATAAAAACAGACGTTGAAGATGAAAAACACTGCCACCAAAACATGGCAGAACCCCCGACCGCAGCTACAGTTTTTTAGCCTTGTGATATCGATCACCAGTCACCGCTTCCTTTCTATCCCCGTTCTGGCATACACGTAAGGGGAATAGACCATATATGAAGTACGCCGTAGGCCGCGATGAAGACAATGTTCTGAATCGAATGGACGGCCGTAACAGCATCAAAGGCAAGATACACATAGTCAAGCGTCTTCGGTCTCGAAACCGCGATTGAGAATGGGACGAGTGATAAACATAAACCCGAACTAGTAGACCCAATGTAACTAACTCGTTACCCTGCCTGATCAAAGCATCAACATTACTAGTTGCGATATCATAAGACAACAGCATCGATCCCATCCAGCCACAGTAAAACACTACAGTCCATCCCTTCTGAATTTCAAAGTCGACGAAGTTTTAGAGCCCCCACTCGTTAACTTTTTCTGAAGCCCCCCTTGGCATGACTCGACGGCAACGAGACTGCTCTGGCAGAACATCACCCGCTCGCCGGCACACGTGTGTGCGTGCGTGCTTGCTCTTCAGGGATTCAAGAGACTGGGACGGGCATGGTTTTCTTCAGGTGGTTCGTCCTCGTATCAATCACTCGACGGTGTATACGGAGCACATTATCGACAAGTCCAGCCACCAGTAAAGTCTATTTCCCCGTGGAAAGCCTGAGCTGCGTGCGCGCGCTGTCTACCACACTCACACACAAGAAGACAATGCCACACAGCTACGACCTTACAGCGAGTGCACACCGAGGAGATACTCGGTCAGGCAACCAACAATCAACCAACAATCAGCCAGCAGCCAACCAACCAGTCGAGCAAATAGACAAACTAGAGGCGAGGCAGGTTGCCAAATTGCATTTCCCTACCGCTGGTGCAGCTACCTGCTCTGTTCAATATACCCTCGACGCCGACGCCCCAGCTGAGCCCCCTTTCAGTTAGGACGCAGAGACATGGAAAACGGAACATGCATTATCTAGACTAGCAGCAAAACGGTAGGCGGCTATAGATGTCTACCTGGCACACACATGTGCGTGGCTGGCGCGCGAGGCCCCCTACTTCCCGAGTGACATAGCCGATACACGTTGGCTGACGCGAGGTCTGACGCGCGATCCCTCCTCCCATCCCCTTGCTAGTACCGTTCCGAGTATATAGATCCTATGGGTACTGGAAGCGGCACTGCCGCGGCCCTTGCGAGGCAGTCATATGTTTTCTTCCTTCCCGTAAGGGTTTGGGGGTGGCGCCTTCGACGGGGAAGGGGGCCGCACGGGAATTCCGTCGGGATCAAGGACATTCGTAAGGGGAAATAAACAAGATGGGGAAGGACGAGGGAAGCCCCCTAGGCTTCCCCTCTCACGGTCCGGGCCGCCTATTGCCAACGTGTCGTCACTTCCTTGCTCCTCAACGGGGAAGTCAGCGGGGGTCAGCAAGGGGTTCGGGGGTCAGCGGGGGCGCTGGAGGCAGAAGACGGCCCTTAACAAGAAGGTCCTCAGGATAGGGGCCCCTCTCGCCACTCGCGAACTCGGGCTACGGGAGTGAAGGGCAGGGAAAAAGGGGTAGAGCCGACAAGGGGGTTAGCTGACGCGTCTGCCTCACGGAGTGCCTATGCTGTTTCGTGCCTCTCCTCGCACCTTGGATCGCCATGTAGCAATATGGCAAAACTCAGGAGATTTCAGATAGACTACAGCATGCCCGTCGCTTCTGAGGTAGGAGGACAAAGACCGAACCAAAAGTGACGATGTCGAAACGAAGGCCAAGGAGCCATGACGGGTCAGCCGCAGTTTCGAATCTCTATTGATAGACTAGGCAGTCGCAAAATCCCAGAGTCCATGCCAGCCATGGGGTCCGCATTGTTCTGCGATGAAAGGTTTGGGTCCAAGATGCAAAGCCCTTTTGCGACAGGTCTATTGCCTCGTGATTTTGTCTTAGCACACAGGTCAGGTCGGCTCAAAGGCGGGTAGGCGACTTGGAAGACGAGCCCCTGAGATGCTTAGCGCTAGGCTTTTTTTCTCTTTCTCCTCCACCTCTGAGAATTCTGTCAACAAGACTTGAGTTCCGTGAATCATCCATCTTTTGGCCCCATAGATGCCGTAAAACTGGCCCCGATTGCCCACCGTCCAACGGCGGGACACGGCAACACATGGTCTGTGGGGGCAGGATTTGGGGGCTGATGTGATGGGGGCGGCTTGGGGGGGCGGCAGACGACTGACTGAACCACACCCCAAGAAAATGCGCCTCACTAACCTAGATCCCCCCGAGGGGTTATTCGCGTGCGCCAAGACACGGATCAGCTTGATCCAGCGCAGCGCCATACTGACGCCAAGGTAGTGTAAACATTTGGAGGGTTGGACGAGTTCCGCGAGTTCCGTACTAGGTTGTGAATGGCGCAATCTCGAGTTCCCAACCAAACATCAACCAACATACGAGAAGCAACCAGCGCACTGCGGCTACGAAGGAAGAAGCAGCACCGGCAGCGTCTGTTTCAACGGCTTGATGGTTGTGCGGGTCGCTGTCCCTCCGACAGGGTTCGGAGGCGAGTGATGACAACCGAGTACTCGCTCGGTAGGTATCTGGTCTGGGTCTGGGCTCGATCCAGACTCTCGGAATATTGGCAAGGGGGGCGTAAGATGGGGGGAGGGAGGGGGGAGGGTTCGTGATAGGGTGGGTTGAGAGGGAGCCCAGTTTGGGCCCCGACACGCCACGCGACAATCGTCAACGGCTTCACGCCGGCACGACGGTGGAATCTGGGGCAGACACAGGGGGGGGGAGCAATCGGGAGGGAGTGAATTGCATCCAAGAAAACCAAGGATGGATAGACGTCTTTGGTCAGCACAAGATGACTCCTCCGGGGACAATGCCTAGCCCCAGCCGCGCTGCGCTGCTCTGCTGTTGCAATCGTATTACACGTTATTCCAGATAATCATCGCTGCTGACCGAGTGTCGCCGTCGGTCTGCGAGAACCGGAGAAGTAGGAAACAAAAAATGACGTCTTGCCCGCGGGCAGCCCAGTGCCTCGGGCCTACTTCATGTCGCTGATGCTGCTGCTGCTGCAGATGATGATGCTGATGGTGATGCTGAGGATGACTCGGTCTTGGTGAGACAAACAACCGAGCGAGAGCGGGATATGGAAGGTGGCTCAGAGCACTGCAAAACCACCCAAGGTAACGGAAACAATAACGGAGCTGGGTGGAGTCGAGTGGAATCCTTCCGTTGCGAGTCAAGAAGATAAACGGAATAATAAACGAGGGAATGGACTAGAAGTTCAACTAGTAGTCAAGGCGACATTGCTTGAGGTTGATTACAATGTATGTGGTGATTTGTCAAGTCTCTCCAAATGTGATGGAAGAAACCAAAGGTGCTAAGCTGTAACCTAGCAGCGGGGGAATTCGCTAAACCACCATTCGAATGGTTACCGTCAGGCCTAACCGCACCCACTCACCGAATCCGAAGTCCCCAATATAGCGCGATTTAGCGGTTTACTCACTATAACAAATCGATGTTGGTTCCCGTGTTCTTCCAAGTCCACTGGATGGAAGGTCCAAACCTGATTTTGGGGGCATGGAATCTAATTACTGAGTCAATGGCCTGAGGCGGAATTTGGAATTTGGAATTTGGAATTGCGATCCCGGGGAATTCCAGTGGCCTCGAACACAATCGTATCTCGGGCTCTCGGTCAAGTCGCTCCTTCCAGACTCTTCGAGTCCTACTCGGGCAGTCTCGGGGCAGGAATTACTCGGTGATCCATGGAATCTCCAATTGAAGTCTAGGGCCTAGAAACTCGGAGGGCGGGACTGCTGCCTAAACTCTAACAAACTAGAAGCCACCTTAGGCATCTCCTCCGTAGACGCGGAAGGCGCTACCGCAGCCGCTGGTCTGGCACGATGCCCCATGCACCGTGAAGTCATATTCTCGTGAGAATAACGCGGTCGTGATGCAGTGCAGTGCCTGAGGTGGTTTCTCACTCTACCGGCCACTCCGTTGTCTCGCGGCAGCGCGCGTGTCGATTCGTTGCAGCGACAATTGATGAGGTGAGTGATGGTGAGGATCGGGCGGGTCAGTGTCAGCCATCTTGAGGCGGTGCAGCCCGGGGGGGCCCCTCGAGTGGGCGGGCATGGGTCGGGGTGGGCGGGTCTCGTAAGGGCGGGAGACCAAGCGATTGGCTGGCGTGCGAGACAATGTCTCGCGAGATCCCGCACCGTCGCATCCCGACTGGCACGCTGGTCCGATAGTACAAAAGCACCCCCCTACAGTACCCCCCTCCATCGACAACGGACACCACTTCACGTGCAGTGCAGTACACTACTGCAACTGCGAAGTTCCTCTTCCAACCCACCGAACCCCGTGCTCGCATATCATGAGATGTGTGTAGTCCGCCATGCTTTCTGAGCGGATAGACTTGAGAACTGCAGCACCCCACCGAACTTGGTGGGCTTTATGGGGCATCGCTCGTCGGGCGTACTGCTGGGCGAACTGCGAACTGCTTCGTCAGAGGAAGCAATATAGGACTGCCCTGTATGTCTTGCCCTCCCGAAGCCCTCCGCCCAGGCACTGGATACCTAGGACCTAAGGCCCTGCAGCTTGGATACCTGAGCAGGCAGAGGCAAGCATCCAGCGGGCTTAGGTGCAGTATAATACGGAGTATGCTGTAAGTTTCATGTCCTTGGTCCGCTCGGTGAGTGATGCGGCCGACGCGCGTGAGGTGCCAAGGGAAGTACCATTGTAGTCAGTCAGTCACATGTTCTCGGTCTGATGAATGTCTGCCTTTTGTACCACGTATGCCGTATGAGGTGTCCTTTTTTTTTTTTTTTTTTTTATTGCCCGGGTAGTTTAGGGGTGGGGGGATGGACGGTTCCAATCGAATCGCCAGGCATTATTTTGCCGGCTTGGAATTTGAAGAGCCAAGTTAACGGGCTCCGAAAAACATGGCAATGTTGTCGGCTCGAGGTGCGGACGGGCGACCACTTACCACCTGCCGCGCTTCATCGGTCGGCCTGGAGGCGGGCCTCCGCTATTTGCGCCCCGCCGGAGACCCCCCAAAAATCATACCTACCTTACAGCAAAAGGTGCTCAGGTCGCATCACCCATCACCCAATGAATGTGCGGTACTTTTGTTTGACGCTGTGCTACCTCCCCACCAGATGACTCCCCCTGGGACCTACCTGAGGGATGTGTCTTTACACGTGTAGATTGGAAATTCCGCACTCGCCAATTTCCAATGGCGTGGCATCGCAACCTAATTACAACGAAGCCCGCTCGCAGCATCGTTCAGGTTCCTGGGGAGCGAAGTGTCTCGAGTACTGCATGTACATACATACATTATAGTACCCAAGGTACTTCGTAGGTTCAGCAAAATGCATGGTCCTGAAAATAGAGCCGAATGGCACCCGCCTAGCGACATTTCTTTTGCCCTGATGTGTCTCGAATCCCTCCTCCGAACTTCCATTCCCCCCCAACCCCCAAACCTCTCTAGGCTGGGGCTGAAGAAGTTGCTATTTCTTGTGCGAAGCACTCAGCGAACAAATTCGTGGCGTTACTGGCCCGGATTTGAGGGTCAATCGCCCCTAGTGAAATGTAGCGCCTATACAAGGTATCCGGACAGGGGGGAAACGGAATGGTGCCAAAAATGGAAGCAAATGGGGACGGCGGGGACCTGGGTTTTCCCAAGCGTGTGGTCGAGGGGAGAGTCGGGCAGCCACACTCACTGGCGATGGTGAGGAACTGGTTTCACACATGGAAGCAATGTAACCTTGCGCAAGTGAGTCTTGACGACTTCCAGTCTCAACTGCATATACCGTAAGGTAGGTAGATAGGTAAATCGGATCCTGTGGCTCGTTCAATTTATTATTGGGGGTTTGCTGTACATACCTTAGTTAAAATCCTCCGTGCCTTATTGCTGTTGTGCGTAGCTCCGTACATGTGGAAATTTCCCGCGTTTCTACGACTACCTTACCTTGTTCTTGTTCTAGGCAAGGGCCAGACATTGCATGGAACCAAAGCCATGCAGCACCTTGAGGCTGTCCGAGTGTCAGACGAATACTCTGTAAGTGCAAACATGATTGTTGGATTAGCAACCTCTTGCCAAACTACCTACCTAAGCTTCACATGTCAAATGCAGATGTTACATCGATGGGTTGAATACGCGCGGATATTGCAGAGGCAGGTAGGCAGTAAGGCAGGCATGGAACTATGCTAGAAGCTAGGTTAGCTAGCGCCATCCGTGGACTTGTCTCTGTGTTGATGTGATGCTAAATTCATCCTCGTTGACTTGATTTGGATAGAGCATGCTCACGACGACCACGAAAGCCCCAATTAACCTGGCATCTTATTGCATTAGATTGAGGGCTCGTCCTCCGCTTTGGGATTACAGCTATCCACGCGCAAACAAGCCATTCAACTAGGCCGAGGTCCGTCTCCTCTCGTCTCTCTGGTGCAGGGGTGGTATCGCGATGCTCCCCGTCTGATAGCCACGGGCCTGATCCCTTGGCCACCCTCCACGATCGTTTGGGGACGTGCGGACCGTTGTCGATGCTTGGGACGACTTGCTACTGGCCGAAGACATGGCGTGGCTATCTGCCCGGCCGCCGTAACATACCTAATGAAGCCATCTTAGTGGTCTGTTTGTCTGGTCCGACACGGCCGGGTTGTCAGTCCTCCGGCATAGCCCTACCCGCCCTTGTCGTCGTGGATGTCAGCAGAGGCCGCCGTGGTCTGTGAGGGACAAGAGTGGCTTGCCTTCCCCTTGTAACTTACAACTGCAGCCGACTAGCGCGCCCAATCACATCCCCTACCGACCCACTTTACCCGCTCTTCGATCTCTTGGCAACCGTTTCCATCTCGCCCGTTTTGGCCTTTCCCCGGGCCCCAGGTCCTTGTTTCGCCATTTTCCCAATTGGCCTCCGTTTGATCTCCCCGAAATCTCACATCTCACCCTTCAATTCGTCCCGGCATTGAAGATCGCATCCATGGCTCATCGAAGTCGTCAACATCCCTGTAGGACGCCTGGGCCCACTGATGATGTCGTCCCGTCTGCCCCGGCCGGATCGTAGGACGCCCAGGGCAAAGGGCCTTGGCCGTCCGGAGAGCCCACCGCTCTTCGACCTCCACTCAACTCACCTTCGCATCAACTCGAACCCGTGCTCACTGCTCATGCTCGCATTCAACCTTGTGCTCGTGCTAGTCTTCGTCTCTTGCTGCGTCTACCCTTGCTGAAGCGCCCCGCCTGCACTGGAAGGAACTGTCTTGACCGAGCCAGCCACGTCTGCCAAATTAAAGCTGAGGCGCCAATACGGGATTCGCTCTCGTGTGCCTGGCCGGTGAGGATACCGCGCCACAATACGGTTGAATCCGGGGCTCCAGCGTCGGGAATAGCGCAGCAGCAGCATCACCGTACAATAAGCTGCTGATGGCTTGCGCGGAAAAGCTTACCAGACCGAAATTGGAAGGCGTAGATGCTGCTGCTTGAGGTACGAAGTACCTGGGCAGGTACGGTAGCCACAACAGGGCAGTTCCATCTGAGCACTTGTCCTCGCTTTTTGGCCGAAGGGCGCCGAAGGGAAGGGCCGCTCCTTCCCCCAGCGTGGAGACACGGGCTTCGGGAATCACCCGTGTCACGTAACCAGGTACCTACCTTACCTCAATGTCAAGCAAATTGGCTGCTGCACGGCGTCGGAATGTGTTGCTAGTCTTGTCGACGCCTGTTGTGAAACGAGCTGGAAGCCAACGGGCTCGCCCTGCCTGTCCCTTTCTGGCGGGTGCAGACTGCCATCTTGGGTACATACCAGGACCTGCCAACCAAACCGGGCGCAGAGCCATTGCGGTCCGTCGGAGATACGTCGAATAGGCTCTACGTTGTTACCTTAACTGCTTGCCTGCCTACCCAGGGACCTGAATTTCATTGTCGCTGCCGTCACGAGTACTCGTCAAAAAAGACCAAAATCGGAAGTACCTAGGGAAACAAAATAGTCCGTGTTTCAACCACTCCTCAGCGCGGCGTTGCTGTTGCAACTGTCGCTTTCTTTAGAAACTCGTAACTCGGCGGCGCGCCTCTCGTCAAGTAGCAAGGCATCCATGGACATACTTGGAGTGACGCAGATTTCGCGTACGCCGCTTCAGTCTCTCGTCCGGATCCTCCTCTATCCTCGCGGCGAGTCCTGGTGAGATCTGAACTGGGAATGGCCCGGACGGTCTGCAGCAAGCTGACTCGGGGCCAAGCCCAGACAGTTGCTGGGCTTCGTTGAGCGAGAGGTCGCAGCAGAGCAAAACAAACACACGTCGAAATAAGACGGTGACCCAAGGATCTCTGTACACGGGTGAGATCGACGGTTCGACACGCTGGCTTCCATGCATCCCGCCTCCGTCCACAGCCCTACGAGGACGTTGCAGAGTGCAGGCCCGCCCGCAGGTAGGTCTCGCTCGAGGGCACGGTACATTACAGTCCTAATGGTACGACACAGTACAGGTCGTGTGGTGCGAGTTCCACAACGGCCGGAAGTCGCATTTGGAGGTGCTTCAGGTTGTGGAATGCCAATTTGACGTCAGCTTCTGGTCCTGAGGCAGGTGTGCCCTTGCCAGACCGGGAATCTTGCAGCTCGAGATGGAGGGGTGGAGTCGTGGTTCGCTGCGTGGGAGGGTTTGGAGAGAAGGTACGGAGGGCATAACATTCAGAACGGGCTCCAACGGTAACGGCAAGTGTTAGTCACGCCGCCGTCCAGCGCATCGAGTCCGGCCCTCCGTTTTTAATCGAGGGTGTATGGAATTGGGGGACTACTGGACCTAGCAAAAACGGACGATGTGGACATTTCCAATGACATTTGGGTCCCGTCGTCAGCCCGTTGGGGGGAGGTGCGCATTCCACCAGCACCCGCCGCCCGCGGCTGCCCGGTCTACTGGAGCACTACCTACCTACCCGACATTTGGACGGTGCGTGCTGCCGCTTGCTCGCAGGCAGGCCCGGGCTACAGCAGTAGCACCTCACCCTCTGGACCGCCCGCCCCCAGCGCCGTTTTTGGGTCCTTTGGGCGGGGGCGTTTGGCGCACGCAGCCCAGCCCTGAGCACTTCCTAGACAGGTCCCCCCCTCCACCACCCTTGTCCACTAGACCGTTTAGCCCGCTGGCCGACGCCGACTTTTTCGCAGGTGCGGCGAACGAAGCTGCACGCTGTACACTTAGGTCTCCCTTGGAGCCGTCGGTTCCTGCTTTTCGAGTCACGCCCAGTCGAGTGGACGGGCGGGCTGCGCCTTTGGCATCCGCAGAAACACCAAACCATGCCAAACAAAGCAGTACCGGTTGCAGGGCCCCTCCTTCCCAGCCTGCGCCTTCTCGCAGACTGCATTGTGCGCATTAGCTTGCATGTACACCAAGATGAGCCTTAGTCACTCTGGACCTGCGGTGCAGTGGTGGTCACTCAGTCGCGGTGAGAAGGCCGAAAGGGCCCCTGGCGTCACTGCTGCCTCCACGCCGCAAGGGCTGTCAACCACTCCTGTCCCGATGACGACGGGGAACCACGGTTGCCAGGCTGCAAGGCCTATAAGGCTGCCATGATGCCCTCTCGTTTCGGAGGCATGGATGAGTCGATATCCAGTTCACTGCATGACCGGTGTAGTGCCTAATTACTTTACTCATTCTCTCTTGGTCTCCATCTCCATCTCTCTATCTCTCGCTCGCAGTCTAGCTTGCTTCGGTCTCGTTAGTCGCTTCTTTTTTATTCCTTCCTTAGGTTGGCCTTGCTTGCCTGGGCTTGTCCTTTTCGGCCGGTGGCCTCGAAACCCTTATTGCTCTCATATATTTCCTTGTTTGGCACGTCTGTTCGAGCTCTTGACTTCTCCGTTTGTGCTCTTCACAAGCCTGTCTGCATAAGAACATCACATCACCCCGGACACCCAGTCGACCATCGTTTCGTTGTTGGATATTGTTCACCTCGCCATCCCTCAAGGCCCCCCCGCCCTTGTCTATCACACCGCACCACCCACTTGGCTCTTGGTCACCCTAGGACTAGACTGCCGCCGCCGCACATCACCTGACGACATCGACAGCAACAACAGCAGTCACAACTACCTCTTCCAAGGCGGTCCTCGACCCTTGCCTTGCCCACCAACTACCCTAGTCGTCAACCCAACACAACAGTCACCATGTGCTTTCAGCTGGTCGAGCTTTACTCGGCATGCAGGTGTCTTTACTACCAACACGCTGTTGATCGGTGTGCTGCGTACGGGCAAAGTGGCCATGGCATCCAGAGGCGGACGTTATTAGTCGGATATGCATGCTCCGATCACTCATCGTCCCGCTCCGGCGGGTACGACTACGCCCATGCACAATACTCCGACTCGGGCTACCACTCGAGCCGGTCCCACAAGAGCTCCTCGCGCGGCCATTACCGGTGAAACATATTGTCTTCGAAGATGGGCTGCTGTGCTTGGCATTCACCGCCAGTCGAACGCTTTGACTTTACGGACTGGGTCGCCTATCTCTACTCGTTCCGAGTGAGATCCTCATCTCTCGCCCAGCCCCCGTCCCAGCTTTCCTACCTTTTCGTGGGCCACGATCGTCTGCTGTCCTCGTCGGCGCCTCCCGACATCCGTTGACTAGGGGGCACCGAACCCGACAAACCGACGACCTTGGCCCTGCTGTATTTGTACCCGACGAATGCCAACCTGCCAACCGGATCAGCGGAGCTATCATCGAAGACGACGAGCTGCACTCGGAGGATAACAAGAAGAGCCGACAACCGCGCAGCTAGCTACCTGGCGCGACCGAGTCCACTTACTACACCTAGGCTGGCGACTTTTTTCTTTACGCGGGTCCGACGAGGTACCCTCTCGCCCCGCACATGAAGTCCCAGCATACCCTCGAACTTGACATTGGATGATTGCGCCGACACTTTTCTTCTCTTGACGGTTCGATCTTTAGCGATTGGCTTTTTTCCCTTTCATTTTTCTTATTACTACTCTTTTTTCTCTTTTATTTAAAACAGAAAACCTCACGGAAGCATGGCGTCGGCTTGGGAACTGCATTGGGAACGGGGCATAGCGCGTATTGTACAACATTTCGTTCGACATATACCATCCGCCACAGGTCTGGATTTTGGTGGGGGACTCCCCCTTTGTCTCTACTTACTTTGCTTCCTGGCTTTTTTTTCCCTACGTTTCTGGGATATCATTTGGGCACGGACGGGAGATGAGACAAATCTTGCATACAGGGCACGATACCAGGCGTTTTTCTTTTTGGGTGCGGAACACCGGGCGACCGGGAGTACCATTACCTTCGGCGGGCAGCCTTGCAGGCGCTCTGGATTTTTGTCAAGTTTATTTTCTTTTTATTTTCTTTTTCTGCCAAGTTTATTCTCATCCACCTTTTTCACTATCCCAACTCATCAAATCTGTCTTGGCTTTCTACTGCCGTTTGAACCTTCAATCTGTGTCCGCTCGTCTTTTTATTGCGAATCATCTCCCCCTTCACATAAATCCCTGCGCTGGCAGCAGCATGTCACGTCACTCAGCCTAAGGCAACACCGAGACTAGGATGGAATTGAAGAGGAGCAGTGGGCCGGGCCATTCTACAATAAGGCAGGGCGTTGGCACTATGAGATGAGGCCGAGTTAAATTGTTTCGAGGCTCATCTCGATCCTAGCCAGGCTGGTTGTCCACCATGTTGGGCGGGAACACCGCTGGTGGCTACTGGGGATGGATCTTGATGGAAGCCTATTGAGTATTGGCGAGTTTGGGAATCCATAGCATAACTCACACACCATAGAGAAGGAATGAAAAAAAAAATCAGAAGACAAGGAATACCAAAATACGACCAAATCTCGAAAGATGAATCCCGATTTGGCCTTTGCTGATGTGACATTTCCTTGCCGAGTGCACCAACATTGGATGTCTCACTGACACGACCACAACAAGACTAGCGAGACAGGGGTTGGGTGCACGGCCTAGACTAGACTTTCGGCGCTGTCGTCGTGGTCTAACGTGTGCGGGTATTAAGCGCGATAACTGCGCGTCTTGCGGGAAACAGAGAGTGGGGCCCTGGTAAGTTGCAACAGTTGCAATGCCATCCATGGATGTATCCCGCCGGCTGCCAGGGGGGGATTTCCCGGTGTCAATGCCGACCAGCGTGGTCAGCTCGACATGGGACAATATTACACTTACTGCGTGGGTTGGGAGGGAAAAACGTCGATTGACTGACAAGGGGTGCCCAAAGCCTTGTTGAGCCGTTGCCAACTGTTGTGTACAGCCTTGCAGGTCAGCATCATAAACCACAAACCAGCCGCGAATCAGAACAACCCCAGGTTCCTGGTCTCGGGTCGATAAAAATAGAAGGGGTGGGTGGGTGGGCGGGGGGGAAGATCTCGGCATGCTCGGGGCCAGGGTCAAGGAGCCTTTCAGAGGGCCGGTCAAGCTACTCCAGCGCGTTGATAGGCTGCTCGCCCGCAGTCTTTTGACTTTCTTTCTTGAGAGCTGGGGTCAGAAATACCGACTTTTTTTTTTTTTCCCTCGCCAAGCAACCGACTTAACACGCGCGTACTGCCTACACTTTACGTACGCTCACTTTTTAAACAACACGTAATCCGGACAATTGCACGCGATGCAGAAGCAGATGTAGTTAGTAGATGGACAAAAGTAGAAATGCCCTTCCAAGAACGGCCTGCCATGTGCTCTTGCACACGTCCCGATTGGGGACCCCGGCCGCCCGTCCCCACCCCCCCTCCCCACACCCTCTTTCCCGGAGTTTCCTCCTGGGCCTGGGATGGCGTCAGCCGTCCAGCCGCCCTGACGCGATTGCCGCGCAACCCCGTCCAAGGGTTCTTCTGCCGAGGTGAGATAGGTAAAAGGGCTATGCATAATTCCGTCCCGGTTAAGTTGTTAGATACCCTAGCCTAGGCCATTCGTTTTGGGTGCTGTCATGTCATCTGCGAGCCCGGCTGGTTGGGCGCAGCCCGGCTTGCGGCTTGCGCAGGTCCCGACCAGATGTCGTCAGGCGTCAGGCGGCAGGCATGACTGAGGTGACTGACTTACCTTACCTTACCTTACTTCCGTCTAATTGGTATGACCTACAGGCAGGCAGGCAGGCAGGCAGGCAGGCAGGACCCAGGACAAGCCGTCGGGACCTGCGGACCACGGCAATCGCACCCACACCCACACCACCCTGTCCACCCTGTCCCTAGTCCCCTGGCATCCGCAGCTTTCCATGAACATGGACAGCATGTGTTGTACAGAGCGCACACTTCCGTTGCACCTTCCGCTTCCTAACGTGACCCGCTGCGGCCAGCGGCGCGGACAGTCGATGAGATCCCTTCCGCGGTCTACACAGTGCCCGATCAAGCAGCGTTAGGTACCTTTGGGAGGTACGTAGCGTATTAAACACGAACCTTCCACTGCCCCCCCAAGGATTATCTACCCCATGTTTTCCGGAACGGGTTCCTCCTCCCTTAGGTTCTTCCCCATCGAAGCGTTGCGGTAGGGCAGATTTCCCACGTTACCCAAGGTTGGGTACTAGTCAAGGGAGATGCCGAACATTCCCGCCCGCAGTTCCCTTCCCGGTGAGGGGCCACCTCAGACAGGCCTGGGGGAATCGCCTGCCGTTGCGCTGCGCGCGCGCGCCGCTGTGTGGGTGTGTGCGCGTGTGCAACGGCCTGGGAGCCTTCAACCCACTCACACACCGAAGTACGTAGGTTGCTCGTGGCACACACGACGTCGTAGCTCCATGTACGGAGGACACGTACCTTTCTTCTCTTTGCATGTATGTACGTCAGAGCTGCAAGGTCCCATTCCCCACCTGCACACCACCACACACCACTACACACGCACTCGCATACACAGTACATACACACACACGCGCCACTACACACGAAGACACACACACATACGCACACACACACTGGGACAAACAAACCACTCACATGAGCGGGTTCCGACTTTCTCGCTCTCTCTCGACTTGGACGAGCCCCGCTCCCCTCTTCCCCTTCCCCCCCTTTCAGAAACCATCCCATCTTCTTTCTATCTTTCCTCTTTCCCCCTTCCTTAGGGAGACAGCGAAAAACGGCGGCGGGAGGCTGCTGCATGATGCGTGCGCATCTGCCATGCCATGCCATCGGGAAAAAAGCTACCTACCTTACGTCTCGTCATGCAATGCGAGATGAGATGAGATGAGATGTGCGACGTGCATGCTGCTGCCGTTTGCTGCTGCTGGTTGCAAACATTTGAAAGAAGAAAAAGAAGAGAATACACTCTGCGTATCTGTGTGTATGCGCGCCGATCGCTTTCATATCTCTCCGTTCCGTCCCGTCCCGTCCCGTCGTGTCTCGTCTCATCTTCGGCTCCAACGGAAGGACATTCGAAACGGATGGAATGTTGATTAAGTTTGTCGTTACTGCATATGTACCCATGTTATGATTTGCTTGGTTGAAAATTGCCATTATTGCTCGTTGGTGGTTGACTGAATGTAACGCGTCGTCGTACGACTTACCTGTTCGTTGGATATTAGATGTGATGAGAATGGCGTTGGTGGTGGTGACGGGCGAATTAAGAACCCCGGTGCCCGTCCCCCACCCCTCTCCCGCCCGAAACACCCGCCAGCCGCCGCGGCCGCAGTGCAGTCGGCTAGGCTGTCAGTAAATATGGAAACTCCGTAACCTCGACCTATGGAGAATGCCCCGGCGAATTGTATCCATAGTAGCCCGCGCGATTCTTATACCTCGTCCGAACGAAAAACAACTAACGAACAAAGTAGAGCCATAATAATAATAAAATTGATTTGAGAGAAACGGCCCTTTTATTTGCTTTTTGACTTTACAGCGCGGCTGCGGCAACGAACCCGAAAACGGGAAAAGGAATCCTGGAAGAAGAAGAAACGAAAAGCCCCAATCTCTCCTCTCCCAATTGCCGCGAAGCATGGATCATACCCGATCGACCTTATGCTTGAATGTGCCGCCCACCGGCGTCGTCGCTCTCTCGCTTTAACTTCCTCCTTTTCTTTTCTAGGCAGCTCTCTCTCCTCCGTCACTCGGCCGAGTGTACGGAGTAGCCTGTAGCTTGTCTTGTTTTGTGTTTTCTTTTTCTTTTCCTGTCTGCCTGCTTGCGCATATCGCATCGCATCTCTAAAATATGTCAAGTAACCGAAGGTATAGATACGCATTAAATTTTTATTTTTCATTCGGGTTTAATATAGTTCGTTTTGATTTCTCGAGACGGAGAGTAAGTGTTGAAATCCGATTATTAGTCTTGTCAGGCAGAGCCGCGTGCCCTGTCCGTACTAGGTGATAGGGAGTTCAACGAAGACTGTCTTGCCCAAGGCACAAACGGTAAATGTCCAACTTCAAACGGAATTGCCACCATATCGGGTTTGAGAAAATAATAACCCCTTTTCTCAGACAATCAACTTGCAAGTGACGATAATAAACGGAACGGAGATGCGGGCCTAAGAAAAAAAAACAAGCATTGCCAAACACACACACTCTCTCACAAGAACCGTTCGTCTTCGGGTAAGGTAAACGAAATGACAAGGGTAACTTAAAAAGCGCCGGCAGCCGTGCCGCGGGCCCAGCAGCTTAGGTAGCATTAGGGGTTTCCGGCGGAAAGGGACCGCTTAAGACGGAGAGCGCCGCGGCGGCACAAACAAACAACAAGGAAAGAAAAGCCTTCTTTCACGGTGCCGCGCCGCCCAATTGCCGAACGCCAAGGGATGGAACTCGACACCGACGGACCACACCACACAAGAGCAACAGCCAGCCCTAGGAAGCGAGCTGTAAAAAACCGCCTCACCCTTACACGCCGTTTGAAACAGCTCACACATACATGCACACACACACACACCAGTACCTTGCATCTTGGGGGCCATCTTTGCCTTGTTTCAAGTTGTTCAGCCGCCTTTTCGTCTCTTTTTGGGTAAAATTTTCCCCTTACTTCTTTTTATTCTTCTTCTTCCATGCAGTGGAACAGAAAACAATGCAGCACGCACCTCGTTTCTCTTGCAGCAAGCAAGCAGCGTTCCATGCGGTGCGACGCTGAGAACCAACGTCTGAGTTTTTTTTTGCTCTTCTTTTCTTCTTTTCTTCTTTTCTTCTTTTCTTCTTTTCTTCTTTTCTTCTTTTCTTCTTTTCTTTTTCCTCTTACGGCCAAACAACCTACCTACCTAGGTGCGTGACACCGTCGTTCCGTGGAAGATCCCCAACGACAGCGTGCGCCAGGCTGCTGACTTTTTTGGAAGGAGAACGAGGAAAACGGTCCGTTGATTTTTGTCCCACCTCATCCATGTCACTGGGCTGGGCCTGGGCTGAGCTGTAGGAATGAGGCGGAGGAAGCTGATCAACCTCCCCCTACCTACTACTTGCCTTACTTGCCTAACTGGTGGTCGCGGACATGGCCGCGTGGTTTTAGGGTTGATTGTTTCCCGAAAGCGTCGGAAAGATGTGAGGTACGGTACTTGCTGCTAGACGGTACTTGCTGCCAGACGGTACTTGCGCCAGACGGTACTTGCTGCCAGGTGATGTTATGTTCATACGTACGGGGCTGGCATCGACTGCGGTTTTGGCGAATGCGAGGTCCGACGCCGTAGTGAAGCGTGCGTAGTCAACATGCACTAGTGTAGGCAGGGACAATGGGCCCTTTCAATCATGCAGAGCAAGATATCTAGTGCCGCCGTGGATTTTGAGAAACGTTGCACGAAAAGGGCTGTTAATCAACTCAGTCGGTGTGGCGGAGGGAGGTTCTGTAAGTGAGGAAGGTGCCCTGGTTAGGTAAAGACTCGGAAGGGGTTCCAGGGCACATGACATCCTGTAATGATGGCACCCAATTGTCGCGTCTTGCCCCGCCCACTTTCGACGCCTCCCACCCCTCGACGCGTCTCCCGACCTGACCACGACACGACGCGTCCAAGACATTTTTTATTGTCTTTGGTGAGGCCGAAAGTAATCGATATTGCATGATTGATTGATTGATTGACCTGCACGTGCAAGACACTTAATCACCACTTCAGTGATCAATCGTGGCCTCTTTTCCTTCTCCTTGGCCCCCTAAAATCCAATATTTTCCTGTTCCGCTTTTGACTTCCCGCTCCAGCGACATTTGGTAGAGGGACAGTACCTGACCTCTGATATATTTCCGTCTTCGCAAGTGAAGTGACCGACAGCCGCTGCTATTGCTGGGCCGCGATGGAATCAAGGCTCAGCGCGGTGGGCGTGCAAATGGCAAAGGGCGAGTACTCGGCCGCCCTAACCCCGTTGCTGCAGGCAAGTTTCCGTATCCCCTTTTGGGTACCAAATGGCCAAAACACACAACACACGCTGACCAGCGCAACGCCGGCGGCAGGCCATCAGTGCATGCCAATGCGCCCCGACCACCCACGGCAAGGACAAGTCTTGCAACATGCTGCAGTGTATTGAAGCCGCCAACGACCCTGACCGTCCCGATGCACTCGTCATCGTGGCCAAGAGTCCCTGCTCTTGCGGCTTCTCCTGGCCTTCCTGCACCGACCCCCTTCACATCAAAGCCGTCGATCTGTTGGCCGAGTGTCTGGGGCGGGCCGAGCACTATGCCGCCGCATTCTCCACCGGCCTGGGCCTTATCCGTCTGGATCCTGCCTCGCCTACCGTAAGTGTCTTAATTTTATCTACCTCGTGGCAGCCGACTGACTAGGCCACACAGGGCTACTGTCGAGTCATCAAGATTCTCCGTCACCTCTTAAGAAACTACCGTGGCTCCAATCCCAACGTGGCTCGTTCTCTTGCCGTCGTCCTTCGAGACGGCAAACTGTCGTCGGTGAACCAGCTGCGCGAGTTGATCCGCTCCTTTGTCAAGGCTGGCATCTACAATATGAACAAGTACCGCTATAGCCCCGACGATAAATATCATGTAAGCTCCTGTCGTGTGGCACACAACTGTCTGCCATCTTGAGCTGACCGTCGTCTCAGTTCATTATCCGAGCAATGGCCCACAAGCTGGACATGCCCGAGGCTCGGCAGGATCCCGTGAGCAAACTTCCACGCGAGATTCTCGGCATGGTGCTCTCATACCTAGATTCCACCGCCGTCCTGTCAGTGAGCCCCCTTTCCCTATCTATGCTGGGAGACATGAACTGAGCCTGATGTGCGCCCTGCCCTAGCCGCTGTGTCCGTGTCAGCAAGCAGTGGAACGAAGTATTCGTGTCAGACAAGACGCTATGGCGTGAGTTTAGACTCGGGAAACCACGAAGTCCAGGGCGCTTCCTCGGCAACTTTCTGAAAAATCACGGCCAAATCAGGACCCTTGTGATCAATGACGCTGCCAAGTTTGCTCCGACATCGCTCAAGATGAGCATGCTCTGTCGAGGGCTGCCCGACCTAGAACGCTTATCCCTCGGCTGTGACGTGCTGCCCGCCGAGTCGATAAAGTTGGACTGTGTTGCGGGAAAGCATTTGACCAAACTAACTCACCTCACCTTGAAGGGGGGGGCACTCGTCGTGGCTGTATTCGGAGCATTTGCTCAGCTTGCAAGTCGGACTCTTGAGGCGCTACACCTTTTCGAGTTTGAAACCCACATTGATAGCATATTTGCCAGCAACCCGATGCCCAGGCTGAAGAGACTACGGCTCAGTCATCAGGTTAACCTGACAAAGAGCTACCTCAACGAGGCAACCCTCAGACTAGTTCGTGACTTGGCAGCCTAGAGGGTGGAATAGTAATGTGGTGCTAACTTCTCCAGGAATGGGTTACGAAAGCCACACCCAATCTTGAAGCCTTCTTCATTGACCACTCGCTCTTCTCGGGGTGCCAATCAACTTCAAGCTTTGACGGCGCCCAGGGCTGGCCTTGCCTCCGGTCTCTTGTCATCGGCTCCGGCACCATCTTGATTCAACAACAACGCATCCAGCTACGCTGCCTTCCGCCGTTCCCCAAAAACTTGCGGTCCTTGGAGATTCTCTCGACAGATGTTCCTCTCACTCAAAACATGCTCTTCACCGCCCACTCGGCAAATGGCCTCATGTACAAGCGCCCGGGCTTGTCTGAAGAAAGCTTTCCGTCCGAATTACTGGGCTTACCAGAGCTGCAAGTCTTTCGATGCAGGGTCGCAATCACCCCGGAACTTCTTGAGCATGTTATAGGACCAGCGGCGAAAAGCGGCATCCTCGAGATTCTCGAGCTGACTGCGTCGTCGAGCGGGAACAGCTCGACTCCCGTCTTTGGCGGCGGCTTTCCGAGTCTAGGCATCGACAAGCCGGCCGTCGAGCTCGCGTTTACCTACTCGGACAAGATCCGCTGGCTGGGGCTCAGTAACTTCAACTGGTCTGTCTACTACTCGGGCTTCGACGGCCAGCCCTTCCTCGACTGGCTGGCCGGCTTCCCCAACGTCGACACCGTCGCCGTCTACCCCGGCAACTACGGAAACACGGCGCCCTTCATCCTGAAACTCATCAGCGCCGGCGGCGCGCTGAAGACGGTCTACCAGGAATGCTGCAGGGGCACCGACTTTGACGAGGCCCAGAAGCTGGCCGCTGAGCGCGGCGTCACGCTGTACCACGTCGCCGGATACGTGCCTCCCGAGTGGCCTACTGTCTAGTGTCGATCTGTGTTATATCAATGTGCATAATGAGGATATGGCTAGACGGTTGGTATGTATCTCTTGGGTCTTTACTTGGTCTGGAGGAATGCAGAGGAACTAGCGTCATAATGCAGCTCAAGAATACGCTAGTTTAGATGGACGATATTGTGCCAATGGAAGTTGATAATTCTGAAGATGATAAAAACGAAATCAGGAAGGGGATATTCTCTAAATGTCTAATAGCAACACTAAAATGCCCCCTCCTCCACGCCGCCTTCCATATTATTTTATATTCAAGGTACGTATAGAATATATTTAGCATTCATACAGGCAGAAAAAAGGGACCGGAAAGAAAGAAGACCACTCTGATTGGAGGTCAGCCGCCGGGAACCAAACGTGTGTGTAAGAGAGAAAGAGAAAGGAGGAAGGGAGAAAGGTATCTAAAAAAGAAAGAAAAAATACCACCACCCTGTACAAGAATCGCGGTAGTAGTAATGAAGATGATAATACGGTGTTGGGAGGAGGTTGGGGGTTCCTTGGTTCGTTATTCGAACTATGTATACATATACAAATACACAAATACACAATCAACTCTGCCATCGTTTGATCAAGCCTTACAAGCCTTACAAGCACTCAAAGACGTTCGATACAACACAACTTGGTGCCCGCATCGACACTCCTTATTTTCTCTACATCCATCCACCAATCAACCCATACAGACACGGAAAGCAAGAATACACATGACCACAACTAAACAGTACAGTTGCAAGGTAGGTAGGTAATCGCGGTGTGCACGAGACAAAGAGACAAAGAGAAGTGATGTGAGAATGAGAGAGCGAGGGATAGTGAGAGTGAATATAAAGGTGAGAATGCCAAAAGACCAGGGAACAATCGGGGGACGAAAGACCAATGGACAAAACAGGACAGCAACACGCGACGCCATGCAATGCAATGCAATACCATGCAAAAAAAGATTGTGTGGTATCGTGCATCCATCAATCAGCCCACCCCCTATCCATCGTCACGTCAATCTCATAAATCACCGACTGGCCGACTGACCGACCGACAAAACCACGCACATATACACCAAGGCTGGCTCGCCGACATGACTTTCTTTCCCCTCCCACCCCCTTTATACCGTCTCCTCCGGCTCTTTTCTCCTCCATCTCTATGCCACCCCCCACCCTTCATATCTCCCTCCTACGGGGGACAAGACCTTCAAAAAAAGAAGACACCATTTCTTCATCACTGCTCTTCTCTCTAGGGGCTCATCTGCCACTTTTGCTCAAAAATGTTGGTCGTTAGGGTTTTCGGTGAGATATGGCTAGCGCTGAGCAAAAGACAGACCAAAAAGAAGAAGAAAAGAGAAAACAAAAACAAGAAAAACAGAAAACTAGGTCGACTTCATTCGTAACATATCGGTCCATTCCCCCTATCCTGATCGGACCTATTAATCATCCCCAGTCGTCCCGGTACCGGCTTGCGCGGAGGGACCATACGCGTCCCTATCCCAACAGCACCAGCTCTCGGTTGAATCCTGCCTTCGTCCAAAACCTTCCAGCCACCACTAGCCTGGCCCGGGTACCGCACGCGGGGAACCGGGGCTGGAGATCTCAGCGCTGTTGTTGGCGTCGCTAACACATTTCCTGGCGCCGGGTGCCCCTCCTAGGCCCGTCTGCTCATGGCAGCCGTAGCACCGGCAGCGGCTAGGTCCTGCTTCGCGCTCACACTACGGACGGCTGCTCTGGGAAGGCTGCTGCCGCCAAGGGAGCCAGCAGCGGGGGTGAAGCTGGCGGTCGTGCCCGTGCTCGTTCGTTTTGCGCCGACCGTGTTGCCCGATATGCTAGACGTAGTGCTCACGCCCGACGTCCTTCGTGAGGCGGGGAGGACTGGCGGCTTCATGGGGCTGATGTTGGCGACTCCCGACGCATCGCGCGGCCGCAGGGAGGTGTTGGCTTTCGCGGCTGCCGGGGGCTCTGGTAATGGCCGGGGCGCCACGCTAATGCTATTAGATCGCTTGCTGGGGGACGAGTCGCGGACCGAGGCTCGGGGTACGGGAACCGAAGTCTTCTGGCCTGTGATGAATTCGTGCCGGATGGCCTCATCAGGTTTCATGCGGCGGTCGGGGTCCCAGCGCAGACAGCGAGAAAGGAAGTCGAGGAAAGCCTCGTCGTCGCACTTGAGGACCTGCTGGAGAGTCTTCGACGACGGCCGTCGGCGTCGGCCCTTGGACGAGACTGTGAGGCGGGGCTTCCCCATGCTGTCGAAGAACAGCTTCTTACGCGTCGATTTTTCGATGAGATGCTTCTCTGGCGGCCCGAAAACCTCCATGATGCAGGCCAATTGCTCCTGCTCATTCTCGCCGGGGAAGATGGGCACGCCAGTGTAGAGTTCGGCGAGGATGCAGCCAAGCGACCACATGTCGATCGGCATTCCATACGTCATGCCGAGGATGACTTCAGGAGAGCGGTAGAACCGAGACTGTATATAAGTGTAGACCTTCTCGTTTTCAAAACAACTCGACCCAAAGTCGATAACCTTGATTTCAGAATGCAGCGGATGCCGTAAAAGAATATTCTCTGGCTTCAGGTCACAGTGGATGACCTTGTGTTGCTTCAACAGCATCAAGGAGCTGAGAAGCTGCTTGGTAAACCGTCGAATCAGTTTCAAGGAAAACCCGCGGAAGGCGTTAGACTTGATGAATTCGTAGAGGTTCATGTCCAGGAGCTCGGTAGAGATGCAAAGATGTCCACGAAAGTAGAAGCTGTGGGTGAAGTTGACCATGCTGTGCTTGTTTTTGGGGTCCTGCGCAGTTTGTCAGTAAAACGGATAATAACAAACGCCCAGAGGGCTGCACCCACCCATTCGCGGAGCTTTTGTAGAATGTTGACTTCGACAAGAGCCTGTTGATGGAACCGCTTCTTGTTGCGGATGATCTTGACGGCAACAAGCACGCCCGTCTTGTGGTCGATACACCTGACAACCTGCCCAAAGCTGCCCTTTCCGAGGACATCGATAATCTCGTACCGGTACGAGAGATGGTCGCCGGGGACAATTGTGTAGTCGCCCCGCTCGTCGTCGTAGCCGAAGTTGGGGCTGTCCGACTGTGCATCGCCCACGACCTTGGCTGCGTTCTGGGTACCACAGAAATAGACGTCCTTATAATCCACAATCTCGCCACGCTCGTAGATGTTGAGTACGGCGATTCGAATGGCATCCTGGGCGCTGACACGTTCCTTAGCCGTGGCACGCTTCCGGAGCGCATCCAGTGTTCTCGCAGCTAGTTCTGTCTCCTTGCGCCGCGCCCCTAGCTTCTTCATCTCGTCCTCGGCATACAGGTCGTCCTTGTCTAAGTCGGCCGTCCAGACGTCGTGGTGACGCAGCGTAGCCGTCGAGCTCTTGGGCTTCAAGATCTTCTGCACCACTGACGAGTTGTACGCAAGCGTTGAGCGCTCCGCCACAGTGTCGAGCATTGTCTCTCGCTTGGCCATGGCTTGCCCGTCGCTTCGGGTACGGTCCTGGGCGATGATGGCGTTGAGACTCGAGGCCGAGCTCTTACGCCTCCTCGATTCTAAGTAGGTTCCAGTCCCGCTGGACTTGGCGGAGGGGGTGGGGCTCGGGGGCTTCGACGTGCTGAGGCTGTTCAGCGTTGCCGAGACGGGAATCCTGGGCGGCGGCATAGAGTCATGCCTAATGCTGCCTAGATCGCCTCGTTCCCCCGTGGGCTGGCTGATACTGTTCTTGGAAGCGCTTCGTTTCCAAGACAGGCTCAATTTCCTTCGGAGGGAGCTAATGGACGAGGGTGTGGGCGGCTCGTCCGGGCTGGAAAGCGGAGGCGGAGACTTTGATGGTGCAGGCTTAGTTGCGATAGACTTCGGTGCCCGCGGTCCCGAAGGTTTATGTTGCGGCACAGGCACATCGGCAACTGTGTCTAACGGAAGAGTAAAGTCCCCGCCCGTTTTCGATCGCTTCATAAAAGCGCGTTCCATATTTCCTCCCTTTGGCACAGAAGACGACAAGAATGGCGACATTCCAGATCTCTGGTACCCGGGCTTAGGCGCAGCAGCCATGAACGACTCCGAGGAGCTGGTGGCGTCTGCCGCAGACGGGCTCTCCCGCGTCGCGTGGTGGACTGAGCTGCTACTCCTGAGATGTTGGACGTCGGGCCTCTCGTCGACTCGGTTTCTGGTGAAGAAGGAACCCTTGGACGCCGTCATTGGCGTCGTGGGGGTCTTGGCCATCTGTCTTGCTGGTGGAGGGGAAAGATTTTTGTCCGAGAAACCCAGATCCTGCAAAGCTGCTATCTTCGCAGCAGTCGGGGTGCTCAGCGGCCCCAACGTTATTGGGGGCAGCCTCAGCGGCTGCAAATTCTTCTTTGTCTGTGGTCCAGACGCCTTCTTATCCATATCCAGCTTCGAAGTATGAACCGACTTACGATTGCTAGCCCTGCGCTGGACCTTGGCGGGCGGCGGATCGGTAAGCTGCATCCCCGATACGCTTCCCGTCGAAGTGCTATTAACACTGCTTGCATCGAATGCAAGGTTCGACTTTCTCTTGTCTAGGAATGTCATCTCGGCGGGTGAGTCTTTGGGCGATTCATACACCTTGGGTATTGCTGGAACTGGCGGGACGTCCTCTTCGTCTTCAGCACTTGTGGGGTTATGAAGGTTCAGGGCCTTGGGCGCGGGCAGCCTGGAACTTCCGCCTTGCGAGATCCGCTGCTGCATCGAGCCGGTCGAAGTCCGCACCGTATTAAAGCTGTTGATGGAGCCAACCGAGAGGCCCGAGCTATACGATTTCCGATTCAAGTCGGGTGTGGTCCGAGACGAGGAAGGCGTCGAGATCTTGCGGGGAAGCATTGAGGGAGAGCGCGACGAAGAGCGGACTTCGGTTGCTGCCGGCATCGGGTCTGCCGGCACCTGGGGCGTGCCCATGGTCTGGTGCATGGCCGACATGCGCTTCATCCGTCTGGTGTCCGTAGGACTGATGGTCCTCGCACCTAGCCCCGTGGCATGCGAGGCATGGGGGACCCCTGGCATCACCGACATGCGTTTCCCAGAGCCGGGGGGGTTCGAGACCTTGGTGCTGAGACGCGGCGACCTTGGGAAGGTGATTGTTAACTGGCTGTGATCTGGCGTCAGAGTGCCGACGTCGGGAGACAGCATGGCCTGGCTGGCCCGTGGTGGCGGTTGCACGGATCTCGCCTTTGCTGCTCGCGAACCCGTGAGGTTTCGAGTCGTATCCCCCACAATGGGACGGGAGCCTCCATCGACCGAAGAGCGCGTAGACTCTAGACCGACTCTATCGGATGCCACGCTCGGTCTCCGCTTCCGAGCCTCATAGTCACCTCCATCAAAGCTACCCGGCCCGACCGACTTCCTGGGCGGCTGCTTCGCAGCGTTGGGATTGGAGACTGGGGGATAGTGGCTCTGGCGGCGCGGACGCATGGCGGCCGGGGCGGTGGGAGCATTCGGCACGCCAGAGTTGCTTGACACGGTGGACGACATGCTCGTCTGCCTGCTCGACGAGCTCGGCCTCCGCAAGATGGATCCGGCGCGTGCGGGCCGTGTCGCGAGGGGCTGCTGAACAACGGCACGCGTGGCGCCCACCGTGTGGGCAACATCTGGACGCTCAACCATGTTGTCGGACGGGAGACGGCGGTCGCCCAGAATCGAGCCCTGGCCGGTCGGGTTGGGAAACTGCGTGAGCTTGAAGTCGGTCGAGGCCGACTCGAGGCTGCTCTGCAGGTCGTCGAAGCTGACCGACGGCAGAAAATCGAACGAATTAGAAGTAGTGTTGCCTATGTCGTCCGACACGCCATCCCTAACCCCAAAGGAAAACAATGAACGGTTGTTGGAGGCTGAGGCGCTGAGCATTGGAGCGTCGAGGGTGGGCCGGCGGAGAGAACCGAACTTGGCAGAGCTAGTAGTGGCCTTGCTCCTGTATGCAGAAAATAAACAATGTTAGCCTGCTGCCGCTAGGGGCATTCCGGGGACGCGAAGGCGACGAGGGCGACGAGGGTGACGAGGGCGACGAGGGCGAGGCGGCTGATAGAGCCAGAGAGTCGACAAGAGGACCGCAGGGCAGAGGTAACGCGCCCAGGATGCACTCTGTCCGCTTCAATGTGCACGGCTCGGCTCGACTCGATTCCAATGTAGGCACTTGGCTCGAGGACGGGGCAGGAGGTAGTGCAAGGCAACGAGGGGGGGGTGCAATGGGGGCGACTACCTGGTGGGCGGCTGGTTTTCCCGTCTGGGGCCAGTGGGGACGCGATGCTCCTTGTTCATAGATGGGTTCGCGCGACCTGACTGTCGGCGAGCGGAAGACGCGCCTCAATGAGCCGGAGTCGACGGGGTGGAGATGCGACAGACGGCGAGAGGCTGTGGATGGGGGGTGGCCGCTTCCCTTCGGAAGGCCTGAGAATTGAGGGCGACTTGCACGACGACAGGACGTGCCAAAAAAGAAACCCAGACTCAGTCCGCGGCAGGGGAGCTGAGAGCAGTCCCAGGGTTACCTCATTCCGGAAAACGCGATGGGTGAATCGGACGTGTCTTGGACACGTTTGGAAACGAACAGGTCCGGCGTGGCACTTCGCGCTGCTCGGTGACAGTCGAGTCGGGTTGTTCGTTGAGTTGCAATGGCAGTACAGTGCAGTGTCAGTCGGGTGTGCAGCGAAGCGGCGGCGGCAGCGGCAGCAGCAGCAGCAGCAGCAGCAGCAGCAGCAGCAGCAAGCAGCAACAGCAGGCACTGGGGGCGTGGGCTTGGTGTTTTCGGAGTGGGAGATGGGCTCTAGCAGGTGGCAGATCCACCTATGGGTGCACCAGCAACAGCGGTAGGGAGGATCCTGCACCTAAGCGGGCCCGCAATTATGCATATATCAAAGCATCTTGCACTTTACACAACATGGGCAAGACCGCCTAAGCGCATCTTTCACTGGGCAACCACTGCCCCAGACCCCTAAACTGGCGAGAACGTGCTGGCTCGCGAGGTATCGCTGGCTGGCCAAGGGAAACTGTAGGGCGGGGCGACTGGAAAAGGGGACAGCCGCTTTCTCATTCAGGACTCCACGATACCACCACCAGAGCCCACCTTTGATCTCCGCGTGGCTATTGCGAGAACTCCAGGAATCAACATTCGCATCCCGTCTCGTGGCCTCCACAATCTCGCGGCGCACCCAACAAACACATGGGAGTCGCCCTTGCATGGCAGATGCAAAAATACCCGACCTTGCCTGCGCTTGAGCCACGTCAGAAGTTCAAACCGCGTGTACGAAGTTGACTCCAGCAACGGGACTTAGGCGCTGCGTTGGTCCACAATTGCGTGCAACCAGAGCCATGTATATAAGGTGTCTACTTCCATGGCATGTATGTACAGTACGCCGTGCTGTGCATACCCTCTCGTGGTGTTTCCATGTGAGCCTAGACGCACCGAATACCCGTGGACATGCGCACATCACCACCTCTTTGAAAGGCATTGGCTGCATGTATGTACCGTAGCACCTTCACACCATACCTCCTGTACTTCGTACCTTGCCTTAGGGCGGCCACCACTAGGCGCTTTCGTCGGATGCAGCAGCCGGCCGCCCCTGGCAGGAGCTCTTTTTTATTTTTATTTTTTTATATAAGGCTAGCTGCAGCCTGTCGTTGAGCGGCATCATCTATCGTGGTGTGCGGAGATACTATGTAAGTTTCTGCTCTCATGACGCCGGCGAACTCTCTTGTTTTGGGCCGTGTGCAATCAGTTTAAAAAACGAGGGCGCGACATGGCATGGCGAACCCATTTCAAATGCGTCAGAGGACGCATGCAGCGCGTTGCAGCAGCGGAGCCAAAAGACCGGGGGGATTTGCCAGTGTTTCGCAAACGACCCGACGTTCCTGTCTGCCCGTCCGTCCGTCTCTGCCCGTCTCGTCTGCAATTCTTTTTTTTTGAGGATTCTGTTGTCCTGTTGGTCCAAGACCGCCAGGCAGATGAACGCTTGGCACCTGTCAATTTCCCCCCAAGGTGCATTGTCCAGGGCGATTCCATCTTATTGCCTTACGGAATACGGATATTCGTGGCTCCTTTCGATTCACCACGGGCAGCTCGTGCGCCTTGCAGGATGCAGCCAGCCAACATGGAATGCCGTTCGTAATGAGCCAGTTGCATCACGACGTCTCCGACTGCCGGCAGAAACAACCCAAGGTGAGGAAGTCATCCAACAAAAAACAGACGGGCCATTGCGACGAGCTCGAGCTGGGCGAACCAACCACGATCCAAGACTCGAGCCGCCAAATAATGTTATTGTTTGCTTAACAGACGGGCATTGCGATGGTTTAGTCTAGGGAACCGCCCCAGCAACCCGCCCCCCCTTGTAGTACATGAAGTTTATTAGGTGCATATCTCGCGCATCTCTGGGTACCTGATTAAGTACGCCATATGCGGCAATGAAATCGGGACCAAAAGCCTGAATGCCGGGGTTTTGGCCAATAAGTATTGATGCAGGAGCCGCCCGCCAGCCGTGCGAGGTGGCGCGCATATGGCGTCTTCTCTTCTCTTCTTTTGATATATATTTCGGAAATGGATGAATCCCCATGGCATGCGCACGTCTTGATGTGTGCAGTACTCCGTATATAGTAATAATACGGGATTATCGCACCGAGGGCCAGGGATGCAGTGAGAGAGGATCTGCTGCAACTTTGCGCGCTTCTGCTTTCCTCCTTCTGCAGCTCGGCCCCTGCTGGTCGTTTTTCTGTCTCTTCTACAATTTCGGATTTGCCACTCCTTTTCTGTCTCTGGATCCATTTTCCTCAATTCCCATTTCCCATCTGACGCGCGCCCCTCCACCGTCTCCTTTTAGCTGCAGGCGTCACGGAATATTAGCTAGCGGCTCTCATTTCCAGCAACGTCACGGTTTCTCTTTGTTTCCTGCCCTGCCCAGTTTACAGATATGTCTCTACTGATATCTGCCTCGAATCCGAGCGAGCGACGGCCCCTGACAAGGACCCTTTGGATAGGACACGACGCATAGGATGGACATAGGACGGCATTGGCGCATGGGGTGTGCCGGCCTGCGCAATTAAGCTGGCGAAGCCCACATTTTGTCCGCTGGACAAGGACGGTCACTTTTTCAGACTCCTATAGATGAATGCGGACAGAATGTCTATAAAGGAACGTCTCCCCCATCCTGCTTGTCAGTCGTCTTGTTCGTGTTCGTCACGCCATGGCTTGTATTCGACGACGAAGAAAAGCTGGCCCGGAGGCCGTGATCGCGGCAGCCCTGTCTAAAGGGCTGTCGGACCGGTCGACGATCGATGCAAAACCGGTCTGGCGAAAGCTGAGACCAAAGACAAAGGCGCTGTATAGGCAAGAGTTACAGTTGTGGGAAGCGTATGTGGCTATTGTCTCTCTTTTTTCGTTGCCGTAGTTTGGATCCCTTTTTTGACTCATAGATACCTAAAGCAATTCCCCGGCGCTGATCCGCGAAATATGGTGATATTAAAGCATTATGTCGAGACGATCTGGCTGGGCATCGAAGGGCTGCTTGACCAAGAGAAAGGACTGGCGACGCCGCGGACGATGCGAATCAAGACGCGCCGTTTTGGCAATGCCTGAGAGCGCAAGCACGACACGCGGATCTCCGACGACGTCAAATACTCGATGGCTCCAGTAAGTAATAGCCGCCTTTTTTTCTGGTTTTTTAATCTTCTTCTGACCAGACAGTTCATCGAAGGCGAGCTTAAAGACAAGGTTGGAGCGCGCAACCTAAAGCGGCCGGTGACGTTTTTGACGATCCAAAACTACGACCACATGCAAGAGTTTCTTTGGCTGCCGGACTGCCATGCCTACGTGCACGAGGGCGAGCGCGTCGACAATGCAAACTTGTTAAATACGCACTGCTTTACCTCTGCTCGACTCCAGGAGGTGTGCCAAGCCCGGTATCAGGACCTAAAAGTGTTGGTGGCCTGGAAACTCGGCATCGCCTCGGCTTCCGCCGCGAGTACTGCAAGGGGATGGACGAAAAACAGTAAGTAAACCAAGGTAAGACCAGGAGAGGGTAACCGGTCTAAAGAGAAAAAGAAAAAGGGAATAGAGAAGACCGCACAGTTCCTCGCACCTAGTTTTGTATCTAAATCAACAAATTAGCTTTCTTTTCCTACGATTCAATTGCTTGACTCTTGACCACGACATTTAACTGACGTTCTCAGCGTGGTAGCGTACTTGCCTGTAATCGAACGAAAAAGCAGATATTACAATCAACACGGCAATTTGAAAATGAGCTGACGACTTCATTAGGTCGAACAACAAGATAAAACATTATAAAGCAGCTACTCGAGGGCAAGGGCAGACGTGAAATATACGTGGCTTTCGATTAAACGTCTACGAAGAAAAAAAGCATCCATAACAAAAATCAACTTTCTATTAAAACCAAACCCACTGCATCTCTCAGCTATCTCAAGTACGGGTCTGCGAGGCGTGGTGGCCCCAGGCTGGCGTTGGACAGCCCTGGCCCCGGCGCGCCGCCGGGTAGGCGGCGGCCGCCTCCACGTCGGCGATGGTTTTGCGCCTCGCCTGCTCTAGCGTGCGAAGCGAGCAGGCGAGCAGGCGCGCCTCAGCCAGCGCGCCTTAAAAGTCGAGGCCCTCAAAGGTGTCGCGCGCTTGCTGCAGCGCCGCGTGAACGTGGGCTTGGCCCACGGCTAGCCGCGCTAGCTGACAGGGACCATTCGACAATGAATCACGTCCGCTGCCGTTTCATAGTATCATACTAGACGGCAGCGTCTTCGCGTATCCTCTTTCCCAGAAACACCGCTTTGCCCACCACTTGCGTGACCGTCTTCGACGGCAGCGGCGACACCTCGCACGGCCCGTCCATGAGAAACGCGCGGTCAAAGTCCAAGGCCATGACCTGCTTGAGCTCCTTGTTCCACGCCAGGTTGGCCAGGCGAATGTCGGCGTGAACAATGCTGTGGCGATATAACGAGTCCTCAATATCCTGAACGATGCTTTCGACGTCGTCGATGGCCTCCGGTATACGCCGCTCGAGCGAGATACCAGCCCACGACAGCAGCATCAGGTGCCACACGCAGGCGCCCGAAGGCAGAATGTAGGGCCCTCCAGCTCCACCCAGCCGAGGTAGACGGGGATCAGCACGCCCTGCACGCGCTGCGTGACGGGGCTGGCGTAGAAGGCGGCCTCGCGTTTGAGCGCCAGCTCGTCGGCGTCCTGGACGCCTTTGGCCACGAAGGTGTAGCCATAGCCGCAGAGCGTAATATTGAATAGCGTGCCGATGGCTCCAAATAGGCCGAACTTCATCAGACACTCGATGCCGGCGCTGAGGCTGCCTGTCAGCTGCTTCAGCAGTATCGTGCAGAGCTCCGCCGTGTTGGTAGCGTGGTGTTGCTGTCGGCCGTCTGCTCCGGTCCTCTGGCGCTCAGCACGTGCGTGCTCCGACGTGTTCGGACAGGCTGGGTCGAGGGGGCCGCCGCGGCGGAGGCCGAGTAGGCATGCCTGTGTGCAGTATTCTTGCCGGGCATGTTCGATAAGCACAACCGGCCGGGACGACCTGCTGTCTCTGTTTGCATTGCCGCCAGCACCACCAGCACCGTCAGCATCATCAGCACTGCGGTCTGGTGGTGGGGGTGGTGGCATATCGGTAGAGCGATCATTTCCACCACCCGTGTTGTCGTCGTCGCCGTCTCTTCTCGGCGGCCTTCCGCGTTGTGGAGGCTTTATACTGAGGACTTTTTTTGCGGAGACGGCCAACGCGGAAGGTCGGTGAATAAGGCCGTAGTAATTCCCTGGTCGCGTAAATCCGTAACAAGCGCCTCGAGAATCAGCGTGGCCATTTGGGCGGCTGGCACGCGCAGTGGGTCATCCTCCGTCTGCAAAAATACCGCGTGGTCGATAAAATGATAGAGTAGGGCATCAGGGCTCTTGGGCACGATCATGAAAAAGACCGTGCCCTCGCCCGACGTGACGTAGCCGTACTTGGTGCCGTAGACAATCATATAGTGGTAGGTCTGGCAGATAACTTCGGCAATAGTCATCTCGTCTTTTTGGCGCCAGATGGCTGTCAGGGCGGCGTCGGCGGTGGCAGCAGTTTTTTGCTTTCCGTCGACGCTGCCGCTGTTGTCGCTTTCGTCACCGGTATCACTGCTGATACCGATACCGCTGTTGCCGGCAATGCGACGGCGTTCTGCGCAAACGCCGACGAGTGCCTCGGCCGGAGGCACGTCGGGGTTGCCCAAGATGTTGCGGATGTGGTCACCGCGGATTTTGTGCGCAGCTTTGTACTCGCCCGGCAGAATGCTCTCGGAGAACTCGGCGTCGTCGTCGTCGGACTCGTTTCGTCGCAGACGCAGGCCCCAGCGGTCGGGCACCAGCGCTGTCGCACTGTCGAACTTGCGTTTGGAGGGAGACGGGCTGCTATGGAGGCTGTGGCTGTGGCTGTGGCTGTGGCTGCGGCTGCGGCTAAGGCTTTGGCTGCGGCTACGGCGTTCGACGTCGGGTTCGTCGACGTCGGGCACGCTGCTCGTCTTCTTCCGCGCAGACGTGCCGTAGGCATTGTTGCCGAACTGGAACTCGAGCCCGCGGTACTGGGGGTCGTCGGTGAGCCGTAGGAACGTGTTGACAATCAGCATTGAGGGCGTCTCGAGGTACGCGCGCACAGACGGCCGGATATATTGCTCGTCTCGCCGCTTGCCGGGCGACAGGTTTTTCGCGACGGACTTGGAGTCGTTGAAGGACGGGAAGTGAAAGGCGTCGCCGAAGAGAATCTGCAGCCTGGCAGCGTGGCGGCGGTGCAGCGCAGAGAAGTCCTCCCACCGGCGCAGGACCCGCGGTTACATCTTGCCGTTCGCGTTGGCGGCCTTGCCGAGTGCCGCTCGCTGGCGGTTCGTCTCGACGCGGAGGATCGGGGGGATGTGCGTCTGGATGTTGTGCAGGTACCTTAGGTAGGCCGTGTTCTCGTTTTTTGCCACTTCGTCGTCGGCGCGTTTCTTTTCAGCCAGACGAGCTGCCTCCTCGTCGTCGGCGCGTTTTTTCTGCCTCGCGATCTCGGCACGTGCCTCCGCCAAGTCTTTCTGGAGCCTGCGGGTTGTTTCTTCGTCCATATTGTGCTTGGAGAGTCGTTAATGATGATGTGTTGTGAAAGACTTGGGGGTGTTATACGATTGTGGTGGGATACGTATATTTTATCTCAGCAAGCTCAGACCAGTACCGTGGGTCAAAGAGGGGCCCCCAGTGGAGGGCCTGCGGCCCCGATTTTTTAGATTTGCAGGGGGGTAGACCCACAAATACACATTCCAACCAATCACAACACATGAAGAAAAGAGCCACTGTACTGGTCTGAGTGCATAATGCGCATCGAACCGTCAAGGCCTCCTCAGACCTGCAACCGGCGGTCGAATGCGCATGCATAACAACGGCAAAAGCGATCATAACAACACGCCGTTAGTACTGTTCGAATGCGCGGGATTTTCTGATCATTTTAGTACTAATAATTTCAATAGAACATGTCGGGCGCGTCAAAAAATGACGAATCGGGCCTTTCTGGTGGCAGCCAAGCATTGCCCCTGCGTGGGCATGCAGGGTCGAGCTCACAGCTTACTAGCCTGGGCAGCACCCCTGACCTCTCCTCTCCTACCAAGGCTATAGAAGCCTCACAACAAGAAGACTATGACGAAGATGACGAAAATGACGTTGAAGACGACGATTCAGACGAGTCTGTACATCCAGCAGACGATATTTTACAGAAAACAATCCGATTTTGGGAACAACTGCGCAAGAACAACAACAACCAGGTACGACGGCAAGGAGCTGAGCGTCAGAGGTACAACCTCGATGCCTTCCTCTTCAAGCTCACGAGCGAGGGCACCCCGAATCACATTGCCATGAATTCCCGGCGGCTTGGAGAAGTTCTGATGAGCCCTTCTGTTCGTGATGCCCTCAAATCACAAGGCATTACTATCACAAGTGACGATCATGTTGCCGAGGCAGGCTCCTTCAGCCACGTTATACGTAAGGAAATGAGGGTTCTTATCGATTAACCGGCTTTTGGAGTATTTGAGCCATTCAAGGGCCAGGCTTCAGTGCGTGCCTACGATTATTGCACAAGTCTGTGACACTGCTTGGCTTGAAAATACCCTCAAAGAAGCCTGGCCAACGCTCAAGAAATACGCCCCGAATTTGGTCACCTTTTTATCACAGGTCCTCCAGAATCAGGTACGTTTGTTTCCCCATGGGTCTTCATCCTATTCCTATGGGTCTCTCTCCTATTCCTATAGCTCTTTCTCCCATTCCTATGAGCCTCTCTTCCATTATGGTACTAATGTTGAGACAGCGTACGACCCAGAAAGAGCTGGCCAATATGGACTTTGACGATGACAAAAGCCCCCAAATCTTGCTACTCGCCTCCCTATTTACAGGCGGCTACGCACGCAACAACAGCTCCTTTTTGAGAGATATTCTCGGCCTCTATATGCTCGCAAACGGTACACCAAGGCGTGCGGTAGAAACCCTCGCTCATATCGGCTTGATTCCTTCGTATTGGACCCTGAATAAAATGCTCAACGACATGGCAGCTAGAGCGAAGGAAAATATCAAGAAAGTCGCCAGGGATCCGAACGGGCTTCTTGTTTATGATAACTTCAACTTCATGAACCGTACAAGAGAGCTAGTTGGCGGGAAGAAAGACGAGATGATCAACCTTACAACGGCTTGTATTGTTTCGTGCCCAGAACTCGGGGGAGCGGTGCAGAAGGCCAATTTCCGGCCTCGAACGAAGGTTACAAAGGGAATGGTCATCGATTACATCCTTCCACGCCGCCAGACTATCAATAACGCGTCAAAATGGCTAGTCAAACAGGCCCTCATGAAGATATTCACAAAGGACAATATTCCCGGCATGCCTGTCGTCAAGAGAGTTGTATACGACAACTCCCCATACCTATAGCTAGGGGCCATATTTGAGGATGAAGGAACTATCGACGGCGTATACAAACTATACGAAGAGCTCTTCAAACGCAGGCTTGGACTGGATCAACAGTCTGACATCGATGAACGCCTCACCCTTGTTTATGGCGACATGAAAACAACCTCCTTTATTCGCCGCATTAAGCTCTCGCAGCTAGAGGCTAGCGAGAAGTGGGAGCAGAAGAAGTGGCTTGTCCCTGTGCCTGCTTTCTTCCATATTGAACTTAATTATATTAAGTTTCTTTTCCCGGTTTTTTGGGACACTGGTGACGATAAAAATAACGTCACAAACGCTATTATTTCTTCTGATGTGCAATTCTTCCACCGGGGCAAGAACATCAAGAAAAGCAATATCAAATATCACCAGGTCATGCCTCTATTGATGCACGGCTATAGTGTACGAATTCTGGCATTTGTTCTTGGTGAATTGGTGGAGAAAGAATATATTAACACCAACAGCCTCAATGTCGAAACCGTCCTCGAGAAATTGAAGGGCCTAGACCCCGATATTCTTGACGATGCCGTCAACTCTGTTTGGGAGAAACTATTCACATATAATGCCTGGACTGGGCGTTATTCAGACCTTGCAGAGGGCGAATTCGTTGACAAGGAGTTCCGAAGCCAGTGCCGCCTTCTTCAATGTACTGAGATTCTCTTCGTCATACATGAAGCTATTCGCTGCCGCGACTGGGGAACTCTCAGGGACATTATACCGACTTTGCCTTTGTTATTCTGGGGAGGAAAGTCGTCAAATTACGGCCCTGAGATGTTGTATTTTGCCTTGCTTCTACACCCTCGTGTCAGCGAAGATCACACAATGCGGGCCATTCCGAAAGGCGGCCTTATTCGCTGTACAACAGCTGGAAGTGGCTACAAAGCCATAGATCTAATGCTTGAGCATATCAATGCCTCATATGCCCTTGATATCAAATACAATAAGAATTCCACGCATGACGTACATGCTACCTTCTCGCGCCTCGCCCTGAACGGTAATTTCCTTACAACTATTCGCAAGTCGGTCAAGACTCTCTTTGTGAGTAAACAGAAGGGAACTCACAAGGCTGGCGACCCTACTGCAGACATTATTTTGTACGCATGTAAGCTGTATAACGATGGCATTACTAAGCGGAATAATAAGGAGGAGCGCCCCGAAGCATTCGATGCCCCTAATGTCTTCGAGAGTGGGCAAAGAATACTGCTAGAAAAGCTTGATAACCTCAATGAAGCTGTTGTTGAGCCTGAGGACCTTGTAGACCAGCGTGTTATTCCGGGAACTGTACTAGGTGGCACAGAGGATGGAGAGGTTGATTGGGGCGAGGAGGGCTTGCGTTTATTTGACGCCGAAGACGACTTCTGGGTACAGGCTGTTGATCTTACGAGCGATTAATTAGTAGCGGTTAGCAGCGGTTAGTATGAAGTTATGCTATATGTAAATAAGCTTAACCGGCCACTTTGAGACGATTAGTAGCAGTTATGTGTAGGGGATCCCTTTTGGCGCCTAGGGAGCCCCTTTTTACACTCAGGGGCTCCCTTTTGGCCCACCCGGAGCCGCATTTTGATCTATATAGAGCCTCATATTATGGGGAATTACATATAAAATTGACAATCTAATAAGCTACAGAGTTGTGCTCAAAGCAGTTAATTCAGCTAGGTAGGTAGCCAAATATATAGCCGCTTAAATGCGGCATTCCTGCGTTGCATATGCGCCCACGCAGCGGCATATATACGCCCTATGTGCGAGACCGCGAGGCAGGAGGGGAGTCAATAGAGGGCTCTCTAAACTGCTTACGTGAGGCATCAGGGGAAATGCTGGCTTCTGAAGCCCTTGAGGCCATACGAAGGTCTGCTTTCTTCTTCTTTTGAGCACCCCAAATCTCATGAATCTTATCAACAGATTCTAGTAAAAACATATTACAAACCACTCGACTGTTAGGGTCGTCTGTCTGTAAGGGAGCACGGGCTCCACAGAATGCTGGGGTTGGTAATTATGAAGATAGAACAAAGGGCAAGCTCCTATCGCACGGGTAATACAGTCAAATTGGAATGCCACTCAAAGTGTATGAGTGCAGTGAATGTGTATTGCTTGCTTGAAGAACCAAGCAAGAACTATCTAAGACCGTGGATACGGTCATCGTATTTATTTAATTATGGCTGGCCAGTAAGAGCGCAGCTCTTACTTGCCCGACAGGAAGGAGCTGCCCGGCGCTGGGCACTGCTAGCGTGCCGGGCCATTTGCCTGGTGCCAAGACCCTTCTTGGCACCGGGCCACCCCTGATTGGCCGCCCTTCCGTTTGCCTTGTGCAAAGAGCCCTCTTGGCACCGGGCACCGTCTGATTGGTCCTCGACAAGCGGGGCCCCCTGTCTTGCCTGAGGCGCCCGCCTTCTGCAGCCGGTCCAGTACGAACCAGGCTCGTCACAAAACATCACTAGTTGCTCCCCGTGTTCGTCCTGGTGCTCCCAGTCGTTGAGCGCCGGAACCTTTGTAACCAGGCCCTCCCAGTTAGTAAAAGGAAGCTCCTTTTTACCTCGGGCCTTATACAGCCTCGTAATAGCAACCTGGAGCTTCTCATCCATCTATATCTCTGAGATTACATCAACCCGCTTTCTTTCGGGAGACACGAGGGCCTGGGCCTGCTCCTTGCACCACGTAGACAACTAATCTAACGCAATGCCGGAAAAAGAGCCGGCTTGAGGTTTATTTTCGCCCTGTTGGCGAGGGGGCAACGGAGCGATTCGACCAAGGGATTGGTTACAACTGTTGCAGCATAATTCTTTGTTGACTGGGCGCTTGTATTCGAGCTGGGGGGCTTCCATAGGCTCCTGAAGGTATTTGAGTATATAATCCCGGAAGCATGTGGCGCTGAGAAAACCGAGGATATTTTGATCCATTTTTTCCCGGGCAACGATGTCAGGTTTGGACCATTTTAGCCGCTCACGGTAGTCGAATAAACCCCTGAATTCCTCATCGACTGGCTCAGGAATAACAGCTTGAGAGACATCACTAGCCTGCGAAGTAACAGATGCCTCACTGCCGGCCTCGCTCATGGCATCGTCATCCCGTTCAATAAGCTGTAGTTGGTTCTGAAGACGACTAGGTATAGCCGGTATGTGAGGCTGACGACGGCCTCTTCCTCTCGGCTTCGGGAGTGGTTTATTGAGGGTTCCAAGCTGATCAAATAGGTAGTACGGCGCAAATAAAATTGCCTCCCCCTGACCTTCACACTTTCGCATTGCTCTTCTAAAACGCTGCCAAATATCTGAAAGGCTTTGGCCCGGTGGAATGCCGAACTGAATAACGCGCTCAACATCGGGTATGTCCATCCCCATACCTAGGGATACAGAGGCGAGGACAATACGGCGGTCGGTATCTCTATTCGGGAAGTCTTTGAACATAATCTCTTGGTCGGTAGGGCTCACATCTGCATCATACCGGCGTATGACTTTGGCTGCAAACTAGCTTGTGAAGCCACAGGACTTTTGAAGGTATTTGAGAAGAATATACCGGGCTAGGATGAGCTTGGGCTTACTATTAATGTAAATGATTGTCTTTTTAATCCGCCGGGCTTCGTTAGGCTTTGATCCCTCTATAAGAAAATGTAGGCGCCTAAAATCCGTAATGACCTTTCTCATCAACGGTAGTAGGATGACTATAATCTCGGGCCTGTCGATTGATATGCGGATTATTTGGAGGTTTCTCTGATCGAAGCCGGCATGCCTGAGTATGTATGCCTGGTTATCCTTGTCCAGCGTTGCCGTACAGCCAAAGAACGGAATCCTCCTTGGCATCAACGCCCTCAACGTGTATATGTGTGTAAATTCCTCCCGGAACTCTCTCCATTCGTTAATCATGTGAAGTTCGTCTATGGCGAAGAGTCCAAGCTTGCTGTGGAAGTCAGGATCACGAAGGACCGCTTTAAACTTCGGGTTTATAGCTTGTTCGGGGCTTAGAAGCATATGAATGTATTCGCCAGCTTTGACTTCATTCCAAACGTTAGGGTTCTAGATAAAATTAGTTAGCCGTACATTCAGGGGCCAGGGGTAAGGGGTAAAAGGAGCCAACCTTGAGGAATGTATTACTGTCAATCCACACAGGCTTCGAAGAAGCGACAGCCCGGGCGATGTCATCGCGCTGATTCTTGCCCAGCTTCGTGAGAGGTACGATTTGTATCGTAGTGAGCTTCGTAATCGCTGAGAAGGCGTAGAGTACAGCACTTTTTCCGTATCCTGTAGCTGCAACAAGCACTGTATCGTTCCGCTGATGAACAAGGCGATAAACCGCGTCGATCTGACCCTGGCGCGCTTCCCTGGCGCCTGTGATCTCGCAGATCACATCATTGATGCGTTTTTTCTGCTTGTTTTCTTCCATTTTAGCGCGCAGGAGGGCTTCTGGAAGGGCGAAAATGAAAGGTAGGTTATAGGAGGAAAAAATTACATGCTGAGGATGCCCCGCGCGAGCGTATTCTATATACAAATTTTCAAATTTTTTGGCCCTTTTTTGGCTGCATAGTTGGGATGAAGCTGTCGATAAAAAGACGGAGAGGTCTTGATCTTTTTTCGTTTGACGCTAAAAAAGTCACTTCCAGACAAACGTGCATAATAAAAACTACACCATTAGATTTCTGAGCGTCTCAGCATCTTCAGACATATATTTATGTAGTTTTACAATATGCGGTTGTTATACAATTGAAGGAAAACAAATCTGCATTTTTTCCATTTGTATGGCGGTTGACACGCCCTTGACGACTACCGCAACATTACTCTCTCAGACCTCTTTTTCAGGCGTTCTGTGCAATGTGGGTCCAAGTGGGTCTATCTGAGCCACAGCAAAAATTTGCGGGTCACAGGATACGAATGCGGTCTAGGGTGCCTTCTTTTATGGCGGGGCCGCAGGCCCCAGGGCTCCTTCCACGCCTGAAAAAGAGGTCTGAGCTTGCTGAGATAACGTATATTGAAGTTGCGTAAGAAGTGAGAAATCTCTGCGCAAAGCACGGCACTTCAAAGGGAGGAGCAAGCCCTGATTACGTGGATCCACCGGCCATACCACGTGATGTGACGGATAATTGTGGGCCCGTAATAAGGGGCTCTCAATCAAAACATCTTTTGGTCTAGAAAGGACCTTAGTGCGCAGCTGGTTCTATACCGGCTCTTACGTCAGCTAGCCCAGCAGCAACGACAGCGTCCGCCGAGCGGCTGCCGATGCTCAGATAGTACTTCAGCGCGTTGTTGACGTTGGCCTCGTTCTCGAGCATCGTCTCGTACACGTAGTTGCAGCTCGGCGGCAACATCATCTTGCGTTATACCGGTCACTCGATCTACGACAACGCCCACGGCTTCAGCGTCGACTCCACCATGTCCGTCAAACACAACGCGTCCTCCTTATCTATATTACCGTACACCGGGCCTCCGGCCCATCATAAAACCAAGGATTAAAAAGAAAGGTCCACTGCGATTGGGGTATGCGACGTGCTCTGTCACACGCCTGCTTTTTTTACTCGACCATTTTTGACAGCCTTCTTTTCTGGGATGGTCTAAAAGCGGACCCTAAAATAACCGCGCGAGAACGAACGAAAACAAACGTTTTGGCTAAAGCCTATTTCGCGTCTCTTATAGCTTGTGTCTTTCGTGCCTGGGACAGAGACCAGTTTTGGCCCCTTTATGGCTTACGCGTGGGACCAGATTTGGTTCTTTCCAATCGAGGCAGGATTTGATCCGTCAGTGTGTTAAATATGACGTGGCCCCCAAGGCGTATACGTAAAAGCGAAGTGTCAGATCGATATAGCCCAAGCAAGACGGAGCACGACGGAAAGACGGCGCGAACGAGATAAGTGCCGCGAGGCGCTTTCCAATCATATCCGTAAGTTATGCCTGGGTCAGAATTTTTTAGGTCTCGTGTGGCGCTAAGAGCTTGTCAGAGGAGAAGTTGGGCGTGACAGTCGAACCGCTGGAGATTCTTTGAGCGACCACTCGATCAGCACCTACCGATGTTTGTGTAAAGAAGTCGGGAAAACATTTAAAGTAGTATTCTCAGCTATACAATGCCCGGCACGTTTAAGCGCCGTTGCTGTAGCGGGCTGTCACGGTCTGGCAAGCTGATCAGCAGGTAGGCGGGGACGAGCAGGTAACGGGCGATAGATCAACAGAAGATAGTCTTGCAGGTAGATATCGGATTGAAGGCGAAGACGTGGCCCACTTGTTTTTTCCAATCTGTTTCCTTCCCGGTCTGTTTTCCATTTTAGGCTTGTGTGAGAATCATGTATTTAAAAGCTTAAATGTACCACCATCTGCATAAAGCAACCGAAACCGTGTGATAAAACAAAAACAAACCCAACCAACCCCGATGAATGCAGCATGGTCATAAACAGAAAAGAAACCAAGAACCCAAATAACTAAAAAGAAAAAAAAGAAAAACCAAAACCAAAACCAAAAAAAAAAAAAAAAAAAATCATGTCATATTGGTATAATAAAGTACACAAATATTCTGGTAGAAAGATGTACTGGAAAATACAGTGACTGGTACAAAGATATACTGGTACACATAATGGATGGTACAGAGATCAAAGTACTGGTATGTTTCCACGTCCGCAGCACTCACGTGCCTCCTTCCCAAGTCTGGTCCCAACAAGTGACAAAGGAATATATCGATACAAGAGAATGGAAATACGCCCAGGCATGGTAAGCAGCTAGAGGGAAGAAGAAAAGAAAAAAGTGAAAGGGACGTGTCTGAAAATGAGAAACTAGCTTCACGGCTTTCAAGAAATAAATACAAATTCCAAGCAAGATCAGCGTCCGTCGCGAACACAAGTCTGTTTTGATAAACTCGAAGAAGATTGCCGTGTCTCAAAACAAAGACAGGTTCACGAGAGCGCCGGCAAGAAACCATACAGTGTAGGGCCACCGAGACCAGACGCCGCCTGTAGATAACAGAATGATGTTGTATCGGTACGTGGTCAGCCGCCACCGTATGCATTTGCGTAGAAATGTAGACGGCTCGCCGAAGTTCGTCTCTACCGTGGCATCTTCTGTATCGAGATACTGGGTCAGATGCTATGGCGAGATGTAGTTCGTGATGAAATTGTCATCGCCAATCCTGGTATACTCCGGGACGGAGAAACCCAAGCAACCGAGGCTAGCACGCATACGAGGCCAGATGACACTCTCGTAAAGAAAAGACTGACGGAAGGCATCTGTCTGGACGAGCGAGGTTCGAACAGCCAGAGCGCGACCAGAAATCACAAAGACTCCCCCATCTAGACTACTGGTGCCACGGAGCTCAAAGTTGTGCCGGGCGAGGTAGGCGATACCAAGAAAATTCCAATAGGCAAGCCAGTATTGCATGGCAAGACGGACAGGAACATCCCAAAATGCATGCCACGACGGCCGCGGAAGTGAGGTGAGGGCACGCGTCCATCGAACTCGTTTTCGTGTACCGCAGATTCCTACTTTTGGATTGTTGAACACTGCCGTAACGGCGGAGAGAAAACAGGGCTTGAGAAAGACGTGGTCGTCGAGGAGGATGAGAATCTTCGAGTCGGTCTGAGCTATGCCGCGTACAATTTGAGCACCTTTGTTGGCGGCACCTGTAGTGATGACTTCCACCAAAACACCGCGAGCAGATGTAAACGAGCTACCCCGGAGCGTATGTTTGATTTCCGCACACCGAGCTTCCGCCTCGCTCGCCCGTTCTGCCGTGTCGGTGACAATGACAACCTTGGCCGGCAAGTTGAATAAGCACGACGTAAGGCACTCTTCAAAGTCCCAGTTGCTCAGGATAGAGATGGTCGTTAATACAATCCTTGAATCTTGCGGGCATAAGTCGGCAGAGAGTGGAGAGGTTGGACGTTTGTAGTGGCAGTGTCCGCACAGGCCGATGGCAAGTCGAAAGTAACGGCAGATAAAGAGAAGGGCAAAGCGAGATGAAGAGGCATCGTACGTCCGGACAACAATGTATGCTGCACATACCAGCGCAGGTGCTAAAAGTGCAGAAATTGGGAGACTCAAAAACAGCATTTGAAGTGAGAGACGAGGCTGAAGCCGTGCTTGATATGAGTCGTCTGTGTTGACAAGTCTGGAAGAAAAGTTGGTCCTGCCGCACAAAATCTAGGCCACCAGTTCGACGGACAAGAAATGAGGCCCTATCTGTTAAGCTAAACAAAAAGCAGGACGATCAAAAAACAATTTCCCACCAACTACCTTTTTAGTTCTTTCACCAAAAGAATCATGCATTGCACACGTGGAAAACAATGTTTTTATCGGAGAGGGAAACCCCTCTTTTTTTTTTTTTTTTACGAGTTTTTTTTTCCGTTTCGTCCAAGCCTGAGTACCGTATCAAACTTGTTTATTTACATGTTTAATCGGATTTCAATCTTTTCAATTTGTACATTCGCTAACAACGACAGTTGCCAAATCTTCCAGTGTCAAAACTCTCACGCCCTCGACTCCCAAATCTGCAAGCTGACGCAGAAGCCGATCCTTGAAAGTATTAGTTAATAAATTGCAGTTAATGATCAGCCTAGCCAGACGTAAAAGAGACTTCTCGACACTGTGAAAGTCGTAACCCGCAGTCGTCGACATATAGCGTTCTTTTCGTAGGGCAGGGCTTTTCAGCGCATTGAGAACTTTCTCTTTCGGTGGAAGCGAGCCAAAAGGTGGAATGGGTATCGTCCAGCTATACCGTACAAGAATTAACCGCTCGTTGTCCGTCACGCTCACTTTGTCAAACTCCTCTTGCGGAAGAAAAGCGAGAAGTCGCCGAAACGCAAGCGTTTCGACCGGGCTGCCAGTAATGGTTGTTCTCCTTTCAACGGCCGCAATATGTCTTTCCATGGCTGTATTCTGCTGCGCGTTGTGTCTTACTGTGTTTGTGGTGTCTCGTTAAAAATCCTACGCGTTACGAATAATCGGCAGGGTAAGGTACACGGTCTTTTATCTTCGCCCGGTGTGCGGCTTAAAAACTGCTTTCGTCTCGCTCTTTCCAGCACTCTAGCCCTTCCAAACGACCAAAAACGTAAACCCTTCATGCCAATCTTCTCGTGCTAGCTGTCAAAAGAGTTGTAAAACACCCGCTGCTCGTATTTGACGCTATTCTGTAAGGGTAAGACCTGGCTCCTCCCGCCTCTTTACAGTCCACCTCGGCCATTTCAAACGTCGTCTCTATTAACTCATCGTATATAACGAACACACACGCCGCCACGCCTTACTGGCCTGTCTCCGTACCGGAGGACGATTTTCTCTATTAAAAAGACATACTTTGCTTTTTTGAACGGTTTTTTGCGTTTGATGCTTTTCATTATTTAAGCAATTATGAATTTCACTGAATTATTCACGTCGCGAACGATTGTTATTTACGGGACTTATTTTACCGGTAGTTATTTGTTGTATTCTAGCCCCTTTCTTCTCTTTCCTCATCTCTCACATTTCATCCTTCTTCAACTTAGGAAAATCCTCGACGTTATGTCGATGGCACGTTCGACACGGAGTACTTCACTACTATAATAAATACTTTTACGAGAGGCATTCATTATAAAAGCAAGAGTATGACAATACAATTTGTCGACACCGCTGTTCTTCCTGATATAGATGAATACAGCAACCTCGACCCCTGTCATATCATAGAAACCCATAGCTGTATGCTCGTTTACTCCGTCACATCCAGGGCATCCTTCAACATGATTGAGGTTATTTATAAAAAGTTGAAAGACAACAGGGGTGTCTCGATTCCTTGTGTGATTGTTGGTAATAAGAGCGACCTGGAACATCAACGGAAAGTCACTGCTGAGGAGGCCAGAAAGCTTGCAGAGAAGCTGCGCTGCTCCTTTCAGGAGGCGAGTGTAAAAACCAACACAAATACAACGAGTGCATTTAAACTTTTATTTGAACAAATTAAAGACATTTGAAGCTTTATTTCGTTTTTCGAAGCTATGACAAAAGAAAGAGTCTTTTTGTCATTTTATATCTGAGATAACAAAAGCTGCTGGTGCTAGACTTAAAAAAAATTGTGTTTTGGGCAAAGAGTAGATGAGAGAGACTTTCTTAAATAACTACTTGAATAACCACTTCAAACGACTCCTGCACTTATATACTAGGCCCGTCTTTTGTTCTCATAATATAAAGTGCAGCTGTTACTTGTCCGACAAAGGTCACTCGGGCAGTTTTACACGCCATTCGTATTTTATTTCCAATCACCCTTCACATTGTTATGCCGGTCCTCACAGGAAAAGCGGCTGTGGTTATAATAATCTTTTAAACAATGAAACATTCCGCGCGCGTTGTAATTCTACTCTTGCTGTGGCAGCTAGTCGTTGCAAATGCTTTTGATTTTTCCGCTGCACTCTTAGACAATTGTGTTTGGGCCCACGTTTTCCCTCACACATCAAAGACTTTGAACGCCCTTAGGTGTAACGTAACGTAGCGGAAAGTACTCGTAGTTCAACATAAGGTTATTTTGGGAAGACTGGTCTGTAATAAAGGAGCCTGAAATCTTATTCATAGCGGCGGGTGAGTTTGAAAAACAGCTAGAGATATACACGCCGCTGTATAGTTCATGTGCGTGTAACAAAAGTGGAAAATAAGGCTTCTGGATTGTGAGCCCAGAGAACTCAATTGCTTCTGTTGTGTTGAGATCGGCCGATGATAAGGTCGAGACAGAGACGGTGAGCGGGGAACCGTCACGGACAATGTTCAGAGACACAGGCTCGGAGTCCTCAAACCGTTGTAGCAGGGAAAGATCACGAAGCGGCAGTTCACCTAGACGCAAAACGATGTCTCCTGGTTGTATGCTGCTGGTCCCACAGGCCACGCGGGAAACTTTGTAAAGGGCCGTGGCGCCATGCCGAATCAGAGCGGTCCATTCCTCTTGTGGAACGTCAGAGGCAGCATCCTTCAGCGGGATGGCGGTGAAATCCAATGGTAAAATACGGATGTCATAGCAGCCCGTCTCCTGCACCATGCGAAGGGGAGTCGCCACACGCGAGACGGGGATGGCACCCGACGAAGAAGAGAAAAAGCCCAGTGCAAGTCGTTCTTCATCCACAATCACGCCAGCAAAGCCCTGTTTGCCGATAGAGCTTCCATTCGAAATCTCAGCAACGTTTCTGATCCTGTTCTGTGGAGCAGCAGGAGGCGTCCAATCTTTTGGCAATTTTATCCCCGTGATAGTTGTTGCCTCGACAAAGACACCGTCAGTTTCGTTTGCGACACCAGCAACAAAGACCTCGCGATTGATGTCTGGGTCTTCTTTCGCCAGTCCAACCGCCTGGATCGGAGCCTTGACTCTAGATGAGTCATATTTTATGAGGACAAAATCGCCCAGGTGGTCAGTGTGAGCCACCGAAGCTTCGATGCTGACTTGTGCGACCTTCACATAAATCTTGGCCATGCTATGGTGAACGATGTCTCTATGGACAAGCACGATACCTCTTTGTGTGTCTAGGACCACTCCATAGGCGGAGCCACTAATATTGGTCCGGCAGTCGACGAGGCTGCCATAGTAGCATTCGACCAGAACAAAGCAACTTGGAAGAGAGCATAGTGCAGCCGGAAGGTTCGGTAAAATGGGGAAAGGAGTTTCGTAAGTTGGCACGTTCTCGGTGATAGAGATCATAGAGCCGAGTGTTTCTTGCTTTCACTGGAACTCGGCATTGCGGAGGCCACGAGTAATTGGGGAGAAGACTGAGATATATCGAAAGACGGTAGACGCCAGCGTTCTACACCCATCCAGTTTCATGAAATCAATTGACACCTTGGTGCCGCTGGCGATATTTACTAAGACGTCCTTAAGCACCTCTATCGAGGTGATGGGCTTCCCGTTGATTGATTTCACGAGTCCAGGACCAACTTTTGCAGACTTATGGCAGTAGACACCCTCGAGTGGCCAAAAGAAAGAAAGGGCCTGTTGGTATAAGAGGAGATGAAACATGATCCTACCGGCGTGCAAAGTCCTGGTGGGCACCATGTCGAACAGATCACAAACATAGATCTGACATTCTTTCTTTGTCTTGTGACCGTTTTCGAGGCTGAAAATGGTAAGACAGGCTTTGCCTCAGACAATTTCGTCGAAAATCTCGTCCAGCTTGAGTAAGCTATCGACAAACTGGCCATTGATGTTGAACAAAATGTTGCCTGTGCGCAATTTGTCAAACGAGGGGCCACCTTCCACCACCTGTTTAACAGTAACCATTTGTTCCAATGTAAAGTGTTCTAAGCGTATTTGGGTTTGAACTTCGTCGGGGAGCCCGAGTGCGGAGCAGTCTGAGAAGCCACGGTAAGAGAAGGAACACTGGATATCACCACGTGTGATTTTTCTGTCGTCAAGGAGGAATTAGAGTGCACGATTTATCCGGTTGGTCGGTAAGAAAAAGGCAGATCCATTGTTGACACTCCCTACCGCATTGAGAGCGACCACTTGCGCATCGATATTATATACCGGGCTACCAGAGCTTCCTCCAGACGTGTTCATATTCGCCAGGAAGTAGGGCGTGTTGTGGTCATTGTAGACGCCACCGCAGTCGGGGGGATTGCGATCCAGATGAGCCAAGACACCAGAGATGACGGTGTGTGACTTGCAGTCGTCGTTACCAGCTATCCGGATCTCGAGGTGAAGATATGCCTTTTCCGGCGAGAGCTCTAGTTCACAAACACTAGTATGTTTGAGTTCGTTCGGCTTGAACTAGATAATAGCAAAATCATGCAAGGGATCGACATAAGACACAGTGACGGCTGCGTCTTCCCCTGATTTGAACTTGACCTTTCCGAAAAACGATCCCTGGGAACAAACGTGCTGATTTTTTACGATGTACCTATGTGCTGTAAGCGAGTGGAAGAATACAAATGTTTCGGGAAATGCCTACTCATTTTTCGCGCTGGCGACGAATCCTGTCGCCTCGCCCCATCGAGCGCTCTCACAATCCGTCCGTTTAGGCCGATAGAAGTGTACTGAGACAACGGCTTGGTAAACCCTTCCATCCGCAGTTTCCCAAGCAGTGCCTGGACCGGCTGGATGTCATTCGTTAGCTGTCGTAGGATTATTGGATAACATTGGATGGGAGATCATACCGGGAAGCGGGAGAGTATCTGATGTCATGGAGATGGACAATTTGTTAAGTTTTAAGGGCAATAAACAGTAAAAAGGAGAGTCTGTGCGTTGTTTCGGCTGAGTGATGACAACTGGGGCAGGTGTGCCATTTATAAATCACACTGGCCAGACTTCTTCTGCTTCGTATTATTTGTCACCCAATAGGGGATTCTCTAAAGTTGTACACCGCTTGTCTATTAAAGGGCACTTGTAAGATGCCCTAGAAAGGAAATCACGTCCTTTCGGCTGCAGCCGGTGTAATACGTATGCTGAAATTTTGGGCTGAAAACGCATCAATTGCCCAACCATGCGAAATAACCTTGCTCTGAGTTGAGCTACACGAAGACAATGTTTTGTTTACCGGGGAGCGAGACATGTCGGTTGCGCAATTCTTGGTTTTGTATTACTATTCTACTTTTGATAGATTGTTAAACGTAACGATTTCTTGCCTGATGAATAAATATGGAAAAATATTTGCTATATATATTATGTCGGCAATTCCTAGCACAGATCTAGTAATACACCTGTCTTTATCACTCGAAGTTAACGTCGAAATTGTTTCATATTTCGATAAGAAAAACAATTCAAACGCATCCTTGTTCTATTATACTCCGAAGAACTGCCTCTACTTTCTTTTGAATCATCGCTTGGGCAAAGGCAAGTTCTGGTTTTTGATTACCAGAAAGTAACGACGCCGAAAACAAATCGCGGCTGAGACTACATATTTTCGCAGAAACAGTGCCGTGTCTAGGGCACACCTGATCGTTTGGATACACGCGGAGGTACCTGCCAAGTGTCAACTTTCAAGTTTGTGAATAATTCAGTAGAAATAAAACTCACATTACGAAGCTTTGGATGTGGAAACAGTGCTCTCCAGGACTGATGTCTGGCACAACAAAACCTTCAAATGCTTGGGGTAAAGGAGAACAAAGAAGCGATGGGGCGATTGGAGCAGTTAGGGTACTGCCACTTATAAAGTTGTCGCCTGTGCGAATGATTATGTAGTCGTAGAACAGATCTGGTTCATCCGAGACTAATGGTTGTAATCCATAAGCAAAATGGCCGAATGCCGAGGGGTGAGAACCAGCGCCCGTTGACGAAAAGACCGCCCTTTCCATGTTTGCGCGTTGGGTGAAGAGCACATAGCAGTTGTAAGAACTGCGGAACCGGTCTATTATAGTTTGTAAGCCTACCACCCTGAACAGGTCGGCGACTATACACTGACACTCGAGTCATCTCGTTTCCGTCGTATACCGCACCTCCTTGCCAGCCAACTCGGTTTTGGTTGCGATCTTGAGACACACGACGTAAGCAATACGAGGGACTGCCACGACGACGGAACTAGCGAAACGAGCCTTCACCTGGCCAATAATACAACCAAGGGATGGCTGCCCACGTCTTCGTCACAGCTGCTAACCAATAAGGGGAGTCCTATAGACGCCGGGTAGCCACTTTTTTGTGATATGAGTCCGAGAATTTTCTCAAGAGGTGGTTGGCTGTAACTGTTCGTATGTGTCCGAATAGGAGTAGCGATTTTGACTAGCGTGGGGTTCATGACAAGTCATGATACATAGACAAAGCTTTATTAAGTATAGACTACGACTAATTTTGAGAGTAAAGTAAAGAAAAATAAAGTATAGCTACAAAAATAATGGAAGAAAATAAAATACTTGGGGCGCCCCAAGCATTTATTTTCAACTCACCCCGTACAACATTTTTTTTGATTTATTTAACTACTTTTACTTCTTCATTACTTCTTCTTTTTTTCTTTTTCATTCTATTCTTTACACTTTTTTCGGCTCATCATTAAACATGGCAAGACGGAAACACACGACTATAAAGACGTCGGTGAACGAATTTTATCTTGATGATTTAAGTTTTTTTAACCCTCGAGTGGTTGCCGCGATTAAAGAAGAGAAGAAGAGAGCACAAGAGGAACGAAAGGGTGCTGAAGCAAGACTTGCCCGTGTGTTGCCACTGCTGGTCGCTGCCCTCGCTGCAAGACACCTCCTCGGTAAAGCTTCGGACGATACAGATGGAAGTAACATTGGCGAACTTGCAATCAACTTTGTCTACCGCCGGCGGGTTCGCAATGAGTGGGGATCTGAGGTTGTTTTGTTCTACGAGTGGTGGCGTCGTGGTAAAGAATTTTGCAGTGAACTGCGTTCACTGGCGGTGCAGATGAGATTGCTAATGTTTTTTCCGTGCGCCTGTCGGGTTTTGTTGCAAGAGGATGTCGCTGACAATTCCAAACTTGACTTCGAGACCAAGCTGAAATTCAGCCTACAGCTTCGTCATTTACAAAAAACTCGAAAAAACCTCAAAGACCTTCCGCCTCTCAAAAGCCTGGGCGATCTGCCGTCAAGTCTCCGTGACAATTACGAATTCGACGAGAACAACCTCTTACGGAGGTCACCAATCAGGATACGAAGGATACTGCAGCAAAAGGAGCTTGGACTTGTACGACTAGGACAAACACACGTTAATCACTTGACCAACCTCGATTTCGCTGAAGCGGTCGTCAACCTCTCTATGAGAAGGCACCTTCGGAAAAACGCAAAACTTTTGTTTCGAAAGGCGATAATGAAGAATATAAACATTACGAGTGTCTTTGCCGTTAGCGACATTGAAAAGAGCTCTATAGACTCTATCGCCGTACCGTTTCGCTCACATGGCTGGTGGGATGTCGCTGTCAGGCCTAATATCCAAAAGCAAGAATGGCTTGTCTTTCTCCTTTCTAGCGATGCACCGAGGCCACCAAATTGTCGAGGCGCGGAATTTCTCCGAGTCCCCAATGCTCACAACAAAGCTAACAAAAACTTCTTCATTTTCCCTTGTCTACGGGCCATTTCAAACGACCTGTCTCAGTTATGCAACACGATACGACAACGCCAGAGTTGTTTTAATACAGACGTGCAGACAGTGGCGGCAGAGGTTAAGAAGATGGTGGAAACCACTATTTTAAGATCTCGACATAGCAAGACTTCAGAAAGCAAAGGCCTCAACGGAGACACGGTGGACACCAATCCGAAGACGAAGGATTGGGGCGGTGAGAGTGGGGACAAAGCAAGCATGGTAAAGAAGACACAAGAAGCGGCAGAAACACTGACAGGTTTACACGGCTCGTTATCGAAGCAGTCCGGCGCTGTCAAAACAGCTGACGTGGTGAGGCGGGAAGACCATCTCAGGCTTGTTTCGCGTATGCTGTTAACCGAGTGCGACATTAAGACGCTCGACAACGGTGCGTTTCTAAACGACAACATTATCCAGTTCTGCCTCTTCACTTTGAGTGAAAAATACTACTGTCGCAAGGTCTATATGTTCAACACGTTCCTGGTCAAAAACTTGAGACAAGGTATATCTTGCGACAACTGGTCGAAAACTGCGAATCCAGCCGAGTACGAGTTTATTTTCGTGCCGATTCACAACAGAGGCAACCACTGGAACGGCGCGATACTATGGCACGACGCGTTGGCTACCGCCGGCTCCGACCGGCGTACGTTTTCTCTCGCCTTTGTTGATTCCCTTCACAGGTTTGCGGACAATCGCGATAGCCGTTTGTTGCAGGACAATTTTTCGCGACTTCACATCGATGTCATCGTCAAAGCACCCCCAAAAGACCTGCCCAAACAAGACAACGATTGTGATTGTGGAGTTTTTGTCCTTGCCTTTTTTGAACATTTCTTACAAGATCTGATCCAGTTTAAACGTGCAGTGGAAGAAGAGACGAGCCTCGACTGCGTTGTGTACGCCGACATCTTACGAAGTGTCATCAGGGAAAGGGCAGAGGCGGCAAAAAGAGCAAAAGATGCGGAAGAGTCCAAAAAATTGGATTCGGCCTCGCCAGCTGATGGTTGGGAGGAGCGGGGCGTATCAGCTCCCCCGTCTCAAAGACTGCTGACAATAAGCTCTGAGGAGGCAACTGTTCAATTCGGTACGCAGTTTTAAAACACAATTCTCGTCCCTTCATTTCAATGACTAACAATGCCAAGCCCGCTTTATACGAGGTATCCAGGACCAAATGGAGCCTACTGACTGGCCAGTCTTCGTGCAAAAAGTGCCGGACTTGGTCAGATCAATAGATCCCTGTTTTGTGCCAGACGACAGCCTCATCGCAGCCGGCGATCGTTCCCTGTCCAAAGATGCTCAAGAGTCCAAGCCATGGCCCATAGACATAAGCTCCTCGCCTCCGATTATCACCGAACCCCTTTTCGAAACGCAAGCCTACCACGTCGTCGCAAGTACGGTTCCCCTACCGCCCATCGATACACAAGTTTCATGTACGCAGTCAAGTATATGGGCTGCCGGCTTCAACGAAAGCGATATCTTCTCAGGGCGCGATTCTAAGACAGACTCATACGACACCCCTGCCACTAGTGTCAGCTCCCCAGATTTTACGTCAGTCGCCGTTAGCTTGAAGCGGAAGGCTCCCGAAGAGCCTCTTCTATCTACGCCGTCGCCAAAGAGGTTTGCGGGGTCCGCTGCCACGGCGAGAGACGTTTCTTTCTCTCTGCTCAGGACACCGGACATGGCACTTTTGGACGTGTTCACAACGGGTTTTAGCGACGCATTATTCGTAGGCAGGAGAGGTAAGGAATTTCACTAAAGTTTTTATCAACAACAATGCTGACGAAGATAGTCTTAGGAGAAACCTCACCCATGACAGACGCGCATTTACCACCGAACGCCACCATTCAAGTAAGGACTAGTTTCAACGCTCATAGTCTTATCTTGATGCTGACTTTTTATAGCCAGTCGACTTTTACCACTCGTCTGCCCATAGGTAAGATATTACTATGTTTCGTCTTGTATTTAACGCCCGGCTAATAAAGTCAGGCTTTGAGAACAGTCTGCCAAAAGCCGGTCGGTTTAACACCCCGCATCCGATAACCGACACAACACGTAAGCCCATATTCAATTACCCCTCAGTCGCTTTTAGCCGTCGCTCACCGCTTTAGGATCAAATGGCACAATCCTAGCAGAACTCTACAAGCCACAAAGGCATATTCTTCAACATAACCACAACACCGAGTTTCTTATTTCCCTACCATACAAATGGGAAGACGAAGTACAAAACTGTTTTTGTACCAATCTGTCTACTAGAGTGCCGTGCTCAGGTGTATCTTGTGTAGTCAGCGCTTGCGCAGGCTGCGAGAGCTGTTGGTTTTGGCAACGTAAAAAAGAACGTATGCTTCCATACCTATAGGGTGAGCTGCAATCCGCTTTGGCTAAAGCTAAACTCTACTGTTTTCATGTCAGCATTCAACCAGGTATAATCCACCTGTTTTTGCGTCTCAAAGACACAGAACGAAAAGTGCAGAAGGCGTTCAAGGAACGGCCTAAGAATCAGTTTAATTGGGAGCTTAAAAGATATGTACAGGGCCATGAATGTTGCGTTAAGGGCGATGTCTTCACCGTCTGTTTGCATTTACCTTTATACAGGCAGTCGATAAGAAGGTTTGTAGTTGGTTTATGTCTTAGACCTCTATAGCCTTTTTATACAGACCCATGACTATAAAATAACGACTTCACATCCTTCAGCAACTTGAACTTATCCATCCACACGATCATAAGGCGTGATCGACTCAAGAATCGACTCCTCGTTTAAAACCTGTATGGTAGCCAGGAATGTGTATTCGATGATTATATCGTAGGTCGTAATAAAAGCAACATCCGCCCAACCCCATTCGTTTTCTTTCGGCCGCTGGAGGGAGAAGTTAGAGAGAGGTATTAGATGAAGCGAAATATCTTACATACCATAGCTGTGTGGCAGAATTCTGTACGGCAGAGTGCACCATACACGCCTCATCTGCAGCGAGGTTCGTTCTTAGAGTCTTAAGACTTTGCGTTATCAGGAAGGGGAAGAGGGGAAAGAAAATAATGCCAACTCGGTTGAAAAAAGTAAGTTTGTTTGAGAGGGGTTAAGTTGTCTACCCGACGGAGCCCGAGTCTTTAGCTAATTAGGCATCAACGGCTTTATAGCGGGGCAGTCCGAAATTCCGAACCTCGGAAAAACTTCAATTTACGAAAATGGTCAGTTTGAGCTGTCAACTATTTTAAAGCAACAGTAACGAGGCTTTTGGGAATAAAAGATGTTTGTAGTATCTCACGATCTGTGGTCAATCCGCTGCTAGCCCTGTGTATAGTTTGCCGTTCTGCGGCTGACTGGCAGTTGCTCGTGCATTGCATAATGTCTTAGACATAGGCGGTGAAATGGTCGCAAGGGTGGTTTAATCCAATCGGGTCACTTGAATTTATACAACCTGGGAACTGCCCAGATATATGGGACATGTCGACTGGGCGCCAGAAGGACAAAATGTACAAATACCGCTGGTTCGCACCAGTTTGCACACCGCTCGAAACTGCACATTCCCATGCTTGTCGCCTCGTCTGCCTTTTTGCAGGACTGTCTACGCAACGTAAAGCATCTTTTTCGGCCTGATGCCCACTTGCTCCCTGTACTCTCTTTTGATCATGCGGTTCTCTCGTTCGCCTTCTCCAATAGGAACGTTTGGTCTCCCACCGTCCCCTACCTCGACGGTAGAAACCTCGACAGTATTTTTAGATGAGGTAAGTCAAAATGAAGACGAACATGGTGCAAGATAATATTAAATCTCGTCTCGGCTTATTATATAGAGTTTGCTTGAAACAGCAAACCCACCCTTTACACTGCTCGATGAGGAAGAGTGGATAGGCTTCTCTTGCCGGCCGAGTGCCTCGCAGACACGCTTTTTGCGGAGGCGATCAACATCCTGCCTTCTATTTATGTGGTCGGCCAGACTCCCCGTGGTGAGAGTTACGTCGTAGTTCCTTGGTCTCGTCAAAAGGGCCTTCGTGAGAGCGGCATTTCACTTCAGAATCTGCCTGACAACGTCCTCGCAGACGCTTGGCAGGCCAGCGAAGGGGCGATACGAATTCACGGTATAGTGGAAGCGGAGCGACAGTCTCAGATTGCATTTGCCAGCAGTGCAGCCGACACCGCCAGGTCTGGGTGTCCCAAGGGAGTCATTCGATTTTACCGGTACCATGTGGACGCGGAGCACAAGCACCTCTTGGTGGGGATGGTTTGGGCGGAATAGATTAAGAACCTTGAAGTACGTGTTGCTTGAAAGAAAACCCAACTCTGGCACTATCAAAAGACTAACATGTCTAGGATTCTTCTATCGACGTTCAACATCGATTTACGACGTTCTGCCGCTGTCTTGGCCTGCGTCTCCTTGAGCGTGTGGACAACTTGACCACGGCGACGGTTGAGGTGCTACTGAAACGGGAACCGAAAGAATGGATCGAGAAGCTTAAGGTCAGAGAAAGCTTGCGCGCGACGATATTGAACGGAGTAGATGCAAAACTAGAGCTACACGTCTGCTTTCTGGTTCGTATTATAGTGGAACTCGCCGGCGGTCCACACAATGAGAACCATAGCGACATGGACGGAGAGAGATCTGCAAACGAGAACCTAGCTGCTCTGGGAGCCCTTTTCGGCGTCGATACCGAACCAGGGCCGGTGTCCGTTGGCGGATCTGACGCAAAGCATGCGAAGGAGCTTCTTTTACAACACCTGGAAGGGGCGAGAGATGAGGATGAATTGGACTTGGACAAATTGATGCACTGGCTCGGGTTTCCCATAGACTAGAGCCTACCCTAGGGCTTGCTGACCTGTCTGCCGCACAATACAGTTGAGGATTGCTGGCCAAGGTAAGAACCTTCCGAGCCGGGCTGTTGTTGTTCTTGGACTAACAGAAACAAAACAGAGACCTATCCTTCATGAAAACAGACGGGCTTCAAAGCCTCCAAAACGGGGTACTGTGGTTTCTTTGTGAACATGCCAAGCGGAGATTGAACGACGCCTCGCTGAGAGTATGGCTGGACACAAAGGAAGGCAGGAGCGAGGAGAAGCAGATCACAGAGACGCTATGCAAAAGCGAGAGATGGGATGAGATGGCGCTGTGTCTCTCGGCCTTGTACTACATACAAGTTCTTCGAAGCACAGATACGCACGACGAACCTGCGCACGGAAGCCACTTTTGCGACTTTGTCTGTCACTTGAAGGGCTATCACTTGGAGGGCCATCAACCGGGCAGCCGGGCGATGTGGGAACATGTCGCTTGCTCTTTCCTCCGTGTTACTACTGGCCACAGTCTAACCGGGCCAGCGACTCGCGGCGGGCGCGGCTGCGGCGGCTCGACGACAGCATCGGCGACGCGGGACCCCGGCAAAAGCCTGCGGCTGTGTCGGGCGCTGCTGCGGGACCTGGCCGACGAGTTCGGCCCAGGAAACGCCTTGCTGGTGCGGGCTTACTACGACACCTTCTAGGTCTGCGTGGCCCATGGCGACTGCGCTAGGGCCGCCGTGTTCGCGCGGCGCGCGTGCGAGGCGCGCGTCGTGCGAAGGCTCGGACAGCCCCGACACGCAGCGGGTAGCGGCGCTGGCGTCCGACCCGGCGGGCCACGCCATCTTCAAGGCGTTCGGCAGCGCGTGGCAGACGGCGAAGGACTCGGTCCGTCCCCCTGAGCAAGACGAGGCGCGATTCAACAAGTGGTCGTTTTGAGAATAGATAGAGGGATTTGAAAGTACCAGTCGATTTTCCAAATGAAAGTCCTAAATTGGACAGATCTAGAAGCTCGGTTTTGGTGTCATGGCGGGAAATTCTCCGAGCGTTGACTTGACTCACACCAGCAGGACCCGGCTCTCTGGGTCGGAATTAATCACTAGCATTCCCGGGCATGGTGGGCACACCTTTTGGGGCCATCGTGGCACAGATGGGAAACCTGAAACCTCTCGACCGAGAATTGCAGCTGATGAGGGGAAGGGGCTCTGGATCCTAGAGGTTGTCTGGTACATACCAAAGGTACCTAATAAAACTTTGGAATGCAGACTGGACATGATGCAGTGGGCCGTGCGGCGGGCGGCAGTCAGTAGAGTAAAGTGGTTGCGCCGCCTTGACCACCCGCCCGTATTAGCATGTGACGCAATCGCCGTGGCTGGCTTCGGAGCTAGCTTACCTACTAAGGTGAAGCGATCGTTCCTGCGCCATCAGATGGCTCCCATCACCAGCCCTCCTTTCTGCAAAAGGCCATCCTAATGTTTTGTTGGCCGAGGGCTTGCGCATTTTCTACCCTACCTGTGCTGCGATACAAGTCCACGGCGATTATTTCGAGTGCGCAGAGACAACAGCAGCCTCGAGACTTGGTCGGCGGCGCATTCCAAATTCGATTGGGTACCCGACTTGCGCCCCCCCCCCCCCAAAGTTGACCTCCATGGTGGGGCTCGGGTGACGCTCTCTCGTGGCAAGGCCTCGCTCTCTCTGCCTCTCTTCCTGGCGGCCACTTCACTCACATGGTCCCCCTCCACTTCCACTGTCGTTGCCGCTACACCAGCTCATCGCCATGGAAGATTTAGCCTCGGAATTTCTCAGCACGGTGGAGGAAGCCGTGCTGCGCGGCGCCGTTGATGACCGCGACGATGAGACACTGCACGAGGCCGTCGCGGCCACCGACTCGGCCAAGAAGGGGACGAGCCTCCGCCAGAATTTGTTCAAAGCTGCCAGCCTGCAAGACAAGCTTTTAGAAAAGTAAGATGCTGTCCTGCCGTGCCATACCCGCCATGCCCTGTCTTTGCCATGCCCTGTGCCAATCTCACACCATGCTCTCTCTTGCCAGGCTCATCTCCCAGATGATACCCGTCGACGATGCGGCGCCCGACCAAGTCCCCGGCATCGCAGGCGCTGACGACCACCACATGCCCACCTTTGGCGAGCGTCCGGGCTTTACCGTGACTGCCATGTCCAACAACTTCCGCCGCTTCAACGCACGCATCGGCGTCATGTTCAAGTTCCAGGCCCGCGTGCTGCGCGTCTTGTCCTGGCGCCGGCCCTCGCACACGCTGTCGCTGCTGGCCGTCTACACCTTTGTCTGCCTCGACCCCTATCTGCTGTGCGTGCTGCCCTTGGCCATCGCCCTCTTCGGAATATTCGTGCCCTCGTTTGTGGCTCGCCATCCCGCCCCCTCCTCGGACCCCGACCGCGTCCGCAACCTGGGCTACTCGCCGCGCGGCCCCCCGCTAGCCCCCGCCCGCACCGTCAAACCCGCAAAGGAGCTCTCTCGCGACTTCTTCCACAACCTCGGCGAGCTGCAGAACACCATGGACGACTTCAGCGTCGCACACGACAAGATTGTGGCCCTGGTGGTGCCCACGACCAACTTCTCAGACGAGGCTCTGTCATCGGCTATCTTCGTCCTGCTCTTCGCCGCCTGCGTCTTCATGATGCTCGCTGCCCACCTCCTGCCGTGGCGTCTGCTTGCCCTGGCCGGCGGCTGGGCTGCCATCTGGTCTTTCCATCCGAGCGTGGCACGTCTGATCCACCAGGCGAAGCGCCACTATATGCTACCCGGGGACGGAAAGCCCGGCGACGGCGGCAAGACCGGCAAGCCCGACATCACCAAGCCCATAAACAAGAATGTAGAGGGCATATTTGACGACTGGGTCCGCTCCGACATCATCCTGGACGAGGCGCCCGAGACGCGCGAGGTCGAGATCTTTGAGCTCCAGCGCGTCGACAGTTCGAGCGGCGAATGGGAGCCCTGGATGTTCAGCCCATCGCCCTACGACCCGCTCTCGGCCCCGCGCATAGCCGGCGAGCGCCCGCGCGGCACCCGCTTCTTCGAGGACGTGCTGGCCCCCGACGGCTGGGAGTGGAGCGAGAAGAAATGGGCCCTCGACCTGTGGAGTCGCGAGTGGGTCGAGGAGCGCATCATCACGGGCGTCGAGGTCGAGACGGAGGGCGAGCGCTGGGTCTACGACATCTACAGCGAGAGCGACGCCGCCGCCACCGCCGGCATGATCAGCGTCGTCGTCGACGCCCAGTCGCCGCCCGTCCGGAATCCGAACGGCCACGGAGGAGCCGCCGCCGCCAGCCATCATCACCTGCCGAACGTGAGCTGGGAGGAGGGCGAGGAGGGCATGGGCAGGCGCGGCGAGTGGAGGAGGCGCCGCTGGGTGCGCATGGTGAAGCGTAAGAATGTGAGCTGAGGTACTGTCTATTATAATATGTCTAGGTATCTTGTCTGGAGCACCAGGCAAGTGTGTAAAAGAAACCCCTAAAAATTTGAAAACAAAATTATAGCAGATAAGCAAATGCACACCCACTGTAGAAACATGTATTGTACATGTATCGCACAACTTGCTGTAACAGCACTGGCTCGGGCTCATCGATATATGTTCTACCACCAATCGCTCATGACAAGTCCGAGAATGCCTGTCAACCGATCGGGTAGATATGAAGCAGATCTGGTTTATAGGCATAAGAACAGTTAAGATGGAAGCGTGGATAATGTATCATTTAGCCGGTAGTAATAATGGGCAAAGAGGGAGAAAAGCTTCTCAGGAGAAGTACAGAGAGAGAAACAAAAAGATATCAACAAAACCTTAAAGAACAAAAAGGAAGCGAGGATCACCAATAAAGCAATAAACCAAAAGGGACTGGGAAACCATGCTCGATATATTTAGATACCCAACCACTATCGCTCCAACTACGGGCTACATATAAATACCCTGCTTTACCCAATGACCAAATATCACATAACCCACTCCTAGTAGTAGCACCCGCCATCGCTTCGAGAAATGCATCTCTCTTCTTCTTCAAGAGGCTAACTGGAACCCATCGCGAAAGAAAAGGGCCCCTGAATGGTTGCCCAGACTGACTCGCTAGAACAAAAAGAAATACCAGAAGCTCGCTCTTCCATTTCCCATGCGCCGTGCGCCGTGGACAAGCTAGACGAAAAGGGTATTCGTCCACAGTGGCACCGGCAGAAAGAAAGGGGAGTTTAAAAAAAAAAGAAAATAATCCATGCTTGCAATGAAATGCTTCAAGTTGTGTCAGAGAGAGAGATGGATAACCGGAAAAGAACCCCCCGAGATGAACCAGCGCGGCCAAGGTTATTCCTTTAGAACCATGCGGTCGAGAATCTTGTGGACGCCTTTGCTCTTGCCCCTGCCGTCGTCAATCTCGTCGGCCATCTTGCGGGCGCGCTCGATGAGGGTGGCGATGACCTTGCGTGTGTACTCGAAGCTCTTGGTGCTCTCCATGTAGGCCACAGCATAGCGCTTGATCTCCTCGTTGCTAGTCTTCTGCTTGAGGATGTTGAGCAGCTGGAGATTGGTCGGGTTGCAGCGGATGCTGTGGATGACAGGGAAGCTGAACTTCCCCTCGGTCAGGTCCTCGCACATGCCCTTGTTGGCCGTGTACTCCTTGCTGAAGAGGTTCTGGTAGTCGTCGGCGATCTGGAAGATGAGGCCGATGATGTTGACCAGCGGCACGCAGTCGATCAGGCTCCGCGACTCGGCCTGCATCAGCTTGATGCCCAGCCGGAATAGCCCGCCCGTCTTGTTGCTCACCATCTCCAGGTAGTCGTCCTCGGTCGGGCACGTCAGCGTGTCGCGCCAGAACAGATCCATGCCCTGCCCGCGGTGCAGGTTCACGAGCTCCTCGCAGTAGACGTTGATGGTCCGCTGGTTCTTGAGCTTCTGGAGCTCCTGCAGCGCGAGGAAGTAGACGTAGTTGGAGCTGTTAATAGTCTGCGGCACGCCAAAGATGGTGTGTGCAACTGGAAAGCCTCGCCGGAGGAGACTGTTATCCTCAACATCGTCGACCAGCAGCGAGGCTGAGTGCAGCATGCCCACCACCTTTGTGATGACCTCGAGACTATCAGACGGCACCTCGAGCCAGGCGTCAAACGCCTTCACCAGCATGGACCGAAAGTCCTTGCCTGGGTGGTCGTTCAGGTAGTCAAACGGGCCTGTGAGCACCTTCTCCTTCTCGTCCGACCATGTCCGCCTCGAATGAGAGAAGAAGTCTTCCGTGGCGAAGCGGCTGGGGTCGGGCGGGGGCTGTGCCATGGCGCCTGGGAGGAATGAGGTTGTCGATATTGACGTCTTGCGGCTCTTCTGTCGTGCGTGCCCCAAATGTGACGGGCCTGCGGGTGACTCGCCTTCAGGAACCGTTTTAAGGGGTGCTTTGGACTGGAGGGGCTGGTTTAGGAGAGACTGACTGAAAGAGACTGAGTAGGTGGACGAGGTCCGGGGAGGTATAGAGGCAGGCAAGACGGCAGGGTTTGGGTTTGGGTTTGGGTTCGGTGTCGGTGTCGGTGTCGTCGGGTTGGGGGTTGAGCTTGATGAAGACGGATCCGCCATGGTGACGCGGTCCTTTTCCGACGACTGCCTACCTAGGTAGAGACGGTCGCCGACCGCAGCGGGGTACTTTACCCAAGGTTCGAAGGTTGACGGGTCGGGCGGCGGGGCCAGAGTCTATCCGTATCACCTGGTAACGAGGTAAGGTTGCAGTTGTGATAACTACCGACGACCCAGCTCTATTAGCCCCCACCCAAGTGGACAACTCGACCTCTGGGGTGCATGGTAAGTAGAGAGGGAAAGAGAAGGCTGCGTCAGGATATGTCGGTGAGGTGAGGGGTACAAACGAGGTAGCTAGCTATGAGTAAGTGTAGTGCCTAGGGCGAGCTTGGGAGCCTGCTCGTGTTTGACGGGATGGTGTTGTGTTGTGGCCGGCGGGGCTGTTTGCTGCCGAGAGCTACCTGGAGCTTGCTGCCTACGACGGTAGCGTGCCTTGTGGTGGGGAAGATCGATGCGGGGAGCTTTATCGTCCGCGGCGATAACCACTGGCGCGGCGATGGGCACCAGGTCGACAGCTGCTCCAAATCGCAATCGCCAAAAAGAGAGAACGAGTGCGAATGCAAGAGCGAAAGCTGGTCTTCTTCACGTCATGGAAACCACCCCGCGTCAGATGGAGCAGTCCTGTATTGGCCGCGAAAGCAATGCTGGAAACGGTAATGAAGGGCGAATCCGACAAGAAGGAAAGTAAGCTGGCCAAGCCTGTGGAATAGAAGACAAGAGAATGAATATGCCAATTGCATGTAACTGAAGAAAGGGAAGACTCCTAGCTTCCAATGAAGGTGTTGGTTGAGGCGAAGACCCGTCCTGGCCGAGGCTGCCTGCCTGGAGATTACTACCTTGACATCCAACGATATCTGCGGAAGGTAGTATGGAGGAAAGGCAAGAATAGCAAGAGTACTCCAGAGCTGTTAATGTGTTCACTACCAGGTACGATAGGATGACAGGAGGAATGATCATTCCTGAAGAAGGCCCCGCCCGTCCGGTCTACGCCGTCGAACAACTTTGACCACCTCAACACCGCGGTATCCGTGACCTACATTGATGCAATCTAGCTAGGGGTTGGCTGTGTCGACTGGGGTCCCCACCAAACCGAGAACTTGACAGTTTGATAAGCAGAGGGGCGGGTAGAGCAGAAGTTACAACGAGAGGTAATCATTGAAGAAGTCTAAAAGACTTTATTGGGCGTTTTCTCGTTTATTAATGTATTAATGAATGTATATCATTATTTGGTCAAGGTGGAGCAGTTGGAGGCATGGAAGTTGGCAGACAAGCAATCTTCAGCCTCGTGTTACCTGACACTAAGCAGTGCTGGATTGTATCCTCAGGACAGAACGGAGCACACGTGTACTTTCCACGATGAACGCCGCCGCGATCTGGTTTCAGGGCCTAGGGATCTATGCATGTGTCGCCTTGACTGTTGTATCGGTTCCAAGGAAAGGCACCTTGCGTTTGCATGTCCAGGCTGGGACGATGTTTCGAACCTTGTCTATGAACCTAGTGTCGGGTCCGCCCATCACTACCAAGCGAGCCTGGAATCTAGCAGCTCAGGCGAGCGGTGCTAGTGCCTAAGCAATGAGCACGAGCGCACCACTTTCCCCGGTTTCATCTCTGCCGATTTCCAGCGCGCCTGCATGTGCCTGCGTGCCTGCGTTGCGTTCCCGCGCCATCTTTTATCGAACGTTGTTATCAGCGACCGGGGTTGCGCTTATCGGCGCCGTTGCTGTGGCACCGCGTGCAATAGCGGAAATGGTAAACCAGCCCAGTGGTATCGCTGAGTCGCTGGCTAAGGGGAACAAAAGGTCTAACGGGCTGGTTTGGGAAATCTCGAGTCAATACTCTGCCGAGACAAGATTGACTGTTTGTCCATCGACGTAAAAAACCCCACTCCGGTTTTTCCTTCTCTTGTTCCTTGTTTCTTCTCCATTTATGTTAGCACATCCCGCATCGGCAACAGCCTTCACCATCACATCTTCAGCGTGCCTTCCATTCCCGACAGGCCAAAAACATCGCCAGCTTGCTGCGCATCTCGTTTGCCCCGAACCGCCGCGACACACTGTAAATTGCACGGGGACCCCAATTGGCATCCTGACGTGAGACAGGACACTAGACAGTGGGAACTGATTGAGCATTCCGGCATCTGGGCGCAATCGATCGCATTAGATCGCATCGAAGTCAACAGTGGACGGGCGCATTGCGACGCAGAGAGCGCAAAGAGTTGCGACATCGGGATCGCATCGCGCACCTGGCCGCCCTCGTCTTCTATTCTCAGCTCGCTCTCCACAGCAACACTCACACACATAACACACCTCCACAATGGAATCTCTCCTCTCACTCGCCTTCGACAACCTGTCGTCGTTTGACGGCGCCAAGATCAAGAAGGGTCTCAAGCAGGTGGAAGGGCTCCTCGCGCAGATCTGCCTTTCGGGGCCGAGCAGTTCGCGGAAGCCAGCAGCAGCAGCAGCGCCGGCCACTGGACAGCAGCAGGAAGACAAGACGTCGTCGGCGGCCCCAACATCGCCGCCGCGCAAGGTGCTCTCGGACCTGCCCGGCGACCCGGCGTTCCGGGAGTTCTTCAAGCTGCAGGAGGGCTTCGAGTGGAACGTGGCGCAGCGCGTGCTGACGACGCTCGACTGGCTGGTCGCGCGCGGTGGCGACGGCAAGTACGACCTACTGATCGTCAACGCGCTGGACCTGATCCAGGGCGTGCTGTTGCTGCACCCGCCGAGCAAGTCGCTCTTCTCGCGGAGCGTGCACATGAATGTGTGTTCTTTATCTCTACCTACTCTGAAGAAACCTGGGAAACCCCCCCCCCCCCCCCGCTGACATTTCCCTCAGCTCCTCCTCGACCTCATCGAACCCATCAACTGCCCGGCGATCCAGAGCGCGACCATCATCACGCTGGTGGTGGCGCTGCTCGACGCGCCGCACAACATCCGCATCTTCGAGCAGCTCGACGGCCTGCTGACCATTACGTCGCTGTTCAAGAGCCGCGACACGGGCCGCGAGGTAAAGTTCCGCCTGACCGAGTTCCTGTACTTCTACCTGACCCCCGAGACCCCGTCCATCCCGCGCGCCAACCCGGCCGCCGGCCCCGGACTGCTGCAGCGCAGCCCCAGTAAGCTGGCCAAGGTTTTCGGAGGTGGTGCTGGCCGCGTCGCTGCAAGTTCCAATTCCAACGCTGCGGCAGAGGCCGCCGCCGGCCGCGACAGGGCCGCCAGCGAGAGCAACGGCAACACCCTGTCCGTCGAGACCAAGAAGCACTACGTCGACCGCTACCTGCCCGGCGTCGTCGACGAGCTGCTCAAGGACCTGGATACGTACAAGCCGTTTGACGGGGTGGCGCTGTGAAAAAATTTGCGGAGCAGAAAAGAAATCAAGGACAGAGGGGCGCTGGTTTTGTGTGTGTGTGTGTGTAATACCCGTTTCTTTCCTTCTTTCTTCACTTCTTTCTTCACTTCTTATTCTGTCAATAAAGCCCCCTTATCTGCACATACCTCCCTTATTTCTTCTTATTTCTTATTTCTGTCACGGTTCTGGCGCGGCGCATTTTCCTTTTATTCAAGACGAAGAAATAGAAGGGCAATAGGGAGAAACAGGGCGGTAGGTGATGGGGATGGGGATGAGGGTAGGCAGGCGAAGGGGGTGAAATGGACTGCTCTTTTTTTTTTTTTTTTTTTTCAATTCTGGAGTCATCATGTCCGTGTACAACTATTGTATTTCTCATCTCTCTCTCTCTCTCTCTCTGTCTATCGTCATTCATCTTTCATTTGTCAGCCAGGCCTTTCCAAGCAGCAGCAGTGGGAGTCTACAAAAAGTCCAAGGGCATACATATAGAAGGGATAACGGCGTTTGGGCAAAAATTGCTTTCACAGGAATAGGTCGGTCCGCTATCGATAGGTGCGGCGGCGGGGGGGGGGCTGAACACAGTTCCCTCTTGTACTTTTTACAGAGAGGGTGTGTGTGGTGTGTGTGTGGTGTGGAGTATATGTCTCTCAGGAGGAAAAATCAAGGGGCGTTTCTCTCTCTCTCTCTCCCTCAAACACGAAGGCGTGATACACTCACTGTTTTGACCATTCAGGTGTCTCAAATCTGGCATGTATGGTATTTACTTTTATATTCACACATTCGAGAATGCATATATGCAAGCCAACTATATTCATGAACGTCATCAGACAGGCCCAGTTGTGACGCCCGCCCTGAAAAAAAAGCACCCGCCTTGGATCCTCGCCTGCACCCTCACCGCGCCCTGTCGTCGGGCGGTTCCGGCGAGGTTGGAGACACGTACTCCGTCGGGCTGGAGCCGTACAGTTCGAACCGCCCGCCGGAGGGGTAGTGGGGCTGTGGCACAACAGGCGGCGGCGCCGCGGGGGAGATGTCGCCTGGCGGTTCCGACGGCAGCGGCGGCAGCGGCGGCGGCTGCTGCTGCTGCTGCTGCTGCTGCTGCTGCTGCTGCTGCTGCCGCTGGGACGGGCTGATGCGCGAGTCGATCTCGACGGGCACGGCGATGTCGTCGGGGTCGTGGGGCTGGAAGGCGCCGAGCCTGTCCCTGTGCTCGACGCCCGGGGTGGTGACGGCCGACGTGTCGGGCGGCGTGTTGTCGGTGTAGGGGCCCGGCACGGCGTCGGGGCCGAAGTAGTCGTGCGCCATGCCGGGCAGCGGGCCGCCGCGCGACACGATGTCGGTCGTGTCGTTGTCCGACATCTCGCCCCTCCCGACTCCGTTGGGCCCGCCGCCGACCAGCGCGCCGATGACGCCCGTCGGCCGCGGCCGGTGCGAGCTGCTCGAGCTGTCGCTCCGCCGTCTTCGTCGCAGGCACCACCACGTGGCGGCGCCGATCAGCAGCCCAAAGGCTACGACAACGCCGACGCCCACGCCGGCCTTGGCGCCGGTGCTCAGCCCGCCGGTGCTGCCGGGCTCGACCTCGGTTATGCCGCTGCCGGTTGGCGTCGTGGTGACGTCGGCGCAGTGGGCCGAGGAGCTGAAGAGGGTGCACGACTGTGTAACGGCGCAGCAGCCTCCCCCGAGACTGGAGGCGCACGAGATCTGGCTGGTGGTGCAGCCGGCGGGGATCATAGGCACCAGGGGGCTCGACGACGAGGTCGGCATGACGGTGGACACGCACTGGCGGTTGGAGCGGCACACCGAGTCGTAGGAGCAGCAGCCGCCGCCGAGCGACGAGGGGCAGCCGTACATGGACGTCGCCGTGCACTGGCGCGAGCAGCACGCCGGCTCCACCGACGTGATGGTCGACCCGGCCGACGTGATGGTGGCCGTGCTGGCGCAGATGTACTGGTTCTCGTTGCACGGGGAAGCGCCGCACGTGGCGCCGATCTGGCAGCATCCCGCCTGAGACGTGGCGGTAGGGTTCACGATGCAGCTGTTCGGATCAAGTTAGCGCTTCTGATGGATGGATGAATGCGTGTATCTATTCCGTAGTATCGCACTCACTATTCGGTGTTGGCGCAGCAGAAGCTGTCGCCGACAGCTCCAATCTCGTTGCCTACACGGAGTAAGGTAGTTAGTGAGGGGGCGGCTCATTAGAAGCGGCAGAAGCCGTGTGGAACGTACATGGGTGGAGGCCGGCGGCGCATTGGAACTGGCGGTTCCGGAGTGGGACGGCCGGCGAGGCATGGTAGAGGCGCGGCGACAAGGCCGGGCCCGTCTCCATGGCGCCGAACTGGAAGCGGTCCTGGACAGCCGCAGCACTGGCAAGCAGCCACCAGCCGACCAGGACTCGAGGAGCGAGGGCGGCCATGGCGAGAAGCGAGGCGCGCGGCAGGTCCTCGACGAGGACTGGAGCAGGAGGCCGGTTCAGAGGCGGGCGTGAGGCGAGGGCACGGGCGGGTGAGGCGCACGAGGCGACGAAACCATGGCTGGCGATGCGATACGATGCGATGCGATGCAATCGATCAATGGGTGCAGCGCAGCGCAGTCAAGGTAGGCACGGCACCCGTCGAGCTGAGGCTGAGGATGGGGATGGGGATGGGGATGGGGATGGCCAAGCAGGACAGGGCAGGGCAGGGCAGGGCAGGGCAGGCTGGTGACAAAGACAAAGACGGCGCCTCCCGTCTTTCTCCTCTTTGCTCTTCTTCACACAAGGAGAAGTGAGCAGTGAGCGAGAGCCAATCCGCCCGCCTTTTCGCAATGTTGCAGTGCTACCCTTGGCACGACAGACTTGACTGTCGGCCTGGCCTGGGATGGATCGCCGACTGGGGGGGGGAGTAAACGCATGCAAACTACCTAACAAGAAGGCACCGCCGATTTGCGCTCGTTCGCCCGCCTACCCAGTGTTGTCTGCCTATTCATGGTGCAAGTCACCACCCTCCCTTTGGGAACTCTTGAAGGATCGGCATTATTAGGATGTACTTCATAGTATACGTGTAGGGACCAGGTGCCATCCCGCTGTGCGGGGTTGCATTTTCCTGGCAAGCTCAGCTGCCCTTCGCCTGCTGATCGCCCGCTTGCCCCAAGCAGAGCAGAGAACGTACCCGTGGGATGCTGCTTGTCATCATCGACGGATCTCTCGGGAGACCTCCCCGTAAAGAGCCGCATCCTAAATGCTTCCTGGTTACCTCCGTTTTTGTTACCAGTTACCAGGTCGAGAAACCCACAGAGAAGGAAGGAGGTCCCCATGGCCGAGTACTTATCTCTTTCTTTTTATCTTTTTGTTCACCTTGTCGTTTGTGGCACTATCGGTCTCGCTTGAACCAGTGTAGCTAGAGCTAATGCCCCACATCCCGCAATCTAAACCATTCCCGGCCAGAACACAAGGGAAGGTGTAACCAACTCCAATCCGAGCACACCACCTCGGAGGGGAACTTTTCAGACTGAGTTACCTGAGTATTGCTGCAGGTGTGTGTGTGCAACAACATGCCGCCAGCTCCCGGCCACACCCATTTATTATCTTCTTAGGAATTTGGCAAGACGTGAAGGAAAGGCTGACATTACAAGGACGGAAGGTGTTCCCTACGACGGTGTAACGGTGTTGAAATAGCTAGGGATCTTATTGGGATTTGTAAGGAAGGCGCTGGCGATTCCATCAATTAAGGTGGAGAGAGGGTCGAACGGCTCGGGTCAGACGGTGGGACTGCATACACGAATGAGACTCTTGCTTGCATAAGATACAAGTGCGTGATTCTTTCCCGTTGCGGAAGCTGCTCCCCAAGAATGGCCCAAGTTCTATTTGTTGGAGATCCTAGTGAATCCTTGACCGTCGCCCCACAGAGCTTCTCAACTAGATAGCCAAGTCTTGTCTAAATCAAAAACAAAGCCTTCTTCTTTCATCTTTTTGATTTCTTTCTTTCTTTTCTCCGTGGCTTCACCCTCGCTCACTTGTACTTTTGATATACTCTCACAACTTATCATAACTACTCAAGGTATTTAGGCATGGCCACTTTTACCAACCTGGCAACATGTCTTATAACATCCCCGACAGGTCCTCGACCCGCTCGTGCTCAAGCACACCTTTCATCAAACCCCAGGCGCTGTCGAGTCTCGCTCGACATGTTGCCACCCCGAGTTTCCGCGCGTAGAACACATCGCGACGTCCTCGACTCCCTCAGTTCATCGGATCCGACATCCTCGGACGACTACCCCCTAATTACCCGCGACCCCTCTCACAGCCCACAGGAGCCAGCGTCCGCGAGGGACAGACAGACCCTGAGCAGAAGCTGCTGCTGGCCAGAGAAACACGGATTTCAATTACTGGAAAGAGGCTATGAGACGTATGGTAGTAGATAATACCTCGTCATGACCCCCAACAATGACATCACGACGAGATTAATTAATAAACAAAATTCCCCTCTGCCCCAGGCGGCGGCCACGCATTCTCCGGCTCATCCTCGTGGACGATCATCTCGTCCTCCTCAACCACTGTTAACTCGCTGCCCATCAGCATCTCTCCCAGCTCGTCCATGGCCATTGCAGCCACAACATCGCCTCGGGCTCTCGCCGCCCCCAGCCGCTCCCGGCGCTCCCCAGTGTAAGCCGAATTTCGGAACTGTTCCTTCATGGCTCCTTGAGGCTGGGGGAGGTAGTACGAATTCGCGCGCTGCTCTTGGAGAGTCAAAGGCCGGGTGATACTTCCGGTGTCGAGGTCAAGCTCTGGCCCCATATTTGTCTGCTCGACGGGCGTACTATCGGGAGTATCAGCCGTAGTAATAGTAGGCGGGACGGCGACTAGGGCTAGTCCCCATTTAGGGGTGTGATAGGTACGTGTGCGGTTCATGTTCGCGGCTTTTCCTTTATCCGAGTCCCAGATACCGATGAGCTCGTCCTCGTTTGAGCCTTTGGTATAGACATGGTCCGTGGTGCGCCGCAGCCCAGGTTCGATTTTCGTTGGCCTTGGACTCAGCAATCCAAAGCCAACAGAATACATGTGAATGACTATGGTGCTGGTCTTGTATGGGCGAGGTGAGGCTGATTGCACGGCAACACGACAGCCTGTCACCAATTTACTTTCTTTCTCCTTGTCTGAATCTCGAGATAGCACACACAGCTGAATGAGAGCGTCCATTCTCACGTGTTATATTCCTATTCCCAATCTACGCATTCTTGCCATGGGCGCGGTAAGTTGAAATTGACGAAGTGCTCCTAAAAGAGCCCCCTAGTAACTCTTCGTTCCCTACAGCAGCGCATCAAACGCTCCCAACACAAGCGCCGAGCGTCCCGCAAGTCCGATTTCAACTCCAACCTCCCAAGCGTCTCCGAGGACAGCGTCAGCGCGGGCATCTCTAACGACAACACGGCCGCTGGATCTGCAGACAGCGCCGCTGACCAGGACAAGCCTCGCTCGGATGCAGACCGCGAGTTTTTCCAGGGCACGGGAAAAGATCCAAGCTGCGTTGAGACTCTGCAGAAGCAGGTGACTTGTATGGAGTGTCTAGGGGCTCAGAAGACCGTTCGTCAACAGGAACGTGTCACGACAATAGGGATTAGTGAGCAAAAGAAGGGCCTAGAAGCTGCCACTTGATTCTTCGCCACCAGATTTTGCATCAAATGCTTCATTTCCGTTGCCCTGTGAATGCGCGTGACAGAATGTCTAAGATGTTTTGGAAATAGATGCGATTATTGCGATTTCATAGGCCAAGTGCAGGTTAATCGCCCTTGTCAAATATGCAAGGGATCCGGATCTCTTATTACGACAGCGAAGGACGAGTTCATTTACGAGGAGGCCTGTTGATGCCTTGATGAGAACTTGGCGACGAGTCAACGGGCTTGAGCTGGTACCTCATTGCACGTCTTGTCTGTCTTCCATTAGGTAGTTAGTTACCTAGTTAGTTCAACGAGTCAAGAAAGTCCAGTCCAAACCCAATTTATGGAATAAACGTGTGCCATGAAGTGCTTGTATCGTCGAAACGTAATTGTTTATCCTAGATCAGAAACCAAACCTGCGCCGCTTCGAACGGCGTCACATTCAAATAGCAAGAGCTCTGGATGTACCGTGCACATTTGTGTACACACTATATCCCGTACAGTGCGCCGCGAGACTCGTACGCGACCGCCTCGCCTAAAATGGTGGACCACAACCAAATGTCCACTCATCCGATGTTAAACCCTAATAATCCCGCCTTCTCCCATGCTTCTATCGCCTGCAACGCAACGCAGACGCAAGCGACAAGGCAAGGTGCCGAGCCAAGAGACGCTTGCTCACTCTAGTCGAAGCACCCCAGATCAGATCTGCAACATCTCGCGGGAGCGACACATCTATCTCTGGCGCGCCATGAAGGTGCAGGTGGCGCCTTTGGGATAGACTATATCCCGTTTAGGGCTTCTCGCACCCAACACACTCTCTTCAAATATACCGTCTCGCCGTCAAGCACCTTAGGGCTTGCCCCTTCCCTTACCTGATTATAGTGCAAGCAGTGACGCCCAAAGCAAGTGCCATGGGGGTTTATTCTGCAGATCGCCTTCAGGTCTTGGCACCCAGCTCTCGACTGCTGGCAGCGGGACTTGCGACTCCGCGTGCATGTCAATGCCGGCAAAAACGGCACTCGTATGCCATCTCGCAGCCTTCTGCCTCTTCTCCCTCTTTCCCTGCGACCCGAGAGCGGGTGAAAACCCAATCAATCGACGCGGCAAGCCCACCAAAGCGCGGTCCCAGATAAGTTGCATAGATGGGGTCCTGGTAAGCCTAGGGCGAACGCGGTTGGTCGTGCCACCGGAGTTCGCGATGGCACTCCGCCCAGCTGCTTAAGCAAACGGACCACAAACAACAAGAAACAAAATACCCGACTTGTGCGCGCTCGACTCGCCCTATCCGCTTGCTTGGGTCTTATAAGGTAGGCAGAGACATCTGAAGTCGGACGAGTCCCCCCCCCAAATCCTCCCTTCTCGCGCCTGGTCTTGCCTTGACTCCTTTTCCTTCCCTCCCTACCTCCCTGGATTTCGAAATTGTGCATCATGAAGTTCAGGTAGCACAGAACCCCCTCCCTCTCCTGGTACATTCGATCCGTTTCGAGGAGTTCGAGCGAGATCAACGACGGCCACCCAGTCTCTTGCTTGACCCGGATATTCTCGAGCGGCAAAAGTGGGAACGCTGTCTGTGCTTGCACTCTGTCCCTCCTTCCGTCATCCCGGACATCAGAACGGCCACCGTCAACCAGGGGCTGCTCATCGGCCCCCCCTCCCAAGCGAGCAGACTGGCCTCGGGCAACGATGCGATCTTCTTGCCCCGGATTGCCGGTGCTCCTAATCTCCATCTTCGCCTCTCAAACGCTTGCGTTTCCCAGTCCCAATGGTGCAGCGTCGTCGTTGTCGATCCTCTTCCGTTCCGACTATGAGGACGAGGTGTGCGACCCAATGACCTTGCGCGGCTCCGACACCGTGCCCCCGTGTCTGGAGATCCGGGCCATCGAGACAATATGCACGCCTAACGGGACTTCGCCCTTGGCCCTCAAGGCCCATCAGGAGTGTAAGTAGATTCCGGCAAAGCTGGGGCCTGTGTGCCATCTTTGCTCCCCCCCCCAGAAGAGGACGTGGGGAACATGCCTCAAGGAGCCCCTCGACACGAAAGAAAAAAAAACCCATTTCACTGACGTGCTGGCGTGTCCGTGGGGGCGTATTAAAGGCATGTGCGAAGGGTCCTTTTTTGACGAGTGGCCGTTCTGTCTGCAGTGCCTCTACCTGCACGGCCTGCGGACGCAGCGCGAGGTAGCCTTCTACGAGAGCGTGCTCTCGGCGGCGTCGACAACACTCTGCCACGTGCCGACGCCGGCCGACGTGTTCGCGTCCGTGTTCAGCAGCGCCAAGGCCGCGGCGCCGTCCCCGACGACGGGCGACACGGTGAGCAGCGACCAGGCCGTCGGCCAGACCGCCGTCAGCCTCTACTTCACGGCCCCTAGCGGCCACAGCCAGGGCCCCGGCCGCATCACGGGCGAGGCTGCCGCCGCGACGGCGACGCGGCTGTTCACCGCCCCGCCGCACACGCCGACCACTGCTGCCGCGTCGCAGCAGTCGTGCGCCGCCGCAACCACAGCCCGGCCATCGGCGACGGGCGCGGCATCTAGTGCAATTGCAGGCTCTTCGGTTGCTACGAGCCGGGGGCCCAGGGCCCGAGCCGGAAGAAAGGGCTTGTTGTTTGCGGCGGTCGCGGCGGTCGCATGTGCGGCGCTGTGAAAACAGCGCCCACGAGAGAAAGAGAGAGAGAGAGAGTTAGACTGACTACTACTGCGATCGATACCATGAATTGTTCTCATTTTCTTTTTGTATATACAACACCCACCCAAGCCTAACCTGACCTGACCTGCAATATGATATCCCCCCTAAATTTTCTTTTTACTTTTTTGCCCCCACCCCCCAAAATGAATCGTATGATAAAGAATAATGCAGTGCCATAATCCAGTGTCACGTGGCACACATGGTACCTACGGGATAGGTATCTTGTTAGGCACAAGTGCACACATACACAAGGGGGGGAAGGAACACGGCATTTGCCTGTCCAGATCGAGCGAGCAGCTGCATGCATCAATCCATCCATCCCACGATATAATAAGACATTCGACACGACGTTGGTTAATTTGGCGATAAACCATCCATACATACATGGCATGCAGAGTGAGATATGTCCATGGGCCATCGTTTAAAGCAGGTCTCGTCTCACCTCGCAGCGAGGAAGGAACAAAAAATTGGATTCTGTATATATTGCCGAGAGAAAGAAGACATCTCCAAGAAATAAGTTGGGCATGATGCGTGATGATGTGAACGAATATGAAAATATCTACGTAACCTCGTTATATCTCTCCTGTTCTCGTTTTTTTATGTCATGTTCCCGAAGCCACCTGTCCATGTCCATGTCCATGTCCGTGTCCGTAACCCTCGTCTGCTCCCCCGGTCCCCGACGTCATGCCAAATCAGCCTGTGTGTATGAACCTGACTGTGAATGGTTCCTAGGACGGCATCATTGCGAGCTAGCTATCCCCTACAATCTCTCTATCTCTGTCTCCTTCTAGTGACAGACGTCTAAGGTGAGGGTTTGTAGGAGGCGTCACTGGTTGTTGTGCTGCTATGCACGAGGATCTGCTTTCACTCTGATTGTCGTATTCGCCGGGGTCGGGACGGGACAGGACGAAAAGGCTCGGAAGGACTATGGCTTTGTTTCACGTCTGATGGCCATCTACGAGGGGGGCATGTGCTCGAAGGGGTGGGCCAGGCTCTCCTGGCAGAAGGGGAGCTTGCCGACGGTCCAGATCTCGACGTCCTTTATTGATAGGGCACAGATCATGTTAGTGTTTATATATAAAGTTTACGGCTTTTTTTACACCCATAAGGGGGAAAGGGGGTGGAGGGGAAGGGATCAAAACTAACAGGCTTCAACGTCTTCTTGATCTCTGTGTCGAGCGAGCCGCCCTTAAGGGCAATGATCTCGGGCGCGGCATCGGGGTCGTGGGCAATGGGCGAGCCGCACTCCTCGCAGAACCAGCGGTACACGGCGTTTCCGGAAGAGCCCATGCCCTTGTACTTCTTGACGGGGCCCTCGACCTTGAGCAGCGCCTTGGGGACGACGCAGACCAGCGCTGGAGGGGACAATCGGTTAGTTTCTTGTCCTGGCCATGCTCAATTGCAGCCGTTTCATTTTTATTTTGCCATGCGTCTTGCCGTCCTTGTTATCTTCGTGGCAGTTTCTCATCTTCACGTGCAATAGGGACGGAATGTGGTATCAAAACGGAACATTCCCAATCCTTCTAAAAAGGTGACGTCGTCGGTGGCGGTGCCCACTTTAAAGCTAAGATCGGACGGGTTGCGGATGTAGGGGCGGGGTAGACGAAGAGCTCTCGATCTCACTTGGGGGGAGAGCGGGCGACACGGCATTGGCATTGATTTGGGCTTGGTGGTATCACGAAGGGCGAGGAGAAATAACCCACAGTAGGTAGAGCCAGACTGGCGCTGGCAGTCGTCACAGTGATCGTAGCCCGTCACTAGAGGGGCATCGATGTCGACCGTGTAGGTGACGGCCTTGCAGAGGCAGTGGCCCGAGAGAGGCATCTTGGACAGAGTTTGGTGTTGGGTGGGTTGAAGCTAGGTGGATGGTCTGCGATTGACTGATCTCGAAGTATGTGCGGTAGAGTGAAGTCGGAGTCTGTTGGAGTTGTTGGTCTGGAAAGTCGGGAGAGTCTTGTTGGCAAGAGGGAGATGTTTAAATACTTCCGGAGAGGGTCTGTGGTTCATCCGATCGAGACTGGCAGGGCAATTGCAAATAAATATCCATGGGTGCTATTTGATTTTGGCCCTCTCATTACGCATGCGGGCGGCGTGCTAGCTCGCCTGCACCTGAGGGCAAGGTACCTGAGGGTGGGCGACGCTCTCCGGAGCGGAGGGAAGGTACGAGGCGGGGTTCATTCAGTCCGGCTCGATGCACGCCGCATACTTACCATCCAGGAACTTGGGTGGGGCAGCCCCACTATCCCCTCCGAGACCCAACAGGGCCGATTAATAAGGCAAGAGGAGGCGGTCGGGTCCTCTGACGTGAATATCCTGCCTTGCAGGTGTCCGAGCCTCCGATAAACGCAAGTTCCATGTTGTTACCGAGTCCGCCCGACGAATACGTAGATAGGTCCCAAAACAGTTCGAGCCTATCTCGTCTGGTTAGATCTTTGGTCTTCCCCACGCGGCCAGGATCGGGTCTCTTACTCAGCCCATCCCGCTAATATCCAGGTAGAGAGCTCCAGCCGAGAGCAACAGCTGGGTGATATGGCCTCCCTTGCGATTCTGAATACGCCGGAAGGTGCTACAAATCATCCCGTCTCGTTACTGAGTGCCAAGAGATGCTAGCTAGTGCTAGCTGACTTGCCTAACCCGGCCCTGCGACAAGCTCGTCTCTACTTAACGGCATCGGGCTACCGTATCTCGGCGTTGTCACTGGGGATTACTAAACTCTTGCGGGGGGGATCTATGGCGGGGTCAAGCAAGCGTCACTACCCAGATTGTGCTACAGCTTCGATAGCTCCCTGAAATGTTGGCCAGACTCGTCAATTGGGAGATCAAACAACAAAAAGTGTACGATGTAGCCTATGGCATGCCGGTTTTCAGTGAGGATCAGGGAGCTGCGGGTCTTGGAGTTTGGTGGTTAGGAAGTGTATTTGGAATTGCCCCCCCTCCCAACCACAGCAGATTCGTTGGTGCTTCCCGAATTCCCAGAGCTCCAACCCGCAATACCTCCATACCCTGCTCCAAGCGCGCGCGCGCGAGGTCGCCGAGGTCGCGTATTTGGAATCGGGTAATGCTCGTACTACATGTACCTACGCCCGACGACAGATAGTCTTTGATAAGAACCTAGACTAACGGCACCAACAGCATCCCGCTGTCTTTGTCACTCTCGTGGTGCTACAGTACCATACGAAGTGTGCTTTGCGCTTTCAGCGGCATCGGGCCACATCGGGGCCGTTGCGGCCGGGAACACCCTGGTAGCCGCCATAGAAGAGTTGCAGCCGAATTTGCGGCATATGGACCTCGCTCAGCCCTTTAAGCCTAGAACAACCGAATACATACCCTCGTTTCGCAAGCAGCCCACATCAGACTAAGTTTAGGTTCGGAGTCATGTTTCTGGCTAATAAAAATTAAGCTCTCACTGCCAAGGCCGTTGGCGTCGCTGCCTATTCCTTCTATATCCCTAATGTATGCATCATCCCCTTTCTCGCTTGGATACAACCCAGTCCTGATTCAACTCCACGTAGGCTGTTAACGTCCAATACTTACAGCTGGACCTTGGGACTTTTTTAAGCTTCGTCTTGACGGACGAGATAACCACGTTGAATCTAGAAACAAGAAGACGCTGGTAAACCCATTTGATAATCTTTTCATTTTCCCGATTTAGATGGCTCTCAAGACTAAAAACTGCGAGGTCCTTTATCCTAGGAAGTGACCTACAGGCCCCCTCGCCAGATCCAGGAAACTGACCAAAGCCAGATTGTCTAAATTGCCGCCCCCCTGTGATGGTCTGGGACGTGCTAGTTGGGTGGGGTTTATCAGTTTTCAGACTAGTACACGCATCTCTCAAGGACTCCTTGATCAAAAGACAGCAGGCTTTTGCCATATTCTCGTTAAGCACACCGCCGTGTTGCTGTTGCCGGTTGTTGGCAGTGAACTAACATGTGCCAATTTGGAATAGCTTAAATAAGCTAAACTCTGTGACGCGCGCCAATGCTCACCAAGGCAATGGACAGGCTCGGGAGGGATAGACGTTACACCCATGGCATCCGTGCTTCCGTCAACGTTCTTTCGATTTGCCGGAAGCTTGGGGGACAACTCGTCTTGCCGTGTATGATAATAGCAGCGCGCATGTTGCGAGGTTGGACGAAGAGACAAGCCAGGCCAACCCTGCCTGTAGTATGAGACGCTGAGACTCAAGCAGCGGCACAAGGCCCCAAGCAACCCTGTCTGCAAGGAACAGTTTCAGAACACAGCTCCTGTAAACCCTCTTGATTTGAGAGCTCTCATGGGCCAAAACGTAGCCATCCATGGAAGAGATGCGAAAGCCCCGGATGTCGGTGGCTTGAGGCGCCAGGTTTGGCGCTGCGCTGGACGTCAATGGCCGCTCAATCCGCTCAGGTCTCACGCGCAGGCTTTGTATAATCTTAAAAATGGCAAACTCTGCAGGGCTTGATGACGCCAGTGTTGGCGAAGGCTTTTTGAGAGCAAACTTGGGTAACAGATCGGGATGGGATACCCAGATGGTGCAGCTTTCGTTAAGCTCACAAAAGAAGGCCTCGAGATCATGAGCATAGTGGATGAACCTCGAGTAGAAGACGGGGGTGAGGACCTTGAACTCTAGTTCTTCTGCCGCCGTCGTTCCCTCCCGAGCTGTTGGCGAAAGCATAAACTCGGACGAACCTTGCGATAGCCCGCCAGGGGTGTACTTTACTGCGAGCGGTGCGGTTGACTGCTCGACAAGATACCGCAGATAGCTCTTGAATATAGGCTCTAGATCGCGCTCAATCGGGTCTGCCTCTCGGCTGATGCTTTCCTTCAGGGGCTCTGGCCTGAACCACACGTGGAGCTTGCGCCTAAAGAAGAGAGCAGCGGCCTCCTTGACAATTCTGGGGAACGTGAGAAAACCCACCCACCACCAGGCACTCAGGAATTTGAGTTTCCCAAACATGGTCATCGAGGACGGGTCAATGGCATCACCGTCCTGGATCAACCTGGCGACTAGCTTCCCATGCCCTTTGGACGAAACCAAGTTGATTGTATTGGCGAGGGGGCCCATGCCTTGCATGGAGGGGCTCAAGGGGTCACTTGCCGTCAATGAATAAGACCCTTTGCGGGAGTTGAATGGCGACACATGAAAGTCTTTTGGCCATGACTGCTTCAACGCAGTTCTCAGAGGGGCACTTTGGCGCTCACTCGCCGCCTGCTCTGCCACGCCAAGAGCCGGCCGTGGGGTAAGGTCGATCCGGGCGGCCAAATCATCGTCTGGAACCAACAAGTACATACGACGCTCGCCAAAGGTGTTGTTGACCTCGAGGATCATGGCAGCCAGTGACTTTGTGGCATCGTACAAATACCAGAAGGAGACGGGATTGAAATGATAGCCGAGAAACCGAGCAGCAGTGACCAAGTAGGCATGCGGATACGTTCTCGGGTCGACCCCCTAACAGAGTTAGCCGAGGGGAATAGTTGGAGGGATGCAAATGGGGGCTCCGGCTGCGTACCTGATTTCGGAGATATTCGTCCAGCTTTCCCCGCAAGCCGAGTCTGGCTTTGCCGCGCTCGAGGTAGTCACCGGCGTCAATACTGTACCACCCCTTTCGGGCCGATGAAAACGGCGACAGCCATGAGAGTGTCCAACCTTGGTCGACTCCGACCGAAACCATGCCCCCCGCAGTGCCCTCCCAGCCCACAGGGACCCCGACAGCCAGGTAGGAGTAGGAGAATGAGTGCTTCTGCGGGAACATCCGAGAGTGAGTCGTCCGGCACGGGAAAAAGAGGGCCTTCCCAGGGCCATCCTGGCGCGGTGTGGCGGACCCACTTGCCGATTTCACCGGCCTCAACGAGACCACGAGCAGTAAGACAGTGAGAGCCCCAACTACTGCAGCTGTCGTCGGTCGGTGAGACATGACGATCTTATCGACGAGATCGACGAGCGCGTGGACAAAGATGCGGCCACGGCCATGGCGAATGGTCGTGAATAGAGCCAGCAGGATCGCATCAAGGAGGCCCCCAGAGAGGGCCGCGAAGCAAGCGGCCACGGGTAAGAGGGCCAAACCCAAGGAGGACGTTGATGGACCAGCCATCGAAAATGGAAAATGAAGATGCGGGGAAGGGGAGGGGAGGGAAGAAAGGAACCTGGAAGGTATCCGTAGCGTAGTGGGGCCCTGATCTGGTATGATCTCTCATTCTCCCATGTTTTACAGACTATCTTTGCTCGCCACTGAGAACAGCTCGAACTGGCGATGCTAAAAGTCTGAGAGATGGGAAGATTCCCTGGATGCGGTGAAGGACGGGGAAGTCCAGCATCTGATGTTAAGGCCCGTGGTGCCAGAGGCAAGTGAAACTAAGTGGGCCGGAAATGGAAGACGGGAGACGGCGCCACAGTGCACAGTGCATAGTGCCCGGGCGTCGCCAGGTTACCGTGGCTCGTTCAAAAGAGGGATGAAGGAATTCTTAGCTAAGCCAGCGCCACGGCCCGGCACGGCGATCTCGCGCGTTCCAGGTTGGCCAGCCCCAGGGGGCCGGTTTGCCCAACGCCGCAGGCAGGCAAGCAGGGATTCCACAGGGGAGGCAACCCGCCTAAGTTTCCTCTCGTCCCCCACACAGCCCAAAGTGTGGCGCGGCGGTAGCGGTCTCGGGCTCTCGCCGCTCGAGTCATCAGCCTGGGCTTTCGCTGGCTTCTCAATCCCGCCCGGGCCTTTTTCGACAGTGGCCCATCGCCTTCCAACACCCCTCCACTCCACCGTTTTGCTGAGGTACTCCGCTCTTTTAAACCCCTCCGGTCCTCCAGCCTTCCTCCCACCGAACTGCCACCCTACCCACTCGCCCAGTCGACATCATCAAACCCGCTCGTCACAAACAAGCAGTTTTCTCTTCGCATTTCACTTTTACGCCCTCTTCCCTCATAAACAGTCGCCAACTCGCAAAGCTACAAAAACTAGCCGCCAGCAAAACCTGCAAGGAAACCCGTCATCTTGCCACCTCACCGATTCGCTTTTGCAGCAACCAGCTCACTCAACGATAGCCAAGCCACCCCGCAACAACAAAAAGAACAAACCGTCAAGATGTCTGGAGCCGCCTGGGATACCGAGGCTGTCAAGATTGGCAAGAATGCCCACAATGGCGCCGGCGGCCCGCGCGAGAAGGTGATCAAGAGCCAGTCGGCGCTCAATGCCGCGAAGCGGTCTGGCGCGGCCGTGGCCACGGAGAAGAAGTACACAACCGGCAATGCGGTATGTCCCCCCCATCCCCAATCCTAAAGAGCAAAATCAAGAAAAAAAGAAACCACCCCAATCCCAAAATGAAACTAACCACCCCCAACAGGCCACAAAGCCCGCCGTCGAGGGCCAGCGGCTGACAATGGTCGACCGGTCGGACGACGTGGTGCCGGTGAAGAAGGTCAGCAAGGAGGTGTCGGACGCGCTCAAGGCGGCGCGCAAGGCGTTCGTGACGGCCGACGGCAAGGAGCTCACACAGAAGGAGCTGGCGACCAAGGCCAGCACGGCCGTGGCCAACATCATCGCGATAGAGTCTGGCAAGGCGACGCCCGACCAGAAGGTGCTGACAGCCCTGGAGCGCGCTCTCAACACCAAGCTGCGCGGCAAGAACATGGGCCAGCCCCTGCACGCGCCAAAGGCGGCCCCGGCCGCGGCGGCGGCTAAGAAGTGAAAGGGGGGGTTATTTTCTAGCACTTCTCCCTCCCTCTCTCACGGTCTTGGTCAAACAGGGCGGGGGAGATGTTGGCAGGAAACAGTAATGGGTACGAAGCAGCAGCAGCAGCAGCAGGCAGCGGCAGTACCACAAAGCGAATGGTTCTGTTTTGTTTTTTGCATGATGGATGAAGGTGGGGGAGGGAACGGAAGGCCCGGTGGAAATGGTACAAAACAGAGGCATCACAACTAACGCAGTGCTTTTTTTCTGTTTGGCCATGGTTTTGCTTCTAAACGCACATTTCAGCGAAGAACGGGTAGAATATGGTACTCCTGTGTTTCCCACGGCTAGATGACTGGACTGGACCTTTTTCCAAGTCAACGAAACGGCTTTTGGGGGAGTGGTGGTGGCGTTTGCAAAGAAAGCCTGAGAGACTTTTTTTTAAATTTTTTAAAGAAACGGTTCTTTATTTGCGAATAGACATGACGCCTGGGCAAAAAAAAAACAAGACAAAAGTGTGGACAATAAGGTCTTCAAACCTTGGTATCCCTCTTCTCTTGATTCCGTCCAACCCCTCCAACCCTGATCAAAGAAACAAGAAACAAAAAAACAAAAACAAAAGACAGAATGTCTTGTAATGCAGTGCTAAACCCCCTTCCCTTCCCCAAACTCGTGCCAGACAGTGTGACGACATTAGGTATATACCCATCTCTGCATAAAAAGGGACCGTGTCCAGGTTTCAACTCTCACAAACCAACAACTCTTACAAACTAACAACTCCCTCAACTCTACAACTCGTATGTCCGCCTGCAAACATGCCCGCAAACACCAGCCAAGTAAGATAATCATTTACCCCAAAAGGGCCCTGACACGCTCCTGCACCTGAGCCCTGCTAGGCTGGAACCCCGTCTGCACGACCACGTTCTCCCTGCCGCCGACCGTGACAATACGCAGCCACTGGGGCGCGATCTCAGAGGCCAGGAGCCGCACGCACGCGGCGCCGTCTTCCTGCGAGATGGCGTTGCGCAGCGAGTCGTTGAGCTTGATCAGCACCGCCGCCAGCGTGAACGAGATGCGCGCCTGGCCGTGGCCGCCTGTCGCCGTGCACAGCATGCCGACCACGCCGGCTACTTCGTCCACGCGGTGTAGCGCCGCTTCGCGCTGCAGTTGTGCGGCTGTGGGTGCCGTCTGTCCGCTCTGTGCGGCCGCTTGCTCCTTGCGCCGGATGCGGTCGAGGAGTGTCATCTTGGTGCCGTCGGGGTTGAGGAGGGCGGGGATTGCTGCTGTAGTGGTGGTGGTGGCCTGCTGCCGCGCCTGCAGCTTGTCCTGCTTCTCCTGCAGCTTGCGGACGACGCCGTTCTTGAGCTCCTCGAGCGTGCGCTGGCCGCGGGCGAGCATGGGCGCGGCCTTGGCGACCGACGCGCACGTCTTGACGGCGGCCTTGGGCAGCGTGGCCAGGAATAGCTGCGTCGCTTGGCCGCGGCCGCGGCTTTGCTGCCACAGCGCCCGCAGGCCGGCCTCGAACATGGCGTTGAGCGCCGCCTCGCGCAGCGGGCCGCGCTCGGCGTCGGCGTGGAACTCGACGCAGATCTTGCCGCGGCCGTAGTCGGAGAGGAAGAAGGGGAGTTGTTGTGTTGTGGTTGTTGTTGTCCGCTTGCCCACTGCTGGGGGCCACGTCATGACGCCGACGCAGATGCGGATGTCGTCGGCCGTCACCTTGCGCTTGCCCCAGGCCTGCGTGGCCGATGGGCAGAGCGTGCGCAGGTCGATGGGCGAGTTGCTGCTGTTGTGCGCGTACTGCATGCTGAGCGTCTTGAGGAACGCCGCCTGGAGGTCGACGAGGTCGAGGAGCTCTCGCGGCAGGCTGAGGTTGCCATCGGGCCCGTCGCTCTGGGCTACGCAGGTCTTGGTCCGCTTGCGAGAGGGCGAGGCTTGCAGGTTCAGGCGCTCGAATAGAGCCTCGGCTTCTGAGGAGTCGCTGTCGGGTGGCGTGAGCTGAGCAGGCTCGTCTGGCTGGAAATGGCGCTTCCTGCTCGACGAGGGTGTGCGTGTAGGGGTGTGGTGAACTGGCGAGCTGGTGACGGCTTCGGGCTCCGCAAATGTCACCGTCTTCCTCTTGCGTGGTAACAAAGTGGCAGACACGACTGGCGTCGACTCGGCCTCTTGGCGGGGTCGCTTGGGAGCTTTGTTCGTGATGGAAGGCACCAGCTCGAAGTCATTGTCCACCTTCCTCTTCCTTGTCGACAAGACAATCTCGATTGAGGATGTGCGTCGAGTCTCGAGCGAGGCTCCCTTATCACCGGGCTCCTTCCCGACGTTCTGGGCCTTTGAGACGCGGGTGAACTTGGCGATGCCTGCTGCGGGGAGCTTGGAGGCGGCCAGCTTTCCACGAGCTGGCCGCGCGGGCCGGGCAATCGCGCCTGGCATGGTTGCAGGGAACCGATGATTTATTCTTCTTGAGGTGGAGGACGGGAAAGATCGAAGGGGCTGGCTGGCTGGGTGGACCGGAGAGAAGAAATGGAAAGTGCAATTGCAGAACTACGGCGATGGAGTTGTGGAAGCAGGAGCAGACAAGCAACAAGCAAGACGCGGGAAAAGTCGGCCTGGAAAGGGCAACCTAAGAGGGACCAGGATTGCTGGCTGGGCGGGACGCGTCCTAGCGCGTAAAGTGCAACGCGAAAACGCGCACAGTCTAGCGGGGCTCCACAAACGCCCCGTTTGGCCTCCATTTGCGGCTTTTCAGTGGACGGCGACCAATCGTCAGGGGCCCGCCCACTTGGTGCTGTTAACATGGAAACGGACGGGGCCCTCTCGCGAGCCCCTGTAAGACGTGAAAATGCCTCCATCGTGAAGGAGACCATCGCAGCGCTTGCACTGGCCGGTCCCACCAAGTCACGCGTCAAACAGCAGAGCCTGATGCAATCACATGGTTACCCGGAACTCCAGGATCAGAGGGATAGCAAGCAAGAAGAAGTGATGCCATTGCCTATATTTGTTGGGTCGGACGGCTTTTCGTCGCGGCTTTCGTAGGGCAACAAATAAACTTGAAGCTTCCGGACAGCGGAGTTAAAATCGAAGTATCCGTGCCTCGGTGAGACTGACTCGTTGATACGTGGAGTTTACACAGAGCCCTCACAACAAAAGCCTCGGAATCGAGCAACAAAGGCGTGGTGGCAGAGTAGAAATCTTGTTCCTTCGGGAGAGTCTGTTCAAATCAGGCCCACGTCGACACCCTAACCTTTTGCCGTTCTTGCCAATCCCGCGTGAACTTCTGTTTACATTTTTTTTGGGTCTGCCTCACCCCCTGAGCATCAGATGCCTCGTCATTCCTCATGCACACAGGTTCCGGCTTAAAACAGCAATCAAGTATATATAGATTAGTGTTGGCCACGAAAAAAATCCAATACCCGGCGGAAGCACGTAGCACAAAGTCCAACAAGGTTCTCGGATCCGGCTGCAACTGTCTGTTCCTATTTACGTACCTAGGTCTAAATCATACATGCCGTGCATTAAATGCCATGGGCTGCCCCTCCGCCTATTTCAGAGAGGCACACCACATGACAAAGCAAAATGAACGTCGACGGCATGATAAATCGCCACGATGCAATGTTCACCCCATCCCATTTCATCCCTAAACGTTCATTAGCTTGATCAAGTCAGCAAGCTTGTGCGCTTCGGACTTGTAGTCCAACAACGAGGCACCAAGAACTTGGTAGCGAATCCTGCACCACATAACGTCAGTATACATGTCCAGCCGATACGGGACGAGGACAAATCAAAACAAGACAAAACATACCGCTGCTGGTCGCCATACGTGTCCATCTTGGCGCGGCATCGAAAGTTGAGCTTTCTGCAGTTTGCCGCCTCAAACTCGGCGACAAAGCGGCCGTCGTCCAGTTCGCGGAGCTCCACCATCTCGTCGGCCGACCTGCCGCCCATGATGAGTCTGGCCGTTTCGTCGAAGCAGCTGAGCCACAGCTGGCCGGTATGGTCGTTGATGTTTACACTCATAATGTAGCGGTACTCGGGCCGGTCGTGGCTGACGTTGCACTTCTCGCAGCGCCATGTGCCGTCGCCCATGTCTGTCACCTTCTTGTTGCAGCCCTCGCTGCGGCAGGCCGGGTAGCAAAAGTTCTCCTGCCGGATGTGAACAACGGTCGCCTTGAGCGAGAAAAATGCCGGCTCATCCATGCCCAGATTCTCGTCTTTCACCTCCGAGATTGTCTTGAGGTCGTCCTTGCGGCCGGTGGCGGCGCCCATAGATGCCAAGTTGCTGTGCGTCGCGTAGCTGTTGCTCCGGCCCGAGGCATCGTACCAACCCTTCAGACGGTGTGCTTCGGGAATGTCCGGGTCGACCGACATGGTGCCCGACGAGAGCAGCGACAAGCTGCGGCCGCCAAAGTCGCTGACGCGAGTGCCCTTGAAGGCGACGATGGACTCCAGGCCGGCATCAAAGTTAGTCGCCGTTTTTCCCCAGATGGTCACGCGCACCGAGTAGCCCGTGTCGTCCACCAAGACGAGCTCCCGCTTGTCGTACGGCTTCTGCGTCGTCTTGGACACGATTTGCGTCACATCCTCCACCTCCTTCAACACGCCAACTATGTCAACCGTGGCGTCCTTCTCCACATCCTTTAGCTCCTCGATGTTGCAAAAGTTGAAGCGGATCTGCGGCACGTTGGCTTGATCCTCGGCCTTCTCGATGACCGTGTCGCGCTCAAACGTGAGCTCGTAGTCGTTAGGCAGATTGCTGAACTGCTTCTTGGCAAGCTGAACCTTGCACGGGCTGGAGATGTAGTAAACATTACCCTCCTGCAGCAGCTCGTAGAACGAGTCCAGTTGGTCGTTGAAGCCCGTCGCCCGAATCTCGCCGCTCTCGTCCAGCAAGTTGACGCTGAAGAGCTTGCCTTCGCCGCTTGCCTTGTGCCATGTCTTGATATCCGATTTGCTCGTGACCCGCGCCTTGATGGTCCACTTGTGTGCATACGGAGAGAGTGCCTCAATGGGGTAGATTACGTTCGCTGCGCCAGGGCCGCCTGCGCCGCCTCCTCCAGCGCCGGCACGCGAGGGAAGCTGCTTCGGCACTTGCGGCTTCACTTCCTGTGTGGTAGACTCCTCCTTCGCGCCGTAGAAGCCGGAACCGCCGATGGTGGTGGTATGCGGCTCGGTGGCTCTGGTCTCGACAGCTACCGGGTCGCCGATCTTTTCCGGCGCGCCGAGGGACTCAATGATGTCGAGATCCAGGATGATCAGGACGCTGAAATTTGCTTAGTAAGCGGACTGGGCAGACGGGGCAGACGGGGCAGAAGGGGCAGACGGGACAGAAGGGGCAGACGGGGCAGAAGGGGCAGACGGGGCAGACGAGTGCTCGGCGACGTACTTCTTGCCCTTGAGAGATTGCGCCTGGTATGACTTCATGCGCACAATGCATCCACGCTGGAGAAGGCCGTCATGCACGACACGGTTCGCCTGCGTCGCCAACATGCACTGCACGTAGTTGCGGATGTCGCTGAGGACGACGCGGTACCGCTCAGCCGGGCCGCCGCCCTGGGCTTTCGCCTCGAGCGTCTTGATCTGGAGGCATTGCAGAATGGGGACTGGGAAACGCGTCGTGGCATGATTGGGATCGTTGAATATGGCGCTGGTAGAGGCAGTTTAGTCAGATACCGTCAGAGTTAAATGGCCGAGTCTGGAGGGAATGGTACTCACTCTATCGCGCCCTGTGTGACTTGTGATTCGGCCATCTTGTCTGTATGTGAAAAGATGGATATGCGAATTCCGCTTCTTCTTTTGGCAACAACAGCGGGTCAAAAGTGTAGGTCGGCACGGTCGCGATATTCGTTCTTGTCGCAGCGATGCGAGGGTGGAAACACAGGTAGTTTGGAGGGGTCGCGTTAGGTTGTAATGGCACTGGGCGCGAAGCGCGTCGAGGGGCAAGGCCATTAATTGCGGTTTAGTCACGGACAGTACATATAGTGGTTCTACACTGTATTTTCACACTGTTCTTCTATCTCGATCCTTCCTGCAAGTTCCTGGTCCCGCCGTTTAAAGGTGGCTCCTCCCTACGTGGTTCTCTAAGTAGGTAGGTACCTGGGTAGTAGGCAGCTAGCCTTACCTATCTTGCAACGGGAAAATGCTACAGCATCAGAACGAAAGACCCATCCATATAGGTACTAATTACTAGATTAGATTTAGATCGTTACTCGGGTGATATGTTCCCGAGCGGGCTCAACTCCTTCCATTCCGCCTTGGGCAGGAGTTACCGGAAATGGTGTGGGGTTGATTGGAGTTCCTCACGTTGATGAAGGGAATTTTTCCCAGGAACCGCCAATTCCATCCAGTCTTCTTTATTTTCCATTTTAGTCCCTTGCCTTAAAAGTTGTTACTGAACAGTACTCCACAATATACGAGTTATTTGGTCGAGAGACTACATCTCGTGTTGTCTTGCTTCGCGCGCCAAGAACTCGCTCGCGTCACTATATACCTAGCACATCCGCCGAGGAGTCAAATAAGAGACTTCTAGTTTCCCAGTCCACTTCTCCGCTTCTTCCTCTTCGCCTCGTTGCCGTCTTTGCCGAGTTCATCTCACCGCCATGAGCCGAATCTATATCTCCGCCCCGGGCTCGATTCAAGTTCCAGACGATCGGCCAAGGGCCCCCATCATCGACTCGCACGTCCATCTTTACCCTGCATCCGAGCAGACGTCGCTCGCATGGTACATTCCCGGTAGTCCGTTGTCAGGCCAATACTCTGTCGAGCAATATCACCAAGACACGTCATCGAATGACCCTGCTCCCGAGGGGCTGATCTTTATCGAGGCTGATCGCAGGAATGACCACTCGAAAAACTGGGCACGTCCTCTGGACGAGGTTCTCTGGGCACGGCGCATCGTCACCGGGCAGCCGAAGCCCAATGAAGGCCACAATCTCGGGGACGCCGACTTGTGTCTCGCCATCATCCCCTGGGCTCCCATGGACCAAGGCCCTGAGGAGCTCGAAAGATATCTCAATTTAGTACAGAATTTAGCTGGGCCTGCTTGGCCCAAGGTGAAGGGCTTTCGGTTCCTCCTACAGGACAAGAATAACGGCACTGGTCTGACCGACAAGTTCATCGGCAGCTTGAAGCTTCTGGGAAAGAAGAAATTCGTGTTTGAAGTGGGCATTGACGCTCACCAAAGGGATCTTAAGCAGATGGAAGAAGCGCTGGAGATGATAAAGCGTGCTCATGACGTGGAAGAGGGCAAAGAGGATGAGAAAGTAGTCTTCATACTAGGTAAGGATGCCGGAACTCCCACTATCACCTCGCTGACATGATCCCTCAAACTTGTGGCCTCTCGTGCGAACTTTAACCCATTACCTCCTGATACATTAGACCACATGTGCAAGCCCGACTTATCCGCTTCCGATGAATGGCGTTATAACTTTGTCAGAATCTTGTGCAACCTCAGCGATTGCGGGGGGAGCAACATATACATGAAGCTAAGCGGCGGCTTTTCCGAGCTCCCCGTCGACGAGAGAACATTGCCGGACGAGAAAGTATACGGCATCCTCTCAAGATGGTTACCCATGTACAGTGCATTTGGCCCAGCGAGAGTCATGTTCGGCAGCGACTGGCCCGTGTGCAACTTGGGCACTGGCCGCGGCGCATGGAGGAAGTGGTAGGTTTCCCGCAATCCATATTAAGGCAACTATTTTCTCACATCATTTAGGTATAACATGATCCGGATGATGTGTTATCACTCGAAACTGTCTTTGGAAGAAGAAACGATGATTTTCAGCGGCACTGCGAGAAAGGCGTACAAGCTCGACGATGAGACCCCAGTTGTGGTGGTCTAAAGCCTTGTTCTTGTGATTTTTGTGACGACTTTTTAGCCTAGCGTCTTCTTGAGTCGCGGGCATAGCAAATAGAGCTTACCAGCGGGTGGTTAACAGGATACACACTCGTATTGAGTAAGCTTATTAGCACGAGAATACGTCGTAAGAGGTTGAACCAGCACCCCTGTTCCGATATGTGCTGGCCGGAGAAGAGTTTTCTTATCCCTGACTGTCCACAGTGAAACAGCGCAAAGCAAGGAATCGGAGACCGAGGGCCACTGACGTGTTGCAAGATAATTGCCGACGGTGTAGTTTCAGCCGCTCAGAATTCACGCAGGGTGTTGCTGATACAAATAGCCGGCCCTGACGGTCGCCGCCTCCGCCAAACGACGCCGTGGCAAACGGAGGACGCCGATCTCTACCGGCCCCCAAACCGGCCGCGTGGCCCGGGCCGAAACACTCTCGTTTTGAAACAAAAGCCTCTCGGCGGCACATCCCCACAGCCACAGGCAGTATTGGGCCAACAAGCTCATAGGAACGGCCGGGGCCCCGTCGGTCATCTCAGCGAGAAGCTTACTTTCTTCAGTCCTGGGGCGGCTGAAACTACGCACAACGTTCTGTACCACAGCACGACGGTGAGTCGAGGTAGTCGCGCAGGCTTCCTTACGCCAAGCCATGACTGTACACTAGAATCTTCTGTTCCCCAGCGAGCATGGCAATGGCAGGCCGTGATTTATCCGTTATTGGCCGGGGCCGCAATGGGCCAGGTCCAGTGGACCACGGGCGACTCGATTGAGAGGCAGCAGGGTGGGTCGTTAGGCCGGCAGCAAAACCAGGAATTATTAGGCTTCATGCTTCGGGCGCATCATCGACGGAGCCGGAATGGTGCAATCATTCCAACATGACACACGGTAATTGCGTTTGCGGGAGCCATGGCGGGCTAGTCACCTAGTGTAGCAGTCTCTTCAATTCCGTTCATGTTCTGTGACAGACGAAAAAGCCTTGGAACGTACAGAAAGCAGCTGCCGGTGGCTCAGGCTTTTTGACTAACGAAGCGAAGTCAAATGACGTGGCGCTTCTGCGTGAAGACACGGGATCACAGCGATCAACCGCCAGCCGTCGCGGGCGGGCGGGCTGGCATTGCAAGCCTCTAGATCTGATTCTTGGCAGCGCTACCACGAGGGCGGAAAATCTGGGGAAAGCCAAGCCCTGAAATAACTAGCCGGAAATCTGCGCCGATATCCGAACAAGGATGATCAGGGGGCTGCAGGCCTTGCAGGGAGCCACCTGGGGCCAGCGGGCAATTGCCTGGTTCCAGAAGGTTTTTTGAAACGACCGAGCAACGGGACGAAGCAAGGATGCGAGCGGAGGTTGTGGACATCGGACGACGGAGCGGTAATGAGACAGCCTCGCCTAGAAAGAGCGGTGGGAGCAAATTCGTCCGTGTGTCATGATGGCATGAAGGCATGCGCGCATTTCCTTGATGCAAGCAGAGCAACAGCAGAGGCAGAAGGAGAAGCAGAAGCAAACATTGGCGGCACATCCAGACCTAGTGCAGCTACCAGTCCGAGCAGCATGGCCACGCCGCCTCAACATGCTCAGCTCATCGGAAACGATGACTCAGATCGATCGAGAAACTTCGAGAGCAGCGAGGGCAGCGAGGGCGGCCAGGCGGTAAGTCGGGTTGTAACGAAGACATTCGGCAGCCCCCACGCAGCTGCGACCTCCGGCCGCACACAACTCCGACGGTGGTGGCAGTTGAGAGCCAATTGTTGGGTTGCACGGCGTGGCCTAGTATGCTTCGCCGCCTTCAGAACACAGCTAGCATTGGCACAGAGACACAGGTGCGGAAACCCGCCGTACGAGTATGACTTGGAGCGTTTTGGGGCCGGCCTGGGCGCTAGATCAAGGTAGCATCACCTCTGCTTATGCAAGGACCCTTCTTGAATGGCGGATGGATGCCTGACATTTTCGACACCCTGTTGCTTTGTTTGTCCTACAAACAACGAGTGAGCACCTACTAAGTAAGGTACGTGAGAGGAGGCAAATAAAAGAAACAAGCGGCCCGGAGCAAAGGTTCCACTAGACGGGAAGACCTCTAGACCGCCTCGACGCCCTTGGGAATGGAAATGATAGAAAGGGAAAGAGGAGAAGGCAAGCAAACAAGAAAAAGAAAAAAGAAAAGTGAGGCGTGAGCAATGGGAAGGAACGTATGCTAATGGAGCTGGCAAATCTCGGCGGTATACTCGAAACTTTGACGCCGCGCGACAGGCAACGACTGGGGCTAAAAGAAACCCCAAGGGGAAGTTCCCGTTGGATTTCTGGTGTGATGTGATGTTGGGAGGGAAGCTGAGTCAAAAGTGGGTACGTATTCAGACGAATCGAGCCAACATTTACCCCACACAACTCGACCCCAGCAGAGATTTCCGTGGGCGTGGGCTGGACTCTCCGTGGAGCCCCAAACGGCCCCCCCCAGAGACAGTGCCCAAACAAGGAAAGTGCGAGTGTGCCCCACGGGGAGAAATATTGCAATCGGTGCCCCAAAGGTACAGCACTGTAAGGAGGAGTCTCGCCCTGTAGCTGCCCAGCCGGCACACCACACCGGTGAGCGACCAGAGTGACACCTTCTGCGGGCGGGATTGGGAGACGGACGGGGGGGCAAAGCACTTTGCACCTTGCACCATCCTCTTCCCGTCGCGTCCGTCGCCCACCGCTTGTTCAAGTTGCCATGACCAACGATGATGTTCCAGGCTGCAATAAAGGAGCTTACCACCTGGCTTCTTGGCATCTCGCCGTCCCCGTCGTTCCCGACGGATCCTAGCTTGGGAGCCGATTACCACTTATCTCCCTTTTTTTCCCCTACTGAACACGTAATTTCCCAGCGGACCAGCCAGTTCTTTGTCATCCCACGTAATCTACGGCCTTGCTGGATATTCTGACGCAGGTATCCCCGACGCCGTATCCCATCCACGGGCCTAACAGGCGGGCAGTCTCACACACAAGGCAGAGGTGCAGTTCTGCAATTTGGAAGGTGTCGGCCGCCAACGAGGCGTCTCCAGCCTTGTTGGTGAACGGAGTATTACCTGGTACCTTAGTGCCGGGTGTAATCCATCCATCCACGGATACACATTAGGGTACCTTGCTAGCGGGCCCCCCACAGGGCCGCGGCCCAAATACGCCAGGGGGGAGCTGACAGGTACTGAGCGTATTCTGGTATCGGCCACTTTTCATTCTTTTTTTTTTTTTGCGGTAGGAGTATCCATACCTCCCCGTCTTGGTGCATTGCTTTTCCCGAGGTAGTTCCTGGGGGCATTCCTCTGCCAGGCACTGCCCGCTTCTGGGCCGATAGACGGCGAATTTTATTACATGCCTCGTTCCCGTCTTTGGCACACACGTCAGTCGGCGTGTCCTTGTCCTAGGCTTGTGGTTCGTCAGGGATGGAAATGGCAAGCACTTGAGGAAGTCCACTGCCCCGGGCAAGCAACCAAGCAAGCACGCACGCACGCAACACATGGAGGCCAAGGGCCCGCTGGGACACGCCACGCCAGCACCGTGCCTTGCCTGTCTTTTTGTCCTAGGTTGTTGGACTTTCGTCCCATTCTCACGCTCCCTAGCGGTACAGCTGGAGCCCTGCCCTGGCTCGGCTCGTCTATTCGTTTGCTTTCCACGCCCTCTCCGTGCGCACGCAGCTGAGCGGCATGTGCCCTCAGCATTTATCAAGCAAGGCTCCCCCAGCGGCACTTTGAGATGTGCCAGAACCGCCCACGCATCCTTTTCTACAACCTAGACACAAGCACCTCAGTCTCGCTCCTCCCAAAGTCCGGGGTAAGGCAGGTGCCGAGTTGGTTGTACAATACTGCGTACAAATACCTTGGGTTCCCGCCTTTTCCCCAGAATTCTCCTTGGGCCGCACCCAAGGTTGTTGCTTCGTTTCGTCCGCACCCCTGCTCCTGGCCGCCTTCTCCCCCTTCCCCCTTCCCCCTGCTCCTGTTAAACCGCCGGCCCGGTCTCTCGGGCTCCCTGGTCTAATATCCTGCCCTGCTCTGCTACACCTGTACTTAAACATCGAGTCGGCCTTGCAAAGACCTGCCCGCCTGCCTTCCTGCCCGCCTGCTTTCCTGCCCGCCCGCCTGCCTGCCCGGCTTCCTTCTCTGTCTCCGTCTTCCGACTACTGGCGTCATCGCTCACTCAGTCTGCCCACTCCGAGGTCTTGTTGACAAGCACAAGCCGATTCTCCCGGCCATCCCCCGGGAACGAAAACCTTGGGCAGCAAGTTTCACAGCCGAACGCAGGCCAACAGCCTCTTCTCGGTGCGCCGCGAGCTCCCGAGTATTAATATCGCCATTATTGGTCTTGCATTTGCCCTCCGCCTTGGCTCCGTGCATATATCTTGCCAGCCCGCCCGCCTGCCTTGGAACCTCGGCAGACCTCGAACACGCAACCTCACGCAGCCCACACTCTCACACCAACCAAAAGGCCTTTGCCTGTGCATTCAAATACTCGACCATTCCAAACACCGGTCTGACCCGACCTCGACCTCACTCACAATGCCTTCTACCCAAGTCGCATCGCCCATTCCTGTGCCGGCCCCTCGCGAGAGCCTGGCTATCATCACCTCGCAAGACCTCTTCGCCAGCCTGAACGCGACCCTTGCGTCCAAGTCGGGACAGCTGGTTACCCCCATCCACGCCATCCAGGAGGACGACTACTCGGTCCCGGCGCCTCCGCCGCCGAGCCCCGTCAGCTTCCGGGACCACTGGCCCGCGTCGATGCGCCGTTGATCACTTCTTCGAGCTCCGTCCTCCAGCATTCCATTTTCAGGCGTTATATTAGCAAGGGCATGGGTTTTCATCATATCACCAGCTCTATGTACACGGACATGTACTAAGCACGTTTTTCTCGGCGCGCGCGTTTTGCATTTCTCTTTCCGCGTCCATCTCCGAAAACGTTTGAGCGAGGAGGTCAGAAAAGCAGGGTCAGGGGCGCTACACAAAAGTAACGGGGGCATTTTAGGGTAACCGCGTTCGCATCACATCACTTGGGAGGCTCATTGTGTGTACGGATGGACCAAAGGGGAAAAAAGCAGTATCTGTTGTTTCTCTTCTCTTTTTTCTTTTCCTGAATTATTACTGTACTTTTACGTCGAGGGTCTGTGTGTGTAGTTGGAAAAGGGGGGAGCGGGGGTGGGCCCCCTCCCCTGAATATTCGATGTGTTGCTAGTTTGACACGAGAGAGCTGCTGTCTAGTCTGGCATGGCATGTCACGGAGCTCTCGTGAAAAAAGGGGAATATATCAGTTATCGCCCGTACTTACAATCAATCCCCGTGGCTTTCATTTTCATTCTTTTTTTTCTTTTTTTCAGGTGAGAGCTAGCGTGCCCTTTGCGACCTATGACTAGTGTATCACAGCCAATTTCATCGCTCGGGTTCTTTTTATCGTGGTTGAGCGGGCTGCTAGTACGCGCATGTGATAAGGCGCTGGATTGGTTTGTTCTTAACGAGATGCGCGGAAACTAATAAGGCAAGAACCTATCAGAGACCAGATAGGGGCAAAAGATTGCGGGTGATGGGCGAGCGAATTGGGGCCGCCCGTCGCTCCGTCCGTCAAAAGAAAAGAGGAAAGAGAGAGTGTGTATGATTGAGGTGGTGTAAATAAGCAAGCAAGGTAAGTAACCGAGATCTCCGAGCCCGGGCCGGCGCGAGCCCGTCCTTCTGCGATGGGTGTGTGTTACGTGCGAGCCCTTTTCCTTTTTTGGCTCTTGGTTCTTGGAGGGGAAGAATTGGAGAAGAGGGTGGGAAGGGGAGCTAGCTGCTAGCGTGGCTAGAGGAGGTGAGGTACGGGACGGGATGGAATTGGTTTCCTGTTTCTGGAAACAATGAGTTTCTGTCGTCTTCTGTTTGGATGCTAGCCATGCCCGTATTTCACGACAACATTTTCGACAACTTGGCTTTGCACACAGCATGCGGCGCGCACGTGGGAAAAGGAGAAAGGGGGTATACGGATGTCGGGATAGGGGGACTAAGGTAGCTGGTGTCTAGCGGGTTGCGTCTGGCTCACTAATTCTAGAAACAAAAAAAAAAGTATTATTTTCACTACTTGTGTAAGTAGGTGTGGCGGTACAGAACTCTCTCTCTTTCTGTGTGTGGGGATGTTTCGGACGTAGGGTGCGGACGACGTGGCATGTGTATATCTAGTGTGTCCTTACATGCATACCTACATGCATACCTACATGCATACCTACATGCCTAGCGAGTAAGGCAGTTTGCTCCGTGTGTAACACAAAAAACCACGGCTGCCGTACAGGCACTTATTACTTACCCATCGGGTTTGTCAGGACAGAGAAATAAGCAATACCTACCTTGGCCTTTGGAAACTGCCAGGTAGGTAGGTATACGGAGGGCGTCGCGGTATTGTAACCATGCAACAAACAACCCGGGTCCCTTAGTACGCAGTATCTAACGGCGTGAGTCATACTCCGTATAAGCCCACACCCCGTCCTTCGGATCCGAACGGTGCGAGCCGGAGAAAGAAAGGAAACCCGAAACAGGTTTGCCATTTACATATTGTCCGTTGCCGGCCCATGCTTTTAATGGGAGATTCGCACCACTAGGTACTCACAGCAGCACAACTAGCTCCCATGCGCGCGGCTCGGAGGGGTCGGAATGAATGGATGGATAGATGAGTAGAGTCGTTCCCTTGCAACATCACTCCCTAGGTACCTATGTAGGCAAAGCTATGACCATGCACGGATGTAGAAGGGACCCAGAAGAAGCAGAACGCTGCTGGCCCGTTTGCGTGAGTGAGTCGGTGTGCAGTCGTTAACATGTCACAAAAATATTATCGTCGGTTTTCTTTTAGACTGGTCTCACCTTAATGATTATTATTGGCAAGAAAAGCGGCTGGCCGGGCTTGGCTTGGCTACATGTCTAACCAAAACAAGCAACCAGTCCTCATCGTCGAGGAAGGCTGAGAAGTGAATGAGACAGGAAGTTGACGGACAAACTTGTTTCTGCATGTGAACAGCAATCCGAGAATACGTACATGAAAAAGGGGGTGGGAGGGTGGTGGGGGGCGTCTTTGTTTCCTATCCCGCGCCGGGTTTGTCCTGTCCGTGGTGCGGGCCAGCCCAAAACATTTCAGCCCCAGCTCTCACAGCACGCAATCCTTGTGTTTTCTTTTTGACATGTAACGTTCAAGTTCGGGCTGTTTCTTCTAGAACCGGAGCACTGCCGCGCAGTCTCGCTCACTGCCAATGAGCAGGATCCATTCCGCAGTACCGAGTACCCAGTTAGAACACCGAGGCCAAGCCGTGCTGGGGACCCGAAGAGAGGGATCAAATGGTCTCTTTGGGCTACCTTGGTTCTGGGTTGTGGGCAAGAGTTAGAAATCTCAGGTATGGACACAAGGTAGCTCAAAATACGAAATCTGCATTGCTGCAATGACATGCAATAGTATCAACGCTATGCTGCGCTTCAACAGCCGGCGAGCCTCTAAACCAGCTCCGCTCCCATGAACCAACCGCCTCTAAATAGCACACACGAAAAGAAACTATGCAAGCCCGACACTGCTATCTATCTGCCCACCAGCCAAATATTCAACTCCCAGATAGCTCCGCGTCTCCGACTGCAACGCCCGCTCGGGTATACACACACACACACACATGCACTCCCTCCCTATGACGTCAGGGCTGCTGACACCGAGGCTCAAGGCCCCCTCCCTTTCCCCGAGGCCTCCCTTTCCCCGAGGAGAGAAAACATGCAATCCCTTAACCACGGAATCCCCCCACCTCTCAGACAGAGACAGACATAGCCACCAGGTAGGCAGGCAAGGCATCTATAACTTGGCCGTCTCGGCGAGGGTGCCGACCTTGAGCTTGTCGCCGTACTTGTCGAGCACGTTCTTGCCGTGGTATTTCCAGAACTGCTTGGTGGCGTCCTTGCCGGCCATGCGCTTGAGGATCTTGGCGCCGCCGGGGTGTTCGTCGAGGAAGCCTTGGGAAGTGTTAGTCACCCATACGCATTACATCTACAGAATAGAAACTGTGCGCGGGAGGGAAGTACCTGTGATGTCGTATACGCCCGTGTCGACGATAATGTACAGCCCCTCACTCTCGTCCGTGTGCTTGGCCACGTCGGCCTTGGTGAATGTTTTGGACATTGCCGCGTGATGTCTGGTGCTGGCCAACAGTCGGATCGGATCGGATGAACGGAGGGAAGATGAGAGAAATAGAGGTCAATTGGCTTCGTTGCGGCGACGAGCAAATCAACAGTTGCGGGATTCTACCGGCATGTACAGTTCAGCGTGTAAGTGCAGGCGTGGGCGTAGGCATAGGCGCAGGCGCGTGAAGCAACGGCAGCGACAGCGAGGATGACGACGGGGAGATGATGGGATTGGGGGCCATGGTGGAGCCGGCGGATTGTCAATTGTCGACTGACAAGTGGTCCGTCGCCCTGCTTGAACCTCGGCTCGTTCGTCGGTGGGGATGGACAGGGGGAGGGGTTGGGGTTGTTCCCCGCAGACGTCATTCCCGACACTTCGGGGTGCGGAGGACGCTAGACCGATTTTACCCTAGACTGACTGTCGTAGGTGTGTTCTCGTATCGTCAAAGGCTAGCGAGGAAGTGAGGATGAATGTTGAGTTTCTTTTTTTTTCTTTTTTTTTTTTGCGGGCTACACAGGCTCTTTTCTCTTATCGACTCCCCATAAACCTGCATTATACATAAGAGAAACAGACAGTAGACAGCATACAGCATGCTCAGCAGCGCTCTACGCTTCGAGTTCTCGCGGCATGGCAACCGCTACGGACGACATCCATGCTTCAAGTTACAACAACCCGGACCAAGTCTGCGCCTAGGTTATATTCATGAACAAGCCAAGGACCTAACCCGACAGATATAACATTGTGTCTTTCTTGACTAGAAAAAAACATAGACACATTGTCAAGGAAATCCCATCCCGACAAATAGCTAGGTAAGGTAGGAACTGCAATCAGTTCTCCCAGGCTGCCGGGAGGCAGACACGGCACCTGCAGTCACTGTGGTACCCCCCCGCTATATTTCACGCATTAGAAGCCGCTTCAATAACTTCTTGCGGCCGAGGTATATAGACGCCTAGGTACCTAGGGATGGGGGGATTTCACAAAGAGGCTGGCTGAGGTGGCTTACATCTGCAATGTCTGCATTCGCAACCTTCGATGCAGCCTAGAACTGGACATCGGCGAGTGCTTTCCCGCAGGAGTCTCTCAAATCTTGGGTAATTGTGTGATAAAGGGATTATGTCAGGGCGAGACCCACCGTTGTCGTCCTCCTGCACCGGCTCTGGCTTCGACTCTCCACTGCCGCGGTTGCGAAGTTCCTGCTTGGGGCCTTGCATTCTGTCTCGAGTTCTTGGATTTTTGAGTGGCTGGGTAGTCGAGGGCGGGTGACCGACTCGAACGGGAACAGTCTGTCCCTGATTTGTCACCTCGAGATGGTTGATTAGGTCTTGTCAAAATGGGATTATTTCGTCAGAGACCAACGGCAGCAGGAGCTGAGCGCCACGCTGCTCATCAGCCTAGCCCCTATAACGCAATATCTGTAACTACATTGTGTTAACATCCTTCAAAGCCACTCCGTGACACAAAATGACACACGGATAACTGGTCTCAGGATGCTGGCGATAGATAAGAGGGCACCACTTGGGAACAGGCCCAGAGCACGTAAACTTTGGAAAACACCCAATTGTTCAACCTCTTTCCGCAGCTAGCTGAGTCGTTCTCTCAGTAGTAGTTGCTCAGACTGAGACTTGGCAGTGCCGTACTGAACTGGCAAATATTCAGGGGCTGGAGTGTGAGCTGGAAAGGTAGGTAGGTACCTGTATTTAAACCACGCCGCCTCCTTCCACAACCACATCCTCAATCACGTCGTGGTAATAACTATACTATTTTAAGGCGCGTAACTGGGTATTTACAGTGTACGATTTGGACCTTGGGGCTACCCACAACGGGGAAGAGAGGACATCACAAAGACTTTGAGGCAGCACAGTATTTCTTCAAACTACGAGGGCCGACATATAAGAATGCTGTAGCTCTGGCAATAACCTGGCGTGCCCGTGCCTGGTATAATGGTCATGCGGCTATATATATAGCGTTTTTGAAGAGAAAAAAGCCTGGAAGGTATCTAGATCTTTTCCTGGTTAGCTCAAAGTCACTCTCTGGACCTACGGTGCGGAATGACGCCTCCTACGGTCCGAACAGACCTCCTATGTATCATATTAGGTAACCTGAGCTCCGCCCCCAGCACCTCCTAACTAACCGGGTATTGTTTTCTATTTGCACATAAAAGGAGAAACAAGTTAACAATTCAACCACGCCGTAAAAACCGTCAACGCCGCGCAATGCTCCTCATATCCACCGGAAATGGCCTGCCAGAACAAAATAAACGCATGAAACACGCTAAACCATCGCCCAGAAGACGGCCGCCCACGCCAAAGATGCGACCCACAGCAGGGGAGACACGGCGGCGGCCGGCACCCTCGCGGCAGCCGACGACTTGCCGCAGCAGGGCCTGTTGTACGTGACGTTGTTCATGCGGGCGGCGACCTCGAAGACGCTGCCGGGGAAGCCGCCGTAGTTGTAGTAGTCGACGTTGAGGACGGTGGGGGGGCGGCCCCAGTCGGCGTCGCAGCCGGCGGCGGCGGCGCCGAGGCTGCCGTAGCCGGTGGCGTTGTTGGTCTGGTTGAGCTGGGACACCGCGGGCACGAGGACCGAGGCGCCGAGCAGCGAGACCTCGACGTTGAGGTTGTGGTTCATCAGGTACAGGCGCTTGCGGGCGTTGGCGGGCGCGAGGTCGGGCGGCCGCTGCACGGTGCACGGGAACGTCTGGTTGGTGGGGTCGAAGGGCGTCTCCCACATCTGCGAAAACTCGTCCATGAGCCAGGGGTACGCCTTCTGGTCGGCCATGTAGTCGAGGAGCATGACGACGCGCTGGCCCGACAGGATCATGGACGCCAGCGTCGGCCAGCTGTCGACCGACATGGGCACCACGGGCGGCGTGTACACATACTGCAGCAGGCCCGTCGACTCGATGAAGGGCACGTAGTGGGCCGGCGTCGAGTAGTTGCCGTTGCCCAGCAGGATGGTCACGACGTCGTACGGGTGGGCGGCGACCCAGTCCTTGACCGTGGTCAGCCAGTCCGTGATGGGCCCGGCGTCGAACAGGTCGCAGGTGGTGTGGCAAAAGTGGGGGACGGAGCCGTTCTTGGGCCACTGGATCTGGGCCTGGAGGAAGCGGACGCCGTCGTTGAGCTGGTCGACGACGGTATACTGCTGGTTGGCAGCGGCGCTGCCGGGGCGCACAAAAGGGCTGTTGTGGCAGCCGACGACGGTGATGTTGCTGTACTTGCGCTCGCAGAACTCGGGGTAGTTGTTGCAGGGCCGCGTGTTGGTGGGCTTGGGGGCAGGCGACTCGACGGTGGTCGAGACGTTGCCTGCGGCGGGGCTCGAGGTGGGGACGGAGCCGGTGAGGTATGTCACTGTCTGCTCGGGAGGAGCAACGGTCGACGTGGACACGGTGCCGTTGGCGGCGATGGTGGTTTCGAGGGCCGACGACAGCGACGTCGTGGCCAGCGTGATTGTTGTTGAGAAAGTCTGGTAGGAGCCGGTGGGCGTCTTGGCCTCGGACGTGGTCTCTGACTGCGACTCTCCCGCCTTGGTTCCCGTCAAGACGGTCAGGCCTGACGATGTTGTGTCCGCCGAGGCCTGGCAGCGGGCCACGCGGGCGCTGAGGCCGAGAGCCCAGAGCAGGCAGCCGAAGCGCCGAAGCGATCTCGACGCCATGATCGACAAGGGCGAAGAGGGAGAAGGAGAAAAGAAAGAAAAGGAAAAAAGAGCAGCCCAGCACTGCACTGAACCTTCTGCACTATACTACACAACGGCGAAGAGAAAAGCAGTTGCCAAGATGGAGCTTGGAAAGGGAAAGCACAGAAGCCAAAAGAACGATCGATTTGATTCACCCTCCAGCAAGCTCAGGTCACGCAGGACCCGGTGGCTGCTGGGCCCAGTCCCCAAGTGGATATAAGAAGTGTCAAAAGCAGCTTCAATAAATGCATGTTCAGCCAGCCAAGAAATCCTCAAGCAGGTGCTTGGCATGGCCTGCCCAATGATTGCCGGCCCCACCCACCCCGAGACGCAACGCTACCTGCGCTCTGCCGCAGTCTCGAAAAGGCAAGAGCTGACCTAGGCCCTGAGGTGCCCTGACAACCGCGCACTCTATCCTGCCCTCAGTCCCAGCCCTAGCGGCAACCCAATGGCAAGCACAGCTGACGCGCGCTTGCAACCAATCCCAGTCGTCACAGGATTCCCCAGTCTCACTCGCCAGCCACAGAAGACTCTCTCTCGCGCTCGGCAATTGCTTCAGGCCCCTTCTCTCAGAAGGCATATCGTGTGTAGTCCTGTGTTTAGTCAAGACTCTTGTCTGGGGTTCGATTCCAAGTTCACGTCCTCGACGTGGGTACAATGACGTCTGGACTTCAGACCAAACCCGCCTTTCGTGTAGCAGCTAGCGATGCCAAGTCGCAGTTCGGCAGGCCGGGACTCCGCGCTAAAGCTCCTAGCTAAACCCGCAATCCGAACAATGCTCCGTCCGTTGTGGCACCACTGCCGGACGGACGTGTAAAACCGTTTAATCCATCCACACTGACTTTTCCAGAATGACGACGGGAAGAAAGGAAAGGGAAGGGACGCAGAGGATCGGATGGCCGGCCAATTTTGAACTTTGAACTTTGTTTCCGCGGATCGCTTTCCCAAAACGGAACCCTCAGCTGTCTCCACTGCCATCCGGCTCCCGTCATGGTGAAATGGTAAAAAGAGGGTGTAGGGGCCCGGGAGCTAATGGACGCCCAGTCTAGGCACGACTCCTCGACTCCGCCAGATGCAGGCGCTGCTCCCAAGCCCAGCCAGAGCCAGCCCAGCCCAGGTCCCACGCGCGCCAAAAAGGCTCCAGCTGGGCGCAGATGTGTGATGGGTCCTGTAAGGTCCCCTAACAGGCGACATCATTCATCGCCTCCAGGAAGGAATAAGTTTTTTTTGGTATTGACTTTGGGAATCCTTGACTTTTTCTTTCTTTGAAACCACGATATCCACATCTTTGTATCCGGGTGTGCCTGGATCTGTGTTTCTCGACCACCCTGCTATGCTCTTGGCTGGCAGTGCCGAGTACCTGGCAATAAGTCATTGCAATCAGGAGCAGCGGCTTTAGCTTCCCCCCAATCTCCACAAACACCCTCCTGGATTGCTGTGGTGATCTGTGATCTGATCTGACCTGATCTGATCTGATCTGGTCTGATTTGGGCCGGGCTGGCCCTCTCGGTGACCTTTTTCGTATTGGATACAAAAACGGCCAAGAAAAAAAATAAAGGCTAAATAGGAGAAAGCCTAACATGGCTTTGCCGTCGATTCTGCGGATCCGGAGGAGAAACCAAACAGAAAAGGCGTCTTCGCCAGCGGCGAGCGCACCTCCGCCGCCGCGGCCGTCAACGTCAAAGGAAGAAGAGCTGCAGTCTCCAGCACCACCACTCAACCCACATGTCACCAAGGACGACATCAGGCGCGCGACGAAGCTGCGTCGCGGCTTCGCCATCAGCGCCTCTGTGTCCTATGTCCTGTCGTTCATCTTCCTCATGCTTGCAAGTTGACCTCCCCTCCCCCCGGTTTACTGGCTCCCAACTAACACCAACCACAGGTCATCATCGGCAACACGTTCAACAAGCCCGTGCTGAGGGACATCTACTTCTACACGCTGGACCTGACCGACATCGTGCCCAAGTCGGTCCCCAATGCCAGCCTGATCAACAGCATCGCCCAGAGCATCGGCCTGCACGACTTCTACCAGGTCGGCCTGTGGAACTTTTGCGAGGGCTACCAGAATGAGTGCGCACCCCATCTGCCCCCCTTTCATATCCTCAGCCAGCTGATATGTGCGTCTCAGGGGCATCACGTACTGCTCCCCGCCGCAGAACCTGTACTGGTTCAACCCCGTCGCGGTGCTCATGAACGAGCTGCTGGCGGGCGCCACCATCGCTCTCCCAACACAAGTGCTGACCATCCTCGACGTGCTGCGCATCACGTCGCAGATCATGTTCGGCTTCTTCGTCACGGGCGCCGTGCTCAACTTTTGTCTTGTCTTCGCCTCGCCGCTGGCCGTGCGCTCGCGCTGGTGGAGCCTGCCGCTGGCCGGGTTTGCCGGGCTGTCGACCGTGTTCGTGGTCGCTGCCGCCATCGCCGTCAGCGTCATCAGCTTCGCCTTCAAGTACGCCGTTACCGCCCAGCAGGACCTCAACATCCGCGCCCATGTCGGCGTTAGGATGTTTGTCTTCATGTGGCTCGCCGCCGGGTTTACGATCTACTCGTCGCTCGTCCACGCCGCCATGGGCTGCTGCTGTGCGTCGCGCCGCGATATCGAGACGGGCCGCAGGGTCCTGCGCAGCGACGGCGTCATTGTGCAGGGCGGTTAGCAGCCGCGCGGGGTTCTGTGACCATGTTTTTGTTTGTCCTTTCCTTTTCGAATCAAGGCGTCGTGGTCGTGTAGATACTGCCTTTCTGGTTCGGCACATAGACGGCGGGCTGGCTTATATTGACTTGGTAGACTTTGGTTTGGGTCTCGTTTCTGCTGGGTATTGTTTGTCATGTTGTTAGCTGCAGGGTTTCTGTTACTAAAGCACACTCGCCCCCCTTCTTTATGATAGCCTCGCTCACTTGAGTAGCGGCATCTATAAAGACAACAGAACCTCGCTCAACCAACCCGCTCAACCTAGCAAGGCGACATGCACTACACCTGCAGGGCACTTCATCGGCCAAGCATGTTCACAGTCATCTATATAGGTGAGCCAATCAGCGATGTCCCCTGGTCCCGAGGCCCCGGGCCCGAGCTCTCGGCCGTTCGCCCTCGTCCCGGGGTCCCGCGTACTCCAGTGTACGGGGCCCTGAGACCCTCCTGATTAGGCAACCCCAAATAGAATGTGCTCTACTACCGTGCATTTCTCTAGGGACTCGTAACATAGTAATCTAGTTTGATTATATTACCCGCGCGATAGGAGCTTGCTCTCTATTTACTATATTACACTAACCTAGCAACCCCTTTTGTGGTGCCCGTGCACCCTTATAGATAGACGACTCAAACAATCGAGTAGTTTGTAATATCTTACTCGAATCTTCTAAATAGTCTAGTTCCTCTAACCCCTATAATCCTTCTAATACCCCCGGGCTAGTATCTTCGTCCTCGTCCTCGTCCTTATCTTAGACGTTAAGATTATCCATTATATACGTAAGCCAACCTTCCGAGGCTAGCCGGTCCGGGTGCGTCTCGATAAGTGTTTGCTCCCGTATCGCTAAGACCTTCTCGAGAAGGGCCACCGCTTCCGTAACCTGGCCGTTAGCCTGGTAGGCGACGGCAAGCGTATGCTGCGATCCAAGCCGGTCCGGGTGCGTCTCGACAAGTGTTTGCTCCCGTATCGCTACGACCTTCTCGAGAAGGGCCACCGCTTCCGTAACCTGGCCGTTAGCCTGGTAGGCGACGGCAAGCTCATGCTGCGATGTAAGCCGGTCCGGGTGCGTCTCGATAAGTATTTGCTCCCGTATCGCTACGACCTTCTCGAGAAGGACCACCGCTTCAGTAACCTGGCCGTTAGCCCGGTAGGCGACGGCAAGCGTATGCTGCGATGTAAGCCGGTCCGGGTGCGTCTCGATAAGTATTTGCTCCCGTATCGCTAAGACCTTCTCGAGAAGGACCACCGCTTCCGTAACTTGACCGTTAGCCTGGTAGGCGACGGCAAGCGTATGCTGCGATATAAGCCGCGACGGGCGCGTCTCGACAAGTGTTGTTTCCTCCCAGAAACAACACCTCTCAAGACAATCTACGCTTTCCCGGATCCGACCATCTACCCGCAAGTAACGGCCTATCTAGAAGTAGAGATCGTACCGCTCCTCTATATCGAATTCTCTATTCCCTTGAGCAAGCTTTAGCGCGTGCGGCATATACTCTCGCCACAGGTTACGATTCTCGTAGTCGTCCGTCGGAAACACCTTAGCAACATGCCGGATCGCTTTCGCCACCGCTTCTTCTACAAGCCTATGCTTCTGTATCTATACCCGTGTCGCTAAGTGGACTAGGCTATGTATATCGTAAGTCTCACCCTGCTCGCGCCGGTTAAGAAACGCGTATGAATATAGGGTTCCGATCGCATGCACCATCTCCTCCTGTGACTCCGCACTCGGTAGGATCGACCGCGGTATGCCCTTAGGTTCGATATGCGACATGAACATCAGGAGATCGGCCGCCGCGGTGTCCAATTTGCGGATCTGGTCGAACGACACGAGCCACGTAGTAGCCACAGCATTCCCTGTGCCCCTGTAGCGATTGTCGTCGTGGAAGTCCCTACTCATTAACCGTATCGTGTCTTGTGCGGTCCCTCGTAGAAGTCCTAGGTATTCCGAAATAGATTTCTGGTTCCGATTTAGGTAGGCCGCTGCTTGCGTGATTGCAAGGGGTATAAGCAAGCTCTTTTAGAAGCTCGGTTGTGGACGTCTTGTCGGAAAGCAGGTCTCGTCGCTGGAGGCACTTTTCTAGTAGATCCAGCGCTTCTCGGCCATCCATATCCGCCAGCTTAATCACGCCACCCTCGGCAACCGCCTCCGCCACCTCCACCGAACGTGTTGTGAACATAATTTTGCCATGCTCGCTTCGGGGCAAGCAGTCAATTAATCCAAGGCTATCCAAGCCCCCAAGGACCATGTCCAAATCGTCGGCGTTATCTACAACAAGGAGCCACGGCCTAGCCTTGTCCGAGCTCAGGTACTGCTGCACCGTTTCTTTGATATCCCAGTCGTCGGCTCGACGGATGCCTAGCCTCTTCGCAATCTCCGTGCAGGCTTGCTCGAACGTGGTGTTGCTAAGTGCCGGCAACCAGAGGACCGAGTATTGCGGGCGGTTCTTCTTCGCCCAGTTCGCCACCTGCAGCGCAACCTGGGTCTTGCCGATGCCGCCGAGCCCGACGACGGCGATCCTGCCGCGGCTGTGCGCCGGGCCAAACAGCCTCTGCTGCACGTAGAGCAGCGCGGCCTCCCGTCCAACGAAACGGCTATTCTCGGGTAGCGGGATGTAGTGGCAAGGCGAGGGGAAGTGGTCTGCAGACCGTTAACAGTTGAGACGTAGCATAAGTCTATTTTAATACTAACTAGTACTTGTTCCGCCTAGTTCGGCCTGTCCTGCCTGCACGTCGTTTGATGCCGATGGTGGCGCTTCGTGAGGAACTCTGCGCCCATTCCCAGCTCCAATAAGAACTGCTCTCCCCGGCAGTTCTTGGCTTCCTTCGGCAACCGCAGCCTGCTCAGCCGGTGCTATGCCGCTGCGGGATCCATATTCGGTCTCCACCAAGAAGTTCTTCACAAACTTCTTAACCGACCGCTGGTTCTCTCGGAGATAGTTATGTGTATGAGCCGAGATCGTGCTCCGCTTTTCCCAATCTGACAACGTAATATCCTCGAGGCCCCTTTCGACGTTAAACCGAGAGTACTGGCTAGTGTCGCCAAATTGGCCATCTAGCCTCTGCGCAACCTTCTTCGAGGACGTGGCCATGTCCTTCAGCGCTTTGAGGATCGATAGTCGCTTATCTTTGATGGCCACGACGTCACCGAGTCCTGTACCAATGCTAAGGACGCGCATCTATTCTCGGCTGGGGAACTGCCACTTGGCCTCATCGATGAGGATTTCGCATGGATTGTTGTATCCGAACCCGGCGTCAACGAATTCAATGTCATCACGCCCGATTTTGATCGACTTGAAGGTCGCGGCCGTCGATGTCGCCCGAGCCACCTGCCAAATTTTACAACCCAGGAAGGAGGAAGACGTGTCTTATGTTGTGAAAAGCGTAGGAAGCGTATCCACGTTGTCCTTTGTAATGGCCAACACGACCCTGCAGTGCATTAGCTAGGCTTATCTGTTGTCATGTTTGTCTCTCGCCAACGTACGTCTTAGAACAGGTCTCACTACGGAATTCCATCCCGCTGTGCAGACACGTCTCGACCGTAGTGTGCCCCTGCTGCCGCCTTTCGGCACACTCCACTTCGCTACAAAACTCTCGAACGGTTTGCTTGATCGCGCCCTCTAGGGCCGTCGCAGAGAATGCGCCGCTGGGGCTTGCCGGAAGTTTGAATAATCTCTGCTTGGGTGTGAAAGCTTGTTCGGCAATTTTCTTATATGCCGATATACACTCTTCGACGGTCATGCCTAGTCTCCCCAGCATGATCGCGGTGATGCTTCGCAAGGGTTAGCCGAATCCTCCACGGAGTAACTAACACTTACCCCCCCGTGCTCGTGCCGCCGATGAGATCGAAATGCTCGCATGGCCTCGGCGTGTGCTCGAGTCGGCGAGCTTCGCGAATCTTTTCCATTATATCGCCGAGGATTTGAAGGCTAGAGATGCCGCGGATCCCCCCTCCATCTACGCCCCGTCAGCGTCAGGGCCAGCGTCAGCAACCGAACGTCGGAGCCTTACCGAGCGAGAGAATCCTCAGAGGCCGAGAGGCACTAGCGCTATTTCTTTGCTCCATAGTCTATCCGCGGAGCTCTGTCCGAAGCAGGAACTAAGGTTTATTGGAAAGTTTATTTTATGGATCGCGGGGCAAGAGACAATTGCGGGATTTCCAGCCAGCCAGCCTCAGCCTCACATTCTACTACAGACGAGTTTTGCCGAGGTTTTTCTAGGTCGAGATACTATCATATGAACTTATTCTGCATTGCCTTTGTTTTTCTTGGAACAAAATAAACAACTCCACCGCCAGCACGGTCCCGACCGCACGCTTCGTGAAGCTGGCGCGATGCTCGTCGGATATCGGCGCAGTCGTCGTCAATTTGGGCTTTTCGGTCGACAGCTAACCGGAAGACCTGGTTTTATTGATTACTATTATAGCGATGTGGCTTGTGTGTGTGTGTGCATGTTCACGTATGTAAGTTTTGGCTAAAGATGGAGAAGGAGCGGATACAACAATAGTAAACCCGTTTATTTACTACGAGCAAACTACCAGGGTAAGAAACGCAGGTTGTTGTATTCTTGGTTTCCGGAGGAGTACTTGCTTTCTCTAAGTGTCTTCAACGGGCATCTATCTATCTGCCTTGCCCACTTCCCGGGAATATTTAACGTAATTCCTAGTTGGCTTGTCTTACCTCTCTTGTACAACTAGAGGAAATATATAGAGGGAAGATATAGAAGAAAGACTCTCAGCCCACTGAACTAGTCTGTCTCACACGAGCAGGGGCAGCTACAAGCACGATACAGTCAATACGCCGATCGACACCACCTTGCCCAACCTGCTCAACCCAACAAGACGACATGCCTGCACCTGCAGGACACTATTGGCCAAGTACGTTCACAGTCATAGCCACATCTAGTCACACGCAGAAACAGCTCGAGCAAATCAGTCGAAGTTTTCCAATGAATAGATTCAATTATCGTCATCTACCCATTCTTCTCTCCTCCATCCTCGTCGACGGCAGTTTAGCTTCCTCAAAGGTGAAAAAGCCCCGACCTGGCCCTCGTGGATCTTGACAATAGAACAGTAATGGCTAGGCTTGGACCTTCCGCGTCATCGGGCCAGTCCAAGGCCACCGAGCTTGACAAAATTTCCCCCCAAAAAACAGGCTGTGCGTTCCTCCTGAAAAAGAGCTGGACCCCGACTCCCCGCCGGGAGGAGCCAGGGTACTCTGGGGGCATGGGCTATACAACAAAAAAAAGTTGGAGTGCATGCAAAGTAAGTTATACATCTCAAGAAAAGTTTCGACACGAGCAACAAGAGTAAAAAAGGGGAAAAGTTCCCCCCTAACCCTCGCTGCTCGGGGCCGCAGCACCGACCCACTAGTGGATTTCAAGCAGGCGGACAAGGGCCAAGTTGCGAGCACAACCGGCTCGACTCTCTCCTCTCTCAAATCTCTCTCGGCACGAACCCAGACCAGCCAAGCTGTGTCGGGAGAGATCTGTTGCGGGAATCGAGAGAAGAGAGAACCGACGTCGTGCCCAGCAATTTGATTTTGCTGAAAACCCTTCGTCCGCCCGCCCACATTCAACAACAAAGTGAGTGAACGGCCATATTCTCTCTCAACATTCCATGGAGCAGGGGCCTGGACGTCGATACGTTCTCGGTTTCCGGGCATGGAAGAAAGGGGGGCAATTAAAAAAAAAAAGGCAGATTGCCTAGGGTTGGCCCCCCCCGCATCTCCCACACCAAGTTTCTTCGTGAAAAAAAAGTTCTTCCCTCACCCGAGGCTAGGGGTGAAACTCAATCAGTGGCGGACGACGATACCGTTGCGGCGGGAGCTGCGCTCGACGTATTCCTCCTCCTCGGACGAGCAGGAGTCCTCGTAGCTGCAGCGGGAGCCGCCGCAGTCGATACGGACGCGCTCGCCCTTGCGGGTGATTCCGTAGCGCTCGCAGGTGCACGAGGAGCAGTCTGAGCCCGGGGTGCTGTAGCCCGACATTGACGAGTTGGGGCTGGAGCTGTCGGAGCGGTACGAGACCGAGGAGCCGGAAGAGGCGGACGAGGCGCGGCCGAAGTCGGTGATGACGTCCTCGTCGTACTCGTCGTAGATGCCGGTCGAGGCAAAGCGGGTGCTGAGCTCATCCTCGTCAAAGTCAACATCGAGGATGTGGCGGGTGGCATTCGGCGACACGGGCTTGGGAGCCTTGATCTGAGAGACGGACAGGGGACGGCCCTTGGCGACGTCGCCCGAGAGGCTGGAGCGGCCCTTGTGGGACGAGGTCGACGACTTGTGGGACTCACGGGAGTGGCGGGACGAGGTCTTGGAGGAAGAAGACTTGGAAGACGACTTGGCGACGTCGAGGATGTTCAGTGAGCGGCCAGTGGTGGGCTCGACGGTGAAGTCCTCGCTAGGGTTGTGCGAAACGTGGTAGCCATCGATGATGAAGTAGTACCAGTAGCGCTGACCCGGCTCGACGACGTTGGACTGGAAGCGGAAGGTGCCCTTCCACGAACCCTTGGAGGAGCTACGGTCCTTGGACAGGGGAAGCTGGCCAGAGTAGTTGTCCCAAGAGCCGAGGAGATGGACGGTCTTGACGCCGGAAGAAACACGGAGAGAGAAGGTTTGCTGAATAGCGGACGACATGTTGAAAATGTGATGGTTATTAGGCGAAAGTGCTGAAATATTAAAAAGATTCCGAGATGTAGAGCTTTGCCGTGCAAAAGCGCTTGAGCAAGTAAAACCAGGTAAATGTCCTTGTGAGGATAATCGTGGATGGATTAGACAGGAGGGGAGCAGCGAGACCAGCAAGCCACTGTTGTTTTTTGGTATTAGTTTTTGATTTGATTAGTAGAGCACAGCTCTATAAAGGGACAATAAAAAGAAGAGGGAAAGAGGAAGAACAGGAACTGGTTTTGGAGATTGAGAGCTTGCTGAGGAAAGAAAAAGGGAAAGGATGTAAAGAGGCGCGAGGAGGCAGAGCCTTATATGATTTGGACCCCATCCGGGCATCCATCGAGGGAGCGGGTGGGCGTGGTGCCTTGGTTACCCAAGCACCAAGCCGAAGCCCAACTGCACCGCTCGCTGCACCGCTCGCTGCACCGCTGCATCGCTGCACTATCGGACTTGGACAGGGACTGGCCACCTCAGGTCGAGGGCGGGACGTGCATCGACTTGGGGTTGCCCTGACGTCCCTCGCCATGCTGCTTCCATTGCTGTTCGCCCGCTGCTTGGCGCACACAAGCAATGGAAGCAAGCCCCCTCCCGCAGGGCCAATTACGAGGCCAACTTCCGGGGAAAGGGGCTTGAGTGGACGACGGCGGAGACCACCTCAGGCAGGTGTGCGCGCAATGTGGGCAGCAGCCAATATCACGAACCGGGCAGGCGTGACCCCAGTAAAATCTGCCAGCCCGCAGCCGGCTCTCTCCCTGGCTCCCTGCCTCGTCACGTTGGATACGTGCAGCCGTCGAAGAGAGCACTAAAGCAGCAGAACCAGACTGCCTCCTGCAAGATGGGCGGTTAAGCAGCACGGACGCCCGCGCTGTCTTTTGCTGAGATCAAAGTACCGGAGTCAAAAGGTTACGATATTCTGAACAATACAGGTTTTTGTCTGTCTGCCCAAGTCGTCCTTTGTCTTTTGCCTGCCGCCGGCTGCCCACATCTTCTTTCCATGTTCCCACACTGAGGCGGAAAAGTTGCAGTGGTGTGTAGAAGCCGGCGCGAATGTGTGGCAGGCGCGCAGAGATGCAGGTCTGCAGGTGTGGAGGTACAGCACCTCAGCAGCAACAAGCGAAGAAAGAGCGTCGTGTGTAGTCGTCGACTTTGGCAAGGGTCGAGGGGGGTCGGTCCCCCGCAGACTTCAACTTGTCGCCCGCTCTTCTCCACTCTGTAGCTGAGGGGCACCGCACCTGTGGGGACGGGCTTGCGGTGATCACTGAGGGCGCTAGGCGAATTCGGGGATGGCCGGGCGTCTAAATCCCTGCGCCAATTGGCGAATCATGGCAAACCAGGCGCCCCGATTTCGCATGCTCCATTTTTCTCTCTCTCATCACACCCGCCGTCACCTTGGGCGGACGGCAGCCAGCTCCCGCCAATTATCGCAATCTTCTCTCCCCGGCATGCATGACGCCGGCGGCCGGTCGATCTCGTCACCGAGCCAGGAGAATTTTCTATTGGTTCGACGTACCAGAACGAGAGTCAAAGGTCCGGCTGTCACCGAGAAAATAAGAAACTCGAGCATTTCTTTTTTTTCGAGAGAATATTCGAGCCGAGTCTCGCGGGTCGAGTGACATAATGGAAATGGCAGAACTTCAATACTCCTGAATCGTGCTTGAGTCTATTCGGATGGTCTCGTCAATTGTCTGACTTAGATCTTACACTAGGCGTTGCAGCAGCAGCAGCAGAAGCAACACCACCCACTCAACCACCGCCATTGCAGCACAAGTGGCCGCAGTTTGGGCCGGCCTGGCTGCTGTTGCTGGCCGGCTGGCCTGCTTTCTCTCCGCTCTCGACCAGTCGAGCACATGGTGGAAAGTTCGAAAGCTCCACCCCTCAATCGGAATCGGCCGAGTCTCTTCCCAGTTGTTCCGCCATCCATCCCATCTCTCCGCCTTGGAGAATGTTGCCGTACGGCGCAACGGTGCAGCACGCACTGGGCATGTCCTGCAAGGCGCTTCCTTCGAAGCAAGGTAAAATGCCCGGCTGCCGGCTCCCTTGTTACGGGCCGTCCTGGTGGGGTTCGGCGCTATGATTTCTGTCCATGTCGAGCGCGTCCATCAACCAGAGAGGGGCCTCGGTCAGTACCCACTTACTACTCTGTAGAGTACGGAGCATGTCTGCATGCACCCTGTGCCATCGTGACCGCTCTCTGCCTGTTTGCCTGCCTGCCAGTTGCCTGCTAGCTACTGTCGCCTTCCATATCAGCCCTCGCTCCAGCGGGTCCCAGGCGCGTTGTCGGTAGAGTCGAGCATATACCCAGGCGAGGACAGCCTAATGCATGCAAGCGATTCACCACCTTCGCACTCTGTCCAACTAGCTCCGGCGGGTATGTGAGGAACGGTCACAGTCGCATTCGGAACAGAGCATCGCCCCACGGAACTCAATATCGAGAGAAGTGTCTAATTGATTCAGATGGTCAAAAGCCCTCGTTCTTGTCGATGTGATGTAAAGAGCCATCCGTGATGGGAGAACAGGACACGTCCGCCACATTCTCTCTTCTACGTCTCAGTGGCCGGAGCTTGCACGTGGATTGCTACTCATGCCCCTGCGCCGCCGCGTAAAATAGCCGCCGAGCATGGATGCGCATTGAAGGGTACCCTGACCAAGGCGGAAGCTTAACGGCACAACCCCAAGAGTCTCGAACAGCAACTCGTCATCTGCCAAGAGCGAAGTTGATCAGAGATGGTACTCGCCAGTCTTCCCCCTATTCACGAACCAGGAGTCTTTCTATGCCCCTGACGCGAAAGGGACATGGAGGGTTGGAGAAACGCCCATCCCAAAATGAAGCAAGGTATTGATTGACTGCTTCAGCTTTGCTTCAAGTTCATCGATATCCAGCTACCCTCCATATCTTGACCAAACGATTGACTCGTATGTGATTATGATAGATATGGTGAGAGGGGAGCCGAATGAAAAGCAACAAGCGAGCCTATATGATCGTGACGGCCCGGGTTTCCCACGACGTGCAAAACTTCAGTCCTCCGTGAGGAAAATGCTTGGCGGGCTGAGAGTTGAACGTGCCAATGCGATAGAACGTGCCATCTCGTGCCCGGGCCGGGCAAAGGAGAAGGCCGTAGGCGGTTCGGGTTTCTACTGGTTCAGAGCATTTGGTACAGTGCCGATCACCGTCTCCATCCATAGCCTCTTGAACATTGCTGTCCTCTTGGTCTGGCGGGCGACTGCCTCCCCCTTCTGTAGGCAACGGCCTTGAATCCCCTCCACAGATGCAACGTTCAGCTGAATTGTCGATGCAACATCCTAATAGAAGCAGAAGTGGCTCATGGTGGCTGACAACTTTGCTGGACGTAGTCCAGTCCAAACCAAACTCTACCACTGGCACATCATCTATGTGAGCTTGCCACATTTGATAAGCGAAAAGCTGTTGGTCGGTTTCGGCCAAGTCGAGTTCGAGGGTTGATACCTTGGCAGAAACGATTATAAACCCCCTCTCTACCTCTCCAAAGGGATTTAGTCCGGTAGCAACACACCCGGCATCAAGTATTTTGCAGAGAGGTTGTGGTTGTCTGGTCCATTCGCCGCTTGGGCAGAAGGTGCTAAACGAATAGGCCGAATAGCACATGTCTCGGGCCCAGCTCCAGGACGGCGCCAGGTATGGATTAGGTGATTCCTGTGAATCTACCAGCGCAGAGAGGCTATCATGTTTCAGTGGTTGCTTTTTCCAGAAGAGAGAACTCCATAGATCTCTCCTCCACATGCCGGCGAGATATTGGTCTCCTGTGGCTTCGGCAAAAAATCTGGCCACGCCAGATATTGCCTGAAGTCTGTCCTTGTCAAATGTCAACAGGCAAGCGCTGTAACATTCCGTCACTCCCCGCCAAAAGGAATAACTGACTGGCGTCTCTTCGCCCAATCTCTGGAATATGGTGATCTTGCTTCCGAACTCGGCCCGTATACTGGTTGCACCAAACAGCAGTAGACGACGTGCCAAAGTTTTTTCTTGAACCACCTAACCACGTTCCATCCACGATCCCTCGATATCCTCGAAACCTTTCTCCGGGATGTAGGGTACCAAACTCACGCCTCTTGCCACAGCTCTGTAAGTGCCCTTGACTGCAGGATTTATGGATGACGAAAACAGGAACTCGATGGTCGAAAGGGTCTCGAGAGAAAGCTGTCGTGACACGAATTTGAGGAAGCCACGCATTTGGTAAAGTAGGCGTTCCTAAATATTTTGCCCATTACAGCCGACTCTCGCTGCCAGTCTTGGCTGCCATCTTGAATGATGCAAAGTGCATCGAGCCAGAGGTATCGCATCCGGAATTTCCGGCAAACAGCCACTGCGTCTCGGATGACCATCGAGGCCGTTTGCAAGTCGATATCTGACATCCTGGCCTGGATGTTCCCGCTTCTTGTTATTGACTGGGTTGAAGCTTGTTCAGGAGGGCCCCAGCAGTAGCTCAAAGCTACATATGGTGGCTGTCCACTCCCCTCCCCGAGCACCTCTTCTCGAGGTGCTAGCCTCACTCGGCTCTTCACAGGCCCCTCCTCTTCGTGCTTTGGCCGGTACTCCAAGTCTAGGACTCTGGTTGGGAAGAATGACGTGTGTTTTGGAGTTTCCGATTTTGGCAGAAGCGCGGTGATCCTGGAGACATTCTCTTCGCTGAGAAACTCATTGGGAGATGTGGGCTGTATCCTCAACCACTGCCGACACGGCCCGTCATCGGCATCGATAACGAAGCGAAGTAGGGCCAAGTGCTGTGTCTTCTCTTCCTCGCCGTCTCGGAATCCATCTACAGCGGCGTTGAGACCAAATAGGGCAAAGCGGCGGCCAATGCATCTCCAAGCATAGCTGAGTTCGATGCTTATCTTACCAGATTCGAATTTGACCTTGATTGCGGCTTCCCTCAACGACTGCCGCAACATGTGGCAGAATTAACATACTGCAGTGGAGGCTGAGAGCACTTGCAGGTCGGGCCATGAGTCGACGAAGTCAAAGTCGACGGGCAGAAATTTCCATTCGTCGTCGTGGTCCAATTTGAGGTAGTCAAATCCCAGATCTGATCGAGCTGCAAAGCCCCCGTACTTTGCATCTTCGAATGGTACGTTCTGGCATCGTTCACACAGCTTTGCGGCAGCGCCTGCTTTGTCAAGCGACGGCTGTCTTGACGCCATGACGCTGAGCTGGGGAAAAGTGTCAAGAACAGGCCGGCAGGAGTGTTAAGCTAAAGAATTTATAAATATTGGGGAATTTCCGTCAGCCCGGATGTTGCGATGTAATTTCTAGCCTTGGAAATCCCTCTTCGCGACTGCCAAGTAGTTCAACGGGAGAAGTCAGGCTGCTGCCTTACACACCGCCGGATCTAATTGGTCATCACGAACTCTTCCTTCCTTGTGGATACCTACCTAGGCAGTATCAAGAGACGAACTACAGCAATGCGGAAGGAGCAACCTGCTCACTACCGGAATTCGGGCGAGACCTTGAAATGATGCGCTCGCTGTCAGGTCAGTCCCTTCCAGGTTGGGAATTAAGCCAAATAGATATGCCCTTGAATCGGTGTCGACTTTCCATATTCGGAGTTCAAGTCATAGGATCTTCCACTGCAGCTAGACTATTGAGCTAACGGCAGGTCGAAAAAGGATACTAACATAGTCTTTCACGCTGTGATTACCCTGAAAGAGTTGCCTGATAACCAGGTAAGTACATCCTCTGGAAAACAAGATAGAGCCACGTTTTTGTTAAAAAAAAAGAAATTTACAGATTGCAAATATCGGAGTGAGCGAGATGCTAATAGCTCGCGGCCACCAAGCACCACGTCCACACTAGTGGGTTCTCGCCACGATGCCAACCAGCTAGTCCTCCCTCACCCAGCTGGATACGTATTAGTCTTGTAATTCCGAGTCTTCAGCAATGTCTTTAGCTAGATACCGCCCCAGCTCCGAACTCTGTCCCTTGCCCGACCGCCGGTGCATCCAGAACGAAACCCCGGTGACTCTTGAGGCCCTCTTCCGGACAGCCTCGACCGTATCATCCGAGACGGCAGCGCCGACGCGGGCACTCCACAGCTCGTGCAGCCCGTAGAGCACAAAGTGCTGGCAGTTGTTGGTGAGCGGCCGGTACGGCTGCAGCTGGCCCGTGGCCGGGTCCACGAAGCGGCCGTCGAGGATCTGCTTGGCGTCGGAGAGGCTGATGACGGCCCCCGGGATGGCGTAAGTGTCTGCGACGGCCGGGTGCGTCGCGTGATCGATGCGGCTCACTTTGGTCTGACGCATGTCGCCGTGGGTGCGGCGCGGCCCGACGTGCAGGAGTGATCCTTTGGTATCCCATTTGTTATCGGGGTGGATGAGGCCCCAGTGGGTGACGCCAAGGCTGCTTGCTTCGTCTGAAGCAGACATACTTGAGAATCGTCGCGCGGTCTTCGGTTGGTGGAGGGGGCTTGACTCGGGGGATTGCGGGACGCTGCTGGAAGAACATGGGCTTGGCCAGAGAACGAAGACTGGAAAGTAAACGGCGAGACGACTGAACTGTTAATTAAGCTTCTGGTCCAAGATGTGTTTTCTATTGACATCAGGTCGATGTGAATCCAAGTCGGTAGTCTCAATGCAGACAAAAGAGCCGAATTATAAGGAACCCTTGGTCTTGTATTTGGCAGCACACGCCTCCTGTCAGTCTTCAGTCTAGATAACTACACGCATCTCTTGATCGGCACCGGCGAGACGTCTTTCGAACAAGACAGGAACTTGTAAGACTAGGGCTTACCGAGATGGAATGGCTCCTGTGCCCGGCTATTGTGAAGAATGGCAGTCGGGAGACCAGACCGAACAAAATATTACAAGTAAGTAGGTGGATAGGTACCTACCTAGGCATGTAAGTGATGACAAAGACACATTCCTAGGCGCATACCTACGTGCAGAGCAACCGAGTCTAGTTATATTTCCACGACAATGTATCCTGGAGGTTGTGCCGTGCCTGGATAACTATCGTTTGGCTTGCTTTTCCGAGGAAGGCCGGACGTCGATGCCGAGACCGAAAACAAGGCCGGGTGGGGCCGCGGGGCAATAGCGCCGGCCGGGGTTAACGGGGCGGGCAATAGCACCGGGCTTATACGGAAAGAGAGCTAAACAGCCGCAAATCTCGCTGGTACTGAAATTTTCCCGGAGACATTGCAGCATCGCGTCATCCACAATTTCATATGTAGCTCGTTGTGGCAGATTGGTCAAAGCATCGCTTTCTAATGCGGGAAACTGCCCGGCTCGCAGCCTTCAACTTCCCTCCCCCTAACTGGGCAACTCTCGACTGCCGTTCTGACCGAATACGGCCGTCTTTCTGATCCTGCAGCAAAGCCAGCGCCGCCGTGAAGGTGTGAGTTGACAAATGCAAAGGGTTGTTGTTAGGGGTCGAGTCGGATCGTCGTATTGTGAGATGCGTGCCGGATTGGCGCCCCGAGAGGGGAAATGAGCAATCCGATAACAAGAAGATTCGTCTCATCATCCCGAAACCCATCAACCTCGTTCCCAGTCGACGTTGGGACGGAAGGGGGACCGTTGGTCGTTGGAGGATGATGGCGCCCCGCAGCACGTCCTCGGCATGACTCACCTCACCGCCTAACTGCTTGTGGCAGGAGAGTAAACACGAAACATGGATGGCCTGTGTGAAATAAAATATCTTGGCCCTCTCTCTCCTATGTATCATCATCTCGGGCTGTTACCCCTCAAACTTTTCGTTCCCCACGACGAAATCACCAGACACCTGAGAAAAAAGTCAAAGACAAGACTCCGCAGAAACAACACCACCGCCAACCCACCAATTTAGCCCAAAAAAAAAGCACCAAACCCGCAGCCATGGCCGCCGCGCTGGACACCTTCGCCGACGACGCGCTCGTGCAGTCAATAACAACATACGTGCAGGCGTACATGGGCAAGTACGACGCGTCGCACAGCTGGGACCACATCGAGCGGGTGGTCGGACTATCACGGCGCATCTTCGCGGCCGCCGACAACCAGGCCGCGCTCGACCTGCGCGTGGTCCAGCTCGCGGCGCTGCTGCACGACGTCGGCGACCGCAAGTACCTAGCGCCCGGTGAGGACGGCACGACCATGGTGGCGGCGGTGCTCGAGGCGCACGGCGCGGCGCCCGCGCTCGCCGCCCGCGTGCAGGCCATTTGCTTGGGTGTCAGCTACAGCAGCGAGGTCAAGGATCCGGCGCGCGTGACGGCGCTGGTTGCGGAGTATCCGGAGCTGGCCATCGTGCAGGACGCCGATCGGATTGACGCTATTGGTGCTGTGGGGATTGGTCGCGTGTTCACGTTCAGCGGTGCCCGCGGCGCGCCTGCGATGGCTGATGCCATGGCCCATGTTGATGAGAAGTTGTTGCGCCTTGAGTCTATGACTAAATCGGGCCCCGGCCGCGCCATCGCCCGCGAGCGCACCGAGCGCCTGCAGACGTTCAAGCAGTGGTGGCTGGACGAGGTGGCTTTCTCTGCGGGCGGCAGCGAGAAATAGGGGAGGAAAAAGGGGGGTTGCTTTTTTTGTCTTGGGCATCATTCAACATGCGGAGCACGGCGTAATAGGGGGGGGGGTTGTATTTTAGGCGGATAAGAAAATCGCAATCTCAACATGTTTGTCTTTATTAGCTTCCAAAGCGGTCGGAGGAATATGAGAAGCTGTCACTGGGCTGGTATCATCCTTACGAGCAATACCGCTACTTGACACGGGCACAATAAGAGAAGACGGGGCCGACGTTGTCAGTTTACACTCCGTAGTTGATTTTCCCTATTTCAGCTACCTGGTTGATAGCCACTCGCAACTCTTCTCATCCTAAAAGATGGAACCCGTTGGGAGTACGCCAGACCCGAATAACAAACTCCCTATTTCCCATCCCGGCGCCCCAAACAAAACACAGCAACCAACAAGCTCTGTGCCTTTGCTGAAAGCACTGCCGCATCATCATTATCATCCATCTCACATCTTTGCCTCCCTGTTACCTATCCAACCACCCCGTACCCCCGACCAAAACAGAAAGAGCATTAAAAACTCCAAACCATCCCCTTTTCACTCCTTTCTTTCGTTTCACCCTTCCGAGTAAAAAGAGAACAGGAAAAGGACATCCAAGCCCACCCATAACCACCCCGGCATAAATTGCCCTCCCAACACCAACCAAGATCGACTGACTGTATAGAAAATTAAGGGTATTAAACAATATGACAAAAGTATTAAAAAGAATCTAAGGTATATAGAGCCTGTGCTGTGTTGTGCATGCTGTCCATAATGACAACAACAACAACAACAACAACAACAACAACAAGAACGAGAACGACTCGTCTAATCTCACTCGACAGAGAAGAAGATTGGAGAAAAGATGTAAGATGAATGAGAGACGTGAAAGAGGTTGATGTCAGGGTGTGTAGGATAGAGTCAGATGATGTAATAGGGTGACAACAAGGGAGCGCGAATGCTGCTTCTTTATTTCTTCGGTCTTTTTTCCTTAGTTCTTGTGTACAGATAGAGAGAAAATGAGGTACTATGAGAATGATCGAGCCACTTCAAGCCAGGCAAAATCTAGAAGAAAAAGGCAACCCCGCCGACCAGAGCCAGGGCGCCGGCAGCGGCACCGCGGTGGTTGGCGACGGCCGCACCGGCAGTGGACACGGACCCGGCCTGCGTGGTAGTAGTCGGGCCGACGGGGATCGCGCCGCCGCCGCCGCCGTTGGTGGCAGTGGTCAGCGTCAGCGTGGTGTCGCCCCGGGTGATGGTATAGGTGCCGTTGCCGTTGGGCGGCGGCACGACGGTCGTGCCGCCGGTGCCCGTACCGCCGGTGACGGTTATGATTGAGTGAGGAGGGTGGGTCCTAGTGGAGGTGGTGGTGAGGGTGGTGCTGGCCGTGGTGCTAGCCGTGCTGGCTGTGGTGCTAGCCGTGCTGGTGGTGCTGGCCGTGCTGGTAGTGCTGGCCGTGCTGGTGGTGCTGGCCGTGCTGGTGGTGCTGGCAGTGCTGGTGGTGGTGGTGCTTCTCGTTGACGTCGTTGAAGTCGACGACGACGACGAGGCCGTGTACGTCGGGGTGCACACGCTGGCGGGCAGGGTGAAGGAGCCCGTGCTGGCGTAGACGACGCAGTTCTTCTCGCAGGCCGCGTCGCCGCTGGTCTCGGACGTCTGCCAGCAGAGAGCGGGCAGCACGCCGAGCGGAGGCTCGCCGGCGAGGTTCTGTTTTCATGTAAAAATTAGCCGTGGCACTTGCTGTAGGGGTTAATATGGAAAGGGGGGCGTACGTCGGAGCAGCGGCCGGGCTGGCCTGTGGTCCCGGTGCAGCGGATGATGATGTCGGTGCCGAGAGAGGGGCCGGCGCAGTAGGCTGCGTTGAGCCGCGCGCAGGTGAAGTTCCCGTTGCTGGATGAGACCTGGGCACTGGCGAGAGCGGCCGAGGCCACGAGGTAGCCGAGGACGGCCGTGTTCTTCATGGCTGGATGGCGGTAGAGGGTAAGCAGGGGGGGGCGGGTTTGGTCAGGTTATACCGGCGGACGATACGATATCACGCAGCAGCCAGCAACAAGCAAAGCGAGCGACTTGACGAACAGAAAACGGCTGTTTCGGCAACTGACACAGAATGAGGTGACGAGGGGATGGCAGAGTGGAGTGGCCACGGCTTTAAGCGGCCCCCTCTTCTCTTTATACACACACCAAAACACCACGAGCTCGTGCGAGGACGCCGGGAGGCTGCCTTGGACACGAACTCAGAGGCAGTTCTTGCCGGCTAGCTAGCACTGGACCATTAACTGCCAGGTCGGTCAGGCCATGGCCACAAAGCACAGTCGTCGTGAGCGGAACCCTAGTCCGCAAACGTTGGGAGTGGTCGTGGGGACAAAGCCACAGCGGGCAGACAGGGGTGAGAGGCTGGAAACTTCTCGTGTTCGCCCCCAGCCCAGCCTTTTCCGCTGCGACGCCGTGTGTAAGTACCTATCCTCATGTACCTATCTTCACAGATACACGCAGACAGACAGACACAGACTAGCCGGGCAGCCGAGTGACACAGCACCTTGCCATGACATGACATGCGAGCATCCCGAGGGCGCCGTACCTACTGAGGTGCTAGACACACGGATAAACTAGGTGCTCACACCAGATCGTGTGGTGTGTGTGTGTGTGTGTGTTGTGTGTGTGCGTGATGAGTTGAGCGAGGAGACGGGGAGGGGCAACACGAGCCAAGAGGCAAGACACTCCCGTTCGAGGGTTGGCGGCCAATTAGAGGCGGCGGCTGGCCCCAAAACCACGGCAAGCCACGATTTTCCCTGAACGAATACACCCCGTATTCCCACGTTTATCCCAGCCCGCCCAGCAGAAACCTCTTAAGAGCAAACAGTAGCCAAAGACACTGGGAGAGAACGAGAATTGCATCGAGACATGTCTGACCGAGCCTGAATCATTGGTTTGGATTAGGTTTGGGCGAAAATAAAAAGAGGGGAGCATGCAAAATCGGAAGCCGGACCCTCGAATACGAGGATGGTCTGGTCGTCGGGTCGACTGGACTGCAGCCAGTCAGGCAGTATTGGGAAAGAATCCCTCCTTGAGTGATCGAGTTGCAGGGGAAAGAGAGAGGGGAGAGGGAGCCGTTACGTGACGTTACTTCCCATCCAACCAAGCCCCCGCGAGAACCCCTCCACTCCTGCAACCGGCCACTCGGGAAGCCAAAAGGGCGGGGTGGCGTTTGTGGGGTCGTGGACAACCCCACCACCCCTCTGCGCAGTAGTGTAGTAGGCCCTTTGCTTCACTGGAATGTTGTTGGAATGCATCCAATGTATTTCCAAGAGGTTGAAAAAACCTTCTTCATTGTCCCACGGCGCTACTGCGGCGGCAGAAAAAGGGCTCGACAGTTCGCTGCGGAATCCTGCAGGAACCAACCGACCCGCGGCCATCCATGTCCATCTAGCGGGCGGATGAGGTGAGGTGAGCCTACCTTAGATCAGACAAACAGACAGTCAGGTCAGGTCAGTCAGTCTGGCTTCACCTCAGCGGCCCTTTAAAGGGCCGGCCCACAACCCAAGCAAAAGCACCAAAACCAACACGATGGGTGCCTGTGTGTGCCTGGCAGCTCAGACGACGGTTGCGGGCGGCTGCTGGTTCTAAATTAAGAGCCCGGGCCGTCAAGGACTCACTGGACGTCATATAATGAATGCTAGCGGCACCTCGGTAATGTATGTACGGAGGAGACGAATATGCACTCTTCCACCCCGGCTTTCTCAGCCTTGCCTTCTTTGTCGGAGGCGTTAGTTGCGGAATACTAGTATACGCGCCAGCCCGACCGAGTCTGATTCAAGACAAGACAAGATGGTCAGGGTAGGAAAGGTAGGTAGGTATACGGGCTTGCTGGCTCGGTGGGTGCTCGCTACGACGAGGCAAAAAAAAAAGGGTTACTCAAATCACTTCATTGACTGACTCACTCGCTCGCTAGTCGGTGATAACGAGCTCCTGAAGAAGAAATGAAAAATAATTTAGGGCAAAGGGGGGAAAGTTCTAGATCATCAAGATCTCCTCTTGATCCTCAAATAATCTGAAAGCTCTCAAATCACTCACTAGCATATTCCCAAACCCCTCCAAATTGAACCAAAGTTGCCCTGTCATGCTTTCCGATCTTGGCCCTCGTGTTCCAAGACACTGGGACAGACGTACGAACTGGCACAGAGCTGAGCTCGCCTTTGTCATCGAAGCCGAGTTGCCTCACTCATCTCATACATGCGCTTCGCTGTTCACTCTGCCACCATTCATCCACACGATCTGCACTATACCAAGACATGGATATGCCTTCATTATAATGGTATTTACGTAGGTAATGTAGGTAGCAAAAAAAAAAAATCATGAGCCCAACCATCGCCGGGTCTAGAATTTCAAGAAAAGAGAAGGACAAAAAAAAATACATGCATCGTGACACGCGACCCGACCTTCCATCTTGGTAATTTTACTGTACTGTATGTATATCCTCTCACCTTGCCTTCAAGAGGATACCCTCGCCCCTGCCGCCCTCCGCGCTCCTCGCCCTCACGCGCGATGGCCCGGGCTGCATGGCGACCCACTCGCCCTTTGCGTTCCATGTGCCAGCTTTCGTGTAGTCCTCGCTGCCGCTGCCCTGCATCCACGCAAAGCGAAAGTACTCGTTCTCCTCGAGCCCGGCGCGGCGGGTCCAGGTGAAGTTTGGCGAGCTGTCGAACTCATCGGCAAAATACGTGCGGAAGCGCTCGACGTCGTTGACTAGCACGCTGAGCCCGTCGAGCTCGGGGCCCGGCGACAGGCCCCACGTGAAGGTGATGCTCGACAGCGCGCTGCCAAGCGTGATGTTGGGCGCCGGGATCGACGGGAGCGGCGACCCCAGCTGCGCGTCCCCTTGCAGCGCGGCCGCCGTCTGCAAGAACGAGTCCCACCCCCAGCGCGCGATGCCGTTGAGGAACAGCCCGACCAGGATGCCCTGGTACAGCAGCGACGGGCGCGTCTGCATGCTCGTGCCCGGCAGGAGGAGCAGCGCGAGGATGTAGTGGTGGATGCGCAGCGAGAGGCCCGGGAGCACCACCGAGATGACGATGGCCGCCACTAGGAGCGCGTAGAGCTTCAGGTACTTGACTAGCCGGCCCTCCTGGCGGAAGAACCAGATCTGCGAGACGGCCACGACGGCCAAGACGATGATGATGATGGCGAGGGCCGCCCTAGCCCCGGGCTGCTGGTCCAGATCGTGCGGCGTGAGTCGCTGGATGGGGATGAAATCGAACGTGTAGTTGGTCAGCGCGCCGACCCAGCAGCCGCCGAGCCACAGCACCGACTTTTCGACCTGGGCTGTCAGGCCCTTGAGCGTCCGCCTCACGCCCATCTTGTCGTACATGACCCAGGCGGTGAACACGGCGGGCAAGAAGTTCCCGAGCTCGTTGGAGAACAGGCCCGCGATGCTTGAGTAGCCCGGCGGGTCTGTGGCGAGGCCAACCGTCCAGTAGATGCCCGTAAAGACGGGAAAGAAGAACAGGGCCGGGGACGTGACGAAGAGCGCCAGGACGGTGGAGAAGACCACCGAGACAGCGAGCAGCGGCCACCTCGTGTCCCGCGAGACACACTGGGTCCCCGTCTCGAAAGTGAACGAGAGGGGGAAGTACGAGTCGAAGCCCACGCTCGATATGCCGTTCTGCGTCGAGCTGTTAAAGTCCCTCTGCAGCCCGATCAGCTTGACGACCCCGCACCCGCCGACCGTGTTCGAGATGACGCCGGCGTGTATCGCGGCTCCGCAGATGAACGAATCCCCCCGGTATACCGCGCTGCCGTTGCTCCCCGGCCCGCCGATGACGAGCGGCTGGTAGACGACCTCGGTGGCGCCGACGGCGTGCGGGTTGAGCACCTGGTAGCTCTCGCAGCTCGCGGGGCACTTGAAGGCAAAGCCGCCGCCGTCAAAGGGGCGGCAGTCGTTGCCGTCCAGGCCGCAGCCGTTGTCGGCGGCCCAGTACGTGTTGCCGCATCCTATCGCGCTGGGCGTGCCCCACCCGTCGATTTCCGTCGCAGATTGGCCCTGGCGCATCACCAGCGCGAAGGTGACGATCCAGATAGACAGGTAGAAAAACACGAGCCATGCCCTGTGCGATTTCCGGGGCAGGAACTTGTCGAGCAGCCGGACGGGGGCGCGCTGCACGCTAGGGAGGAGAGGTTGGATCTTGAAGTTGTTCGGGCTGGGCGGTCCCTGGGCCCATTTGTAGACGGCGATTGTGAGGCGGCGCACAGGGTACGGCACCCATTTCCACCTCTTCCATGACCGCTCGTCCTGGATGAAGCGCGGCGTCGGCGGCCTGCTATCGTCGTTCTGGTTCACGAGGGCGGCTTCGACGATGGGGGCATCCGGATGCTCGGGTACTACGACGTTGGTGGAGCTGGCGCTGGCGCTGGTGCTTGTGCTCTCTTGGCCCTCGACATCGCGGGCCTGTGAGCGCACCTCGGTGCCATTTTCGCCCATGGTGCGGCCGGTCCCGAGCGGGCGCCGGCGGCGATGGCTGGAGTTGTCGCTGGGATCGCGATGACGACGCGCGTTGGCTGGGTCCCTGGGCGTTCTACTGCGGGGAGAAACGTGGGAATGGCGGATGCAGATGCAGATGCAGGTGCCGATGTGGAGGCGGGCGTTGGAGAGTTTGACTCAAAAACTAACATTCATGAAAGACAAAGTAAACGAAAGTAGCCCAAAAAGGGAAAACAGACAAACCAACAATTGCGGCACAAGAGAATGGGGTGGGCAGTCAGAGAGAGTCAACCCATGAGAACGCCAAGGCCGTGATGATGTGGACGGTTGATCGTAAAATCGTCTGGAACTCCCGCCTTGTTTCGTCTCACCTCCAGCACCAGAAGGGACTAGCCGCTCGGCCTCCACTGCCCTGTGGAGCCGGCCCACTGCGTATCCACGTCTTGGCAATGTAGGTCTAACCCGATTAAGAACACATGGCAAGCGTTAAACTCGTGGGGACCTGCTTGCAGTCGCCCTGTGGTCGTCCCATGTCGCAGGGCACCACGTCCCCAAACGGCTGTACGAGGACCTTATTTCGTAGCCCAAACTTTGGACGTGTTTTACAGTATAAACCCTTGGAGAAACTCGGACCGCGAACACTGCGGTGCTATTTTCCGTGTAGGTCTAAGCTCGACAGTCACCACCCCATCGCCTCGAGCGTCTGACTTGGCACCTCTCCAAACTGCAAGAGAACATGCGGTCCCCTCCAAACGTCTTGTCCACAGCAGATCTTTGCGCCATTTTAGCAAGGCTAGGTAGCCACTGCCATCCACCAAGTCGGAATCAGGCTCTCGACTGAGGTGGTCACGGATTCTCGAAGTCGGGTGTTCCGAGGACGTATTCGTGAGCCCTCGATCACTGGACCTAATAGGAGTCGGCGATAGGGACAGGGGTTCGATCAGCACTGCAATTTTTAGCTCCAAGGAGGCCTTGAACGCTCCCTTCCGCGCCGCTCCCCTATCAAGACTCAAGGCTTGTTCTCCTATTGACGATATGTATGTTTGTGCTGGAATTTTCGGCTCCAGGTTGGGGAAACGCGAATAGCATCTTTATGCCCTTTTTTCTCTATATATTCTATCTACTGTCGTTGGACCCAATAGAGGCGATTCCAACTAGTGATGGGATATCGCTTCCATCTTCTGTCGGATGCTCATACCTGTGAGTAATACAGCGGGCGTCGCAAGTTGTGATTTCACGTTGTGGTGTACGTTGAGGCTTGAGGAAAGTAGCTGGGATTGGTCATCGAATATAACACCATCACCAAATGGTATATGAATAGATAGGGATACAGCAACTCTGGATGGTCAACTCTATCACTAGTTCTGTTTACCACCTGCTTGTGTGGCATAGGCCCGGGGGAGTGATATTCATTACGATGCATGCATGTCCGACCCTCGACCCAGTATTGCAGCGGTCGTAGAACTACAGAGCTTACCCGGGGTATGTCTCCGTTCAGTCTCGGGGGACTGCGGTCAACGGTTTCCCCACTTCCCCGGGCACGGCAGCTCAGTCTACAGGAAAGGAGCATCCGACGCCGGCACGTCCACCGCGTCGCACGCTAAGTCCTTCGGCCCCCGGGCCGCATGTGGATGCCGGATTTGCCAGCTTGACCGATCCTACCCTGCAAATGGCAGATCTGAAAAAGTGAATGGTAGGCTGGTTGTCGGCGCGGGGGTAAGCGGGCTGGTTCATCGCACAGTTATTTAGTGGGCCGGCAATTAAGCCGGTGCCACTCCGTAACTCCGTATAGTAGTTTTCCCCATTTACCCTAATATCCTGCCACATCCCCCAGGTGCCATTGTTAATATCGAGACATGAACCCTCTTGGGCGGCGATACGACGGATCAAAGCCTCGGACCCCCCCAGAATTGGCGTGCTGTTTCCTGTAACGGCGGCTGGTTTCTATGCACACGCTGATTGCAATGCCGCCTTTGTGCTGGCCACGAGGACGGCTCTTGATGACACCCTCGCCCCGAACCGACAACGTATAGCGCCAGTCTTGGCGCCGGGGTGATGCAACACTCGCTGCTTTCGTCTCTCCCCATAACCCGGGGAGTCCCCAGACCAGGGACGCGGAATCGTGGACACAACCTTCCTTGTTACAAATTCTCTGGGCCAGGGCCAACATGCGGCGGCACCCGCATCCGCCCCTACGATGACGACGAACTTCCGGGGTCTGCTTGCTAGCCTGTGGGCGGTCTTGTTCTTAGTCTTTGGCTGGGCTGAGGCAGACTTTACAAACTCGTTTGACGGCGTCGCGGCCGGGTCGACGCTCTCGTTGGCCTGGAGCGGAGTAGATGCCCAGAGCTACCCACTGTCCATCACCGTCCAGCTCATCGACAAGAGCGCAGACGGCACCAAGGCGAACGCGTATAGGGCGAACATCACCAGTACGTTCCCACGACTGCATGACATGACAGCAAAGGCTTGGGGCCGAAGCTTGGCGCTCAGATACAGCTATTGGCTCAGCTCTGCCGTGATGCCGTCGAGGCTAACTATGAAAAACAGCAAGTATCAGCAGCGATTCCTTCTCATGGACAGGCATTCCATACCCGGTGCGCTGGATTGAGACTGGGCTCTACCAACTCGAGCTGCGCCCATCGACTCCAACAAGCGGCGGCGATACCCCGTTGTTGGCAAAATCACCTTTCTTCAAGGTGCAGAACCAGGCTGTCGAACCGGCGACGTCTTCGTCGCCCTCGCCATCACCGGTAAGCCTGGCTCTCTCTTTCTCGCTCGTGCCTTGACTCTCTCTTTCTCGCTCGTGCCTTGACTCTCTCTCTCTCTCTCTCTGTTCTTGCAGGGCGTTGTAACCAGTGCACTAACACGGAGCTTCGGCAGCCCCCAACCTTGATACAGGTCCCGAGCAGCGACGCGTCCGGGGTGAACAAGCCCTTGGCGATCGGGCTCGGGGTGGCTATCGGCCTCCCGTCGGTGGTGGCGCTCGTGGTCGTGAGCTGGTGCTTCAGGAAACGGCAGCGCAGGGCGGCCCTGGAGAAGCGGAGGTTAATGAGGAGGGACTTCATCATACACTGAGAGGCGCCAATCCACCTTCCGCCGCCGAGCGTAGGAGCATGATTGAGCGGAAATGATTGAGCGGAAAGAGGAGAAAGACGGCCTTCGTGTTCGACATATCTATTCTGTCGCCGTTCCGAGTCCCTACTACACTACCTAGTTACCACATACTATGTAGGTACCTAACAGCCCGTCCTAAAAGGAACGGTTGTCTTGTGCGATATTCCGCACTTGGGTTGCATTGCAATGATACCTATAAACCGTTTAATACTCATGCCTCGGACTGAAAGAGCTTTTAGGTTAGCGTAACGGACCAACTGCGCTTTCAGTTACGCAGCAGACAACTCTGACTCCACTTGTGGCCGTGAACGACTGACCTTCTTCTGAAGAGTGGCAGGTGGGGGCGGTGACACGGAAGGTGCGGCTTTGAGGGTTACTCCTTGTGTTTTCCGAAAAGCGCGATAAGAAAAGTTTGCTAATTACTAGCAGTACTTGGCAGTTGCTGTTTTCGAAAGGGGTATCTCAGTAGTGGCCCGTACTTGGTTCGGCGCGTCACTTGGCTTCCAAGTTGTGCCCAAAGACGTCAAGTTCTCTTTCGCTTTCGAGGAATAAAATAGATGCAGGACGATCCTTTTGTCTATTCAAGTACGTATTGGCCCGCCACCAAGCAAGCCACCTGCAAGCCTCACCGTTTTACTCCTTCGTCCTTGGATTAAGGTTAATCAGCCCGTCAGACGAGGCGCTTGTTCTAGCAATGATCTGGGAAATCATCGACCTGGTCGGGAGGGGCGGCGCCACGCCCCCGCTGCGCGCAACACAGCGCGATGTGGAATTACGCTAGACCCTCCTGCCAGGACACGTAAGCTATCAGCACTCAGCAACACGGTCGAGAGCATCCCGGGCAGCAGCAGGATCACCATCACCACAAGGCTGAGGGCATCCATCCGATGAATGGCGTTGGACCTCTAACCAACCGCCTTTCTCGGTCGCGACCTGACGGTCCAACGCGATCTCGCTGGACGCTACCTGTCTCCGTGGCGAGGCGGATTGTTGGAGAACCGGAAATTAACATGGTTCGAAATCTGCGCCCGCCGCGATCCAATGAGACCACAGAGAAGCCATTTTTTACTTCTGGGTACCTGCGTACACCGATTCCTTCCCCTGGGCCGCACAGCCGCGCTAAAAGGCCTAGGGTGTTTGGGAAGGTCGCGACCCCGGTTCGGACTCCTCGTCGCCCGCGTCGTACAAGAATTCTGACATCGATTTTTGCTCGCTCGCCCATCTTGTCTAGGCGGCCGAGAGGATTCTGCGTTACCAACACATTTTTTCTGCTTCGGTATGGCACCAGAAGTTGAAAATTTCGAAGAAAGCCCCAAGGTACATCGCACTGGACGCTGGGCTCTGGGCGCTGGGCTCTGGGCGCTGGGCTCTGGGCCCTTAGCCTTGGGTCCAGGCGCTGGGGTTGCACAAACCATTGCGATCTTAGCATGGGGGGGATCCCTGCCATCTCCCCTTTTGACGATTGAGTACGGATACGCACTGGTATGGCTCGTGGGAACCAATTACGAGTCTCAATCCCGCGTATTTAATCTCGACAGCACATGGCTAGTAGTCCATTCCTGACTAGACGAAGCGAAGGAGCCAAGAAAGCTTGGAGTTAGAATGCAGATAGACAGCTGGGAACATGGCAGGCCCATCGTCTAACAGCCCAGTATTCTCTCACTAACGCTAGCCCAAGCTCTATCGATTCCCCTCTTGGGAACATGCCTCCACGGTGTCGGACCCGGCGCTACCGAGGGCGTGGCCAGCATGGCCCACGAGCTTGTCCACGGTGGTGGAGGGGAGGTTATGGGTACGTGAGTGGCAGATCTGCGTCAGTGGCTGCCCGGCTGGCTGATGAGTGCCGCCATAACAACAAAAGTGCCGCCACCATGGCCATGCTCCCCTTCTCCTTCTTCCCTCTTGCTTGATGTTCCTCCAGCCAAGCCTTCCATGCTGCTTCTCCAGCCTGTTTAGAGCATCTTTTTTGCTCGTCCTCTGACGTATCGCACGTCGACTCACTCGTTACTTCACCCTCATTATTGTCATTCTTTTATCCCCTACTAACACCCCTAATTTTGCCCTCATGGCTCCGTCTTTCGTTAAGCTAGGCGCGGCCGCCTTGGCCTATGCTTCCGGCGTCGCTGCCGTCAAGTCATACCAACTCACCGAGCACTACGACGCTACAAACTTCTTTGACAAGTTTGAGTTTTTTGTGGTAAGATACAACCGGGCTGGACGACTCGACCCGACCCGACTCGACAGGGATATGTACAGAGTATAGGGACTGACAGGCCATCTAGTCTGATTATAACAGCGCCGACCCTATGGCCATTGACCCAACGCATGGATTCGTCGACTACAAATCCCAGACCGATGCGTTTGGTTCCGGCCTGATCTCTGGGCCGGGAGAGGCCATCTACGTTGGTGTCGACAGCAGCTCGAATGACGTGAGAGGAAGGGGCAGTGTGAGGCTCGAGAGTCACAGTCGCTACAACTCGGGCCTGATCATTGCCCACTTCACCCACTTTCCTGAGCCGGTTTGCGGAGCGTGGGTGAGTCTATGGATATATACGAGTCCATTCCTTGGAGCAGGGCACACGCTGACAACTCTCTAGCCGGCTTTTTGGATGTACGGGCCTAACTGGCCAACTAGTGGCGAGCTTGACATCTACGAGCAGTGGAACTTGTCTCCTACAAATTCCATCACAGCTCACACCGACAACCCCAACAACGTTGGAGGCTGCACTATTGACAATTCTTTTCATCCCAACACGCCCGACTGTTGGGTAGATTCACCCACGCAGTGGCCTAACGAGGGCTGTGCTATATCCGAGGCGAACGGTCAATGGGGAAAATCAGATGGTGGCGTGTGTAAGGAGTCTCGTGCCTGGCTCGCTTGGTTGGGTGCATATGCTAATTGAGACTCTACGCAGATGCTACCGAGTGGACTGACACTGCCTTGAAAGTGTGGAGCTGGCCGGTTGGGAACATTCCTACTGATATTAGCTCGGGAACCCCAAACCCGTCGAGCTGGGGAACGCCTCATTTCCTCCTAGGCGACGGCGGATGTAACGTCCATGAAGCTTTCAAGGATATGAGATTGGTCTTGGACATCACCTTCTGCGGAGACGCCGCTGGCAACTCGGGGATTTGGGGCAGCAACCCGCTCGACAGTGACAAATGCTTCGCTCAGACCGGCTACGGATGGTGCCCCGACTATGTCAACTCGCACGCCGCAGCATACGATGATGTGTACTGGGGGATCGAGGACATCAAGTATTATCAGTTCCAGGAACCTGCACCCCCTGCTAGCTCGTCGGCCCCTGCCAGCTCGTCGGCACCTGCCAGCTCGTCTGCCGCCAGCTCGTCTGCTCCTATCAGCTCGACAATTACAAGCTCGACCATTCCAAGCTCCACTGCCAGTTCGTCAACTTCAACAGACAATGATGAGGACTGCTCGGATGAGCCGGAGTCGTCTACTGTCCCCCCGAGCTCATCTGCTGCTTCGACCGCGTCGTCTACAACCGACGCGAGCTCGGCCGCTTCTTCAACCCCTGCTTCTTCAGCCGCATCATCGATTGCGTCTAGCACTGCCTCGTCTGCTGCCTCGTCTGCTGCTTCGTCTGCTACCTCGTCTGCTGCTTCGTCTGCTACCTCGTCAGCTGATCCGGCTGGCGGGTCTAGTGCTCCCGCTTCGTCTACGGCGAGCGTCCCGGCTTCTTCGGGAGTCCCCAGCTCGTCATTGCCAGCTAGCTCTTCGTCGCCGGCTAGCTCTTCGTCGCCAGCTGGATCTTCCGGATCTTCGGGAATCCCCAGCTCATCATTGCCAGCTAGCTCTTCCGGTTCTGCGTCAGCCTCGAGCGCATCCAGCGGTGCGGACCCAGCCAGCTCAGGCGCGGTGTCTTCCACAGCCGCAGGCTCCTCAGGTAGCCCCGGCTCCGCTTCTGCTTCTGGCTCGTCGTCAGAAATTTTGGCCACATCGACCATCTACTCGACAACTACATACACGATCACGTCATGCGCTGCTACTGTCACGAACTGCCCTATTGGACAAGTAACGACAGAGGTGATTGCTGTCACGACGACGGTCTGCCCCGTAACCGCTACAGCAACGGCCTCTGCGACAGCCTTGGCCAGCTCGTCGACCGAGTCATCACTTCCCGAGGGCTGGACGACTTCGACCATTTACGCAACCACAACGTACACGATCACATCGTGTGCACCCACCGTCACCAACTGCCCTGCCCTCGTTGGGAAGGTGACTACCGAAGTCATTGCAGTCACGACAACCGTCTGCCCCATTGCAGACGAGACGGGCAGCGTGACCGTGAGCCCAAGCGTGGTTCCCACCACATACATCACGAGCTACACAACACTGCAGCTAGTCCCCACAGTCTCCAAGCCGGCCTCGGTGGCCACTGGTTACTCGAGCTATTATCCGGCTGGCAGCAACAGCACTGCGCCGGTGAAGCCTCTTCCCGTGAAGTCTAGCTCGGGTACCGCCGCCGCCGCTGCTCCGACGAGCACGCTGGTGACCGTGAACGGCGGCACCAGAGTCGGAGCCAGTCTGGTGCTCATGGCCGCCGGAGTTGCGTTGGTGTTCGGATTGTGAAGGTGCTAGTGTCTTGCACAACACGCCAGGGGGGACGTACCGAGTTGGGTGGAAAGAAATTAATTTAATGATTGGACAAGTTGACGGCTTTTGGATACCGATAGATAATCTTGGGGTTGTATAAGGGTCGGCTATTTTGATTTACGGATAGCCGTCGTGGTTTGGTGGCTTCTTCGCTTCTTTAAACGGCTTCTCGCACTCGAGGTCTCATTGCTCGGCGTTATGGTTTCTTCGGTCATACTAAACATATATTGACATTTATACTTTGGTCAAGCATGTATTAACAACGCCGCTGAGCAAAAGGAGGATCGAAGTGAAGCTGGGATATCTTGTTTTGCATATGATACCTACCTAACTATTCTTCTACTTTTTTGCTCTCTTGGATACTAGAGAGAAGAGAGTCTCGGATCAATGGTAAAGAAAATTACGGACGGGGATAGGGATGACAAATGTTGGATATGACATGCGGTGCAGGTACCTTGTCCAGTAGACCTGCTTGCCTTTTGTCATGAAAAGGGGAGCCTCTCCCCTCCCTCCCTCTTTCCAAGACCCTTTGACACTAAAGGCTAGTGGATAAATGCCCACATTGGTTGGTTCATTGCCACTCCCTGCCAGGTGCATGACAGACAACAAAACCGTATAGTGGAAACTGGGAAAGCAAGGCTAGAATGTCTCTACTTCCCAAGGAATGGGTGGCTTTTGAAGATGCCAGCCAGCTAGTTAGGGTATTCTACAGTCGAGAAACAAACAAACAAAGCTAGTTGTCATTTCAGAGTCAGCTTGGCATCTGGGTAACCGCCTGGTAAAGTGACTGTAATACGGAGTACATCACAAACACTCACATATTCTCACACATAACACACACTCACGCTCACACCACCCACACTCACGCTCACACACACTCACGCTCACACACACCCACACTCACGCTCACACACACACACACACACACACACACACACACAGAGGAGAACCTTAGTCGAATTAACCAAATAAATATTTCTGTCTCTATGTCGCCCGCCCGCAACCAAACCCGTTTTGCTCTCACAAGAAACAAAATATACACAATCCCCCCCGTTGCTGACAGCTATGTTTTGCTGACACCCGACAAGGAGAAAAAAAACCGCTCTCGTCCCCAGTCCGGCTGTTGATGTTGTTAGTATTGTTGCCATCATCCAGATGGGTATTTCCCTCCCCTCCTCCGTCTCTCCATTCCTTTTCCGTATGCGGGGAGTATATACACGAGAGGTTGGTGGGCGGCGTGGCAGGTGGATGGGTGCAGACCGCTCTGCTTGGGATCCCTTTGGAGACTCACGAAGACAATAGACACAGACTACGGAATTATAAAAAAAAAATGAATATCGTGGTTTTGTGAGCTCGAAAGAATTGAAAAACCGGATAGCCCTATCCCTGCCTCTGTTGTCATCTGTTCCTGTTGTAGGACGCCTTGTCATGCCTTGAAGTGACAAAGGAAAAGAAATGTGAAAAAGATGCTGATGTGTAGCAGACAGTAGCCGACAGCGCGTGTATCCAACACGGCAACCTGTAAAACAGCTGAGGTGGTAGATGATGACGTGCCGGATAGCTCGTTCCGCTGCAGGGCCTTGTCGTTCCGTGCCGAACCAGAATGCCACCTCAGTTAAGAAAATTGTTCGTGAATGGTAAACCCCGGAAAAGACAAATTAACACCGTATCCCATTGGTCGTGAGTGGGATGATGCAGAGATAAGGACAAGCCCTGTTAAGACATGTCTCCCAAATGATCCCATTATTAATCGTAGCCGGCACCTCGTTGCCAGGGACTGGAAGAATGTTAGTTTGATGTCATGGCAAAGAGCTTCGAGTCTGCTTACCTCGCTGACCTGAATCCTGCCGGACTCGAGTTGTTCTGTGCTCTGAACGCAGGCGTCAGATTCGCGCCCTGGTTCCCAAACGGGCTGGGCGCGCGGTCCTGGTACGCCCGTGGATATCCGGGTGCCGGACTGCTGCGGCCATCTGCAGGGAACAGAGGCATTGCAGGGTCGATCGGGGACCGCGGTGGGTTCCCGTAGTGGCTGTTTACCGACGCGGCGCCAGCCCGTTCGTTGCGACGGATGGATTCGGATGAAATAGAGTCGGCGTCATCGTCCAAGTCAAGGCCGGCCTTGGCGCCACGTGCTGTTGCCGCGAGTGCGTCCAGCTCAGTCGTCGCCGTAAGGTGCGTCTGGGACTTCATGAACGATGTGCGGTCGTCCATCATGGACTGATACCGGCCGTCGGGGTTCTCGCGGAAGAACACAATAATGGTAGTAACAATAAGCATGATCAACAGGACTAGCGCAAACGCGGCGTTGGCAATCCACAAGACGACACCTACGACTCCTGTGACGAGTGCTGGCTGGTTAAACACCTCGGTGAAGATCAGGAGGAAAATCGAGTTCAAGAAGTTCATGACACAAATGGCGATATTGAACGTGTTGGTGCTCTTGTCCATCCAGGGGCGCAGGACACTGGCCCCTATCAGGGCAGCGGCTTCAACGATGATGAAGCCAACTGCCTGGGCAGTGCCCGCCGACTGCGCGAAGGCGATGAACATGGACTTGACGAGGATGTAGATGAGGAATGGGACGATAAAGTAGTAGGCCGACGCTCGGAATTGGACGTAAAGGAAGCCCCACTTGTTCAGAGCCTGAGGGTCTGAGAACAGGATGTAGGCCGGGTTCCTGTGCATCACGACGGAGCGGCGCGCAATTAGAATGACCTTGCTAGCAGCCCAGCCGAGCGTAATGCTCATGCCAAAGAAGAAAAACACGGCCAACACCATCTCGGCGGCCGAGTCGTTCTGAGTAAACTCCCAAAGACAAAGAATGGCCATTTGCGGGAATCCGATGAGGGTGATCCGGAACAGAATACCTTTCAGGACGGTGAACCAGCCGTTGCGGAAATCAAGGAACGTGTCGCCCTTCATCCAGCCCCTCTTCACTGCCAATTCGCAGAGGCCCTTAAACGCTGCGACGCAAAGCGTGGTGAAGATGACAAGAATGACAAAGAAGATGAGGCTGGTCATGAACAGGTTCGTCGACTCGATGCCGGCACGGAAGGCCACGCGCTGAATGCCTTTGACGATAAAGCTACCGGAGCCGGTCTGGATGTTACCGCGCTTGGCCAAGCTGCGCGTCATAACCGAGACGGGCTCGGTGACGCTGCGAGGCATCATGGCGATGGAACGCTTCGCCAAACTCATACTGATATCGGCAAAGTCAACTGCACGCTTCTCGACCTGGACTGAGACGGTCGTCAAGGAGTCGAAAAGTGTCGAAGGAGTACCACCCGTAGCCCGCTGGTACCACGTGAATATATCCTGCATGAACTCGACGCGAATGATGCCCACGCTCCATTGGAAATCCTGGGTCCAAGACATCACCACGGGCGGCAGAGGAATGGCGGTAAGCCCGAGCATGGCCTGGGCCTGGAAGTAACCGAAGAGCGACAGTGCGTTGGCAGCGACGTGCGAGGCCGCATTTGCATGACCTAACCCGGACACAAAAGCTGACGAGGTCAACGCGAGGCCGGCAATAAGAGCAGTGGCCCACTTTACGCCCAGCAAGTCGACCGTCTTTCCGTTGGAGATGTCCGCCTCCACGCAGGCGACACTCTGCCCGGCGTTGGTGCCGTCCGTCAGGTTGATGAATACCCTGACCTTGGCGTCCAGGTCCGGGAACGAGTAGGCAATTCCGGGGATCTGCCTGGCGGCATCGGCGCTAACTGGGAGGTTAAAGTTGAGGGGAATCTTGCCGGCCGTCATGGGACACAGGCCGGCTAGGCCGACTTTACACGGGTCGACCTTTTGCCGAATGAACTCGTAGCCGTACGCCGAAATGGCCACATCGAAGATGACGCTGCCCTGAATGGACGAGACGGCCACAATATCGACATTTGCCGTGTTGTTGTTTGGTGTGTACACGACGTTGAACAAACTGGCCCTGAAGCCCGAGTTGTCCTGGCATGTGTTTAGAGAGTTGGAACTGAGGATGGGTTCGGCAAGGACGGGGGAAGCGAGAGCAGCGAGCGATGCGATGGCCGCAAGAGGCCTCGCCGCTAAGAACCGCATCTTGAACGAGACCGTCGGACGAGCGACGACGTCTTGGAGTGTCGGGGAGGCGGTGTTGATCCCCACGAGAGCGGGTTGGACGGACGGTTCGCGGTCGGATCGGTCGGTAAGTCACGTCAGTCGACGACGCTCTGCGTGAAAATCGGTGATGCTTGTGGATGAAGTAGCGACAGCAGTTTAAAAAAGGCAGCGAGCGAGTCGATGCTGTTGATTCTCTTGTGCCCGTTGGAGAACAATGGCAGGAATGGACCGAAATACAGAAGGGAAATTGAATGTAAGCGCGGAATATTGGTCTCGGGAGGCACGGGGGCCAGGGGGTGGTCGCCTTTGTCGCGGCGTTGGTTCGAGTCGTGGCAGGAAGAAAAAGCGAGAGTATTCTGCCGACGACGACGAGAGACGGGATGTCAGTAGTGCAGATTCAACAAGGCCCAGATCCAGCCTTTGCCACGGTGTGTGCAGCAAACGAAGGCGATGAAGAGATTCCTCTGGCTGGAGAGAAATTGCAGATTTGGGATGCGGGAGCGTAGGCGGCACAGAGATAGGGAGGATTGCGTGCCGGCGTCGAGGTGATGCAGGAGCGCCGTGGTAGTGCGTCGTCCACTGGGGGGGTCCTGGGGTCCTCGTGGAGAGCGAGGCAGTGCAGCGGGACTGGCGTAATGATGGGAATGGCCAAGCTGGGAGGACGGGGGTTGGACACACCCCCTTCCCCTCTCCCTGGCATGGAGGAGGCCAGGTCACGTCAGATAGTGCGTACAGGGGAGATGAGGTCAACGCGCTAGCACAGTACATTTATTCATGCGCTTCGCTGACCGGATGGCAGGTACAGCTCTATGCGGTTAGCCGTGCGCTCCCCCACTGAGACAAACAGTGGCACTTCTAGCGTTGAACGGATGGCCCCAAGTCCATACGGGCTGCGAACTACGAAATACCTCGTACTCCATGAATCACCACTTGGCTAAAATACACTCCTGACTCAGGCCGCTAGAACGAAAGATGCATTCCACAGAGAGAGAAGGCCTCTGTCAAAATCTATCAATATTGTGGACGATGCGGGCCCGGAATTCCGGTGGAAAACCGGGCTGGGAAAGCGAGAGAAGAGGGCGGCCGGAAAGTGTTGGCCAAGCAGGCCAGGTCGGGTCTTTGCCTGGCGGTTGCCGCCCTGAAGAATTTGTATTTCGTCACCTCCTTCAGTCAGCAAGGAAGGTGGGTTGAAATCAGGGTCCAACGCGTCTGTTACGTAGGCGCTGGGCTTGCGGCAAACCAGTTCCGATCGGCGACTTTTCTCTTTTTCGTCAGGTTCGATTTCACCTCGAATCGATAAATCAATCGGTTATGATCCGCCGGTTTGCCACAACGCACAGAAAGAAACAAAGCTGTCCTAACACCAGTAACATTTGCACATTGGCATCATCTACATTACTTACAGTGGTGCGACGTATTATTGCCTGGGCTCTTTCTGAAAAAGGGTCGCCACGAAATAGTTAAAAGGGGCGGGGAGCCCAAAGTGTCAACCGCCCTGGGCAGAAGCCGCCGAGCCAATCGGCAGCCAGCGGGCGTTCCTTGTCCTGGGAATGCAACGGACAGCGTTTCCTCTGTTAGGCCGTGGTAGAGAAAGCGGACTGCACAGCCTCCCTCGCCAATGAAACCCGACACGGCGTATGCGGACTCCTGTAACAGGAGTTGTGGGGTTGATGATTGACACTGGAACTCAGGTTCGGCAATCAATTGAGGAGGGGTTCTGGTGATGCGCGCAGCTGATCGCAGGCAGGCACGCGGGTGCCAGAGGTTGGCACACAAAAGGGTTTAAGGGATGCTGATTTGTTTGCCATTCTTGGATGACTGACTCTGTAACGCTGTGTTGTGTTGTGTGTTTGTGGCTTGGAGCTGCAGGCGAGCGTCCTCATGACAGCCGGGAAGCACGGGGCAACGCGCGATGCAGCGTTCGTGTTTCCTTTTGACAGATGGGTGCGGGAGATCCAGATCTTGGGCAGCTGCGGGATGGCCCATGGCAGCTGGGAGAAGATCGCATTAGGCTGCGCACTTGCATCGCGGGCCAGGCACACAAGGCACGTTAACGGTGCGACACGACGCCGTCAAAAAGGAGGGAAGCGCCAAGCCTTGGATCTACATCGTTTATCTAGTCCGTCGGGAGCGCAGCGGCCTTGATCCTTTCAATGAGGAAAGAGAAATGCTCTCTTTCTGTCTCAAACACCGACAAGAAATAATCTTGCTTCTCGTCCACAAAAAGAGTAAAGAGCAGCACCCAAGCTGCGTGTGTTTTGCCGATCTGCTCGGTTCGCGCAACTGAAACCCAAACAACTGGCGCCTGTGTTGCAGTTGCGAAACATCGCCTACCTGCTGCCCTGCCGTCTATCGCCCTTTTTTGTATGTTCATACTGTACGCACGTGCAGTAATGATGGACAATAGACAAAGCCAAAATCCATCCGACGAACACGTTCCATTGCATGGCATGTCGCATCCTCAAGAAAGAAGATGAGAGACAACCATACCACCAAAAAGAAAAGAGAAGTGCCAAGTTGAGAGATACGAAAAGAGAAGACGAAAAAAACCGTATACCGTATACGGGAGAACCCAGCCACACACACGTCAAGCCCATTAAGGTAAGGTAAGGTAACTCAACCAAATAGCCTCAATACATATATACGCATGCTCCGTACTGCGTTCCGTACACGAAGAGCCACCTTGCTTGGCCAACTTGCTTGGCTGCCAGAGAGGGACGCGACCTGCGTGCGTATTCGGTGCAAGTATCCAGCAAAGAACAACGGACGGGGTGGCCCAACAAGACGGAGACGGAGACGGAGCGAAGAGCCAACAAACACTAACAAAAAGATCGGATGGGCCGGACACCAAGAATCGCCAACGCGCCAGCCCAGTCGGCCAAGCCAAGCTAAGCCAAGGCATGGCATGGCATGCGGAACGGGCTCTGGACAGGTCCGGTCAATCGGTTCACTGTCTGTCTCTTGTATCTCTCTCTCACTCACACATTTAGGTTCGTACATCCAGTTGCCGATCAGGAACCGTGTTGCCTCTAGTTTGATTCCGGCTGCACGGCAGTTTACATCGGTAATAACTTGCTCAGGTTTCTGTAAATTTTTCCAAAAAGGACCATGTCTCTCTCTCTTTCAACAAATAGGTAAAGTACTCTGTTCAAGTGCGTATCTACCGACCAGCAGGCATGCATATGCATATATAACGTATATGTTTACATATTTGGCAACTCGACATTACTCGGTGTTAAACTGGCCCGTCCCCCATTCCCCGGGCGCCAAAATGCAGAATGTATCCATCCGTCCATCTATCTAGCCAGCCAGCTGAATATAAATGCCCAATCCATTCAAGCGCTCACAACACCACCATGTCATATCATTCGTAGGTAACTTGTTGTACAAAGTAATACATCATCACACCCCAAACCCAGGATCGGTTCTTAAGGAGCAGAAGACACAGCCATCAGAGCCAATCGACAGCCGTCTCCTCCCACGGCTTGGTGGCGCGCGAGTAGTCGTAGCCAAACTTGTAGCCGCTCAGCAGCTCCTCCTCGTCGACGCCGCAGTGCGACTGGCCGTCGCGGCCCTGGAACCAGCCGAGGCCGTACGTCTTGCCGAGGCCGGCGAGGCGGTCGGCCATGGCGGCGTTGGACAGCTTGGCCGTGTTGACAAAGTTGTACAGCATCTTGCTCTGGTGGATGAAGGCGAGCACGCTGGCAATTGTGTTCGGCTGGCGCGGCAAGAAGACGCGGCGGCGGCGCACGTACACGACGAGCGCCACCACGCCCATGTACAACAGCACAAAGTCGGCGAGCGCGAACGAGATCCAGAAGCTGGCCACCGTCTCCTCGCCGGCGTTGATGTCGTCGTCCATGCCCGAGCTATTGGCCGGTGACGGCGATGAGTCTGGAGCCCCGACCTTGTCGACAAACACGCGCCCTTCGACCGTCGCGAGCGACGTCACGAGCACCGTCAGCAGCTCCGTCAGGACGGTGCCAAAGCCGACAAAGAAGACCAGCCAGTGCCGGTTCAGCAGGCCCTGCAGCGCGACCCACCCAAAGGGCATGGCCGTGTAGTCGAGCGTGAGCGTCTTCGGAGGTGCGTGCCGCCGCCAGAGGATGTAGTAGGGCTCCATCATGCGCACGTCCGTCTCGAGGGCGCCCCAGCTGAGCTTGATACAGACTGCGAGGAGCGTCACCACCCACGGCGCCCGGTCAGTCAGCACGTTGGCGGGCGTGAATAGAAAGACGGGAATCAGCGCCGAAAACATGACGATGCCGAGGATGAACGGGACGGCGCCCTTGGCGCGCAGCATGAGGGGGTGCGGGTTCTCCGAGAGGTAGTTCTTTGTGTACTTTTCCCGCTCCTGTTTCGAGGGAGGGTTGAGGTCGTCGGGGGTGAGCGACGAGTTGCGCAGGGCATAGCGGTGGTCCTTGAGCTTGTGATGGATGTCCCCGTGTGTGGCGACGTCCATGTCCTTGAAATCCATCAGAATGTGGCTAACGGTAGCCATGGATGCGAGGCCAGCGATGCCTTTGACGTCGCCCAGCAGGCCCGACCGCCGCCTCTGGAGCAGGAAAAAGAGCACGCAGCCGAGCAAGGCGATGACGAGGAAGGTGACAGTCAGTAAACGGGACCAAACGGCGTGGACCAGGATGAACTTTTCGTTTCCGGGATACCTGATGCGAGTATCTCTGTCTGGCGAGAGGATGATGGAGGCGGCTCCGAGGGTTGGGACAACCGTGTTGGCCAGCAGAGTCGCGATAGATGACACGGCTACGGCGTAATGGCCGCACCTGAAGGCTCGGATTGGCCGGAGGAAGCTGAAATCGGTTATGTAGTCGACATTGATCGACTCTGCGGCCAGGGCCCCGGTCTCCTTTGACAGCTGGTAGAAGGCCTCGAGACGTCTGACTTCGAAATTGGTGAGCTGCCACAGCACACCGTACGAGACGGTGATGAGAGTGGGCAGGAACTTGAAGGCAAAGTACTGAAACGTCGGGATTTCCGAAGGCGTGCGGAAGGTGACAAGCGGGCTGCGGGCAGATGTCTGGTACAGGACTTCCTGGCCGCCTCCCAAGACCATGGACAGCAGGATTATGAACAGAAGATACGGCCACCTCATGGAGAAGGGCTTCCAGTCGGGCTGCGGGTAAAAGACCTGTGTCAGGCTCAGGCCCGTCTTGGTAGAAGTGATGGTTGGCCACGTGCCGGACTTGATGGGAGGAAGCCCCGGCTCGGGGGCAGCCATGATACTCAAGTCGTCGTCGGAATCAGCCGGGGTGGGGAGCGTCTCCATGACGACCTCGATAACCTCGCCCCTCTTGTTCGCCTCGCTCTGTCCGAGCTGCTTGACCGTGTCACTCAGGGGCCGGCCGGGGCGAGAAAAGGAGAAGGAGCGGGCCAGTGGGGAGCGCTCGACCACCGGACTCGTGGCCAACAATGCCGACTCGGTCAAGACGGCGTCTGTCCTGATGCCGAGCCCCAGGCCGCCCGTCAGCTTCCCTTGGGCCTCCTGCTGCTGTAGAGCCCTGATAAAGTCCTCGTCTGCCCGCGTGGTTGGCCCCAGGGTACTGCTTAAGTCGAAAGTGAGATTGGGGGTTACTGGGGGATCTAGAGGCCGTTGCACCTGGTGCTGGATGGGGGCGGCTGAGTAGATGAGACTAAGATCGATGCCCTCTTCCTCTTCCTCTTCCAGGATGGGCTCGTGGTGTATCCGTGACGTTAGTGCGCGCTGAGCAAAACTGCGGCCCTGTTGTGGCTGTTGTTGTGGCTGTTGTTGTTGTTGCTGCTCTGGGAGTGGCAGCGGGAGTGACGTGGGCCCAAGCGGTGGTATTGGGCCGTGAGCCGGACCGGGAGAAGAGGTTACAGGATCGGGCCATGCGGCGGCTGGGAGCCCGGGGTAGGGCTGTCTGGCCGTGGCCGGGGCCGGGCTGGAGTCGGAGCGGGCCCGTGCCTCGTCATCGGACCGAAGCGAGACGAGAGACGGGCGGCCTAACAAAGGCGTAACCGGGGCGATATCGGGGAAGCCCTCAAAATCGGTAATGTCGGACACGGTCGAGATGCGACTCAGCGAGCTCGACGAGACGGCGGACTGGAGAGGCGGCTGCTGCCACCTCGGCGTGTTGGAGTAGGACATGGCTGCTTCACCGCATGGCTATGGCTATGGCCGGCGACAACGAACAGTACCTCGGTATTCGGTCGGTGCTCGGTGGGTGTTGATGAGTTCAAGAGACGGGATTGTACACAGTAAAAATGGAAAGAGAAGAGGCCCGACGAGGCTCTGGAAAACGCTAGAACCAGGATCAAGCAACCCTTGTCTGGTTGCACATGTGCTCCGGACGGCTGAGGCGGGGAGTGACCAATGCCATGCACCGACAGCAGAGGACTTAAAAGTGCCAATGCGACGAGGCTGTGGAAGTGCTGGCGGGCGGGCGCTTGAAAGCTAATGCGCTCTCGTCGACGTCGGTCTAGAATTTCGGAATAACTTGATTCGACCCAACTTGAGGCGGACAGAAAAACCAAGAGAGAAAGAAGACGAGAGCGGCCCGCAATTAGGATGAGGTAGGTATTAACTACCTCGACAGCCTAGTAGATACTGGTAGAGAGGCGGCCAGATGGCTGGGGCTGGCACCTACCTATTCTTAATGGGGTCCCGTCTTCCCAAGAGCCTGGCATAGGTAGACGGACCTAAGGTAAGGTAATACCATGCGGCGGCGGCGGCGTCCCATCGCGGGGGCGGCGAAGGCGGCAAGAGGGTCCGTCCACGTTGTAGTCTAAGGCAAGGTGGTGTAATAAGGCCGTGCAGCACCCGTCGTCCCACGCGCTTGGCGCTGACGAGAGCTGGGAACTGACTGCCACCTCAGTGGAAGCTGCCGACTCGCCGCCGACTTGCCTGAGACCTGACATGAGGTGGGAGGTTGGGGGCTAAGGCCCGGGCCTCTTGCTGCCTTGTCCTGCTTTGCTTAGTGCTCACCCACGCCCCCAAGGCATCCACCATTCGCTCCAGGAGGCCTAGGGCGTTCCTTCCCACAACTCTCCTGCCCCGCTCCCGCTCGCTGGCAGAGAAAGAGCAAATCCATGGATCCCAGATCTCGTCGTTGTCAGACTTTCGGGTGTCTTCAACTACGTACATCAAAAAAACCTCACCGCACCGAGTGTAAACACAACATGGAAACAAGAAGCAACTGCCGATTCTCGTCAACCGAACCGACGAGACCAAGACAGTGGCTGTGCCTGGGCTCGCCCGAGTTAGGCTCGGTCGGCAGCGTCTATCCGAATCGTAGGTACTTCCCTCGTAAAGGACGTGCTCTTCTACCGACTATTAATAGCGACGAGGTGGAGGATGCAACCTGGAACCGACTGGCTTCTCCACTAGCAAGTGCCGCTGAGAATAAGGTTCCCTTCCCCGAGCGCCGTGGCCCAATGATGGCGATAGATCCATGGCGGTGGATAACGATAACCTACCCTTAAAACATGCCCGCGCTTGCATCCGCCATGCATCTTCTCTTGCTGCACCTTGTCAGTTGGCAGACAGCTTGACCCGATGCAAATATAGCTCATGAAGGCCTTACCTACACAGGTCATTGTGCCCTTTTGGGACGATTTTACACAGTAGCTGGGAATGTCGTCCTGCATACCTAACCATGCACAGCAGCTACAGGGCTGCTTCGCTTGTCGGCCTCGACCTGGATGGACCTGGATGGACGTAGACGACGGCGTCAGGAGCATCGATCGAGGTTCGAGAAGGCGTGCATGCCTACACTAGTCCTGGGTCTAGACTAGGGTGCAGTCTTTGCCGGTATCAAGTGATGCAGGTGTGTGGAAGAGCCCGTCTTGTTCCTCCTTCTGATTACTCTTGCCCTACGGATATTGTGCCGCCCTCTCCTCTTGTGCCATCGCCGATCCCATCAACCCAAGTGCGGGCCTTGGCAACGGCGCGCCTTACAGTAAGGTTGTGTGGTACTGTGACTGTGGTGGCCATGGATTCCCGCCGACATGTCTCCCAGCGCGCGCGTGGGCATCCATGACGTGAGCGATCGTGGCTACTACCTCAGCCAAGGTAGGAAGGTATGCCGTAAGTAGGCGAACTTGGGGTATCGCGCCACATCGCATCGCATCGCACCGCATCTGATCTGATCTGCCGGCACCCAACTCTTTCTGCCCGCTAGGTACTGGTCGCGCGCCAGCCAACGCCTCAAACGCTTCTCTCTGGTTCCGTGCAGGTATATACTCCGTGCCTGGAGTGCAGTCAGTCGGCGCTGCACATACATATTCCAGCCGAGGCTGATCACCTGCATCTCGCTGTCCATCAGGAACAGTATGTGCATCCACACGGCGGCCAATCGAGGGTGTAAACCTTGAGCTACCTTCGATTCTCTCGCGAGATTCTCGACGCAGGCTAGCCAAGCGGATGCCGGTTGCCCGAGTCGGTCCCTAAAATCGCCCATGAGCTCTCCCGTCTTTTTGTTTTCCCTTCTCTCCGCAAGTACGGAGTAGCTCGTTTGGGACGCCATGATAAAACGTATCTATAGCGCGGGCGATCGTATCATCCTCACCCCTCGGAAAACCACCCAACTTGTGACACAGTTCACATTTTGCCAGAATTCGGGGCCCAGCCATTCTTTTCTCATGTTCATCCCACGATGACGACTGGCCCTGCCTCCATGGCGAGGGCGAGCCCATCCATGGCTGAACACCCGCCATAATGCCCTGCTCTTTATCTACTTTTGTCATGCCATTTTTTTTCTACTTGCACTTCTAGGCCAAAAAGTAAGCCGCTGACCTCCTGCGCTGGTGCTTACTTGGGTTCACGAGCAGGCAGCCAAGACAAGTCGAGAGCTTTATTTATGTTGGCCAGCTTTCCTGACCATCTGCCCGCTGTTGATCACATGAAACAGCCGTCTTTGCGCACCAACTAGTTTTGGGGTCCCTTGGGTTTTTAACTGCTGATTTTACTATTGTTGCAAAACACCTTCAATTTCCCTCTCGCGTTTTCATCAGTCGAGGCCATTCCCGGACTGCCAAGCATGGTGAACTCCGTTGTCTGGACGGCAGAAGAAGCGAAGTACCTCAAGGCCCTGCTGCGTTGGCAGGATGCTGCGCCGCCTCGTCACCCTGAAGACGACAGACGACCACGGACGGCTGCAGCAGCACCGGTCACGGCATCCGAGATGGAGCGAAGGAGGCAAAAGCAGCAACAATCAGAACAAGTGCCGCGCCCGATACCACAGTCGCAGCAAAAGTCACAGCAACCAGTCGGCGAGTTCCGCGTCCTGGTCGTCGGCGCCAGGGGCACGGGGAAGACGGCAATCCTAACACGGGTGAGTTCTGTTCACTGGAGCAGCAGCTCTGAAGAATGCGTGGAGCGATAGCTGTCTGGGACGTATACGCGTGTGTCCGTATAAGCCACATGCGTACTAACACCACACGCCTCCAGTTCGGCCAAGACACATTTCGCGGCTCCGGCAAGCCGCCCGACCCCTTCTATGAGCGTGGATGCCGCCACCCGTTGACCCTCGAGGACGGGCGCGTCTACGTGGTGGACGCCCTGGAGATGCCGTCGAAGCACTTGCTGAGCAACCCCATGCTGGCGCAGGCAGTCGACATTACCGAGGCGGCCGTGCTGGTCTACGACGTGGGCAACGCGGCGTCGCTCCGGCTGGCCGAGGGCCTCGCCGAGTTTGTGCTCGACCACATCACGTCGTCCGGGCCCGGGGGGCGGCACTACGGCCTGCTGCTGGTGGGCAACAAGAGCGACCTCGACGACAGCATAGCCGTCGACGACAAGGACATCGGGCTGGCAAGCGAGCGCGAGCTGTCGCTGGCCGACGGCACCGCCGCGGCAGCCAGGATCAGACTGCCACCGCCGTCGCCGCCGCCGTCCTCGTCGGCCTTCTCTCCCGAGACCAAGACCGCGGCGCCGTGCCCGTTCCTCGAGGTCTCGGCCAAGACGGGCGCCAACGTCGACGCCATCTTCAAGCTCGTCGCCTACGACATCCTGCGCCTGCGCCGCCTCAACATGCTGCGCTACCACGAGCGCGCCGAGCACGACCGCCGCCTGAAGCTGCTCACGCACCAGTCGCAACTGCCGCAGCCGCCGGCGCCGGCCGCGCGGCGCACCGCCAGCAGGGGCGCCGCCAGCACCACGCCGAGCAGGAAGCGCGCCGGTCTGTGGAAAGGGCTGTTTTCGCGCCGCCGGAGCGAGAGCGCTTACTGAGCGTTGGGTCGGGCCGAGTGCGTGCCGGGGGCCTTATTTAATGATTCCATTTGTCTTGTGTCGGGTTGGTCGGTCAATCATCATCTTCGGGGCCAGGTCGGTTGCGTGCTTTGAGGAGCGCAACAAGGAAAGAAAGAAGGGGAACTGTAAGATAAAGAATGAAGAGAGAGAGGGGGCAGGGCTAAACAAAATACCGGGCTGTCAGGTTAGGTTCCGGTAGGTGGGCATGATATCCAAAATTTGCTTGTTAGAAGGACGAATTAGTAATGAGACATGAGGCTTTTTTATTGCCAGATCCTTGTATCAGCTACTTTTTCTCAGGTCGTTTCGATGTTTGTTTCATGGTTATTTCCCCGGCGACGCTTGGGAATACCGTCCCATGTGGTGCGATCGACCCGATGTGAGCGAGCCAACAAACCAAAATTAATGGTGAATGGAGCTTTCGTAGGTAGGTAGTCAATATCCCATCTAACGCCTAACCCCCAAAAAGTCATGAATGTGTGCTCCTTGGTGTATTCCAATCCGTCCCGTTTCCTTCTGCCAGAAATTCTATGCACCTCATGCAGAAACCTCACGTAGGTCGGTAGCTAGACCTTACCTAACCACGATACATTGTGCCAAAACAAGAACGAAAATCAATAAAAACCCCCCAAACATGCTATGAGCCGCCAGACATCCATCCGACCGGTAGGATATTCGGTCTTCCCAACCTCACCCACCCTTGAAAGTATGTAATCCAAAGAAAACACCAAACACCAAACACCGTAGGCACCTAGAAAAGCCCCCAATGCTATATATATATGAGATGTGTGTGAGATGTGAGATAAGATGAGATGAGACGTGAGATAAGATGAGATGAGACGTAAGCTGAGATATGGCATATACATGTTCGATACTATATCATATTACCTCCCTACTCAAGACAGCAAGAGCTCAAGGCAGCAGGAGCAGGAGCAGGAGCAGTTTCTCGTTCTAGACAACCACGATGCCCAGCGACAGGGCGCGCTTGAAGCGGTCCGCAAACGCCGACGTGGTGTAGCAGTCGCTGGCGGCGCGCTTCTCAAGGGCGGCGGGCAGCCAGCCCTGGATCTTCTTGATCCGTGTTTCGTTCTACGGCGGGTCTGTTAGTTGGGATGTTCTTCTTCGTCTTATAATACCATGGACAGTAACTCACCGAGGGGTGGGTGCTCAGCCACTCGGGGGGCTGGCTGTCGCCGGCGGCGGCTTCCATGCGGGCCCAGAAGGCGGGAGCCTCTTCGGGGTCGTAGCAGGCCTCGGCCATCATCATCAGACCGATGTAGTCGGCCTCGGTCTCCTGCTTGCGGCTCATGGGATGGGAGAAGACGACGTCGAGGACGCGGTTGACGAGGGCGCCGGTGAGGACGGGCAGTATGCCGAAGGGGGCGAGGGCGATGATGGAGGCGTACAGCAGAATGTTAGTGCCGATCTGCTGGCTCATGCGCTCGCCGACGTGGCCGGCGACGTTGTGGGCGATCTCGTGGCCCAGTACCGTGGCCACGGCGCTATCAGAGCGAGCGACGTTGAGGATGCCGCTGAACACAAAGACCTTGCCGCCGGGCAGCACGAAGGCGTTGGCCGTCTTGGGGTCCTCGATGACGAAGATCTCCCAGTGCTCGTCGTCGCCCATGCCCGAGAAGGGGATCAGCTTGCGCATGACGCGCTTGACGCGGCGGGTGCGCGGGTCGTGATCGGGCAGGAAGCGGGCGCCCTGGCGCTGCAGGTCGGCGAGCATAGCGCGGTACTGCAGGTCGGCCGTCTCGCGCACTGTCTTGGCGCTGTAGGCGTTGAAGCGCGTGCGCCCGCTGACGGGCACCGTCTCGAGGTTGGCGAAGTAGAAGGCCAGCGCGGCGCCTATGCAGGCCAGCACGAAACCGTGCGTGATGGGGCTGCGCACGAAGCGCACGACGCGGTGCCGGGGCAGCAGGGTCTCGGCCTGGCGCCGCCGCGAGCCATCGGGGTCATGGTAGAAGTGCCCTTGGTGGTATACTCGGCGCTGCTGCTGCTGCTGCTGCTGCTGCTGTTGTTGTTGTTGTCGCGACCGGGCGGGGAGAGGCCAGGCGGGTCGGGAGAGGTTGGCACCTGGCCGTGTTGCCGTCGCCGTCGCTGGCGCCGCGGGTATCCGAGGTCTCGGGTAGCGGCAGGTAATCGGGCGGGCAGTAGAGACAGCTGCAAACGGCCGCCGAGCGGGCACCCGTAGGACCAGAGCACGGGCCGGGATGGGGATGCGGAACAGGCTGGCCTTGAACATGGCTGATCCCGTCATTGACCCTTTGCCCAAGGCAAGGCACGTAAGGTGGCTGGCTAGCTAGGCCAACGGTACGTAGCCAGCCCCAGAGCGCGGCCGTTGGGGCGGATTAACGGCGTGGCATCAAAGTCGATTTGGAACTGTTAAATTGGTGGATGTCGGTGTTCGGTACCTAACTCGAAACTAATGTACGTGTAAAGTTCTCGGTCCGGATGACAGACAGCTGGACCCTTGAATGAGGTCATCCTTTTAGCGGCCCGGGTGGGCCGGGTGGACCCCTGCCTGGAGATTGTTCCAGGCCCCCACCCCCGGCACCTAGGGGAAGCGGGCGCCTCGAACAAACTCCATCAGGAGTGGGAACAATTCCATCCACCAGCCTCGGCCAAAGAGTCATCCACAAAAGAGAGTCTCCCACCCGGATTTTCAACAAAGAAAAGCAATAAACTCCCTGTGGTGTAGTTGGATATCACGTTCGGCTGTAAATGTCTAGTTTGTTTACCGAAAGGTCACCGGCTCGATTCCGGTCGGGGAGAGTTTATCCATCTTTTTGTCTCTTTGCCATTTCTCATCCTCTTTCATTTTTTTTTAAAAAAAATCTTTCTTTTATTTTTCCTTAGCATTCTTGTTTGTCTGTTGTCTTTTACCCCTTCAAGTTGCGAGCCTCCAATTCCTTCCTATATATGGGTACCTAGGTAGTAGGAAGGTACACTTCCTCTGTTTCAGGCTCTTTGCCTCTTACTTTACCTGCTCGAGTGTTATACCGCACTCACTCATCTGTAGATGTAATTGTTTCATTGGCGTTGTGGTGGTGCTGTGGAAATATGGCACTTGGCTTGTAGCATAGATTAGAACAACGTTGGATGAGAGTAAACAGGTGCGTTAGGCGTCTAATGCGTGAGACTTGGCCATGTCACTCCCGGATTTGATTTCTTGTAAAAGACGCATCCGTGTTAATTCACCGCCGGCAGGATATTGCTGCAGTATAGACAGGTAGGCTGACGCGGGAGAGTAAGTTCTCTGCCATGTTAAAAGACAATAGTATTGTTGTTGCCGTTTCTGACAGCTGCCACAACGCCATCCGTTGTGCCGAGGCGGCTGGCTGTCTTGATCCTAATCAAGGTACGGGCATGGTTGGGGGAATTATAGACATTCATGGATCACCACGACCGTCCTTACAGCAGGAGGGAGCAAAGTGAAAGGCTGACCACAGCTGATGGCCCCTTGATGCATTGCTCGCCTGTGTCTTTGGCCCAGGCCTCCAAGACTCTTGCCTCGGCACGTTCTCCCGGCCTCACAGAGAGCCCCCAAACGTGTTTCCCCTGTTCCCGCTCGGCGTCCTTACCCAAGTGCCCAGCCCACTCGCCCAGCCCACCCACAGGGACAGAAACATCTAGTCGGCCTCGTCACGGCCAGCCGCTGTTCAACCTCTCGGCGAAGAACTGCATCAGCGGCAGGACCTCGTCCCTGCTGCGGGGCATGCCGTCGTCGGGGCGGGTCCAGACCACGGCCTTGACGTCGGCGAACTCGCGGCGCAGCAGGTCGACGGCGTCGTCGTCGACGAGCTCGCTGCGGCTGCCGTAGCACACCAGCACGGGCGTACGGGCCTTGGCGCGCGCCTCGAGCGTCGGCACCATGGACGGCGGCAGCGGCCCGCCGATGGAAACGACGCCCTTGAACGCCGTCTGCTCTTCTCTGCTGGGCTCCGCCTCCGCCGTCTCTTCCAGGACCTCGCTCACGCGCGGAGACGAGGGAAGGCGCACGCGCGACGCCAGGCCGAGGGCAAGCGACGCGCCCTCGCCGAAGCCGAACAGCAGCATGTCGCTCAGGGCCCAGCCGCAGCGGCGCACGAGCACGTCGTGTACGAGGCGGTCGAGGACGAGGCGCTGGGCCTTGGCGAAGCCCGGGTCGGGGTCGAGGTCGCCGCTACCGTCGGCGGCGAGCGTGATGTCGTCGCCCCAGTAGAAGTGGCGCGTGCCCTCCCCCGTGGCGGCGGCGTCGTCCTCGGAGAGGCCGAGCAGCGCCGGCGGCAGCGGGCTCGTGCCGCGCACCGCGATGCCCAGCACGCCCGGCAGCGCCAGCCCCCGCGCGAACCCCGCAAACGGCTCCTCCCAGTCGCCCAGCCCGTGGAACAGCAGCAGTAGCGCCGTCGTCGACTCGCGCGGCGACGGGTACGCTAGTTTTACCACCAGCCCATCGATGCCGGCAAAGTCCTCCTCGGTCGGGATGCGCGTCGGCGGCGCCATCTTTTTCTTTCCTTTCCTTTTTAATTGTCTGTGGATAGAAATGTTAAATAAATAGGACGGTAGAGGGCAGTAGTTAGTTCGGGGTCGTACAGTACCTTCCCTGGCTGGAAAGCGTGTGGAGTTTGGGTGCCGTTGCTGGAAAACGTAATGAAATGAATTTAGAGTTGAAACTCTTACTTGTGAATGCATGCATACATGCGCAGCCAGCCGCCACCGCGCCGGATCTGCAGCCAGCCATCTTCACTTGGTATCTAGGGATCAACACCGCGGCATTCACAGACAGGGGCAACTGTCATGCAATTTGGCGAATTGTAGCAAATGCAGCTTGATGTTCATAAGTAACCGCAACGCCAGGCTGGACAGAACCAAGAGCCTTCAATGCGCCCACTGAGTACTCCATCAACAAAATTGATCATTACCACTCAAACCTCATGACTACCTCCACACTCCGCAAATACCTTGAGAATCACGCGAACTCGCTCTCAAAGCCTCGAGTAAAAAGCGATATTTGCAAACCGCCTACACAGGAAGACACAAAACCCGCCTTTCCCACGTCCGCACGTGAAAAAATCCTTGTCGCCAGTCCCAACCGACCAGCTCGCCCGCTCATTTATTGCCTACTTGCCTGCCAGCTATCCTAGAGATCATCGCCGGCCTCAACCTCAAGCCCGCTGAGGGGTCTGTGGATGGGGCGAGTTCGTTCGTGTCAGCAACTGAGTAGGCGCGTGGCACCCTTAGCTTGTGCAAGGGGCAGAATGGAAACCAACTCACCCCTTCTTGACCATGATACTCATGATTTCGTACAGGGCGTCGGCGGCGGCCATGGTCGTGAGCTCGGCGTTGGTGTCGTATGCGGGCTATAATAATTATTAGCACCGATCTCAGCTTCTCGTCAGGTATACGTGGTCAACACCAGTCAGTCGCAAGATGCCCCCGTGTCTTGCAGACCGAGAATACCCTTGCGGGAGAAAAGAGAAGAACAAAAAAACTAACGGCAACCTCGACAATGTCAGCCGCAACCAGATTGATGCCGTCGAGCCCTCTCAGGATCGTCCGGAGCTCTCGCGTCGACCAGCCGCCAGTCTCAGGGGTGCCGGTTGCCGGGGCAACTACAACCATCCAGACCGTGTCAGTCAGTCTCGTGTCATCACGCCCATCAGAAGCAACGCGAGTCCCCGACAAATCACATACAGGCCGGGTCCAGCGTGTCAATGTCGAGCGACAGGTAGACGGGATTCTCGGTGCCGACGCGGTCGCGGATCTTCTTGATGATGCCGTCGGTGCCGATGGTGTCGATCTCGCGGGCCTCGACAATCTCGAAGCCACAGTACCCGTCGTTCTCGTAGTCGCTGGGTCCGCTGAGCGTCGTGCGGATGCCCGCGTGGATGTTGGAGTCGTTGCGCAGCAGCCCCTCCTGCGCCGCGTGGTAGAAGTACGTGCCGTGGTTGACGCTGGCCACCTCGGACGGCGAGCCGCCGAACACCTTGGGCCGCCCTGGTTGGTGGTGGCCACCTTCGTCAGCTGCTGGGGAGAAAGGGACATTACAGGCAGACGGCGGTACGGCCCGCCCGCCCGCCCCTCGGTCGTCTCCAAGACAAACGTACATGTGTCAAGATGGCTGTCGAAATGAATCACCGTAACCGGGCCGTACGCGCGGTTGATGGACCGCAGCAGCGGGAGCGTGATGGTGTGGTCTCCGCCGAGCGTGATGACCCTAGGCAGCGTCTTGCCCTGCAGCGAGGGGCCCTTCTTGTCCGCGTCCGTAGCGGGCGATCTCGACAGGATGCTGTAGTGGCCCTCTTCGATCTGGTGGAGCGCATACGTATTGTCGTACCTTGGAAGAGACTTAATAAGTAACGAAGTCCCTCGGCCTATTGGAGCACATCTCTCTTCGATATAACCTACGAGGTCACCGGAATGTCGCCACAGTCGATGACAGTGGCCCAGCTGTTGAAAGGGTTCGTCTCGAGGGGCACGTTGTACCCTCCGCTGGAGAGAGAGAGAGCCTTATCAGTATACGCGCCGGCCAAGCGGACAGTTCATCACCAAGGATGTGATGGACCCGGCATACTAGAGGTTGAGACGCCGGGACCCCTGCCGGATTCCCGAAGGGCCGAACCGGGCACCTGGCCTGTATGACGTGCCCGTGTCAAACGGGGCGCCTAGAAACAACAAACCCGAATCAGCCACGGATAAGACGCGCCGCCGGTAGACGCCATCAGCGAGAGCGTGGTGGCAAACACGCACCAATGAAGGCAATGTCGTATGTGATATCCTTGTGCGAGAGGCATGGCAAGTAAGGGAGGCGGCCAAAGGTTGATATTCCAGAGAAGACGGAATCAGCCTGCTCGAGCCATCAGTAACCAAACACGGGCCGGGATTTTTGTGCCCCCCCCCGCGAGGACGGACCTGGGTGCCTCCGTCTCCGGGCAGCCTGTTGTACCACAGCGACTGGAGGGGGCCGGCTATGATCTTCTGCTCGCCGTGATCGCCGTGTGCTGCAGCAACGGCCGCGAGGCAGAGAGCGAGCAAGCTTCGGGCCACCATATTCAAGATTGGAGTTTTCAGAACACGTCCCTGGGTGTTTTCTACCTACTCTAGCGAGAATATCAAAAGAGAGAGAGAACCCCCAAGGCGAGGACATTGGGACGGGCTATGAGGCCTATATGAGGCTTATGATTTTAGATTTCCTGCTGCAGCTACAGCATGCGGCGGGGCGGTACGATATGGGATTGGCAGAGCGCCCGCCTTTCCATCATCATCATCACTTGCAGTAGCTTCATCGGCGCGATAGGCATCCCTTCGCCCCGGCTTATCGCCGACGGATCGCAGGCATTTGCCAAAAGGTATTTCCGGACCATCTACTGGCCAAGTCGACCGGCGGACGACCTGGGGCCTGGGGCCGGCATGTCACGGCAGTGGTTACTCTTAGGTAACGTTCTGCGTGCCCGGCGTGATGGGCGCTCGCTGCTGTTTCGATATGCGGGAGGCGCATGGGAGATAAAGCAAGAAGCCTAGTTGCCAGTTGGCGACGCATGGCCCTAAGCCAATTGAAGTCCCTTTTGCCGTCAGCAATTGCAACCTGCCTTCTTGCTGCCTCGGCGTCCCACGCTGCGGCCGTGCTGTGGTGGTCATTGGCACCACTAATGAAATCTCAAGGAATGAAGACATCAGATCGGACCCGGCGAGAAAGAGGGGGTTACGGGGGTCCCTCGTCCTGATTCTGCGTGGTCCGGAGCGGGGCTTTTCAGCCATCAACGGCGTCCATTCCCGACTTGGTCTCAGGTTCTGCATTTGATATATCGCCGGCAGACGGCCTCTCTTCCTATGTGGTTGGCTTGTCCTGGACAAAATTTTACTGTCCAGGAGCCGCTGGCCAGATCTCGTCTCGTTTTTATCTCGCGTGGTTCAGACCGGCCTCAGTCGAGATTGTGCAGCTTGAAGCGGATCGCAATTGGCTACAGTGAAAATGGGAATGCACTCGCTTCCGTTACTGCAGACACCCGTGTCTAAAGCCAATGGGGACTGTATGTACGCGGGCTCTTGTTCCTTTCAACCTCGGCAGCCTACTCTACATTGCGTTGGTACTGGGCTGGCTGTATCGAGATGTGTTGGGGCTCCCAGCGTCGTTCAAGTTCAAGACGTGAACTTTGGTTGGAACACGCAGTGACCGACGTCTTGCAAACCCAAGCTGCTTTACTGTAATTTCTTAAGATGCTTGACTGAGACTTTGAAAGAGAAAAGTGCGAAGGATCAGTTTTGACCCCCTCCATAGACCGCCCGGTTTCCTTGTCACGACACCTGACGCCGGGTTGGGTCTTCTTCAAGTTCCCAAACTTCAGACCAAAAAGTGCCAAGAAATAGGGAAATGGAAACAGAAAAGAGAGTAGGCAACGGCTGCTTGCCATCAGTCGCGCAAGGAGGACTTTGGAGCACTTAGAGCACTTGTTCCAATTGGAAAGAGGGCCCCCGAGAACACTCAACCAGCCGCAATTGAAGTCATGACGTGGGCAGAGGGACTCAAGTCGCCCGAGTCGGACAGGCGTGGGCCGCTGGCCCCAAGCCTCTCCCCCCACTCGGCCAGAAGGGGCCTGGGGGCAATCAGGAACCACTTGGGAAAGCAATTGCACTGCAATTGCCCTTCTGGTATGTGCTTGGTACGAGTCCCATACGTAACCCACCAAGCAAGCAGGAGGCAGTCGGTGATTCGCCGCAGTACATACCTACTCATGCGGGTCCTGTCAAGGGTCGAACAGGAACAAGCGGCCAACTCGTCCTCTGATTTGGCCGTACTGTATCTGTATAGGTACTGCTGCGCTGCACAGTCGTGTCTCTCTTGGGGTCGATTCTTGTCTTGCCGTCGAAACCGTCTCTCGTCAAAGGCCGAAGCGACAGCAGCCTGCAGTGTGTTCAGCAGCTCGAGTGGCCAGTGGCGCGTGCGGGACAGTAGAGGCCCCTTTCTTGGTCGTCTTGGGGCGGGGTGAGAAGCAGGCAAGACGCAGGCAAGATGCAGAGCCACGGATCATGGCCGGGCAAACTCATGTGCCGAGACAACGCAAGCCGCGCAGGGCACAGCAACATCATCGGGGAGGGGAGGGACAAGTTGAAAAGGCAGGCGAGCAGCCGAAGCTGTCGCCTTTTATCTTTCTTGCAGGGTCCGAGAATCTCTCCGTTTCCCCCTGCCATGGTATGTGGACGGTGCGCAACATCCATGGAATCCCAGCCCCCCGGGACGATGGGTATGGGAGGGAAAGGTAGGTGGGTGGAAGAAGGAAGGGATGGGCAAACAGTTCGCATCCTACCTAATTCCCCGCCCGCCTGCCTGCCCACCAGCACCAGCCCGCCAGTATGGGCAAGCCATTGGATGGATGCTTGGCGCGGAAGGCACTCTCGATGCGTACTGCAATTGCGGTCCCATCTGCTCTTGCCTTGCCTCTGCTGGCGGGTGCGGATACACATCGAAGGTACTGCGTAAGGAAGTGGAGGCAAGCATTGAACCTGGAGGACACGATGGCACCAGGCAGGTAGGAAGTGGACCTTCCATTCCTTGCTGCTGCAAGTGCGGCCAGTCCAACAGGAGGTCCTCCTTCCAAAGTTTTCGTTTTGAGATGGTACTGTACCTTTATTAGAAGGGCCTGCAGAGAAGGGACAAGCGAGCCCAGCCCGCCTATTTTGTGCTGCATCTGGGCCGGGCCAATCGTTAGCGATAGGCCCGCCAAACCCCCCTACCTGCGCCAGGTCGACGCTTCCTGATCCGGCATCCACTCGCTGACCGAACGGCGTGGTCCCTTCCTTGTGGCCATCATCATCATCGGCAGCGTCTCTACAGCCCAGGTCTCTCTGTCTCTGGCCATTGCAGGTGTCGCCAGGCGCTGGCAGTTACTTGGCTTCCCCCTAGGTAATCTCATCATCGGCCATTTCCACGCCGCTCGGGCTCAAACCTGTCCCCCCCCCTTTCGCGCGCCAGAACAGAACATCAGATCAGCAGACCGAGCCCTCTGGAGTCTGCGGTCCCCCGAACCATGTGCCCGAGTCTCGCTGTCTCGTCGAGTGCGACATAATAGCTCCGCTCAACCCCAAGCGCTAGCCTGATTGGTGAATAGCCGCACACACCAACCGTCAACCGCACCCGCCTGGAGCAGGGAATGCTAGGTAGGTAGCCTCTTTTGCGTGCCCGGGACCCAGGCCGACAAGTCGAGTCGGGACGTGACAGCTGCGATACCTGCCAACTTGCGCCCACTCGCACAACCGCTCTCTCGCTGGCGGACAAGATCTCGGAGGCCACTTGTCGATGTCTCAGATAGCCCGCTGGCATTTGTTTCCTCGCAATCCGGCCGCAACCCCACGTTGTACCACAGCCAGCTCTGACGCTCTTTTCTGCTTGGCCACCCGCACCCGGCGAAATACTCGTGACCTCCTTTTCGATCCGCCGCTTCTCGCCGTTGTCGCTGTCTCCCAGTCTCTCGTAACCGCCACCAATATGCGAAGTCCCTTGCGCCCGCCGCCCCCTTCAACCTGTTAGTAAATAAAACACTGGAAGATCCCCGGTCTGCCAGGTATCGCGGGCCCATGCCGCCGCCTTCAATGACGACGGGCGCCGAGTTCAAGCCGGCGCTGTCCAAAATGGGCACGTCCCAGCTCCGTGACCCTTTCGGCGCGGATTCGGGCCGCCTAGGCACCCAGCCGCGCATGTTCAAGAAGCATAAGGTTCTCCCGCACCCCCGGAAAGATGGACAAGTGGGGATTCAACCATCGGGGCCGAGAAAGTTTGATGTTAGAACCAAGGCGCCACTGTCGCGAAGTTCTGGCCCACCCGGCTCAAGCCCTCAAAGCCAGAAATCAATAAGGGCAGGGGGAGGCCCTGAGCCTCCTCCGACGCCGCCAGCGCATTCCCGAACATCGTCGTCGAGTCATTCTGTCAAGCTTACGAGCCCGACCTATGTTAGCAGTCCTCTGCAAAGCGCCGAGAATGTTTCGTCGCGTCCGCCGGCGACGCCAACAAACCAGGAAACCCCGCCGACCCCTAACCTGACTCCCGACCGAACGCCACCAGGGCCCTCTGAGCGCCGCGCTAACAAGCCACGGCCGCCGATAAGCGATCGCATACCGTCAAAGGTGACCATCGACTCGAGAACCGAGTCGTTCAGAACCGCCCCCGAGAACCCGTATTCGTCGGATGATGAAGACGATGGCAGGTCGACCTTGCGTCCGATAATACCGTCTGCAAAGACGTCCCAAAGCACCGTGCGCCAAGTCAACGCAGAAGTAAAGACAAAACCGCAACCGATAGGCCTAGGGCTCGGGCTAGAATCGAGTCCGGGAGGGGAACTGACACCCAAAACCGCAAAGGAATTTAACACTTTTGATGGTGACTGGGGCGAAGGCGGAGGCTCGAGTAGCGAGGTGGAGGAAGAGTGGGACTACAACTTAGGCCGGAACGTAATAGTCAAGAAACGACGACCGACAAAGCAAGCGAGCGGGTTTAAGGATGAGGTCTTTGAGGACCAAGCGACGGCCACTCTGACAAATGCCACCAAGGCTCTGCGGTCGATCTCTCTACAAGAGAGCCCGCTAGTCTACCCTTCTCGCAGGGTTGTTTCGGACCAACTTCCAGCTCGGACTGCTCCCTCGAACTCGGAGTCGTCTATCAGCATCGACTTGAGACGATCTTCAATCATGTCCACCAAGTCAACAGCGTCGACTGTAGTCGAAGCAATTCTCGTCGAGACAGTTCCTCAACGACGCAAGACTTTGCGCCATGTGAGAAAGCAGATTACGTTGCGAGACTCGAGCTCGGACCTGTCTCCAGCCAGCTCCGCTCCAACTTCCATCTCAGCAACCGTCGACGACAATCGTCGGCCACGCCTATCGAGCACCAAAGTGGGAGAAGCCCCGAGGCAAAGCTATACTTCCATCAACTCGGTCAATTCAGTCTCGAGCCGCAAGGCGCGAAGGGAGGTATGGAAGAATGGCGGCATACCTGTTGTAGTGGTCCCAGACCGCCGCTCCTCGGTCAAATCGAACAGCAAGGAACCCTCTCTCCGGTCCGTGAGTAGCCGGAAGTCTAAGCGAAGCCAGAGCTTGAACTCTGTCTCGGTATCACAGGTTTCAAAACCCAAAGACAACGTTCCTATATTCGAGAGGCCCGTCCGCCGGAGTCGGACACTCTCCGAGTCGGACGGGTCTCGCTCAGGGGATCAGCGGACAATCGATTTCCCACCAACTATCCCCACGCGCTCGTCCTCGCTTTCGGCTCCCACAAGCCGAAACGCCTCTCGAACAGGCTCTCTGACCACGGAAAGCTTGAGGGCTCATAATGCTTTCCAGGTGCAACAGGCGCACCATGCGCTACAGAAAGCTCATGAAGAGATTGAGACCCTCCAAGGCGAAACACCACTGCTCAAACGTGATGACAACACCCATGACGACCAGCAGTCTGATCGAGAGTCCACCGAGACGCCCCTGCCCATTCAGGTCGAGCGCCCCCAACCCGAAGTTACGATTCAGCGTGTTCCTTCAACTGAATCAAAAAAGTCCAGAGATGAACCTCAGCCGCAGTCTTCCAATGAACCTGAGGTTAATGAGGATCATGGGCACCGGCTTAGCGTTGACCGTTATGGAGACCCCTTTTTTGGAAAGAGGCTGTCTGTTCAGAACACGCCCTTTTCTCTAGCTTCTGTGGACACGACTGGGACTTCCCACGCTGAGGTGTCCGAGGCTATGGCAGTCAACATCTATCCGCACCAGAACAAGTCGCTTATGATAGTCGAGCACTCTGCTCGGCCATCAGAGAGCTCCTCCCTCGAACGCTACAAGACATCGGAGACTGAGACTCCCACGATCCGGGCGATTGACGTAGACAGCGGCAGCGGCATCCCGGTCACTCCGCCACAAACCTTTTCGATGGATGATGTGGACTCTCCTCTGAGGAACCCAAGAGCACCTCCCGAGCCGCCCTCTCTTCAGTTTATTCCAGCAACCCCATCTGGACTGACACCCACGACGGAGAAGGAGAAAATGCTAGGAAACTTCTTTGAGATGGCCGAGGAAGAGCCAAAACGCGGTTTATCGCTTTTGCGGCGTACCCTGGGCCGTCGCCGGACCTCGGAATATGGACCTTCTCCTCCCCGTCCCGTTGGCCTTCTCACGAGAACCTTTTCTCTGTCTAGGAGTATTAGGAAGGGCCGCGAAGGCGAGAAAGACGAAGGGCCCGGGCTGAGGAGACACTCTACTACGGACGACGGACCGGCAGACGAAAACAGGCTCCATCCTTTCTGGCAGCCGGCCTACATTGAAGACTCCGACTCTGACCCGGAAGATTGGTATGAGGAGACACCCGTCGACCGAACGTACAAATACCCGACCATTGATAACCGCCCGGCTTTACCCCGCCGGGGCTTGAGCGCTCGCATGAAGAAAACTTTCGCCATACTACCCTCTCGAGACGAGTACGAGGACACCAGTGCCACACGCGATGCCCCGGAGCGTAGGACGATCCGGCGCACGCCGAGCGGTAATCTGCGTGTGATGAAGTTTCGGAGGAGCATGGAGTCCCTGACACGACCCCCGTTGCATGACGAGAGGCCGTATACAGCGCCGGAGCAGAAAGATGGCGGCGGCCGACACCTTCGTTTCTGGCGATCGCCAAGTCTCTCTAGGGCGGCAAGGGGCCCAAAGAAGAGGGCGTCAGCTGAGTCGGTGAAGAAGAGTGGAAGCGATTTCTTGCCTTCGCTCGGCAAGCGCATCAACTTTCCCCGCCGGATGAGCGAGCGTCGGCGTGTGAAGAGAACCGAAGAGCTGCGCCGAATGATAAGCGGGCCTCGGGAGGTTAGGGACGGTGTAGGAGACGTGATTCGCCGGACTAGCTACCGGGAGACGTATTATGAGCAGCAGCAGAAGCAACAACTGCTACTGCTGCAGGAACAGCAGGAGCGACGTTTCTGAATGTCCCTGCCAGCCGCGGAGGAAGAAATGGTGCAGAGAGTGTCGAGCTGACTGGACCTCACTCATGACGAATTACGCGTAAATGACTGGAATTTCATGACGCATTTCCGGACTAGCCAAGAGGAAAAGATTACAGACTTGCCGATTATTTTGTATTTCTCCCATTCCTGTTTCTCTATATTACGTGGTGTTTAAGCTTGATGTTGTTGGTTTACTTTTTGTTCCGATTTTTTTCTTCGGATACCACGAGACCTTGTTATGAGCAATGATTTTATGCCTTTGTTGACTGCGAGAAGATGACGAAGAGGAGGTGGAGTGGAGGAGTGTAGGAGAGATGAAGAGAGAAGAGATGTATTGACGATTGAAGACGAATGAGATAAATGAGAAAAAGTATCAGCTTGTTCACAACTGTGCTGTTGATTATGGTTCGCTATTGGGGCTGTATATGGTAATCAAGGGAGGTAGGGAGGGCTCGTAGAATGTACAAGAGGAGAACGTAGTGGAGCCAGGGGGACATTTATTTACACTATGTGTGTTTTCTACCTGTCTCGCTCAACCCAGAGCTACCTGGGCCACTCGGTTGACCTGAGATCATATATTTGACATGTAAGAACCAAGTCACAGGTGTCAGACAGCATGGCACACCACCTGTGGGGAGCATGGTAGTGGTAGCGGTAGCAGAAGAAAAACTCGTGGGCAGTAACACTTCGTAATAGCACAGGGCGCTCCTGTGCGTTTGTTTAAGAGGCACGTATAGATGGATATTCACGTAAGAAATGAATTCTCTTTTGGGCTTGCATTTTTTTTATTTCGCTCTCTCTCTGTGTCTCTCTCTTCCAGGACATGTATATACGCACGCACGCACGCACGCACGCACGCACGCACGGATGTACTAGACCGGGTGGAAGAAGACGCCAGGGCTACCCAGAACTACGGTGGAGGAGAGTAGAGAGAACATCCCCCCCCATCCCCATGTAGTAATAATAAAATAAAACAAAGTAACCGGAAACGCCCGTTTTGCGCCACCGCAGTGCCCACCTTTTTGGTCCCGCCCAAACAAAAAGAAAGCCAAATAACAGCTCGAGGGCCAGTAGAGTAGATACATGAAGGGACACAAGGTTGCTGAACCGGGATTTTTTTTCTTTTGCCGATTGCGGAATTTCTGGGGATTTGGTGTCCATTCTTCGTTTCCTTTGATCGCTGGCACGACGTTCATCTGTTGTCGTTGCCTCCTCCAGGTGGACCAAGCCCGAAAGGCGGCGGCATCGGCGGGAAGCCACCAGGGGCGCCGCCTGGCGAGGCACCAGGCATTGGAGGCGGGAAGGGGAATGCGCCGGGGGCTCCAGGAGGCGGGGGGAACGGCAGGCCACCTGGCGGGGGCGGGAACGGGATGCCGTTGGGGGGCATGGGCGGCATTCCAGCTGCGCCGCCGGGGAAGGGCGGCATCGGCATGCCACCGCGGCCGCCGGCAAAAGGAGGCGGGATCATGCCGGGGAAGGGCGGCGGTATCGAAGAGGGCGGCGCGCCGCCGGGTCCCGATGCTCCTGGCGGGGGCGGCATGCCTGGGAAGGGAGGCATGGGCATTCCGGGAAAGGCGCCAAAGGGTGGCGCGCCCGGGGGTGGGAAGCCCCTGCCGGGTCCGCCGGGGAATCCGCCGTCCATGCCGGGCGCGCCGCGGGCGCCGGGCTGGTTCTGTGGCAGCATGGGGTTGTTGTGGGCCTGGCCTTCGGCAGCATAGGATGACGTGATACTATCAATGACGGACTGTGCCTTCTCGTGTCCGACCTCTGTTGTCCGGCAACGAAGCAGTTAGTATACCTTTCTCGGCGGGGGAGAAGATGAAGGGCAAAGAAACGGGCGGGACACGTTATCGCGGACTGGAAGCCAGAGAGAGGCTTCTCTGGGGGCGCGGCGGCTTACGTTGGTAGTACTCGACGACATTGCGGAGGTGGTTGCGGCCCGTGTTGTGCGCCTTGCGCACGCTCATCGAGTCGTGCGTGAGGTAGACATCGCAGTAGTCGCAGAAGACTGTGGGACACGTGGGTTGTTAGCACAGAGTCTGAGGAAGCGCGACCTCAGCTTCAGCCCCTCCCCCGCTGGATTTGTTCGACGCCGCGGAGGGGAGGAGAGAGGAAATTGATCAGGAAATGAAAATAACGCTTCGCACATTTTGGCATCTTGAACTTTGTTGGTCAGTCCTGTCGCCGATGCAATCGAGATGCGTGCAGAGAGAGTCCGCCTTTGCGGTTGGGTGGTGTGGACGAAGGTTGCGGAATGCGACGGCGACAGCGAGGTTGGAAATGGTCGAGGTGAATGAGGGAGCTGCGAATTGGTCAAAGCTAGCAGTTGTTCCCGTCAGTCGCGAGGCTGAGAATTTGACGCGCCTACCTGCGCTGTGGGGCTTGTGGCAGTTAGAGTGGAGACGCTGCAAGGCTCGCATCTTTTTGAGTCGGCAGCGGCCGTTGATTGGCCCCGTCGACGGCTGCGCTAAAATCCCAGGGCAGGAGAAGGCGACAGATTTCCCTTTTGCCAGGGCAGTGGAGAGCGAGCACGAGCAGTAGATGCCTGTATCCATCCAGTGCCTGCTCTCTGCTCGCAGCTAGCATCTGCATCTGGGCAAAACACTCTCGCAACCAACGCTCGCCCCGTCGACGACATTCACATCCCAGCCAGCCAGCGACCATGGCACGGCTGCAATTGTTTCTGGGCCATGTGTCGAGCCTGTTGCTGCTCTTGGCGGCCGTCTCGCACGCGCTGAGGTTCGACATCGCCGCAGTACCCCAGCACACGACCCACGGCCGCCGATGCATACGCAACTTTGTGAGCAAGGACACGCTGGTCGTCGTGACGGCCACTGTCGACGGCTTCCAGGGCGATGGCATGCAGGTCAACATGCACGTGAGTATCTAGTACCTACTAGCTAGCTGGCTACCCAGGCCGACCCCAGAGAGCGGTCAGCCCGCCCGGGCCCTGCATCGACACCCCATTGACGAGCTGGACAGATCACGGACGCATCGGGCAACGAGTACGGAAAGCCCAAGGACATCGCCGGCGAGAAGCGCGTCGTCTTCACATCCCTCGCCGACGCTGCGTTTGACGTGTGCTTCGACAACTATCTGACTGGTTGTGTGTGCCCCTTTATCCTTGGTGGCGGAGGGCCGGTTAGCTGACGGGCAGCGCAACAGCGAAATACGTCGAGAACCCGTCGCGCCACATTGAGCTGGACATCGACATTGGCGCCGATGCCAAGGACTGGTCGGCCATCCAGGCCCAGGAGAAGCTGAAGCCCGTCGAGACGGAGCTGCGCCGCATCGAGGAGCTGGTGGCCGAGATTGTCGGCGAGATGGACTACCTACGCATCCGCGAGCAGAAGCTGCGCGACACCAACGAGAGCACCAACACGCGCGTCAAGTGGTTTGGCTTCGGTACCACCTTCCTGCTCATCGGGCTCTGGGCGTGGCAGATCATGTACTTGAGGGCGTACTTCAGGTGGGTAACCCTCCACCCTCTCGAATCTTTCTGGCTGTCTACTAACCAGGTGCGGCTGCAGATCGAAGCATCTCATCTAAGGAACGACGTACGCGAGGACGCGGCATGGCTGCTGTCATTTATCCTAGAATTTGTTTGGCTTTACAACGAGCAGGAGTGAGCTCTCGCTCAGAGTTACTGCAATTACGCAACGAAAGCGAGCATGGGATTATGAGGGGATATTCGGTGTACTGTACATGGGACTATTATTTTTTGGTGAAAGGCATGGAAAATTGACTTGCATAACCACCTCCTCGGAGCTTGTTGTCTGGTGTCTTGGAGCATATAAAGGGGCGGGAAAGGGGTGAGGCTTCTCGTCCGTATCCGTGGTATGTAGGCGCAAACTCGACATTCTAACCAGTAAACTACAGAAGATCCCGGCGGCGTGGTTGACCCAAGGTATTCTTTATTGTCAATGAGGCCTAATTCCAATTCGATAATGTGATATGGATCCGCAGATCTGGTTCTAGCGTGAACGCACCGACCGGAGCTCGCCCCCCTGCACACGCACACAGTTCGGCAACTATTTTTCGGCCTCGGCTCAGGTGGTCCAGCGCAGATCCGCCGTGCTAAACCGCCTGAAAACGAGCCGGCGCCGGACTTTAGTGCGTAGTGACAAACTCTCAAGACGGCATCTTTCCGCCACATCCAACCGTTTCGAGAACAAGACCAGCAATTCCCGCCCCTCCACAACCTGGGCTCTCCACCAGCCAACCCATCAATTGCTCTCTACTCTTCTTCGCCCAGCACAAGACGATTTGACCAGAACGACAGCACCACTACCGCCTCCTCCAAAAGCCAGCCGAGTCGGCGATTCCATTCTATTTACCATGGCATCGCCATCCTTCTCCCTGCGGCCCGCAGCCCGCGCCGTCGCCCAGGCAGTCACATCACGCACCGGCACCGGTAGCATCAGCAACGGCAGGCTCGCCGTCCGCGCGTGGGGCGGTCAACACAGCGCATCACGGTACCAGAGCAGCAGCACCAGCCAGCCGACCCAGAACGCTCCCGGCGCTGCCCGGCAGGACCTCGAGGTCGGCGAGCTGCAGGGCGCCTCGTTCAAGGTCGAGCCGCTGCGGCGGACGGGCGAGACCCCCGCGACGATGCGCGCGCGCCTTCTCTGTATGCCTCGCTCTGTCCATGGCACTGTGAAACCAGCGACGAATCACTGACAAAAAGAATCCCAGACCAGTCCCGCAAGCGCGGCATCCTCGAGTCGGACCTGCTGCTCTCGACCTTTGCCGCCGCGCAGCTAGAGCACATGACGCCCGCACAGCTGGTGCAGTACGACCTGTTTCTCGACGAGAACGACTGGGACATTTACTACTGGGCCACACAGGACGCACCCCCATCTTCATCCTCGGAAAAAACACCGCCAGGCGTGCACCACGAAGGCGCTAAGGATAGCAATGATGTCGTGGCCCCGCCGAACCCGCGCGCCGGCGAGTGGGCGCAGACGGTCGGCACGTTCAAGCCGGCGTACCGGCCGGTGCCGGCGCGCTGGGCCGGCAGCGAGGTGCTGGCGCTGCTGCGCGCGCACGTCAAGGCGCGGTCGGCGGCGGGCCGCGGCGGCATGGCGTTCATGCCCAGCTTGGATAAGTACGGCGGGCCTACCGTCGATGGTGTCTAAATCATGATGTGGCAAGGTTAATGGTTTTTTGTTGTTGGCTGTGAGGTGTGTTTGTACTGGTGTTATGACTTATATAATACGCACGGCGGTGTACCTTATTTCTCTCTCTCTCTCTCTCTATATATATATATATATATGCGTGTGTGTGTGTGTGTGTGTGTGTGTGATATGTGTACGAAAATATAAAATAGCTTCTATGGATAGGATGGAAGCAAGAAAAGGGGGTTAGATTCTCCATTGACCGCCAAGTATTTTGGCCACAGCTAGTTGCCTCTTCAAATGTATCATTTATATATATAGCAGCAAAAGACGAAAGTCTATTTATATTTTATTTCGTCTGCTTCAATAAGGCTCTGCTCAAGCAGGGACTTCCACAGTTATATTTATCGCAAAAGTGAAATAGCTCATATCCCTGAAGAGATGATGGGAATGGGACCCCGAAGTTTGGTATTGACCAATTAAAAGGGACCCACAGACCCGGGCAGTAGGCACGGGTCACCGGGCCAAAGAACGAGCGGCCGTGGACCCGGTGGCGGGTCCCCGGGTCCCTGGGTCCTCGGGTTCTTCGTGAATGGCTCGCTTATATAGATATACGGTATATAAAGACCGTGTCTACGGTCCTAGATAGAGCTTGCTTGGTCCTTCAAGCAAGCAATACATATTCTTTGTACTCATACCCGAAATAGTGGCCCCGTTGGTTACTCTTTACGCGCCTCGCTCACCCCGAGCTTCAGATAGCGTGTCATCTTAGGAACCAACCGCAGAGGTGAAACTACGAAGTCCCCTATTTCACGTACCTATTGTATATCACATGCAAACTGCAAGATTGTATTCGACGCTGGATATCGGCCGACTCGCTCAGCATTAGTTTGATAGATGTATACCTTACCTCCTATATACTGGCGCCGACACGTTCGACTTACGACCTTGCACCTCTGCCGCTGTGCAATAGATGGAGCCGGTGATGTAGCGCGACGGCCCCAGCGGAGCTTCACCTTCTGTACCAGGGACTTACCTATCACGTGCGCGTTTTTCTTAGTACTAGAAATCTCAGGAATGGTACGTCTCGCCAAGAAGGATATAGGAATCAAGCTGGCCGCGACGCTTTTATAATTTGCTAGAAACTGTGAGCAGCCAGCCAGGCTGTAAGGAAAGAACCCCAACCCACACACACAACCAGCGGGCCAAGACCTCACTCCTTTGTCATAACCTCTCACCCGCTGGCCCAAGCACTCCGTCATGTATATAAGTAGTGGCCCTCGTGCCCTTCCTTTGCGAGGGCCAGGTTGAAGTCTCACACCAATACCAGTCATTGCCCACATCGTGACCGCCTTAATCAGGCGTACCTGCCCTCACTTACACAGGCACTTGCCGGCAGAAAGGCATCGAAGGCACTAGAAGGTGCTAGATAGAATAAGATGATGCCTATATAGTAACCCGCCCTCCCAGAGCCTTCCTGTGGCGCGCTATGAAAAGAAAAATAAAGAGAATAAGAGAGAGCAAGTTAACCAGTAGATGAATGTGCCTTAGGCTAGGAATCGGAACTAACCCTTCACCTTCTGGCTCTGAGACAGGCAGCAAGATTATTCTTACTGGTAAGCGTCGAGGGATGCTCCTTGCCCAATACCTTCTCCTTCAGCTGCAGCGCCTGCCGATGCATCTGCTCGGCCTCTTCGTACTTCCCCTGCCTATCAAGTACAATCGCGAGGTTATTCATGCTATCAAGCGTCGAGGGATGCTCCTTGCCCAATACCTTCTCCCTCAGCTGTAGCGCCTGCCGATCCATCTGCTTGGCCTCCTCGTACTTCCCCTGCCTATCAAGCATATTCGCGAAGTTATTCATGCTATTAAGCGTCGAGGGATGCTCCTTGCCCAATACCTTCTCCGTCAGCTGTAGCGCCTGCCGATATATCTGCTCGGCCTCCTCGTACTTCCCCTGGTTATCAATCACAATCGCGAGGTTGCTCATGCTGGCAAGCGTCGAGGGATGCTCCTTGCCTAATACTTTATATAGTTGTAGCGCTTGCCGATGCATCTGCTCGGCCTCCTCGTATTTTCCTAACATGTAAAAGCTCCATCCTACTTTAAACAGAAGACTTGGTAGTGCCTTATCATCTGTCCTCTTCCGTAGTTGAAGAACATGTTTCGTATGTGGAAGATACCTCATCTATTCTTCTCTGTTGTTATGTTCCGGAAAAGGAAACACATCGTCAAGCCGTTGGAACACATTAGCGGTCCATCCACTGTGCTCTCCATTTCGAGCTAACCAGCTTAGCATCGATATTTGAACCAGCCGATGGATATCGTAGGTATCTGACTCATTCCGTTGGGAGATAAATGCGTACGCCTTCAAAGTCCCGATTGCGTCCACAGCCTCTAGTCTCCCGGCCGGCGGCAGCAGAGATCGTGGAATATCCTTCCCAGCTAGGAAGCACATAAATTTGAGATAATTAGCCGCCAGCGGGTCGTGATCCGAGATGTTCCGGAATGAAATCAGCCATGTTGTAGCTACAGGATTTTGAATGCTTTTGTATCGGTGTCGGTCCTCAAAGTCCCTGCTCAACAGCTCGATCATGTCCTCGTCACTAGATTCGCACAGCTCAAGGTATTGCGCAGTCGAGATCTGCTTTTTGGCCATATAAGCAGAGGTCTGCTGTATCGCCAGAGGGAGGTTGGCAAGAAACTCTAGCAGCGCTTCGTTACTTCTTATATCGCTCATCTGATCACTCTTCAAGTTTTTCTGTAACAGCTTAAGGGCCTCGTCTTTGCTCATTTCTTCAACTGAGATAATATGACTTTCAGACTCAACTAGCCTTACTCCAAGTTCGTGATCTCGCGTTGTGAATAGGATAGAACCTTTCCGGCTGAATGGAAGATAGTCGGTAAGGGCAGTGTTGCCGAAGAGTAGCTCTGTGTCGTCGGTGTTGTCGATGATCAAAAGCCAGTTGCCCGCACTCTGGTGGCTTAAGGCAGCCTTAACAAGTGCCTTGACATCTGCTTTCTCTTCGTCGATTCTCGGTACCTTAAGCTGCTGGCCGATAGCGCGGTACGCATTCTCAAAAGTGGTGGCATCCACAGCGGGAACCCAAAAGACGGAGCAGTCCGGATGCGCGTCGCCGATGCGAAAGGCGGCCTCGAGAGCTATCTGCGTCTTTCCAATCCCTCCCAGACCTTCGATGGCGGTCCGCTGGCAATCATGTTCGTTTCTACTAGGGAGGATCCTCGCAAGGAGATCGGTGAGAATCGTTTCGCGGCCGACGAATTCCTTGTTACGTCCGAACGGGACGATCCAGTGCCGCTCCACGGCGGCTTCACCATGTTGGCAGGACTCTGGGCGTAATAGCCCGCCTAGGAGAGAGATTGCCGGCTTATAGTTCGTCCGGCATATCAAAAGGGCCGATGCGTTTCCAGCGAATTGCTTGACAGCATCTTTAACGAGTTTGAAGCTGGGGCATTCTGGACCCTGGAATTTATTCATGCCCGAATGCGTCGCGTCAAGGCCTTTCCGTGGAAAGGTATCAAGGCAGGCTGACAACTCGGTAACGAGCTATAAAAGGTTAGCGCCGCAAGCATGTCTAAGAAGGGCGGCGTACGATCTTGTTGGTAAGTGCATTAGAAAATCTGTTTGCTAAGCTTGGCGAGAGCAGCCGTCTCATCATCTCAGTCTTCTTGGTTTCGTAAAAGCAATAGAGAGGCAACTAGACCAAGTCACTCCTGGCGAGTTCGGCAAAGGACTGGGTCAACTTCTGGAGCTCTCTGTCGCTCTTATTGAGGGCGGCGATGAGCCGTTTTGATGTTTGCTTCCCCATAATACCGCCGACGACGACTTGCCACTGAGCCAGTTCAGCCGCATCACTACCGCGGAATGGAGTGGCAAGAAACACAGCTCCAACTGTAGAAAGCAGAATTTGTCTGTAGACGCTGCCTTCTTGGGCCGCTCGGTTCATAGCCTGGAGATGTCAACCGCCGTCCGCCGTCGTCGATACATCTGGGGGGGGGGGCCATACCTCGGCCAGGATAAGCCCGCCAAAACAAGACGCGACGAAGATGATAGGTCGCGTTTGAGAGCCACGACCTTCGGCGATGAGACCGAGCAGCGCGTCGGCATGGCCGAGCAGCGTTTGCACGGACGCATTTGCAAAGTAGTTTGCATTCCAGTCGTAGGTGAATATGCGGGCCTTTGGTAGGGCTGCTGGCAGCATGTCGCGGTCCGACAGCCACTTCACAACCCTGCCTCCTCCTTTCGTCTTGAACTCCCATGTCCGCGGCGACTCGGTGCCCAAGCCGTGGATTGCAATAATACTGCCCGGTTAGACGTGCTTCGGAGCGTTAGACTGGGTGGAACGTACTCGATGGTCGTATCGTCGGGAGCGTCGCCGACTGGGGCGATCTGGCGAAGTCCCGTGCGAGGCTAAGGACGGAATGGCGGCAGTTAGCGTCCGGTCGCCTATTACACCTCCGCCGGGGTTTAAGACCTTAGTGCGGTACAGCCAAGCCGCTAGGCAGGGGGGTAGTCATGGGGGGTCTCCTATAGAAAATAAGGCTTTTGACAGCGAAGAATTCATATATATTGTACCGAAATAAAGAAAGATTAATTGCAAAAAAATACAATAGTTAAAAATTGATGGTTTTCCCCCTGAAGCAATACACAATTCCAAGCGCTTAGGAACCGAATGAGCCAAACGTAGTAGTGAATCCTCCGGTATTTCCTCCCAAGCTTCTTCAACCTTGACCTTCAATTCTCGAAGAGACAGGGCTTGAAGATCTGTATTTTGTTCAAGCCAGGCTTTCATCCAGGGCCATAGATTCTCAATAGGGGAGAGGTCAGGGGAGTAGGGCGGCCATTTGAGCATAACGATGCCTCTGTCCTGAAGGGCTTTTGTTGTCTTCTTAGACTTGTGAGAAGGAGCATTATCCTGTTGGAAAATGACTCCCGGATTCTCGGTCACGAAGTCATCGATCAGGGGCACGGTGTGTTGAATATATTTAGCTGAGTTAATACCCCCGTAATCCTTCTCCCAGACGAATGAAGGACCCTTTCTTCGGCCAGCGAACATCCCCCAAAACATCCAACCAACGAGCTTTCTTTTCCTCAGAGGGAAATCGGCCTTGGTTTCTTCTTCCTGAAAATTCATAACCCTTTTCTTCCACATAGGGTCATTGGTAGCCCAGGTTTCGTCAGAAAGCCGATTTCCTCCCAGTCTTCCGGGCGAGGGCGAAGCTGTAATTGATGACGGCACCAGGCGACTCTTTCTTCTTCATTCTCTCTGGTCCGGACTATTTCCCGGGGCCGGATTACAGAGACGATGCCAAGCTCACGAAGTGCCCGGTTAATAGCCGCATCACCGTAATAACTAAGAGGTGGAGGGAGGAACTGGCGTAAGGAATACATAGGCTTAAAGCGGTTATTTCCATCCTTGAGTCAAGTGCTTAAAAGGTGCCGTTCAGGGGTACGGATTACTCCTTTCCTCTATCTTTTCTTTGGCGTAGCTGGCTATGTGCAAGTGGACTGTACCTGCCACCAGGAAAAGCCTGTCTTTTTCATGATCTCTTCGTAAGACCAACCGGTATATTGACGTAAAGTTTGAACGATGAGCCGCTGATCACGCGTGAGGTGCTTCCGAGGCGGCGTATAGGGCGTTGTGGAAGAAAGAGAAGAAGGTAATGTTTGTTGACTTAGTTGTGTTAAAAGGAGGTCTTCAGGGTCAGGGGATTGGCTGAGTTGCAAGTCCACTAATAAGGACGCAGGGGGTACCTGCCAGGCCTGCAACTGGCTCTCAGTCACCTGCCTGTTAGGGGACTCAGGTGCCTGTAAGTCCTGCCAGCCCTGTAATGGGCTGTTAGACGACTGGCTGGCAGTTGACGTAGTTGATTGAGTGGCCATTGTGGTTTTTTTTGGCGGATTTGGCGGATTTGGTTGTGTTGACTTGGCTTGTGGTTGACTTGGTGGATTGACTTGATAGATTTGGTGGACTTGGTGGATTGAGTTGGTGTAAGACTTTGAGGTTTTTGAATTTAGGTACAAATATACTAGAAACTACTAGAAAAGGTACTTCGCTTCGAAAGTTGCGTATGTAGCTGACAAAGCTGAGAAATCCCTGTCCAGAACCCTGCCAACCACCCCTGTAAGTCACCGCACTAAGGTCTTAAACCCCGGCGGAGGTGTACTTATGTGGAGAGGGGATCTCACCTCCATCGTGGTCATCCCGGGAATATTCTGAGAAGCGGGGCTTGCATCGGACCCACCTGCGCATCAGGCTAGCAAGGGTCCGGCTCGATCGGGGCACAGATGGACTACTGTGTAAGTATATTAAGCTCGCCGTCAAAGTAAACGGGATATGGAGAGGAATGTTTAGACTAAGCGGGTCCTGAGTGAGGCGCTTCGTGCCCTTTGTGTGCGATGGGTTGGCAAGGGAAGAAGAATATCAATATCGATCATTCTTATGGACGAAATGCCCGGCGCTCGAAACGCCACGAAGCGCCACGAAGCGATCACATCCAATTACCTTGGCCCCCCCCCCCCCAATTTCAGACAGCAACACCAGCCGTAGCCAACGGTGTCTCGCGTCAGAGACACGACGCAACTAGACAAGTGTTCACAACGCCCAACAAACCGCAGACGATCAAGCGTCAAGTCGTGCCCACGAACGTGGAACCCTTGGCTCACGTTACGACGCTCCCAAACGGGTCAAGACCAACGGCGGAGAAATCAAAACGGAGGGGGTAAGGTGTGGCAACAGGACTGAGCAATCTCCCACAGTCATGGCTGGCGGGTTTGGCTAACAGAGTGCGTACAGCGGCCTCCGTGTGTCATCTGGCTCCGAAAAGCGGTCGACGTGCCGACCCGTCCCGTTCCGACAACCGACCTTCCGTCGCTCCTGCGTCTTACATGGCCCCACCACATCCCCCGCTCTGGCCGGTGCGCTAGCAGACCACCCGCCGTACAAGTGTGCATGTGCATACTCTCTGACAACAGCATATGTAGCTCGAGACCAAGGTGCTTGGGAGCCGACAAGAGAAGAGCACTACGGATGGCTTGCCGGCTATCTATCGCTACTACGAGGCCCCTCGAAAGCGCGTCGTCGGTAACCCGGCCGATGACATACCGGCCTTCTTACGGAGCGAACTTTCTCTCGGCGGCCTGGCCGACATGCTGAAGCATCTATGGCTTGCTGGTGCAGAGCGTCCTGCCACCCCGCTGCACTTTCATGCCGCCATGGGCCGGGAGATCGCCATCGCCGACCGGATGGACCTGCACCTGCTCTGGGCCGACAAAGGGAGACTCTTCGTCAAGCCCGTCCCGCGCTTTCTTCTTGATCTGGCCCTTTGTCGCAGCAACCTACGGTGTCCTGATGGCTGTGCGTGTTGCAGCCCTCTGGCAGACACGTGCCGGGGGATCGCGCGGAAAGTCGCCTTGGGTTTCCTCTACACGTACGCCTGTCTTGTCTCGTCCGAAAGCGACTTCCACGTCGCCAACGAAAAGCGCCTCCTGCCTCGCAATGAAGACGGCACGCCAATCGAATGGGCAGACTGGAAGACCTTGGCCAGGGAACTCCTCAGAATGCACGAGCGTGACCCAGATGTGATCCACCCACGCTTTCTGCGCGCCGAGCTCCGCCTCTCTCGCGTCAACATGATCCATCGCTTCACCCGCCTCCCTCCCTTCCGTCCCTACCTCCGCGGCCGGCACAACTATAGCAGCCTCTTCCGCGATAACCTTGCCTGGTTGGCCGCTGCCGCCGTCTTCGTGGCCCTGGTGCTTACCGCGATGCAGGTTGGCCTCGCCACGGAGCGGCTCCAAAGAAACGCCACATTCCAGCAGGCGTCGTACGGCTTCACTGTCTTTGCCATCCTAGGACCTATCTGCGCGTTCGGCCTGGTAGCCCTAGGCGCGCTGTTCAACCTCGCCAATGACCTACCGCCGCTCATCCGAGGACAGCGCAACCGCACATCCGAGGACAGCGCAACCGCACATCCGAGGACAGCGCAACCGCACAGGCGCGAGATCCCGTGGTGAAGTTGGCCAATCGGCGCCCTGACTGCCAAAATGAAAGACATCGAGCTAGAGTTGAAATACTTGCTAGGCAGGAGTTAGAGTGCGTGTCATCCTTGGAGCAACTCGATATGCAAGAGCGAAGGCTCAAACTTACCGTCGAAGAGCTATTTTCCAAGGTTGAGTAACTCAAAGTTGATGAAAATACTATCCAACTTAAAAGATTGAGCAGTATTTACCGGCGGAACTGGGTATGCTAGGCTCCGCTTCCTCCTTATCACTCTCGGGTATCTCACCTATTATTCGGCACCTACACAACCTCGCGTCCCCCCGTGAAATCAAGCTAACAAGTTATTACTACGGGCAGGCCACGCAAACCGGCCCATCTGTCCGGATAGGCTAAGCCGGTAGCAAGTACTCGTTAGTTTGTCTCGGGACCCAGTCGGGATTGAAGATTTGCGTAACGAACCGGTACTTACCTTTATGATCATAAGTTAGACTAATAGCCTGCAGTACGGCGACTGCACTATCTTGGCAAACAACCGAGAGCCTCATAGCCTAGGAAGAGACATCCCATAAGATGATTAGAGACGTCTAGAATGGTGTTCAGGTACGCCTCAATGTAGCGATCAATATGGAAGTCCACAGCCCTCGTCGCCTCGTCCGGGTCGGCGATCGCCAATGGGATGCCGTATATCTTGTTGCTCTTTGTGATCTTGTGCCTGAGATATGGAGGCCTTGCTATCCTGGGAGCCGTTCTTATGTGGGTAAGGTACGGCCTATCAAGGTTATGTGGGTTGGGAGGCCTGGGTCATGCACGGTTGGATGCGGTACTTGCAAGAGACTTGTGCGATTGGTGTTAAAGTCGCCGAAAATGGCAGCATGCGCCAGCTAAATTCGGCGGCCAGAACACCGCTTTCTCTGTTTCTAGTGAAAGATGAAAGTATATCTACAAAGACGCGCTTTTTCTCTCTGTATATATACGGATACACCTACCTGACATAGAGTGGGCAGGTACTCAAAAGACGATGTCTTAGGGGAGGGGATATCGAACCCCCCCGTCTTAAATTCACAAGACAACCAAGAAAGCGTCTGCAACCAAGTGTTGATGGATTCTCTTTACAACCCGACAGATATTCTACCTCTAAGAGTCCCTAGGTAGGTGGGTAGCTCAGCTCATGCACAGCAACATCAACAACAACGGCAACAGCCAAAGACCGCCTCACTCGCCGCCATCATATTCGTCTGCTCTGCTTACTTTGATTTGCTTGATGGGTATATAACGTGCAATTGCCTGCCTGCCTGCCTGCCTGCCTCTTGGTGCGCTCCCATAATGCAAGCATCCTGGGCTCTTTACGAGTCCGGTTCTTTTCCTTCTGGCCGGGCTGCATTTCGCACCACGAACCCAACCAATGAGCCCATGCCAAACCTCATTCCTTCCCTAGTCCCGACAATCAAGGGACCAGTCCTTGGGCAAGCAGGTGAGGTAGGTAAGGTAGGTGTAGGCAGTTTAGAGCATTCATTGCCCACACGAACCACCACCACACATGCCACCACACACACGCGCCTCCCACGCCGGAATTAATCCCTAGAATCAAAAGAACAAGAAAAAGAAAAAGAAAAAGGATATACAACATCACACCCACAACCTCCCGGCCGCCAAACCTCCATGGAAACCCCGGACCCAAGCCCGTCCGTATAAAAACGCCCCAAGATGATGAAGGAAGGAAAGAGAAAAGACGAGGCAGCGTTTCCCTCGTCTGCTGTTCTTCCTCTCTTTCCTTTTCACTCCCCCTCTCCGCTGCTCCCAACAGTATGGCAAACAAGAAAAGCAAAAGTGAAAAGAGAAAACAGAAAACATCATTTCCCGCATGTCATTATGTCGTAGCCGGAAAAAGGAGAGAGAGACAAGGTTAAAAGAAAACAAGGCAAAGTTTAATCCCCCCTCGTCATCCATCACCCGCCCTCGGGCAGTATCCTGCCCAGACTCCGCAGGACCTCCATGGTGGGCAGGTCTCTTGTGCCGAGGGCGCGCTTCTCCCTGTCGTCGCGCTGCCTGAGGCGGGCGGCGCTGGCGGCGAGGACCGTGTCGGCCTCGCGGCCGGCCGTGGCCACGCGCTGGTCGAGCTTGTGCACGCCGTCGGCGAGGTGGTCGACGGCAAACTCGAGCGCCGACTGGAGGTTCTGGAGGCGCGCGCGCGTCTGCCGGCGGAAGGACGCAAACGCCGCGTCGGGCGCCGTGAGCGACGCCAGGATCTTGGCGTCGTCCGCGTCCAGCAGCGCCTCGTCGGGCGCTGTCTTTCCACTGCTGCTGCTGTCGCCTCCGACTTCCGGATACAGTGGTTCCACCTCGGGCAGGGGCTTCGCCAGGGCTTGCCATGCCTTCTTTTCCTCTTTTAATCTGTATAAAAACAAACTGGTCAGCGCAAAGAACACGCGGTGCCCCGGAGAGCGAAGAAAAGGATTTACCTTGCGATCTTGGCCTCGTATTCTGCCACCCTGACATCGTGCTCGATATTCCGCGGGTTGGGTTTCAGCACCACGGGCGGCCTGGGCGCATCCTCTCTGGAGAACCAGTCCGAGAACTCGGAGCGCGCCCCAAAGTCTTTTAGTAATTGGTCTTGTATTGCACGTGCTGTTGACGTATACATCGTTAGCCATAGGAGAAACAAAGCAAGCTTGCAAGTGGCTACTTCACTTACCTCCGAGAACTGCGCTCGACCCGTGACTCCCGTGCGGCGGTTTCTCACTAAGAGCCCGCTCTCCACACCAAATCAGGAGCTGCTTCATCCGCCGTGGCTCACTAGGGCCGTCGGCCTCGATATGCTTGTAGAACTCTGCCGGGTCGACCTCGCGGTGCGGTAGGGCGCTGTGCCCGTTGTCGATCAGCGAGCTCGCCCTCCGGCCTCGCATCCCCAGACTGCTGCGTCGGCCGCCACTCGCCCCGCCCTTCTTCCTCAGCTCCTTATTTCGATTGATGATAGGAGTGTCGCTAAAGGGTAACGCAATCTGCCGCGACTCGAAGCTTGCTTGGTCTGGGTCAATCGCCTCTTCTGCTGCCGCTGCCGCTGCCGCTGTTCCCTCTCTTCTCCGATCCACATTCTTTGGCGTTGTCCTTCTCGCGACAAGATCAGGCCTTCCATCGCTACCATCGTCGTCGTCGTCGTCGTGATCTTCGTCGTCCGGCCGCCTATCGCCTCTCCCCCTGGCGCTTACTCCGCCGTTGGCTGGTTTCGGCTTGGGCTCGCCGCGCGCGGAGGTTCGCGTGTCTGCCGAGTCGCGCGCCTTCCGCCGTCCTCTGTTCTTTGGGACGACGAGCTCCTCGTCTTGCGCCGGCGCCGGTGGTGGGGCAGGACCAGCCAAGCTCGACGTCCGCCTCCTCCCTGTCCTCCTCGGTAATGGCGCGGCGTTCTGAGAGTGCGCAGAGGCTGCAGCCGGAGGAGGTGCAGGCGGTTGCGGCGGTGGTGACGCGCGTCTTTTTGTTCCCGCCTTGGGGGGTCGGCCCGCGGTTCTCTTTGGAGGCGCCAGCGGCTTCTGCTGCTCGGGGGTTGCTTCATCATCGGTCGCCGTCTTCACCCGTTTGGACCCGCGCGTAAAGAGGAAGTCGCCATCCTGCTCGTCGTACACCGATGTGGCTGCGAGGGTCATTCTTGTCAGTACTTGTCCGTCTGCTTGCCTATCGCTGCCGCGCAAATCGTCCAAGGGGAAGGGGGAACAGTCCGTACCGGCGAGGCGTTTGCTGTACCGGCGCTCGGGCTGGTTGCTCATGCTCAGGACTTGTAGCGGTTGACGAGTCCGTACAAGAGTCGTCATGGATGGCGGGTCGGGGAGTGCATCAATGAGGTGAATGCGTAATATTTTTTTAGTGGCGGCCGTCCAAAAGTCTCGTGTCGCAGTATAATGCGCTGATCGGCCGTGCCCAGGAAGTAGCAGTGGTGTTTGGATTAAAATGGAGTGCTGTTTTGCGACGGATGAGCTGGCCGGGCGCGTCGTCGATTTCGACGGGTTGCGGGTGCAGGGTTCGCCAACAAGGCCAAGGACCGGACGGGGCAGGGCACAGGGCGCAGGGGCGACGGACGGGCTTGCTGCGACTCAAAACGCGTCAATTCGGCTTCGATTCTCGTGCTGTGCCGCGTTGTCGGGCGTTCGGGACTGAATCGGCGAGAGGGGCGACGAATTGACGGCTACAAGGCCCGCGTAAGTGATGCTATCTGTGGTGTGCTGTGGGCGAGCAGAATAATCCCTGATGCGGACCGTTCTGTTACTAGGCAAGTCGCGAGGGAAGTTGCGCCTCGTTTGTTTACCCGTGCGTGCGTGCACGCAAAAGTCGATGCAGAAACGCACGGGCCCCACATGCTGTCCCCCTCACCCTCATCCTGAATCCTCATAGCTCGGCCCCTAGCCTGGCCCACCCGCCTCAATGGCCCCTCCTCGCCTCTCCGGAGCCCAGCCATCATCACAAATAAATACACAATCGATAAGAACGCTCGCTGTCTTTTTGGGCCATGTCTTGACTCTCTATGTCATATAAGTTGTAACCGCAATAATGAGCCTTTCTTTATTAAAGGTCTCCTTTTTTTTTAATCTCCATTGTCCATGGTACTCTCGCGGCGACGAATGACATTTTCAAGTCCACCTTAACAAAACATGAATCTGAAATTGACATGAAATATAGCCGTCTCAACTACACTACCACGCGGTTATTTTCGAGATTTACTGTAGGTGAGGTAGGTGTGGTCCATGTGCCCAATGCCGCATCACTTGGAGGCTCCCTCGTCACCCGAGCTTCTCTCGAATCCGTCTCACTTGCCATACCCAGCACCAAGACAGACTGTAAACAATAGCAATAGCCATCAGGTGGCCGTTGCAATAGTCCACATGGGACGATATATATCTGCACTGCTGATTTGACCGCTTTGAATTTTATTCCTATAATGTTTCCTCGTTATCAAATGTAGCGATATTGTTGCCTTGTTAGCTACATATTCCCTCCTCCCAGTCTCGTACCAGGGGACGACGATTGGCTTGTCCGACTCAAAGATAGCTTCGTGCCTCTTGTTCATCTCCCTGTGCTGTGTTGCCCAACGCCTCCACCGGAGCTTAAAAAGAGAACCCCTCCTCAACCCAAAAGCCAAGCCAAGCCAAGCCAGCCCAGACAAAAAAACCCAGAGCGCCATTTTGATGTATGCCCCTGTTGCCAAATATACAGACGAGACACCGAACCCACAGAGGGACGAGCCGCCATCTCGACGCCGCGCAGCCCTTTCGCTCCATCACGGAAGCAAAGACTGTATCCTCTTACTGTACAGCCTGACCCGTCTTCAAAATACCAGTCGTGTTCCCTATCCGCCGTTGCGAATGTCGGCGAATGACAGCGACGAGAGAGGGACCCCGGATCCTCCACGGAACACCGAAACAACCCATGGATTTCCAACCGTCGCCGTGCCATAAATCGTGTCGTGCGCCGTCCGCATTAACGACTCCTCCAAAGCATACCCGAGCCAGCCAGTAATGCCTGGCATTCAGGCTTCCCAACTCCCAAATAAAATCATTACATGTCATCAACACATAGTCGACGCATACGCAAGGTTGTTTCCGCCGCTGTAAAAGATTGCCACCCTTAGTCTTCGGGCTTAACGGCAGATCTAGTCATCACGGTGTCGACGCCGAGGCGCAGTCTATGAGAATCGGCGATTGACGCCCTGGCCTGCTATAACCGGTTGGCTCTGGACGGGTCCGCCCAGGCCATAAGAGTTCATCTGAGGGTTGAAGGGCTCCATTGACTGTTGCATATATGCCCCGTGGAGGCCCTGCTGTTGCGTGACAGGGCAGTCTTTGTGCGCGAGCAATAGTGTTTTGAGGTTGACAACTTCGTCGCGAAGCTGCGAGATCTGTTGCGTCAAAGCATCATTTTCCGAGCTGAAAATCTCAACTTTAGTCTGAAGATTGGCTAGCCACTGCTTTTTTCGCTGACGACATTTCAACGCAGCAACCCTAAAAGGTGGTCAGTACTTGGTAGTCAAGTGGAACTAGAATAACGAATGAGAGTTTACTCACCTGTTGCGCTCAAGAAAGTTTTTACGCTTCTCCTCGTCTGTCATCTTTGTTCTTGTGCCATTTTCGTTGATCTTCATGTCGTCGTCCGAGTCACCCATATCCATACTGTCGATAGACGGCGCACCGCCGCCGTTGGTCTTGGCCTTTTTACTTGCAGGCGCCTTGGCCGGTGTATCGTCAGCCTTACGACGCGTCCCGGCACCTCCAGAATTCCTTTTTCCCTTGGTGCGAGGGGGCGGGCGCACTGCAGTCTCGCTCTCGTCCGAACCGGCGCTTAATGCTTCACTTACGCCACGCGCCGAACTCCCTGCAACCGATCCGTTGCCATTCATCTGTGGTGACGTATTTACGGGCTGCACGGCCGGGGCGGGCTGGGCTGCGGGCTGGGCGTGTATCTGGACCGGAGGTATCACGGCGAACTGCTGGCTCTGCTGTTGCGATCCGTTTCGTCCCTGTGCTAACATGAAAAGGCCATTCGCTGCGTCGTTGTCGTGCGGGTCGAACGGTCCTGCAGGCGGCTTTGTCTCGAGCTTCAGAAGCGCAACACCATTGCCGTTCTCCTGAGGCTGTGTATTGGCCGGCTGTTGCGCCTGCGCCTGCGCCTGTGCCTGCTCGCGCTTGGCGGCGGCTGCACTGAGGGCGGTCCGATGGAAGTCGAGAGTGCTTGGAGTAGGGGCAGAAGCGGTGAGCTGCGCAAATAGAGCCTGCGAGTTTGGGCTGGGGGCCGGGAACATAGACCCGCTGCCGCCTGGAGTAAGTCCCGTCCTCAGAGAAGACTCGTTCGGGGTGGGAAATCCGCCACGGATGTGGTGAGTGTCGCCAAAGTAGTCATTCGTCGTCGGCCCCGAGAGCATCGCCGGGCTCAATGGACCCGTCCTAAGAGAACTAGGTCCCCAGGGGAATGGTGTGGCGCCGGGGCCGGGAAGCAGAGACGAGGGGGACGTCAGGGCGGCGACGGACGGGAGCTTGGTGGCGCCGGGGGTCTCTGGGGGCGCGCCGCCAAAAGACTGCTCGAAAGGGTTTGGTTCCAGGCTCAGTGAGCCGCCGAGGGGGTTTGAGAAGTAGTCGGGAGTGTTTGCGCCGAGCTGCTGGCCGGGACGGGGCGGAGGCGCGAGCGGTTTGGTGGCTTCGGCATTGGACGACGAGTCGGGCTTTAGGGGGGCATCGTTTTTGGACTCAGGCTGGGCGTCTAGGAGAAAATGGTTGTTGGCAACGACATTCCCAATGCAATTACATTGCTAGAACTTAGGCGACGGCGACGTGAAGGCGCGAAAAAAAGTATATACTTACCGGTTTGGGGTGGGGATGGATTGCTGAATTGTTTGGGCGACTTCGACTCACCTCGGCCGGACGCTCCAGAGGACGACCCCATGATGTCAATCAAAATCTTGCGGCGCCTTCCTGCTAGGGCGGGCGAGGGCTAGAGGAAAGGCTAGAGGAAAAGGAAAAGCGACGATTATGAGGTCACAAAAACATAAAAACCCATAAAAAGATTGCTGCTACGCTACTATGCAGCGTCGTTCGCCTCGCGCGGGCTGCTGGCGTCGAACGACGGTCGTAAATACCTTACGTCGTTCCTGAGACAATGTGGTCGTGGGTGTGTGGCAGGAGAGAAGGACAGGACCGGGAAAGACGTCAGGTATGACGTTGGGGAAAAGAGATGGCGCAAGAGAGGAAATAATAATGGGGCGCCCCAGCGCTGCTGCCAAAGAAACCGAGCACACGCTCCGGGGCCACTGCGCGGCCCCCCCCTCCATGTATCTCCACCTGATTGTACACACATAATATAGGAGACTTGCTCCCTACACTTACACTCACCAAACTCAAACCCTCTCTTGTTGCCCTCCCCCATCTGATTCTGCGGGCGAGCATTATCGATCTCGGGCGAAAAAAAGCATCGCTCAAAGTGAGGGAGGGTGTAATTACCAAGCAAGGCAAAAGTTTTTCTCTCCCCTCTCTCCGCCCAGGCAAAGCGATCTTCGTATCTTTCTTTCTCGCCCTTTTCGATCGCATCCAACCCCGACGATTTAGTTCCCAAGGCGGCTTTACGTTACAGACGGTCTCCAAGATATTCAAACCATTCTCGATTCGCCGCCATTGTCCCTTTTCTTTCTGTTCTTCCATGCTGGAACTGCCAGTGTGTGCCAGTTGCCATTCACAGTTCGTCCTTTCCCAGCACTGCTGTGGAGATGCGGCAGCTAGGTAGCTTACTGTGCTGGGCACTGTGCAGGCTTGTCGCATTCAAGCATCCGACTCCACTCTTGGCTGCAGCGAAAGGGGAAGGGGGAGAACGCAACGGGTTCAAGCTTCATTCACCGTGCTGCCCCCTGCATGAGGTGGTCGAGTCGCCTGTAAGTAGTGCGCCTGTTGAGGGCACGCGACGGCATTTGTTTTCGCGAACAGCCACCGCGATACCAGCTATAACTAACCAACGCCAGTTGCGGTGCGAAGATTCAACTAGAGAATAATAAACAACAGCAAAATCCCGTCATGCAAGCACCCCGCCGGTGTGAGCCTCCACGGCGCTTGTCTGTGACTCTGTGTTTCCGAGACTGAGACGGAGCGTGGACGGGAACGCTTGGTCTCGTCGATCGGGCCCCATCTCAACACCAGTCTAGACGCCTACCGGAGACGGACTCCGGCTAGTCAAGATCAAAATTCCCCTATCACATATCACCTGCTAGTCAACCGGTCCGGATCGGCCAACTACATCTGACTGTCAAGAAGCGGCGCCTTATTTTCAGGTGTTTCTGGACTCAGCTCATCCGATCGACGCGGACCTAGACTCGAAACGCTGAGGGGGATGCGTGCGCGTCTCCAACATCGTGTGGTGTGTGTGCTCGTCTGCCGCCAACAACGGCGGTCTCGAACCTAGACGGATCAAGAAGGAAGGGCTCGAGCCGGCTGTCAAGGTCACCCACCTCACCGCTTTGGGTGGATGAATGGAACGGAACAATAATTATTGGTGAGTGGGGCTGTTTGTGGCAAAATTGGTCGCCTGCGTCGAATCACAACGCTTAAGTCGCTTCCCCGACTCGCTCACCTAGCAAGCGAGGAGATATTGCGTCAGAGCACTAGGCCGGCCGCAATCTGACATGGCCTGAGTGCGGCGTCCTATTTTTCCCACCCGCTAGTCGGCGCGAGCCCACCCAGCCTGCACCTCCCCTGTCACGCAACCGTGCCCCATGCCCATTTTTTCTTTCTCGCAAAGAATGAAAAACGAAGGAAATGGCATTCGACACCGCTTGACAGCTCGTGCCAGTTGCCCAAGGCGATCGCCAGAGCATTCGCCCCTAGCGCCAGATCAGAAATGGGCCGTATCCGGTGTCGGGCATTGGAGAGAAAGGGGATCGAAGGCTGGGGTAGGGGCTCGATTGTCCGACCTTTTCAGTGCCGATGACGTAACTGTGAGGATGGATGGAATGATGTCTCGGTGGGCGGGAGGCTGCTTATGTAGCCAGTACGATGTTCGTACTGTGCTGGCAGGTTCTCCGCCGATGCACAATCTCTCCCACCCCCGTTTTTTGTTCTAGCGGGTGCGACGGCGCGGCTCTTTGCTCCCTTGAGCAATTCGTCCCATCTCCAGCACTGGTCCATTGGATATCAGCGCAACGATGCCGGCTTTCTCGAGAGCTGATTAGAGTGTCGCGGAGTTCTGGGGTGGCGGTGTTGAAGCTGGCAGGCTGCACACGTGTTTCCTCCCTTTCTAGAAACTGTAGTGTCGTGCTCTGCTTCTGCAGTTCCCCTTGTCACGGTCCCAAAGCCCCCCCCAATGACGCACTTTGGCCAGGACCAGACGGCACAGGAGGCGCCACCTAGCCCGTCCCCAGGCTTACCCGCGCCGCCGGCGCCTCTCCAGATTCCAAGGTTAAGCACCAATCTGAATCCCGAGATAAAGAGAAAGGGATAGAAATTATTGCATGTCGATGGTCTGTTTCGCCGAGTAGAGAAACAGACAGTCAAGGCGTTTGGTAAGGCGGTAAAAACCCCCCCCTCTCCCCCGACAGATTCGGTTAACGCTGTTGCATGAGCCTAGCCCACAGTGTGATAAGAATCGGAAGGCACTACGGGAAGAATCCCCGGGCATTGAAGGGGGGGAGTGGGCCGGCCCAGAAAAATGGGTTAGGACCAGGGGGTGTCTTTCTGCCGACCAGCCAGTTACAGTAGCCAGCAAACACGGCGGCGAAGCCAAAACCTCGTTTCTTTTTGCAACAATTTTTCTTTTCGACGCGCTCGGGACCCATTGGCTAGCCGGGTCCTGTTTGCGGGGGGGAGGGATATGGAGTTATCGACCGGCTCCCCGACCGCAGCCAACCTTTTAGAGCCAACAAGCAGCCAACGAGCTACAGAAGGCGTTAAACACGTCAACAACCTATTGCTGATGTATATACGGATACCTCTTTTTCAATGTTGTTCCCCCAACCAAAATCACACCTTACCCGGGCTGCCGAAACAGGTGGCCAGTTCCGCATTGGGAGATAAGGTTTTTGCTGAGGATTGTTGTACTTACAAATCAAAAATCCTTCCCCCTTCGGTTCCTAGGTAGGTACTGCAAACCTTCAATGTATGGGATCTTTCCAATCGTGAAACTCGAGCTCACGTCAGACAGACAGAGAGGAACTGATGCATTGCTGTGTAACCCTGCCCTCGCCCCCCATTCATCTACTTACATACGATCGCGCCATCAACGCGATGGGTTTTGATTTGTGGTGACTGGTGAGATGCCTATCTTTTCTGTCAAGATGGGGGTGCGTATCAATATTGGCTGCCAAGCCACACACATCTGAATCCAAAAGCCGTTGCTAGCGCTGCCTATCAGTTCCGTCGGGGTTATGTTTGCTTCCGGCGCACACAGTTACGTTTATTGTTAATTGGTGAGGTATCTGTCTCTTTTGGAAATATTGTAGAGTATTAAGTCCAACAGAGAGGAAGTTTATTGGTTCAGTGACTTGCCAATACTTTTTCTCTCTTCCGACACCCATATTCCGTGCTCTCAATGTATTCAAATAGCTGCTTAACATCGGAAACAAGACCACATCTCATATATCCATCCATATGCGCTCAGGTGGTGATTATGCTCTTCACGATCCTTACCTACCTTAGAAAGAATAGAGAGGTAATCCTCCGTCTCATGCCCTAATAATCCATGGATGTAGAGGCTGATCACGAAAGGGCGAAAATAAAAGTATGGAGTACCGCAGCGCCAATACCAGTCAGTCCACCAAGCCCGGCATGCAGTTACGGTGCGGGGGAGGCGTCGACAAAAAAGAAAGTGCTGGGGCGGGCGCGCAGAAGTGAGACATTCGCTGCGCCTCCATAATCACCCCCGCTGTCCGGGGATTTGATCGTGAGGGGCTGCCTTGGAGCAGAGCCGCCGGCGTGAACTTTGCTTTACTCTACTTTTTGAGGCTTCAAGATATGTACATAGCTGCGACGGGCGAGGGCAAAGGAGGGTTTGTGGTCGCGTCATTGACGCCCGATACTTTTCTTGTTGATTCCTCTTGTGTGGGGCTCCCTGAGCCGATGGCTTCCTGTTTGTGATGTTTGTTTTGGTTTTCCTTTTTAGATTCTCTCAACATGCTTCAACAAAACCCAATGCCTTACACTATCTTAGACAACTCCCACCATTCATTCCCCTCCTTCTTACTTACAGCCATGTCAACAAAAACAGGATGCGTTGTCTGTGTCAACGGAAAAAACCTCGGATACTACACCTCACTCCCTGGGTAAGCACCTCCTTGTGCTGAGGGTATGAGCGAGCTACTACGCGCATGTGTGTAAATTGAGTTTCTGGCTTGCAGCTCGCATGCAAAAGCATACACGCAAGGTTTATACAGTACTCAAAGGGTCCAAATTTCCACGGCGCCCGTGCAGTAGTAGTACCTCAAGTTTGAGAGCCAACGAACATGTCGAAAACAAAGTTGCACTGTTTCGTGACTAGTTGACCAAATGAAGCTTAGGGGGGGGGACGTTGCAAGGAGGGAAACCAATGTTCATTAAAAATCCTTGTCTATACAAACAACACACGGCATCCCTATCTCTATTTACTATTGGGATGTGAAAGAGGCTGTTGCGAAAGGCTACAGAGAGGCCGTCTGGTCGGCAGGGCGAAGCCGGAAGCCGTGCCTCGGGGCGTGCAGCCGCACTCCGGCGTCTGTCTCAACGACAACCTCCTTGTCGCCCAGCCCCGAGAGCCTGCCCGTATCTCTGTGGGCCGTGCCCGAGTCTGTGGGCCACAACTCCACTTGCCGGCCCCTGCTGAGGCCGTGGAACTGCGCGGCGGGGTCGCTGCAGTCGACGTCCATCTCTGGCTCGTGGAATGGGGACTCGAGGATGAGCCGGCGCGCCTCTTCCCCGGACACGGCCTTTGGGGGAATGGCTGGCGCGGGCTGCTCCTTCGTGGCCTTGTGGAAGCGCGAGATCCACGCAAAGACGCGCGGGAACTGCTCCGCGGAGACTTGGTCGGCGGGGAGGGCTCCGGGGAGACTGTTGAGCCAGTGCAGCGGCCACACGGCCTCGATGTCGGCGAGGCTGGGCTGCGCCGTCTTGAGGATCCAGTCTCGGCCGTCGGCCAGGAGAGTTGTCTCGAGGAGTTCCATGGAATTCCTGACCTCGTTGACGGCCTCGGGCCGCAGCGCCGCGGCCGCCTCCCGGGACACCTTGGCGCCGAAGTAGTCGGCGCGGTCCTTTTGGAACCTGGGGTCCCGCAGCAGAGGCAGGTCCGTGGGCAGGAGCTGGGCGGCCCTGACAAACAGGCCGCCGTCGATGGCGTAGGCTTCGAGCAGGCGCTCAATGGCCTTGTGCTCGGTCCCGGCGGCGGCGCCCAGCTTGGGGCGGCCGGGGTACAGGAGCTCGAGCTTCTGGATGATTAGCCGCGTGTCGAGGTAGACATCGCGGCCGATGGACAGAATGGGGATCCGGCGGTATTTGATGCCCAGCTGTGCAATGTCTGGGCGCGGCATGATGGGCGGTTGAAGCTGTGTGTTTACGTGCGCGCGGGGCTCGAGGGTTACTAAACTGGCAAAATCACATGCGCGCCCTCTCACGAACTACCAATACGTACACATTGGAAATATGGGATGCCGCGCAGGCGCAGATACCAAACTACCCGTTTCGCATAGGGCGAGTAGGGGTAGTGGAATAGCACAACGGGAAGTTGCTCGGCGTGCGAGTCGGCCATGGCTCGAGTGTATTGGGCAGTCTGTAGTCTTGTCGGTGAGATGTCAGGCCGCCGCTGTGAGACGTCGTCGTGTGAGATGCGGGTACTTATGAGTGAGGCGTGATACGGATACTTTGTACAGGAAGGAGATCAATGGGTTGGCAAAGCTCTCGTGAGATGTTCGTCCTGCCTCTCGGAACGGACTATAATAATAGTATTGCACATTACGGAGCAGACGGCTCTGATATGCCACCGACATGGCATGTTGCCTCGGCTCCTTCTGTCGGGCTGTCACCGTAGCGGGGCTCGGATTGAATGGATGGGGAATGGAAGGGCGCACGCTTGTCTTTCCCGAAAGAGACGTTTTGACGGGACGGGAGGGGGAGGTGTGGGCGGCGAATTGAATGCGAGACCTCTAGCGCACAATCTGAGGCCCAGAGGCCCCCTTTTCCCCGCGACCAGCCCAGACCAGGCCCTTAACCCAACGTCGGTTCAAAAGCTTGGCCCGATGTCCCGCTTGTTGACGACGTGTTTACCTGGTGTTATTATTGTTGCTAGCGAACGTCAAAAACATGCTGCCGCCAACTGCTAGTGTCAACTGAGGGCAACTCGAGACTGGTAGTTGGACAGGCACGGCTCGCACCAGCGAAATGGAAATACAGAGGACGGAAGCTATTCATCCGTTGTGCAAAGTTGCACAGCACCAGCATTGTATGATACATGGTTTGTAGTTGATACGGTAGTAGTATCTCATTCGCAGTTGCCCCTGGACGGCGTTTGCTGGTCAAAGTGCTCCTTCCTCTGCTAGCCGTCGAAGATGGCATCGTACGACCCATCAAGCCGAAACTCTATTCCTGACATGTCAAGACTGCCAGGTTGGAAATTGCACCAAGCTCAGGCACCCTGGTTGATTGCCTAGATCGTGCTTTCCCTTGGGCCTTCACAAAGAGAGATGGACACTCATTGAAGATTGGTAGCTCTGCAACACGCGCCAATTGTGCAGATACTGGGACTGTAATTATCACGGGCATGCATGGCATTTAGATAGTGAGCAACGAGCCGTCGGAGCATATCTGCTTCCATGGAGTCGTCTACCAGTCGCTCTTTTCCTCCCCCCCCCAATCGCATAGAATGGGCATCTAGACAGGCAACCCGAAGTTGAGGGGGCCTCTAGCAGAGGGAGGGAAAAGATGGAAGGAGGACAGGCGGGACTCAGGCTCGGCTCCTCCTCCCACTTGCCATGGCCGCCGCGGGCTGTACAGACAGATAGATGGTTCCTCTAGAGGGATAACAACGTCTCGAACCACACAGCCTGACCCGCTCGGACATCTGACGCGACATGGTGATACCTTGCCCTAGACTGGACGGTGTGAAGGAGACGTGGCTCGCGGAATGGGTTGGTGCTCGTAACTAGCCGCCTTCGTCCTCCTCTGGCTTGTATTCCTGGCGGCAGCCGTCTCCCGCCCCCTTTCCCATCCCCTTTTCTTCCTGACCCTTCATCGCTACCTGGTCTCCCTCTTGCGGCGTCCAAAGGCCCTCCATAGCAAGAGCTTCGACGAACAAAACATAGGCCAGTCTCACCTCGACGAGGAAGCCAAGATCGAGGGCGCCGATGGCGAAGCCCTCACCACCACCACCTCCGACAGCTCGCCAAGCAATGGGCCGGCTGTAGTGGTAGCAGAAGCAGCAGCAGCAGCAACAAAAACACGGCCCGAGGGGATCCTGGCCAAGCTGCGCCGCTACGAGGCCATCCTGGACGCCAAGCTCGGCGTCGAGGCGCACGCCGTCGACCGCAAGCGGGCCGAGGACCGCGATCCCAGCTTCGCGAGCTGGCACAACCAGGCCGTCATGTTCCTGCTGTGGATGAGCTCGACCCTCAATTTAGGCTGCTTCGCCGTCGGGTTTTTGGGTATGGAGATGGGCCTGGACCTGCGGCGGACCCTGGTCATCATCGTCTTTGGCACCCTCGTCGGGAGCGCCGTCACTGTGAGTTTTGAAGACGCACCCAAGATGACTCGCTAAACCCCTATCGCCGAGCAGGGCTGGTGTGCCACCATAGGCCCCAAGACGGGGCTCCGCCAGGTGTCCATCTCGCGCTATTCAATGGGCTGGTGGCCGTCCAAGCTCATCGCGGCGCTCAACGTCGTCGAGCAAGTCGGCTGGTCGGCCATCGGGTCCATCACGGGCGGGCTGGCGCTGTCAGCCGTGTCGGACGGCGGCGTGGGCTCGGCACTCGGCGTCGTCATCGCGTCGGTGCTGGGCTTCGTCGTGTCCTTTGTCGGCCTCAAAGCCGTCTTCCAGTACGAGAAGTTTGCCGGCCTGCTGCTGGTCGTCGTCTTCGTCGTCATGTACGCCGAGACGGGCCGCTTCGCCGACATGGCCGCCACCACAGAGCTCCAGGGCCCCGCGCTCTCGGCCGCCACCCTCAGCTTGTTCTCCGTCGTCTACGGCTCGTCGGCCTCGTGGAGCTCCATCGTAGCCGATTACTACGTCGAGTATCCCGTCGACACGTCGAGCCTCAAAGTCTTTGTCTTGACTACCCTAGGCATATGTACACATACCCCTTACCTCTTGTCCCATTGTCTTGCTATTTTCGCCGACTAACTCCCCCAAAAAGGCCTCCCGACGGTTTTCGGAATGTGTCTCGGCGCGGTCGTCGCGTCGGCGCTGCACAACCACCCGCGGTGGGAAGCGGCGTACGCAAAGGGCATCGGGTTCCTTGTGCAGGCGGCGATCCGGCCGACGGGGTTCGCCAAGCTGCTGCTCGTGCTACTGGCGCTGTCGGGCATCGCGACCAACGCCGTGTCCATCTACAGCGCCAGCCTCTCGATGCAGCAGATGGGCCGGCCGCTGGGCGTCGTGCCGCGCTTCTTCTGGACGTCGCTCATGTTCGTCGCCGTCGTGCTGCTGTCGCTCGTCGGCCGCGACAAGTTCGTCGGTTTCCTCGAGAACTTCCTCTCGCTGCTCGGCTACTGGGTCACGTCCTTCTTCGTCATCATCTTCTGCGAGCACTACGTCTTCCGCCGCGGCAGCTACCAGCTCTACGACCTCGACGCCTGGAATACGCCCAGCCTGATGCCTGTGGGCCTCGCTGGTGCCTGGCGTTCGCCGCCGGCGTCGGCGCCTCGGTGGCCGGCATCTCCGAAGAGGGCTACGTGGGCGCGCTGGCCGCTCTGATCGGCGACCCCAAGCACGGCGGCGACCTGGGCAACGAGCTGGCCTTTGTGTCCACCTTGGTCGTGTACGTGCCTGCACGGTGGCTCGAGTACCGCTTCCCGAAGCGGTGATCACGGCCAGGGACTAGAGGGTCGGAGGCAACAGGGGCGGCGGCGGGTATTTAGAGAAACAAGGACGTCGGATGCGATTCTCATGATGAGAGAGGCTAATTCATTCTCTGTTAGCGACTTCTGCTAAATTGTAACTCTACGAACCGCATTTCTTGCTTCTCATTAGGCATTGCCGCATGTAGCTATCTAAATAGACAAATAGAGCTCAAACAACAAAAAAATGGGGTATTTACTGCCCGAGGTTAGATAGCTCAGGTAGGTAAGGTAGGTTAGGTACCCAAATGTCTGTCTTGACCGAGCAAATCCGGACTTCTCTCTTTTTTTCTTCTAGAAGACGCGAAGCAAGAAAAAACCCAGACAATAATATTCACTATTTTGCTGCCCTCTCAAGGTTTCATTTTAGAAAAGAAAATAGAACTGTAGACACAAAGCTATGTTTCGGATGGGTATCTCGAAGAATTAAAAGGGGAAGATAAACTAAAAGAAAATGAGTGGACGACTGGTTAGCAGCAAAATGCCCCAGTCATCTAGGAAAGACCCAGTCTCGAGACGAAATATTAATAGGGCGGATAGAAATGCGCAGGTACATCTGTGTAATATCTTGGTATTGACAAATAGCTAAATAGACGTTTCTCATAATCGTTCCAAGCTCTTGGGGTTTGTTCCGAGCCGAATATTCATCACTACAAGCAAGGAGTGTACCTCTCTTCTTCAACGGCTAGTTCGCTGCGTAGAGCTAAACCCACCCAAAAATACCGCTTACATTGCTTAGTGCTAGACACGAATCACCCGACAGCCTGGCCGGACAGTTTTTATTGATGATATCGATGTTGATGTCAGTGCTCCCAGACTGTGGTTACTGAGGAGCCCCAGCTGTACTCGTGGCTACGACAGGAGAGACAGGGGCGGGCACGGATAAAGGTGCCTGCATAGGTGCTGACATAGGTACTGGTGCTGGTGCTGGTGTTGTTGTCGGTCCAGGTTGCGGTGACGGTGCAGGTGCAGGTGCAAGTGCCAGAGCTGGTGTCGGAGCTGGTGCCAGTGCAGGTGGCGGTGCAGATGCAGGTGGCGGTGCAGATGCAGGTGGCGGTGTAGGTGTAGGTGGCGGTGCAGGTGCAAGTACCGGCGTAGGGGCTGGTGCCGGTGAAGGTGCTGGGGCTGGAGCTGGTGCAGGCGGCGGTGCGGGATTCATATATATCAACTTCTGGTGTTCGCTTACGACCTTCTTGATGGCAATGATGAGGGCACTTTCTGCACTCTCTAGTTGCTTCTTCTCGGCCTCGGTGCCTGGGACGGTGCTCTTGTCTGTAAAGCCCAGTACACGATCCACGGCTGACAGTATCAGGCGTTCTGCCCACAGAGGGCCCACGCTTGGCTCCAGTGTCTTTATCATAGAATGCTTGAAGGCTAGAAGCGCCTGAACCAATTTTGGATGGAGGAACTGATTCACGCCGAGCTTCTTCCCGCTGTGGTTAAAGACACCAAGTATGGTTTTCTCTAGCCCCTCGTCGCCGGGGACCATGGTCTTTGCCGCTAAGCCTAGACCTCGATTGACAACGGACATGGCGACGGCCTCGCCCGCCGTCGTCCTGTTGGCTAGCATCCCGGCAACTAATCCCTTGAACTCGATTATATAGTTGAAGAGGTCTGGGTGTACGGCTGGCTGGAGAGGCAGTGTGTTGGGGGTTGGCTGTGGCGGCTGAGGGTGTCTGGTAATAGGGGTTCTAGGGGTTCCTGAGGTTGGGGGTAGTGTAGCGACCCGGGGCAAGCCATTGACTGGGCTTATCCCGTTGGGAGGCTGGGTGGGCTGCTTTGCCATATTATGTAGAGGGGCAATAGGTTGCCCCCCAACCACTGGCGGAGGCTTTGTTGCGTATGGCGAAGAGTATGATATTAATTGCGACGGTGTTGGCTGGGAGCGTGCCGCACTTGGTGGCGCTCCGTGCCCAGGAGCTTGGGCGGGCAAAGACCCCTGAGGAGGATTCGGGTATGCCTGACGGAGATTCTGCTGCTGCTGCTGCTGCTGCTGGGCCTGGACTCCGGTGTGCTGGAGGTTGAGATGGTGCTGGTACGGCTGTGTGCCAATGCTAGGCTGGCTGTGGCTAAGTGAAAAGGCCGGCCGTGGGGGCATCGAGCTAGGGCTTCGCGATGACCCGTGCCCGCCGTGGAACATGGCCGGATGTGGGGCCGAAGCCGCTGGATAGTGTTGACCAAAGCCGTGCAAAGATGCCGTCTGGTCGGGCGAGGCTGCCTTGCGCTTTTTGCCAGCGTCGATGTCTATGCCAGGCACCCTGCTCCAGAGATGGGTCTCCTCGTTTTTCTTGAACGCGTCATTGCCGATGAGATTATGCCGAACACTGCTCTCCCACCCTTTCGTGTCAACCGTAAAGTAGTAGAAGGGATATTTCATCTGAATCCTCTTGTAGATCTGCTTTAGCGTAAGCCCGTCAGGTGCGGCAGTCAAGACCTCGTCTATCAGGACGCCGTAGTTCTTGTTCGGTTTTTGTAGCCGGTCCTCGGTATAGTCTTCTCTCCTCAGCTCAAGCGGCGGAGTCTTTGGTTTTTCTCGTCTCTTTTCCTTGACCATCTTTTCGACATCGGACATGTCCCCGCCCTCTTCGCCGCTCTTGATCTTACGCGGCTTGTATTTGCGTTTCTCGGGCCTTTCTTGGGAGGCGTCCTCAGGCAGGGGGTGTTTGCGAGGCCGGCCGACCTTCCTCTTGACGGGCGGCTCTCCCGCGGGCGGTTGCGGCATCGTCTTCTTGGCCAACTCCATGGCAGCCTTCTTGCGCAGCCTCTCTTCTCTCTTGGACATGATGCCATTCTTGGGCGGCCTCCCTGGCCCTCGTTTCTTGGGTGGCATTGGCGGAAACTCCACGTCGCCAAAGTGCCCAGCCCCCGCTTCTGGTTTGATGGATTGTATCTCTCCAGGATCTCGTTCCACAGTCTCCCTGACTTCGTTGTCGCCGGTACTATCGTCGCCGTCGTCGTCGTCGTCCTGCTCGGGATCCTCGTCCTGTTCGGACATGTCGCTTTGGCTTTCTTCGTTGGCAACCGGGACCGGGACATCCTCGACGCTGGTGCTCCGCCTGTCGGCGTTGTGCGAGCTCTCAAACTCGAAACTCATCTCCTTTCCGCCTTCCGAGTACTTTCGGCTGGATGGAGCTCCATCTTTGGACGCGGTTTCGTTTTCCAAGACCTCTCTCTCGGCACCCGTCTTGCCGCGAGGAACGCCGTTGATAATGAAGACGAAATCAACATCCTTGATTTGAAGATGGCAACCGCTTTTCAGCACAACCTTGTCCTCTTTATAGTGGACGTCTTCGTAGAAGAAGCCGTTTTTATGCAGAGGAATTGCCTCGAAAACGTTGGTCGCCTGGTTAAACTGGATTTTCAAGTGCTCTCGGGAGATACCCTTGGTCCTACTTGCGATATTCGGTCCCGGCGAGTGAATCCCGATAAAGGGCACATGGTAAGGCGAGGGCCGGAGAGCGCTGAGATTAACAGCTGCAGCCCCTGGAGTGTGGGATATGTACTGCCTCTCGACAATAAGGTTTGTGTCGTCCTGCGCGGCTTGCTCTACGGCGGGTGCGGCCGCCTCTTGGGCGGGTGCATGCGACTCGCCCGACCCGGAGCCAGCACCACTTGTCTTCAACCTCTTGGATGGGCGCGGGTCGGGCTCGCCATCTGACTCGGGTCCCAGCATTCCGCCCTCCTCGCTAACGTACGACTTACTGTACTTGCCTCGATCCTGAGACGGGGGAGAAGGGGGCGGAAGGCCCTGGGCCGCGTGCTCGTCCACCCTGCGCTGGTACTCGCCATTGCGACGCTCGTCTCTCCTGGCCTGTTCCAACGCCCGCTGGTCACGCCCGATGATGACGGCGTACGTGGTCATCTGAAAGGTGCTGTCGGCAAACTCAATCTTGGCAAAAGATTGCAGGGAAGGCTCAGCGCCTTGGGTGGGATATATCTGGCCAGTATCGTTGGCATGCGATAGGGAGCTGTTGTAGGGCAGCGTGACCTGCGAGGGACGGACGGTTGATGGCGGGAGCGGCACGATGGGCTGCTGACCCTGCTGTTGCGAGATGTGGGCAAGCGTCATGAGCAACTGGGTGGTCTGCTGCTGGTATATCTCAAAATCCATTGAGGGGTGGCCAAAGCCATAGCCATTGCTGCCATCCATGGCGACTCCGTTGACGCCGTCGGCAGCAGAAGATGCTGATGCTGGGAACCGCGAGGCGAGCGCGTCGGCCGAAGTCAGGGTGGACAAGGCATGCTCGGGAGCGGCGGTAGATGCAAAGGCAAAAGTCTGAGTCTGGGCCGGGGATGGAGCTTGGTCGTCAAGAAGTGGTAGATTAACCTCGGAAAGTTCGCGATTTTCAGGGTCGGCAGGGTCTGTAAGGGGAGAAAAGGCAGGCGGCGCCGGCGACTGGGCGCCAGCGCCGTCCAGCACGGACGAGCTCATCGCTTGCTGCTCACGGCGCACTGCAAGCTCCTTCGTCAAGCGGCGACAGGCCTGGGGGGAGGGGGCGCGACCTCTGGCAGGAGGTTGACAGTTGCGATGGGAAGGCAGAACGTAAAGTTCAACACTTCCCAATTCAGGGCGGTCACAAACCCAGGAAGCCCGAATGCGCCTACCTGAACCGTGAACAGGACCTACTAGCGCAGAGCCTAATTTTTGATGGCTCGCTGCAAGCGCAGATGCTGGTTGGCCACAAAGCTCCTTAGCCCCGCACTGTCTCTACCCCAGCCTGGCAGGTTCGAGCCTGGTTGGCTGGGATGGCTGAGATGGGTTTTTGTCTCTGACTGCGGCATCCGCTGCGCTGTGGCATCCACCCGTGCCTGTGGAGTCTGGACCTCTCCTCACTGTGAACGAGCAGGCAGTTGGCTGGCGGGCAGGTGCGGTGCGCCTGGATGCGGTGCTGGGCGACGACTTCCTCTCCTCGACAGACAACCGGCGGCGACAGCCATTGGACTCGTTGGAACCTTGGAGCAACAGGTACTCCGCTCGATTACAATAATGCAGGGAAAGGGCAGTTGCATATTGCGTCATCCTTCCATTCCCGTTCAACCTGCAAGTTCACGTCTCCTCCTTTACCGCTCTCTTGTCATTGCATCGTTGCTGCTGCTGCTGCTGCACCCACCACTTAGCTCTTAGGAAGCTCCGAGTACCGTCTAGTCCAGCTGCCTAGGTGGAACTCGATCTTCTTTCTCTCTGGCCAGGTAAAGTTGGCCGTCGTATTTGACTCTTACCGCGCGCGCGACGTGGCATTTGGTTGTCGTCTTCTATTTCCTCCAAATGCCTATTTCTCGCAGAGGCAGAGAACGAAAAGGGAGGGAAGTTGGGGGGACAAAAGGAGCAAAAGAGAGAGACCGATACACGATGCACGATGCACGATGCACGACGCTCGACAGACGACGGTCAATGGCCAAGGTCAATGGCCAATGGTATATGGTCAATGAAGGCCGAACAAAGCTCTGTTTCTTTTTCGTCTTTTGTCCTTCATCCGATCAATTGGAACCAACTCTTCTCTTCATGAGCCTGGACCTGGTTTGGCTGGGCTGAGTCTGCCTATGCATGTTCATGTGTTGGCTGGTAACGAGTATTGCTGCTTCAAAGAGCAGAGGCAGAAGCTGCAAAGACGAGATCGCCTTGGGCAGCAGTAAAGACCATGTCAAGATGGGTTGGGTCTGCGCCGGTTGAAAAGGTTTCAAACACTGCGGCTCAACGCTATCAGGTAATCACTGTTGACCAGCATCCATGGCCGGGGCCGCGTCTGCGCCGCCCGCGAAGACGATCGGCGTTGTGTTTCGCACCCGGCCCAGGGCAGGCCGCCCGCCGACAGTTGGGCATCTCGGCCACGCAGCCGTTTGTTTCTATTGCTGTGCGTCTGCTGCGTCCTTCTGGCCCGTGTTTTTGCTGTCCTCTGGCCCTGTCCTGCTTCCCCCGTGAACAAAACGTTGCCTACCAGGGTCATTCACACAGGGCCGGATGGTGTTTCTGACCCGGCCCGGAGCCATGGCTACGAGGGCCGATTTGGCGGTTTCTACGCCTGTCGTTTGTTTGGGCCCTGTTTGTTCTTGTTGCTGATCTGTGTTATATTGTGCCTGCGGCCGTCCGGACTGCTTCGTTTCTGTCCTTTGCGACTCTTGCCTGCCGACCCATCGCCCAAGGTAGGGGGCTGTTGAAATCTTCGTTCCCGCTCTTTGTCAGCGAGCGCGCTCGAGGCCCCGGCAAACAGCCTCGACATGAACTCGTCGTCGACCCTCCAACCAGGAGGAGGAGGTGGTGGTGGTGGTGGTGGTGCGGGAGGAGGAAATGGGAGAGGGGAGGGAGCGGGAGATGCTCGTCAGCCGTCTGCAAAGCAACCACCACCCGCAGCAGAGGTGTCGCCAGTGTCGCCATGGCCCTTTGTCCAGAAACAGGGCCCGCCAGTGCAGGAAGCACCACCAAAGGCTCAGCTCAGTGTGCCAAAAGCAAGTCAGAACCGTGCAGCTCCTGCCCAGAAGGGGTCCGGGCAGCCTGGCGAGAGGACAACGGCCCGATACTCGTGGATCCCTCCTCCCCGCCCGGATCCGGCATCACGGAGACCGCCTCCCGTCCCGGCGGTCCCCGTGGCCTCGGCTTCGGACCGCCCGACATATCCGGGTCCACTCCGACCGAGACAAGGCGTCGAGCAGTCTACCGGAACAGCCCGAGCAAACCCAGCAAACTCACGCTCTCCGAACCCGCCTTTCTTCTTCTTGGATCCTTCGTTGGATGGTAGTTTCATGAAAGAAAGCTCGATAAAGAGCCCAGAGGGTCTAAAACTCAATCTTCCCGGCCCGCTCTCTCTTTTGCCATCACCCGTGTCCTCGGCACGAAGCGAAGGAGAATCCGAGGATGGCGCAGAAAAGGACCCAAACAGCTTGGAGGCTACATTTTCATTTTGGAACCTTCCCGCACGGAATGGCCCGTCGGGCACGGTTAGTTTTAGGCCGACTCCAGAGGCGCTGTTCTTTTCGGTGCCAATAGCGCCGACACCTCTTCTCACTACGACCGAGCCATCGCCAATTCTGGAGTTTCGCCCTCAGCCGGTTGGAGATCTTCCTCGGCCATTAGCAGCTCGCCCTCCGCCGACAGCGGAACCCCCTTCGCCGGTTGAAGATCTCCCTCTGTTGTCTGCATCTCGCTATCAGCCACCCGAGAATCCCCATCCGCCGGTCACCTATCGCCCTCAACGGGTTGCATCTCCGGACCCGGAGCCGTCTCCAGCTCCAGCTCCAGCTCCAGCTCCAGCTTCAGCTCAAGCTCCAGCTCCAGCTCCAGTTCTAGCTCCAGCTCCAGTTCTAGCTCCGGCTCCAGCTCCCCCTCCGCCGAATCCAGATGCCCCTGCATCTAATAAAGCTCTCCCCCCGCCTGATAAATCTCGCCGTAAACCTGCGCCGGCTCCCCCTCCACCGACTATTAGTATTCCCCCGCCAGCTAAAGAAATCTCTTCGCCGGCTGAGGATGTTCCCCCAGCGGACAATGATGCTCCCCCGCCGGCCGACGATGTCTCTTCGCCGGCTGAAAATGTACCTTCTCCAACTAAAGATGTCCCTCCTCCAGCCGAAAATGTCCCCATATTGGTTGAAAATGCCCCTCCGCTGGCTAAAGATGGCCCCTCGCGGGTCAAATCTCGAATCCCAACGCCCATACGCCCTGCCACCCCGTACCGGAGAGCGGCCACCCCAGTTCCTCCACCAACCACGCCCCTTCCGGTACCGCCTACCCCGGATCCGTTCCGTGATCCGTTCCGTGCGCCGCATTCCAGACCGGTGACTCCTACTCCTCCCACTCCCCCACCAACGACTGCGCTCCCGCCGCCACCAGTCTCAGGCTTAGCCCGCTCAGCAACGCCGCCGCGCAAGCCAGTCGCTCCAACTCGCCCTCCGCCACCTCCAGCCATTCCAGCGCAGCCCGTAGAGGACCCTTTTCGCCCAGTCCCTCCACAACGCAAGCCTGTTGGCGCACCCCATGCACGGTATATGCCACAGCAAAATCCTGTTGATCCGACAATTGCTTTTCCTTTCGCGAACCAGCCACAAAGGACGGATGTCGTTCAGCATCGTATTTCTGCCAGATCCTATTCAAGGCCTGTTCCTCCCGGGCAGTATTCTGAAGTGCCCGATGTCCCCAAACTTCCACCGCCGGCGGCCTTCATGGTCCCGCCTAACGAGAACCCGTTTCAGCAATACTCGTCGGAGGGTGTCCAGGACCCAAACTATATGGTACAGCAAGCGTATTCCAGGTCGCCTCCGAGGCGTCCGCGGCGTAAAGATGTTGCCAGGGCGAATACGACAGCAAGCCAAGAAAGCCAGGGTGGGAATAGAAATCCCCAGAGCCCCCCGCGGCGCAAAATGCCTCCGAACACGCAAAACACGACGTTCCCATTTTCGGATCTTGTGCCTGGAAGAGGTACGGCGATACCGACATGGGACCGGAATCGAACGTATCCGCAGCCGCAGGCACCGCCGCAATCGCAGCAGCATTCCCAACCACAGCCGTACCCGCAACAGCAGCAGTACCCGCAACAGCAGCCGTATCACCCACCGCAGCTATATTCTCAACAGCAGCCGTATCGTCAACTGCAGCAGCATCCTCAACCACAGCCGTATCCGCAACCACAGCCATATCCGCAACAGTCGTATCCGCAACCGCCTATCCCTTCGTTTCAAGGACCGGTCTCTTCCAACCCTGTGTTGGGTAGGGATGCGGCTCCGTCTCAAAATCAGGCACCTTCGAGTTTCCCCAGTGCAGATACGATTATCCCCGACACAGTAGACCGGTCAAGTAGTGTATACCGCCAGAGTGTATACCGCCAGAGCACCAGTCCGCCCAAGGTGCAGCCTCCTAAAGGATCGCCTCCCGATGAATCACTCGCCAAGGAACCGGTACCTGATAGTTCAGCCCCCCGAGAACCTGCTGCTAGAGGATCACCTCCTAGGAAATCACCTCCTAAACCACCCCCGCCAAGAGGCTCACCACCAAGGCCGGCGCCCCCCCAAGGGTCACCTCTCCAGTCGTTGCCCCTTAAGTCAGCCCTTCGGTCGTCACCTCCTCGGTCATCACCGCCGGTTCCAGAGGTCAAGCACTCGCCTTCAAACTCGGCCGACTCGTCTGCCACGGCCGTCAGCACGCAGCCCCTTCTTGCACAATCACGACAAGACAATGGCTTCTCCAACCCGTCGCGGCAGACCACCGGGGGGTTCTCTAACCCGTCACGACAAACCACTGGGGGATTCTCTAATCCGTCGCGGCAGACAACCGGCTTCTCCAACCCTTCGCGACAGACCACCAACCTGGGGAGCGTCTCGCGGCCGAACTCGGACTACTTCAGCGAGAAGAGGCAGCGGCGCAGCAGGCTCGACTCGCGGACGCTGTACATGAACATGCTGCTAGCGCTGGAGAAGATCCCGCGGCTGCACAACATCCTGGTGTCGTTCTTCACGTGGATCCTGCTAATCGGCTTCATCGTCATGACGGGCTCGTTCATGAGCGGGCCGCTAGACCCCAGCGAGGACAGCACGCTGGGGTCGGCGGCCAACGCCTCGACGCTGGTGGTCGGCACCGTGAGCATGGGCATGGGCCTGCTGGGCGTGGGCTGGCTGGCCTTCCGCTGGCGCAAGAACTACGTGTGGCTGCTGAATAAACTGTACCTGCCGCTCGTGCTCAACTCGCTGGCCGGCTTCATTGCCACGTTTGTCAGCATCTACGCCCAGCAGAGTGGCGAGTGGCACATGCAGGCCATCATCACCATCTCCGTCGAGGCCTTCGTGCTCGTAACGTCGAGCGTCCTATTCTGTGTCTATAATTTCTGGTTCTCCGTCCGCGTCGGCGCCAAGAGCAGTAGCAGCAGCAGCAGCAGCGCGAGGTATCAGGACACTAGCTACTTTTCCACCGGCGACGGCGTCGGCGGCGGCGGCAGTCTCTCTCGCAAATCGCTCGCTCACAGAGTCTACAGCGTCCGCAAGGCACCGTCGCTGGCTCCCGGGAGCGTAGTCTGATTGATTGTGGCTATAATCTTTTTTTCTTTCTCGTTTTCTTTCTTTTTGGTATTTATGCTAAGTGTAGTTAGTTCTAAGGGGCGGTGAGGTTTTTTTGTTGTTTCTTTTCATCTTTTTTTTGTCTATCTTAATAAATTGTATTGTATAAATCATTTGGTTATTGGAGAGAGAGAGAGAGCATATCTGGCAATGATATAGTGACACCCCAAAATTATACCATAAATTGATCATATGTATCACCTGTAATCATGATCAACCAAACCCGACACGTTGGGACGATGTGTGCGACTTTGTAGAGTGGCAGAGATGAGTTGACTAGAGAATTTAACACTCGGGCCACTATCACTCCTACTCCTACTCTTACTCTTACCCTTACTCTTACTCTTACTCTTACTCTTACTCTTACTCTTACTCTTACTCTTACTCTTACTCTGACTCTGACTCTCCATTCCCTAAGTCGTGCCATATACTCATGTCCGGCTGGCTGCCCTTTTCCTCTGCCATCTATTCTCCCAGCCAAACAACGATATTCCTGCCGATTTCATCGTGTCTCAGGGAGGGGTTCGTAGGGCATGAAAGTGCAGTACACATTACCAAGTGTCACTCTCGATTTCGACACTGTGCTGCACCATGATACACAACGTAGTCCATGACACGCTCCTTCTTGCTTAAGATAGTTGAGAATACGATAGAGAATTTGGATGCAAAAGGGACTTACCTATGCCACTTACTTCATTAATACCGCTCACTCAAGGCTTACGTATATCTCCTCTCTCAACTTGTATCAAGGCACTCATTCTGAAACAGGCACGACAATGCAAGTAACGTGAGTTTGGGGGAAGAGACTCGATTTTCTGTCTGTCTGTCTGTTTGCCTGTCTACTCCACCTAGCCAGGCAACAGAAGAACAGAAGACGGCTGTATATAGTTATAAAACGAGCGACACAGCCAAAACCCCCCCCCCTTTCTCTCGAAAAATCTCTCATCCTGAAATGGGGATTTTACCCAGAGACAGAAACGCAGATTCTTACAAAAAACAAAAAACCAACGCCCACGAGACCGGCCCTGGCGATAGCGCGACAGCATTTTCGCCTAGCCACGTCTCGGCCCAACACACCGTCCCAGCGATGGCGTAAAAGCACTTTCGCTGTCGAGTGGCGACGAACCTCGGTTACGACAGCGTATCTAAACACGGATGGGTATCATAGAAAGCAAACAGCCACAAAGAAATTGCAATAAAAAGTCCAGACATTTACCACTCCCCGACTCCCAGTAAATCAGACCAAGAGGCGATAGCGCAGAAGCATTGTCGCCCCGGTCCGCACCCGGAGTCTCGCATTGCGCCGTTTCCCAGCGATGGCGTAGCGGCACTGTCGCTGTCGAGTAGTCTAGCCTCGTTGTTGTTTTCCGAGGGGTTCCCAGTTTCCCCAGCCAGCCCATCGCCATGGAGACGGGGCGGGAACGTGCGTACCCTTCCTCGTCTGAAAAGACGCATGTAAAACCCCAGACTGGGATATGAATCGAAGACGTGTGTATCCGAAATGTCGGAAGTGGTCCGAATATAGTTGCTGAACGAGAGTCGAGAAACGAACCTTTCAGGGGTCGGGACGATTACCGCTGAATCGACCAAAACCCCCCCTTTACCTCCCATGGTGACACCACACCTGTCACCCGCATAGCCCCCCAATCCGCACCACTAAGACCGACCATTCCACCACATGCGCTTGAATCCCCGTTGCTCGGCTTCGCGGCGAGCGGCTCCGTCCTGAAACTCGCCTGCAGAATCAACCGCCGAGCTGTTGCTGCTCGAGACTTTGTGATGCTTGGGCTTGTTCCCAAAGATCCGCAGGAGAATGGTCATCGCAATGCTGCTAGCAATGCTGAGGCAGAGGATCCCAATCATGGTAAAGTTGCTCCGTCTGTACTGGTGCGGCCCTTTGACGGCGTCCTCTGGCCATCCTGTGTACAGCGCGTAGGTAGTGGTGATGCTCCCCAAATTCCCGAGGCCCGAAACCAAGGCAGATGCGGCTGCGACGCCGACCTCGCCGTGGCGTCTCTGGAATATCTCGTTTGTCCACGTCATGCATATCGGGACCGTGGGTCCCAGTCCGAATCCAATCAGCAGTAGTCCACCGTATCTGGCCCACCGGTCAGACAGGGCGAAGGTGACCGTGAGGAGGCCGGCGATCTGGATGCACACAGCGGCGGAAAAGAAGACGGCACGGTGCCGGTGGAACCTGTCTGAAATAGGGGTAACCAGGAGGATTGCACAGAAGTCCATCTAACTACCGGTTAGCTTGCCTGTCAAATCAATACACATGAACCAAAATTTCTCACCATCCAGATCGGCGCGAACAGCAGGCTGATCTGCACACCAGTAAATGTGGGATCGATGGAGGCGATGATGACGTTCCCGTACAGCTGAGTGCCGATTCCGACGCCAACAACTCCAAAATACATGAGCACCAAGGGCCACAGGCGCCAGTCGATCAGCACGTGCCACAGGTCCTTGAGATTCCAGGGGCGCGAATGGTAGACTCTCCGGAGGTCGTGATAGTGCACCAAGGCGTCCTCGCCCTTGAGAGCTTCGGGGCTTGCGGGAAACCACTTCATCCAGGAGCTCCTCACGCGCGTCTCTCCGGGCGCCAGAGGTCGGTCAGGCAGCCACCAGAGAAGGATTACGCCGAGGATGACGCCCAAAAGGCCGTAGACGAGGAACATCCACCGGAAGCCGACCAGGCCGCCGAGGCCGTCCATCTGCTGGAAGCCGGCAGACACGAGGCCGACGACGGCAGCCGAGACCTGGGAAGCGGTGAAGTACATGCCGATGCGCTTGCCGGTGCGCGAGGGTGGGTAGAATAGGGTCAGATAGTAGGCCATGCCGGGCCACATGCCGGCAATGACGACGCCCAGCAGGAAGCGCAGCAGCTTGACGCTCCAGGCGGCCTGGACAGCGGTGAAGCAGGTGCCGATGACGCCGACGGCGAAGACGATGCGGGCCATCCAGACGCGCGGGCTGAGCCGGCTCATGATGAGGTTGGAGGGGAGATCGAAGATGACATACGACACGTAGAAGAGGGCTAGGGCGGTCGACGTGTCTCGGGCGTTCATGCCAAGCACCGACATCAGGTCGTGTCTGGCGCTCTGGTTCATGGTCTGGGCGATGCCAATGTTGGATCGGATGGCCGAGCAGAGGAAGTAGAGCACCCAAAAGGCCGGAATGATGCGGAGATCGAGCTTCCTGATTGTCAGGGGCACCACGGCTGTGTGAGTTTTGCTCTCTCCTTTTCCTTCTCGTTATTCAAGACGGGACTAGACACACCTGTAGACCTTTTCGACTCTCTCAACCTCATATTCGGGGTCATCGCCGCGTCTATTGTCGTCCTCCAGCCGAGCCACCTCGTCCAAGGCCGCCTTAAGGCCGTCAGCAGACGCATCCTGAGCCATACTGGGACCGACAAGCAATGGAAGCGCGTGCTAGCCGTCTTTTCTGGGCTCAGGTCTGGTCCAGCACCTGCGAGATGGCCTCCAAGAAGCCAATTTCACTCTCAGCAAGCGGGATAGGGTTGTGGGAAAATGTGGGCCGAGGTCGGAGGGTCCAAAACTCTGGACCCAGCAACCAAGGAAAAATGAAGATCGGGCAGTCAGGAAGGAGAGCCAAGGGGGAAGGGGTGAAGGAGGGAAAGGTGAAGGAGGGGGAGCACAGGGAAGAGGATATTTGCGAGCAAGGCAAGCAAAAAAAGATTTCGCAGGCCGAATGTGAAAAGGGTTACTGGGGCACCCGAGAGTGGATTCGAATTGAGTTTTGGATTTCAATTAACCTCCGGAATAGTTCACACCGTCGGATCATTCACTCTGCAGCCCGGAGCAGCAAGAACAGCCCGCCCGCCGCTATCGACTGCGGAGTCGTCCTTTCTCCAGAACCATGGGACTGACTGCATGAGGGCGATGCAACCCAAGGAGGAAAGAGCTAGCTCAGTCAACCGAAAAATTGCCTCATCACAACCCCTCCCTCCATCCGGATGGAAAGCTTCTAGGCTTTTAGGTAGAGGTTGTGCCACCACCCAACTCGAGCATTTTTGGACAGGACATGCACCTATTACTAACTCGATGCCGGTGATTTGCACCTCGTCCCAACCCACATGCACATGGAACACGACATGGCCGAGGAGATGCAGCAAGAGAGAAAACGGACCCTTTCTTGCTGGCAAATCTCGCAGGTTCTAGCACCCTACCCATCTATTTATTCATTGACCAGTCTTCTCCCATCTGCCCGGCCACCCGAGGAGTAGGTAGCTTCCAGTCTCATGCAAGAGTCGAGTAGGCGTTGAGGGCCAGCTGGCCGCCGAGGTGCGCGTACAGCACGTTGCTGCCGTCGGCAATCTCGCCATTGCGGATCATGTCCATCATGCCGGCTAGGCTCTTGCCCTCGTAGACGGGGTCGGTGATGAAGGCCTCGGTGCGGGCGCCGAACCTGATGGCCTCGATGGTGCGCGCGTCGGGGATGCCGTAGGTGCCGCCGTGGTAGCGGTCGTCGAGGATGATGTCGGCCGCGGTGATGTCGTCGTCGCTGGCCAGCCCGATGCGGGCGCCCGTGAACTTTGCGATGCGCAGCACCTGGTCAAATGTCTGCTGCACCTTGGCCGACGCGTCGATGCCCACGACGCGCCGCCGCCGCGCCCCGAGCGCCTTCTCGGCCAGCTTGAAGCCCGCCACCATGCCCGCCATCGTCGACCCCGTGACGGCGCACACGACGACCGTGTCGAAGAAGACGCCCAGCTCCTTCTCCTGCGCCGCCACCTCGAACGCCCACCGCGCGAACCCCAGCCCGCCCAGCGGGTGGTCCGAGGCCCCAGCGGGGATGTAGTACGGCTTGGCCCCGGCCGCCGCCAGCTCCTGCTTGAGCTCCGCCAGCGTCGGCTTGTGCTCGATGCCAAAGGTCGACGGGTCGAGCCGCACGTCGGCGCCCATCAGCCGCGACAGCTGGATGTTGCCAACCTTCTCGTAGCCCGCGTCGCTCCAGTCGACCCAGTGCTCTTGCACCAGCGCAACTTTGAGTCCTAGCTTGGCCGCCGCCGCTGCCACCTGACGCGTGTGGTTTGACTGGACACCGCCGATACTGACCAACGTATCGCATCCCTGGGAGAGCGCCTCGGCCACGAGGTATCTAGAAGGGTGGGGGAAGCATGCCGTGTTACATCGCCTGTGCCGACTCACTGGAAGGGTAGGTTCATAAAAGGGTGGGGGTGGGGGAGAGGAGGAAGGCGGGAGTGGGTGACGAGAACGAGAACGAACAGGAGAGACTCACTCAAGCTTTCGTGTCTTGTTGCCTCCATAGGCCAGGCCCGAGTTGCAGTCCTCGCGCTTGGCGTAGACGTTGACCTTGCCCCCGAGAGCCTGCGAGATGCGGGGCAGGTGCTGGATCGGCGACGGCCCAAAGGTCAGCACCTCGCGTGGGATGCTCGCAAACGGCTCCGGAAGCTCGAGAGTCGTCGCCATGGTCGCTAAAAATTGTTTCCTCTTTCGTCGAGTGAAACAGGTTCCAAAAGTAGGCAGGCCAGGGCCGCAAATGGTAACTCTAGTACAGCTCGCAGCAAGGAGCAGCAGCAGCAGCAGCAGTACCATCGCTGCCTTCTTATGGTCCCCGCCCTGGGCAATGTCTCTCCTCACCTCATCCCCTAAAACCTACCTTACCCTCCGGCTGTGGGGTCACCTTAGATTGCGTGTAATAAGTCGTTCTCCTCTTGTTTTTGTCATCTCGGCCTCTTATCATGCTGTGTATTACTAGCTTGGGAGCTGCCCCCGAGCGCTCCTTTCCTGAAGCAGACTCAAGCCCTGCCTCATCATCATCGTACCAATCACGGGCCCGCGAGAGCTGCCGTAAGAACTACCGTAGTAAGGCATTGGCATGGCCGTTTACGCCCTTTACGCAGCAGGGGGGGTAAGTACCCAGTAAAGTAAGCACTTCCTTCTTGCATGTGCTCCATCCCATTTTTGACATGGGCAGGCGATATATGGAGGCTGCTGTTTCTGGTTGAACAAGGCCTCGTTGGGTTTCATTTTGCAGGTCTATGACAGAATACCAGGTTGCCAAGTTTGGTGGTCAGTTAACATGCGTGTGTGTGTGTAAATGCGGGGTGAGAAGTAAGATGCGGGCTGATGGCACGATGGCACAGAGAAGATCTTTTCGATGGGTAGGTCCGAACTTCGGGCCGTGGGTGACGTCCAGGCGTGGAATTAACTTGTCTGACAGACCCTGGGGGGTTTTTTTTTGGCTGGCTAGCTAGCCGCGCTGCCGCAGACGTAGCGTCAGGCGACGACTTCGGCGTTGGCGTTTCTTTTTGGCTGTTTTGTGTGGGGTGGTGGTAGGAGGGGGGGCTGTCTCATGGTCAGCACTTTATGCCTTGTTGCCTCGTTGCCCTCCTGGCATCCAAGGCTTCGAGGCAATTTAGAACCTGAATTCAATGGGGGAGGGGCGCTTTTCAAAATGGGGCTGTTGTTTTTTCTTCTTCTTTTACACAATCGGAATTCTAGTGCCGTGCCCGTCAACCCCCCCCCAAAAAGAACGTACGCCGCCCTTACATTGCTGAGTCGCCGTCTTCGACAGCGACCAATGGAATGAAGCGACAATGCAATTTGCCTCTTGACAAGCCCGAGAACAACCAACACTGACGGCGAGACCAAGGGCCTCGTCGCCTCGGGACAGTCAGGACCTACCTAGGCGCCCACGACGTAATACGCAAGCGTGTCGTTGTCAATCTTAGGCACTCCACAATCTGTCCAAATCGCGTACCTTGGCCGAGTATCACGAGCCATGTCAGCGTCGATTGGCAAGCGACAGGCACCCTCTTTTCTCACTTCACTTCTCTCTTCTTTGACATCAGAGACGGGGGTTCAGTGACTCCGGGTGACTCACCGGAGCCGGTGCACGCCTTCTCATCGACACACTACCTAGGTTGCGGGAGGGTGCGCTCTGTGACTAGTTGATATTGAGTTGCAAGCGTGAGGCGCATCTCACCTTTTACTCTGCACACCCAAAGTCCTCAGTGCTTGGAAATCTGCGGCACCCCTTGGCGGGCTAGGCGTGAATCTCGGAAGACGCGATGCAGTGTTGAACGACGCATTGGGGAAAGGAAGTCCTACCCGCTCGGTTGCAGCAGGCGGCAAGAGGCCCGACAGCCGTCTGGGTTATGCCATGTCTGTCTATGACTTACTTCATGCTGATACACGGAAACAAACGTCTGGATTCTGAGGCCTCATCGGGACTTTTTGTTCAGACCCCTGTCTTTCTAGCCACCCAAGCCTCTAAGTCTTGGTGCTAGTAGCACACGATTGTGCTATACTACTCAATATGGGTCATACCGGGTCATACCGACCGGTAACCCCTTGAACAGCCTCCAACGTCCTCTCAATATTCCATTCCATTCCAAAAGGCTCGAGGTGGAGGCAGACACTGGACGTTTGGTTTTCATAGTTCCAGGGGCCGGAAAGGCCCCAACGTCTTGTGCAGACGCGTCAAAAGGAACCATTTACACACTATCGGCCAGCCACAGGACAAGGGACAAATTGTTGCCCGGGGCGAAGCTTGCAGCCTGCGGGTTCTGCAGCAAAAACGGTTTCAAGCAATGGCGTCGTTGACGTCTGCACGTCTTGGAGTTGGGACTTTCTGTGTTGTTGGCTAATATCTCCCTCCCCCCGCCCGCCCGCCCGCCCGCCCCCCTGCCTGCGGCTCGACGCCGTTGGCCGACACCGAGCGGCTTCAATATCGATGTCTTCGGAATACTCGAAACCCGGGCGCCTTCCTGTTGTTGGTTGGCAGAGGACGGGTTTCGTTTCCAGGTTTGTCCACCTTACCTCCGCAGCCCGCCCGGCCTCGGCGCGAGCGAGGGCGGGTAGGACTACCGATTCGCCATACCTTTCATTATGGATAGGGGCCGCGCCCGGCTGCCTGCTGAATCTTAAATCTTAAACATGGAAGTGGCTGCCAAACAAATGCGAAAGCACTGCCAGGTCTGACGTGCAGAACTGGCCTGAAGCGAGCTGCCGACTGGCCCTCGTTGCATCTTTCTGGGCCTGCATTGCGAGGGGCGACGGTCGGAAAGAACGCGACCGAGAGGCTGACGACCCGAAGTGCGGGTTTGGCGGGAGGACGGCTTGGACTTGCACTTTTGGGGAGGGGGGGGGGGGGAGGGGAGGCTGCAGCCTTGCCAGTAAACTTAACCTGAGCCGTCAACCCTTGTGACTCACGGCTGCCTCACTTCCTTTCCCTGGCATTTCGTATCGAGTCGGGCAGCTCCAATCGAGTCACGCCAGCTGCCTGCCTAAGTCGCAGAGACAATACTAATAGGCCTGCAGCCCGCCTCGGGCCATGTCGAGCGACTCTAGGAGGATCTTCCGGACTGATCTCAATCCATTCCATTCACGGTTCCAACCTACCTACGCTACAACGAATATGTGCAGGTAGTGAGCGAGACACCAAAACCAATACCAGTTGAGCTTACATCATGCACTCGCGGACCAATCACGTGTAGGCAAGTTGTAATCCCAGATTCTTGGAAGCTTCGCTGTGTCAGGCTCTGATGACAAAGCTGAGCTCTGTGGCCCCACATTTCCTTCCCCACTCCCGCCGTCGTCAGGCGTCAAAGCTGCGCCACCCCAGACCTTGCCTTGTCTGCCTGCCCTGTTGTTTTTGGGCTCCCACCTCAATTTTCAGGCACGTCTCCTAATTCTCCCGCCTTCCACAATAGGACCCTTCTCAAACCCATCTACCCAAGAGCTTGGTTCAAGACGCCGACCTCGTCCGTGAGGCGTGGAATATTTGAATACACGTACCCCTGCGTTCCATTTGGCTCGTCCAGTTCATATATTGTCTGGGCCTGCTCTCCGTCATTTTTTCGTCGCAAACCGTCCCTCCCTGCGCTTTCCAAGTTGGCTATCCTCAGCGGAGGCCCGGAGCTCTTCGTCGCGCACGGCGACGTGTTTCCCGGCAAGATGAGCGTCGTCTTCGAGACTCGCAACTTTATCCACGATGGCAACTATCCGCCCATGGATGAGCACCACCACGATCCTAACCCCGACCCCGACCGCTTCTCAGATCCGACAGACGCTGTTGTCAACGAGTTGGCCACGGTCGCAACGTTTAATGCTCCGCCACCCAACTTCGTTGACACATCGGAGCCCCGTCTCGACCTCGGTGCTCCGCCACTGTCAAAAGAGGACTCGCCTACCGCGACAACGCCCCAGCGCATCAAGGCGATACCGAAGCCGGACCGCGAGGTGACCAAAAATATCGACGGCAAATATGTGTGTACCTGGCCGGGGTGCAGCGAAGACATGAAGGAGTTTGGTCGCAAATGCGAGTGGAAGTAAGTTTGCCCCTGCCCCTCTGGTGGTCGTGGTACTGCTGCTGCTGCTGCTGCTGTACATTGTGTGTGTGTGCGCCGACTAACAGGGTGTTACAGCAAACACATGGACAAGCATGATCGCCCATATAAGTGCGCCGCCATAGGTTGCGAGAAGCTTCCTGGTTTCACATACTCGGGCGGGCTGCTGCGGCACGAGCGAGAGGTGCACGGGAAGCACGGCGGTCCCAAAAACTCGTTCAACTGTCCGCACGTCAACTGCAAGCGCCACACGAACAAGGGCTTCTCTCGACTGGAGAACCTGAACGAGCATCTGCGGCGAGTGCACACGCAAAATGGGGCGCCAAACGGAACCGAGGGCGAGACCGATGACGCGGCCAGCGACGCTGCGGCGGGTCCAAAACGCAAGCGCGAGCCCGAGGAGGGCGCGGACTTGCGTGAGGAGATCAAGCGAGTGCGGCTCGAAAACGAGGAGCTGCGCCGGCAGGTCGATGCGCAGAACCGGCAGACGGTGTCAATGATGCATAAGATTGCTCAGCTCCAGGAGGCTTTGCAGCCGCGCCTTGCGCCTCAGGCTCCTATGGCGGCCGCAACAATGATTTAGGAAGCATTTCCGACCGACGCATAGGCTGTGCCATCTTCACCCTGCAACCCTGACACCCCCCATACCGGCTCAGTACGACACGCAGTCCCATCTTGAGATTTCCTTGCATTTTTTCCTTCATCTGCATTCGAACATGATCCCCCCTCTTTTCATTTTGTCATTTTGTCGACCACAGATGAGCATAGCATGGACGAGGAGTTTGACATTTTCGGGCTGGTTGAGCGATTCCGGCGGGCACCTTTGGCTTTTCTTTACCCTTTAGTCTTTTTGAATCGGCGTTGGGACACTGGCGGGGCGAGATATACCAAATACATAACGAACCCAAGGTAGATTTTAGGACAGGGAATATGGCGTTTTTTTAGGTTGCGAAACGTTTTTCGAGGATATTTACTACCTCCTTTTGCCTCGTCTCGTCTTTTGGGGGTTTGTTTGGGGTGTGTTCGGCGGAGGGGAGGGGAGGGGGCGGATGGGGTTTGTTTCCCTCGCAACACACAAATGTTACAGCTTTATTATTTGTCTGTCTGTCTGTTGGCACGAAGTCATGAAATCAAACTTCACGCAACTCATGCGCGGCTTTTCTGCTTGTTGGGGGAAGCAATCTATCCCTACCTCTACTTAGCTATCTACCTCTCTCTATCCACTCACCTCACCTCACCTCACCTACTTCTTACCATCTCGTCTCTATTATGGAATATGTATAAAGTATTGACAAAATTAGTTATCTAACAGCGCATGTCTTAGGAGTTGTATCTATATTTGTTCACGCTCTGTCTAGGTGTCTATTTCTAGGATAGGATAGGTAGAGGATGGCTAGGTAGGTAGGGATGCACCCTCTCCACCACGCCTTGCCTTGCCGTCCCTCTCCTTGCCTGCACAGTATGTATGTATGTATGTGTGTATTACTTGGGTTACCTTGCTGTTGCTGTCCCATCCCCGTCTACCCTATAACGCAGAAGCCTCCTGCTAAGACACATAGAATATATTGCTCTCGGGCACGGTCGTAAAGGCGCGACTCGCCGAGAACTTGACGTGTGTGTTTGGGTGGGAACATCAACATCAGGCAGCTGCAAGCTGCACGGTGGGCTGTTTTTCCTTTTTTCGGCCTCGGCTTCTTGTGGTTGGCTATCTGGTCGATATTACGGTATTTACATACATCTTCTTACGCGAGGGGGGTTCTTCGTTTCTTCTCTCTCTTTTTTCTCTTTTTCATTATTTGCCACTCAGTGACTAGACGCTGAAGGCAAAGCAAAGCAGAATACCAAGGCTCCAGCCTCACTACCCGTGAAGACGCACGCTTCTTCAGCCGTCTCTCTAAGTTGATCTAGTGATTATTCCGCAGTAGTCGCGCGCAGCTAATAAACGAGGGAACGATGACTGACGGAAAGGCTTTTTTGCCTCCTTTTTTTCTTCTTCTTCTTGTATTTTGCCGCCCTTCATTTCTCTCTTCCTTGGTTCTGGTTTTTTTTTAGGCACCGAAGTACGTACCAAGAAGAGAAAGGCTCCAGGAATGGAAGGCAAGAACAGCATGTCCACATCATCAGACCACGCGTCCCGGAAAAAAAAAAAGAAGGGAAATGCTTAAATAACATCCCTGCCCCTGTCTGCTGCCCCGCCACTTAGCATGGCTTGTCGTCTGAACTAATTTTCATTTCTTTTTCTCTTCTTTCTTTTGAAAAACAAAACTTAAGCGATTGGAGGCCCTTGCTTCTGTGCCGTGCGACGGCGCCTGGCGCGCTAGGTGGGCTGTTTTGGGTTGTCTCATGCGTAAGGTTGAACATGTACAATTGCCTTAGGCGGAGACAGATTGGACGCCTCGCGATTTCAGGCAGACTCGCTCTCCCGGTTTTCGGTCTTTTTTTTGGGGGGGGGGAGGGCCTCGGGATAGTGACGTCGTTTCGTCGGATCTATTTTGGGGCTACTGCTGCGGCTACTTAGGTATCCCCTCAGCCGTTCAAGAGATGGATTTAACATGGGAACGGCGCGAGGCCGATTTGCTTGGCTGTCACTTTGTTGCTGAGCTGGAAGCCGCATGTAGTAACTCTTGGGTGCCTGATGGATCGCTTTTCCGTGGTAATTTCTCGTCATTAGCTTTGCTGCAGATCTTGAAGGCCCTCCCCTCCAGGGACCTCCGATCTGGCTGATGGAGCTTTTCGAACCCCTGTGGGGATCCATGTGGGATCGCGGGGTACCCCGGCCTGTCCTAGTTTCAGCCTTTCAGGCACCTTTTTTTTAAGCCATTGTTGTGTTGTCCCATCAGTGTGTGATTACACGGCGGATTGCTTCAACTGGAGTTCTTATTCACCATTTCGATCCCCAGTCGCGCAGTAAGAAGAATACTTGGGTAGGAAAGCACGGCCAAGTGCTAGCTGCAATCCATCCAAGGTGAAGCCGGCTTGGCAAAAGGGGAAAAAACAACGACTTCGTGTCGACAATCACATCCCACAAAAATGACCAAGGAAGAACAAACCGTGGTCCCGGCGATCCCCGCGCCGCCGGCTGTGTCGGTGCGCACGGTGCACATGGCCGGGCTGCTCGTCGACGTGTACGGACTCGACGAGGTGGCGACGTCTAGCGTGTCACGCATATCGTGTCTGTGGCTGCACCACCCCCGCCTGCGGAAGAAGGAGGTCATGGCCGACATTGCGGCGCGATGCGTCGATGCGTGGTGGAAGGAGAACGCCGCCAGCGGCGCCACCGGTGAAGCGTCGTCAGATGTGTCCTCTAGCGGCGGTGGCGGTGGTGGTCGCGGCCTGATCGCCCTGGCTTTCGACCAGCGCAACCACGGCACCCGCCTCGTGCACGAGCCCGCCAACGGCGCCTGGCGCGAGGGGAACCAAACTCACGCCCAGGACATGTTTGGCACGATTGCGGGCACAGTGGCGGACCAGGTTGTTTTGCTGTGCGTTTCCCGCCCTTTTCTCTCTTTCTCACCTTCCGTGTGTATGCATTTCGGCAGCCAGGCATGCTGACCCTGCCCTAGCGACTCGGTAGGCAGCTATCTCTTCCACGATGGCGAGGATGGAGGGCAGCCAAGGACAATCGACCACCATGTGGCACTCGGGATATCCCTGGGAGGCCACAGCGTGTGGCAGCTAATGTTTGCCGACCCGAGGGTGCGCACCGGTGTAGTCGTCGTGGGCTGCCCTGATTTCCAGTGTGAGTCTCACCCCAATGCCCCGAGTAAGAATTGCACGTGCTCAAAAGTCACCAAACAGATCTCATCGCGGACCGGGCCAAAAAGTCAAAGAGAGCGACATATCTCTCCGCCTGGGAAGGGACCGGAGACGACGGGGCGCCGTCTTTCTTCGGCAGCCGCGACTTCCCGCTGGCCCTGGTAGAGTCGTGCCGCAAGGCGGACCCCAAGGGCATCCTGTTCGGGACGTCCAGCGTGCCGGCCCCAACAGCGCCGGCGTCGCCACCAGAAGCGGCCGACAACGGCGACGCTCTGAGGCAGGCGCTGCACGACCGTCTGCGCGGCAAGAAGTTCCTGCTCTGCTCCGGCGGCGACGACAAGCTAGTGCCGTACCGGTGCTCAGAGCCCTTCCTGCAGTGGTTCAAGGAGGCGACGGGATCTCTATTCCAGGACGAGGGCATCTCGGTCGACGACCGCGTCTACCCGGGCGTTGGCCACACGTTTAGTCCGGCAATGGTCAAGGACTCGATCCGGTTCGTCGTGGACGCGGTTGCGAGCGCGGGCCGGGGCGACCCTGCTGCGGCGGCGGACGGGACTGCGAGCGACGAACAGCGGGCTTCCAAGATCTGATATCTTGACCACAATATTTAGAGGGGGCGGGTCCCACCCGATGCAGACCGACTGCGTGGTGTTTTTGTTACTTTGGCTGCGTGCTTGTGATTCTACGCTACTACCTAGCCTCTATATCATCCCCCATCGTCCCCCAAGGCGTCACTCCGTTATCTCCCAGTGCCTCGCTCCCATCGCCCAGCACCCGAGTGCCAACACCACTGCGTACCCGCTCCTCCTCGCTGAAGAAAAGCCGCTGGTCCACGGCCCAGCAGTTCCGCGCGCGCCTCTTCCCCGCGAGCGCCTCTCCCACGCCGTGGGGGTCGTCAGCCCACTGGCCCACCACCAGCTGGACGCCCTGCATAGCCTCGGCCTTTTCCCGCGAGATATGTGCGCCGCCGCCATCGCCAGACACCCCCGTGCTCTCCGGCAGGCGGCTCTCCCCCACCCCTGGCGGGTTGATGCCGACAAACCCAACACGGTCCAGCGGGAGAAACCCTATGGCGGCGCAGTGGGCGTCGACGAGGCGCGCGCGCTTAAAGGCGTGGCTGACGATGGTGAGGCGCTCGGGCCAGGCGGCGTGCGCGCGCCAGAACTCGACGACGGAGAAGAGGATGTTGTAGTACGAGTCCAGCGCGCGCTCCTCGAGCAGGATCCTGCTGGTACTAGCAAGGGGGAGGAGCTCGAAGAAGCCGTTCGCCGCCGCCAGGTTGTAGTAACTCCGGGCCTCGGACAGCTGTGTCTCGCTGCGCGTCGGGCCGCTGGAGGGAGAGGACGGCGCCGGGTTAAATAAGCAAATGAATTCGCACGGAAAGCAAGCAACATCATCTCATGATTTATGAACAAAGTACAACGAGAGGGAGAAACCCAAAAAAAAAGAATTGGAATCGAAATAGCAAGACAATGAAAAAGAAAATATTCACACCCACCCAGAAAACACCAAAACAGCGCGCTCGTCGCCGGCCAGCACGCGCACGCCGGCGCGGATGTGTTCGATAAAGGTGGGGGTCTCGCCGCGCTTGTAGCTCTCGATCAGCCACTCGCGCTCGTCCCAGCCGTTCGCCGGGCCGTCGGTCCAGATGGCATGCCCGCAGACGACGACCAGGTGGTTTGGTGGAGGAGAGGGCATGATGGCTTGTTTCTATTTATGCCCTTTTTGGTCTTTGACGGGTTTTGTTGTTTATTCTTGCCGGGGGTTGAGAGGATAGCGAGGATCAATGGAGTGAGGTTGGAACTAAAGCCACCTGGATGAACCGTGCCCAAGCCGGAACAAAAACCGATATTTAAACCTCAAATCCGTCGGCCAGAAAAGACAGCATTTTGGACAGCTTTTCCGGGATATATTAAATTACGATGAATTGAGTAATGAAGTTGAATAGATTTTGCTAAAATTATAGTTGATATATATCCAAGTATATAAACGAATTCCGTAGTCTTTTATTCAGCCGTCTAACTACTGCGAATTCTATTCCGTCTAGGGCTGTTGAAACCCCTCTACGGCCTGATGAGCTGACCGATATTTATTTATTTTATCCTATATCATTACCTTTACGAGGCCCGGAGCAGCCGCAGGACGCTGGAGACCAGATAGAGACTGCCGGCGATGACCAGGGGACCACCGGCGGCGCTCGCCGACGCCCAGGCCAGGGCATCCTTGACGCTGTCGCCCGCATTGTACAGCCCGGCGGCAGGGTCCGCGCCGTGGCGGCCCGCCACCTGCAGGATCTCGGCCGGGTCCGTGGCTTTGACCCAGGGCATCCCGTCTACGGGCTCAAAGCGGACGGCGGCCACCCGGTCTCCGGACTGGAGCAGCAGCGCGAGGATGCCGTCCATGTCCTTGCCCTGGGTCGCGGCCAGGACCCAGGTGACGGGCTGGCCTTGTTGTGCGCGCAGGTGTTTTTGCACGTAGGCGGCCAGGACCTCGGCGGACTGGGTGTTGTGGGCCCCATCTAGGAGGACCTTTGGCTGGCGGTCCGTGATCTTGCGAATGTCGAGCATCTGCAGCCGGCCCGGCCACTGCAGCTGTCTGACTGCTGGGAGAAGGCCGGCCAGCGAGCTGTCGTGGTCGGGACGTGCTAGACGGAAGGCCAGATGGGCGCAAGCCAGGTTTTGGATCTGGTGCGGCTCGAAACCCGCCCCTGAGAGAGACTCGGCAACACTGGCCACGTTGGGGTAGTGCACCTCAACGCCGACGTCCCTCGCGTGCTGTTCGATGACGGCGCGGACTGACGGCTGGTTGGATGCGTCGACGACACAGGGCACGCCGGGGCGCATGATGCCGGCCTTGTGCAGGGCGATGTCGTCGAGGGTAGTGCCGAGGAAGGACTGGTGGTCGAGGCCGATCTTGGCGATGACGGTAACGGCCTTGTGGTGCATGGCGTTTGTGGCGTCGAGCTTGCCGCCGAGACCCACCTCGATGACGCCGAACTCGACGCTGTGGCGGTGGAAGATCTCAAAGGCGGTGGCCGTCAGGAGCTCAAACTCGGTGGCGCCGACGCGGTCGTCGCTGTCGCGCTGCTTGACCACGTCCTCGGCGGCGCGGAACACGGTCTCGGGCACGGGCTTCTCGTCGACCGTGATGCAGTCCCAGCGATCCACGAGATGGGGCGACGTGAAGCGCGCGCACGACGCGCCGCTGGCGCTGAGCATGGCTGACAGCGACGCACATATCGAGCCCTTGCCATTGGTCCCGGCGACGTGGATCGCCTTCCACGTCTGCGGTGTGTGCTGCAGCAGCCGGCCAATGCGAGCCAGTCCGAGGTCAATCATTCTGTCTGTTTCTCTCTCACTCCGACTCTTCTGTTTGATTTAATTTGCCTTATCTTGTCTTTCGCTGGCGTGCGCGCAGACACTTGTAAGCAGCGCCGTCACCGCTCCACTGTCATGTTGTGGAACGGTTGACCGTTGCCTGGCCGCTCGCGACACCTTGCAGCAGAACCACGAGTTGAGGATCCAGTGAGGGACGATGGTGTCAAATGAATCTCATGACGCCCGGCACACCTCAACGCACCTGCCTCGGTCGGCACTGCAATTACTGCAAGGTGGACCCGTGGCTTCCAGTTGATGACGTCGATTCGTTTTGGCACGTCGCGACTTCCACGTACCGAGCAGTACTGTGCAGTATGCAGGGCAGCGTGCAGCCTGGAACGTGACTCACGTCGTTCGCAGGGAAAGAAGCTCTCGTTCTCTCCTGCCAAGGCTTCGGATTAGGTTCAACTTTGCCGAGCCTGAACCTGTCGATTTTAGCGCTTCCTTCCTTCCCTCTGGAATCGATCCGATCGGGCCCAGCAAGAGCCCCTACGCTGTAAAAGAAGCTTGCCCGATAGGTGCATATACTCCGTAAGTCAGCTGCGATAAAAGTTATGGCATTTAATTCGTCCGCACACTGAGTGGCTCTGTGGCCGTTAGTGCCGTTAGCGCAGCAAGTCCATTGCAGTGTACGGATAAACTCAAGATTGATTAAGCATAACCGCACAAAAATCTTAGCGCATGCATTTATCCAATACTCCCAAGCCACTCAGCCCCTAGCGGAGGCTCCCTACGGACCGCCTGGAGCAACAAGGGGTCCCTCCGTAGCCTCCTGTGTAGAGAACGGAAGCCGCGTCCAAAAAGGCAATCACGCATTTTTCGCCGCCCGCCTCTTCCTTTCTCCCTTCAAATCATCCGCAACCCCACGACTCCTGTGCGAGGGTCCGAATCGACACGTTGGTGCATCAACCCCAACATCGAATTCCCATCGATTGACGAGTCAACGCTATCGCACCCGTTGTTGCGACTGCACTCGTCTTCGTTTTCACCCTCGTTGCGCATTCAATTTCGCAGGAATCCGGCTCAAGCCTTGTCTTGCGACCAAAATCGAGGAAGATGGGTCTTCGGTAAGTTCCTCCTCTCCTCCACACCCCCGTGTTTTGCCCACCTTAATTTTGCCCTTCGGTCGTTGCGCGCGTGCGCGCGCACGCTTATCCCCCGCGATCCTTTTTTTTTCATCGCGCGTTTGTCGGCTTTTGGCCGCCAAACCCGCGCCGCATCGTTTCTTCATCAATTTCGCATTGTATTATCGAGACGGCAACTTTTTTCCTTTGCGCGCCTGCCAAGTCAGCAAGGCCTTGTGCGCTAACTTGCCCATTTCCTCCTATCAGATTGTATGAGCCGCCAGTCGAATCCGACACCCAATTGCGACCCGCAGCCGACAAGAGCCCCGCGCAAGCGCGCTCAACCATCCGTCGAGCCCGCCTCGTCCGGCTCAATCCCGACCAGATCCGTGACCGTCGCCGTCGCGCTCTAGACGCTACTGCAGCGTATACTAGTTACGACCCGCCACCTAGACGCATTTCGTCATCGCCCGATTCAACCTCGGCGGCCTCGGCCACGGGCGACAACAATGACATGGGACCGGACTCGGAAGCCGGACGCCGAGCGTTGCGCGACGTCGCCAGTCGCATGGGAATACTGGACGACCGCGTCGTTGCCCTCTTTGGCGAGCGCTGGGCCCACCTGCATGCCGGAGCTCAGAACCTCGATTATGAAACGTCTCGGTTTCTCCCCTCTACCATAGGCCCGGGCCTTGATTCCGACTACTTGCCCCAGAGGCGGCTCGGACGGCCGCCTCCGGCCGAGCAGTATACCATGGTGTCTAACATCAGGTCTACCCAAGCTCCCGATCACCCTGTATGCACCCACTTACCCCTCCGCATTACATCGTTAGTCCAGGTGCGAAATGCCTGGATTCAGCTGAAGAACTATAACAACTAACTGGTACTGTCGATGTAGTCTCGCGCCGGGACACGATCTCCTGCGGCCCTTCATCGGATCCGCATGGCTAACAGCATGCGCCAGATGCGTGAGTCGCGATTCGCTACCGAGACCAGGCCAGCCCTGGGTCCCAGTCGCCGCCGCACCGCGCGGGCGCCACCGTACACCATCGGTCCAGCTCCACGCCCAGCTCCAGCTCCAGCTTCAGCTCCAGAGCCATCCCCGGGTGCGGGCCCGGCCTCTGCCACAGTCGACGGCCTGGGTGACCGCAACAGGAGTCTCAGTCCTGAAGAAAATGCATGGGACACTTTGTTGTCCACTCTGACGCCCGACCCTCAACCACCGAGCGTGGGGTCTTCTTTTGCGTCTGCTTCCGCTCTCGCCTCGGCAACGACCTCCCAAAGCGCTGCCGCCGCTTCTTCCAGAACTTCGTTCACTAACCCAGATGCGGCTGAAGAGTCTCCATTCGAGCCTCCGTGCGAGTCGGGATGTGAAAATTCCGAGACGGAGGGTGACGAGGATGACGAGATGGAGCACAACCATCTCACGCGCTTTCACCGGACCGTTCGCGACGGCGGCGGTGACCGTTCGTACGCTGATATCGTACGCGATACCGGCCTAGCCGTCCCCGGTGGCGGTGATGGTCTCCTCGAGCTTCTGGGCGGCATTGAGGACATGCAGCACATTGTGCGCAACCTTGCTCGGCGAGAGGATATCCCCGACGAGTGGTGGGCCGAGGCCGGCCTCTCTCGGACTCTTTCACGAGAGGCGTCGTCGAACTAATTCCGAGAAACGAACCGGGAAATCCATTTCTTTTAGTTCTTTTCTTATGTTTCCTTCTCTCCTTGGATATGGTGAAACCAGAGGGGGGTTTCACTTGCTCGACATGGGGCGGGGTGGAAACTTTTTCCTTTCACGAACGATTTTCTGGAGAAAAGGCATGCGAAGTGCGTAATTCCTTGCGTTCTAGCGGAAGGCGTTTTGGATATTTTATTGGCTTTGTTATCTCAATGGCCATGGCTTGTCTTTTTGGGAGTTAAATTATGTGGGACTTGATCTGGGTTTTCTTTTTTCCCACTTTGTGACTGGGCACGAAAACGCTTTCTCTTATCTATTACCGGGCTGATATTGCCCGGCAGATTTCCTCCTAACGAGGTGGAATATGTCTGCTGTTTCGAGGGGAGGGGGGCCCTTTTTGGGTGGTAGATTTTGCTACCTTATGACTGATATGAGGGGGAAGTCCAAAGTGGCCGAACCAGCCGAGCATGCCGTTTTTTTCGGTATGTGTAAGAATACTCTGTATATAAAACGTTCCGATTTCTGAAGAGACCCAAGGCGAGCCAAGGTGGCTGGCTTTCTCTAGTCTTTTCTTCTGGCAATAGAGCAAGCGTTTTGCCCCGGCGAGGGTTCTCTGGCTGTATGAGATGATATATATCTATTATGTAGTGGATTGGCGTGCTTGTCTCGTTTCTCGATGTCTCGTCGAAACGCAGGATGGGTGCTCTGCTAAAGGTCCCATCCAACCCCTCACCCGAACCAGATCTGTAAGTAGGCTTCCCCAGTTTCAAGGCGTCCAAGATTCTGGGCGAACGTTACCTGCTTGGTTCCCTGCCTGCCTTATTGGGCCAGGAAGGCAACTTTCCCCTCGCGGCTCCTTGCTGAGTCCCCAGGATTAGCGTTGCATCCGAATGAGACGCATTAGTGTGCATCGATTCCGTAAGACTGTACCAGAGAAGGCTCCCAATCGTTTGCATTGAGATGTCTGGTCGGTTTCTTCCATGCCACGGCCTTTTTCTTGTCTCTCTTGTTTTTTTCTTGACATGGACGAATGTATACCTCTCACTGCCCTCAAAGCGGAATGTATGGGGTAGCATGTACTTGCATCAGGTCCCGTTTTGGTAAGGTACGGATACAGTATGCCTGACAACAGGCTGACGCTGCTTGCCCCCACTAACTTGGCGCCGGACAACAGGGCACCAAGGGCCCGCTAGTGTAAGCCCAAAGCAAGCCCGGCCGGTTGCGCGCACGGCACGACACGCCTTCCAGTCGACCGCTCCACTGCAGGCACGGCACGGTCAGCAGTGGACTGTGGATTGTGGACTGTGAGCTGTGGACGGCCGCCATTGGGGAGACATCGTGTATCCATCGCGTGCTGCGTCCGCAAATATACCCAACCTGGACCTTAGTTCCAGCATTTTGCGGCTAGATTGTCGTCTTGTTCTCGCCCATTCCCGGCGGTACGGAATCGCGACGTGAAACAAGCTGCGCCTTGACCTTTTTTTTCTCTATTCCGGCTTTTTTGTGCCCATTACCTTACCTGAATTCTTCCCCCTCCTTTCCTCCCGACTGTCTATCCCTTCCTCCCCGCCGCCGCCGCCGCCGTGTCTTTCTTTGGCTGGGAACGGCAACGGCCCAACGAAGGGACCTATGGGTGAGGTGGTCGATCCTCTCTCCGTGTTCAAGACGACCCCGCGACCCGAACCCCAACCAGACCAGACCAGACCAGACGATATCAATTATTACCAGCCCAGGCCCGCGGAATAGAGCGACCCGCTGCCGGCGGCTGGCCTGTTTGTCTGGCCTAGGAATACTTACCTCCCGACCTATCCATAATCCACAACTTCGCTCCTCGGACAGGCCAGAACAGACCAGGCCCGCATATCAACACACGTCGACGGCGGCCATTCTCCCCATTCGTTTGAGTCCCCACGCCTGTTTCCAGGACGAACGGAACGTCAACAAAGGCACTCGCTGTGCCGCATCGATCGCGAACATATCTCCAACCCCACTCCAGCGAGACGCGACTCCACCCGTGCCCGACCTCTGTACCTGCCTCTATACCTACCCTAACCTACCTTCCAGGTTAGCTGCATACCTAACTATCCAGGTCTTTGGTCAGGCGAGAGGGAGCGTCTGTCGGGGCGGGAATGACCAGCACGATTCTCCGCCGACATCCTCCGTCCTCTACCCTCCGTCGCCCGCTTGCCGCCCGGCATCCCTCGCCGCCGTGACGTGCAGCTTCTCCCACACACCCCCGGCCTCGAGAGAGCGGACAGATACAGCAGCCGCCTACACGAGCACCAGCGGCAACACACGCCAGCAGCACCAGGAGCTCTGCACATTCGGTGGCGGGGCATCTCAGACTCGGGCTGAGGCGCTCACCCAACCCCGGCCGCAGGCATGGCGCCGAACCCGCCAGGGCCCCCCGCTGCCGAACGGCCGTACCATGGCGTCAATGGCGGCAAGACGGCTGCGCCGCCCAATGTCCCGGGGACGCCGCGCCGCGAGCCGAGCCATGCGCGAGAAAGGGCGGTGCAAGACCCAGGACTGAAAGACTACGTATGTCTCGGTTTTCCTTATCATTCCTCCCATGCGATGCCCGTGTCCGTGTTGTACGGGGATTCTATGTTCAGCAGAAAGCCCCACGCGATCTCATCCCGTCCGGGCTGCTCCTAGGCCAGCCCGCATCTTTTTTGTGCGGGATGGGGCTGTGCACGGCCCGCCCCTTCGTACATGTACATATATTTATATATATATTTGCGTCTGTTCATACGCACGTGTACATACGCACCACTCCCTCTTTTTGCCCCATTGGGCTTGGCAGATCTGCTTTCTCCTTTGTTCTGTTCGGATGGCGAAAATGTGTTGCAACCCCCACGATTTGATGTAAGACATGGCTGACCATATGGCGACCTGGTTGGGCGTCACTAGCGACTCGGCGACTGCATCGGGAAAGGAGCCTTCGGAACCGTCTACAAGGCTTTCAATTGGGGAACTGGTGAGGCCGTGGCCGTCAAGCAAATCAAACTGGTCGATGTGCCAAAGAGCGAGCTGCGCATGATTGAGGTGAGCTGCTGCCAACCTGACTACCTACCTGCTCTCCTACCAGGGCTGCCGGCAACAGGAAATGCGGCCTAGTTTTGGAGGAGAGAGCTTTGATGCTGACAAAATGTATGCATGTAGGCCGAGATTGACCTCTTGAAAAACCTCCATGTTAGTATTGTCCAAGATAGGAAACGCGCCGTGCCCCTAATCCCCAGGCCAAAGCTGTCGGATTTGCTGACCTCTTGCTAGCATGACAATATCGTGAAATACATTGGCTTTGTCAAGTCTGTTGACTGTCTGAACATCATCCTCGAGTCTGTCCTACCCTTGCCCTTTAAAACAAGGCCCGCAGGCAGACGCTGACACGGCATTCGTTGGGCAGGTTTTGCGAAAATGGATCGTTACACTCCATATGTAAAGCCTACGGCAAGTTCCCCGAGAACCTGGTCGGCGTGTACATGACCCAGGTGCTTCAGGGGCTGCAGTACCTGCACGAACAGGGTGTTATCCACAGGGATATCAAGGGCGCCAACATCTTGACCACCAAGGACGGCACAGTAAAGCTCGCTGATTTTGGCGTGTCGACAAGCACCCTGGCAGGTCCGGACAAGGAGGCCCAGGTAGTAGGGACGCCGTATTGGATGGCCCCCGAGATCATCCAGCTTTCTGGCGCCACGTCGTCCTCAGACATCTGGAGTGTCGGATGCACCGTAATAGAGCTGCTCCAGGGAAAACCGCCATACCACAATCTCGCGGCCATGCCCGCCTTGTTTGCCATTGTCAATGACGACCACCCACCGCTTCCAGAAGGTGTCTCTCCAGTCTGTTGTCCCGCGTCCGGAGCATGAGAATATGATGTGGAATGCTGATGTCAAGGACAGGCCGCCCGTGATTTCCTCATGCAATGTTTTCAGAAGGACCCCAACCTTAGAGTTTCGGCAAGAAAGCTGTTGCGGCACCCGTGGATAACGGGCTGCCGGAGAAGCGATGCCCCCGTCTCCAAGGCGCCAGCAAACTTTAGCCAAGCCGTCGAGGAGGTCAAGCAGTGGAACAGGGCTCTCAAGTCGTCCGAGAACAACCTCAGAGCTTCCACCGGCTCCGAAAGCATCGGCCCGCCCGTGCAGGCGCATTACGGGAGCCGTTTCAACCCTTCGGACGCTCACCGCTCAAACCTTACCACCCCTGCAAAGGGGCCACTTGTTCTGGCAAAGCCAAAGCCCACCGCAGAGGCCTTCCGGTCTCCTGAGCTTGCTGGTAAGTCGTCGGGCTGTGCTGTTGCGGCTGCTTGCTTAGACTGATTTTCTTTAGACGACGATAACTGGGACAATGATTTTGCCACTACCATCTCGCCAAGCGCGCTTAATCTTCCCCATATCAAGGGCCAGGATAATTTCGGGGGTCTTCTTTCTGGCGACCGGCTGAAGGCGTTCGCGTCTATCGACGGCCAGCGAGAGAATTCGGAAAACTGGGATGAAAATTTTGACGGCGAGCTCTTGACTATCAAGGGGCTGAGGCATTGGTCTGAGCCTGACCCCCAGGAACAGACCATCAGGCCTTTGCCCCGGAAGACGGAGAAAAACGCCGAGCCGAAGGCCCAGCAGGGCCACAGGCGACAGCGCAGCAAAGCCTCCGTGCCAGGCGCGCCACATCCCAAGTCGCCCGTTAAGCCGCATTTTGCGAACAAATTCGAGCTTCCCCCGCGTCCTGATGTTATTTATCGCGAGCAGTCCGTCGAGGACTACTCGGACCTGTTCGCCGATAATGATGGCGTGTTCAACAACAGGTTGAACTTGATCGGCAAGGTAAGGCCCGTCTGGCTCCACAACCCGGCTGAGACATGGATGCTTATCTCAGTCAACAAACAGGACGTTCCGCAACTCTTCCACCCCTCCGATCTCACAAGTTTGCCACGGTCGATGCAGTCGCCGGCTGCGGGGAGCATGCGACGGCAGAACCCATCGCGCCCGTTGGTGCTTCCGGAGCAGCCAGTAAGGAGGACGAGGTCGACCGTCGAGATCACCAAGTTTGCCGAGAACGAGGGCGACGAGGACTTTTCCGATATCTTCGGCACCGGGGACGCTTTTGCCGAATCGGAGGAAAGCGACCGCGGGTCCGAGGACGGCGGCCAACTCATGCTGCTTTCCAAGCTGTCCAACAGCTCCTGGCTCGGAGACGATGAGGAGGAAGACGACCCCTTCGCCATGATGGATCCTGGCTGGGACGAGATGGACCTCGAGGCGAATATTGCCCGTGACCGGCACGCCAGGTTAGCAGAGAAGGTGGAGGAGCTGGTGAGGTCGATGAAGACGACGGAAGGGGAAGACACATTATCCGACCTGGCAGAAGATCTAGTACGTTTTGTACATCGCTTTGTGACGTGGGTGGAAATATTGCTAACTGGAGCGGTGACACAGCTTAACCTCTTGTGGGAGAATAACGAGGTCAAGGATCTCATCATCAGTGCCCACGGCCTGCTTCCGATTCTCGAGATTCTTGAGCCCTGCACGGTGAAGAGCCGCCAGCACATGATCCTGCAGCTGCTCAAGATTGTCAACGCGGTATGTGCCCTTTTCGGTTTACCGGGGCACTGGGCGTTCGGGCTGACCAAAGTACAGATTATCCTGGATGATGTCGAGTTGCAAGAAAACCTCTGCTTCGTCGGCGGAATCCCCATCATTACCAAATTTGCCGCCCGGCAATACTCAAACGAAATCCGTCTAGAAGCGGCCGCATTTGTGAGGCAAATGTACCAGACATCTACGCTGACCCTGCAGATGTTTGTCAGCGCCGGTGGTCTCAATGTCCTGGTGGAATTCCTGGACGAAGACTACGATAGCTCCCAAAGCCTTGTCTTGATTGGTGTCAACGGTATCTGGAACGTCTTTGAACTGCAGGTAAGTGCTTTCCGATGATGGATGGCAAATGCAGGGGTTAGATTGTTGACTTCTTTCAGGGGCCAACTCCCAAGAACGACTTCTGCAGGATTTTCTCGCGCAGCAAAATCCTCGACCCTCTTGCGGCGGTTCTCCACAAGGTCCTGGATGAAGACGACAAGAACGAGCTCTCCGAACTGGTGGAAGGCCGCATCGTCAACATATTTTACCTATTCTCACAGGCGGAGAACTATGTCAAGGAGGTTGTGGCTGACCGCCAGGTTCTTAAAAGTCTGTTTACCTCGTAGTCCCTTTTTGGTTTGGAACCAGTCGCTAACAATAATCTCTAGCCGTGCTCAAGGACCTGAGGCGAATGACAGCGTCTCACCAGATCACCATGCTCAAGTTTATAAAAAACCTATCTATGCTCTCGACCACGCTCGAGGCATTGCATTCGGCCGACGCAATCGACTTCTTGATCGACGTGCTGAGTAGCTCGATGAAGAAAGGACAGAATCACTTTCGAGAAATCGCCAACCAGGTCCTCAACACCATGTTTAACCTCTGCCGGCTCAGCAAAGAGCGGCAAGAATACGCGGCCAGCAACGGCATCATACCCCTATTGCTCAAGATCTTAAAGACGGACAGGCCGCCCAAGGAATTTGTACTCCCTATCCTCTGCGACATGGCGCATTCGGGCAGCAAGGGGAGGCGTTATCTCTGGCAGAACAGTGGCCTGGCCTTTTACGTGTCGCTCCTAGCGGACCAGTACTGGCAGGTTACGGCGCTTGATGCCATCTTCGTGTGGCTTCAGGAAGAGACGGCCAAGGTGGAGAGCCACCTCTTGGACGGCCAGTTCACGGCAGCCATTACGTCGTGCTTCAACACGAACAAGGCCAACGCCTTCGACACGAACCTCCTCGAGCCGCTGCTCAAGGTTCTCCGGCTGAGTCCGGCCGTGGCGGCATCGCTGGCCAAGGCGGAAATGTATGCCGGCATCTCGCAGAAGCTCAACCACAAGAAGGCCATCGTCCGCCTCAACCTACTACGTCTCGTGCGCAACATCATGGACGGCTGCGAGGCTAACAGCTCGTCCATGGCGTCGGTGCGGGCATCCAGCACGGGCCGCCAGCTTCGCATCCTGTTTGACGACATCCAAACCCTGGCGGATAAGGACCCGGCGGTGTTGGTACGCAACTTGGCGTCGGAGCTCGTGCGGAGCCACATCGACACGGACCTGCAGCACGACGCTATGATGTCCCTGAGCGCGCTCGGGCTCGGAGGCGGCGGTGGCGGTGGCCCCGGAAGCGGGAGCGGAGGTGTCATGGGCGGCCCGAACGCAGCCGGGTCCGGCCCGCGCTCGCGCTCCGGCCCCCGGCGCAACACCAGCTATACGCCACCGGGGCTCGCTCACTCGAGCATGTCGATGCCGCCAACGCCCACTCATGCCCACCCAGGCCACCACCGGCTAGCACACTCGTCGTCGGCATTCATCGAAGTCGCGACCACTCCGAAACGGTCGGCTGTCGCACTGGCCCACGAGCGCGACGCGGCGCTCTACCGCCCGCGCAGTCGGGACGGCGGCATCGGCGTCGCAACCAGCATCCCCCGCCGGGTCAGCAGCGACGCGGGTTCGTCTTCGTCCCTGGGCAACGCTGCGTTGGCGCCGGCTGCCAAGAGCAGACTGCCACGCACGTCGACGCAGTTCTCGCGGCCAAGTCTTTCTTCTGGGACGTCGGCGCCGCCCGTCTCCATGTCAAACGTGTCCCGGAGCGACAGCTCCCACAGTAACAAGGAGAACTATTCCCAGCGCATGCGCTCAGGCTCGTCGGTCACGGGGTCCGGGTATACGGGCTCGCCTAGCACGACGGCTGGCGGCGGAGGTGGGCCTGGCGGACCTGCACAGGGAGGAGCAGGAAATACTGGTGGCGGCGGTGTTGGTGCCGGCCCCCCGCCGAGCTTTAGCAGCAGGGAGACGTCCGTCACGAGTGGCAGCGCCAAGCGCCGCAGCCGAGCGCCCAGCTCGGATCTCCGGTGGTCTTAGGAGGACAGCCCCGGATCCAAGTCCAGGTCGGGCAGGGGGCGCAGCGCTGCGGCGGTAGCTCTTGGGAGCCCGGCCGCGACTGGCACTGCCATTGCCGATCGTGGGAGTGGAAGCGTAAGCGGAAGCGGAAACGGAAACAGCGGGAGCGGTAATTGGGGCAGCAGTGGTGACAGCAATAAGAGGGGTGGGAGTAGACGCCAGATCAGGAGAGGAAAGTGAATAGGTATGGATGGAGTGGGAAAAAAGAAATATTAGGAATAAGAGCAGAGAACAACACCTCAAAAAGGTGCCGACCGCCCGACTTTTATTGTCTTATCAAGGTAGGTACCTTGCATATTCTAGACATGGATAACATGGGATTGATGGTTAGACAACGGGATGGCTAGACTTTTTTTTTGTTTTTGTTCATGGTTCTTTATTTATCATCTAACCTTTTTCTATGAGCGAGTCTGTGTTGAGCCAGGGGGGAAAAGAAAAGAAAATAAAAGGCGAGATCTGATTGCTTTATTACATTAAAAGTTGCGTTACATTGCGTTGGGTTGCATTGCACTGTGTTGTCTTGTTTTTGTGTGTTTACGTGGTGCTGTTGGTTTTGTTGTCTTGCATGGTATCTTACATGGTGTTTTTGTCTTGCAGCACCAAGTAGATTTATTTTGCTACTTGGTATTTATCTACGGAGGTAACTCTACTCTATTCTGTTCTGCGCTGCTCTGCTCTGATATTTTGAATTGAGAGATATGCCTCTAGAATTCCAGAGTAGGGATTGCAATAGCTGCTACCTCCTTTAGCGGAAAACCTTTAGAGCCAGCCGTGAGGTATTGAGGCCTTTCAACCCTTCCATAGTTCAGAAAGTCCCCCGCTAATAAACATTCAGTAATTGGGTTGAGAGCTGGGATCAGTGCTCGCTCCAGGGATTTGAACATCAGCGACAGGCCCGGGAAATCGTGCGAGACCAGAAGTTCCGAGCAGTCCAACGTCGCTAGCAACGTATTTTGGAACAAACTTTTCAAGGCGGTCCTAGCCGCACTTAAAAATGTGCTTGTCCAACTCTCGGAAAGAGCTCTCAAGCTACCGGCCTAAAGTATTCGACACGAACGACGTCTCTTTCTTATCCAGCACATCCTATCGAGTGTTGGCAAAGAAAGTCAAATCTAACGGCTCTAATAGCGGGGGACTACAGAAAGTTAGCGATTACTAATCGGATACGGGAGATTGGAAAGGAGAAGCTTACACGGAACGACAAGAATAACCGCTCGCACAACGATCACAGCGCTCTCCGGTCTCACTCCCGGCATTCACTCATCGACCGTTTTGCGACACAAGGACGCGTGCATCTCAGGCAAGAGTTAATATGTAATCGCCCAGTTACCACGTCAAGTACAAGGGCAACGGATAGCCTACTTGAAGACTCTGCACAATGGTGGTGCGACATGGGCTGACCTCACAGATTAAAAAGGGGGTGTTCAGCTCCTCCTTGTCACGTCGTGCTCGGGTTCACCACTGGGGAACGGACAACCCACGGGGGCCGTAATTGGTTACCAACATGCCGGGTTTTAGCTGATGCTGTGTGCTTCCTATGTCCCAGTCGATATGATGGAAAAGCAAAAAGGGGGTGTGGGGGGGCGGCCGCCCCGGGGGCATGGGCCGGCCCGTCTTATTCCGCTCACCCCGGAAGCTGACGACAGCGCAGAGTGGCAAAAGTAAGAAGGTTATCGTGCTAGCCTTTCCGTTTGCTCCCATAGCTCTCGTGTTGTCCGTTACAGGGGGGGTGGGGATTGTATGTAACGGAGCCGTCACTGGGGCACCAGACGCAGACAGCCCGTTGACAACAGAAAGACCCAAGCTAAACGGTAGATGTAGTACAATGCTTGTAACGTGACGACAGCGCCACAAAACCGCATAAAGAGGCTCTGTTATCCACTATCAACCACCTACCTAGACTAGATTTTCTCCGAGTACCCTGACTAAACCCGGCAGCCAGCCCCGGGTCTCGTGGTCTCTTAAATATCTACGGTTAGCACAACTTTGCATGCGAATTAGAGGGAAAGAGAGGGAGACGAGAATAACCTAACCAGACAGAGAAGGCCCTCCTCATGTTCCAAGAGATCCTGAGAGGGCCCGAGCAAACAAGGTGCAAATAATCTCACCATCACCTCAACAATAATACAAAAGCAGTGTCTGCCTTAGGATTGCCATAGTATTTTTAGTTTGCCCACAGAACGGAGGGTGTATAGATAAAAGCCAACATAGTCTTCCAGGCAAAGCTACAATGTATGCCAAGGCGCAACCCGCGCAAGCCGCTTGCTACCTACCTTGACTGTCCAGGCATGTAGGTGTGCGCAGTAACACCCCTTCACGCACAAAAACCACCCGCGGTATCCGTCCTAGTCTAGCTGGCAGTCAGCTCTCCCACTTGGCCCTCGCCCGTTTGGCTTTCCTTTTTTCACCGTTAGCTACATACATACCTAGATAGCAAGTCAGCAAGCATCAGACAAACTCTCGAAAAAGAGCCTGACAGCTGAGCCCCTTTTTTTCACCACACTCACTGCCACCAGTTCAGTCTTTGTGTCCACGAGACAATACATACTAGTAAAAGACACACACCACTATTAGCCCATCCATCAACTTCGTGTGTGGAGACGAGCACGTTTTTTCCCACCCTTAACATTCATCCCCAGGGCGGGAGGGATCGTATTCGCTAACTAGTGTCTCAATCCCTAGGGGCCGGGACCGGTTCAGCATTTTTAATTCCTCGCGCTCCCTCCCTCCCCCCCTCTCTTTCTCTCTCTCTTTCTCTCAATCTATGTAGAAATTCTCAGGGACGGTGATAAATTGGGAAGCCGGTTCAGACCAGCACCACGACGGCGAAAGCCCACTCACAGGCACCATTAAGGGGCAATAGAAACTTCATAAACAGACACCAGCACGACAGTACCAATAGGACATAAGATAGCTAGAGTGCCCATTCAACATAGACATGCCAATCCGAAGATGCTAGGGGGCAGGCAGGCTTTAGAATCGCGAGGAAGCAAGCCGAAGCCGAAGCCGAAGCCCCCGGTCCAGCCAGACCAAGACAGGCCAGGCCAGAGCAGGAACCCCAGCAAAATGAGAAGAAGCGCCCCCAACACATAAAAAACTTGGTAATATTATCGTAGCCCACATAGTAGATCGATTTGGGATACGTTTACAGGCAGCCCGGGAGACGAGATCTGGGAACAATTTCAGGCGGAGGGGCCTGGCGCTCGCTACTCAAAGCAGTTATTTACCTTTACCTACCTTACCTACGTCTTCAGGTCATGTAGCCGCCTAGATATAACCACCCGGCAGGCGATGACGACGACAATACAGTCCAGTCCCTGAATGTTTGCTAGCGAGGGGACTGTTCCAAGATCTGAAAGGCGTCAAAGCCGTACGGCTCGCTCCAAAGGGTTTTCGCCGAGGGAGGTGAAAGCTAGGTGTTGGAATCCCTGTTTTGGAATTCTAGAGGCCTATCTCTCAAGTTCCACGCTAACAAGCATTCAGGGATCAGATTGTAACAAACCTCCGGCAGCAAAGACTCGCCTTGAGACTACCATGTCTTTTAGCGTGTAATGACACCAATGTTAGAGAAACCCAGTCTGTGCAAACTCGCTTTCTCGCCTCATCATTTGGGTACGCGAGGGGCGTCTCGGGTGTTATTAGTACGTAAATGGGGTTTAAGACGGGAGTATGAAAGACTAATTCCAGGTAGTGGGGAGAAGCTGCTCCGCTAACATCTCCCATCTCTTCGTCCGCCTGGGTTTCTGGACTGTGGACGAGTCTGAACTCGCCCGCAACATCGTCTCGACGAGCTGAGGAGTCAAAGAGATCTGACACTGCACAAGCCGCTTAGCGTTCAAAAAATCGCCGCAACTAATCAGGCATACGAGCTTCAAGATGCCCGGTCTTGACAAGAGCGCCTCCCTGCTGACAAGGCAGTGGCCGCACAGCAGGCTAAATACGCCCATCATCGTGAGACAACCAATAACCCACTCCCAGATTTACCACGCCGACGGTGCCAAGACAGATCACCTATACGACGCGTCCCCCCCGGCGCACTTTGTCCATGGATCCGGCCTCTCACATCCATCATGTTGGCATCAACTAGGTTAGCCGCATACCAAGGTCGCATGCGGTGCAAGGATAGTTGGGCATGACAGTCGCTGAGTGGAGAGATGTCGAGAGAGCTGATTCAGCGCCCAGCACCAAGCACCCGTCATATGAGTGATCCGTTTTGAAGATGCGCGAAAACTTGCAGGGGACCAGGCAATTCCCTCCTCTCTGCCTGGCCACATAAGAGCGGTCCTCCGCAGTCACCGGGCCTCAGCTGCCTCAGATTTCAAGCAATATCGTCGAAATTGTTAGCGACGTCTCCAACTATCAATGCTGGCCTCAACCCCCGTTCGATCGACAAGCCGACTCCCTTCGGGGCTGCGCTGGTACGGGAAACGCGGCAGCGAGTTCTCCCAGACCCGCAGGAAGCTCTGCCACAGAACCTCGCTCTGCGAGTTTCCCTTTGCGATGTGGCCCCTCTCCATATCGCACTTGACCACCTCCATCCAGGCTCCCGGCATCTAGCTTCACGACCCGGGGGTCCGACCCCGCTCTGAACGGGGAACCGGGCACCGACGTGCTGACCTGGAGACCATGGTGTTCGGATTTAGGAAGGCTGCGCGGCCATGCAGATACAGTTGCAACCAGCAGGCTTCTGCTGGAAAGGGCAGAGGGATGCTCGGACAGGGCCAACTTGCCACTGGTTTCTGATGCACAGCAGCGCATTCGAACACGCTCGCCCAGCCGCCCCTTGATCACCTCGATTTCCAAGGAGCCTCGATGCACTGTTGATACCATGGCCGGGATTGGTGACCTTCTGCCCGAGTCAGGGGCATCGGGTCTCCGAGGGATGAAGCTATGGCAGCAGGACCAGGCGGGTGTTATAACTCTTGCCGGCGTGCACCCTGTTTTAATCTTAAAGGGGGAGAGAGGTTGGGATAGGAGTCTGTCCCATGTGTGGCGTCGGCTAAACACCAGAGAAGCAGATATCTGCACCACACCACACACGACGCGCAGAAGGAAGGTCTTCGGAACAGGAACCTTTTCAGAGCCAGCAGATCCGAGACCGCGACCAACCGCGGAGCAGAGTTGGCTAGGTTATTGCAAGGGCGTGGTCCAAGAACTTGGTCTGCAGCTTTGAAAGAAAAAAAACCAAGACCCGTCTTTCGCAACAGGCGGTCTGCGTCGTCCAAAGAGATTGCACGCCGACTCAATGCCACGTCTTGAACCCGCTGAAACTTCGTCATGTTCTTAGTGATGCCCCTAGACGTGAGCTTCTTTACCAAGGCCAGAGCGGCGAT